CTTATTTAGGTTTCCGTTCTCGAAGTAATATAATCGCTTACTATTTCTATAGTAGAACCGATTCTAGGTTATATTTATTAATAGCGAGTAGCGGCTATAGTTATAAAGCCGATCGAAAGTATTATAAAACTAGCATTCGAATTCCTTATAGTTATTTATTTAAGTTAATAAAATCTTATTACGTATGCCTCGGTAGTTTAATATGATATTACGTTTAAAGCTTACTAAGGTCCTTCCGTTAGTTTATAGGTTATAAAGATTTAAGTTCCGAACCGCGTTTACTAAGAACGGGTTTTCCTATTAATATTATTAATCGGCGTTATACGTACCCTTAAGGCTATAAGAGCTATTATTTTAACGGTAGTTCTACGAAGTTATCTTTATCTCTAGAGCGTTAAATCGGTCGTAAAAGGCCTATATATTAGCTTCTTAACTAATACTTAGGTAGCCGTAAAAAGGTTTAGGCTACGAGGGAGGCGGTAATAAAGGTATCTAAAGGCTAAGAGTCGTTAATCGTTAAACTATCTATATTATAAGCTTCTCGGGTTTTTCGAAAGTTACCGTTTTTTACTATCGTCGTTCTTCGGCTTAAGCCTTATCGGTAATTTATATTACTATACGACGTTCCGCTTACTTATAAAGCTAAATATAAAGAGTCCGGTAATCGATATTTCCGATCCTATTATAATTATAGTCTTCCGTTTTATAGAACTTTATAATTAGAGATATCCGGAGTTTATCGGTTAGGTATCCTACTTTCTAAGGAAGCTTTCCGTTATCGTTTATAAGCTTAGAAAGACGTTTATAGTTTATAAGATACGTAAAGATCGCTTTAGGATCGTTAATTACGTTGCTTCGTTTTAGTTATACGAGTTTACGTTTAACGTTAATTTAGCTTAGTTTATCGGTAATCCTAAAACGGTATTTTAGGACTATAACGATAACTCTTTAGATCGTTTAATCCTTCGTAACATCGTTAATACGCTCCCTAATAATCTTAGTCGTAGTTTATTCGCCGATCTCCTTAATTTTATCGTCGTCGCTTATACGGTAGCGGTTAAATAATCGATTTACCTTCTTTAGTTACTAGGTTACGTTATATTCGTTAAACTTAAGCCTAAAATAATCGGTAGGGTTAGGAAACCTAATGGCTAGTATTACGATAATCGGGGTAACTATCGGTATATTTTAACTATTAAAGGTCCCGTTATTATTATTTTAAGATAATACCATAAGGATTAGCGGGATAAATATAGAGCCGCGGGTAAGGGGTAGTTAAATAAGAGTTTTATCGTCGTTCTCTTAATCTTCGGGCGGATATAGGAACGGAAAGCTAATATCGACTCTTAAGGTTTTTATTAATAGCTTAGTCTTTATTACTTCGGGTCCTAACGACGATTTACTCCGTTTCCTAGCTACGGACTCCGTTTAGTTTATCGATACGAAGTATAAAATAAAAAGGAAGGTAATAAGGGTTTTATTATTTAATATAAGGATAAAGGTATAATAATTATTATTTATATCCTAATACTTTTCCTTTAGTATAGATATATTACTATTTATTATACTATCCCGATCGATAGGGTCCGAGTATTATACGAGCTTTTCTAATCGGCTAACGCCTAATTAAAGTACGATACGTATTCCTTAGATTAATAATTTAACTATTATAAATAAGTCGACGATAATTCCTCTTATTAAGGTTTAAAACTCTTAACGTATAACCTTCGTTAAGGTAATACGTATAAGGGATAAATCCCGAGTAAAGGATCGCGTTAAATACGATACTAATTATAGCTATAGGCCGGTTTCGATTTAACGAGAACTATTTAATAGTATTAGCGGTATTACCGCTAGGCGTCGTTTTACGCCTATGTTAGTACTTTTCGCTATACTAATTATTAGTTAGTAATATAGGACTAATTTATATATAGGTATATTTATTAGCTCGACTTTAGTTCCGTTTCCTTAATCCTTTATATCTACGTAATTTTATTAATATTAATTCCTAGTTCTTTTTAAAACTATCGGTTACTAGTAATTATTAGTTTATTAATTTTATTTATATTATTAATATAAATATCTATATTATATCGTATATTATATCGTCGAATCGCTACGCCTAAGTATCTTAAAATGCCTTTAGTATAATAAGTTATTAATATCTATATATTTAGTTTATATCGATTAATAGGTTTAGAAGGAAAAAGAAGCTATCGTAAGGTCGGTTAAGGTATAATTACTATTAGCCTTTATCCGCCTTTAGTATTAATAAAGGAGTAGCGGGTCGTATAAGTTATCGTAATTTATACTAAGGCGCTTATACGTTTAGTTTATATAGTAGGTAAATAATTATAAAGGGGCTACCCTAATCGTTATAAGCTTTATTTATTCGTACGAGATATACTATATTATTAGCGGTTCGAAGAAGCGGTTAATATCGAGGGCTAAATGCGATCCCTAGTAGCGGTAGTATTACGACGAAAGTTTTCTTAGGTTTTACGGGTTCCTCCGTATAGTAAATAAATAACTATACGAGGGATATCTTAATCGGTATAAACGCGGTTTAGTCGTCGTATTATATCGTAGTATCGATAGTTTATTAGCGTTATAAGTATTAAGGGCTAGGTATTATCCTAATAATAATAGTATCGTTATAAAAGTTCCTAGGCTTATACGTACCTCCTTATAGTTAATAAATAACTATAAAGCGGGATATTTTATTTAACGTAAAACGCGGGCTACTTCGCGGGTTAAATAGCGGCGCCGATAGCGATCGGTATCCTTTAAATCCTAATAACGTAATAGAAATTCCGTAGATTAAAGGTTAAGGGATCGAAAAAGTTATAAGGTAATCGCTACTAAGAAGGAGTAAAGCGTACGCGATACTAAAGACCCGGATAGGTTTACTCGAAAGTATATTCTATCGAAGATTATAATACGTACGATGGTCTAGGATAAATGAAATTAATATCGCTATATTAATCGAAAGGTAAGGAATTTAATATAATTATCGTATCTTAGCTATATCCTTTAATCGTAGAGATATAATAGTCGCTAGCCCGAAGGTATAAGAGGTAAGGGAAGAAAAGAAGCAAAACGTAAAAGTTATTTATTCGGTTATAACGGTACGACGAAGTAACTTAAGCGCCTATAACTAAGATATATATATTAATCGGAAAACGACGAATCCAATGGCAAAAACGAATCTTTAATTAAAGCAAAAAAATAGCAAAGATAGTAATCTAGCTAGGTAATAAACTAAATAATAAGTATCCTATATCCCGTACTTACGGGAGCTATAGTTACTCTATATAGGCATAAGGCCTATCGTAGTATATCACGTAATATATTAAGAGGGCATGTCTTACCGCACCACTATAATATGAACCGGATTAAAATAGGTAGGAAATAAGATTAAATACGTAGGTAAATAGATAGATGCGTATACTGTAGTTTTTTAGATGCATTTCTTTTAAATAGATTGTATGAACTTTTAACTAATTAAAACAGCGTATATGAACTTTCAGCTAATAAAAATAAAGTTTCCTCTAAATGACACCCCTTTACAAGGGTATTTACAGCGGTATTTATAGAGGTATTTAACCCTGCAATTAATGTAGTGGTGCGGTGGATCTAGGCCACGTAGCCTTTTCGATGTCTATTTATATGGGTCGCGCACTCATATTTTCATCAGCTAGACTTAGACCTGTAGACATCACGACCTACAGCCATTCACTCGTTTCTTGCTATGTCTTTTCTCGCGATCCTCGTTGCCCTTTTCTAGTTCCCTTTCCCAGCTGCCGTTTCAGCTGGCCGATCAACCGATTACAGCTGTTTACAGCTATGATCTTGGTTGATCGGCACTGGGCCAGTTGTTGGCAGTTGGGCAGTCCTTGTTTCGTGCCTCCGTCAGCGTGCCCACGCTGCTCCTGTTCATTAATCAGCATAACAGGGAGTTTAACGTATTATAACTATCTTCCAGATAGGATAAATACATATCTAAAAGGCTACGGAGCCTAGATCCACCGCACTACTACAATATTAATTAATTATGTACTCATTATGAAATAAAATACGTAAATTAAATATATACTTATAGTAATATAGATACTGTATAGTTATTAAAGACATACCTATTCTCGATAGACCCCTGCCTTTATGGTAAGTATTTCGCCTATTAGATTAGGAACCCTAACTGGACAAATACTAATAGTCTGAGACGGTACAGCTGGGTTTAGGGTTTTCTAGATGCAAAGGATCATATGAGCACAACTCCACAGAGCTTTAGGTTATTTTCTTCTTTCAAGTTTTGGATGGCCGCTGATCTAGTAGTTGTGCGCTTAAGAAAAGGAGAAAAGGAGCACGAGATAGAAGCGTGAAAATAAATAGGTTGAAATCAAATCTAAGTAAGGTCAAATGTAGCCGAAAGTTATAGATAATTGAGGAATTTCGTCGTTCATAGCAGGATTAGGTTGTCTCTCCTTTCCAGTGTAGCCGTAAATGTAACCGTAACCTCAAGAAATCCTCGCGCGATTTTCTATCCTGACCTAAGAGTGCCGAACCTCACGATGGGCCTTCTCGTCGGGGAAAGTGGGCGTTCAACATCCTCTCCGAAATCCAGCCCCGTGCGGGGGTTGAGGGACAGCACCGTCTACCAAACCCCGCACCGCGAGTGCTAGACCGGTGGGTAGTTGTGATTATCAGGTAAGTCCTTATACAAGAATGATTCCGCCACAGGTGCTCTCAGCGTGCCAACCGAATCCAGGAGTAGCTAGCTATAGGACTTGTATTTAGTGCGTGTCCTCGTGCGAAGCGATAGTTACTCAAAAACATTCCACTGTTCACTGCGGCGGGGTGTCGTGCTGTCGCCATCTGGAAGAGGGTCCGGTCATAGGCACTACCATGATATGACCCGGTTTGCTGGGAACATCATCCAATAAATTCCGTGCTTACCAACGTCTCCCAAGGTCTTTGCGTCTCCCAGACCTTTTGCATCAGTCGGCGCGCGTTATGTATCTGAAGGGAAGACCTGTTAGAAGAAGGGGGGCGGTTTAGGTAGGTAGAGTGCGAGAACGTGCCTGAGTCATCCCGTGATTCTCGGCGGTCTTGAATCTCGTAAGAATGAGCCGTCTCTGCCCCTCGTCCTTGGCATCGCATCCCGCGGTAAACATAGGAAACAACAGGCACGACTCCGCCGTCCCACCTGGTCGGATACGACCGAGACAGTCGACGATCCTTTGCACGGCCATCTGGACGCTGCCATCTTCGGACGCCTTCCCCATGATTCTCCGGTAGAGATGTACAAGCCCAGCCCAATGAAAGGCCTCGTTAGTCGCTTCCATCTCACGCCTATCCCACTTCTCCACGTCCCCTTTCTTGTGGATGTGCTTACAGGGCACGGGGGACTGGAGCATGCTCTCCTTGACGGCTGTCTCGAGCTTGGAAGCTTGGTCGTTGATATCCACGCTCGGCTCCCACTCGTATTTCTCATCGGGGTCGTCTCTAATGCGCTCCGCATCGCATTTCCTAGCTAGGTCAGCAATCTTGGCCAGAAGATACACGCATCGCGTGGTGAAGCCCATGATACAGTCAATCTCGTCATAGCCGTCGAGGATATCGTCTACTTCGTAGTCGAATATCCAGGCCGACGAGGACTCTTTGGGGCCCCCGCTCAGACTCCCTATGACGTCGAGATAAGCTGCCCAACTCCAGAGAAACGAGCACACCGGGTCGTTGCGGAAGTTAGACTGCAGTCCACGAAGGCCACCCGGGCGTGCGGTGATAAGTTCTCTAGCAAGCCCCAGGTGTTTCTGCCACGGAATATCGCACCCAAATATCTTCGGGGAAATTATCTCAAGGGAGGCCAACATGATAGCCGTTGCAAGATTCGCATTTGAGAAGTTTTTGTCCGGGTCGTCTAAGGCGCGCCGAAGCGCGGGAAATGTGCCGTCTACCCAGAAAGCGATCCTTATCGAGGGCTCTGGGTGATTAAGAACACGTGCCCTATGTGAGGCTATCGGGGTAGTTTAAGCAGGCGTGCGCTAATCAGGAAAGACTGCCTTCTTACCTGAGTACGCAAGCAGCAGCGCCAACAAGTTGTCGTTCTTCACGGCCATCTGGGGGAGGATGGTGCGAAAGGGGTTGGCGTGAGGATCATCATAGGGAACAAGAACTTGCAGGATTAAACGAGGTTAGTAGAAAATATTAAACCCGACTTCAAAGGGGATTAAGATGCTGGCTTACCCCGAGCGGTATGATTCAAGAAATGATGCTGGCCATCGATGGTGAGCGGCAGGTTTCGGCATTCGATTCGAAGGCAAATACTTACGAAATACTACCGATGATTAGACACCACTGGGACATTCTAGGACGGGTCTACTCACAAGAAGGTTCATCGGGTTCTCAAGGAGCCTGAGAAAGATATGACATTAATATGTACGCCATTATATGTATAGCCCTCGTCAGAATGGATCAGGTATACTTACCTCGACGGGAGTGGCTCGAGGCTGCAGGGGATGCATATCGACACAGGTTTGGAATAATATCCACCCTCTTCACTGCTGAGCTCATTGGTCTCTACTCCAAACCCGAACTCGTTCCAGACCACATAGTCATTAGTTTCCTCGAAGGGCGCGTCTATAAATTCGCGTTGGAGTAGCGGCGACGATCCGCTAATGGAATTCATGTCGTCATTCTTCCCCATATCATGATCGGGAAAGCCTCGATCAATACCGTAGTAGGCCGTTTCCGTCGGCAAACGTGCTCGAGTGTCTATCGGCGGTAGACCGGCCCTCGCTCGGGTAGCATGTTCATCCTGGAAAAACAAAGGGCCCGGGGGTGCCGATAAGAGAGAATTGACGGAAAGCCTTCGACTTGTGTGACGATGGTCATCGTCGCTGTAGGTGGAAGAGGTGGTGGGGGTCAGTGGCGAGCTGGCTGACAGACCGGAGCCGATGGTGAACCTGAAAGATTCAACGCTTGAATCCAGGGTCGAACTAGCTGCGGAGTTATGCCTGTGGCTAGCCAGGTGTACAGGTTTCGAGTCGGGCGAGTGAATGGCCGACTTCAACTTGGCGCGTTTGCGAGCGGGTTGGGAGAACTCTACATCGGCGACGTTCGTAGATGGCGACACCGAGGACGGGTTTCCTAAGGACACCGCGGTCTGAAGAAGCATTGCCCCACTGCGCTCGACCCTGGGCTGGCTTGCCGGGCCAGTCAAGGGTTCGAGCCTCCGGCCTCCGGGCGCATCAGACAGAGGATGCTGGTGGACTAGCTTGAAGCCCTTAGCGGGTAAGGGTGTTGGTAGGACTTCCCGGCCGAAGTCGGCGATCTCGGGCTCGGGCCGCTTTCCTCTCCGGCCCTCCCAGTTTAGACGGATGCTGTAGTCACATGTCTCGCCTGTTTTTTGGCAGCTTTCAAAATGACGGCAATGGCAAACACGGGTTAGCTGGGACGGTCCCGCTGGAGAGGATGGGGCGTCTGGGGTGGAAAGGAGATGAATAGATGGTTGGCGTACTTCAAGCAACTGGGGCGCTCCTCTCCACACTTGATCTTGCGGTTCTTACACGGCCTTGGCAGGGTTAGCTCGACCGGGGCAGGGCGGATGGGAGTGGCTATGCGTCACATACCAGCATCCATTTCGACTCCGCCGTTTCGGTTCCGGTGCGCCGGGCTTTTTCGGGCGTGGCATTATACGCCGGCGACTCTCACTGGCAACAGACGGCCTAAGTGTGGGAAATTGTAAGAGCACAATATCCCTCGTCCCAACGGTGACTGTGGCGCATATTCGACATGCAGGACTCTCAGCTCGAGAGGCAACAGTTAGGCGGATGGGTTGTTATACGGTGGCCAATACCGATAGAAGACGAAGACGGCGAGCGGGTAGTGGTAAGCTGACGGACTGGGTATGATGATGCGACGACGTCGCTCGTCCTCGGTCGGCAACGAGGTTAGGTACCTACTCAACGAGGGTGACGAGGGAACAGGAGGGGAGGGGCGTGCCAATCGGTTGCCGTCTGCGATATGTAGGTATGGCTGTGGCTCGTCGACCTTGTCTATCTTTCTTCGTCGAGGACGAGAGAGGTAGGCAGGTAGGCAGGCAGGCTTGGTAGATGGTTTGGGGAGACCGAGACTATATCTATCTCTCCAGCTTGATGGAATACAAGATAAGGCCGGCAGAGCGACAAGGGGGAGAAGCATGTACGTAGGTATGTACTCCGTACCCACCCAACCTACCTGTATGTAACGCTAAGCGAGTGCCTAGCGGACGGTAAGCAGAGATTTATAGGTAGGTATATTCCGGGGGTGCAACAAAGCCCGGAAGCTCTCGAGTCGACCCTAGAACCGAGCCCGGGGGGGGGGGGGAGATAACCCTGTAGCGCCTATCTAGGGAGGTACCTACCTGCGTAGGTATATACCTATCTATATACGTAGGTGCAAACCCCAGCACAACTGGCCGGGCGGCTCCCTGAGTGGAGTTCTGCAATGATACCGGCAGATGCCTTAGGTGGTTGAGATAGGTACCTACCTCCTCCGGGTGCCTCGAGGTGTATTTTCGGTACCTAATGACCCCTACGAGGAGGTTTGGATGTGTAGGTATGTTCGTACCTCACAGGCACACGGTGGGTACCTACCGAGTTTTACCCCGCTCTTACGCAGATAAGACAACGACACTGCAGCACATACCCGATAACAGGGTTTGACAACCCAGGCGGGGGTGCCTAGCTAATTTATGCGCTCAGCTAGGCACGGTATATAGTACACGTAAAATTAAAAACCAGCATAATACTCTTTATGCACTACATTCTCCATACACGTAGGTATTATTTACGGGTATTTTTTTTACCAAGCTTCTTCACATTTCGCAGAAGGACGCCCGCAACGGTTTATAACCTGATTGGAAAAAAAAAAAGTCTAGTGGTTTTCTGGGCAATCTGAAGATGTCATTCATTAATCTTTTTTACATCTTAAAATCACCGTTCTCTTTCGCCACCAAACACCAGCCCTCTACCACCACGGCTAACAGGTGCAGCATTACCAGACGCCAGGCACGGAACAGTACTCCGCAACTCGACAAAAACAAGGGCCATAACCCGGGTGTTTCTACCTGCAGAGATCCGCCTCTTGGCTTCAGAGGCAATTCCATTCACAACATCGGCATGCATGTCTTCGTGGATCAGTATGGAGCTGAATACGATGAACGAGCTCTCTCTGCAGAATGACTATACGTGGAAATTCATCCAGGCAAGATACCTGTAACTCGAGGCGATGGGGGTTTCTCTTCTCAATAAAAAGCTGCCATTCTTTGCAGATAGATGCTAAAGAAGCCCAGCTAGGAGACAGGAGACTTCTGATGTGGCAAGAGTCAGACCCCTGGGCATCATCTAACAGCTCTATCATCGGAGACCGAATCTGGAAGCTGTTCTCTGCTCTCAGAACCTGGAAGCCAGCGAATGCCTTGACTTTTGGAGCTTAACATGCACTCTCCCAGCGACTCGGAACAGTGATTCAAGGAAAAGTTTTTCTTTTTGTTTTTCTTTCGCTTCTGACAACGAGGGTGATGCTGAAGCCGCAACTTCTCCATGAGAATTTGGCAAGATTAACTCTGAGTGGCATGACCTAAAGCACGGCTGGATCAATGGCTCGCGGGTTGATACTCCTAGAATTAGCTATACTACGACCCTTCGAGACTATTAGCCTACACTTGAGAGAAGAACTTCCTCAAGTTGACATAGCTACATGCTTCATTATACGTCAACAACTCCGTCGTCAGCTTCACCCCCGGGCGCTGCAACTTACATTGAACAAATTTTGTCGATTACAATATTATATGATCTGAGCCGCATCAGGCATGGGACAGCTATCTACGGTACCTATATTAATCCTATCCGATCACTAATACCTCAAATTCTTGTCCCGCAATACTTTCGACCATTATCAGGTAACATTTGTATTGTGGAATTCCTACTCTCCGTCCAAACGATCTTGCCGCCGCGCTGGCTAATCCCCTGTTCCCCGGAATCCTGCGAATAGATACCACCCGCATCGTGGATCTCAGGATTGACGCGGCCTTTAGCTTTACAGGTCTCGACCTTGAGGCACTTTTCTATCTCACCCATGGTCAATGCCGAGGATTTATTTCAAGCTTGTATACGAACCTGAACTTGGCAGCACTTGCAGTCTCTGGCACCAACACCGCAACTCCTACAATACGCGGGAGGCCACCAGGGAACCTAGGTGATGTGGTCGAACGCGTCCGGGAGTGTTTATCCAGGTACTCCCCTCCCTTCGGCTTATGTTGATGAGTTGTCTGAAGGCCATGAGCGTACTTCAATGTCAATAGCCTAAACAGACGCATATTCTAATCGATACAATGCTGCTAAGCTGTCTTATTAAAGAGGTGGCAGCCACACACGCACAATACACACACTTGGAATCCCTCTGATCAGAGGGTGCCTAAGTAGGAGCATGCGGAGAGTGTGGTAGTAGGGCGGTGAGAGGCCAGATTCCAGAGCTGGGCATTTAGGAGGTGTAGCGCCGGAGGCCCGCAGGCCATAGGACTTGGGAAGGCTTTTCCCGATCAGTACCCCTTTGGCTGTGGAGGGAAGTACTTATGAGAGAGTCAGATTCGTTGTTCCACTGATCAGTCCAGTCTCAGAAATTGTAAAAAGGGAGGAGTGCTGTTCTTGTCAGTCTTGTCAAGGAATTAAAAAGGCACAGCAAAGAAATCTACTCAAGACTGTGGCTGATTGGCCATACCGAACAGGCAGGTATTTAGGTAGGTATAAAAACAGCCACCCGACGGACTGTCAAATGTCCCGCCAAGAACTCCCGCGGAATTGTATGATATATGCCCCCGGGGCTTTCTTCCTTTTTCAATTTAGGTATATATATATATTGGCTTTGTCAAGGCCAATGTAGAGGTGTGAATTAATAGTGCTAAAAATCTTCGTATTATCTGTGGCTCCACCGTCTCCCACTGGACCTGTTGCCCCAACACCAACTTTACTACGAGGCAGGCTACCTAAGGCAGGCTTACTAAGAACATCCTTCATCTGACAAACCTCCTCTGGGCCTGCAGTTATATCGGTCGTTCGCCTGCCAAATTATCGCTACACCCGTTAGGAGCTGTAATCGTGAGCTATGCGCCATCACCTCTAGAAAATGGACCAGGTAAACAACAACAATAACAAGAGAAGCCACGCTGATTTCGCGGGCAATAATCACGATGGTGCGAAACCCGGACTCTCGTATCGATTTCACATCTGCTGACCAGCCACAGACAGCTCCTCCGATGAGGATGACATGGGACCCCAATTGCCCTCCACCACCGCCGCTCCCAAGAAGAAACGACGTGTTCTACCGCACGAAAAACTCTACATCGACGCCTTGCCTAAATCTGCGCGCTATTCCAAGTCTCTCATGCACAAGGAGCAGCTATCCTTCGTAAATGTGACGCGGTCCGATTTCCTCATCACCACCTCTGCCGATGGAGTCGTCAAGTTCTGGAAGAAGGCTGCGCAAGGAATTGATTTCGTCAAGGAATTTAAGGCCCACCAGGGCGAAGTACGGTCGGTGTCAACTAGCCATGATGGCCGAAGCTTCGCGACGGCCGGGGCTGACAAAACTATCAAGATCTTCGATGTCGTCACCTTTGATCTCCTCGCCATGCTCACCCTCGACTATCCGCCCAAGTGTGTCTGTTGGGTGCATAAACGTGGTGCTTCGCTCCCCCTCCTAGCCGTTTCCGACTATTCGAAGCCACTGATTTATGTCTACGACGGGCGAGGAGAAACTCAAACTCCGATACATTCCATCAAGGGCCTCCACAGAAGCCCCGTATCCGTAATGGCCTTCAACGACGCCTATGACTGCGTGGTGTCCGCCGACGACAATGGGATGCTTGAGTACTGGTCGCCGAGCGCCAACTACGAGAAGCCGGATAACGTCTTCCAATATAAGAGCTCCACCAACCTGTTCGAATTCAAGAAGGCAAAATCGACGCCCGTCTCCATGAGCATATCGCCCTCCGGCCACCAGTTCGTCGCCTTCTCCATGCCCGACCGCAGGATTCGAGTCTTCGAGTTTGCGTCGGCAAAGCTATATCGAACCTACGACGAGTCGCTGGAGGTCATAGAGGAGATGCAACGAGCGGGGACGGCTATGCAGAAGCTCGACGATGTCGACTTTGGGAGGAGGCTTGCTGCGGAACGCGAAATCGAATCCACCTCTCTCCGGGACAAGGCCAATGTCATCTTCGACGAGTCGGGCCACTTTATCCTATATGGCTCCATGCTTGGCGTCAAAGTGTTAAATACTCTGACGAATAGGGTCGTCAAGGTGTATGGGAAAGACGAGCACGTCCGTCCGGTCAACCTCGCCATGTACCAAGGCCAGCCCCAAAAGAAAGGAGTCACAACCGTTGCGATGGCCGCTTCGAGCAACCCTCTCCTGCAGGAATCGGAAGCGAGAGATCCAATCCTATTCTCGACAGCCGTGGGGAAGGCTCGTTTTTACATGTTTACAAACGACGAGGAGATCTCTCGGTCCGAGCGAGACGTCCAAAACGAGAGGCCGACTATGCTGAATCCCAAGGCGGCGGCGCAGAAGAAGAGTGCGGAGACGGGCACGGCGGCCGTCCTCCACACAACGTTCGGTGATATCCACATCCGTCTCTTCCCCGATGCTGCGCCAAAGGCAGTTGAGAACTTCGTGACGCATTGCAAGCGTGGCTACTACAACAACACAATTTTCCATCGGGTGATTCGAAAGTTCATGATCCAAGGCGGCGATCCCCTGGGCGATGGGACCGGTGGCGAGAGTATATGGGGTAAGGAGTTTGAGGACGAGTTCAGCACCCTCAAACACGACAAGCCCTATACGGTCAGCATGGCAAACGCAGGCCCCAACACGAACGGCAGCCAATTCTTCATCACCACGGAAAAGACGCCATGGCTGGATAACAAGCATACGATATTCGGACGGGCGGTGCAGGGCCTCGACGTGGTCCATAAGATAGAGAACGTGCGGACCTACAAGGAGAAACCCGAAGAGGACATCAAGATTCTGAATATCGATATAATCTAGGTGCCCTAGCCTTGTTCGGCGGCAGTGCCTCGGCCCGGCCCGGTCTCGTTGTAGATATAGTATGTCACGCTAACTACAGAGGGGGGAGGGGGGGGGGGCAGCATCAGTAGTGATACTACTCGAGAGGTGATGATGTTGTAACCGCCCGAATGTCCATACCCGCTTCATTTCACCGATACCTTGCCTGCCCAACGCAGGCACACCAGAGCCATCGAAACAACGCTATACGTGTAGGCGTCTCAACTACATGGCGATTGCAAAGCTCGCTCACCCCGTCCAATGTAGTCCGCGCCAGCGTCGTACCAGCTTTATTGTATATGTTGATCTGTGCTCATGGGCACCTCGTGTTAGGATTCGAAGTATTTTTTATATACAAAAATATTCCGATTATTTACGCAGATAAGTAGGTCTAAAATGGCGTACATCGCCATTTTACAAGGGGGAGGAATAAATAACAACAGTGTTAGTCGGTGACGTCATACAACGCATGTGACTTGATTACCTAGAAGCACAACGTCAACCTCGGGTCAGTTTTCAGGCACGAGGTGGCAGGTTGGGGCCGGGACGTCCGGGGCCGACCTGCCCTGTACAGGCAGGTACCTATCTATATAACGAGGTACCTACTTCGTAAGGCCGCCTGTATGTATCCTACATACCTATCACCTTATACCTACCTACATATATGCCAACCCGTCAAGACGTTAAATGATCTAGGTCTAGGTAGGTATCTCCATACGCCTTAAGTATAGAGGCATTCGTAGGTAACCTGTCTTCCATGACCTTACGAGCTAGAGACGATGTTAACTTATGTATTAGATATACCTACTTTCGAGGGGGGAGCTCCGAGTCCCATACTGCGTAGTACTTCACGATATTAATTGTTCCACGCGCCCCCAGGAAAAAGAAACATACAAAATAAAAACAAAATCCCGCCACCCTCCGAAGCCATATAATCTCTACTCACTCGCCTAATTGATACTGAGCCTACGCACGACCATTAAGCCGCGCCGCGCCGGGTTTCATTTTACACCCTCAAGATGGCCCGTCACCATCCGCTACAGAGGCTCGCGTCTCCATCGAGACAGCTTTCCCTGCTTCTCCATCTCGCAGGGGTCGCGTCTTTCCTCGCCTCGTTCAGGTTCCTCTACACGTGGGACACTCCGATGTCAGCTTCTTTCGGCGGGCACTACCAGTTCCTCACCATCATCGGCCTGTCACTCGCGTTGTGCACTTTTTCCGTCGGGGCTTTGGCGGACGCGACGCTCTCTCCGCGCCTGTTTCAGCTCAAGAACATACTCTCCGTGTGCTCGGCACCGCTGGAGGTATTGATTAGCATCCTGTACTGGGGGATCTACGCCATCGACAAAAGCCTCCTTTTCCCGCCTGAGGTTCAGCTCGACTTTCTTCCCGATTTCGGGTTCCACGCCGCGCCGGCCCTGTTTCTAGCCGTCGATCTCCTCCTTCTCAGTCCGCCGTGGACGATCCGCGGCTACCCTGCGTTGGCCCTGAGCGAGGTCTTGGCATTTTCATACTGGCTCTGGGTCGAATACTGCTTCTCTCGCAATGGATGGTGAGTTCAACTGCTCCGCCGAACCCGCCCCGCATGCCGGCATCTTTCCACTAATTCTCAACCCCCTTCTCGGAAAGGTATCCTTATCCTATTTTTGGCATCTTGAGCACGTGGCAGCGCGCCCTGCTCTTTGCTTTCTCCGCATCCGTGATGACTGGGAGTACGATGATCCTGAAATGGACGTATGGCAAGGTCAACGGCATCGAGAAGTTCAAGGAGGAAGCGGTCGCCGATCCCGTAGGAATCCGACCCAAAAGCGAATAAATCCCGACGTGACAACGGCCGGCTTTGTTACGCCCTGCTTCCAGACCGCTACGCATGCTAGGTTGTCTAGCTAGGATAGCAAGTCGTAATCTCACCTATCCTTGGGCCCGCCGTGGGAGACGGGCAGCTTGTTAGCGGAGATACCCTCGGGAGCCAACGGCGGCCCCGTCAAAGCAGCTTTGTATAGATGGGAAACCCGACAATTCTCGCGCCTTTATCCCGTGTTCCTTTGAGCAAGCTCGTCGAGATAGGCATAAATTCCCTAGTTCTGGGTCCCGTGTGTGCTGCTGTTACCCGCTTGCTCTGACGTCGAGTCTCCTGAGTCTCCTGGGCGCATGTCCGTATGCAATCCGGTCCCGTGGCAGAGGATAGAATAAGTAGAAGCAGGCGAGATATTGCAGCCCTCGGAATCTATCAGAGTACGTACCTCTCAGATTTGCTACCCATTGTTACGTTGCCGTCGGTGGGCCGTCCGTCAAACTTGACGGTCCAGCCACACACACATATATGCCTATATATAGAGAGTTATATATACAGGTGTATATGTATATACACATGTCAGTTCGCCTTGGACCCCTGCCAAGCAAGCCGCCGCCCTCCTCCCCCCCCCTGGCACTGCCCCTCCATCGGCCATCGGAGCGAAGCGAGGAGTTACCTACCTTGGTACGTATGCAAGTCGCATATGTACCCAAGTAATCGAAAACGCAATCTCGCTATTCGTCCCAATCGTCCCACCCCCACCATGACTCTTTCGTTGGCCTAATGCTAGTGGGCGCATCTTGTGGTTTCTTGCATTTCTTATGAGTAGATCCCGCAGCTTCGAGGTCCAACTCTCTCGCCGGAGAAAAAAAAAAAAAAAACCACACACACACCCGCACACCCGCACAACAGTCATACTCCCACAATCAAGCGCCTGGTCCCCTCTACCTACCAGCCTGTTGCGTTTCTGCCGAGTCTGTCCGCAGTGGACTTATCCGTCGCTAACTATATATCTCGCGGGATACAAGAGTACTCGGATTTGCCCGCCATGCCCGTAAGCACACAGACACCTCGATTTATCCGGTATCCCGAGAAGGCCGGGCTCGCAAAGCTGACTCGTGCGAAGAATTTCTACATCGAGAACAAGGATGTGGGCAACAGGACCGCTTGCGAAGATTGGAGAAGTAGGTGTCCGCCTCCGAGACGTAGGTAAATCACCCCCCTGTGCTGACCTGTTCCCAGTCCGCGGTTGCAATCCGCTGATGCCTCCGGATCTCCTCCAACACGAAATCCCCCAGACCGCCGGATCGAGGAAGACGGTGCTCGAGAGCCGCGAGGAGGTGGTGTCCGTAGTCAACGGTACCGATGACAAACAGAGGCTTCTCGTCATCATCGGTCCCTGCTCCATCCACGACCCGAAGTCGGCCCTCGAATACTGCGATATGCTATTGCAGGAAAAAGAAAAGCACAAAGACGAGCTGCTCATTGTCATGCGAGCTTATCTCGAGAAGCCGAGGACGACGGTGGGCTGGAAAGGCCTGATCAACGACCCTGATATCGATAACAGCTTCAACATCACCAAGGGCTTGCGCATGTCGAGGCAGCTCTTCGTCGACCTGACCGACAGGGGGATGCCGATTGCCAGCGAGATGCTAGATACGATCTCGCCGCAGTTCTTAGCAGATGTTCTCTCGGCCGGCGCGGTGGGCGCCAGGACAACGGAGAGCCAACTGCATCGAGAGCTAGCTAGCGGCCTATCGTTCCCGGTAGGCTTCAAGAACGGCACTGACGGGACGCTGAGCGTCGCCATCGACGCAATCGGCGCCGTCAGACACCCGCATCACTTCCTCTCCGTTACCAAGCCCGGGGTCGTAGCCATAGTCGGCACCGTCGGCAACGAGGATTGCTACGTCATCCTCCGGGGCGGAAGCCGTGGCACCAACTACGATGCGAAGAGCATCGCAGATGCCAAAGCGTCCTTGGCGAAGGCGGGTTTGCGGCAGCGGCTCATGGTGGATTGCAGCCATGGCAACTCGTTGAAGAATCACAGAAATCAGCCCAAGGTCGCCGCCGAGTTGGCAGAGCAAATCTCCAAAGGCGAGACGGGCATCATGGGCGTCATGATCGAAAGCCACATCAGCGAAGGTAGGAAACCGAAGGTCCCCACCGCTTAGGAAGTCGATCCGATATGCTGACTGCGGGCCCCTTCTCCGCTTGATAGGCAGTCAGAAGGTGCCAAAGGAAGGCAAGGCTGGACTCCAGTACGGTGTTAGCATCACAGACGCATGCATCGGATGGGAGGATACAGTATCAGTCCTGGCCAACCTCGCCAACGCTGTGAAGGAGCGGCGGGAAATAGCGCAAGCCAATGGCCACGAGTAGCAGAAACGGTTAGATGGCGGGATTTTGTAGCGTTTGAAAAAGGAGAGGCGAAAGGAGGGGAGGCGACGCTAGGCTTGTTGTTATTTTCTCTTGCCGTGTACAATACAGTTGAGGTGGTTTGCAGAGAATGGGAGATATCCCAAAAAGAAGGAAAAGTGGCAGCGAGGGGATGGAAACATGTGTGCACTACGGACGCCGTACGAGGGCAAGGCGGGATGGAGGGGTTACCAGCTTCCCCTTCAGCCGCACCAGCTGACGTCTGCTGCGGTCACTTGAGGTACCCGCCTCAGGTACCTACCTCCTAGGAGGTAGGTACTTCCTAACCTAACTTCCAGGTACCTCCTATGCAATTCGTGGAGACGCTAAATGAAGGCACCTATGGTGGAACGTATGGGATGGAATCATGTATTATGCACCGTACGATTTCGAGCATGCATAGGTACCTACACCTTATAGTATAGACCATAGTATGTACCTAGGAGGTAGGTACCTCCTAACCCAGGTGCCTGCTACTCGGTACTTCCCATGCATATACTTGTCTTAGCTGACGAGTGGTACCTTATCGATTACCAGTACTTGGGAATAACGCGAGTCACGTGGACGGCCACGCGAAGCGTCCCGCGGGCGAGGTAACCTCGGCCAATAGGATGCACCTATTTCCAATTGCTTCAAGGCCTGAGCACTTTTTTCCCTTCCCACCACCGGTTTGGCCTGGTTCGATCTCCGCTCTCCACGACGAAATCTCCCCAACCCTCCCATTGACTTGTCAACCGTATAGCGGCAACTTCCTACGGTCGAGTAGAGAGCTCGCCCTCCATGTTGGCAAGATCCTGCCTGCGCTCTCCGCGCATTATCAACGCCGCTAGAAATGGCGCGACAGCCTATGCCAAGGTACGTCCGTGCCGGCCGCCCGGTGGGCTGACAGCGCTCCGAGCTCCATCGGCCTTGCCCGTCGGCTTCTGTGGCTTCGACGACGCCGGTTTCTGCCTCTCTCTCCCTGCCTCTCCCTCTCTACAGATGTGTATCTCGCTATGCGGAGTGGGCGCGAAGCTGTGCGTCTAACTAACCGTCTCATCCACGTAGAGGTCTATCTCGACGTCCGCCGAATCCCCCGCTAAGCTGAACGTCGCTACTGTCGCCTCCACCGCTGTCGCTATCGGGTCCGTGGCCTGGTATTATCATCTCTATGGCTCTACCGCCCATGCCATGACGCCTGCCGAAGAAGGGTGAGTTCGAATTGTGCCATGATTGAGGGGGGGGGGGGGCCGGGGGGATGTCGACCGGTGGTGCTCCTCCATCCGATAGATTTCGATTTTCCTGTGACGAAATAGATCCGGCATCACTCTCTTCCCCACGACAAAGCTAACGTACCGGCCCAGCCTACACCCTCCTAAATACCCATGGGTGCACCAGCAATGGCTGAAGTCCTTCGATCACCAGGCGTAAGCGCAGCCTCTCTCTCTCTTCTCGCGCCCATTATTTCTCACAGATATTTCAGACTCCGCCGAGGTTTTCAGGTTTACCAGGAAGTCTGCGCGGCATGCCACTCGCTCAGCCGGGTTCCCTACCGAGCGCTCGTCGGAACTGTCTTGACTGCAGACGAGGCGAGGGCCCTGGCGGAGGAGAACGAGTATGACACCGAACCGAACGACCAGGGTGATATCGAGAAGCGGCCCGGCAAGCTGTCGGATTACATCCCGGCTCCCTACAAAAACGATGAGGCTGCGCGGGCCGCCAACAACGGCGCACTCCCCCCCGATCTCAGCTTGATTGTCAAGGCACGGCACGGCGGCTGCGACTACATCTTCAGCCTGCTGACCGGGTATCCCGATGAGCCTCCGGCGGGCGCCCAGGTCGGCGCTGGTCTCAACTTCAACCCCTACTTCCCGGGCACCGGTATTGCCATGGCCCGCGTCCTTTACGATGGACTCGTGGAATACGAGGACGAGACACCGGCATCCACGTCGCAAATGGCTAAGGACGTGGTGGAATTCCTCAACTGGGCGGCGGAGCCGGAGATGGACGATCGCAAGCGCATGGGCATGAAGGTTATAACCGTCACCACGGTCCTCCTGGCCCTGAGCATATGGGTCAAACGATACAAGTGGGCGACGGTCAAGGCGAGGAAGATCGCCTACGACCCACCAAAGGTGTCTAACGTCATTCGCTTATAAAAAAAAAGGAGAAGACGAGCAGGCCCACTTTTGCATGTATAACTATATGCTACTACATCGCTACTACTGTCACGGCATAAGGGGGGGAAAGAGACCGGATGCCTCAGGGGGCTGGAGCGGGGGGACTGGTCGCCTGATAGAGTGTATATCCAGTTCATAAATGTTAGACGTTTTCGGGTGTTGCCCCGGAGTGCTCAGAAGGACGTGCTCGCGGGATGCCTACTGTCTAGGTGCCTGGTTGGGTCCCGGGTAGTTGCGAGATTTCGACATCCTCGTTCCTCTAGGAGGAATCTGGTGAGGCGAGCAGGCTAGGGATACGCGAACCCACGGTACGCTCTTGGCTAAGGGCGGAACTACGCGTGCTTGTGAGAGCCCCTCGGGAGGTACTCGGGGAGGTATAATTTCGTCGAGTAGAAGACAGAGGTAGGTAGGTAGGTAGGTAGGTAGGTATATAAAGCCTTGCGTGTGTTAAGCATGTCTGGATGGGGAGAGTGTAGGCGGCGACGTCTACGTTTGCCCCTGTAACAAACGTGAGGAAGATGGGAAGGGCTTTTGCGTTAGGGAATGGAAGGCCAAGCTAGTAGGTACCTCGGGTATGTAGGGGTGGATGGGACGGAGTATGGGTATGCGGGGGGTCTGTTCAAGTTACGAGGTTAGGTACTTAAGGTACAGGTATGTTAGGTACCTCTTTGGAATGCCCCTGGCCTTTTTTTTTTTTTCAACCAAAAATCCAGTAACACAGAACAACAACAGCTGGATCAACTAAAATCTGACAGAACAAGCTGAAGTGGTCGCCTTCTACCTTCTTCCATCTACACGTCGAGAAATGGTGTCCGATGCTCAGCCGCGCGAGCATGGAGAGGGAGATAGCGTCCTACAACGAAGCCTCGGATGATCAAGATACGTTTGCCTTTCTCGACGCCATCCTTCCGCAGTCTCTCGGCCATACAAGTGCACGTAGAGGCAAGAAATCCCCATTTTGGGCTGCGCCTCGGGGCCAATCATCGGGTCAGCCACCAATCCTCTCCAAAGCCGACAGGAAGCTTGCGAAGAAAGCGAGCACTCCCAGAGAAAATCCCAATGCGAGGCCTTTAGAACCTCGAGCTTCTATTGAGAGACCAATTCTTGGCGCAGTCATTACAGGTCGCCGAAACGAAGGTGATATCGCCAACATTGCTGCTCCCGATCCACCCCCCAGTTACGGGTATAACCCTTCTAGCCATGCCGGTAACCATTTAAAAAGTTGCCGCTCATAGACGGCCAGGTGTCTATGGGTGGGCTTGGTAATACCCTGGACGACATTCGACCTTGCTCGCCCTCCGGGTCTAAGGTTATAACGCCGTTGCAGAATTCCAAGCCGGCGCCGGCGCAACTGGGCAAGGTAGCTGATTCCGGCGTCGGCGCCGCGCAGCAGAGAGACGCCCTAGGGAAGGCCGAGGAAAAACAACGCGAGCAAGATGACTCGTGTGCTCCAATACAGCCTCAGAGCTGGGCACCCAAGTGTAAAGCGAAATCGCCCTACTTTGCTACCCTCCCCACCCCGACTAGTCCACCAAAAGAAAAAGCTTCGCGCCCTCCACGGGGCACGGTTCCATGTACCCCCTTCCCGCGTCTAGATGCCCCGACATTTGGCCTGGTTCAGGAGGAGCTCGCTGCCGACCCTTTCCGTCTTCTCGTGGCCGTAACTTTCCTCATACGCACAAAGGGAACGCAGGCCATACCGGTATTCCGGGAGCTCATGCTGAGATATCCAAGCCCACATGACCTAGAAAACGCGGATGCGGACGACATAGTGTCCATGATCAAGCACCTCGGCCTCGCCAGGGTTCGCGCCGCTGCCATCCAGAGGTATGCACGCACCTGGAGGGTAGACCCACCTCGAGCCGGCGTTCGGTACGAGGTGAAGAATTATCCTAGACTAGACGAAGGAGTCAACGCCCGACCCGGTGAGACTTCGGAGGCGGACGGCGCTCGACCGTCGTCGTCGGCCTGGGAGGTCGGCCATATGACGCAGGGTAGATACATTATCGACAGTTGGAGGATCTTCTGCCGGGACGTCCTGCTCGGTCTCGCGGAGGACTGGAAGGGCAAGGGGCGCGAAGGGGAGTTCCAGCCAGAGTGGATGCGGGTTTTGCCTGAGGACAAGGAGCTCCGGGCGTGTCTCCGATGGTTATGGATGCGGGAGGGCTGGGTCTGGGACCCACGGACGGGCGAGAGGGATGTGTTGCCGGAAACCCTCCGCAGAGCGGTCGACGACGGCCGGGTCTCGTACGATGACTCTGGCGAGCTTCGGATCGTCGAGAAGACAGGTAATTAGCCAACGCATGCGCGCTCCGCAGGGGCTAGCTTTTGCATATTAGGGAAGGGTGTAGCATAGGAAGGCAGGTGGTAGACGATATGAGGACAGAAGCTGGTAGAGAAGGAGACCCCTGCGAGTAGCTAGCGAGCAATATCGTTATGATTACAATGACGGCGTTCCCTTTGGTGTTGTGGTTATCTAGGCTAAAGTAGTCTTGTCGTTGCTATCGTCGAGCTTAGAAGAGCTTAGCATGAGGCGGCCTCCGAGATAGGCCAGCAGGTAAGTAATATCGGTAGATCTTATATTGGACCCATTTACGGATCCATCTTACCTGGGTAGGGAGGTTGCTGACGAGCGTGTGTATATGCAGGTGGATAGAGAGGTGTACTACGTATAGGTTATAGGTATGTGCAGGCGACGTGTACGCGGTAAAGCGGATCTGCGACCGAGACCACCGTCACATACCGCAAGGGCCATTCTCCAGTGCGTATTAGTTGGTGTCATTCTGGATGGGCGGAGGGCCAGGCACAGCCGGCGAAGGTAGGTTGGCATGTAAGCATGGAGGGGGGGGATGTGGTAGGTAGGTAGGTGTCAAGTAGGGAGGTAAGTTAGGTAGCTGAGTTATGAGATAAGGATAGAAGACCGACGACGACGAAGTGGCAGATGTTTCGTAGGTAGGTAGGTAGGTAGGTGTTGTTTTATTTATACTAGACCTATTATTTACGTGAGGCATCTTAGGTACTAAAGCAGAATATTCTTTCTAGGGGGAGACGGATAACTGCCCAAAGCGGGCATTTCCAGCACCTCTCTCGGTATTAGGTACCTGGGTAACTTAAGAGGTAGGTACCTAAAAGGTAGGTACCTTAGTGATATCGAGAGCTGTCGATACATCCTAACTTACCTGGCAGTTGGCTGCATTTTATTCATTTATACCATCCTTTCTTTCTTCTTCTCCTCCTCCTCTCCCTTCTTCGGCTCTATCCCTCGTGGCGGTATAATTTTATACCGGGCTCAGCTCCCTAATTATTAATAGCGAAGCCGAAAAACAGTGGCTTCTCGTCACCTCTCGGTCGATTGGCTCCCCCCTTGCATTGCATCCTCTCTCACGCAGGCCGGCGAGAAAGAGACAGGTCGCCATCACTACCACAAGAACTCTTGGGTACCGTCGATGCTGACCATCGTTTCGGCCTAATGTAAGATTGACTGATTCATTATCTTCCGTCCCGTGCGTGCACGCCTCGCGTAATTACTCGTTCCATACGTGGTCCGAGCCGGGGGAGGTGAATGGGAGAGCGGGAAGGGTGAATATATACCGACAGCGACCCTACCAGACACGTCACGAACCCCGTCTGCTTCTCTCTCTCTCCTCTCCTATCCCTCTCTCCACTTCTCTCTCTCTCTCTCACACAGTGAGGCCTGTCTACCCCTCTCAAAGACCCCGCAGCCCGACGCGTACCGCCCACCGCCCTCGGGATTCGGATTCTTGCCGTATGTCTTCTTGACAGCTCGACATCATATCTAGACCAACCCCCACGCGACCTGGGTACTAATCCCAGCTAGACTATTTCGGCACTTACCTCTTCTTCTTCGGCGTAGGCAGTCTCGATGGGCTCCCTCGACGTCTCCCGCGATGAGTTGACGGTCTTAGTGACCGGCTTTGGGGTAGGTCGCCGACCCGACCCGAAACAGTGGGGGGAGAGGGGGGAGAGAACAACTCGTTCGCGTCGCACGTCCGGAATTCGAGGCGTGTCCAGGATGCCCCGGCTAACTCGGCGCAGCCATTCAAGAAGGAGTATCCTGTGAACCCGGCCTGGGAGATAACAGCATCACTACCGGACTATCTGCCACCCGACAGGGTGAAGGATCCGGCCCGCCAGACGTCGTCAAACCTACCAGCCGTCCGGATCCTGAAACACGGGCCGGTCCGCGTCAACTACCACGTGGTGCGAGAGTTGGTACCTACGCTCTGGGACAACCCCGAGCAGAAGGTGGATTATATCATCCACATTGGCATGGCTGGCCCGCAGCAGGTCTACTCCCTCGAGCGGCGCGGGCACCGCGACGAATACGACAAGGAGGACGTTGACGGCCAACTTCTTGGTGACGACGAGAAGCGCAAGCTAGGAGATGACACGTGGGTATGGAAGTGAGTGGTGACACCGCACCAATGGACACATCTACGTCCGCCGTGACGAATAGAATTGCTAATTGCGGTAATCTCCTTTCCTGTAGTGGTGTCCCCGAGGAACTCCTGACCGATCTCAATATCGAAAAGATCTATAAGCGATGGGTCGAGCGAAGCCCGGTAAAGAAGGATCTCTCAACTTTTATGCCCGTGCCCTCCCAATCCCCTCTTTCACACATCTCACCTTCTTCTTTTCGAGGGGAGGGGATGGGAGACTATCAAGACCAGTCTAACGCCAACCCCCCCCCCCCCCCCCTACCTCTGTTCTTCGGTGTCTGTTGCTAACACGAAGGGGGGCTGGTTCTGGGAACAGAACAAGGACGACGTGAAGTTGCAGATCTCGGAAGATGCGGGGCATTACCTGTGCGACTTCATCTACTTCTCGAGCCTGGCCCACCTATGGAAGCAGCAGAGGCCTAGGAAGGTCATTTTCTTCCACGTGCCGTTGCATTCGGACGGGGAGTCCCTCAGCCGCGGCAAAGAGCTTGCGCTGCAACTGGTCCGGTCGGTCACCGAGGTCGGGCTCGACGAAGCGGCCTCGGGATGATGTTACGAAGAATCCGTGGATTGGGAAAATTGGCAGTTGGTCGTCATGTTTTCGGGTCTCGGTCGCGTGTACGCCTATGTACGAATGTTGCAGCGGCGGCCCCGTGTCCAGTGCGTTTCTGAATGTATATCCGTATCGGTATATCGACAAATGTACGGTGGAGGTGGCGGGAGTAGGTATGATTACGACGAGACCGGGCATGCTATACGTTGCGAAACTGGACAAGTACCTATCTGAAGTTGTATCAAGGAGGCAATAATCGCCCGCTCGGATTAGACCTCTCGGTAGATACATGCGCGAAGTTGTAGACATACCTATGCGCTTGTATGTTTGTGTGTGCTGCCTTGCGTATATATACCTCGTATAGCATACCACAAACATCTTGGGGACGGATTCCGCACCTTCGGGGAACAGCATGCCTCCTTGGGTGCTTTCAGCGCGTACATACATCCACCCCCTTACGCAGTCCCTCCTGCAAATCCCTCCCCCTCTTAAACCCCCCCCCAAGTCGTCCTGAAAAGGAGGAGAGAAGGACATAAGAATAAATATAAATAGACATGCTATCTACGAGGTCTATAGCTACCGCTGTTCGCCGGCTGAAGCCGGGTCGGGTTCGATATCGTTTTTGCCGTTGCCCGCTCGGCGATGCGTCGCATCCTCGCATCCACCCCATCCTAGCGGCTCGTGCCGAGTCGGCGACTTAGTAGCAACCTAGCGGCATTTAGAGAGTCACCGACTCAACTCGGCGACGCTAAGATGCTGAACATGTTTAATCGCCCTCCCAGCTGCTTCCGCCACGTCCCCGCTCCCCTCTTCTTCTTCTCTGCTTCCGCCGCATATCTGTAGGGTACAAAAGGGGAGCGTGATCCAGAACCCGTCCCCTCGTGCCAGGCCGACGGCGTATCGACCAAACCCTCGCCCTATCTATCGCCCACACGCGAAACACTCTTGTCTTAATCTGACCAGACCATCTCTCCGTCTCCCTCCGTCGGAATACGGAGGCGATAAACAACCGACTTGCTCATCAAAACAACTGCTTCGGAACTTCGTCACCGCCCGCCGCCGCCCGCGCTCGCAACGTCGGAAATCGCTCACCATGTGCATGAAGGCAACGTGTAGTTCGTGCGGTACGCATGCGCTCCCAAGCTAACCCTCCCCTCGCGCACACGCGCATAGCCCGTCCCGCAACCCTCTTCTTCGGCGTCCTCTTCCCCTTCCCTTCCTCTTTCCCTCTCTCGAGACTGACCAGAGACGCCCGACAGGCAAGGTCACCTGGTTCGGCTGCGGCAGCCACATCGGCTCGGTCCTCGACAGCGTCCCCGCCGACCAGTGGTGCACCTGCGAGCCCAAGGTCGACGTCAACGGGACCCAGTACCCCCCCAAGGCCAAGTACTACTACTAGCTTGGCCGCCGTGCTGCTTAGGTCCCGGGGTGGGGGAGAGTGCGGGCACGTCGCGTGGAGGGGCCGCGAACGCGGGAGCGGGAAGTCGGAGTTGGGGCTAGAGACTGGTTGGGGCACCGCGTCGAAGTTGCAAGTGGAATTTCGGGCATGGGGATGGCGGGATGGGAACGAGCCCGGATACGTAGGGGTGGGAAGGTCGCGGGGAGATCGCGGCAGTACGGCAATGGAATGCGAGGGGACTGACAATCAGAATAGGTACACGGGCCAATCTGCGAGCAGAATCCCGCGATGCCGAATCGTCACCTCTCGTATTGTCGCAAGGGGGAGGCGTTAATGTTACGAGTTCTCAACATTCAATTTCTTTTACTCTACGCTGTTTCTGTTGTGGTCTGGGCTATTGTCTAAGATGAGATGATTCCCTTCGACAAGAAAATAGACACAATTGCTACGTAATGTCGTGTCGTGTCATATCATTCGCGATGTTAGGCTCGCTAGCTGTCTATCGCAAGCTCTATGGGCAAGGAAAGATGATAATAGGTGGGGAGATAGGCATGCCGGGCAGGCCACGCCACGACACCCACCCAACTTGTTCATCCACTTCCTCCAACCACCGTCCCCTCTAGATCTCCTTGGCCGAGTGCCACTAGCCCCGGAGGTACTGGTTCGGCCACTTCACCTCAACTCCGAGCTCGCGAGCCACGCGCAGCGGAAATTCAGACTCGCGCAGGTACTGCCTCGCGATCAGCGCGAGGTCCGCGCGGGCAGCCCGCCCCTGCTCCTCCTGTACGACGTCGCGGGCCGTCTCGGCGTCGTTGATGAGGCCGACGGCCCCGACGAGCAGCGGAAGCCCCTCCTTCCGCACCTCCTCGCGGATCCGCGCCGCGAGGTCGATCTGATAGTACGGGCGCAACTCGACCTTCTGTGCCGGGTTGTTGCCTCCCGAGCTGACGTCGAGCAGGTCGACGCCCGCCGCCGGCAGCAGCTTGGCCAGGCGGATGCTGTCCTCGAGCGTCCAGCTCGGCGCGCCCGCGTACTCCATCCACTCCGTCGCCGAGATGCGCAGGAACAGCGGCGTCGCCTCGGGGATCGCGCCGCGCACCGCCGCGATCACCTCGAAGAGGAAGCGCACGCGGTTCTCGAAGCTGCCCCCGTACTCGTCCGTCCGCCGGTTCGTGATGGGCGACAGGAACTCGCAGATGAGGTAGCCGTGCGCGGCGTGGATCTCGATCACGTCGAAGCCTGCCTGCACCGCCCGCGCCGCCGCGTCCGCGAAGGCCCGCACGACCAGCTTGATCTCGTCCACCGTCACAGCCTTGGGGTCGCAGAAGCCGTCGTCGGCGAACTTGACGGCGCTCGGGGCCCACACGTTGTCTGGCCAGCCGCCGAGCTCGGGCGGATTGACGGCGCTAGCATGCCCCGGAGGGACGAGCCAATGGACGACGGTGCTGCCCTTACGACCGGCATGGGCGAGTTGGATGCCGATCTTCTGGCCCTGGGAGTGGGCGAAGTCGGCGATGCGCTTGAGAGCGGTGGCCTGGCTGTCCTTCCAGAGACCGACGTCCTGCGAAGTGATGCGGCCGTTGGGGGTGACGCTAGTGGCCTCGACGATGGTCAGAGCGGTGCCGTGCAGGATGAACTGGGACAGGTGCGCGAAGTGCCAGTCAGTGACGTGGCCGTCGTCGGCGCTATACTGGCACATGGGCGCGACGACGAAGCGGTTCTGCAGCGTCACGCCCCGGATCGTCAGCGGCTGGAACAGGGTCGGGGCCGCGGCCGGGTCCAGGGCCGTGCCTGCGGGAGGATGCTGGACCGGGGTGTAGAAGGGGACGCCAGGGGCACCCTTGTTCTCGATTGGCGACGGCGACATGACGAACTCCTTTTGCCACGCCTGCCTGCTTTATCTGGCTCCGTCTCCGTTCGTCTCTACCTCCCTGGACGTATGGAGTACCACGTGCTACGGGAAGTCCGTGTTGGGCCCTGCTGCGCCCTATCGTACCGGCTCGCAGGGTTGATAAACTTCTAGGCGTCCCGGATAGTGAATAGCGTAAGGAGTCGCAGCACAGTTAGCGCTGAAAAGAGAAGTCGATATATCTTGGCTCGTTTTACCGAGATGAACAAGGGGTGAGGGGGGTTCCGGGGTAGATATAGGCCGAGAAGGGCCCGGTCTGTGTCTGTCCGTGCTACCCAGCCTACTCGTACGTGTAGATCGATCTCTCTGCCGACGGTCGCGGTGGTGCTCGCCCGCTAGCTTGTGAGTAGATTACGCTCAATGGTGGTCTATCGTCATGTCGCTGCTTGTCGTTTTCGTCTGGTCCCGTAGTCCCCGAGACGGCGCGGGAGGGCTCGCGGCATATATACCTACATATAACACATCAGGGAGTGTTATAAATCAGAAGAAGGAAGAAGAAGTGGCTAGAGAGAGAAAGGATAGGAAGACTAACACAGTGATTGGCGATTACCACGTTAGCACGAGTTGGCGTGCCCTGGTCCGTTACCGTAGAGCCTGAATGAGCGAATCGAGGCAGAAACGAAGGTAGGCTGGGCACGGATGTCGGGTAGGCACGGGTATACTGAGTATATCGTGATCCCGAGCTGCGATGAGGTTTACCACTACCAGAGGTGCCTACACGTCTGTACATATTGACCTATACGGTATGCTATCTTATGTAGTAAACAGGTATATTGTGGAAGGGGGGAGACATACTAAGCTCCTAATATTGACCCTCGCTATCTTTCCCTCGATAAGTTAGTTCACTCAATGAGAGGTATCTTGGGTACCTGCGTTAGGTACTTTTGACAACTACCTTAGGTACCAAACATCCACCCATCGCAGACTGCACCGTCTGTATGAACATACATCCCATCCGGGGTGTCGTATGCAGTTAAAAGGATTATCCCGAACACGCCCACCCAATCGTGAAGCTTACCGATTTGCCTGGTCTTTTAATTTATTTTCCTCATTCCACTCCACCCGCTTTCGGCCTCTCCCACTCACTTCACCCGCTTCTCCCGCCTCAACAAATCCCGCCAGATCAGATCCACCAAGTCGAGTCAGCATCCACTCGCATCGTACATCTTGCATACCCATTCAGCAGCTATGCCCATACACACATTACGCATGTACGCACGCACGCACCTGTAGATGCGCCGGAGTACGTGCCGACATGGATAGGCCTACGTACATTAGGTGGATGTGCACATACCAGACAAGGCCTGGCCGCAGTAGGAAATCTCTGTCCGAATCCTCCCTTAATAAAAAAAGAATGGAAAAGTTCCCTTCAGCGCCGGCGACGGGACGCCGCCTGTTAAAGAGATTGCGCGGAGTGACGCGCGCGGATGAAGAAACAGGTCTGCGTCTCGTCCTTGCTTGCTTCCCGCCGTATCCCTACCTTATACCTCCTACAGGTTATCGGATATAGGTATACCCTACTGTACGATATAGGCACGCACGCGTGCGTTGCCTACCGTCTCGCACACGGTCGTCGCGCGCACAAAGAAAGGCCTCGGCCTCTGTATTCGAGAACATTTCGGGAACCCCTTGGGAGTACCGGTTGCTGTGCTTCCCACGAGACGCGCACGCGCATCCTCACACACGCACACACATCGATCAGCACCGCGCTGAGTGTGGGCGAAACGAGTATACCGGCTAGTCGACTCCAACATAGCCAAAATACGGGTGCCAGAACTCGAACCCGCTCGGGCCAGGAACACCATCCTGCTCCAACTTAGCCTCTGTCAAGCATCAGGGGTTTCGTACCTGAAGCAGCCACTCAGATCCGCCAGCCCCGAACCCACCAGCGATCCGTCGCAAATCCTCCACTTTCCCCTGCTTCCGCCCCCGTCGCCGTCGCCGTCAACTATGATTCGCGTTTCGACCCGTGACATCGTAGCATACCGTCATGCAGCCCACAACTTGTAGCACTTCTCTCGACGTCTTTCGCCAGAGTCACCACTGCGTGCGCACGGCATGTCGTTGGCGAGCAGCTCAGCGACTTCAGCCCCACTGCTGCTGACAACCCCCCCAGGGGGTTTGACCAATTTGTCGGAGCTCTCGCCAAGAAGGTCTTCGGGTTGGGACCCCTTCATTCTGGCTTCGCTCATATGCATGTCTTAGACCTTAAGCTTCTAGAGAAGATTCCTCCCCCCCTCCTCTCTCTTTCTTTCTCAGTGTGGAAAGGCCGGATCTCTTTCCCCCTCCGTGAGCGCGCGCGTGTGTGTGTGTGTGTTGAGCCAGTTGAACTGCTCCTCGAATCTCTCTCGTGCCGACACGTCGATTCGTACGGAAGGACGAACGAAAATGCCGAGAGGACGATTCGCCGAGAAGAGGGCCTCCGTGTGCACTCCGAACTCGTAAGTTGACCAGAACCTACGTATACCTATCTCCCCATATGCGATTGGTTGAAGCTTACCACCGTCTCTTCTGCTCCGCTCCCAGGCTGGCCGGACCAGCTACTGTCAGAGTGCTAGTTGGCCCAGACAACCACCAGTTCCTGATCGCGAGAAAGCTCTTGGCGTCGTGTCAATACTTTCGTGAGTTCATCGATGGCGCCCGCATCGAGTTCGTCAAGGGCCAGGCCCAGCTTGTCGTCGTTCTGGAGGACCTGTCCCCGAACATGTTCGAACTCTTCGCGTACTGGATCGCGGAACAAAGAAATCTCGATAGGTTTATCGACATCGCCGAGGCCGACCGCACATGCAAGGAGCTTCACTGGGACCTCGTCAGTTTGCATCTCTTTGCCGCGCAGATAGAGCTTCCCGCGCTGCAAGACTGCGCCCTGGACGCGATTCAGGATATCTACCTCCGACGCAACTGGGACATCAACCCAAAGCTCATCAGCTATGTCTACAAGTCGTGCGACCCGCAAGAGAGCTGCCGGCTTCGAAAGTGGATCGTCGCCATGACGTCCTGGACCCTCGGCGGCGTCGTACCGACGGACCTGTCCAACAGCATCCAGCGCCTCTTCGACCAGTGCCCCGACTTCTTGGCCGAGTATCACACCCATACGCGCAAGATGGCTAAGAGCGGGCTCGAGGGCCACTTCAAGAATCCCCAACTCAGGCTTCCCTCGAATAACCTCCGCAACGAGGAGCGCCAGTTCGGCTTCCGCCAATGTTCGTTCCACACCCACCGCTCCACTGTCGGCCAAGGCAGGTGCCCACACACCGTCTCGCTCTCCCCGATATCTCCGTACGCCGACGGCTCTGTCGAGTCTGACTCGGATCACTACGAATCCAGATTCGGGGGCTCCCGCATGGTTTCTCCATGTAGCGATACCATACCTGAGTCCGACTTAGAGACCCCCTGAGAAAACTTGTACACCATGACCCCCCTAGAGGTTGTCTTGGCTCCAACAAGATAGGAAGACCTGGGGTTTTCCGCCATCCTATACCTTTCTTACAAACAGTAAAACATTCCTATGTAATTTCCGCCACCGGCGGGTTTTCGCGTCGCCGCGCCTTGAGGCGTCTAGAGGGGAGAAGAGGATGGCCGAGGGGAGGGGGGTGTGGTCGACCCACCGCCGTCGCACCCGGCGCCAAAAATCTCGAGCCTCCCCGCCCTCGTTATCAAACACACGTGGGGGCAGATTTCAACCCCCTTTGGAGCGGCGCCAACTGCGTCAGCGTTACTGCGGCACGAGAGAGGGCGGGTCAGAGACAATATCGCTGGCCTCTGAGACGAGCACGTAGTTCGCGACCCGCAAGCAGAAGACGAGGTTTCTTCTGCTTGCGGGTCAGCCGTAGAAGCGATGCGGCCGTTTAATCTTCCCATATCCATCTTTGGTGAGCATAGGCTCTCGCCTCTTATTAATAGCCATGCGAACGTAGTATATCTACTACCAATATACTCCGAGTTTGCCATCGAGATGGCACCCCCAGCGTTCAACGTTTTGTGACTGGGTAGTTGTGATCCAATATCAGTTCCGGTGGTGGGGTTATAATTAGCCTCCTCGCGACAAAATGCAGGTTGCTTTATTTAATTATTCACTGCAAAATTGATGTTAGAATGAGAGCCTTCCCCATCGGGTTTCTCTCCTTTTCTTTTTAAAAAGTAGACCATGTCAATTGTCATCGTCTAGAAACATTATCGGAGGATTGACCTCGTCCAAAATCAGAATAATAACATCTGGCCATCGTCACATCATCAGCGCCTGCTTTTCTTCTCTTTTTTTCCGCAAAGAAAATCCGAGCCAGAACGCCGCGTTCTAATCATTGGCCCGTGGGCCATTCGTATCAACTCTCGCTCTCGTTGCTTCGTGTGACCACAGGTTTTTTTGGGAAGAAAAAAAAAATAACATCATAAGAAAAGGGTATGTCAAGTCGTAACCGTGGTCCGAACAAGAATCGTGCTGTCTTGTCGTCTCATCAATCATCTGTATCTTCTTGTCGTATTCATTCGTAAAAGAGAGGAGGGGACATCAAAAGAAAGTGCCTGTCATGCGGAAGTTCCGTGCTATCAACGGTGGTGAAGTGATAGCTCCAACAAATTTGGCCTCCAAACCACCGCCTTCCCCCGAGAAAGTCATGTCAAATTCGTGAGATCGCCAAGCCGCCGGCTCGCCCTGCCCACCGCCTCCATATGAGAGAGGTTGAACCACCCGGCTTCGAGCTTCGAGAGGGCGAATAGGTAGAGCCTGCTCCCGGTACGCACAATAGGGTGGCATAGTAAAGCTTCATGTGAGTCGTCAAAAGAAATCGTAGCATGTGGTATGGTCGTAAACAAAGAAAACGTAACATGGTCGTGCGTAGTGCTGGGGTGGAGGAGAGGGGTAGATGTGGAATGATGTAATGACCAAGGTCGCCCATCATAGGGGCGACTGGGATCGTCTGCGCTCGCTTCTGCGATTTCGCAACTCTTTCAATCGTTGGTCCAGATAAGCTAGACGGGATGCCAGGGTTGACCTGGGAGACGATGGTGTGGTTGAACGTGCCTGGGCTGACTGCCGGACAGTGGCAAAGGGCCGACGTAAGGCGGCTGGGTTGAAATCGATGGGGTTTGAAATCCTGTTAGGGAAACTGTGACTTGAACCCGTACCAGAGAATGGAGATCCGAGACGAGGTAGCGCCACGGGAATCATGAGGGGGGTAGAAGAGCCGCTGCGTGGGCTGCTCTGGGAAAACGGGTCTTCGGCCTTGTCGCTCTCAAACGAAATCCCGGTGTGTTGATGTTGCTGTTGCTGCCGTAGCATGCCACCAACTCCCCCGGCAGCTTCTTTCCAGAAATCCGACGACAGACTCGGTCGCTTCCGCGGCAGATCATCTAGGCTTTTCACCGACCTGCGCTTCTGCGTCCCCGACCGCGACCTAGTGAGACGAACTGGCGACTGGAGAGTTCTTCGGAAGCCCACCGTATTCGACTGTCTCGGCAAGCTGATACCGACAGTAAGAGATGAGGATGAACTAGGGCCATAGCTCTTGGCCGATACTGGGGAAGGTGACGGAAGATAGGGCACTTCTACCAGCGGCGGTTCTTGTGTCACCGTGGTCTCCGGACTCGCGTCTGCTGCAAGCTCATGCAGGGGATCGTTTTCGGAGCACGTAAGTTGAGCGAGCGGGCCTTCGGGCTGCATAGTCTCCAAAGTACTCAACGCCAGAGAAAAAGCCATTTCCTGGCCGGAAAATACCGAGGGCGATCTGCCTGGCGTGGAAATCCGGTTTCGGCGGCGCTGGACAGCTCTGTTCAGCGGCGCAGGGCTCGGCGACACGTAGTTTCTCGGACTAGACGAGGCCTTGAGTCGGCAAAGCTCGCGCAGATGGGCCCGGGTAGCAGCACAGGTGTGAGGCCACTCTATATAAGGCTTGGTTGATTCCGCAGTCGGGGTGCTGCTCTCGCTCTCAGCGTCCGCGGCCACGCGTCCCTTGGAACCCTTCCAACTCCTTCTGGCCTCTCGTGCCACACGCGAGCAAACTCCATTGGGAGGAATGCGACTTCTCCCTAGACGCACTGGAGTTACCCGCGGATCTTGCAAATATAGCAAATAAGTTGCCCACAGGTGCGAGCTCATGGCCTTGGTCCACGGCGCCTTTCGAGAACTCTCCTTGTGCGATATGCTCGCGTTGGCGTGGAAGTCCGAGTTGGGGAATTCCAGAGTGTCGACTCCTGGGCTGATGCATGCTTCCGAGGCGTGGGAGTATTGGCTAAATAACGAGGCGCTTGTATGGGTGGAGAATGCCGTCGAGGGTCTGCTGGACTCATATTCGGGGCTGGATTCGACATCCGAGCTGCTCCACTCCGAATCGATCGACCAGTCGGGATACTTGCTTGTGGAAAGTGGCTGCGCGAGCTCGATCGCGGGGGTTTTCGGGGGCGAGCAGGTCCTAGCGTGAAGGTGTTCTAAGATGTCCATATCGTCTAAGCCGCCCACCTGGAATTCGGGCAGCCTATCCAGGATATCTTCGCCCACCATTGAGAGGTCAGCTTCGATGCTAGGGAGCGGAACGTCAGCCGCCTCGACAGACGCGAGAAACTGCCGAGTTGGCGCGTTGAGGTGGTGGGAGGCATGACGCTTCTTCACCCTCAAGCGCGGTCGTAGGGGTGATGGTAGTTGGAATTCGTCATTGTGAGCCATGGGCTCCGGCGTCTTTGGTCCCGATGCCTTGTCGTAGGGTATACCGTATAACCCCTTCGGTAGCATCGCTCTGCTGGGGTTCTTGGGTGGCATTGCGACCGAATCTGTTGCCCTTTGAATAGCCCGCTGGCAATGCTAATACTATCCGAGACTCTTTCTATTCTTATGCGCCAGCTAAAAGTGTTCCTGGAGCAATCAGACAAGTAGGCTCATATCCACAAAGAAGATATCCCTCTGCTGTAATTCTTGCTAGCGACGGAAGGGTAAAGTCTGTCAGGTCATTGGCTCAAGCCTTGATATTCTGAAGAGTCTCTTGTCCAGTCGGGCAAATAAGTCGATGATAGAGAAAGGTCTGTTATGGGGTCGCAATCTGTTGTTCAGGCTGATAGACTGCAGTAACGCATATAATTAGACTAGGCGAAAACATTAAACTGGGGGATAACTTGTAGACAGTGTTCATGAATTCACATTAAGGGAATCGGTTGAATGGTCAAGTAGTGAGGTTTTTTTTCGTTAACATCTGCTTGTAAAGTAGGGAATAGTGGTGACCACGAGAGGACCTGGCAAGGCCACCCTCCACCACAAGATGATTGGGGGGGGAGAAAAAGGAACAATAGGTTGGGTACGGGAAAAAAAAAAGAAGATAGGAGGTAAGTAATATGTAGGATTGGGGGGGAGGAAAGAAAAAAAAAAGGCCAGTTTAAGGCGAGGAGAGGCCCGGTACGGACAAAGGAGCCAGACCTGGAGGGGGGGCAGAATCACATTGGGCTTCTGCAGGGTGCAACAAGCAGGGGGAAGACAAGAAGGACAGGCATGTTTTACGTACCAATACCATCTAGGTGTATATAGATAGACGTATTATGTATCGATCGCACAGAGGAGGGAGACGGGCATCCGGGTAGCACTGACAAGAACCCTGCGTGCTGTACGTATGTATATGGCGGTTCTCAGTACCTAGCATTGGATGCCACGCGCTAAGCTCCTGGAGTAGCCGAAAAACTCGATAACCCTTCCCACTAGCACGAGCGAAAACTGGAGGCGGTCAGTCGGGATTCCTTGCTAAGGCGGCGCGTGCAGAAGATCCGGGGGCTGATTTGGCGTGACGGTAGACGCTCGGGTTGATAGGTGGTGATGCGTATGGGCGGGATTTGGGGGGGGGGGGGGGGGGAAGGCGGAGGAGGAAGAGGAAGGAGGAGGAGAAAACGGCGGTCGAAAACAAACTGGGCCACACGGGGGTTAAGGGCCGACGGGACTCGCTACATAGAACTCTGCTACCTAGATGAGTTACGTGTATAGGTAGGCCCAATCTTTTGGGTAGGGGAGACAGTATATGGAGGAGAGGAGGGGGGAGGGCAACGAGAGGGGGGAGTGGAGTGGAACACGCAGAACAGGTCGCGGATATTTTAGCTTGGTCGCAGGCCTGTGGAGCCGAAAGACGTTGAGGGAGGGCGATGTGGTGCAATGCCACCAGCGTTGTCCATGTGGTCGAAGGCAAGTAATTCAGGCCGATGCGCCCTATCGTCGCGACTGGCTTGACACTGCTGGAGACTGCTTGCGACTGCTTGCGACTACTTGCGACGGCTTGCGCTCCTAGGGACCAGCGCGACCAGCTTTTGCGACTGGGACTTGCTCATGCACTCCGGACGCAGATGTGGCCAGCGAGAGGGACACGACAGGAGTGCATATGCAGTGATCGGCCAGCGAGGGGATACATGGGCCAGACAGCACAGACTGAGCGAGCCGTACCCTGGGCGCAAATCCGAATGGGGGAGGGGAGGGTTACCTGTTGGGCGAACGGAGGAGGAGGAGGAGGGGGCTATACGTGCGAATTGCTGTCGTTTACTTACTGTGCGCGCGCGTCTGACGAGAGGGCGCGAAATCGAGTGGACAGGAGTTCTTATGCAGCGCCGGTTTTGCCTCATTCGCCTGCTCTGGTCGTCTTGTCCCGTTGGATTTCTGCAACAGCCAGTGGTGCGGGCGCTTGTTGGCTGCGAACAACACACCCTGCTTGGGCTCTCGAGACCTAACGCAGACGGACTACGGACCGTAGTCGCAGATGACGACAACCCAGCAGCAGTCGTCTCTCTACTCTGGCTCTAAGCCGTTGTTGTCTAGGTATTTAGTTTAGGTAGGTAGGCAAAGCGGCACCGGGTCCCAAACACAAGTCGTCGCACTCGGCCTGCCCGCTCGCGTCACCCGGCTCCCATTAGCTGGGCGACTCGAGCCGAGATCCACGATGGGAGAGGGGGAGGAGGCGGGAGGGCATTCCCTACCAGTCGAAGCGAACTCCCGTCCGAATCAGCAACCCGTGCACAGCATCCAGCATCCAGCAGGTTGTCGACTACGTAGGACCGTGTATGCCATCTGGTTAGAACGTGTACCTACGAGGAAACACATGGCTTCCGAGCACGAGAGGGCGAGAGCCAGACAGGCCGTTGACAGTCCATGCATACCTAGGCAACGCAGGGCGCCGAGAGCAGAGAGGAAAGATTAGCTCCCGCGTAGGCCGCGAGACACCGCCCGGCCTATAGGGTGCCGCGGGCAGGATCGCAAGATCCGAGCTACGGCTGAGACCAAGTTCAAGCCCCCAGGTAAGACGGCATCGAATGTGACGGATGTGATGCAACCCGACCTGCCGATGGCACGAAACGAAATCCAGCGACTTCAGATACAGCCTATCAGAGGAGCAAATTGCAACTCTCTGCGCCGTTGGAGAGGTGGCGAGTCGGAAAAGGCGAAGGCTGGGGGGCTGGGAATGTTCTGTAGTGTGGTTAGAGGTAGACAGGTAGATGAAGGGGGGTCAACCTTAGTCGTGCACCTACACCTACATAAACCTACCTATAGCCGCAGAGGCGCTGCGGGATGGAAGCAGGTCCACACCTACCAAGTACGGTGCGCAGCGTGCTATCTTAGGTACCTACGTCAGGTACCTACCTGTAAGTACGTGCTGAGTACCAGGTATATGCCCGATGTTCCATGTGCAAGTACGCTACGTCGTCGTAGTCGTCGTCATCGTCGTCATCGCCGCCATCGTCGCCATCGTCGCCATCGTCGCCACGGGCACCGCTTTCTATATAGAAGCTAGGTACATCCTACCTAGAGAGGTAAGCACTTATGGGTACCTAGGTAAGGTACAGATACCTTGTCTGGTGATGCCTCTTCTCTTGACGCGAGGGTTTGGCGGGGAGGAGATGCTAACATTACCTTAGGTACCTAAGATAGGTACCTACTAAAAAGTAGCCCCGGGCTGGTAACGACATGTAGGTACAACCCGGCAATTGAAGAGCGTTCGATACAGACATAGACTACTACCAAAGTTATAGCTTTTCCTGCTTCTTGTTCCGCATCCGTGGCCTATCCTGCTTCGGAATAGCAATACTAAAAAACCCCCATCGTCACAAAGAGCTGCCTCAATCCCGCTTTCTGTTACCCCCTCCAAGTATAAAACGCGAAATTGACGCGACCCGACGCGTTGGTGCATTTGCATTTATACGAGCGGCGCTAGCAGGGTTCCCTTTTTTTTCCTTCCTTCTACCCCCACCACCCACTTGTACTGTACCAATTATGATGTGCTAGAGGTACCGAATGATACACATATTATTAGCCCTTCTTGCTTCCTTATGGGGACGCCCACCAGACTCGGTGCCTTGCAAGATATGTACATTAACCCACATCCGGTAGGTTGGGGGAACAGGGCTCCAGCGCATTTTCCGGAATCCTCTCATTTTCCACATACCTACCTCCTATTATAGTGATAGTGGTAATACATTGCCATACCACCACATCCTCGACAACTACATTAGGTACCTAGGTAGGTAGGTAGGTAGTGCTCTATCGCCTCGAACTTGGAAGGTCGTAACAGGAAAGAGAAAAAAAGGGACACGCTCGGAAACTATCATCATACTAGGTCCCTATCATATCTAGGCAGGTTGTCTTCGAAACGCAATGCATTTCTACAGAACCCATCAACCCCTTAAACAACCGGCGCGGTCGGGGGAGCCGGGAGCGGCATGCTATTCATCAACTAATTCCATTTGTACTGTCTGCCCGTAGAAGTTAGCACACATACCTGCTTATTTCTGCCCCTCCGATCAAACAACCCAGGCTGCAGGAACTCTGCGGTGCTCCCGTAGCAGATCTAGAGGAAAAGTCGAGACGGGTATGGTGTCGCACGGCATGCGTTTCCAGTCGCCAGCGTCACTAGTAAAGACCTTAACTTCAGAAGATGTGACCGCATCTGATACGGTCAGATCGCCATCTACACCGTGCCTCGCTTGGGTCCTCGAGCTCGCCTCTTCCCTCGAACGTCTCACACGTGACGACGTACAGCACTTAGGTAATCGACAGCCGACGGGGACCAGATCCCCCCGGCAAGCGGGCACCTGGCGTATAAGAGCCATCAGTTCGGTTCTCCACCCTGCTTTCCAACTCTTCCCCGTCTGTGCCGTGCGTAGATTAGTACCGAAAACCTGACTGCGTATCTACTGAATACGGGGTCAGCTCTAATAGAGAGAATCTGAGACATTTTGCCTATAAAAATTCAGTAACTCGCCCGGACAGAAATCGGTCTACTATAGTACCTACCGCTTTCCACTCATGACGCCCGAACACTTAGGTCTCGGCTTTTGCCAATACTACCCCGGTAACAGCTGTTTAGTGAGGCCGGTGCCGCATGCAGTTCCGGGCCGGCTGGCGCGACAATGGAAGAATATTACACTAGAGAGGTGCGGGCAATTAGCTAGGTTCGGCCGAGGTCGCTCATAATACATATTAATATCGTAACACTGCCGAGCAACTACTCGTGACGAATTAGAGCCTCCCCTCAAGAGTTTCGATGGCACCGTTTCGTCTTCGATCTCCCCGTGGATTCCCTCGTCGAAAACGGACGAAACGCAAACTTAAAAGTGCAATATAAGGAGGTCGAACAAAAGAGTCGTGTAATATCCCGTGGCTTTACGGCTGCCGGGCCCAAATGATGGGGATATAGACGGAAACTTACAGGACACATCACAGTAATATCCATTAGGCAAGTAGTCCCTTTCCGTCCCTGTGCGGTATCTAATGTCAGTTAGTGGACAGTTGTAAGGAATAGGATCGACCTACAATGTCTAACGACATTTAAACATAGTATCTAGGTCGGCTTGTCTAGAATTACTTCGACATACCATTATTGTAGTATGACCGATAGGCCGCCGCTGGAAATGGTTACGATACAATCGTTAAGAGCGCCCCTTAATCATCCAAGGACTATTAGAGGCCGGGCTCGTAGATCAACGCGAGTATAGAAAATAACCACATGACTCGCTAGAAATATGCATCCAGTTAATACCAGCCAGCCTACTCACTGAGGTAATGATACACACGAGCTCTGGGTTGCCGCCTTAGCTAAACCGATTAGTAGGGTTCGACAAGCGTTGACGCTAGGCAGCTGTGTAGCAACGTCGACCACGGGTATGATATATTACATATACCTACGTTATCGTCATACCCGTACCTCGACTTTCGACGATGACTCCCACCCGTCTGGGACGACGTCTAACCAACAATCCCGTCCAGCATTCTAGAAGCCACCTAGCCTAAGCCCTCCTCTAGACGCTTACACTATTTCCGTGCTTTATTCTCGAGTGGGCGGAGACCAGCAAGCTTCTTTCTCCTCTTCAGCACTCAGCGTTGCAACGGTTGGCCGAATCATCGTATTCAGCACACCATAAATAAAATAATATAGCGCTATGTGTACCGGTAATGCGGGCGGTTATATGAGCCTGATATAAGTGTACCTAGGTATGAGTTGTCGTTGTTAGATAATGGTTGCAGATATTGGCGTTAGCGTGGGGAACCAGACGCGATGCCGCAAGAGGAGAGCCGGCTTTATCGAGCGATTTGCCAGCTTGATTGCTTCCCTCGGGCTTCAAAGGCTTCCTGGCTCGGTCATGGTCGCAGGTACGTGATGCCAAAAGGACAGCCCAACAGGCATGGTAATAACGAGCTCCTCCGTTAGGCCAAGGCAAAGGTAGGATGCGCGAACCTATCGGAACTCTCGGGCAATGCTTATCGTGTTTGGGCTTACGTCGAGTACCATATCACGTGAAGCGCACCTCGTCGACTGACTCGCAGGTGTGTTGCCGTTAACCGGCAGACTTGCCAGCTGGTGGTCGGCTGATTTCGGTAGCCTTTGGGGTGGCACCAATCGGGGCGTATTACCTCCAACTCCTCCTCGAAGGCGGCGGGTAGACGCACAGAAACTGATTGTTTACTTGTTCACCAACAACGCCGCCTATTTTACCCATCGCCTCTTCCCGCTGTCTTGTTATGACACGCCTCCAACAGTACGACCACCCTGCCTCAGCTCCTTACCTCGTGGGACTGCATCCATGATGGCGTCCACCACTACTCTCGTCACGCTCGATAACTATGCGTCCAAGATGCCGGGGTGGGCTCCTAATCAGCCCAACCACCTCTACGCCCTAGTTGACATGGGAAGGTTTGTCACCGTGCCTCCCCGTCTCCCGTTGGCCTCGACAGACACATTCAAACCCTGTCCGGCTTGATGTCCCGGCTTGCCTCATCCGTGCACTCCTCCTTCCAGAACCAGCCCTCTCCCGCCCTTCTACCTAGTAACTTGATGCAGTAATGGCATTCGGTTCTCCATCTCGGACCTTTCCCCCCCGCAAACTCGCCTCCTGAGGTGTCTGTACCGGGAACGCGCTGCTATTTCCTTATTTGACGCCCTCGACGCGTCTTCCTCCTCCCCTGGGAATCTAGTACTACCACCAGATACCATCTCCCTAGTGGCCAAGACCCTGGCTCGGTTCAGGTCTATTGCTGACGACTATGGGGTGCCGGCCGAGCATATTTCCGTCTTTGCTACGGAAGCTATGCGGACGGCCCAGAACGCGGCTTCGATGCTGGAAGCTATCCGAGCCGAGTCCGGCCTCGGAGTATACGTTCTGGCTCCTCAAGTCGAGACGCTGTTTGGCGCCGTGGGCGCTAGGAGCGGATTTACCTCGGCGAAGGGCCTGTTCCTCGACTTGGGCGGCGGCTCGGTACAGATGACGTACCTCGACTCATCTATGGAGGACTACGAAATCGTGACTGCGCAAACCGGGGAAAGCCTCCCCTTTGGAGCCGCTAAGTTGATGAAGGTTTTCGAAAGTGACACAGCGAAGATCCAAGTCGCCGACTTTCATACGGGTATGCGAAGCGCAGTCGCTAAGCTCGAGCGGCGATTCCCGTCCCTGAAGGACGCGCAAGGAACAGAGAGCGAAGGCGTCGATATCTACCTCTGCGGTGGCGGCTTCAGAGGCTACGGAAGTATCTTGATGCACAGTGATCCCATCCGACCGTACCCGATACCAGCCATCGGGACCTATACTGTCGGAGGCGCGTTGTTCAGTCGGACTCAAGATATGCGCAAGGTAAATGCTGAATTTGATGGCAAGATTTTTGGTATGTCGAAACGACGGCGTCGGCAATTCCCCGCTATCGCCACCGTCGTAGAGGCATTGGTCGGCGCCGTTCGCAAAATCCGCACTGCGACATTTTGCGCCGGCGGCAATCGAGAGGGCGCTTTGTTTATGAAGCTCCCGCGAGGCATGAGAGAGGAAAACCCCTTACCCCTCCTCTACCAAGTCAGCGGCGACGTAGAGCTGGAGACCCAGCGCTCGGCAATGGGAATCATAGGGTCTTCCCTCCCTGGCGACTTTGATCTCTCCGAGGTTCCAACGGTTTTCACCCTGGGAATTGGCCCGCTATTTATAAGCGGTATATGGTCGCGTACCGGGGAGCCAAGTGAGGCTAATGCATCGTTTGAACTTCATCACGCCGTCATACGTGACCCCAGCGTGCCTGGTTTCGCCCATTTGGCGCGAGCGGTCTTGGGCCTGACCCTTTGCTCTAGATGGGGAGCTAGTTTCGGTCCCATCGACCAACAGCTGTACACGAATTTGCAGAAACTTGTCAGCAGAGCAAATCCAGAGGCGACCTTTTGGGCGGAATACATCGGCGCAGTTTCTAGTCTACTTGCTGAGGTTTGTCCAGCAAAGCCGGATAGTCCTGAGAAACTGAGAAATCTTATCAAGTGAGTGCAGCCCTTAGTATCGGCCTATTGCTCTACTAACGGAGGTGTAGGTTCAACTCGGCCGTGACACTCGGAAGGAGGAAAGCAAAGATCCACCTGACGGTTTCGTTGTCCCCGGTGCTCTTCCGGGATCTCAACCATGAGGCCCTACAGAGTTCTTTCGAGAAGGTCGGCAGGCACCAGCACACTGCGGGCGGCCTGGGGAGGAAAGTCGAGCTCAGTGTACAGAAAATGCAATATTAACCGAGCACCCTTAGCCGAGGTAAGCTGCAGCGCTGTGGCCATGCCAGACATGCTAGCTCTAACTACAAGTCATCATCATAGTTGTCCGAAGAGCATCGCGTACGACCCCATAAACGGACTACATACACGATACCCTTCAAAAGGGCAGCCGAAACAACACCGACCCTCGTCGTGTTGAATAGGGAATGTGCCCAGTAATCCCCGCGACGCTGATCCCGGCAGCGAGTGTCGTTGAACAGGTAATATGCCTTCTAATGCACTATGTTCCCCCATCGTCATAAGGCATAATGCAAGCTCAAATGCGGTGAGTGGGTATCAGCCTGTCGCTAAACTCCTTTGCTAAATCACTGACGTCCACTAGGCCAAGGAGAACCCATCGTGAAATCCGTATTCATACCCGGTTCTCAAGCCCGGATGAAAAGACATAAGAAAGAGGGAGCGAAGAGAGAGATGGAGAGAGAGAGAGAAAAAAACAAAGAAAACATCGGAGACCGGCGACGGGACCGGGCCTATCGTCTGGCCCGCTTCGGTGCTCGAGCTCCGGACCGCGTGGCACCTCTTTGGGTTCCGGCTAGTAGGACACCCAAGAGATGGTCAAGCCGACAGGAACGAGGATCGTTACTGCAACTCTGGTCTAAGTAGGAAGGATGTCAGTTCACCGGACTTCCTCCAGGACGAAATTCGGTTCACCTACAGAATTCATCTCGTCGACTTTCCACCCTCCTAAAGTCGGCATTCAATTCCCTCTTGATCGGGCCGGTCGCGGGGTTTCCGTCATCGGCAATGGCTTCCGGCTTCTTCTTGCCAAAGCTAATTTCGCACATCACCACTAAATTGCTAAAGAGGTTCGTCGTGACGGTCCGTATTTGTAGAGGATCGCCACGGAGGTCTGACAACAAGACGGTTAGTACTCTCCCCGTATGCTACATGTGCGCCCATGGGGCTATCCATTACCTTCTGACTGGTTTAAGTCGAACAGACTTCGGTACATGAGGATGAATTGCATCATGCATGCCCAGATCGGTAGCCGCTCCTCGGGTTTGAGCCCAGAGTCAAGGGCCTTCCGGAACTGCGCTAGGACGTCGACCTCGCGCGTCTTCATCCTGGATATCGCGATCCGCTTTAGACTTTGGCGAATCTGGCCGGGAAGTTCATCTAAGCAAGGTCCAGAGCCTTGGTAGAAGAACTTCTGATGGCTCCAAATTCTGTACAGACACCTCATTTCATGAACCTTGCGAACAAGATCGTACTAATAGCGAGTCAGTATGTACACACGGCGAGGATAGCTAAACAGGATGCTGACATGCGGTAGGAAGGACTGCCCGCTTCGGGCGTAGTTTCTAACTAGGGCGTCCAGAGCTGTTTGAAAGTCGGAGGCTCCATCGCCGAGCATCTGGCACGAGGCCCATTCGATAAGTACCTTGTCCTCGGGGGCTTGTTCGGGATTCCAGACGTATCGGGGAGCGGGCTGCCCTTGGCCGGCTTGCCCCCTCTGACATCTCAGGTTTCCACCGAGACTGTGACCTTCGTCCTGGGAGACCGAGATAGGCAAGGACTGCCCGAGGATGTTACCCTGTCCGAAGAAAACTTCCCACTTTAGAGGGACACCCCTCTGCGACACGACAGACAGATTCGAGTCCGCCTCTGTGGAAAGAGAAAAAAAAAAAAGGTTAGCTATGGAGAACTGGAGGCGAATCTGCTCTGAAGAAAAGCAAGACATGGGCAGCGAGGGTCACATACTCCAGATCACCTGAAAGACGTGGTCATTGCTGGGGGAAGGACGGCGGAAACACATGTGTTCGGCCAGGTCGCCGTCGTCGTGGCCGTATTTGGCTGCATCGGCCATACAGCGCGAGCAAGGGACTTGCTGGTCACACTTGGGAGCGGATTAGGACGAGCGGCTACCGGGGAAATCGTCACGGTTCACTTACAGTGACCTTACGCGTCTTACACCGGAAACAAGCGCCAATTCTGCGCATCTGAGCAACCTTTTCGGGGTTTTCTAGGGGACGATGCCGCTTACCACGGCTCAGCGGGGAGTCGGCAGAGGCGGAGCTAGGGCTGCTATGGCACGGCGATCCTGCCCCACTGGAGGAGGCGGGGAACAGGGGGCTGCTACGGCCGGATCCCTGAAGGTCGGCCCCAGTTGAGCCCAGGGTACCGTCAATGTCCACGGTGTAGGGATACGGCTCTCCGCCATTGGGTCTGATCTCCCTCGCGGGCACGGTGAAGATGTCATCGTGTTGCTTGATCTGCTTTACGGCTGCTTTGAAGTTGAGGGTGTCCTCGGCGGGCCGGGGGGAAGGGGCGCCGTCCTCGTCCGAAGAGCCGGAGGTGAGCCCGGGGATGGACGAGGCGTCAGACCGGCTCGGCGAGGCGGCATCGGCGGCTGGAGCGTCGCCATAGAAACGTGTATAGTCAAAGTACTGGTCGAATTCATCCTGTGGGGCAGGGCCCTTGGACTTCCTCTTGGGGAGCCCGCCAATAAAGTCAGGGATCTCGGATGTGATCTGGGATAGGTTGCTATTGCTCATGACGGCGGTTGCGTGGCTCGTGTAAGTCGCCTGTATATGTAGGTACGTTCCTTTGTCAGACCGTGCACGAGACAAATCAGCAAACGCCAGCGGGTCGCTTCGGCAGCTGAAGTGGGGGAAAACGACGATAAGTGAGGTTGACGACCAAAGGGGCACGGGTGGTGAACTGTCAGGAATTGCTGCTAAGACATCGTCTCATGTCGAGGACGACCCCAAAGCCCGCACCTGCGAGTACCTCTCGAGAACAGGCACCGCGGCCCCTCCACGCTCATTGGCGGCGATGCGCCAGTCCTAGGGGCTGAATCGACCTATAGATACCCCGGTCCCGACCGAACGGGTAGTCTGACGGCTCGCCAGTGATTTGCCGTCGCACCCAGGCCACTGGGACGCCGAATCATGTGACGGGGCCAGCTCAGCCAGGGGTTCCCGGGAGCGCCTCTCTATTGCTAGGTATTTATTTATTCGCCGGACTGACCAGTTATATCCCTCCTTTTTTTTTTTTCTTTCTTTCTCTCTTTTCCTGTGAGGCACCATGTGGGAGCGCAACGCGCGACAACTCTCACCGAGAATTGCGACGAGCCGTTGCGAGCAGGTAGACAGCCCCGAACTGTGCGGCCGCACACCATCAGGAAAAGAGCCTACCTGCGGCATCGTCGCGACAATTTCCCAGGACTTGCTAAACCGATTTGGAAAATTGCCGGGGGATCTGGTGAGAGAACCCGCGCATGGGTTTGTCGGACCTGCCTACACATATTTGTAAATGTAAGAGGGTGGCACGTAGGTAGGTATTGTTGTTGTTATTGTCGCTGTTGTTGCCATCGCTGCTGTCACCTTTTCGATTCTTCTTCTTCTCCCTTGCCTAGGTACCTACCTACCTAGGTACCTACCTGCCTCCTACCTTCGTAGGTAGACATACCAGTACATCCGTACCCATGTAGGCATGTACGAGTGCATGCATATATGTAGGCATGTTAGAGGTTAGGTAGCTATGTGTGATGCCTACAGATCGAGGCAGGGTATTCCGCGATCAAAGGTACTAGCTTGCGTGGAACGCCCCGTTGGTTCCGCACCCTCGCGATCCTACCGTGATGGGCGCGGCCACCCTTGACCCATGACCCTTCCCGTGCGTCAGTCGCCCAAAGGCCAGTCTCCTCACCGAAAACGGGCAGATGTATCTACATATATGTATATGTGGTGCATGCGCGCGCAGGAATGTGCATCGTCCGGTCCAGGAGCATCTCCGCCTTCTCCCCCCCCCCCCCACGCAACCGTCGGATGGAGCGAGAATGCTAGCAAAAGGCCCGGTGCTAGTAATACCAAACCAGCCTACGTATACGTGTTGTGTGTGTGTGTGTGACGGCCGTCGACTCCCCTCCCCCCGTTCCTTTTCCTTTTCCCCTTCTCCTCCCCTCTCTTCCCTCCTTTCTCTTCTTCTCCCTTCCCTCCCCAGCATCCTCGACACCACACCTCTCCCCAGCGCTCTTCTAGAAACCTAGAGGGGCGTCGGGCCAGGCCAGCATACAAGAGAGAGACATTCCGAGCACCCAGAACATCAAGTACGATGAAGGGTCCCATGCTCTGCGGATGCTCGCTGTCGTCGGCGAGCTCAGAGGTTGTAACAATTACGCCTGTAATGGTCGGCCGAAGGGTCTGCTACGCCCGCCCTCATCGGGATGGAGTAGTGCGACCCGGTCCCGCGCGTCGGGGTCCCAGCTTCGGGTCATTCACACTGGATCGGGGTTTTCTCCCCAGCGCAGATACCTAGTGACGCAGTCCAGGCGATCTCCGCGCGCTTTGGCTGGTGTCGTGGGTTGCAATTTCAATCACCCGCGAACGGGCGCTCTGGGGTGCGTAGCGCCGAGGGTTTCCCTAGAGGGGAGAGCGTTGGTAGGCAAAATCCTGATGATTCCACTTAGTGAGTCTAAACCCCAGCGACAGTGCGCTACAACGTTGCTGACCAGCCGAGGACGGACGGGGCAGGCGAGACGCATACACAGACCGATGGAGAGGGAGGAGTACGAGGCTCTTCGATTTACGGCCGCGCTGGGTCTCGGGACGGATTAATACCTAAGCCCGGCAGCGGCGGAAGAGAAGGGGAGAGAGAGGGTAGACGGTCAGCTCAATGTCCAGCGCCAGAAGGCGATCTTGGTCATCGGTCTCACAAAGCATCTGGTTCGGCGAGCCGGAGGGAGGGGGGCACCAGGTAACCGGCTGGTTCGAACCGGGTGGATCCTAGGTTGCGGATATGGAGCTATGCCAGGCGTTCGAATCTCTCGCGTGAAAAGTGGTCTTTTGCGTCGCCATCGGCGCTGTCGGTGGTTCTGCAGCGTGCTTTTTGGATGTCCGCTCGGCACGAGCAACAAGGCTCATCGCGGTTAGTATCCTCCCCCCTTCCTCCAATACGTAACACTGTGTGTTATAACTCAATTATAGCTCAACCGTCTACCTCTTCTGGGCTTCTCGGCCTTTCTAGGCAAGGCATAGGGGAAATTTCTAACGCGGGATGGTTTCTAGAAGTCAATTCCTCTCCCACGAGACCTTTTTTTCGACGTTGGCGTGGCCCTACATCGGCCGGATAAACGATTCTATTAACCGCCACATACTCGTGGGCAATGACGTACCTAGCTTGCTAGTGGGGCCGCATCGACTTGTCGGGCCGTCCGCACTGTAAGATGCCCACCTGACAGCTGGGGGCGTAGCTGTGACGACACCCACGTCCCCCACCAAGATTGCTCCACACGCACAAGTGGAAGCAGCCGTGTCACAGCTGTCACAACTCTCACATTACTGCGTTTTACCGTAACGCGGTTAGGACACACAATAGCCCGCCAAACCGCTACGGCCTAACCTGCGCGTCTTCCAAGCATCTGCCCAGCCCACTATATACAGGTGGGTACCTATCCAGGCACGACGAAAGGCACTTTGGCCCGCGTACCTAAGGGGAGGTTTTAGGTACCCCAGGTAGGTGGGCAGAGCCAAGGCCGGGTTGCGCTGGAACTAGCCCCGCATCAGGTTTTTCCCCGAGGTCACAAAAAGGTAGGCCATGCAATCAGTAATGCTCCTTTCTCCCGACCGACGACGAGCCAGAGACGGACGACGGCACGTCGACCATTCCCCTGGCAACTCCCGACCAGCTACGAACGAGCTGCTCCTCGCGAGCGGGCAAGCCAAGAAGAACCAGCAAAAGAGCGGTAAAAGGGCGGATGCGCACCCGATTCTTTTCGGTATCCAGATATCATCTACCTAGATTACCCGAGACAGCAGAGCAATACCTGCGTGCCGCGGACCTGCTTGGCTACCTAGGCCTGTTTCGGCCATTCTTTTTTTTTTTTAATCCCGCTTTTTCCTCTCCTTTTCTGCCTCCTCCCCGAGATCCCATATATGCATACCTATTCGTCTGGGACCTTCACCCTTCCCGTTCTAGAGCCAATCGCCATCCATGTTACATTCGTGCGCACGCGAGGCCCGACGAAGTTTCGTCCCGCGACACTACGGTAGGAAGCTGGCACAGGTCAGCACGAAAGTAAACCCTTGGAGCTCGGGTCCGTCGCCTATACCACGTGCTCCACGTGCTGCTCCCACTCAGCGACCGCTGCCGCTGCTTCGACTTCCACGTACACTGCAGACACCTGGCACCACCTGCGGCCGCGACCCACGACGGCCAGAACGGTACCTGCCACTAGCGAAGCCGCCGGTCTACACTTGCCATTATCAAGCCAATCACGCCATCCCGTCCGCCCAGTTGGCGGGCCGGTGCATGCAGCGTTTGCACCACACCAGCAGCAGCGACCGCGCCGGCCACAGCACTGGCAACAGTAACAACGCATCTTCGACCCCTCCCCCTCCTTTTCCCACCCTCCATTCGTCCTCGAGCGACCCCGTCAATTTTCACCCTCCTCCACCTATGCCATCTCTACCACCAACCCCCCATTCTCCTACAAGAACAACAACCGCCGCCGCTGCCGCTGCTGCAACAACAACTGCGACAAGCACAACATTATCCTCGTCGTCGCCCTCGCTATCTCCAACATCCTGCCCCCTCCCCCCTGCCGCAATTGCATCCCATCGCGCTGCACTGCTGGCTCGCCACTTCTCGACTTCCTCCTCCTCATCCTCGCCCGAGCCGTCTCGAGAGCATCGCAGGCCAGCCCCCCAACCGACCATGGCTTCGCCTTACAGCGTGCGTAAGGTCGCTGCTCCCAACACGCTGGAGCACCGCGTCTACATCGAGAAGGATGGCATCCCACTGTCTCCCTTCCACGACATTCCTCTCTATGCCAACCAGGAGCAGACCATCCTGAACATGATCGTCGAGATCCCTAGATGGAGCAACGCAAAGCTCGAGGTATTTACTCTGATTTTCTGTCATCCTTTTCCTGCCCTGCCTTGACGTACCCCTCCTGCCGATCAGCCTTGCTCGCTTTTGCTAACTAGGCCGTCCATTCGTCCGGTCGCCTCTAGATCTCCAAGGACGAGCTCTTGAATCCTATTAAACAGGATGTCAAGAAGGGAAAGCTACGCTATGTCCGAAACTGCTTCCCTCATAAGGGTTATCTTTGGAACTACGGAGCCTTTCCTCAGGTAAATATCGCCCTTGCGCCCGTTTTCGTTTTCTGGTACCCTGAGCGCGTCCTCTCCGCTGCTTACTACTCCGCATGGTTACTTACTATTACTAACATCACGGCGCACCTCTAGACTTGGGAAGACCCCAACTCCATCCACCCCGAGACCAAGGCCAAGGGAGATAATGACCCCCTCGACGTCTGCGAGATCGGGGAGCTTGTCGGCTACCCCGGCCAGATCAAGCAGGTCAAAGTCCTGGGGGTGATGGCCCTTCTCGACGAAGAGGAGACTGACTGGAAAGTCATCGTCGTTGACGTGAACGACCCCTTGGCCCCCAAGCTGAACGACGTCGAGGATGTCGAGCGCCATCTCCCCGGCCTCCTCCGCGCCACCAATGAATGGTTCCGCATTTACAAGATCCCAGACGGAAAGCCCGAGAACCAATTCGCCTTCACCGGCGAGTGCAAAAATAAAACGTGAGTGTAACTGCCGCGCATGACCTATAAGAGCACCCTTGGTCGCTGACGAATACCGCTTAGCTACGCCGTGGACGTTATTCGCGAATGCGCCGAAGCGTGGGAGAGGTTGATCACCGGCAAGACCTTGCCTGGTGGGATTTCCACGTAAGTACACACAGATAGGTTACAACGAGATTGGTCGTTCCGTTTCGTTCGCGCGGCTGACGTGTCTTCAGGACCAACTTGACCGTTGCTCACTCGCCGAGTCGCGTTAACCCCGACCAATTGCCTCCTCTGCCCCCCAATGAGGATCTTCCTCCGGAGAAGATTGACAGCTCTATTGACAAGTGGTTCTTTATCAGCGGCGCCGCCGCATGAGCTAGATAGTCCTGTGGATTACGGTAGAGAAAAGTTTCATAGGCGGATGCGGGAGCTCAAGATTATGGACGATCCAAGTTAGTATACTCGGCGCAACGCCCTTTAGTTGCAATGCAGATAGGTCTAGCGGGGACGCTCCCATTCGTAGAACATGATGCCCGAATTTGTCCCCTTGACCCGTCATGATTTGGCCATCATGGTGTGACTGACCGGAAAGAAGGATATTTAATAGTATGGTGGTCCTTTTAGATGGTTTACGAAAGCGCTATGCGGTTGCGAGCCTAGGCGGACAGCGCCCGATGGTTTCTTCGGTAGTGCAAGTAGTTACGGATACAGACGGCGCGATCAGCCCTCGGCCAAGTCAGCCTGTTTTTGCAACGCTCGTGAATGCCGATCGACCTCCTCCACGATGCCTTTTATGCCGAGTATCTCGCCGTCGAGATGCATTTCCTTACCATCCTCTTCGGCGGGTGTTAGCGGGAACACGGGCGGTAAGGGGGGCAGGATCGGACGTACTGAACTTGATGTGAAGGGTGGCTGGCTCGGTCGAACTCCGCGGCAGGAGTTTTGTGTTTATTTGCATGCCGGCCTGCCGGGCATTGGCGGGGAGCCAGTTGAAGAACAGCCTGGTGGCTCGAGAGGCTGCAGAGAAGGGGTTGAACTTAACGTTCACTTCGGTGATGAACTGTGTGATCATGGCGCCGGCTTCCCCGACAGATAGAGGTATCGACCGAGTCGTTGGTAGGATACGATGACCGCCTCCAGGCTACCTGTGGATAGATAGGTATATATCCGGTTATTACCACAGACCCATGGCACATGCGGAATTGCCGGTGAGGAAGTTCAGCAGAAGGCTGTGTGATCGAACTTACTTGCGCATCGAACCGAGGGCAGACTCTTGCCTTCGCCTCCTCACATATATGCGGATGGGACGGATCTTGTGGGTGCGAGAAGTCAAGATATCGTGCCTCCAGTCACGATGTAAAATTCCGGTCCACCTTGATCGGATACTTAAGTACATACATCTAGGTGCCCAGGCAGGCCCTGGATTTCGTGTGGCGGTGCATGGCGCGTGGTGCACAGCCACATGAATCCCCACCCTATCTACATATGTACATAATGCTCCTAATTGCACGGGGGAACTTGCAACGTCACCATTAAGGGGAACAGGAACAAAATCCGTCGTCAGCCTATCAATTACCTTTGCCTGTGGCTTTTTCACAGCTTGAATTCCCCCCCCCCCGTCTACGAACGCGACTGAATTACCATATGCGGGACGCGCCACCTCGAACAGTTTCTAAAGGCTTTAGGCTCAGATCAAACAGATCGATATGTCTTCTGAGGCCTTGGCGAGGCGCTTTACCGACCTTCAAGACCGTCTCACCGTCTTACAGGACGCGACAAACCAGCTCAAGGAGCTAATCGACCGCCTGGCAAATTTCCACTTCCAACCGGGATCTGTGCCGCTCGATAGTGCTGAGGATGACCACGTCGGTACCGAGCTCAGCCTCGAGATTAACCAGGTGCTCAGGGAGCAGGAGGAGGAGTTGGAACTGCTCCAGGAGGAGATAATAGACATCCCGCCTAATCGGTCCGGCGGCGAGCTGGCGCACGATAGGGATCGCCTGACGGACGGCGCCAATCGACTTGGGCTCGAATTGCAAGGGTGTGTTTTGCTCTCCCCGTTCCCTGTCCGCCGCTGCCGCGCACCCACACATGTATTAGCGATAATCTCTACATCTGCATACGCTACTCTGTGACTATGGGACATGGAAGGCTAACCCCGCTATAGGTGCCGAAAAGCCTTACGACGAGCCCAAATTTCGGCGAAACGTAACTTAGAGCTCGCACAGCGGCGCGAGCGCGAGCTGCTGTATGCTTCGTTCTCCCGCAATCCCCGGGCGTCGGGTACGTCCTCCCGGGCTGCGACGCCGGAAGCCGGCCCGCAGCCGGCGCCGCCGGGTCGGCGCAAACCGGGGGCGGGTCGGGCCCCACGCTCCAAGGAGGAGCAGATGCTCAACGCCAGCAGCGACGTGACGGAGTCGTTGCGACGCACGCATGACATGATGGCGGCCGAGCTGTCCAAGAGTGACTTCGCGCACGCTGCTCTGCGCGAGTCGACCGCCGCCCTGTCTCAGCTATCCGACAACTACTCGCGCCTTGAAACCATGCTGTCTAGCTCGCGCGCGCTCCTCGGCACCCTGCTGAGGAGCCAGAAGACCGACACTTGGTACCTGCAGTCGGCCTTCTACTTGCTTGTCGTGACCGTCGCCTGGCTCATATTCCGTCGGCTTCTCTGGGGCCCGACTTGGTGGCTCGTCTGGCTGCCGCTCAAGCTGCTCTTCCGAGGTGCCTTATTCGGCGTGACGAGCACGGCTAGCATCGCGCAACGGGGGTCGTCGCAGGGTGTGGATACAAGTGCGAGTCAGACACCAGGCTCGGAGTCGGTAGCAGTGTACGCTACCACGACGGCGCGAGGGGCGCAGCTGGATGGCGAAGGGGCTCCAACCGTGCAGGTCAACTTTCGGTCAGAGCCACTGAGGGAATCCCCCGGCTCGGAGTCCATGGTGGAGCATGTTGGAAAGGTAATCGACGAGGCGGCGGAGGAGCCTCACGAGGGGGGAGCAGGGGAGGATGAGAAGGCTGAGAGCGACAGACAAGGGCCGGCAGAGCGGGAAGGGGAGCAGGGGACCGTGCTGAGGGAACGCCGTGGCGACGAGCCCCCCAATCCGAAGAAACGGGTGATGGAGGATGACCCCGGTAGCACCGGGCGAGAGAGCGACGACAGCAGCAGCAGCAGCAGCGAGAGGCGTAGGGATGAGCTGTAAGATTGGGAAACGAGGACTAGCATTCTAGCTAGTGTACCTGTCTCTTTTTCGACCGCCCTTTATCCCCGTGTGTACTGAGTAGGGTAAGGGTGTGAGGGGGGTGATTGGTAGTTTTTAACACACGTAATCGCTGTATTTGTATCATCGTCAGAAGAACACCACCTAGTGTTGTTCTATCTAGAAGGAGACGTATTAAAAAGGAGAGAGCTCTAAGATGAGGCAGTTGACATACCTGTAGATAGGTACATAATTGGGTACATAACCCACAGGGTTAGGGGTGATGTGACGTAAAGTGGAGGCAAGGACTGGTCAGACTGGAACGAGATAATACCCGGCAGCCGCATATCAGATATTCCGTCCGTTTCGACAGGTATATTAAAATCCGCCCCGTCATCCACCAACTCCTCTCTTCATTATCATTACTACCTCACGTACTTCTTTACACTCACACACGCCACCCAGAGAGGCCCCGACCCGTCTCTCCTCCTCTACCGGGCTTCCTGGTTCTTTGAACATCTGCTTGCCGTCCGAAACCCTGGTTGGTTCGCCGGTTGCCGGTGCTCCCCTCCCCATGCGAGGCGGGCGCGAGCTGGCCGGGGGGAGAGGCCGGACCGGCTTCCGTTTTTTTACGTATCTATTCCTTTGTCCTTGGGCGGGAAGATGACCCCGGCCGGGGTCTAGGTCTCTTTGCCTTTCGCCCTTAAATGCCACCTTTACGCCAAGTATTCAAAGCAATGCTGTATATCTTCTAAACGGCTCGTGGTCAACGGCACAATGGAGACAAGCCGTGGGACCCAAGTTGCGAGGGTCACGGCGGTGAGTTGTCACTCGCCCTCTCCTCCGCGTCGTCGCTGAAAGAAGATTCGTACACAACCAAGCTCCCCTCCCTCTTCTTCCCATTCTTATTCTTCTTGTCCCCGTCTTCCTCTTTCTCTCCTTCCCTCTGTCTTTCTACGTGTCTACGTTTCCCCTGGATTAGGAAAGCAACCAAGTTTGTGCATGCTACATCTGTATCCGGCGTTTTCATTCTCTTTAGCTATGCCTATGTGCCGTATGTGTTCACCGAGCCGGGACAAAGTCTGTGTTGAGACTTGGACATTACGGATCCCCTTTCTCATTATCCTCCATCGACAAGGACGAGTTGAGTTGGTGTTGTTAAAAGAAGAGAGGAGGGGATATGAGGGTATCATCGCCACCATTACATATCTCGCCGGCCAGTTCTGGTCTCTCACTTCACTTCACTTCGGCCCTTCTTCTATGCCCAACGATGAGTAGATAAAATGCCGAATTTCCCCTGCCCGGTCCTCTCTAACCACAGAACAAGCGCATGCATAACACGACAACACGTACGCCAACGCCAAGATGGGCAGACACACAAGAGTGCTTCTGCGGGGGCTGGCCGAGGAGCTCCCCGGTAACGGCAATAACCACACCAAATAGAACACCCTGCTCTCCCACCCGCCTCCCTAGAAAGGGGTGAAAACGAGAAGAAAACCCAGGGAAACAAATCTTTCAAGAGGAATCACAAGAATGAAGGTTGTGGAAGAGCCACGAGAACCAGATACGATTTAAATACAACCTAAACTCCCACCTTTATTTCTCTTACGCCCTTTCCCCTTTAAAAACGTTCGAGACTCACACACACACTCTCTCCTCTCCCCTCTCCTCTTACTTGTTCATATTTCCCGTGTCTTCCTCGCGTCATCATATCTCCTCTCAAACCCTAGCAGCTAGGTATCTAGGGCCCCTCCGAGAAAAAGGACTCCAAGCTAACTCCCCGGGCTGTCTGTCGTCCCGAGCAAGCCGTCGATGTCGTCGAGGTGGAAGTCGGCACCCGCGGCTAACGTCTCCCATCCGTCGTCGATCCTGGCGGCCGCCGCGAGAGGGTCATCTTGCCACGGGTCTGTCGTCGCTACCGCCCCCAGCCCCACTCCACTGCCGTCGTGGGCCCGGAATGCCGTGTCGGCCGCCACCGCCGCGTGCCGGTGCGGGTGTTGGCCACCGTAGTCGCTGCCCTGGTCCACCGCCGAAGCTCCGCCGAAGATCCCTAGCGCGTCGTACGCGTCGTGGATGCCGCTGGCACCGGACTGCGTCATGAGCGAGGGATCGATCTGGTGGTGGTGGTGGTGTGGAGGCTCCGGAGGGAGCGATGCGTGCAGGTGAGAGGCCGGGCGCGGAGGAGGAGGCCCGTATCCCGGCCCCATCATCTCCCCGTAGTGGTCCACCGGCGAGCCGTGGAACGAGGTCGCGGGCGAGCTGTTCGCTTTGTTCATGTATATACCCTCGACGAAGGCCGGGGCATGGGACGGCGCCATACCGCTGCTGCTGCTAGCGTACGCTGGGAGGTGTTGGGGGTATCCGCTCGCCTGCTGGTGGTGGTAATACCCGAGCCCTGTGCTGTACTCGCCCGGCCGCGGCTTGCTCCCGGGCCCGACCCCTGCGTACTGGAATGGCGGTGGCTGCTGCTGGTGGAGTGCGTACGAAAGCCGCGCTGGGTGCGGTGACGGCGAGTGTGCTGCGTACTGGTGGTGGAGCGCGTATGCAGGCCGCGCCACCCCTGGGGGCCGATACTCGGCGTCCGGATCGTATATAGATGAGGGCCTGCCGAGCCGCGACCCATTGCGCGACGGTGGTGCGCTGACGTCCCACTCATAGCCCTCGAGATCGGAGCCGTCGTCCGAGTCGCCGGTGCCCCCCCTACTGCTGCCGCGGCCGCCTGCGTCTGCTCCTGCGCCGCCGGGAACAAGCTTCTTGTTCTTAGCCTTGGCCGGGGCGAACTTGTAGTCGGGGAAGGCGAGTTTGTGATTCGCGCGTTCAATTTTGGCCCACGCGTCGTACTGGTCGCGCAACTCCTGCGACTCCATGTTCCAACTGGTGCCGCAGACTTGGGATATGACCTGGTGGTTGTCATGCTTCTTCCACTCCTTGGTGCGGTTCTGGTAGGCCTTGCGGTACAGCATGAATGCGTTCATCGGCCGCTTGACCTTGCCCTCTTTCGAGTCGCGCACCTCGGCTTGCCGTACGTCCGGCGACCGGTTCACGTACTCCTCGATGTTAGTGTCCGTCACGTTCGAGACATCCTTAACGAGCTCGCTCAGCGGCGCCTCGAGCACCACCGCCGGCTCATCCCCGGCCCCTCCCTTCCCTTTCCTCTTTTTCGTCTTTCGGGCGGCGCCAGCGCCCCGGCTTCCTCCGCCGGCTGCCCCCCTCGATGGTCGAGGTGACGACTTCTCGATGCGCGATGCCTGTGGGCCGAGCACTGGGGTGTCCCTGTGCGCCCGGCTGCTGATAGTTCTACCGCTTCTCGTCGTCATGGCGTCGTTCTGTATAGGTGTTGGAGGAGATGTCGCAGGAGTGCTGTATGCGTTGTGAGGTGTCTTGAATTTTTTTTTATATTAGAGCAAGCCATGAGCCAGGGGAGCGACCGCACCTCGAAGGAAAAAGGGGTTGAGACCAAAGGGGACAAAGGGACTAAATATAATCTCTTGTCTCTCTATTCACTCGTTCACGCCGTTCACACTTTCATTCTTTCTCTTCTACAGTTTCTTTCATAACATGGGACATACGTACCAATGATGACGTCGTATCCGGTAACTGAGGATACGGGCTGGGCTCTATGTAGCTCTGCTGATAGCCGCTGTACGACGAGGTGGAAGGGGCCGCCGTCGCGGCGTAGGGAGACCCGTGATCGTACACGGGCATGGTCAACTGCGGCTGCGGCGCCGGACTGGAATACCGCGAGTGTGGGTTCGAGCTTATGTGGTTGTGCACATCGATGGGTGGAGCCGAGGCGTTATGCTGGATCAGCTGCTGGAATTGGCTTTGGAAGATGTCATCGGCGGCCTCAGAGAGGTTGTTGGCGCTATTCGAGGGCGCGGGGGACGGCGGATCGGTCTTCTCCATCTCGTCGGTTCCTCCCCGCGGGACGGTAGCGGACGATAGGCAAGATGGATACGTAGTAGGACTTGGGCCAAAGTGGGGGCCTCGGGATAGAAAGCGTAATAATAGTAATAGCGGCACAGGAGGAGGAGGGAGGAGGAGGAGAGGAGGTTGATAGATGTTAAGATTGGGGAGAATCTAGGATGATTTTAGTAGGTACTAAAGGAAGCCCCCTTTAAGGAGAACCACTGGCTTCTTTCTCCAGCAACAGAGTAGATTAGTAGTATGAGGATAAGTCGTAGAGATACCTTTCTCTTCAGCTATCCAGTCGTTGCTTTTGGGCTTTCTTCTTCTCCTTCTCTGCGCCCCCCTTCTATCTCTCTTCTCGACAAGTGATGGCGCGCCGCACCTCTTCAAAGTTGATATGGAAATCGACCAGACAGCAACAATCCAAGTTGAGCGTATTTCTCACTTCCGAGACCCCTCCTCCGAAAAAAAAGTTCCCAATTCAGGAGATGCGGTCTCGATGTGTGTCGATTATGTCTTCGAATATGAGCTTGCTGGCTTGCAGCTAGGGAGGGCGATAAGACCGAACGTAGGTACACGAAGAGGTGGGTATAGCACGGGTGTCTGTGTGGCCAGCGGTGAGAGTCTGCGAAGTATCTCTCTTCTCTCGCTCTCTCTCTACTGGTCGCAACAGCAGTGCGGGTTGACGGCTCGTCTCGGATTTGTCTATCCGGGCTTGTCTTGTCTCTGATGACTACAACAAGCGGGCAGTCCGAAGGCCGAGATTCAAACCCTGCCCCCCTATCTGACGCACGCGTGCGCAGGGCGTAGGTGCGTGCTAGTGACGTTACGGCCGGGGGTGATAGGGGATTGTGCCAGACGGAGGGGATCCAGGGGCCCCGGGGAGAAGGGATGAAGAGGAAGGGGAAGAGTCAGAGTCAGAAGTAGAAGTTGGTTAAAGGACGTGGGCAAGAATATGAACTAGAACTCTACTCTGGCGGTATAGAGTAATTCTGGAAGGGTAGAGAACAAGGGTGTCGAGAAGCTTGGCTGGTGCTTTTGTATCTTGACGAGTTGAGACGGCACTGGGAAACTTCTTCGGACGGTTCTTAGCCTGGAGGAAGGGTCAGCAATTTTCCCAGTATCGGTGGCCTACTTTGACTCTCTCGTTCTCTCTCCCTCTCACACACTCCTTTTTTTTATATATATAACTATCTCTGCGCTTCCGGCGACTTGGAAATGCCATCCCCCCCTAGGGGCCCAGGGCGCGATATGCTGCTCAGTTTACCAGCAGGCTAGGCCAGCCCAGCCGGCTCACTGCGGGTGCAGCTTGCAGCCGCAGACATGGGTCTATGAGAAACCCGGTTTGTCTCTGACGGTGACGCAGCAGCCACGGGGGGGAAGGGGGGCGGGGAGGCGTGCAGCGACGGCCAGTCATGTGAGTGGGAGAGCCCGCGAGAGAGAGATAGAGAGAGAGAAAGAGGAGAAGGTATAAGAGTAACGGGAGCACGAACCTGTTGCAGGATATCTGCCTAGTTGGGATGTGCGGCAGCTGGCTACACGACGCCCTGCTTAGCCGGCGCTGCTCGCGATGTAGCCGTTCTCTTTCTCCTCTGCGTATATACGTACGTGTTGTGCACATACATATACACAAGCATGTAGGATGTATGTAGTCTGTGGCTTGTCTGCGCACCTCCTCCGCCTGAGGGAAGGGTCCGGTCCTGGTGCGGTGAGGTCGACAGCAGAAACAGATCCAGGGGCCGGTCCGTGGATAGAGAGGTATGCGTTGGGTGTTTCCCTGAAGGGGGTGAGATGTGCGTGTGGACAATTGATGAATCCACGCCCCCCCCCTTTTTTTTCTGGTGGGCGGTAGGCACAACGAGATGCTGGCTGATGCAGCCTCCCTGACCTACAATCCGCACGAGCTCTCTCCTTCGTTTTCTTTGTTCCCGCTCCTTCGCTAAAGAACTACCGGCAACTCAGGCGGTGCTGTAGGCAGCATGGATGGGACGTATTCGACACGACTGACTTTTCCGCCGGGCCAGTATTCAACTTATTTATTTCTGGCTTAAAATTATAGAAGAAGAAAAAAGGAGAGAGAGAGGACCACAGGAGAGAGGCGGATGGCGAAGGACCGTGTGAGCCGGCTAGTATTAGATATGGTAGCCGAGTAGGCTGGTTAGTTGCTAGCCGTCAAGCCATATAAGACCCCTTCTCTCACTGTATCTAGCAAGTGGCGCCGCAGCCAGGAAGAGGGTTGAATAGAGAGGCGATCGTGCGGAGGAGGAGGGGGGGGGGGAGTCTTTGTTGGGATGGGGACAAGAGCAGCGAGAGGCAACAGGACCAGCAACAGATTTGGAAACAAAAAAGGAAAATCCTCCTAGCTTGGCGGCGAGAAAGGATGATTTTTAGGGAAGCAGTTATTTGTACGACTTTTCTTTGAAGAATCTGGCCGGGATGCAGAATGCGACTGATATGTCGTGCATTACCGCTTTCGGAAATCGAGGTGTCCCGGCTAGAAAACCACTCTAGATCACCACCCATAGAGTCGTCTCAAGCCGTGTTCGGGCACCGCGGAAAGCTCCTGAAGCCGTATTCCCCTCACCTTCTCTCTCTTTTTTCTGTTCCCGCTGGATACGGAGCATTCCGGTCAGAGTAGAGAGAGGGGGAAGGGAAAGCCTAGAGGAGGAGGACGGGGGCGGGACGGGGGCAAGTAGTCATGATCGTATACTCATATCCCACGTGTGCCCGCCGGCGCTTTAGGGTGACGAAATTTAGGGCCTTTTCGATGATATTTCCTCCCCTCTAGACCGGCTATCCTTTATGGTGCCCACGACGCGTACCGTTCGGTGTACTCTTTGTCTGTAGGGATCCTTTTCCGCTCCAGACTATTGAAATTACACCCACTGAGGCGAATCTATTCGGACGTTGCCCAATGAGACAGAGAGGGGGAAAGAAGAAGCAAAAAAAGGAAAATAAAACCAAACTATCTCTACAAAAAGACGGCGACGGCGACGGCGGCGACGACGACACTGTGCTCTATGAAGCTGCTGTGTGTGGTGGGCATATGGCATGGGAGAGGCGGCAGGAGATCGGGAGCTGAACCGACGCGGTTGCTGGCGAGGCCAGTCAGTGTGTCTCGCCACATCGGCTGCAGGATCTCGGGTTGGGCGCATCTCGGATTTCACGCTACGTGTCGCCTCCACTGGGAACGGCGACTGGGTGCGGGCCTCTCCCAGAGGCTCGGGATTATGGAGTGTTACCTGTGGCTGTTGTTGGTCGGCGGGAGGGCCTTGGAATGCTGGTTCCTGGGCGAGAGTACCGAAAACGTGCTTCCAACACACACGGGTTCTTCAGTGGCGAGCACAGATCGCGCCAGCATTCCTTTGATCTCCCTCTCTGGCTGGGGGGAGCCATCCTAATGCAGACACATGACCCCGAATTCGTTCTGCCCCCCCCCTCTTCCCCCTCCCGCCCATTCCCCTACCTCGTAGGACGGGAATACTGCCTAGTCGCCATCTGCGTTCATGGCCCGGGAGGCGCGCTGACGGGAGGGGGGAGGGAGGCGTCAGATCAGCCTAGCTAACAGGACGTGTGAGGAGATCCCGACCCGAGTTATCTCCCCCCTCCCCTAGGCTCTCCCCGGGAGCTCCGTGCCACAGGGTCGACGTCGTCCTGGGGGTGTTTCTGCCGCTCTTGGGAGGAGCAGATCTAGTGGGTACCGGCCTGGGCAGCCAATGTGCGAGGTAGACCCCGGCCGCAGCGCCAGCTCGTCGACTGCCGCCGGTGCCGTTCCTTCGCTGACTGTAGAGGCGTATGGCTACCTGATCGTGCCCGGGCAATTTGTTTGCGGCGGTACCCCTGCGTGAACGGCGGGCGTCTGCATTAGTGCTGCTGGCTGTTTGAACGTCAGTCCTGCAAGGGCTGCTAAGGGGGAGAGGGCCAGGGGGGGGCTCACTATTGAGAACTGACGCGCGATACGTCCGCGCCTGTAGGCAAGGGAGGGACAGCGACGAACATAGATTTGCGGGAGAAAGCGACGGAGAACCACGTCCTGGGCTAACATCTGCAGCCGAATAGCGTATCGTCGTCTGTTAGGCCTTTTTGGGTGTGGCAGATTAGGCGTCGTGGCAGAGTGAAGCAGACGCGCGAGCGAGCGCGCGGCGCATTTCGTGTGCCGCAGTGTGTACCTATATACAAACCCCTGTGTTGAGGGTCCGGCTTGTGTTCCTCTCGCCCTTTCTTTCGTCGCCTGGCCTCGAGGCTTGCTTGTCTTTGAGGGTATTCGCGTGGGCGTGGCCTTCTTGGACCCCCCTCCCCCCCCAATCCTCTTCGTCCCGTCTCTTTTTTCATTTCCCTTGTAATGTGCTGTCTTACTTCGTCGCGACGTAGAGCAGCGCAGAGCCGCAACAATGAAATTACTCATCCTATATCAGATACCCGCGGGTCGCTGTTCTTTTTGCTCTATGCTGCCTCGTAGTACCCACCCATTCTAAGTACCTACCTAGTCGCGCTCTTTCGACGTCGACCTTACCTGAGAGCCTCGTGCCGCGCCGCGCCGCTGGTTCGCCCTCATGCTTGTCGGGCGTGAGAGCGTCGCAAGGCGCGGGAGACCATCCAGGTAACCACCGCTCTGCTCGCGGCGGCATCCCCACTCACACCGGTTTTCTGGCCGTCCTGTCTCGGCGCTCTGGCCAGCAGTTCGTGCGAACGGTTGGGACCTGCGTGACAGCTCAACTTGGGCGGAATTGCAACCTTCGCCTCGCCCAATCGCAGCCGGGGGGGGGGGGGGGTTTACCTGGGTCGCACGGGTTAGGTACGCATGCGCGTGGTATTTCGTGTGCTGCGCAGTTGTGTGGTGTAGGTAGTTAAGTAGTGGTCGTCAGCTGGTCGCCTCGTCGGTCCTGGATAAATCTAGATGAAGGCGCCTGTCCCCGGCTCCCGGAACTTATCCTACCGCCGGAAGCACGCCTGCCTACATCCGCCCTAGCTGCGAACTCCTGCGCATACGCGTCTGCCGCCTGCCGACGAGACAGTCTGGAGTCGGTGTGCTCGCCCACTGCCCGCCACCCAACCTGAGGCGACTGCCGAACTAGACGCCCTCCTTAGTCTTAGGTATATGTAAATGGGCAGCGTCGCTACCCATAGAACTAGTGACTGCGAGCCAACGATCGACAGGTCAAGCTGAGGAGTCGGATGCGAAATTCAAGCTGACGAGTTGTCATTATGTTATCTAGCATATGCGAGGGCGTATACGGCGACTCTACGCTCAGCGCGGCGCTGACTGCTAGAGGACTTGCTATGTGTCACAAGTTGGGAAGTACCCAAGGTGGTCAGCCATCAGGTGCCGTGATTTTACCTCGGCCTTCTCCGAGCTTCCATTGCAGCAGCATGAGCAGTAGTTGTTGATGAGTGTAGGTATACATGTGTGTATATGCAAATGTATGCCCAGTATAATGTGAGTAGACCCGAGTCAGGGAACCGGCCCGGATAAACGTGGAAATCCCCTGGTAGAGAACTCAGTGCGGACCCGACTCCATATTGTCCCGTTTGCCCAGTGCTACGCAAAGAGCAAATAAAAGGAATAATAATATAGTAGTATCGGCGGTGTCGTCCGTCGTTCGAGTGTGCCGGAGCGCACAATAACCTACACTCTCTCTTCGATCTATGTACCCACTGCGGCCCTTGGTATACCACAATACCACGCCGTGGAATGCATCATTTCTCATGCAATTGTCTACGACCATCGATCGAGAGCTCCCGATGGGTCCTTCTAGCTCCCCCACGCCTGTCAGCCGAAGTGTTGACTACGATCAACACGGCCATCTGCCTCGCTCATCGGGAGCAATCCGGTAGTCAGATATTCCGTACCGCCCCGTGTCCATTACTTATTGCAATATTGAAACAACCTGCCGCCAAAGTCCCCAGTACCCAAGAGGAAGTTATGCCTAGGATTCCTCTTGCCCTAGCGTATCTCCCGTGTAGTAGCAGTCGTAGTGTCGGGTCAGAACCGGAATACGGCCTGTTCTGTCCCCGTGCGCCGCGTGTTATCGCGTTATTCTCCTTCTCGATTCCCCTAGTGTTCTCGAGTCGGCCGCAGACAACTCCATTGACCCTTGTCGAAATTCCTTTTCACATTACGCATCTCCGACGAAGCTGTTCGAGTGTGGGGACGCTGGCTTGATTGGGGGGGTCAGGATCTGCTGCGAAGGTGACGGAGAGAGAGCCGTTACAGGCGGGAGGATTGCGGGAACCGGCGTCGATGACACACCGCTACCCGAATGTTGACTAGGTGGCGGTGACCTCTTGAGCGGCGAAATCCCATTCTCCGTTGGTCGAAGGGTCGGCGATAGGTCAAGCCTCGACCTTGCTTGGTCGAGTTTGTTCAGTTGCGGCGTAGCGAGTGCGGCATGTTGGCTACCGCCGTCGCGACTCGGAGGCCGTGCCGAGGCAGAGAGGGACGCAGCAGACGGCGAAGGAGCTGAGAAGCTGCTGCTCGCCGCGTCCAGGGGCTGCTTCACGGGCGAATCAGGTCTTGGGGCGGTAGCGGGCGCCTGAGTGTCTAGACGAGGCGCGAGGCCGCTCAAAGAAGTCGACTGCGCAGCACCGTTGGACTTCGGCGAAACATGGAACACGCCCTTCTGTGGTATCTTGATCTCGCCCAGGCGAGGCTTGGATATTGGCGAGGATTGGTTGAACATGGTCGAATAGGCTCTGGCCTTATTAGGCGACTGCTCCGGAGGCGACAGATTTGGGTGTGGCGAGGAGAACGGATGGGGTCCCTCGCCGTTTGGGTGCGGCGAAGAGGGCAAGGGAGCGCTAGGCTGGCCTGCTTGTTTGACGGGGATCAACGGCTGGGCAGCTGCGTCAAATGGGGAGTGGTTGGCCGTCGCAGATTGCTGGACTGGGCTCGGGCCATTCGATGGGTGTGGGAGAGAGTTTGTGGGTATCTCGACCGCGACATGAGAGCGCTGCGCGAATCGGGGTGGGTCGGGGGCGGTTGGGTCGTCCGGCTTCGCGGTAGGGCGCGAAGGAGAACCAAGTCGGTTCCTTTTGAACTTGATCACGGTCGGCTTCGGCGTTGCGCCTCGTGACGAATTCTTCGGATCGCAGCTCTTGCAGACGAAATGGAAGTCGTCGCGGTCAGCCTCCTCTTCGCTGATGCCGACACACATGCTATGCTGCCAGACATTACACCTCTCACAGGCGACACTATGGGTGCCGTCGTCGACCTGGCCGTACACACCGCAAATGCAGTCGAAGATCCAGTCCTCCTCTTCCTCTTCGAGCTCTTGCAGGGCTTGTTTATTCTTCTCGATTTCTGCCTTCAGCCGCCTTTCGGACAATCGGCCAGTCCCACTGCTCAGATTCTTGCTGTCTTCGGAAAGCTGAGCTAGCTCCTCTTCGTGCTGCACTCGTCGGACCTCCCGTTCTCGCAGCCGCTGCTCCCGAGACATCATCCGGTTGTCGCGCTCTTTCTCCATCTTGAGCCTTTTTTGTTCCTCTTTGCGGAATGCGATCTCTTCCATGCGGCGCTTCTGCTCTTCTTCTTTAGCCTGCTGCTCTAGTCGCTGCTGCTCGGCCTTGTTAGCCAGGCGGCTGGATCGTTTGGCGTGCGCCATCTTTTCGAGGTTAAGAAGCTCCTTCTCCTTTTGTAGCGCTTTTCGCTTCCGACTCTCTTCCTGCTTCTCGAGGATAGGAAGAAGGTGATTTTCGATGGTACCTCTGAGGACTTTCTCATTTTCGTCTCGCGTCTTCTGGATCGTAGCTAGAAACCCCCGCACTTCTGCGAGGTTTGTGGCGACACATTCCCACTTCGCTCCTCCAAGGCCATCATCTTCGGGCTCGGGGGCCTGATCGGCGTCTGAAGTAGGGCCGTCGTCCACGTCTCCGCCGTTCTGCGCTGTAGATCGCGAGACGCGGCGTCGTTTGGCGGCTCTCGCCGCGGCCTTCGCCTTCTTGGTGTTTTTCTTCGGCTTCCAAGGCGCATGCGTAGGTGGGGCATCTGTCATACGGTATATCCTATTGTCATCTAAGATATAGTACGTGCGGTCGTCGCAGTCCCACCCGGAGGGCTCGATTCTCTACCAGATTATTAGCTCTCCCCTATCGGGAATCGAATGAAGGGGACTACTATCCGCACCCATTCGGTTTGGTCGCTGGGCTTTTGCTCGTCCATTTTCTCGCGGATTCGTTCGGGGTGCAACATAACCCACTGTGTGAGTTGGTGTAGGACCTTGATCTGCGATTGGGGGTTGGCATCTTAGCGGCATCCTCAACCCATTCCGCGTGATAACAAACCTTTGTGAACACGTCAAAATCGACAAACTTGGCTGGCGTCTCGGCCGTACCAAAAGGATTGCGGTCGGGCGCTCTAGCGGCGTACTGCCGTCGCGTATACTCATCGAAAAGATCCGGACTTGGACGCGGTCAATACCATCACTCTATGGGCTAGGCGTCCGAGAGGGGAGGGCAGGCGGGGGAGAGGGAGCATACGTTAGGCCGCGGTGCGACGACACGAATTTGAGCAGAGCAAGGCCGATACCGACCAAGACGGGCGAACGAGGCTTCAGAAACTCGGCTTCCAAGTCCTACGGGAGCAGATAGACGTTAGCGCAAGCGGTGGATATGCATACCGTACCCGCGTCGACGTGGTGACTAGAGCTTCGGGATGGAGGAGGGCACCTACATCTACGTCAATATTCTCGTCAATCTTGACCACCTTGCCAAACAGGTAGATCCACTGGAACAGGTTGGCGAACTGCCAGGTATTTCTGACGCGCTGGAGCAGGGACGATTCCTTGGGGGGCTCTGGCGCGTCAGGTTCGGGTTCATTGTCGCGCCTTGTGCGTTTCCGCGACGAGGCCATGATGGCGGCGATTCTTGCTCGTCTACGATCTGGGCGCGTCGGGAAGACGTGCAAGGGATCCGTTGTAGCGAGTTCTCGGAGCGAGGTGGGCGTAGGCTGGCGGCAGGGAGGGAGAAGGCAGCAGGTCGGTCAGTCGACGTGTCTGACGAGGCGCGACAAAGGAAGAGGTAGGGCGGAGGTGAGTACGGTTCCAGGTCAAGAGAAGTCAAAGATAAACGCCTATGGAAGGCGATATTTCATGTCGAGGAAATGATAGGCCGAGAGCTCCAATGTGAGATCCCCTCCCGCGAGTTGTACCTAATGTATTATATCGGGCAGAGGGCAGCTCGCAATAAGGCGGTCCCTGTTGCGGATTCTATGGTCGAAGGCGTCGGCGTACAGCTGCCTACCTTCGGCAGTTTGGGCGATGCGAGATCAAGCGAGGGTAGGGTGTGGGCGAGGTACGGATGCGTGTATGTAGGAGGTATGAGGTAGTAAGGTGGGTGTCAACCGTGTAGGTATTTTTGGAGAGAGAGGAAATCCTGGGCGCGATTCGGGCGTTTGTCTTTGACATCTAGACTTTTTTTTTACACGCGACGCAACCTCTGCGTCAAATAGGTAGCTTACTGAACTGGTACATCTTCAGAAGTATGTATGTCATGTGAATGTAGGTATATGTACATCAAGGTACATAGACGCGCCGCGATCCGCTGATTACCTCCTGATAAGCACGAGGCAAGGCGGCTTATCTACATCAGGTAGGAGGTACCTAAGGTACCCAAACCGGCGAGTCTACCAACCTTGGAACAACAACATCCACCAATGTACCTATGAGTATACAGCCCTTATAGAAAACAGGTATATTAGGTACCTCAACCTACATTCCGTACAGCATTGTCGATGGATGTAGGAGGTACCTCAGATGTCTAGGTAGCCACCTGCCCGTTAGGTTCCATGGTCCTTAACAGTATGTACCTTCAACTCCACGCACTTTATGCATCGTGTAGGTACACCCCCTAGGCCTACAGGTACCTTAAGTACTAGGTAGACCTAAGAAAGGTACGTCCTGTTGTACGTGTAAATGGAGGCACGGCCAGAAGGAGGGAGAGAGAGAAGAAGTGCCTACCTAGATAAGGTTAGGTACCTCTAACTGCATACCTCAGGCACTTATTGGTACAGTGCCAGGTGCCTCTCGTCAAGTAGGGCAGGCAGGTACCGAAGTCTATCATATATGACCCTTACTTGCGCGTCTAAGTAATCGGACACGGAGACGCCCCAGTGCCGCCTAGGGTAAATCTGCCTCGATATCGGTATAGATAGGATAGGAAGAGGGTCAATTAGGGATTCCCACTCGTATGCTCGACTCGCATACTAAACGAGCCGGGCTGGGTTCCTGCTCTCTGGTCCTGCTCGTCCCTGCGCAGGAGGAGCCTCCAGTTTATGCATGCGGCCTGGAATAGCTGTGGAATAGACCCAGGTTCCAGCCAAAAGTACCTACTTGCCTAAGGTATGGACGTACCGCGCAGTACTGCCCCCATTTCTTACGTACCCCTCCTCTCGTACATTCGCCTCCCCTCCCTTGCGGACACCGTCCGGTGTGTACCTACAGGTAAGGAGGTATGTAGGTGTCTAATGTATGTTATACCAGCTGCCTTTGGAGGCTATCTACGTGTAAACTCGGGCGACACGCCAGCCCCTGAAGGTGTCCTGTGCGTAGCAGTGTGCGTATGGCATATTATATACGCCTCTGGCGATGCCCACTGGAGGTGCGGGAGGAGGCATTGACCTGCAGAAAAGCGGGAAGACGGCTACTCGGGATTAGTACTCGCTGTTAACGCGAATGGAGGACATCTTGCTGCGATAACTAGCAAAGGGTACGGATACGGGTACCTGATCCTAGGGCCTAGTGTGGGTTATCCGTTACATACCGTCGGCTGATTGGCTGCGTTGTTTCGCGTCCAATGGATCCCTAACCGTAGTAGGCCGGCAGGCTGGAAAGAGGCTGAGCCCTGCTTTCGTCACCCCAGGCGCCGGCGCTCGGGAGTACCTGGCCAGCTATAGGTACATATACGGCAGGAGGTACACGCTATTGCAGCCAAACTTAGCACTAATAGAAAGTACCTGAATACGCACGCGGTACATTATAAAAAGAGACTCCGAGAGAGTGTGGGAGAGAGGGAAAGAAGAGGGAGAGACGTACCTACATCGTCGATGCAGGTCAGCACGGCAGCTGCAACGCAATTGTTCACCTTCATGCCTACCTATCTTAGAACAGATTGAGAAACCCAGGCAGCTTGGAGAGGACATTCCCGTGTCTCTCCCTCTCTCCCTCTCTCTCTCTCTTTTTACTCTTCCTTCACCCTCGTTTTTTGAATCGCCTTTTTATAGACCCATGCGTGTTCGTTTCTGTAACAGTGTATCGCTCGCGACGGTAAACCGGCAGATCAGCAAACCAGCCAGTTTCGAGAATAGCTTGAGGGCCGCAAAGGGTCGATACACCGTAGAAACCGAGCAACGCTGACGTCCTCTTATCAATTGCCTGTCCTCTCTTTCTTTCTCTCTCTCTCTCTCTCTCTTTTTCTCTCTCTACCTTTCTCTCTCGCCTGTGTACCTTCGACTCACGCGTCCCGGCTAATGTGCTCCCATTCGAATCTGACTGCATCTTTGGTCCCTTGAAATCACTTCTTCGACCTCTTCCGATACCTTCAAGACTTCGAAGGATCGCCCCCCCTCAGCAGCCCACCCCCCCCTAAATTTCTCGATACAATTCTCGAAACGAATTGTGTATTCCCATGTGATGCCATTTGCTATCGTCACTGTGACCCCTTTGCCGGCGCGCTCGCTTGCGTATTGCGCTCATCGCTTCCTGTCCACCTCTATATCCGATTAATCAGTGCCATCTGGATGACACTACTTAGCCTTACCCGAGTTCACCATGAATAGGTCTGCGGCCTCGCCTCGGGACTCGCAGCAGGACGGCTCGCCCTCGACTCAATCTATCCCTCTACAGGACCTCGCGAGACAGCAAGACCAACACGATGCCCAGCCACAAGGTGGGGGGGATCACAGGAGTTCCCTCGCGGATCGCAACCTGCCCGTTATCTCGACGTACTGGGACGGTTTCCAGAACCAGCAGCACCAGCACCCTCACCACAACGATGCCGAGCCGAGTCCCAATTCCCCGATAGACGCCGCTGCTCTGCAGTTCGCTCTGCCTCCCGACATCACCCCTCCTTCCGCGGCCTTTCCACAGCCGACGCCGTCCGCCCCGCATCCTTACTCTTACCACACGCCATACTACGACGAGACGGCGCACGTCGACTACTTCGAATCCGACAGCTCTCCCTTGACATCTGCTGCGCAACCTATATCTGGTGCCCTAGCCACCCCGCAAGAAGAGGCGCAACCGAGAGACAGTTTCCAGACTGTCTCGGATATAGACAATTCCCGCCCGCGCGAACGGTCTGCTCAGATGCTCGGGTTCGATTTAGAAACCGGTTTCGGGCCGGGCAAGCACCGAAGCTATGGGGATTCTCTCGCGCCGACTGACAATCGGTCTTCGCGGGCGCCGAGTACTGCCGGTGCTCTGTACAGAGCTGGGTCCATTGTTAGGGCTATGTCTCAGCGTGTTGTCAACATCAGCAACGAAGGGAATCCCGATTCTTTCGAGCAGCAGCAGAGACGGCAGAGATCGAGATCCAGGTCGCCGAGCGCTGACGGCCGCGTGTCGCCAAGTCACCTCTCCACCCAGATTGGGGTCGATACCTCGTATCCTTCCTTGGTCTACCCGTCGTCGACCGAAAAGAAGGGCGACGCCGAATTCACCTACGCGGAGACTGCTTTGCCTGCCCGTCGCGTAGGGCCGATGCCGAATCCCCTAAAAGGCCGCTCTCTGGGTGTATTCGGGCCCGACAATGTTATCAGGAGGAGGCTTTGTGACGTGCTCGTCCACCCGTTTACGGAGCCCTTTCTGCTCCTCCTGATTGTGCTTCAGGCTGTCTTGCTCGCCGTTGAGGCTGCGAACAACGTCTATCTCCCCGGAAACGAACGACCGCCGTTCTGGGATAGCTCTTCAGGGATAAACTGGGCCCTCTTGTCCCTCTTCATAATCTTCTCCCTCGAAACTGTCGCTCGGATAATCGTCTCCGGATTCATATTGAACGCTGCGGAATACAGCACCATTGATCGAAAAAAAGGCATCCGTGCTGTTATCTCGGATCGATACGATGCTGTCTTCCGGCCCCAACGCCAGAAATCCGTCAAGGCCCCTCAGAAGCCGGCTTTCGGACCTTCGACATTTGCTCGTTCCTTTACCATGATGCATGGCAGCGTGCCCGAGACGATAGAAGAGCAGCAGAGGATGCAGCTCGCACGTCGAGCCTTTTTGCGACATGGATTCAACAGGTTGGACTTCATCGCGGTCGTGTCTTTTTGGATCGCCTTCGTTCTCAGTGTAACTGGCCTTGAAATGAAATACCACATCTTCGTCTTCCGAATGCTTAGTTGTCTTCGAATCGTTCGCCTTCTGGCCCTTACCAACGGAACGGCGGTAAGTTACATGTTGTCCCTCGTAAAGTATCGAAATCGCCCCACGCCCTTTTTTCTAACGTGCCATCTAGATCATACTACGAAGTCTCAAAAAGGCCGCGCCACTGCTCGTTCGTGTGTCTTTCCTCATAGGATTCTTTTGGCTCCTCTTCGCCATCATCGGCGTCCAGAGCTTCAAGTCGAGCCTGAGCCGCTCGTGTGTATGGCGTGATCCATCCCAGCCCGATAATTTCTCTGCTACCTACAGAAACGAGATGCAATTCTGCGGCGGGTATCTCAACGAAAACGGCCAGGAGATGCCCTGGGTTAGAAGCTCATTCCCGAATTCCCTGCTCGATCTATCCAATGGGTCGTCGTCTGCCAAGGGTTACATTTGCCCCCGGAATTCCATCTGCCTAGAACAATCGAGTCCGTATAATGGCACCGTCAGTTTCGACAATATCATCAGCTCGCTGGAGTTGGTCTTCGTGATTATGAGCGCCAACACTTGGTCCGACCTCATGTATTACACGACCTATTCGGATTTCCTTCCCGCTGCCCTGTTTTTCGGTGCCGGTATCATGATCATGATGCTATGGCTGACTAACCTGCTTATTGCCGTCATCACTTCCTCTTTTCAAGTCATCCGAGAGGAAAGTAAGGCCAGCGCTTTCACGGCGGATAAGGACTTCCAGATCCCCGGCACTCAAGAAGAGGGATCGCAGCGGGTATCATTACTGCAGAAACTGTACAACGCAACCTGGATATTTTGGGTGCTAATCATTGCGTACGAACTCTCCTGCCAAGCTTGGCGAAGCTCGGAAATGTCGGTGAAACGGGCCAGATTCATCAACATAAACAGTGTTGTAGTCACGATCTTGTTGGATATAGAAATCGCCATCAGGTTTGCAGCGAACTGGAAGGCCTTCCACCGAAACGCCCGAAACATGTTCGATCTTTTCCTCGCAGTCGCAAACACGATCATCATTCTGCCTCCGATCTTTAACAGCGGCCAAGTGTACGCGTGGTTAACGCTGTTCCAGATTTTGAGGTCCTATCGCGTGGTGTTGGCCATACCGATCACGGGGAAGCTGATCGTGCTTGTCCTCGGAAATGCCTCTGGTATCGTGAATCTTATCGCCTTCGTGTTCTTGATCACCTTTATCGTGGCCATTCTGGCAGTACAGCTCTTCCGAGGCGAGTTGCCGCTGGTTGACGACAGCGGAGAGCTGGTTAAGATTTCATTCTACAACGTCTTCAATTCGTTCCTCGGCATGTACCAGATATTGTCCAGCGAAGGCTGGACGAGTATCCTATACGATGTGACGTCATATACCGAGATTTGGAAGACGTCCTGGTACGGCGCGATATTCCTTATCTCCTGGTTTATCATGTCGTACTTTATTCTCGTCAACATGTTCATTGCTGTCATCCAAGAAAACTTCGATGTGTCAGAGGACGAAAAACGACTGGAGCAAGTCAAAGCCTTTCTTCAGCGCAAGGAACTGGGCAGCAACGCGAGCAGTAACATTACACTCTCCGACATTTTCTCCTTTGGGCGGTCTAAAAGGAGAGATCCACTGGACTACGGCCCGGCAACGATGGAAATGCTGTTGAAGGATGCGGTTGTGCGGGAATTTCTCGACGATACGATGGAACAGTTGAACCAAGATGCTGTCGACGGTTCGTCGCCTCGAGATGATGCACTGCGCGGTGATGTCCGGCCCGGGTTTTTCTCCTCCGTATGGAGTAGAATCCGAGGCTTATTCACAAGCCGGGAGCCGAATCCGTTTTACTCCAACATACGCTTCGATGGACCTAACGATACTCTCGACGCTCGACAAATGGCTCGTCAGGCTGTATCTGCGACCGCGGAACGCCGCAAAGCCCAGCGGGAATACCTCGCCCGCCACCCTACCTACAACAACTCCCTCTATATTTTCACGCCCAAGAACCCTATCCGACGTCTCTGTCAGCGGCTTGTCGGGCCAGGAAGGGGCAACGAGAGATTCGAGGGTGTAGAGCCAAATAAGATTGCTTGGTATGCATTCACAGTATTTATATATGCGGCCATCATCGCCATGGTGATTCTAGCCTGCATCACCACTCCCCTATACCAGAAGGAATACCTCGAAGCGCACAATGCGGAAAATCGGTATACCAGCTGGTTTGTCTGGGTCGACCTCGGTTTCGCGATACTCTTCACTGTGGAGGCAGCGATCAAGATTATCGCGGATGGTTGGTTCTTCACGCCGAATGCCTACTATAGAAGCTCGTGGGGCATCATAGATGGCGTGGTTCTCATCACCCTCTGGATCAACGTGATCACGCTCCTCGCCAGCGACGGAACCGTCTCTAGGGTCATCGGTGCCTTCAAGGCGCTTAGGGCTCTCCGTCTACTCAATATCAGCAACAGCGCAAGGGACACTTTCCATTCCCTAATCATAGTGGCGGGGTGGAAGATTATCAGCGTAAGGCAACTGTATGTTGATCGCTGGCAAAAATCTCGGTCGCTAACTACATTCTACTTATCTAGGCTGCTCTGGTCTCGTTGTCGTTACTCATCCCATTCGCCATTTACGCCGTGAACTTATTCCATGGCCAATTCTTACAGTGTAACGACGGCGACCTCACCAGCCTTGTCGACTGCTTCGGCGAGTATGAGAGCTCGCCCTCGAACCCAGATTGGCCGCTGCTAGCCCCGCGTGTCGCAAGCAACCCCTACTTCAATTTCGACGACTTCGCTTCCTCGTTATTCATTCTCTTCCAGATTGTCTCTCAGGAGGGCTGGACCGATGTGTCGTTCGCCGCACAAGCGATCACTGGTCGTGGCAGCCAGCCCGAGGACATGGCTGCCCAAGGCAATGCCATGTTTTTTGTGGTATTCAACCTACTTGCTACGGTTTTCGTGCTGACCCTATTCATCTCCGTCTTCATGCGAAACTACACAGAACAGACCGGGGTTGCCTTCCTTACAGCAGAGCAGAGATCCTGGCTTGAGTTGCGGAAGCTTTTACGCCAGATTTCGCCGTCGAGGAGTTCGTACGATGACTCGGAAAATAAGTGGAAGAAGTGGTGCCACAAGCGAGCGATCGAGAAGCGAGGCAGATGGTATACCGGGATAACGGCTGTGCTTGTCCTTCACCTAATTCTCCTAATGTTGGAGTATTACCCCGAGCCAGTCGAGTGGTCCATGACGAGAGATATCATCTTCCTACTCTTCACGCTTATCTATGTCGCCAACGTCACCATTCGCATTGTCGGCCTGGGCTGGAAGCGCTTCAGGAGAAGCACCTGGGACGTCTTCTCGTTGGTATCCGTCTGCGGCGCTCTAGTCACTTCGGTGGCAATCATCACGATGCAGCAGAACCAGACACTAGCCCAGCTCCATAAATATTTCCTCGTCAGCATCGTCCTCCTCCTCATTCCGAGAAATGACGCGCTAGACCAACTTTTCAAAACGGCAGCAGCAAGTCTGACAACAATTATTAACCTGCTCGCTACCTGGCTGGTGTTTTTTCTCATGTTCGCTGTCGCGCTGACGCAGACCTTCAGCCTGACTCGCTTCGGGGAAAGCGAGAATGTCAATATTAATTTCAGGACGGTCCCGAATGCGCTGCTGCTTCTCTTTCGGATGAGTGTGGGCGAGGGCTGGAACCAGATCATGGAAGACTACGCAAACATTGAGCCGCCACTCTGCGTTGAGGACCCGGATTTTTTTAACAGCGACTGCGGCAGTACTAACTGGGCTAGATTCCTGTTTATTGCTTGGAACCTCGTCAGCATGTACATCTTCGTCAACCTCTTCATCTCGCTCATTTACGAGAGTTTCAGTTACGTGTACCAGCGCTCGAGCGGAATGGCACACATCGATCGGGACGAGATACGGAGATTCAAAGAGGCGTGGCGCAGCGTCGACCCGAACGGATCGGGCTACATCAGCAAGGATGCGTTCCCAAGGCTATTGGGCGAACTATCCGGCGTCTTCGAGATGCGGATTTATGATTCGGAAGACTCGATCCGTCAGATCTTGGAGGACATCCGAAACGATGAGACGCCCACCAGACACGCCTCGACCGCTTCTGCAAGCGGCCTAGGCGGAGTGAACATCCGAAGACTGAACGATAGACTGGCCCAAATCGACGTGCGGAAAGTCCGAGAACGACGCCGCCGGTTCAACATTTTCTACGAGGAGGTGATGGTCTCGGCCGACCCCGTCCAGGGTATCTCTTTCACCATGGTGCTCATGATAATGGCTCACTACAACATTATCAGCGACAGTAAGAGCTTGAGGTATGCCGCCGTCCCGCTGCTAACCGAGCAACTGGTATCTGACAGCCTTGCAGACTTGAGGAATTCCTACGGCGTCGTGCGCGCCTACAACGAGTAGAGGAAGAAGTTCGCCGGAGGGTCGTCGTCGGCTTCTTCGACACTGTGTAGGCTCCTAGCTTGCGATTAGGTGGCAAATGGTCTTTGCTAACGTCGGGTTCCTAGGTACTGGTCCCGGCAATTCAAGAGGCACTTGGAGAAGAAGCGATCAGCACGGATGACGGCGATCCCGCAGCTGGACGTGCCGGATATCTTCGTAGACGACGAGGATGACCGTCAGCGGGCGGCGCAACAGCGCACGACAATGGCAGCCCCGCCTGCTATCACCACTTCGTCGGATCTCCTCGCCGTAGCCGACGCGGCACGGCCGCAACACCGAAGCTGGTCTTCGAGCGCCGACATATCGACGTACGACTCCTCCAACAGGCATCCCTTGAGCCTGCCGCGGGCGACGCCCTCGATGCCCGGGCATCATTCTCGCAATTCGGCCCTGAGCTTTGAGCTGCAGGAGTCCGGTCCACCTTCGGGCGAAAACAGCAGGCGTGGTAGCTCGGTGAGTCCGGCCCAGGTGCGAGAATTACTCGACGACTCCGTGTGGGTGGAAAGCATCCGGCGAAGCGCGACCATACGAAGATCGGTGCGGCGGCCGGGGCCTAGATGAGGCGGCAAGGGAGGAGAAGAGAGATCGAGGTGACGTAAGCTCCGTTACCACCGCCGCTATCACCATCACCACTACTACATGCGCCACATGATAAGAAGGGTAGCTATAGACTAGACTAGCGTAACGACGGCTTAAGATAATCGAGAATATATCTGTGTACAGGGCATCCCATATGCCGAACGCCGCGGGGAAGGGGAGGGGGTAAGGTTTTCCGGGCAACGTGTATGAAAAAAAAGAAAGGGGGGCGGAATTGATTTGCGGCAAACGGCTTGGGACGATATCAGCAGGCGTTCTCGGCACTGGCGGGGCAGAGTTGGGTGGGATTCGGCATCAAACACCACGACAGAATCGGCAGGGTCTCGGTCTCCTCTAGTTCCCTTAGGCGTGTAGGGTGCAGGTATCCTGGGGCATCATCTACATAATAGAGAGCGGCGGGGATAGATCCAAGGTACGCCATACGGGACATTATGGACTCTGCCAACCCTCCTTTTTTTTCCCCCTTTTTTTTTACTCATCGGAGGGGGGGGGGGTTATAAGTTGGGAGTTCCCTTTTTCCTTCTCTAGATGAGATACTGTAGATAACTTATGATTCTACGTATAGGAAGAAACGTGCCGATGTGTGTTGTCTTTTACGTATACGTCGACACGTGGGCTAGGCGTTCATATATGTAGTGTAAGGCCGGCACTACTGTTATGGGCCGACGGGCGGTCCCTTATGTTAGGTGAAGAGGGCGACGAGATATACCACGTGCTAGAGACCGCATGTAGGTGCCAGACGGCGACTTGCTTACTACGAACAGCGGCTGTAGGGGGGACAGGAGGCAATGTTTCGACGGCGATATCTGTTTCTCAATCACGAACGGTTGGCTCCTGCGGACATCCCTACTTGCGCAGTATGTACTCATACACAGGTATATGTATTACCTCTTATATTATCCCTGGGTAGATGTGTATACCTATGGGTGCTTATATCTGCGTACCGCAGACGACGGCGGGCTTGTGAGCTTTCCAGGTCAGCTATCTACTATATATGTCTATGTAGCATATTGGATAAGGATATACCATATGGCAGTATAGAAGATATTGCAAGATATAGGGTACATAGCATATAAGATGTATGTGTATATGTGTGTATGCAGGACAGAGGGAGAGAGGGGGAGAGGAAGAGGAAGAGAGAGAGAGAGAGAGAGGTGTGACACACCAGACCCGGTTCCTGTGCGATGGCGTTTGATCGGCTACGAACCGATGGTGCGGCGTTGCCAAGGGTCCGGGATGGACGAGGGAATGTGTCTGACCTGAAGGAATCGGAACGGGAGGACTACTACCCTAAGGGAACCTGAATCCGGAGTGCGTGAGACGGAAAAGAGGGATGATTTTCAGGAACGGTACTTAATTCGAGGCTATTATACCTAGATGTCAGGTACGTGCATTTGTGGCTAGATACCTAGGTAGGTATTCATATTAGGTGCATAATACCTGCTATAGCTACCTACCTAAATCCCACATTTCATAGAGGCAGGTAATAATTATAGAGGGAGGTAGGTAAGTACCGAGCTTCGTAACGGCTATGAGAATGCGTTTAATACCTAGTACCAATATATACATACCCTCCCTTCCCCTCCCCCCCCCCAAAATGCAATCAAAATCCAATGTCGTCGAGGTGGCATCGCGTCTCTGTCTGCTTCTTTTCTCTACATACCTACCTACCTACCTTTACCGACCCCTACGGCTTAGCTCTCTGCTCGGAACCCCCCAAGCCGGCGCTAGGGGCACGAGGAGCATTGTCCTCTCCGCCCAGATGCGTTCGGACGTTGTTATTCTTTACGTCGGTATGTAGGCCGACCGACCCATTGCTGACTGCTGTTACCTAGTCTCCTCTCGGCGGACTACCTATATCGTAATGGCATTCGCTCCGCCACCCACGTCTGGCGGCGCCGAGCGAGACTCCGTTTCGAGCTACGCGGACGGATACTGCTCTCTTACCTACTTGCCGCCTACGTACGTAGCTAGGCGAGGTTGGCTGGGGGGCCACCGGCAGCCAGTCGGAGGGCGTCTCTTCGGCATATTCGCAAAGAATTCCAGAATCGTTCGCTCGGTACGCGTTGGTAACCATACGGATAATTCTCCCCTACTCCTCGCCCGCGCGCCTGGTTCCCTTCGGTGGATATTTTTACTTCTCCCGGGCCGGCCGTGTGTGTCTACGTATGTGTTTGTGCGTCGTGTGCGTGCGTGCGTGCGTGCGTGTGTGTGTGCGGTGTATGTGTGGCGTATGCGTGGGGGGTTGTCTGTGTGGTCCACACGTCTACCTATGGTATGCATTACCTATCTCGTGATGGGAGTGGTGATAATGCGCAGGCTTGCGTGCGTCCCATTATGCGCGCGGGCGGGCGGGGAGACAGAGACAGGGAGAAAGAGGGAAAAGTGCTTGATGGGAGTGACGGCGTCGTCGTGCCGGGCAATGAAACAACAGTCTGGGATTCTGAATCACCGACGAGAAGAACCAAACCCCCCCAGTCCGCAACTACCCCTGGCCCCGGCCCTGATCCCGGCCGGCGATCACACACCACAACAACTCAACTCAACTCTCTTTCCCTCTCCTCTGCCTGTTTCGGGAGACGCGGCCGCCACAAGTCACGATTCCCCTCAGAATGTTTGGTACGCCTTACCCCGTTCAGACAGCGAAACCGACCATGGCGCAATATCTCGATTCCCACCTGCAGGCTTGCGAGACAGCGAGCTTCCCGTTATGCGAACCGAGCCCAGAACGAGGTAGGTAGTTTGTTTCACTATCATCGTCTCTCGTACTCGATTTCTTTTCGGGATGTGGCTAGAAACATTCTCGGTCTCTCTCTCTCGCTTCGTCTCTCTTGCTCTCCCATATTCGTGCCTTGCCTTGCCTCGCCTCGCTGTGTCTTGCTTTCTCCCCCGTCCCGTCGCTGTCGCAGCCGTCCAGTGTACGCGCGTGTGTATGTATGGATATACCTACTCATACCTATGTAAATGCTGCTCGACCCTGTTGCTACTTACTCGCTTCCACGTGGTGTCGGCATGTGTTATACAATCAAGACCTCATACGAGCACGCATACATACATCCCGTGGTCCCTGACATATCGCTCACTGCGCGGTGCAGCCACACTGAGAAATCAATGTCGCATAAACTCGCAAGCCCCGTCTCCCCCAGCCCCTGAGCCGGGTTCCTTACGTGTGTGCGTTCCACGCAGTACCTCCGCAGCGTAGCATACCATCCCTCACCATCCCTCACCCCCCTCACCTTCACCCGTCATCCACACACACCTCCATAATCCTACGTGGGTATGTACGTGTATGTAATGTGTATGTATGCGTATGTACGTAGTCTGTAGGTGCCCATGGAGGAAATCTCCCCAGTCCTTCAGACCCATGACGATGAAGAAGTGGATCAGGTGTTTATCGACTCCTTGCGTTCCCATCTCACGCACTGTCTCATCCCCAGCCCCGACGTAATGCTTCAACACCAGACAGGTGGCCATGCCCGCCGGAGCACATATTACTTAAAACTAGCCGGGCCACATCCGTCTCTCTGCCTTGCGTTTCTTCCTCTCCAGACTCTTCCATAGTGTCCTCCTCGACCGCTCCTCGCCTAGGACCTCGTCCACCTAGCCGCCATCGTCGCCTGCTTCTCGCCTTCGTTCTGTCCCGAATCCCTAGTGGAAAAGGCCGTCAATCTTTTTACTACCTTGCCAGCTTCGAATCCTATCGTTTGTTAATCTTCTCCAACTCACCGGCTGAGCCTTTTTTCGCGCAATTTCTCCTTAATTCGTCTGTCTCCACCCAGGATTCTACTCTCTACCGCCGACCTCTTGAAGCTCGTCTTTAGCTAGAGACGCCTTTCACTTCCTCAAAATTTGCTCAACCCTCACCTCCATATTACAAGCAAAATGCAGATCTCCCGGCTCCAAGCTATCCGATCCCGCCTCTCGGCCAGCGGCATCCGCACATCCTTCCGCCGCTCTTCTTCCGCTTCCACCTCTTCGGCAAGCTCTTACTCCTCTTACAGCTCAACCACCTCGTCGCCAGTAAGCGCCATCAACGCTGTGCTATTCAGACAGCCGTCGATCGCCGACCTGGAAGAGGAGAAGAGGCGCTCGGGCCCCGAGCTCAGCATACTTGAGCCCCGACCCATCGTCTACTGGGGCGGCGTCGAAGAGCGGATAGGGATTTTTTAAACAAAGACCTGCTAGACCTACGGGTCTGGGTCGGCTTTGTTCCTTTTTTCGGTCCTACGTGGCGCTGGCGGGCTCTGGATCCAATGGCCATCGTGCCATCACTGTGGCTTCGGAGGCCCTGACACAGACTCACCCACCCACTCACTCACCCGCTCACTCACTCACACACACACACACTCCCCCTCACGGGCCTGGAAGCTGGAAGGTGGCGCGCAATGATAGATATTTGGAAGAGGGACCCCCGAAGGAGTTTCGATGACGACTTTCGAATACGATATGCAGGGATGGGGACTTGTTGACTGAGGACGCATCCTACGATGATGGAGTCATGACAGAATTCGATATTACCATGGCGGGATAACTTATTACTATTACGGTGGCGGCGGCATGGTTAATGGCGTAGGGGAGGGGGCGCAGGGGTTCTATTCTACATTTTCCGGTGCTATTTCACACCCGTCGTTAGCTCGACTGGCGCCGTTATTTTTATATACATTACCGAGATTCCCGTATCGCTCACGAGGAGGAAATTTAGAAGACAGCTTACCTCTCGAGGGAAGCGACTTGGAGAAAAGAATAGGCCGTTGTGTTGAGAACCTATTGCGTGACTGGCTCGTATCTCATCTTTTAACGACAGGGGACGCAGAGGAGTTGGGGCAACCCCTCAAAATACCTACCTAGGTTCCGTAACTTCGTGAGTAAACCGTGCTACATGATCAGTCGCATCACACCGTCACAGAGTTGAAGTACGACTTTTGTCCGACATGAAAGTGAAGGACGCCACGTCTAATGAGCCGCGGGAACATCACACCAAGAAGAGAAGGGGAAGGAAAACGGTTCTGGTAATCGATCGGCTCCTCGATCCCGGCCAGATAAACCGGCCTGCGAACCCCGCCGGCCAGCAACAGAAACGGCAGATAACAACGTATGCAAACCCGTTCGGCCTGACTCACGCCCGTCTTCGCTCCCATCATCAGGCAATCTTGATCGTTCCGCAGTTCTTCCAGATGTGCAGATCGGCTCTTGTAGCTACCTAGGTAGTTATCCAACCGGCACATGTCCTACCTATATAACCCCTTATAACTACCTAACACAACTACCTGTATAACTAACCTTCTGTGTGACTATATAGATAGCTATATAGACACCTGGCACGTTCACGGCGCATCACCAACCCGCCTACCTGGGCTCATATCTGCACAATTATCCCTCCAGCAATAACCCGATGTCTACACAAACAGTCCAGTGGTTTTGCTATACCTAGTGTTTGTCCGCTGCAGTAGGTATAAGTCAAGTCCACGGTCCACGATGGGCAGCGACGGCGGCGGCAGCCGCTTCGAACTGGCCAGTGATACCAGCGACGTGGCCGCGTATGACGACAACCTCGGCAATACCGCCGCCGCCCATATCGGCCTCGCGCGATCGCAGGCTTGGAATCTCTACCTCAGTCACGCGCTCTCGACGTGGAACGCCCGCGGCTACGAGTTTGCCACCGTACGCTTTGCTTCTACTTGTTAAGGACGGGCTGGGGTGGGATGGGGGGTGACACGCTCGCTAACCAACCTGGGGAGCCGGCCAGATCCTCTTCACGGCTGCCGCGTATCCGGACACGCTCACGGCCGCTGCGCTCCGGCAAGCTTCACCCCCCCTCCACCCCTCTCCCGGAGACCCGCGTCAGGGCGCCTGTTAACGCCGGGCCTCGCAGCATGATTATCGTCTACTTCGCCATGATACTCCTCTCGAGCTCGGTTGGGCACTGGGTCGAGCGGTCGCCGGACCGGCTGCGCACGCTGCTCTCCACCATCGTCTGCAACCGCAGCTCCGTCATCCTCGGCTCCGTCTTCTGGGTCCTAATCCTGAGCCAAGAGGACCTAGCTGGCGGGGAGGGCGCCGTCTTCTCCCTGCAGGCGAACGCCCTCGTCAAGGGCGCCGGCTTCGCCGTCACCGTCGCCTTCGGTATCCTCGAGCGCCTCAGCGCCTCCGGCAACCTTATCTCCATGGAGCGCGACTGGGTCGTCGTCGCCGCCGCCCCGGCCGGCCGGCCCTACGACCTGGCCCACCTGAATGCCGTCATGCGGCGCGTCGACCTCGTTTGCAAGCTCCTCGCGCCTATTCTCGTATCCGCTGTCGTCTCGGCCCTCGGCTCCATCCGCTTCGGTGTCGTGTTCACGGGGTTGACGAGCCTCGTCAGCATGCCGATCGAGATTGTCTCGGCGAAGAGGGTCTGGAACAGCAGCCCTCTGCTACGGGCGCCGCGCCAGGTGCCCCCGCCATCGCCAGCCGCCGCGCACCCCCAGATGAATTCCAGGCCGTCGCCTGCAGCGCGGATCAGGCAGTACTTCCACAGCTTCGAACCATACTTCGGCACGGTGGTGTGGGTGCCGTCGGCGGCGCTGGCGCTGCTGCACTTCAACATACTGACCTGGCGCGCCACCTTCATCACGTACCTGATCAGCGTCGGCTACTCGCTCAACATCATCACCGTCGCCCGCGCCCTCGGCTCACTATTCGAGATCGGTAGCACCATCATCACGCCCCATGGCATTGAGTACATGGGGAAGGCTCACCACCATCATCATCATCACGCCGTGCCCTCCTCCGTAGTAGGCGCGAACGGCGGCGACGGCGACGAGTCGAGGGTCGGCTTGATCGCCGACAGCCACCAGGATGCGGCAGGGGGAGACGAGGATTATGATGGTGGTGGTGGTGACCGTGACATTCAGACCCTCGTCGGGCTACAGCGCTTCGGGCTCTGGGGTATCAGCTGGCAGTTGATCAACACGGTAAGCCATACTCGTCTATTACCTAGCACTGATCGAATCCCCATATCGAGTGATACCTATACCTACCTACCTATAGGAGCAGACTACACCTAACAAATAGACATACTGCTAACAAAACCACCCTGCCTCCCCTCTCTTCCCCGGCACAGGTACCCGTCGTCTACGCGCTGTGGGCCATCTCGACGCAACGAGACGAAGGGGGAACCGTAGAACGGGCGGCACCACCGCGGCCGCCACCGGACGTGGCCTGGAGCGTTGTGCTATTCTCGTTCCTCGCCTTCTCCCGGCTCGGCGTATGGGTGTTCGACCTGACGACGCAGCAGCTGACGCAGACGCTGGTGCCGGCACGGCAGCGCTCACTATTCGCCGGCGCCGAGGCCAGCGTCGTCAACGTGTTCGAGCTGCTCGGCGCCGGCGCCGCCATCGCCTTCCCTCATCCTGGGCAGTACCGCGGGCTCGCCCTCGCAAGCCTTGCCTCCGTCCTCGCCGCCTGGCTCATGTACGCGGCCTGGGTCCGCCGCCGCCGCGGCCACCTGGTCCATTGGGAGAAGCTGGCCGGCGGCCTCCTCACCAGCCCTGGCCGCTGGTGAGAGAGAACCATGGCGCTAGAGGCTGTGCGTTGCTGGCGATTCCAGGAGGAATAGGGTCCCTACTCCTAGGGATTTGCTGGCAGACTGACTAGGGGGTGACAAGACCCCCCTCACAAAGAATCGATAGATCAATGGGATGAAAGAGAGTGATCATAGGCACAGTCAGGATGCTTCTCTAGTGTAGGCATGTGTCAAAATGCTACAGAATAGTGTGTATGGACGTGACTATCGCCACGCCTGCTGAACAACACTAAGCCTAGTAGTACACCAACCACCCTTCTCCCCCCCCCCCCCCCCCCCAGAGTAGTCATAGGTATATCTATCCAGATATACCACTGTGTTCCACTTGATTCTCCTCTTTCCGCATGGTTCCGGACCTATGCCCATACACAGTGCCACAGCTATATACAGTGCCTCAGAAATCCTCAACTACAAGTTGTCGGGGGCGATCCAACAAAATTCGCTCGATTGCTGTAGGTGAAAACATCATGATCCTAGGCACTGTGAGTTTTCCCCTGATTCATATGATCTACTGATTCTCTGATCTCTCACATGTATAAAAATCTCCATATTGATCCAGATCACCTACTGATTCCCTGGTCTCCCACACCTATATAAATCTCCATACCCTCCCAACCCAGGAGCACCTCTCTTTCAACTTCTTCCACATCCAACTGCTACTCCAAACCCAACCATCACCAACCAGTCACCAACCATATCTACTGCCTCAACCACAACTGCTTCAGCAATTTCTCCTGCTCTCAGCTTCACTACTCCGGCATTCATCTTCATCTTCAATACATCAACAGTTTTTCATCCCCTTCACCACCATATCTCTGGGCAGAGATACACCCATCTTCAACCACAAGAACCCGTAGGAGCCTTACTACTCTAAGGCTCCTGCCCCTCGGACGAGACCACTTGTGGTTTCCAGTCCAATAACCGCGAGACGGAACCCTACCCTTCATATCCCATGCCCGCGTGTCCCCTCCCTCGCCCTCTCCAGGGTCGAAGACCTCCCTAATTATAAAGGTATAGTTCTCAGACCCCCAAAGCATCTCTCTCTCTCTCTCTCTCTCTCTCTCTCTCTCTCTGAGATCCTATCTCTAACATCTATCTTAAGGGAGCAACTAGATGAGGGACATCTGATAAGATCGCTGGCGACACCCCGGCGTACCCACAACACAACGCCGGGGTCAAGAACACGACACCTATCTTATAGATAACCCCTCGGGCAACGTATCCTTGCTCTAGGTGCTCTTAACTGGTGTCTTTACCGGCCCTACGGCCATAACAAAGGCCACAGACTATTATCTTACGGCCCAAATCAAAAGAGCCCATTTCGGCATGGCTCCCTCCTTTGACGTCTCCCGAGGGTCGGGTCCGTGGGCATCATAGAAGATGTCCCGGACGCTGGTGCCCTCGGGGGTCAGATCTACCCAATATGCTGTACTCAATATGCTGTACCTCAGCCGGCCCCGACGGGAGGGCTGTCATAACATGCCCTCCCGGCGACTGTGGTGGGCTGCCTTCGCTCCGTCATCCCGAGGGAGGAGGACAGCTTGCCCAGCTACATGCCTCCTCCCTCCGGGGCGCCAAGACCAGAGCGGTCAATGGCCAACCTGTCGACGACGAGTGACTCGGATGAGTCTGCTAGCGACTGGGGACACCTCCCCAGCAACGGCGACGGCGACAACGCGAGTACCAACGCTGACAATAGCCCCATGGGGCCGCCGGCCTGCCAACCAACGGCGCCTTACCCAAAGGACTGCCCTGTGGCTGCCTGGGGACACCTCCCCAGCACCGACAGCAGCCGCAGGGCAGACACCTCAGCGCGAGAAACCCGTACGACGGGCGCCGCCGCCGCCGCCGCCGCCGACACGCGCCCAGACTGGGGACACCTCCCCAGCGCTCATCGTAGCGGGCGAGGCGACGGCGGTGGCGGTGGCCGGGCAACCTACAGAGACCCCAGCAACAAGAGTCCGCGGGCGTGCCGGCCCCGGCAGCGGCACAGCGTCCTGTTCGAATACGACGCGTACCGTGCCGCTGCCGGGGCCCGGCGGGGACACCAGGTTCTCAGCAAACTAGTCCGCCTCGAAGGCGTGTGCAGCAAATACGGCGGCTCCTACCTGCGTCCGGGCGCGGACGTAGAGATGGACAACGGGGCGCCGGCGCCGGCGGGGGCGAATACGAAGGCAGTAACGCGTTCCTGATGCCTACAGCCGCCGGCGCCCCGGCTCTGGCACACGCGTGTGCACCCTCTCTACGCGGCGCGGTACGGCGACGACCCCAATTGGGGCGTCAATGACGCGCCGGGGGTGCTCCTCTGCCAGAGGTCGCCCCCCGCGCATCGCCGCCCGGCCTGATGAACGTAGCGGGACAGCTCATCCCGACTATCTCTCCTACCTCCTACCTCCTGCCCTGGGGCCCTACCACCACTTCCACAGGGCCCTGGGGCATCCATCTGTCCCACCACCCCTACGGGTGGTGTGGAGTTGGTGGTTCGGCACATGGAGGGTTTCGCCCTGACCACACCAACTACGCACGCGACGGAATACCACCAGCCTTAACACTAGACGACAAGCGCACCACACACACACGCCAGCCCGCAAACGAGCATCGCCTCCCCAAGGGACCAGGTGTCGTGGTCCCTTGGGAAACGCCGGCAGAGCGAGAGGCGCCTCGGGATAAGATTGTCATCTTTACCCAGTTTACTAGGGTTCTGATAGCGGAAGCTGATCCGCACACTTCGCCACTGTAACTTCTTCGCCAAGACTGGAATTGGAGAATAGGGGAACGACAGGGTGCTTGCGGGTATGCGTACGGGATTGGAGCCGTCCGCGATGCTACAGGACTCGTCTTACTTGATACCGCTTCTCCTTTCCTTAGGACTAGCCTAGATGTCATGTTGTCACGTAGCAGTTGAATCAGCCTTATAAGCCTACATACCGCAAAGCGTAAATGTAGGCGTTTACGTTTTACGTCACACATGTTTTATCGAGTTCTCTCACGAGGGAGATGCAGTCGCCTACACTTCCCGCGCGGACTATCCATGTAAACTACTCATGTATGTATAGCTGCCTCAAAGCTTTCCCTCTTTCATCTTGGTTAAGACTAGACCAGGTAGGAGGCAGATCCTAGTATATTACTACCTACTACCGTCTTCACAGTGGCCAGGTTATCGCCGTTGAGTGCTTCACCAGACATGATTCAGTGAAGATAGTCATTTCCGACAATAGTATAGGAAGGAAGTAGATCTACTAGGTCCTCGACCTTAGTAGACTCCTGTGTAGGCCTGAGAAAAATCCCCATCATGTCGTGGGGAGGCGATTCATTCAAGAGAAAAGACCACAACGACAGCAACTCGGAGTAGTTGGCCACCAGGGCCAGGCTTTCGGGATGAAAGGGGTGACCTGTCTGCCTCGACAGAATCATTAAGAATCATCTTCCAAAAGGCATTGCGCGGTGTGCCTTCTTCAGGAGGTCGCTCCGGCCAGTCCGCAATGTTGAGTCCGAACATATTCATCCACCGCCGAAAAACATCCGGCGTCCCCGTCCAATTCTCGGCGCATCGCACACAGGCGAAATACGCGTCGGGGATCCACGAGGGTAGATTTAGCGCATAATCCGTTCTCCAAGAAGGAACCCCATATCCCCTCGTTCCCATACACACTTGAAGACACCTTCGGTGATGGCCGCCCGCTGGGAAATGCCGTAACTGGGCCAGAGCGGCCCCGCCGCGCCCCAATCCGTAACGAGACCGAGAAGCCCGCTGAACAAGTGAGGATCGAAAGCCAGTGCTCGTAAGGTCATCCGATGTAGCTTGCAAAAAGTCTGAGCGTGAGTCTTGAGGACCTCTACTACCCTTTGAGAGCCTGGTAGGACAACCCTCCAGAAGCGTAAGGAAGCTTAATCCTGTCAGGTAGGACTAGCTCCTGAATGATCCAAATACGCTCCCACCACAGGAGGTTCGAGAGCTGCTGTAAGGCTACGATGGGCTCACGCTGCGATATCTAAACGCCTAGTCTAGTATCTCAAGGGGTGGAAGGTCCCTTCACTTTGAGGGACCTAATTTGCTCTTACAGTAGACGGAGAGTAAGAGAAGACGACTAGCTTCGCGGGATGACAACCTTGTAACCGGCCGAGACCGGTTGAGGCTCAAGCCAGCTTCGAAGGGGGTAACGCAGCGGTCTCATTCTCCCAAGTCAGTATAGACAGACAGCCCGCTTCCTTCCTTTGTGGGTGTACCCAATGCGACCTCGAGTAAAATTCACGATTGACTCTACTGTCTCGCCTCGCTTCTCGAGCAAGCAGCCCCTCCTAATCCGTTCGCAAGGCCATCTCTCAGAGGTCATGACATGCTTCAGTCATACGAGCGGCCCGTCGGGAAAAGTTTGTCGGGACAAAACTTCAGATACGATTTGGCGAGAGTCGGAATAGCTAAGGGGGGGTGATAGGAACCTAGAGGGACACGACGACCGCTGGTTCCTTTCTCGCTACCATCGGTGATAGGCAGCGGCATTGCCGCATTGGTATACCCGGCCGCTAACACACTCGAAGTACTGGATTCCCTTTTGCCTCGACTGTTGGCTAAATGGGAAGCTTAGCGTGGCTAATTGACCAGAAACAGCCAACGATATGCCTAGTCGAGGCCAGTCCCTCACGGATAACGTGGGGAGACATACTGAGAAGCCTTGACAGCAACGAGGCCCACGGCGCGGCATTAGGCCCAGGACATGGTGGGGGAGGCGAGGAAAGCGCTCGCGCCAAGAGTAGGCAAAGTCCGGCTTGGGATGTAGAAGCGCGGAAGCTGGAGAAGTTGGTGATGTTACGTCAGGAGGTTGGATGGACAGACGGACATCATGTATGTAAAGGGACAGGTGTCTAGAGCTGGGACTATCTACATGAGATATGTACCTTTCCGACATTCGAGAACCGAGGCGTCACTTCTTGGTAAGAGGGGGAGCTCGTCCTCTCCAACCTCGTATACACATACCTCATATATACGCATGTGTGCAATACGTATGCCTCGTGTTAACCTGACACGAGAATTATGCTACTATAGAGTATACATTAGGTAACCCGAAGGACATCTGTACTGTAGTCACAGCCGTAGCCATCCGGCACATCAGTTCTACTCAGCCTACTCTCGCCCGCTGACGACATACCTCCCACCTACTTACCGGAGCTTCGTGGGACGGGACCGATGCTCGAGTCGGACATGATGCAAGGCGAAACCTATGTTATTCACCCGCCCCAGTCGCTCGTGTCTCAACGTGCGTGATTCGTGTTAGCGGCCACAGGGCCCGAGGGGACAGATAGATCGCACAGGCCTTCCCTCGTCGGGACATAAAAGGAGCGCCGAGTTCCTGGGCCCGTCTCGCCGGCCATACCCTACCTTGCACGCAGACGCTACAGAAGGCCTAGCCCATCGATGTCGCACCGGCACAGCTCGAGCCCGCCGTATCTAGCATCCCGCCCTCGAGCCTCCAACCCTGCCCTCCATGGCGCGGCGTAGAGTCAACGCCCCCGTTGGCGTGGCAGGCTTCCCGTTTCTGCCGGGCTTGGTCCCGGGGCTGCCCGGCGTAGCCCTGGACGTCGGGGCCACGGTCAGAGTCGAGGTCGACGCCGTGGCGAGGGAAGCTACGCCCGCCAACGATGACGACGACGATGACACCCGACGCGACACTAACGCAGGCACGGCTCCTGCCGCCCCCGAGGACGGCAGCAGCGCCAGCCACGCCCAGCTCGATGACACCGAGCCCGCGGACGGGACCCGCGCGCCGGACAGCGATCGCCGAGAAGAACCCGAGGGCGCGGCCGAGCGCGGAAACCCTGCCTCTCCCCCTCGACCGCAGAGGGCAGACCTGGCCTCCGACCGGGCCGCCCAGCGCAAGCGCCGGCACGCCGAGCTCGACCGCGAGCTGGACGAGCGTTGGGGCCTCGCGGGAAAATAGGCGTGGGGCCGGGGGAGCGGAGCCGCGAGGGCTGGATAAGGGGGTGGAAGTCGCAAAGGGAAAGGGGAATGAGCATAAAGGACCTGCAAAGAAGCCTGCGAGGCTTGAAGCTACAATGTGATGGAGGAGCAGTAGAGTGCTTAAAGGTAGGGCAATAATAGGGTAACGAAGTGGTGCCCTGAGTTGGGTACCTAGCGAGACCAAGCAGAGGAAGCGTTTTTTGTTGTTTATGGCTGTGCCTTGTTTATTCCCGCTCCCATTCTGCTGGGCGTTGTACGGGTAGGCAAACCGGCTTAGGCTACGCAGGCAGCGTGTAGCTCTCCGGACACCTCCCACCTTCAACATCCACCATGACTAGACGAGGCAGTGCGGAGCAATATATTTGACACGAACCATGGATCCGTCGCTGACTTCTGCCTGAGAGCCTCCACCTTTTAGCAAAGCCTTTCCAAGCCTATCCTGTGGAGGGGTGGAGAAGAGCGATCTCATAGACGACAAGGTAGTCTCTCCCGTTCGTCCGACCATGATAGTAGCCGCGAGGAAATGCAACAGAAAGTAGTCGTCGGCTTGAGTTCGTAATTAATGCAATGCAGTTTTATGGCCGTTATCCCATCCCTGGCTCTAATCCGACAACTCGAGGATATAATATGTACATGCTCAAGTCCCTTCCCAACCACATGTTAACGGTCTAAGCACTTGATAACCAGCATCAGGCAGCACATCCACCTATCGAAACTCCCCGAGGGAAGCCTCGCATAGATGGGTTGGTAAACCCTCCCCCCTAATGGCTGGTCTTAACCGTATAATGCAATCCGAACAAGCCAAGCGTGCTTCATGGAGGGTGAAATAATCCAGACAACGCCACCCGCCCGCCTCAAACCCGAGGCTCCTGACACCAACTCACTGACGCCACGTGCCGAGCACATAGCGACATGGGGAACATCCGGGCCAATATAAATGCATGACAAAGTAGCCGCAGGCTACGGAAAAGGAGGGGGATGCTCGTAATACGGCGAGATGATGCTTGCGTCGCCGGCAAGCCAACTGTCTCCCCCAAGATACGGGATATGGTAAGGTGATGCCCAAGTCAAAACATGACGGGTAATAACCTAGGCGACCGGGATTCGGGATCGAGAGTGAAATTCATAGGCCGAATGCGTCACACAAGTTGTTATTCGTAAGGCCGTCATCCAAATGAGGCCTCGAGTATCCTGACACTGAAGACACCCAAATGTGAAGAGGTCATCATGGGTTATTGCCAGTGTAGGGTTAAGTATGGCGGGCGATATTAGTCCGAGACCTCATCTACGGGCAACTTGGTATCCGTAATGCCGAAGATGGGGGCGTTCTTCTTGGCCCACTGGCGCGTGAGGAGAGATGCTATAGATAATTAGCCTCGAGATCTACAAGGAGACAAGAGTGCGAGTGCTGGGCTGCTCACCTTTCATAAATCGCTTGCTGGCGTACTTCTTGTAGAAGGCTTCGTGGACGATGGGACGAGCCAGATAGTCAACCATGAGCTCGAATACGGGCTCAATCTCCTCCTCAGTGTATCCAGCGTAGTACGCGATCGTCGGGTCCTAAGACTAGTTAGCACGGAGAGCTCGCATGATATTAACGGGGCCAAAGAGAGGGTACGGGCTTACCCATTCGCCTCGGTCGAGGATCAGACGAGCCAGGTACATGGCCGCGGCGGCAATGTGGCTGGGACGGTAAGCCATAAACCGATGGTCAACGATGCTGATCTCCATCAGGAACTTGCCAATCGTCCGAGACTGGATATCATAATCATCCGCCTTGGAAATACGACGAAGGAAGTTCATCGGATTCGGGTAGCTCAGGTCGTAGTTCAGCGTATCGAGGATGAAACGCTCCGCACTAAGGATCTCTGCCTCGCTGAAGCCGTCATCCGCAACATGCCGATAGTTGCTAACATGAGGCGACAGCACCTCTTCATACTTGGCCGCAATGAACATGGCAGTGATGCCGACCAGCTGGACACGGTCGAGCTGCACCACCTTCTGAGACAGGAAGCGATCGATGATGTTGACGGCCAGAAATAGGGTTTCCGGGAGAAGATGGAATCGCGTATGGACTTCGATCAACCAATCGACCAAGATGCCTCGTGTCTTCCACTCCAGCTCATCCTGATGAGACATGTACTGAGGGTTCGGAATCGACTTGCACTCTAGGTCACGGAGGTACTCGAAGATCTCGTGGGCATATTCGGCAGCCATCAAGGGATCGTCGGCGCCGTCATCCTCTAGGTTTGTTACACCGGGAGGGAGCACGAGCTCCTCCTCCTTCTTTGGGCCGTAGCTCTCTTCTGGGGACGCCTTCTGGGTGACGCTCTCGCCCTTGCCGGACTGGGGCTCTGATCGTTCCGCCTTCTTGGATGTAACCTCCTGCGTATTGGCCTTCTTGCGGACCGGCTCCTCCTCGGCGAGGACATCTTGCTTAACGGTAGCTGAAGTGACCTTCCGCTTGTGGGACGCGCCAATGGCACCGGAACCGGACCCGGCACGCTTTACTTCCGTCTTCTTTGGCTCCTTGGTAGCCAACGCGGATCGCGTCGATGTGGCACGGGCCTGGCTCTTCTGGACACCGGTGGGCTGTGCAGCTTTGGAGACGAGGCCCCCCTTGCCTCCGCCTAGGGGCTTCTTGCCTTCGGCAACCTCGCCCTTCCCGACATTGCTGACATCGCCTAGGGCGGCACGTTTTCGCTGGGCGGTAGGATTGGCAGTCGCGGCGGACTTCTTGGACTGAAGAGCCTGCTTCGCAGGCTGGGAAGTAACATCGACCTCTAGAGCAGCGGCCTTTGCACGCGTCATACGCGTAGAGTTGCTATTTTCATCATTCTCGTTGGAAATGACGCGCTGGCGAGCAGGACGTCCCTGTGGCCGCGACGTTAGCCGCTGTGGAACGACGCGTCGCGCCCAACTCGAAGTCGCGGATTTTCAAGGCAAGTAGGCCAAGACGGAGGCAGCATCATAAACTTACTGGAGGCATCTTGACGAGATGAATGAAGACGAGATTGTTGAAATGAACACAACGGAGCTTAACGAACACTAGGTCGAGAAGTTAAAGAGCTAGAAGGGGTTAGTTAGGTGCAGCCGGAGACGAGCATGCGAGGTATGAGAGGATGGTAGTGAAGGGGCCCTGTACTAGCCAAGTCGCGTCGTGGCATGTTACAGAAAGACGTGACATAGATAAGTAGGAAGGGGCTGGGGGCAGGCACAGTTGAAGCCGTAGATGGGAGCAAAACAAGGAACAACAACAACAATAACAACATACCTAGATCCTCTTCGGTTCTAGCTTGGATGATGAAATAAGACCTCTGCACGTCAATGAGCCGCTGGCTTGAGCATCAGCGGCTGGCCCGACCCGAGGCAGAGGCGACGCGACGACGCGAAGATGGGTATCACGAGAGACAGAGAAGGAAGCAAGAGGCGAGAAGGAGGGACGAGAAATGCAAGTGACGATGAAGGATAGGAGATAGAGGCAAGAGAGAACTGGAGAGAGAAGTAGAAGAGGTGGATTTCCCGGTGGAGGGACGGCGTAGGGACGGCGTATGTTTTGGAGAGCAGCAGGATGTTTAGATCGGGGTTTGGCAGCGGGCTTTTTGTGTTGAGAAGAAGGAAGTGGAGGCAGCATACCTTGAACGAGAGAGGGAACACCAGCAGAAACTGCTGCTGCTGTAAGGTACACGGTCCTGGACGCGAATTAGAGCCGACGAGGAAAGCCGACCCCTGTTGCGTGTCTCCCACTGCTTCTTTGGGTAAACCAGACCGGGTCGGGCGCTGGGTGTGCTGAGTATGCTGGGCTACCAGGGTGCTGGGGGGGGGGGGTTACTGGACGCTACACGATCCAGCAAGTCAGTGGGACGCGATTCGGCTCCAGCAGCTCGAGCCACCGCAGTCCAATGCTCCAGACAGGTTTTTATGTCGGTATGGAGACCTCGAGTGACGGATCTGACGAGGAGGATACGACGAGGAATGGTCGACAACAGGCTGCGCGGGCGAGACGTATATCAATTGGGGCCGATATACCGTTGGGGCGACGAGGGCGGGAAGAGACACGAAGAGGGATATAGGGAGGATGGGAATGCGAGGGAGGGGAATTGGAATTGGAAGAGAGGAGGGAAGAAAAAAAAGTAGAGGAGGTACGTAGGTATTTGTGCGGCAGTGGGAGGAACAGCAGTACAACAAGCCAGGGCAATGATTAGGTCGTGTATAAGACGCGATCTGGCTGACGAGCGGGCGCTACACGGTACGAGGCTACTTCAAAGCCCGCGACGCCAGGCACACAACACGCCTGCCACTTGACAGCGAGGACCCGCACTTGCCGGGGAACGTGACTGGCCCCACCCGACGCCCTCATCAACAGTGGCAACCGCGGGGCAACGGGCCTTCCATTGGCCATGCCGCGGCGGGCCCGGGGCGCCCTCTCTCTTCCGACCAATCCGCTGACGTGATCCCGCGTTTGCTGCTGCTGCGAGATCCATCGTGTGTGGCTTGAGCGTATCCGATTTATGTATGCATATATATCTGGTTGCCCCGATAACGTGCCCGCATTGTTGCCCGTGCATATCTCCTCAATAGAGAGACCTAGGCAGGAAACCAAAATTAGTGCAGAAACCTGCGCGAAACGAACCGTCATTGTTATCCGTCGCGGCGGGTTAGATTCTTGTCAAGCCACTTGGTATGTCTGTTTATGAAGCATACGAGCTGCCTAAACAGGCAAGGTACCTTAAGTCCATTGCCTGTTATACGCACGACCGGGTATGTGCGTACGCAGAACATGTATCAATCTGTGTTATGATGCAAAACGTGTGGACTACCTATGGCAGAAGGTCGGCCCGTAGCTTAGCTTAGCGTAGCGTAGTGTAGCTTAGGTCATAGAGAAACTGGCCCAATTGGAGTCGATCCCCCGGCTGCCCCTCAGCCGACATCCTTGCAAGACCTCAGAATAGCTTCTCTTTTTTTTTTTTGCCTGGGGAGCTTACCAGCTTACCGCCGTCGAACCTCACCACCCTCCGAGGCTGGGCTAGCTCTTCTCATTTGCTAACTGACCCGCCACGCCCCCCCTCCCCCTCGCCCCGAAATGACACGATGATACAACCGCGAATCTTCTCCGCCGCCGCCCGGAGGGCGCGGGCGGGCAGGGCGCTGACTATCTGCCAGCCCTCGCCCTCGTCCTCGAGCCTCCCCCTCCGGAGCTACGCGACAGTTCGCGAGGCCGCCCCACCTCCCGATCCCTCTCTCGGTCGCGCGCCCCGGGCTTCCAAAGGCGAGAAGGCCCCCCCGCGGCCTAGGAAAGAGTACAAACCGCCGTCCGCGTCCGGTAGCGACAAGGAGTCGACGGTGATCATGCGCACGTACAAGCCTATAAGTCCCGGCCTGCGACACCTGAGGCGGCCCATCAACGACCACCTATGGAAGGGCCGGGCCTTTCTTCCACTGACCTTCCCGAAGAAGGGCATGAGCAAGGGTGGGCGCAACAACACCGGCCGCATCACAGTCCGACATCACGGCGGTGGCGTGAAGCGAAGGATAAGAACGATAGATTTCCACCGCTGGATCGCTGGCCCACATACCGTCGAGCGTATCGAGCACGATCCGAACCGGAGCACGCATATTGCGCTGCTCAACGAGGAGGCTACCGGCAGGAAGTCGTACATCTTGGCATCCGAAGGCATGAGGGCTGGCGATGTGGTGCAGAGTTTTCGGTCTGGCATCCCTCAGGAGCTGATCGACAGCATGGGCGGAACTATCGATCCTGGTATCCTAGCCTCTAGAACGGCGCATCGAGGGAACTGCCTGCCGATGCATCTCATTCCCGTCGGCACGTCGGTGTTCAACGTCGGGTCCCATCCAAAGGGAGGCGGCGTCTTCTGCCGAAGCGCGGGCACTTTTGCCATCGTCGAGAGCAGAGACGAGGAGACGACGGACGATGGCGTCAGGGTCATGACCGGCAAATATGTTACCGTCAGGCTGCAGAGCGGGGAGGTTCGGAGAGTCAGCAAGGACGCCTGCGCAACCATAGGCGTTGCTAGCAACCCCCATCACCACTACCGACAGCTTGGCAAAGCCGGCCGGAGCCGGTGGCTGAACATCAGGCCGACCGTCCGCGGTGTGGCCATGAACAAAGGTGTGTGGCAGATGACGCATCGCTTTCCCTATGAAAATACTGACGAGTTCTTTCTAGTGGACCACCCCCACGGCGGTGGTCGTGGTAAGTCGAAGGGTAACCGACACCCTACCAGCCCTTGGGGCAGGCCGGTACGCTCTACCCACCTCTCCAGGACAATGTGGATATCCGAGTGCTAACCTGTTATGTTAGGCCAAAGGTGGTTACAAGACCCGTAGGACTAGCAACATCAACAAATGGGTTGTCATTCCTCGGACGCGGAACATGGGCAAGCGCAGGAACAAGTCGTCCGTATAAGAGAACGAACTACCCTCCTGCTAGCCGGACCCTGGCAGACGCTGTCCGTATGTATAACATACCTATATATACTGTCTCGGTGAGCAGGGCGAGACCCGATGATCAAGCTGTACTATATCCGATCAAGACCGGGCTTCAGCTTGTCCTTCTGCCGTTTCACGGCGTCCGTTAGGTTGTATGGCCCTATCCATCTGAATGGACGCGCTGTCTGTGTCGCGATCCAACCCACCGTCAAGTTCACCGCCTAGCAAGCGATATATACAAGCGCTACATCTTGATAGTACCGCGTGGGATTCCTGCTTCCCAGCCTGCCTTGCTAGAAGCATCGGGCCCCCCTTCCGCCATGCTTGGAAGTAATATACTATCATACCGACCCCTACTAGTAGAGTATATGTCGATTATAGTCCGAAGCTGAGACATAGCTATCTACAAGCCACCACGCGGATTCTATGTGGGCTAGAGACAGTGAGATACCTAGATCTGCAAGCAGACAACCGAGAAACCCGGCTACAGGGTATCGACAAGGCGTCTTGAGCCACAGCCAAGAAAGGAGAGTGCCATAGTGCATATATATACGCACATAGACCACTCTTTCTTCAGGTGATGTCTCACACTAAAGCGGCGCCCTGTCGCTCTTCGGATGCGCCTAGCTGCCTTCTAATATGTGTGTCTGACCCACACCAGAGAGCTCCTGAATACGGTATTCAGGGGTTGTGCACCCGCCCCCTATTGCGCGGCCTAAAATGACTGCTATTCGCGTCTAAAACGACTGTGCACCGCCCATCTCCACAATCCCTATTGGGATATGCTAGGGAACATGTTTAGGCGGGCAGGAATATTGACGACAGGGTTAGCCGGTTCCAGCTATGTGGGTAGGATATAATCTGTCCGGGAAAATAGGGATAAGAGGATGGACACTTGACATATCAAGTGGTGATTGGTAAGTAGAGATAGGTAGAAAAACAGTCCTTTTGGGGATTTCGGACCTCTACTCCTAGGTTCAATATACCACTGAGTACATACACGGACTCTCCCCCACCTTCTGCTATAGGTTTCAAGCCACAGCGGATTTCTTTTCTCCCACTTCCTTTTTTTCCTTCTTTTCTTTTTCGCTTTTCTAACCAGCTACATACATACCATTCGTCGTCGTCTATCTATATTTAACAGCGTCCTAGGGATCCTCCCAATGCTGGATATCTACCCGCCGGCTCATATATGCAAATGTCCCGGGACATGCAGTCATCCATAGAAGGACTACATACGTGTTTCCGGGGAAACAAGCCATCTTTATGTACGCAACAATGCAATCGTGACTCCGTCGCTGGGAAAACGTGGCGCAACTTATATATACGCATTATATGCCCACCCCTCTGCCTCCCTGTACCTTTTATAAGTCAGGGGGTTCCGGATGCGATGCCAGATGGGTTCCCGCCAGAGCGGAACCAGTCGGTCGGTTCGCCAACTTAGGCCGTCCTGTACCAGTTCGCGACGGGGTCCCCGAGGCACTCGCCGACAGTGACGGCGCGGTAGCCGCGGCTGTCGATGCCGCGGAGCATGTACTCCGTGAGGTTGCGGACGGTCTGCTCGTGGATGTCGTGGGCGATGGCGAGGGCGGAGCGCGGCAGCGACGTGCCCGCGAAGAACCTGTCGAACGCGTCCTTGGAGTTTTGGATCTGGTCCCGCGAGGAGTTGGACCAGTCCGCCGTGTCGAGGTCGAAGTAGATGACGTGATAGCGCAGCGCCGTCATGTCGCTCCAGCACCCGCTCCCCGATGTGCACGAGCTGTATGGCGGCCGCATGTACGTCGGCGCCATCCCGAGGATGTTGATCAGCGCCATCTCGTTCTTGACCATCTCGTCCCTCCGCCGCCACGCCGCGATGTTGCTAAGATCAGCGTGGGACCAGGAGTGCGAAGCGATCTGGTGGCCTTCGTCGTGCATGCGCCTGGGACAACAAAGGTGAGCTTGGATTCCAGTCTATCGATATTTTGAGCAGAGAGGGGCGAGCGCGGGTGGCTTCTTACCTGATCAAAGCCGGCCATACAAGACTACCATCGTCAATCTGCCCCTTACTGTTGGTGACACCATTGACAAAGAATGTAGCTTTGGCTTGGTATCTCGCTAGAAGGTCCAAGAGCTCTTCCGTATAACTGGCGGGGCCGTCATCGAATGTCAACGCGACAACGCCCGCAGTCTCACACTGATAGATGCCTTCGCCTCCGACGGAAACGTCACCTAGCCGGGGACGGCTCCAGGTCGACGTGTTGGTGCCGGAGGGTGTTTTGTTAGCGTCGCAAGCGGGCCCGTAGTCGAACAGGCAGTCCGGGGCAAAGCAGTGTTCCGGAGTGGTACCGCAGTACCTATTGGCGAGAGACGCGTCAGTGAGAGCCTCGGCAATGGAGGACGATCGGTACAAGATACTGCCGGTAAGGCTTACCCAGAGAGGGAGCAGCACTCTGTGCTACTACACACGGCACCCCCGAAGTCGGGACCACACCGCCCGTCGACGGTGCCCCCGCCGTCGCTGGTGCCATTCCCAGGCACACAGCTTCCAAAGGAGGCTTGGCAACCGGCATCGCAATAGTCGGATGAGCTTCCGCAGTATCCGCTAGACGTAGGGTTTCGCGGTCAGCTTCGTGAGAGCGCGACGATCGCATCTGGCTTCACTTACTATTGCGAGCAGCACAAGCCGGTCGGGCAGGTGTAGCCGTTTGTCCCAGCTCCTGTCCTTCCACACGTCATATCAGGAGAAACAACAGGGCCGTTAGCCTGGCGGGCTTGCCATCTCGACGGTGCCGAAGCACAAGCAGCTTGGAGCCCCGCCGCTGCTAACACGAAGAAGACCGGGCCGTGGGATCGCATCTTTGGAGTTGCTCCCAGAAGGGGGAGGGGGGTTCAACGGAAACGAATGAGGTTTGGTGTAAGTTGCTTTTCGTCGACACGTGTGGCCAGCTCGAAGAAAGCTTGGTGATCAGGAGATCCGTCGCTTAGTTGAGTGGTAGGCATAGACTTAAGCATATACGCAGTCAAGGCTGGACAAATCGCAGCCGGGTCGGGTTTATATACATTAGGTAGCTCTGGCGGTGTGCTGCAGAGGCGAAAAGGAAATCTATTCAGGACTTAAGAAAAGAGATCGTCTGATCGCGTATGTACACGGGTGAGAAAAAAAGGAAGGGGGAGAGGGAAAAAATAAGCCGACAGCTACGATGACCACTGAGCTCTCGCGCCGGCCACGACCGCCGACGCCAAACAAGCCCGCGAGCTCGTATTTCTGCATTGTCATTACCTAAATAGCAGTTGGATTACACTGAGACCAACGTGGTGGTGCCGGTGATGGAGTCGGCGCATGTACGTAGGGCAATATTTCGACGCCCCGGAGGAGAAGGCTTGAGAGTAGGGGACCGGGGGGGGGGTCGTCGACGGCCAGGTACGAGGTGACAACGAGCTCGGCTCGACCCCTACAAGAAGCCGAACATGCATACATACTACACACACATACTACCACACCTACATATCATGCCTACATACCATGCCTACAATACATAAACACTACTATAGCTGGCGGGCTCGTCTTCTTCGTCGCATGAGCAGCTAAAAAAAAAAGCGCGCGGGACTCTCTAGGACCCGACGCCTCTTAGCTCGCCCTGCTGGCCATCCCCATCGCCTCGAATCCAAACGACGCCTTAGCGACACATCCTGTCGTTGTTGTTTTTTTCCTCGTATTGAACCAACCAACAAATCAGCGTAGGTCGGAGACGTGTGGCGTGTGTGGGTGACCCGGTTCTGGGCGGGAGCTGAGTTGTCTCTCTGGGTTGCCAAGCAGCGCGCACGGCTGTCAAGACATGAGATTGTAACTGCAAACCGCGCTTCTTGTGTTCTTCCCTTCGCTCGCTCGCTCCCTGATCCTTCTCCCGCCCCCCATCTACTCGTATTCGCCCGTCCTTTGCCTCCCTCTGCCCTTCGACTCCTTCTTGTACCACGGGCAACCTTTTCCCCTTTCGAAGGTCCTGACGACAGACGTGAAAGTTGGGCCCATGGTTGTGACTGCGACTACTGCGTAGCGCGTACTACGTGTGGCTTGGCGTACGGACTTGGTGATCGCCTCGCCTTCCAGCCCCCAAGCCCGGAGGGGTTAGTTGGTCGGGGTAACTAGGCAAAAAGCTTCTCTTGTAGAGAAGGCCACGGAGGATCCACCGCCCTGTTGCTTATCATGGCTTGTCGGCGCCTGGGTATACCACGGTGGAAATTGCGCCCCCGCTTCCACGGTAGACATGAAAAGGTGAAGGCGAACGTACGGGTGGTCGAGGGCAGGTGTTGTCGACGCCTTAGGCTTGGGACTGGTATGTGTGGTGCCCTGGGGGCCCAGGGGTTATATATGCATACCTACATCTATGTATATACCTATATATAGACTTTAGCATCGATGGGTGATGCCCGGAAAGCGGCGCCGCTCTCTACGGACCCGACCCCAACGTCCACTGATCCCGGTTTCCGCGAGCGTCCGGGACCAATTTCCAACACCCCAAACAAGATTCCCGGCTTAGGTTAGGTAGGTACCTGAGTAAGGTGGTATTGGTATGTTTATGTGCCTAAGGCCGGACCTGTTGTCCGCCTATTGCAGAGCTGCGATAGCATGGGGGGGGATCGGGCTCATGAGCAGATCGCTGACGATGGCTAATATTCCGTGTCATCGGTGCCACTTCGATAGATCGTCGTGAAACCAGACGAGAGACGATGACCAGCATCGTCACGGCTGGACCCCGGCGATACACCACCGCGTAGACAGTACCTGCCGACCTAGGTAGCCTTTCACATATACCTATGTATATTGGTACAGGTATATGCCTGTATCCTGCACTATAGTCTGTGTGCATGCAAGTGGTTGAGTGGGTTCACGTAAGGAGGCCGAGGACCTCGAGATCTCCCAGAGGGGCTGGCGGCGCATGAAGAGGGGGGGCGGTTCCGAAGATCTTGGCACCGCGATGGCAGGCTATTCGTTTTACTTTAGAGTACACGTCGTACGGGCTAACAGGTACCTCCTCTGAGAAGTTAGGTTAGGAGGTACCTAATGTAAGGAGGCACCTCAACTGCCTGAAGTACTTAAGGTTATGGTAGATACCTCCTAGGTAGCGTGAGTAAGTGCAAGTACGTAACGTACGTGTGTCTACGTCCTAGGCACCTACCAGGTAGGTACCTACCTAGGTAGGTAGGTGGATACCTAAGGTATCGGTACGCACGTGAGCGCATAGAAACAAGTCTAGCCTAAGTATCCTGCCCAGACATGCTGTATGTGTCGAATGGTTTCGTATTAAAAAAACACGCCTACTTTAAGTGCCAAGTACATAGGTAAGTAGCCTACCCGGTATGTACCTACCTACCTCCTACAAAGTTGTCTCCTGCCTTAGGCAGGAGATACTTCCTACCTGTTTAGGGACCTACCAGGTACCTACCTAGGTAGTATCCGCAGGTTGAAATACGGTGTATTTTGGTCATTTTGGGTATGCACGACCGGAGTCGGGGCCACTTTCTAATGCAGTAGGTTGGTAGGCACGGTCTTGAAATCCAACCCTGCCAGAGCCGAGAAGATACCAAGGGAAATTTGTATGAGTATCTGTGGCATATCCCTCGTCCTCGTGCCATTATATGTAGGTCGTGCGCGCGCCCCGTGTGCCTGATATGCGTGCTTACTTACCTAGGTACCTAAAGGTAGCTGACGATTGACGCTGCCACGGAGCAGATCTTGCCAACCAAGCCCCAGCCACCATCTGCTGACGTACCCTCAGATCAGTAGGTTACTTAACGAAGGATAGGTTCGATTCCTAACAGCGCTACTTGGTAGTCTTCGCTACTTAGCTCATCTCCCTCCTCCTCTAGTCGGGCCATGTACCTGCTACCTATGTATTTTACGTAGTCCTTGTTTAGGTCAGGTAGCTTCACTGCCCAAGGTCGCCTGAAGCCCATGCGCCAATCTGCCGCAAGGGGGCGTCTACCTAACCCTAACATACCTGATGTAATGAGTACATGAGTACATCTTCATATAGGTACCTATATGGTAGGAATCTACGCGGCAGGCGCACCAGCCACACCTGTAACCCTAGGAAGGTGCCTGATGGATAGCATCTTGAAGTGCCCGAAAAAAAAAAGGGAACGCCATGACTAGTTGAAATCCGTTTCTTCCCCCAAAACCGCGAGCACCATCCGCCCTTCACCACCCGGCCTATTCCCTGTCCTCTCTGGAGGCAGATGATGATGCGCTGGCGCGTCTCGGTATTGTAATGTCTGACAGTTCTGAGTCGACTGGCTGCTGTGCTCTGCATGCGATTTCTACCATTGCCGCTGTCCCGGCGTGCCGCTTTGCCGCTGACAGGCATGAGCCCCGGGTTTAGCAAGTCATTCTCGGCTGCATAGCCTCTCTCTTGTCGAATGAGAGAGACACGGACAAAGAGAGACCTAGGGGAGAAAGGGGGGCCCTTGATTATACCTACGATGATCGCTAACCTGGCCACCCCCCCTGGAGCCCTGTTGCCCGCCCAGCGCCAGGAGAGATCGGACGGATTTAGGTACGTAAAGTGGTCGATATTCGGTTGGCATAGCATCGCCCGCCGGGGTACTCTTCTTATGCCGTCTCCCTTCGCATCCTCGCGCCCACTGGTTTGCTCCCTTCGATCCCTTCTTTTAGGCAAATAAAGCGAGAGAGGAATCACGATCGTCTCCAGCCACCGACGATCCGGTCTCCTAGGTGCCGCGCTGGCGTCCGCACTGCCACATTGGTCGTCGTTATTTGACGTGCCTGACTCCCCCCCTCCCGGTGCCGCGCGGCTTTCCCGTCGATTCTACCTATATGTACATGTACCTACTACTCCCTATGTAGCAGGAGACCACGACGTCGAGACACCACCGCCAAGAATCACCCCCTCGGGACCCACGCGACCCATTCCCTCATCGGGTTCCATTGGCCGTCTCGAGGATTCTCAACGCTCAGGACAACTCGCATACTGCTGGGGCCGTCCAAGTACTGTGGAAAAGCAGGGAACCCGGCGGCGAGAGAGGGGAGAAAGAAAGAGTAGATAGCGCCCGCTCCTGTTCTAAGTTCGGGCACTCCTTTCTCTCTAATCCTTGGCTCTTGGCCCTCTTCTTTCCCCGTATTTCATTTGCGCTTACGTCGAGGGGAGGTGGCCGACACCTCGTTGAAATGCTGGACGACGACCGCGCCAATCCGGCGCTCACTACTCCCATCTCTCCTCTCCTTTCCCATCCCTATACCAAAATGCCCGATCACGGTTTCTCGAGGCCGCAGGGCCGCAAGAAGAAGATTACCCCCGTCGTCATCCTCTCTTATGTTCTCGACTGGTTGATCCTCGTCGGCGTCGGCGTCTTGGGTCTGTTCCTCGGCGAGGTTACCCCCAACAAGCGCCACTTCAGTTTGCAAGACCCTAATATCTCGTACGTACTATGGGCACTATGGCACGCGGTGGCCCCTCCCGATTCCCCAACCCGGATCGCGAGCTGACTCTGTCCCTGTAGCTTCCCCTTTACCGTCAGGGAGACCGTCAATTCCACCCTGCTTATGATCTGCAACTCTATCATCCCTATCGGCGTCGTCCTCATCGTTGTCCTCCTCTTCGTTCCGGGACCAACCGTCCCTAAGGGCACACCGAAGTCTCTCATTTGGAAGCGGAAGCTGTGGGAACTCCATACGGGATGGCTAGGTTTGGCGCTCTCGCTCGTGTCGGCCTGGATCATTACGCAGGGCATGAAGAACCTTTTCGGAAAACCGCGACCCGATCTGCTGTCCAGGTGCCAGCCCGACCTCACCGACGTTGCTAAGTACATCGTCGGATTCAAGACCCTCGCCGATGACGGTTCCCTTGACGGCCCTTATAACGGCCAGTTAGTCAGCGCAGACATCTGCAAAAACCCCGATCACGCTTTGCTCGACGACGGCTTCCGTAGTTACCCCTCGGGTCACGCCAGCTCCGCCGCCGCCGGCCTCATCTACCTCTCGTTCTTCCTAGCTAGCAAGTTCGCCATCACGATTCCGTTTGTTCCTCGAGATCCGCAGTCGAGCGACTCGATCGCGGTCACGGCCTTCCCGTCGCGCCTGCGCGCCAGCGGCCCGAGCCGAGCTTACGAAGCCGTACGATCGGCTAATTTTGGCGATCGCGTCGATTCCGCCACGGTTAAGGAGATTGGCGCTCACAATTCTGCCGTGCAGGCTATTCGCACACAGGCCGCCGCCCCGCCGCTCTACCTCCTCTTCATAACCGTCCTCCCTTTCTTCACGTCCATATTCATCGCTAGCTCGCGCTGGTTCGACTTCCGACACCACGGATTCGATATCCTCTTCGGCTTCATAATAGGAACGATCACGGCCTGGTTCTCCTTCCGATATTACCACCTCCCCGTCCGATCCGGCGCCGGGTGGGCGTGGGGCCCGCGCAGCCACGACAAGGCCTTCTGGGCCGGCCTGGGCTCGTGGAGTTACGCGACAGACAAGAATCACTGGGACCGACCCGGCGACGAAGAGGAGACGTTCGCGGGCCATCACCACGACGACATTGAGTTGGGCGTGCGATATAGGCCCAAGGCTGAGGACCCGCCGCGCGGGGAGGGCGCCGAGGCGGCCGGTATGAGAAGCGTCGCGCTCTGAGGAGAGCGAGGTGACCACATTCTCGGGGTGGCATGACAGGACTGTTGAGTATCGCTGGCGATCCGTTCGGCGTACGAGGTTTTAGGACAGCTTATTTTTATGTACTTTGCGCATCTATTGTGCATGTAGTGAGGAGTGTGCGTGCGTGCGTGCGTGCGTGCGTACATATATAGATAGCAGAGATCTAGGATGGCTAGATCTTGGCTCTCTTATCGGCGGAATACCAGAAGAACATATCCCCCCCCCCTCTCCTTATCTCAACTCCCTAGTTCTAGTGTTGAGACGACTCTGTTTGTCCTCGCCGGATCGCATCCAGTAAGTAAAAGCAGGATAGGCCGGGGAAGAGGGCGTTTAGCTCCGCGAGTGGTCTAAAAGTAGTAACGGATGATATGTACAGCGCCGGCAATTCTGCGGCTGGGGATAGGAATCCCCGATTCCCGCGCGATACTGGCCGATATCAGGTCCCCGCGCGCTCCCTTCCTCCCCCGGGCGGGATCCGATCTATTCCTGACTACTTTCGGTCCCCGCCTCGCCACCCGGGGTCGGCCCTGTCGCTAGGGAGGTCAAGCGCGACGACGAGACTCGGGACTTGTCACATGTATTTTTCTCATCCTCAGCGAGGCCCCGTCGGTTACCTCTTCGGGTCGGCGGATGACGCGGATAAAGCCATACACGGCTTTATAATAGCTGTAGGTGCTCATACATACACGCTCTGCCACGCGCCCCGATGGCACTAACCCCCCCCCCCCCCGGCGAACCGACTTTACACACTGAGACAACTTTGCCGACCCCCCGTTACCCTTGTCCGCTGTCCTCGAAGTTCGCTGCCCACCCGTCCACTCCATCCGATAGGCCACCCCCCCCCCACCAACAGCCGCGGGTGATGACACCCCGAGATAGGGAGCAGGAGCCAGTGGTCTCAGTCTCTCCCCGTCCCGTTCCCTTCTCGTCCTATAGGTATATATGTAGAACCCCGTCCTTTCAAACCATCCATCTAGTTCGACTCGACCTAACCTGGCCCAATCCGTCTTGAATTTACCCCGCATACCCCCTCCGTGAAGTAGAATTAAAATCGAGTTCGTATTGATCCGACTAGAAGAAACGAGAACTTCCAAAAAAAAAGACACCACGTGGAGCCTTAGCGAGAGGAAACAAAGAAAAAAGAGAAGAGGGAGGGAGGCATCATGGTATCAATCAAGTTTTGTTTGCGTCGTACTCGTATTGTTGTCTCCTTTCGAGTTGTGGAAGGGGGGATGTTAGATTAGCTTTGCTGTCGCCGTCATTCGGTATAGAGGTCCAGGTATATGCACTCGTGATGGCGACACACATACCCTTCGGTCCCTTTCAATTCAAACTTCCACTCTTCTTCCTCTTTTTCTCTCGGCCTTGGCCCCTTCACTTCTTTCCTTCCACCCCTTCGCCACTTCTTTTCGTCCATGGGGCTGCGGCTTAGCCCACGACGTGCATAGCGTCTCCCTCCATGGCCTCTGGGTCGACGTCCTCCTCGTCTTCCTCTTCATCGTCGAGGTCCTCGTCGCCAGCGTCCTCCTTAAAGCCGCTCTCGATCTCGAGCTTCCGCAGCCGACGAAGCATGTCGACACGCTGCGTGTTCTGCCAGCGGATAAGGGCTGCTGACGCATGCACCTTGAAGCCGTAGACGCGCGGGATGTATCGTTCTACGCTCTTAGGCGGCACAAGTGCCGGGTAGACCTGAAACATGATGTTGTGGAATGAAGTACCGAAGTAGGCGCCGTCGATGGCTGCGTGTCGCGATGACTTGGGGTTGTACACGTCCTCGCACCGCACACAGTAAAGCTTCACCGGCTTCTGGTGAGGGACGTCGGTCTGACCCATTGGCAGCAGCGGGTGGGAGTGGCAGAAGACACGGGGACACTTGCCGAAGTCGGCCTTCTTGTATTTTTCAAGCTATAGAAAAGGGGGGGTTAAAAACACTTCCGGCTAGCTCACAGTGGGACTGTTGAGAATTGTCAGCATTCCACTCACCATCTTAGCGAGGCCGCGCGTAGTGACGATGTAGCGGGCGTGGATGAGGCCATACAGGTGGCGGGCCGACTTCTCAATAGTCTCTCTCATCTCATCGTCGCAGTCGAGTTCGAAGACGTCGGTGATGAGGTCGAGAGCATATTGATAGTATTGGACCTCAGTATTGAGGCCCGTCAAATTAAAGCGGTCGGTGAGGTAATCCTCGTCTATCTCGCAAAAGTACTCGTTCCCACGAGATGAGATGAACTAGGAGGGCGGGGAGTTAGCATAGGGCTAGGAATTGACGATGACATGTTTAAACAGAGTATCCGAACAGTCTTGGGCCGGGATCCCATCGCGGGACCGTTTCTGGCGGCCACAGTGAAGCGGGACCGCGACAATATGCTTAAATCCTCCCAATCTAACTCCCTCCCTCAACGTAGCTGTGCTCAATAGACGAAAAGGTTATAGATTGCCACTCTGAAAAAAATTTTTTTTTTTTTTCATCTCGATTGGCGTTCGTCGGCGCCGAATCGCCCACGGTGAAACAGTTAATGGCGCGGATTGAGGACAACACAGGCCCTCCCATAGAAATCGAGGACTCGTAATGTTTCTCTAGAGGCAGCATGTCTCTGCATTGCACATTGAGAGGCCAACTGAGGGGTAGGGTCTCTCAACCTGGGGGCATTCGGAGAGTAGCCAGGAAGGAGCCGTGTTTATAGGGGAAACATCCTTAGGCATGGCACCCTGGCGTGTGCTTCTTTGTATCCCCTTCTTTTGGGGTATTCGCTGGAATTGGACAGCCGACCGACAGGCGAATATCGGATTCGCCAGCCAGCCAGCCCGGCCGAACTCGAAAGAGGGGAGCGTGGGGGAAACTATTTGCACTTACCCAATCTCGCCAATAGCTGGTGTAGTCGCTATCGGATTCTGACGCGAACTCGTCCATCATGGTTGCCTACGGGAGGATGAGGAGGGGGGGGAGAAAGAGGAGGCGGGAGAAGACACAGGAGAGAGAGGCAAGCCGGAGCGACGGGCGGACTGTCGTCTTGCCCGCCAGGTGACCGGGCGGCGCTGTATGTATGTCTCGTGGCGCGGGTGCGGATTCCTGCGACGGCAGGAGAAGGACAACAAAAGGCAGAGAGAGAGGGGAAGACGAGCCCCGGGACAAAGCGAGACGGACTAGTCGAACCCGACAGGCCGCGCAGGGAACAGAAGCAGGCCAAGGGAGCGGATGGTCTGGCCGGGGCACGGGGAGACGTCGTGGTTCGGATTCGGGCGCAAACAGAATGGCAGGTCAGTGAGACTTTCGAGGTTGACGAAATGCCGTCGACCTGGATCCCGTTTCAGTGGACTAGTGGGGCCCCGTTCTAACAACCGCCCCCACCAGAAATCATGGGCGGGTCCTCGGCAGAGCCTCGGCAGTCTCGAGTTGTCCCTTTCCTAGCCGTTGGCAAGGTTCTACGGGATCAAGGAATGCGCAACTCTATCTTGGGTGCCTTCCCGTACATTCTTTGTACATACGTCAGGTACGCACGCAAGCACGCGCATACGGTACCCTTGACGTACATCGGAACCTATAGGCAAGTTACGTATTGGTGCCTTAGATGCCCGGATAAGGTACACCCTATCAATCTTGACCTGACGATCGACGCGGAATGTACAGACCTGCATACCTACCCAGGTACCTACCTAGGTACCTCTACCTACCCAGGTAGGTACCCACCTAACCTTGTAGCGTATTACCATTACCTGGAAGGCTCAAGGCTCAAAGGATTCGGCGTACCCTAAGCAGGTACAATGCAGATAGGTACATACATACACGATACCTCGGGTATCTGTCTCCTCGTAAGGAAGGGTTGTTAGATATACCTACCTACCTAGGTACCTAGGTATCTTCTGCTACAAGACAAGATGTGTACGGAAACAGATTTAAAAGGGCCTCGGCGGTAGGTAGGCAGGTGATAACAGCTTGAATCATCTGTATTGAGGTCAGGCGTGTCGATTGTGAGGACACGGCGGGATATCGCCGCCGTCTGTATTGCTATACACACAGGTGAGGGATGCCTAGAGCGAAATCACCTGTATATGTGTGTATATATATATATATATAAGCAGGCGCGTCATCCCTCACTATCGTCGAATACGTATCGCCGACAATCCAAGGCTGCCGTACAACTCTTCTTCCCCAATCATCATGCGGGTAGTGCAACATCAAAAGAAGAGGGAAAAAGACGAACGCCTTCCAGCCCGGCCACACCTGTATCATATCCTAAACCGCCACCGCACTGTTGCTATATCGGGCTCGCGGTGCTGATACTGCTCATGTCGCTGCCCGATTGCATGTCAGAGCTGACATCCGAGTTCTGTCGCGTTAGACGCAAACTGCCGTTAGCTTTCCGCGTCGGAACCTCGAGTCTCATCATCACGTCGCCGTCGTCCGACTCTTGCTTGACGCGCACGTTCACCAACTCCATAGCCCCCTTGAGCGTCTCCCCGCTTTCGTCCATCGCCGCCAGAAACCGAGCCAACTCCTTGCATAGCTCCCAATCCTCTTCACGAATCGCTCGCGAGAATAGTCGCACCGATTGTTCCGATGCGGCGTCCAGCTCCTCGAACGTGTGTAGTATCAATAGGTAGCCTCCGGCCGTCTTCAGCGACCCGCGTTGGAGCGATTCCTCGAACAGCTCTTGCGGCGGGGGCAGGTACGCAAAGAGCGTCCGCCATGACCTGACTTCGGTTTTTCTCGTACACTGAACTACTATATCCAGGTATTGCTTGAACGAGGATAATAAGGAGAGCACCCTTGGCAGGATCGCAGCTTCTGGCTTCGGCGCCAAGTCAACCTCCTCGTCGAGAACGTGGTGGAGTAGCACTTCTAACCCGTGTGCGAAGTACTCGAGCGTCTCGTACTGCTGAGCTAGTTTGAGTGCCGCGGCGGCGTTGTTAGCCACGAGATGGAACCGCAATATCTCGGGAAGAAAAAGGTGAGTCTGTAGTCCGTTCGTTAGCGTCGTCTCCGAAACGGAAGAGCACCGTTACGAACCCGGATAGAGAAGCGGAAAAAGGAGAAGCTGATGTCTCTTCGCTGCACTAGTTCCGGCTCGACCCCTAGAATAATCCCTTTGCCCAAGAGGATAGAAAGGGGGTAGAAGTCTATCGGCATACAGACCGTAGGGGGCAACCCCCTTGCCGGCTCAACCGAGGTCGCCCGCAGAACTTCTTGCACATCGGGCCACACCTTTAATTCGTGGCCCTCATATACCCATAGTGAATTGCGAAGACTGCTCTCCTCGTTGCTAACCGGGGAGCGGGAGCTACCATCTTTCAACATGCTGACATATGACTGGTCTCTCATACTTGCGTAGAATTCCACGTTGTGAGATATGAGGCGCATGTCGTATTTGAGCTGTCCTTCGTGATTAAGCGACGGTTGGAGGAGGACGAGCTTCCCGTCCACAAGGAAAAGTACCGATGCAAATGCGACGTCTTGTGACGGGTCGCCGTCCGTCATCTGGCTCTCGGGTAGGATCCAACTCAGCCCCCTCACCCTCGCGGGCGACCTGACAATACCGTGGAAAGCGATCTGGCCCACTTGTATAGGTCGTATAGCGCCAGAAACCGGCGCAAAGACAAAATGGTAGAGGAGATTGTCGTAGGTATAAGCCAGCAAGGAGTCATCCCCTGAAGGAGTAATTAGAACGATAGGCGCTGGCATCTGCTGCGTGAACATCACCGTCGAACTTTCGAGCGCTGCTTCTCTCGAATACAGACGGAGTTCGTACGACCGGTTGGCCTCAACAGCGGCTACAAGGATATGCTGATACCAACACATCCCGCCCCTAACCTGAAACTCGTTCTCCATAGCCTCATTCGCAAACGTCTTCCACCGACCGCTATTCACGCTGTAGTGTGCGAGGCCCCTCTTCCCGGCAACCGCGACATACCTCCCGTCGGAGGATATGACGGTACACTTAATCGGCCATTGGTTTAAAAGATAATTCGAAGGTATCCTCGCATTGTGCCAAAGGAATGGCTCGGCAGATATGCTGGTGAGGTCCGGGAGATCATAACCGCGGTAAACCATGACGCTGGATGAGCTCTGCAATACGGTGCGGAAGAGATTCGGGGGGCTATAGCAGCCAGTCACAGCACTCCGCGCCATCTCAAGCAACCAGATAGCCTCGCTCTGGGGAACGACCATTAATATCTCGCAAGCCCCGCCGATCCAACAAGCTTCCGTTATACCGTCCAACCACCCTTCCCGATTGGCAAAGCTAATCGAAGGGTTGGCGCTGAAGCTATGACTAGCCGTCTTGCCAAACACACTCCACGTCGCCCACCCGTTTTCGTAGCCGGCAAAGAGGCAATATCCATCAGGTGAATAGCTCAGAGTGGTAAGGGGACCTGAGGCTTCCGGGGAGACCGGGAGTCGATGGACGTGGGAAGAGGGGATATTGCCGGCATAATCCCGGGCGGAATATACGCGGATGCTCCCGTCAGCACAGCCAACGGCAATCAGTGAAAACCGAGCGTTGACGACGGCTTTCGTAGCGTGGTCTCCGCCCCTCTGTGGAGAATGGAAGCAGTAACCTTTGAATAACTTCTTAGGATCGAACTCGGCATTATCCTCGGCTTGACGGGCCGAGATTCGTTGGACCGCGTAGGCTTTGCCGTCGCTCGTGACCCAAGTAGAGAGGTTCATGGGCCGATCATGGGTCATTTCTTTGATCGACACCTTCTTCTCTAACCAGCCCATCCGACTGACAAGCTCGGTGCTGGTTTGATTGCCGGTGCTGTCCGGGGTCCACCGAATACATTGCACAGCGGCCGGCTTCTTGGTCGCCACGACCAGCTCGTCATCGAGGGCGATAGCACACTGAATACCAGCATCGACTTTGATAACCCTCCGAAAGCGGACGCTAATATCGCGGACCCCAACCCCTTCGCCCGGTCCTAATAAGATCTGGTCGGGGGCGTTGTTACCGGGACCTCCGAAGTGGCTTTGCCGCCGCCTTTGTATATTGCTGTGATCTGAGAAGTGGGGTTTGTACACGCGGGATTCGGCATCGGTCGCGAGCGAATACGTTATCAAATACCCCAGGCTAGTCTGGACTACGAAGATAACAGAATCGGGTCTGAGTAGAAGCGCTACGTTGGTGCCGTAGGATTTGACGGATGCTTCGGATCGGACGACAACGGCCTGGATTACGGTCGGCTGCGAGTAGGTATGCCGATTAGCATGTCAAGTGACGGCAGTATCGCGCAGGACACCGACCTTGGTCTGCCATATTGTCATGGTAGTGGCCGTAATAACGGCGAATAGGTGGCCTGTCCTAGATACCTTCAGCGCAACGACAGGATCCGAAGCTGGGATGCTGGCGACCGGCCCAGACGACGGAAGAAACTGCTGAAAGCCTTGCCAGCCCCCATCGTGATAGGTATCATGCTCTACGGAATTTACGGCTGGCGTAGCTGGGGTTCTGAGGCCTGGCGTGATGGGTGGCGCGAGGGTGTCTGGCGCAATTCTGTCGGGCAGGTTTCGGTCTGGTATGCTGCTTCGATCCGGTTCATCGTGTATTATAGGAGGCGGAGGCTCGATACTGGACAAAGATTTGCTGGACAGCGATTCATTGTCGGCGGCGGAACCGGAGGCGATGCCATCGTGAGATAGGATAGGATTCGAGGTCGAGGTGGGAGCTTGGGTGGTTGTCGCATACACTCTAGGGGTTCCGATAGGCCAATACATGGCTAATCAAGGCTGTTGGGACCTTCATCCGCATGCCCAATTGTCGGGATATCATAGGCAGGGAGGGACAGCGAGGATTCTGGCAGCCAATTAAGCTGCTATCTCAAGGCTTCGTCTGCCCGCAACATGGCGAGACGTAAAGATGGACGGCGCGTTCTGGAGAGGGCTGGCCTACAAAGAGGTAGGTAGGTAGGTAAGAGGTAGGTAAGTAGAAGGAACTGGAGGTGTTAAATGCATGTATGATGTATTAATGTACACATACCTGAGGTTCTGGGTTGACCTGCAATTGATGTCAATCCGCGGGAAGACCGACCAATCAATTGTGCCTGTCATGAGGAGTGGATCTGGGATGAGTAAGTACATAAATACCTACCTAGGTAGGTAGGTAGGTACCTTAGGTAGGTATCTGCTTACCTCAGGTGCTTTAGATACCCAGGTACTTACCTCTACATACCTGCCTCATCATGCTTTGTTGTTGTGTGATTTATTCTACAGGCTTTGGAATTTTATTAGGTTCCTACTTCCCTAACTCTCCATGTGTTATTAGGTAAATGGGCTACCTCCAGGAGGCAGGTACCTACCTAGGTACCTACCTTGTAGGTTATGGGCACTGCTTAACTTGTTTTAAGACATATTTCCGAGATATAGCATTAAAACCCTATATTATTTACGTATATATCCATAGAAGACCTGGCAGCCCTACATTATTTAGTTATGCAGTATGATGCAGCGCCCAGCAGCACTTGAAGTAGCAGTTGGAAATACAAACATTACCTTACCTACCTACATACGCGGCCATACCAAAACTGAATCAGAGGGGCAATATCGCCTTAACTTCCCTGTCTATATATTCTCTGCTTCTCCCAGCTAGTAATTCTTCTCCGTTAACAGCTCTAGGATGAAGAGTTATTGAACCCGTCACGCCGAAAGCTAGACTTGCAGCTGTCTTTGTCTCCAATCGTCAAGGGCTAAGAGATGGCGCGCCTACAACCCAAGACGTCTGTTGCGCCTGAGAGGCTCAAGACTCTCTTGCCTTCTCTGAAGCCGACCATTTACCACGACCCAAGCGCGAAACAAGTTGCAAATAAGTAGGCTGACCCTTTTCTTATCTGCCCGTTAGCTTATGCCGTGGACTTGGATTCCACTGCCCAGTATTGAAACCGAATAGGATTCCATTAACTGACCCACTCTCTTTGTGCAGCATCCGCACCATCGCCTGGAATCCCTTAGGGACGTACATCGCTACAGGCTGTTTAGACAAAACTCTGCGCGTCTGTATGCTACTCCTTCTCTCCATGGGTGTTTTCCAAGGCCCTCTGGGCCTGCCGTTCTGTTCTGCACACGGGCCCTGTGCAATTTATCGAAGGCCTGGGTTGCTGATTTATATCTGCTGGTTTTAGGGAATGTGGACAAGCCCAATGTCCGCCAAACAACGGAGCTGAAGGGCCACGCGGCGTCAATCGAAAAAGTGGCCTTCAATCCTGTGAAGGAGCATGAGCTGTGTAGCGTAAGTAGTGACGGTGTGGTTAGATTTTGGGATGTGAAGATGAAGCAAGTCTTGAATGAGGTTAAAGGTTTAGGAGAGACCTTTACCCTGGCTTGGGCACCTCATGGCGAATACGTCGTTGTCGGAAACAAGGTAGGCACTTCCCCACCTGGTTCGGCTTCAAGACTGACTCCCTCTACTCTGGGCTGTAGGAAGATAAATTGTTTGTCATTTCGCCGTCTCAGGACTCGCCAATCTCTTCACACCAGCAGCCTGTGCAGACGAACAACATCGTATTCTGTTGGAGTGGCCAGAGGGTTTTCGCCACTACCGGTGATGGAAAGACAAGAATCCTCTCATTTCCCGATTTCGAGCCCGCATATCAATTCAGCTATAAGGAAGGATCAGAGGCCGAGTTCATGTTAGCTGGGCATACCTCATCTTGCATAGCGGTTGAGCTCCATCCATTCAATCGCTATTTAGCTACGGGTGGGACGGACTCCCTCATCTCACTCTGGGAAACAGCGGAATGGAACTGTGTTAGGACGGCTACTAAAATGACCGGCCCAGTTCGAAGCCTGAGTATGTGACAGAAGTTGAGGATCAACAGCCCTGCTGTTCCTTCCGACCCGTCTCCCTCTTCCTCTCACTTAACATTATTGACACTATGGCGTAGGTTTCTCTTGGGATGGCCTCTACATCGTAGGTGGAAGCGATGAAGGTCAGTTCTAAACCCCAACCTATGTGTTTACCAAGGTATTGGCTAATATTCCCAAACCTGTTGTTTGTAGGATCTGGCCTAGAGGTTTTCAACTCAGAAACGGGTGAGCATCTTTGCACATACAAGACCACCACGCCTTCTCCAATCGTCGCCTGGGCACCGAATCGATATGCGCTCGCGTTTGCGGATTCTGGAAGTCTTCGCGTAATAGGAGCCAGCGCTGGGGGGAAGTAGGATATCCCCGAGGTCAGCCTTTACGACATTTCGGACGAAAGCATATGAAGCTTTCTAGGGCAATGACGCAGCACGAACCACGGCTAGGATTCCATTCATCTACAGGGCAAGTTGCGGGGCAGTTAGATTCAAGCACGGAACACTCTCGTCTTCGTTTCGCGTTGCTGCTGTGGCTTTGGAATTCTTCAGAGCCATCCGGTGGGATAGCTTGGGGTTGATGTGGCCAGCATTGGCGCTCAGCCCGTTTTGGACTCTTCGACCGTCCCGGCCACTTATTCTCCGCGATAGGAACTTCTTCTCCTGCAACCGAGACACGATCATCATCCGAGCCGCGGCCCCAGGTGAATATATCACGCTTAGAAACGTCGAGGCATGGTGTATGATGAGCTTATGGGTCTAGAGGGGTGTGTGTGACCCCCATACCTGTGTATTTAACTAGGCCTGCGAGGCAGAGGGCGTATCACATGAACATGTCAGCTCTGTGAGGTCAACCGAGTGATTGGCGCAATTAGGTGCCCTTTGACGTTTTCAGCAGGTAGGCTCTACGACGTAGGTACTGGTATCTGGCATGGGCCATGCATCAGCCCCAGGATTCGTTCAACTCGTCGCATACACGGCATTTTAGGAGGTGTGCCTCCATTTAGGTGGCTGCCTTAGGAGACAAATCGCATCCCGTCAACACAGCAGGTATATACCTACCTACCTACCTCTGTTCGTGATGGAGGACAATGCATGTATAGGTAAGGGTGGTGTAGTAATTCCGCAACTACGGGCTGTGAGGCCGTCGCGGCCTCCACCGCCTACGCTAGGTTGCATGCATCCATTTGTCAGAGGAGGAGTCGGAGTCGTGAGGAGTTTTAAGGTTGGGTGGTATCAACTCGCTTAAACGGCCTTGATATGGCTTCCACATGGTGGATGGTACCTACATTAGGCATGTACATAGGAGGTACCTGTGTGGTAGATATATGCGCTTAAGGTACCTGTCCTCGCCATGTCCCCGAGCGGTAGCATTATGTACCTACCTAAAGGCAGACGTTATCCGAGTTGCTTAGAAGAGGTATCTAGGTACCTAGGTACGCATACACATATTACCTCTTAGGTACCACCGGCCCTGTCAGCCCTAAGGCATTAACTCAACATAAGCCCCCTTGGGTAGGTACCTAGGTAGGTGGGTATGAGTACGTATTTTCCATGCAGAGCGTCAATTCATGGCCCGGAGCTAAGCACCATTACCATTACTAAGCATATCCGTCTCGTCCCTTCGTTCCCGCGCCTGATTGGCGGGTGTCCCGCTCCCACATCTGTCCATCCGTTACCCTAGGAAGGCAAGTCCTGGCTTCCCCAGTTGTTGCATTCGCGTCCGGGCCCTCTCGTCCTGCTGCCTGTTGTTTCAACTGTCGCGCCTGCTCCCAGGACTTCCTGACCCGGTGGATGACGGAGCTGATAAGCATCGGTTGAAGCTGCATGCGTTAGGTAGGTTATGTCGACATATACCATATATGAGTATATATATATATATATATGCGTGCATAAAACCAGAATACAGCTCCATCATAAGCAGTAGCCTGTGGCTGTGACCCCATTTTCTTGATTCGTGATAACATAGGCCCGGTCCCCTTCCCTTTTCCTTGCTGGGTCTTCTTTTCCTCTTCTCCGTTTCCAAACCTGCCGTCGTGGTTCTTTCGCTCGTGATCTGGCGTTGACCATGAATTGAATTAAGCATAGAATCCAATCGTGGCGGCCCTTCAGCCTTAATTGCTTGGCACTTGACCAGCGTCTTCTTGGTGACGGTACCGGCTCTTTATCCCACTCCCCGCCTTGCCGGATTGAATCGACGGCCCCTTCGCGGCCTTCCTCGCGCTTCTACTTCTCTCTTACGCTAGATTTCGTCGGATCACAACACCGTGTCGGACTTCTCACCGTAATATTTAGGCCGTCTCACCACGCAGATTAAACCGCCGATGCGAAAACGTGGAAACTGAGCACCGGAGCAGGCAGAGAGTAGAGGAGAGAGAGCGAGAGCGAGATTAGACTAGTTAAAGGCACGCTCTCTTCCAATTTTTCCCATATTCGATATCCCCTTTTTGGCATTACCGACTCGGTAGCGGCGCGATCAAGCCGGTAGAGTGACTTGCGGCCGAAGCCCGTCTCGCAACACGCCTCCCCGATCCAGACTCTCCCCTACCCTACCGGCGGCAACACCTTAGCCACTCTGCGCGCTTGCCTTAGTTGCGCTTCTGAACAATGTCTGCTTTACCTCGCGACGATGGCAAAGCGCCACCAAACGATGCTGGCTCCCAAGATCCCAGCAACAGTCCCACTGCCGACGGCCCTTCTCAATCTCAGAACAACAACAACAACGTTCCCAGGCCCAAGCGACTCGCGTGTATGATATGCCGGAAGCGCAAGCTTAGGTGCGATGGGATCAAGCCCAGCTGCAGCACCTGCAAGAGGCTGGGGCACGCCTGTGCGTATGACGAAGTGAGGCGGAAGAGTGGCCCGAAAAGGGGCTATGTGAAGGCGCTGGAAGAGAGGCTTAGTGAGTATCAAGATGCCTGCCTATTCGAGTCGGGAGGTTGAGAGGCTAAGTCTTTTTATTTGCACACAGAGCAAGTTGAGACGCTTCTGAACAAATCCCAGGAGTCGACATTCAATGTCGGGTCTGATGTGAACAATACGCCGAATGTCGCCTTTGAGCAGAATCGCAACCAACGGCCCGCTGCGACGCCTAGCTTCGCCGTTACGAATCCTCCAATCGGCATCTCCAATGACCGTGACCTGGACCGGTGGCAGTTTAACGGAGAATCACCACAAGCTGGCAATGGTCTCGACGACTTCAACTTTAACGGGAACGTGCCGCTGGGCATCGGCGGCATGGACAACAGCTTCACGTGGGAGATGATCGGTCTGGGATTAGAGGAACCTCTTCCCCCTCAGGAGACGATCGATGACTTGTAAGCGGCCGTACGCTGCCGCGCAACGCACTGGGAAACCACTAACGGCCGATTCTTAGACATCAGATCTATTTCGACAAGATTCACCCTTCCTTACCTATGATTCACAAATTCCGGTATCTAACGGCGATGAATTTGTACGATACCCTCGCCTCGCCCGTCTTGCTCCATCTTTACTCTTCTCCTATCTCTTTTCCTTCTTGGCACCGGCTGACCTTTCATGCTCGTCTGTTCGCCTAGAGCACCGAATCATAGGCCGCCTGTCGCGCTTCGATACGCGATCTGGACGCAGGCTTGCGCAATAACCGACAAGTATGCAGATTTGAGGGACCTGTTTTACCAGCGCGCTCGCAAATATATAGAGACGGATTATATCAAGGGCTATGGCGAACACATGATCTCTGTAGCCCACGCCCAGACTCACATATTACTCGCCTCGTACGAATTCAAGATGATGTACTTCCCTCGAGCGTGGATGAGCACCGGTGCTTCCGTGCGCTTATGCCAGATGTAGGTCGCGAGGGTTGGACCTGGCTTATAGATACGCCCATGCTTACGCAGTGTTTAGGATCGGGCTGCACAGGATTGATGGAGCCGGCCTTGATGTAAAGCAGTGTCTCCCCCCCGCTCGCGATTGGACGGAGAAGGAAGAGAGACGGCGGACGTTTTGGATGGCCTTCTGCCAGGACCGATACGCGAGTATTGGAACGGGTTGGCCTATGACGATCGACGAGCGGGATATCATGACAAATCTGCCTTCTTCTGAGGACGCGTTCGAGAACAGCCGGCCGGAGCAGACCCAGTCGCTTGCCGACTCGATGAGCCCTGCTGGAGCTGCCAAGCTCGCGTCCTTTGGGGGGGTCGTGTTGATGGCGTGCCTGTTCGGTCGCAATCTCATCCACCTACACCGTCCCGACGCCGATGATAGAGACCACGATCTCAACGGGGAATTCTGGAAACGACACAGGAATATGGACAACATCCTCCTCAATACTTCTCTCTGTCTGCCGAACCACTTGAAGCTTCCCACCGGCCTTTGTAACCCCAACATCGTGTTCACCAATATGAACATCCATACTTCAACCATCTGCCTCCACCAAGCAGCGATTTTCAAGGCGGACAGGAACAAATTGCCGCCGTCCGTCGGCGCCGAAAGCAAGGTTCGTTGCATCACGGCCGCGAACGAGATTGCTAGCATCATGAGAATGGTGTCACATCTAGACTTGTGCGCAGTAAGTGCCCCTTGCGTAAACCAAAATAGGAGGTTGGTGCCCTCTCAGATATACGAATGTCTAACGCGAAGCAGATGAACCCATTCATATCTTTTTGTCTTTATGTCGCTGCGCGAGTATTCGTCCAATACCTAAAGAGCCGGCCGGACGATAGCCAGTCGGCGGACTCGCTCCGATTTCTTCTAGCTGCGATGAATGCCCTCAAGAGGAAGAACCCATTGACCGAATCATTTTTGGTACAATTGGACGTCGATCTAGAAGCGTTGGGGGCGAGGATACCCAAACTCAAATCGGCCTTCCCTAAGAGTGCGGATAGTGTAAGTCTCTGGCTGGATGACAGCCTTGCCACGCCCACCGGCCGTGTTTGCTAATAGCTCGTAGCCTGGTTCGGGGTTCAAAATGCCTAAGATGCATGGTGCTGACGCGGGATGCGAGACCCATGAGTCCGGCGGCGGTATTCTTGCATTTAACAATGCGAAGATGGTGAACGACGATCCCCCAAGCGTTCCCATCATTGCGCAGCCCGGGGGCCACACTTCGATGCCGACTAGGCAAAGGGCAGACGACTATAATTCCGGCCACGGCTGGCTACCTCCGCGCGAGCCGAGCCCGGGCCCGGACCAGCGCAACCAAGGCATAATGTCGCCCATGATGTACACGTCGGGAATAGTAGACGGCCCAGGGAGCGAGTCGAACGAGACGGACGGGCCGTCGAGTGGACGGACACCGAACTCAAGTACCGGGTCAGACAATCGCCAGAGCACGACAGGCGCAAGCCACTTGGCCAACTCTAGCCGGACGTCCTTCGAGGCAAGCCCCATCGGATCTCACCAAAATCTCGGGCCGCCGACGGAAATTGGCGGCACGGCGGCGGCGGCGAGCTTTTTTCACGTATCGAACGCCGGTCCGAGTGTAACCCCTGGACCGGCTTTTGGCGCGACGAATACGTCAGGGAACGTCTTCACGATGCCGAACGCTTGGGGCGAGCAAACGGGAATGACGCCGGTAGCCGAGGGCGTTCTTCAACACCTCTTGGACATGCGCATGGATCTAGGGGGGTGGGAGCCGGGCCCGTGAAGCGCTCGGGTAGGCGAGATCGGCTGAGCGAGTGGGGGGAGAATCTGTCAAGGAGCGGAAATGTACGGGCGCGAAAAGAGGGGGGGCACTCATTTTGGCTGGCTTGTGGGTTAGGATACCCACCAACGAGCTCTTTGCTCCCTCGCGCGATCCTGTGGGCGTTCTTGGGGCTCGGATACCTACGGCGGAGGTGGAGGCAGACAACTTGTGTTGAGGTGTGCGTAGTTGTACACGAGGGCGATGCGGCTTGAGAGATGTATTACTATTATCGTTAGCATACATACGTACATAGATATATACGATCTGCCTGGGTTGGGCAGGGTCGGTACCTGAAGTAGTGTAGATAGCATGTTAGAGGTAGTAGGCATATTGCCGGTGGACAAGAAATCCCACCTGCCGCTCTGTATACCACGATGCACCACACCGACGTGCTCTCGCCAGCTATATCCATAATATACCTACCTAGATTGGGCGGAAGGCCAGCCATCCGTGCCGTACCGTACCGCGCCTCCCAAGGTCCACGTTTACCAGCATAATATAGGTTACCTACACCTCCGATATGCCCCCGAAACTGCTACATTCTGTCCGCTGGTATGCACCGAGTATGGGGAGGGAGGTTACCTGGGTTGCCCACCTCGGGCGCTTAGGGATGAATCACTTGACCGGCCTGTCAGCTTGCCGTTAGGCTGGGTGGTTAATAATAGCCAGTCTTATCAGCCACGCGATGTAGAATGGCACGTCAAGTCAAGTCAGGTAGGCAAGTAGGCTACTCGGTAGGTAGGTCGGCCGGACTGCCTTGTCTACTCCGTAGGTGGACACCTTGGAATCCATGCTGCAGCGCATGCCATCCCCCATAGCCTGCCTGCGTATCCCGGGCGACGACCCCATCTCGGTATCGCAACAGCTTCGTTACCAAAAGAAAAAGAAAAAAAAAAGGGACGTGATTGCGTGCCGGACGATGACCGGTCGTCCGTACAAATTATACCTGGCGTGCGTCTCGATGGACAGGGATGCAGACGGTCGTAGGTACGCCCGCTCGTAGGGAAGCGAGCGAGCGAGCGAGGGGTGTGCACGCGCGCGCATGTTTTGAGCGCGCGAGTGTGTGGGCGTGCGAGTGTAGTGGGTGCGTGAGCAAGTGACTAACTATATGTACGTGTAGATGCGCGTGGTATGCGTCCTCGTCGTCACCGAGAAGGGAGAAGAGGAGGGAAGATGTGTCGTGCTGTGAAGGCTCAACGTGTCTGTTAACCAGAGGCCTAGTGGAAAGGGAGGGGGGGGATCCAGGATCCGAGACGGAGAGGGGGGAGGCTAGAAGAGCGTGGAGAAGGTGAAGAATGGAAAGGTGGGGGGCGGGAAGCAGTTCGTTGGGGAATCGGGGGCCGGTCGGAGAAGGCAAGAGAATAAATACCCATGCTCCGTGCTTACATTGGCAAGATGGGAGGAGGTCGGTATGTAGGCAGGACGAAGCTGGCTCGCCCCCTTGCCTACATGGCGATAATGGACGAGAGATCTGGGATCGCCAGGGTCCAAAATTCGGCTGTCAGCGGTGGTGGCAGCAAGCGTGTGGCAGTGGGCGGCGGCGGTGGTTAAGGGGGCAGAGGGCGTGCGATTGGACCGCAGTAATAGGTGCTGGGTATTATACATGTCCTGGCCCCCCGTTGGGAGGTCTCAACGTTCGCTACGGACCGGATACCTTAGGGATTGCAGCAGGTGACTCGGTGGCCAATCTAGGCCGGCTGGCATCCGATTAATATATCTCTTGCCTATGGCCAGACACGCAAGGCACATACACGCCAACGGCCACATCTCGTCCCCGTCTGTACAATGTAGGTGCGTAATCGTGTATCTGATCTTCGGCGCCGGCGCCGGCCCATTGACCATGTTGTCCCGTAGCCGTAGGGAGTGAGTTGCTAGGAGGGGGGCGGCGTCGGCTTACCTAAACACACGTATAGGCGGGGTTCTAGCTTACCCCTAGGAAGTAGGTTAGGTACCTGGCGGCGGAGGGGTGCGGTGTCGCCTAGGTACCTACCTACCTCCTAGGTAGGTACGCAGCGACGACGCGGGTAGGCTGTATCTGAGACGGGCGCCGCACCCAAGCACGGGCGGCCGATGGGAGGCGGGTACACGAGGTCGCGGCGGGTGGAGGTACCTCGCTCGGTACCTGGCCAGGCATCGGACAGGTGTTCGTTTGCCGTTTCGGGGCTAGGCTGGGCCCTGGCGGATCTGACCCAGGGCAGAGTCGGGGGCGGCCAGGGTAGGCCAGGGCAGGCAGGGCCTCGGCCGCGCTGGACTGCTGGGATGGCCAGGAGCGAGAGAAGCCAAGGGAAACGAGCCAGGGCCAAGGCGGGGCAACCTCGCGAGCTGCAACTTTTCAGCTTCCATCGGCGCTTTTGGCCCTTTTTCATCTTGATACTCCCTCCGACCTTCACGTTCCCAGCCCAGCCCGGCCCCGTCCCAGTTCCCCTTCCTGCTACCATCACCACCTCCTCCTCCTACTGCTGCTGCTGCTGCTGCTGCTGCTTGCTGTTGTCGCGATACTGCTGCTTGCTGCTGCTGCTGCTGCTGCGGCTGCTGTTACGACCGCTCTCCTCCTCCTCTCCTCCTCTCCTCCTCTTCTCCTTCTCCCCCGTTCCCTCTCCCCAGCCCGCCTCAGCCTGCCCGCCTGTCCGCCTGCTCGACTACCTACCTACCTACCTATCTACCTACATAGGAACACGCATCCGTTCTCGCCCACGCCTCGACCGGGGAAGTAATATACACTACCTACATATACCCATCCATCCATCCTACCATCCATCCATCCGTCCATCCACCCACCCATCCATACCGTATCGACCTACATACGTACGCACGCACGCACACACGCACATACACACGCAACTTATACCTACACGCACGCCTATCTCTATACCTGGTATCTGCCTATCCATCCGTGCCTGGGTCCTACATACCTCCCCTACCTCTCTCCCCTCTCTCCAGCCCTAACTACCGTACCTATCTCTTACTTTATTTTTACCTCCCTCCTCCTCCTGCAGCTCCTCTTCTTCTCGACCCTACCCAACCCTACCCTACTCCGTACCTCCAGGGCACCACCTGGCTGCCCACCCCGTCTGCCGGTCTCGCCCCGATTCGATCTAATACGAGACTAAATCCGCCTGCCCTGGACCAAGAAGCCCACACACCCCCTTCCGCGTTGACCAGAGCCCGAATTATGACGGCGAAAACGCTTCGCCCACGACAACCGACCTGAGAATGGGGTAGAACAGGCTGGTGGGCTGCGCCGGATCTGTTCAGAGGCACCAAGCAGCAGCACCAGCAGCACCAGCACCGTCAGCAGCACCGGCAGCGGGCATCAGATACGCCACCACCCGCAACACCAACACCACTCTCCGCGTCCTCTCGCACGATCAGCAGCACCAACGATACCTGCCCGAGCAGCATTGTCAATATAATGGACCCCGCCTCTGTCCATTTCCCGCCGCCACCACCGCCGCCGCCGCCGCCGCCGCCGCTGCCTCCGCTTCCCCCTCGCTCCGCAGCGGCCGCGCCAGCACCAGAGGCGCCGCTCCCGCACGACATCCACCATCACGGCCACCACCCGCAACCGTCGCATCTCTTCCGCCTTCCCACCCTGCCGTCCCACCCCGGCCTCGACCTGACCACGCTCGACGCCCCCGATCCCACCCTCTTCCAACACCATCTCCAGCGCCTGCACAATGTACCCACCGTCCCCGTCGTCCAGGACGATTACGTCTCTCACGCCCAAGACGGCTTCGATCGCGAATCCAACTCGGCTCATATGCTCCAACATGTCCACAACCAATCGCCCACCGAGCTCCGGCACACCCCTCACCAACGCCACGCAGCTCTTCCGCCTCCGTCTTCGCAGTCTACGCCACCGGCACACGGCCAATTTGGTATCCTAACGCAGAGCGCCATACCCCAGGCGGGGGTCATACCCCAGCTTCAGCAAGAGCAGGATGTGTTCGCCCGTCAGGCCGCGCAAGCTGCTTCCGCCGCTGCCGAGACCTCTGAGCAGCGGCCGCATGGCCAATTGGTTAACAGGATAGTCGTCGACCCCCCCGATCTCCAGGTCTGGCGCGAGAAGCTGTTCAATGTCGACGACACCATCACCTTGACCAATGACCAGTAGGGAGCTGGATGCCCCCCTGGGACTGAATCCTTCACACTAATAATCCGCTAGATTCGAGACTTACTTCCCCCACATCGATAATGTCTACTCACATCGCTCGACGCAGAAGTACAAGCGCAAGCCTTTCATCTCGCACTACTGGGACTGCCGGATGAAGGGACGGCCGCCGGGAACGCCCAAATCGGACGACCCCTCCAAGAAGAAGCGCAAACGCCAGGCGCGCGAGAGGGACCTATGCGACGTCAAGATAAAGATCACCGAGTACTTCCCAGGTGCGACCATCGCCCAAGGCGACGGCGAAGCGAGCCACAACCTCTCCCAGCCGAGCACCTTCCCACCCTCGCAACCGCCCCTCTTCCACGACGGACTGCCGCAGCCTGCAGACGTTCGCCTTAACGGGGAAAAATTCTGGACGATCCAAAGAGTGAATGGCAATGGAGGGAACGGGAAGGGCGATGGCGTCGCCGGTCCTCACAAGCATAGCCTAGAGAAGAGCGACGAGATCAAGAAATCTACCGTGCAGAGGTATATCGCCGCGCAAGAGAAGGAAGCCAAGAAGACACAGGTGGGTTTCGCCTTGTATTATAGCCGTGCTGGCTCGCCTCCACGTCTGATTATATATATGGGGAAATCCTGTTGAGCTGGCCATCTTTACGGCATTTCGCCGTCTTACTCCAACATAGCGTGGGGGGGCTGAGGGAGGGAGAGGATACTTCATTAGAACCCGGAATACCCCCCCCCCCCCATCGCCTGACCACACCCTTCTCGCCAATACCTACTACATATGAACATGGAAACACCGTTGCTAACCGACCATGCTGACCCAGACTCAGAGGCCTTTACAGAGGAAAATTTCCGGCTCCGCGTCCGCAACGGCAAAACGGCACGCCAAGGAACATGAGCTCAAGCTCTACGCCGCCTGTTTCTGGTAAGTGCTAGCTCTGGAATGCACATCGCTCTCCTTTGTTGATGGTCGTCTTTTTTCTTTTACCAGCCCCTTTTCCCAACGAGTATGGATCGCACTGGAAGCGAAGGGCATGCAGTACCAATACTGCGAAACGGACCCATTCAAACGACCTACGCAACTCCTCGAGGCGAATCCTCGGGGGCTGGTCCCGGCCATCCGCGAAGGGGATTGGGCGAGCGGCGAGAGCACCATCATCCTGGAATATGTGAGTCGTCGGAACCATGCGACACGAGTAATCGAATCCGATCGTTGACTTGCTCCTCCTGCCAGCTCGAAGACCATGACCGAACTGTGCCCTTGTTCCCTACAGATCCGAGGCTGAAGGCGAATTGCAGGCTATGGATAGACCATGTAAGTCGTAGTCGACGACTGCCGCGAACGCGGTGATATGGGGACGTCGGCTAACCCCGTTTCAGATCAACGCAAAGATCGTGCCAGCGTTCTTCGCCCTAGCGAGAGCGACGGACTTCGCGAAGCAGGCCGAGTGCACGGATAGGCTTCAAAGCGAGATCGAGGCGCTGGTCCAAGCCGCCGACGAACGAGTGCGTCTTCTCCCCTCGAGTCGTCCGTAGTGCCGTAGAGAGAGGGTTACGGATAGATATATACTCACCGTTCCTCCAGGGCCCATACTTTCTCGGGGGAGACCTATGCCTCGTGGATATCCACTTCGCACCCTTCGTTCTGCGGCTGTCGCGTATACTGCGGGAGCTGCGCAACTGGCGTGACCCCATGCCGGGGTCGCGCTGGCAGCAATGGGCCGCCGCCCTTGAGCAGAACATCCACGTCCAGGCCACGACCAGTCAGGACGAGCTCTACGTCGAAACGTTGGATCTCTTCTTGAACAGCCGCCAGCCTTACGGTGACCCTCTAGCACGTTGACGCGTACGGGCTCTAGTAGATGATACTTACCGGCGGACACCCTCCGTCTCCTTCACTACTTATTTTTTTTCCTACTACATAATTAGTTGAAACCACGAATACGTATAGACGAGAGTTTGGGGGAGGGGGAGAAAGCGTTTGCATACAATATTATTCCCGTTTATTATTTACATTTATTATATATACATACACGTACCTTCATATCTATAATAGGACCAGCAAATTTTTGATACGGGCCGGGCATCCCTTCCTCCCCTCCCTCCCAGTGGCAGTTTAACCCGGAAATAGGAGGCGGAAAGTGCGGGAGGGTGGTTTGGGGGAATTTCGCAAATCAACACGGAAATTCTCTCGAGTTCTGGTTTCCAGTGCTCATGGCTGTAATACTAGCGAAAGAAGGATAATCATACTGCTCGCACATATATATATATACACATAAATATATATATGTGTGTGTGTGTGTGTGTGTGTGTGTGTGTGTCGAAATCTACACATATATACGCATGGCCGCCCGTCACGGTCGACAACGCCGTATCAGTGGAACAAAAAAAAGAAAGGAGGTTGAAAAGGACGTCCGAGGAATCCTATACATCTCGAGTACTTGATAATCCGTTTCCCGTAGGAAGCTATATATGCCGGTGTCTTTCTTGTGACATCCCTCCCTCCCCTCCTTTGCGTATCTATTACCGCATCTCTCGCGCTGTTCGTCAGTTCGCCGGAGCAGTACCAACGGTACCTGCCGGCTGCGAACCTGGCCCAGCCCGAGCCCCTGCGCTTTAGGCCTGCCAGAGAGTAGAGAGGGAGAGAAGGGAGAGAAGGGAGAGAAGGGAGAGAAGGGAGAGAAGGGAGAGAAGGGAGAGAAGGGAGAGAAGGGAGAGAAGGGAGAGAAGAGAGAGAAGAGAGAGAAGAGAGAGAAGAGAGAGAAGAGAGAGAAGAGAGAGAAGAGAGAGAAGAGACGGCGCGTTAGAATTCCTTAATCCGTAATGTCGCAGACGTACATACGTACACGACGCGGTTCTACCTCTCTGCCTTCTCTCCTCCCCCCCCCCCCCCACCCACGCACCCTCCAGTCCGGCGCGTCGCAACGGGACATCATCATCTCCTTCCGTCGGACGGGCGTGCCGCGCACGGCCAGGCGGCCATCGAGGAGGCGCCAGCGCCCCCCCCCTCCCCCGACAGATAGACAACCAACTCTTATCTCCTCCCGGCGGCGTCTGCGGATCGATCGATCGACACCTAGACCCCGCCCGCGGGGTGCCGAGATGCAGAATGTCGTCGGGGGCGCTGGCTCCCCGCGGCGGCACCCGAGAGGCGCGCAGGAGCAGGCGGCCGCGCTGCCGGGGCCGGCGGGCCGCGGCTAGGAGGGCGCCCCGAGCCCGTCGGCGGGAGCGAGCAGCCCGGGCAGCAGCGGCGGCGGCATTGTTTCTACCCGCTCTCGCTTCCGCTTCCGGCTTCCTTCGATGGAGGGTTCCGCACACGGGTTCGCCCGTGCTGGCGAGGTCTGGCGAGAAGAAGAAGAACAAGGCCGACATACCTACCTAGCAAACCGCTGGCCGTCGCCGCGCCCCGTGAGGTAGGGGCGGCGACTCGCCTCTGCGGAGCGGAGCACGCGCCCCACGGGACGTTCGCCGCTCCGGCCGGTCGGACGGGCGGCGGCCGGAGGGGGGGAGGGGCATCTGTCTTTCTAGGTTCTTCGAGATTGGCATCTGTACCTAGGTATCCTATAAAAGAATTCATCAAATATAGGTATAACCGTTACTATTTAGACCACTTTCCCTATCTCTTTCATATTCGGTTTCTTTATAGTAAGTCTCGGACGGGATAGCAGTCTGCATCGAGCTAGTATCTACTCAGAGGTATAATAGCACCGAGGCTAGAGGGCTATACAACCCCTATAGGCGTACCTATGTTCCCGTTCCCTAGTTGCCCGGCGTGTGAGCGAAGTCCTGCTTCTACGACGCCGGCGGCACAAAACATCACCAGTATCTACGCTTCACTTCCCAAAGGCATCTAGACTCTTACGCTCGGGGTAGCGGTTGTAGGAGTGCCAACGAGGGAGGGATGTTTACGCTACGATCCCGACGCCTGCCCAGCTCCTTAGTTATGGCATGTTGACCGCGAACAAACCGATATCTATAACAACCCTTTTCATCCCATACCCAACTGCTAGCAGCAACTACTCATAGCCCGACGCAGGCAGGCTATAGGAGAGCTACGACCGCTGAAGAAGACGACGCCAAGTTACGGTCTACCGGCACGGCGCGGCACGGCGCGACCCGCTTGTGCTGACTTATACTACTATGCCGACCTGCCCATCTGGGCTGGGTCGACCCGAAGATGCGAGCGGTATAAGACACGCAGCGAAATATTGGCCGACTCGCCGAGACCTGGGTGACATCTATGCAGAAATAAAGCCCTTGCGCAGGGGAGACCCTCAGACCTAGTGGCGCCTCATTTCTCGTACACAATCTTTTCGTCCAACACAATATACCTAGTCTCCGAGGCAGGTTCCGTGAACTTATTAGCCGGCACGGGAGATGTAGACGTCTTGACCGTTGCCCACCTAACAATAACGCCATGCTATCCAACCTGTATACCAGTATATGCCGGGCATAGGCAGCTATGCCAAAGCACTGCTAGCAATGCCCTGTTTCGAGGTCCTTCCCGATGTGTTCGGACTCAACGGACGAGAGGCACTTCTCCGAGGTAGGTATATGCACACACGTGTGCGCCGTGCTCTCCTATCATATACGGGCTGAACGAAAGTAGTAAAAGCAACGCGTCTGAGCATGATATCAGATTAGTTGCTTACATATCCCGAGAAGCCTCAACACGAGAAGGACTTGTATACAAGCTTCAACGGGACAACTCGTCAGGGAGGAGTGTGCGTCTACGACACAAAAAACTATAACCAATCCTAGGATAGCCAACCTATCTCGTAGACAACCGGGGTGAGAGTCACGAAATTACAGGATCCCCAGTAACTTCTTTTTTTTTTTCGCTGGGGCAGTGAATCATGACTTGCCTCTTACCGTTCACGAGACTAGATGACGGCTCCAGATACAACCGGCTACGAGTGATAGTCGTACCTACTTGGGTCTGGCAGTAACCAACCGTCCAGGACGACGGACGGGGGTTTGGGCGGGAGTCCCTCCGCTGTTAATACGGAGCGTCCCTTCTAGGCCATGCGCATTCGTAGTTCTTGGTCTAGGTCTGGGTGAGAAAAGCCGGCGCAATCACACATCGGCTCTACAGAGTCGTTTCCGACACGAGGACGTCAACGATAGGTCGGCCGCTTTCCGAAGATGACACCCCCCAAACAAGGTGGTGAAGCGAATTTGCGATATGGATTGTCGGCCAGGAACCTTTTTCTCGTCATCTGAGTCGGCCGGGCGAGCCGGGAAACTCCACCGTCAACTGGATCCCAGGTAAGGTCGCATTGCGGTCAGGTTATCGCCCCGGGGGGCGGATATAATGCGGGTTGACGGGGACGAGGAGGGAGGAGAGCTGGACTTGGACGACGGATCCTTACCCCGTTGACGATAGGCAGGTAGATCCTCGCAGGCAGGGCACGACCCTTGCCGGCTACCTATCCTGGGCCAGTCAGGTAGTGAGGAATAATACAGGTACGTCGGATGCGGCAGATATATAAAACATATATATGCATGCTCCGCACACGAAGATAAGTCGCATTTCCCATCCCATCGACCGAATTTGCCATATGCAGAAGAGAAAGAGAGGCCCGTACCCAACCAAGACGGTCGTCTGGTTTTCCCGCATCGCTTCTTTGGGTGGGAGGGGAGACCGGTCGAGAGAGAAGATTCGGGGTAGCGGCTGGACCAGACGTGTGACCCTCTCATTCATCTTCAATCTGGTTCCGTAGCAATGCAGAGAGCTGCTTGCAGCGGTTGGTGGCGAGACTGCTGTGATTTCGCATCCGATCGACAGATGGTAATTCTCGAGAATCCTATCAGGTCGAGATGCGAGATGAGAGGGAAAAGGAGGGAGGGACGGTGGCGAAAGGATGGGATGGATATGCAAGTCAGTAAGTAGTTAGCATCTCCATTCGCTCGTCGCTCCGCTTCATTCACCCATCCCCTCGACGGCCGCCGCCCTACGCATTCGAGCGCAGGAGGCCGCAGGAGGCGTCCGGCCGGTCTGCTGGACACACGTGTATGGGTTTGAATCGGGGATGGGCGCGCCACGGCTGTCCGGGAAGGGGGGGAAGACGGCGATTGGCTGCGGGCGGGAGTGCGGATTGCGTTGCGGGTGTATGTGGTATCGCTGGCGCGGCGTATGGTAGAGAGGCATGTGGATAGGTATGTAGGTAGGTAATAGGAGGTAGGTAGGGAGAGGAGGAGGAGGAGGAGGAGGAGGAGGAGGATGCGGGCGAGATTTGGGGGAGGGGGAGCGGGAGGAGGGGGGGGGGGGGCAGGAGGAGAAGGGAGAGGGGTGTAGGTAGGTTCGGGGTTGGTCAGGCCACGGGACGTCATGGGACGATCATGCCATGCACGTTATCCCGCCATTAAGTAATGCGACGGTAGGGCAAGTACAGGATACCTACCCAGAGCATGTACGCGGCGCCCGGGTAGGTTAGGTGCGTATGGTGGGCGGCCAGGGTGTCGGAGGTACCGAATACCTACATCCGGACGTACCTGTCGACATACGATGTGGTTGCGTAGTCTACAGGTATGGAAGCAACCGCCTGAGAGCAGCCGTTGCGAAAGCGAGGGAAGGACCGGCGGAGAGCGAAGAAGGCTATGCATCCAGGTCCCTTCGCATGTACATGCCTGCCTTCAATGTTAGGTGGTCTACACAGGTAGTGCGCAGGGCAGGGCAGGGCAGTTGCGTGTTGTAGGTAAGACGTGTTGTGAGAAGGCCCGTTTGCCGGTTAAACCCAATAATGGCCCTACCTTTATATAGGTACCTCTATAAGTATATACATGTATATATAGAGAGAAAGGGGAGAGAGGGGGGAGAGAGGACGAGAGAGAAGTCGAACGATACGGTGTACGCAACACTTGTAGGCATCACTTGTTGTAAGCACCGCTTCCACGCATTACTTACAGGCGGCGAGTTGGCGAGGAATAACAATCGGAAACCGACAAGTACCCGAAGAAGAAGGGGGGAAAAAAGAACGAGACAAGAGAGATACTCGCGAGGGGGCTGTTAACAATCGAGTCGTCACCATCGCCGCATACACTCACCCCTAATCCCGCCTATAACCACATATTCCACGTATATTTACGCAATACACACCTACCTGCGTTACCACCGACACGACAACCCAGCACATTCGCGCTTCGAGTACCTGTACACGTACCTGGGGCTAGGTACCTGACCACCGACACCTATACGTGTACCCAACGCGCACCTACACAAGCGGCACGCACCATCCCACGATACACCACAGCGACACACGGCGTCAGCGAGAACCTCGACCGGGCCAATCGAAGCGGCGCGAGGGAACCGACCACTCGAGGACACCGAACCCCTCGCTACCAGATCCGGATAGCACGTCCCACCGGGGTGGCAGCACCCTGACCGCCCGCTTCTACCCATCCCCCCCCCCCCCTCCATCACGCACACCTCGCACACACACACCACACCCGTGCACGCACTCCATATACGCACCCCATATACCCAAATCCATCCGACGCACCGTTTCGGAATACGCAGAGAGCGTTACACTCTGTAGATAACCTACCTCTCCTAGGCGACGTAGCTATCGAGGGCACATAAACGGTGGCCCCCCACCATGTCCGGTCCTGACCCCGCCCCCGCCCCCACCCTCGCCGAAGGGCAGGAGAAGATCATCCTCGCCATCAACGCCGGCTCGAGCTCCGTCAAGATCTCCGCCTACGCCGCCCGCCGCGGCCGCGAGCCCCGCCAGATCGCCGAGGCCCAGGTCAGCGGCCTCACCGCCCCGCCCGCCCGCCTCACCTACACCCGCGGCGGCAAGGGCGCCGGCGTCCGCGTCCGCGACGGCGAGGAGCTGCCCCCCTCCGACTCCGACCGCGGCGCCGTCACCTCCCAGGACGAGGCCTTCTCCCTCCTGCTCGCCGTCTTCGTCGACGACCCAGACCTGCCCGAGATAGGCTCCGCCGCCGACATCGCCATCGCCTGCCACCGCGTCGTCCACGGCGGCGACTACGCCCACGCCGTCACCATCACCCCCGACGCCCTGCACCGCCTCGAGCGCCTCACCGACCTCGCTCCGCTCCACAACGCCACCTCCCTACGCATCATCCGCGCCTGCACCGCCGCCCTGCCCGCCTCCGCCCACAACGTCGCCCACTTCGACTCCCAGTTCCACGCCAGCATCCCCCCCCACATCTGCACCTACCCGCTCGACCCGGAGATCGCCCGCAACAACCAGCTGCGCAAGTACGGCTTCCACGGCATCAGCTACGCCTTCCTCGTGCGGGCCGTGTCGCGCTTCCTCGGCAAGCCCGCCGACGCGCTCAACCTCATCGCCCTGCACCTCGGCAGCGGCGCCAGCGCGTGCGCCATCCGCGGCGGCCGCAGCTGGGACACCAGCATGGGCCTGACGCCGCTCGCCGGGCTCCCCGGCGCGACGCGCAGCGGCAGCGTCGACCCCAGCCTCGTGTTCCACTACGCGAGCGACGTCGGGCGGCTGTCGCCGGCGTCGACGCGCGAGCTGCACATCTCGGTCGCCGAGGAGATCCTTAACAAGCAGAGCGGGTGGCGCGCGCTGACGGGGACGACCGACTTCGGGCACATCGCCGCGGCGCGCGCGTCGGACCCGGCCTGCAGCCTCGCCTTCGACCTGTTCGCGAACCGCGTCTGCGGCTATGTCGGCTCGTACTACGTGGCGCTGGGTGGCGAGGTGGACGCGCTCGTGTTCGCCGGCGGCATCGGCGAGCACAGCGCCGCCCTGCGCGCCGCCGTGGCCGGCCAGGCCGCCTGCCTCGGCTTCGCGCTCGACGCGGCGCGCAACGAGGCCGGCCCCGCGGCCGGCGACGCCGTGACCGACGTGGGGGCCGAGGGCGCGCGGCACCGCACGCTCGTCTGCCAGACAGACGAGCAGTACGAGATGGCGTTCGGCTGCGCTGGGAACAGCGAGCTGTGGGCGTGATCGGGCTGCTGCAGGCCCGGGGTTGCTGCTTCGCCTGCTCTGGGCCTGTTCCCGCCTACATGCCTATAGCTGATAGTGACATATGGGCCGGGTCTAGGCCGGGTCAGGTTCGGTCAGACGGCGCATTGGTAGGTTGAGCGGTGTCGGTGGCGGGAGGCAAGGGAGATCATCAGCTTTACACGGGTGCCCGGGGTCGTTTACAGGGTTCAGGGGTCCCGGCAATGACATATGCATATACGTATATACGTCCATAGAAGCAGTAGAAGAAGAGGATATGTCAGTTTTACGTGCGGTATTTTAAGGGAGGAAAGGGAGGGGGGCGGATGAACTCTCGAGTTGGATGGACAGTAATGCGGAGTTTTTCTAAGGACTTAATAGAAAAAAGGGTCATGTAGGTATACAATCGAGTCGGGTAGTTATAAACGAGGTCATGCGACAATGCCATTGGCGAATTAGCATCTTCCCGTTTCCCTTGGAGAGGGGGGATTTTTGTTTCTTCGCTTTCTCCTTCTAGGACAGACCGAAGACGTGTCGGAGCGCATGGTAGGTAAGAAAAAGTAAAAAAAAGAAATTGAGGCAAAAAAAAAAGACAGGCCTACCTCCTATAAGCCTGTTGTCCTGGTTGGCCGCGCGAGGACATGATCGCCGCTTTACTTGCTCAAAAGACGGTCGGGATGGATCTTCCGGCATGGGGAGAGGGAGATGTAGGTAGAGGAGGGAGCGACAGGGAGGAGCTCGGTGGTGTAGGTGCGCGTCGCATTTGTCGAGCCGGAAGGGGGACAAAGCAGCAGAGCCAGGAGGGGACGAGTCGCGTCGGTCGAGTCGTGGCAGAGGCGACGAGTGGGCAGCTGCAGCGCGACGGGCTGGGCTGTGACGAGAGAGAGAGGGGAGGATGAGGAGGATCGCGGCGAATAATCCAGACTCCCGTCCCCTCCTCTTCGCTCGTTCACGTCGCTCCGCGGCCGCGTCGGGCGAGACGCAGTCAGCACGGCGCAGAGAGTCGAAGCAGCAGCACGCTGAACACACGACACACGCACTTATCGCCGCACTCTGCACGCGCCCAGCCGGCCAGCCAGGCTGCCCGCCAGACTGGTCGTCGGGTGTTCTGGTCGGTAGGTAGGTAGGTAGGTAGGTAGGTATGTGTGCGCAGGATGTCGACAACAATGCGCGCGCACGTGCACCCTCTCTTGTTGCCCTCCTCGGCCACACGCGGAGCGCATTTCCTGCGCCGTCGGCGACGCAGCCAGGCCGCGAGGGCGCGAGCGCCCAGATGTCTCCCATCCATCCATCCATCCATCAATCCCTCCATTCCGCCCCTCAGTCTAGAAGCAGCTGCCGTCGCATCGAGCGACCGCACCGCCCAAGCCCAAGCCTAAGCCCAAGCCTAAGCCCAAGCGCATGCCCCATGCCCCATGCCCCATGCCCCCATGCCCACGCCTGCTGCCCCGTCCGCACGCCCTCCTAACTCGGCCTACATATGTACGTAATCGCAGCCCACACAGCGCGCCTCCTCACTGGCCTGTGCCACCAAACCCGTTCGTCGCGAGGATCACTTCCCAACCCGAAAACTCCCATTTCCCATCTTCCCTCTTCCTTCGCCCCCCCGTACCTTGCCGTATCGTCGCATCGGTGGCGGCGGCGCCAGCGACTTGCAGGCGCGCACGTCCCTACGATACATGGTAGGGCACGTACATGATGTGTGGGTGAACGACATGTCACATCCGTGTGCTTACTTACCCTTACCTACCTCTCCCTCCCTCTGTGTGTCTCTTCCTTCACTCTCCCACCGGGGAGCGGAGTAAACTCCGCAGGAGCTGGCGAGGCTGGCTGTTGGGGTTCGGTCGGAGAGGGGACAGAAGCCAAGGGGGGAGGAGGAGGGGGAGGCGGGAAGCTCTAAGCGACCGCTGAGCGCATTGCGCCGCTGCACACCACGATACGTACTTGGCGGGAAGGGAAGGAAGGCTAAGAAGAAGAAGAAGGAGAAGAAGAAAAGCGGCAAGACGGCAGAGACAACGGGGGCAGATAGGAGGGTAAAAGGGGTAAAGACCCCGATGCGGGCGCGAGGGAAGGGATCGTTAGGGGACATGGGACGCTGACCGGCTTCGCGAGCTGAATAAAAGGAAGAAAAAAAGAAAGAAAAAAGACGAGGGAAATAGGCAGGAGACTGAGAGCGAGAGACAGAGCTAGAGACGAGAACCAGAAACATAGACAGAGGCAGAGACAGATAATTATTGCCTATCTATTACTCTACTCATCCCGCCGCGCAGTAACGATGACGATACGCCGCTGCAGAATGACGTCGGAGCTGAGGCGAACGCGCCCGCACAGCACGCACCTTCCTGCCTGCCTACCTACCTACCTACCTGCCTACCTACCTACCTCTACCTCTTTTACACGTACGTAGGCGGTACCCCAGGTACCTCACCTTGCCTTACGGTGCCTTCCTCGCATCAGCACCACCGCCAGGGGCCCTCGAAGGCGGCTGGAGACGGCAAGAGCAAATCGCCACGGGAGAGCAAGAGCAGAGAGAGAGACACACACACAGAGAGAGCGACAGAGAGAGGAGACACGGAGAGAGTGCGTCAGGGTCCGTGGAACCATAGGGGCACCAACCGGAGCCCTCCCCACTGGGGCTCCCTTTTCCCATCCCCCTCCCTCACGTTCTCCCCTAGTCCCAACGATGGGATTCACTTACACATACCTATCTGTCTACCCACACATATCCGTATATGGGGTGTGCGCGTACGTGTGTGTATACACCTACGTGTACACGTCCACACGCAACCCCATTCGAACCCTTCCCTTCTCTGCGTCTTCGAGTCCCGATTCCGTGCTCCAGGCCGGGTACTACTCCACCGCGCGTACCTACCACGTTCCACGCCTAGTAGTAGGTACCTACCTAGCCTACGAGGTATGTACGCATGTCCGTACGCGGACAAGCAGACCCCAGGTGAGTGAGTTGCCGGCCAGTAGCAACACGAGCCGGGGAGGGGGAGAAGGGAGGAGGGGGAGGGGAGGGGAGAGGCTTCGTCCGGTCTATCCCCCTGGCTCCTCCTCCTCTGCCCTCTCTTCCTTCCCCCCTCCCCCTCAAATGCTAGACCCCTGGTTCGACGGGAGAGGAGAGGACGGCAAAACCCGAGCAGACAAGAGAAGAATATGGAGAGACTGAGAGAGAGTGTGTGTGTGATGTGTATGTGTGGTGTGTGTGTGTGTGTGTGTGTGTGGGTGCGATGCTACTCATATGCTATGCTTGCCCTCCCCATCGCCGTGGTACCGAAACGGAGTGGTCCCCGGTCGTACAGCATTGGCTGCCACGCGGTGTATGTGCTTTATGGCTAGGAGTGCCCCCCCTCCCCCCCTCCTCCTCCCCCTGCTCCCCCCGGTGTTTCCCTCTGCAGTGTCGTCGTTACCGTCGCGTACCACGTGAGACCTGTGCCATACACCCTCCCCTCCCCTCGACGGCCCCCTTCTCTCTCGTATAGACGCCCATGTCACCCTAGAGGGAACGGAGAGCGGGACAGTGAAGAGGGAGGGCGGATACTAAAAGGAAGAGGGTGAGGAAGAGGGCGGGAAGCGCTCAAAGACATCAATAGTCACGACCAAGGCCGCCGTGAGGATCATCAGGGTCCTCTGCCAAGATCAGGGGCAATCGCGTAGCCCCTGATCCATGATGGTCCGCCGCCCCGTCCGACAAGCTCCCCCAAGTCCGTCTAGCACATACTCATACACACTCATCCTCCACCTTGTCAGCCTCTGGAGGCCTGACGCCGCCGCGAAAGCTCCCTCGGCTAGCTTACTGATCACTACCTCGATTACGGGCGGATCTGCTGCACAGGATGCCTGTTATTCCCTTGTCGGGTTGTTGGTCGGCCGTCGGGAGGCTGGTCACACCATTCGAAATACGCAAAAACATTTACATAGTACCACTGTTAGTGGTAGGCGAAAAAAAGGCTCCTTTTGTATCATTAAACATTGCGTCTCATTTTTTCGTATGCCACCCGCCATTCTCTTTTCCGGGCGGACGTTGGTATCTAATGCCTAACCCCCCCCACCCCCCCCCAACTTCACGTATATATATGTATATATATATATATACTTGATCAAGTAGAGAAATTGCCGCCCTGCGCGGCGTCGTTACAGACTCCCGATGACGAGTCTCCGGCGCCGATCCGTATGCGCCTGCGAATTAGTACGTGTGAAGGTACACGTATACCCGCCCTTATTGTTGTTTAAACAGTCGCACCGTCCTTTTCCTGAACGAGAAGTGAAAGAAAGAAAGGAAACAAGGAAAAGCCGGCGAGGTCCAGGGTGATGAACGGATCCGCCCCAGCCCACCGCGCCATGAGAAGGAGAAGAGGTGCGACAAAGTAAAACCGGGCTTCTCGATTACTTGCCCCCGCCGCCGTTCGAATATGCAAATTTGGGTAGGTGCGCCATCGTATGCTTGCCACCCGTGGTATCCGTACTGTCATTCGTAGAATCAAAACGCCTCTCCAGACCCAAGGAAAACCAAAACGCCGGCCAGATCGGGACCTGTCGTCCGTTCATAGACCCCCGCAACACGAAAGACAAAACCGTTTATCACCTTCCCGTTTCGTAGGCGATAGGTCCCCACTCGGCATCAGGCCTGTGCCACGCCGTCCCCTCCGCCTCTAGACTGAAAACGTCGAGGCCGACCACGTCAAGCACCTTCTTGACAGGCGATTGCCGCGAGAGCGTCCAGACCGCTGCTGGTTCTCACAGCGACCGGACGACCCATAAGAGGGATGTTGAGGCCGCGCATATCCCAAGCACCGCCTGGAGACGGGAGCGGTTGGACCTCAGCCCCGTACGGGTCCGACTCCCACATCTGGACTTCTCGCGACGGCACGCTGCTGTGGGGAGACGACGACGACGACGACGACGACGACGACTTCGAAGACACCGAGCTGCGCTTCGAAGTCGAAGAGAGAGACGAGCTCTTAGATTTCGTCGAACTACCGGATCTCGACTTGTCCTTGAAGTGGGTCTCGAGATGCTGCTTCATGTTGTCTGCCCGGGTGAACTTCTTGTGGCAGCCGGGGTAGGTGCACTGAACTGCCTTCTCGGCAGTGTGAATCTTGGAGTGGCGAGATGCGTGGCCCGACGTGGTGAAGGTCTTCTCGCAGCCGTGGCTCTCGCGGTACCGGCAGGGATACCGCTTGCCGACCTTCTCGGGGGCGGCAGAGCTAGCCGAGCTGTCGTCTTCGTACGAGTTGGACCGGCTGGTAACGACGTAGGCGGGCCGCTTCATGGGAACCTGGTGATCCGCGGGAAGATAGTCTTCGTATAGCTGCCGCGCCGAGTAGTCATATAGTCCCTGAGGGGTCACGGGCGAGTAGGCGTCATAGCTGGCGTTGGAATCGTACGAATCTGAACGCAGAAGCTCTGGCGTGTGGGGCGGCGGCGATTGGTCGCATGCACTCGGGTAATGGCTAGGCATGTGGTACGACTGGTGACTGGCGTAGGGATCATCGTTCAGAAGGGAGACCTGGCGGCCGGTGGCGTCTCGGGCTTGCATGGTGTGCATTGTGAGTTGTGCGTTTTTGGGTTTCTTTGCTTTTCTTAAGCGCCCAAGAGACCTGGGGTGAAGATTTTAATTGCTAGATCGAGGCTGCCTGCGTCGTGTTGGCAGCCAGGCGTCTCAATTCGGCCAATTCCTAGCAGGCAGGCTTCGTCGAGAATGCCGAAGCTCACACCGCTACGATTGAGCAGGTGACAGGGGAGAGCACGTTGAGATGCGGGTGGGCTCAACTCTGCTCGGGGTACGCGGGCACACTCAATTAAGCAGGCCCCGAACACATGGAAAGCTTTCGCGTCTGGGGCGGATAGCCAACGTGGCAGACACGTATATCGGGGACGCGGGAGAGAAGAGGGGAGGGGGGGTGAGGGAGAGGGAGAGGTGGAACGATGCTCGGCTGCGTCTGGCTGCCGGGTTTGCCTCTCTCTCCGGACGGAGGCGACAGGAGGGGGTGCTGGTGATGGTGCTGGTGGTGCTGGTGGTGGTATTGGTAGTGGTGCGATGCGGGCAACTAAGCTCAAGGCTAAGTAGTAGACGGGCGGAGATTAGCTCGTGCGGTTGAAGAGCGACGACAATTGTGCCGGATATTGTCAGGTGGGATGGGAGGAGGTGTTGGGCGGAGCGTTGAGATAGTATTTGGTGTAGGGGAAGATTGAGAAGATGGGAAGGGAGGGCAGAGAGAGTGAAGCAGCTTTTCGAGAGTCAGATAGGCTGGGGAAGTGTGTTGGTTAAAAAGAAACATGGGAAAGGCATGAATCCCATCGAGTTCCAGTTTCCTCCACACCCGCCAATGTGTGGTGCGGGCAGGAACGTGTACTTGGACAGATGTATGTGCGGTAGGTGGGTGTGGGCGTACAGGAGGTACCATGTAGACGTACCCATGTAGCTGTACCGTGTTCCATGTACCACGGTATCTGTGGGTGGGGCGGATGCCCCAAGACTTGGGACCCACCCTGACCTCTAGAAACCTAGACTAAAAAAGGCACGTACTGCATGGACCGATCCACTGCCTTAGGTAGGTATAGTGTACCTGATGTGTTACGATGGACCGACGGTACGTACCTGGCCGGGCGAACATACAGCATGCCTGCCTGTGTGCGTGCGCACATGTGTACACACATAGGTACCTGCCGATACTCGGTATATTGATTGCACAGGGATGCATGTTGGAGGAGGAGCCCTGGAGAGGGGAGAAGAGAGGAGACCGGTACGAGTGTACATGACCGAGGAGGGGCAATGCTGCCGTGCAGCGCAGCTAACACCTAACATGCCTACCGTGCCCGTGCTACCTAACCTCATCACCTCCCACATCATATACCTATATACACACACACACACACACGTATACCTACCTCCTAGCCAACCTACGTACAGGCGGGACCTAGGACAAGGCGTAAACCTCTCAGGGACCCCACGCAGGGGCCGAGGTAGCTTAAGGAGAGAGCACCGTCCGATCACGACAGGCAGCGGTACATATAATCTCTAGAGTGTGTCAAGACAACATACTATATGTATACGTGTGTGGTGGTGGTGGTGGTGGTGTATACCTACTCATACAAGGTAGGTAGGTATCTTGGGTGCCTACTTTATGTCTGTACGTATCTAGGTATATACCTATACTACCAGACATACACACAAGTCTGGTCGCAGGGGGTGGTTCTGGGCTGACAGGGGTCGGGGTTGCTGCTAACGTAACAAATGGTTCCGAAAAAGCAGAAGAAGCGGGGGCGGTTGCAGATGCATGGGACTCGATGTGTGTGTAGGGTACGGATCTGTACCTGACCGAGTATCTCGCAAGTACCCTTCCCGCATTACCGCCCCCAGCCCGCCCTCACTAATACCGCCAATTCCTGAACGTAGGTATTCGGTAATAATGTGGGTGCGGGTGAGGTACCTCTCGTATAGGTGCCCGCCTAGGTAGGTACATCCACGCCCCCTCCCCTTCTCTACCTACCTAGGTACTTACCTCCCTACCTACCTACTTACCTACCTCATGTATGAGTTAAGTGCATGCCTGCCTAAGGTATGCCTGAAAGAAAGAAAGTCCATGCTCGCAGCTTCTTTCTAATGCTTACCGCATGGAGGGAGGGTGGCGTCTGTGTGGTACTGCTAGGCTAAGTGGGGGGGGGGGGGATGGGATGGGTCACGTACTGAGGTATCTCGGGCGGCCAAGACATCACGCCTAGCTCCCACCCATAACAAACTGGGTACATACGTATACCTTAACCTTGTCAGTATTTATATACGCCAGCGTATGTAATGTAAGATGTAATTAATATCCGCGGGCATGTCAGATGTGGCATTGGTACCTACTAGCATGCTTTGCCTGCGTAGATGTAGGGTCGGTACGTGTTCTCCTGTGTACGTGTATCTTGTTATGAGGTAGGTAGGCTGGCAGGCTATGAGTAGGTGTGTGCATGCAACGTAGGCAAGCGATTTGTGACAACCAGGACGAGAACGGATCACTTGTCAGCAGGTGGGTATTCTAGAACGTCGCCAGGACCTCTGGATCCTCGGCTATCTCGAATCTCCCACCCAGTCCTCGTATACGAAAACCATGATAGGACGTCTGTCATCGAGATGATGCCGAGATGGGCAACGAGTTCGGTCGAGAGGCACGATAACGTTCGCTCTAGCAACTCGGACGCGACAGGAGAACGGGCAGCCTGACTTGGGTGCTGAGGAGAGACTTTGCAAACTGTGCTCGCCGGGTCGAACTCAATTCCCTCTTGCTTGGACCCTCCTCGGGAGGAGGACGAAAGTGGAACTGACTCGCCGTACCGTAGCGTTCCGGGATAATGGTTGCCGGAAAGCTGTACCTAGCTGTCCCTTGGGGTGGCCTCAGCTCCCTTCTCCCCTCTCTCGCCCTGGCCGTCCTGGTTGATCCGTCCCATGCGAGCACGTCAAGCTTCCAACAACAGCATCGATGCCACCCTATTGCACCGTACCTAACCTACCCCCGCTAACCTGACCTAAATACCTACCTACCTACCTACCTACCTCCTACTACTAGGTAGGTAGGCAGGCAGGCAGGCAGGCAGGCAGGCAGGCAGGCAGGTAAGTACACCCGCCTACACCGATGGCATCCCGCCTACCTACTCATACCTCTCGAAGATGTGTCAGGTCGGGTACCCGAGGCGTCGGACGAATGGCACGGCCGGGCCGCGTAGGCGTCGTCCTTGTCGGCTCTGGTACGTAAGCGACCTGCCGGCTTCTTTGCGGCCGGGTACGTACTGGTGATCAACAGGCACGTTTACATGTTGCATTGCTCGGATCTGCTTGCTAGCATATCTCGCTTGGCCTTGGGGTGCGGCGTGTCTGCTGTTGCTGGGGGGTTTGGGATGCCAGCGTTAGATCGATCGTCGGGACCCCTGAACAGCATTCCGCGCATGCTCCCGTCCGCGGCTGGGCAGCCCGTGCCGTCTTCTCTTCGAAGCCCGCGTACGGGGAGAAACAAGACTCCTCGGGCAGGCTGCCAGACAGCTGTTGGTTGGGACGACCCGGGCAGGCCAGCTCGGTAGCTAATCAGGCAGGGCGCAGACCACGACGCCGCTTTGCGAAGAAAGATTGCAGGTACCTACCCAGGTAAGCCAACGTTAGGTAGCTGACATGACCACGGGCGAGAGGAGGCAGGAGGAGGTACCTCAGCTCCAAGTCCGGTAGGGGTAAACGCACCTAGAAAACGTACATACCTGCCCCCTACGTGCCTATATGTAGGGTATTGCGCCAACGTCTACGTGACGTAGGTGGCCGGTGAGGCTACGGGCAGGTACCTTCAGATCGGTTTACCTATGACTGTACTTGCGAGCAGGAATGCGCTACATGCGTGCCTTTCCTTTTGAGGACACCGGACTACCTACGTCGAGGTACCTTGCCTAGGTTAGGTAGGAAGTAGGTACTGAACCCGGGTAGGGTTGGCTTGTATACCTAGGTATTACATGCCCAGGCTGGCAGGGGAAGCACCTCGAATCCCACTATAGACATCAGACATGCACATAGAGAGCCTCTTCGATCCCGTCAAGGGTTCTCTCCTCTGCTGGAAACTCTCCACCCTGAATTCGCCGTATACCTACCTAAGGTATCTACCTACGTATATGGGGAGGTACCTTGCCTGCTTTACTATTCCGGCCAGGGCTGCGAGGCACATCGAGTAAAAGGTACCTACTTCAGGGACCGGTATTAGCGTAACAAACTCTGGGCTGAATAAACGGAGCAGCGCTCAGACACCGGGGAGCAAGACAAAGATGCGTACCTGTAAAGTAGTCGTCCCGACTCGTCCCCAGGCACGCTACCTCGAGGTACTCGTCTGTCTACCCACACCGGCCTGTCGCAAACGGCACACCCAGGTACCTGTTGGGTGGGGGGCTTGGAGAGATCTGTTGAGGGGTCCTCCTAGCGGCGCCGCCCTATTCTCTTCGTTTCTTTGTTCTGGCGCCCCGATCTGGGCTTCCGCCCTTCTCCCCCTTCTCCTCTTCTTGCCTCTATTCAGTTCTACGTTCGAATGCTGAAGATCCCGCCCACCCAGGGGCGGACCGGTGAGCACTGCATACGACCACCTCGACGTATACGGGGCGAGAAGAGTAGAGGTGATTAGAGGAGGCAGCTCTCTCTCTGTGTGCAGGATTCGCTCAGCGGCGCCAAGCAAGGCTGCTGCGTTACGCACGAGATGTACATACATGGCCGGGGTACATGGGGCGTCTGGCACGGGTACATGGCGGAGAGAGCTTGGGTGACACGCGAACCGTTTATGGCATTCTTCTCTTTGCAATGCTGCTTTTTCAGAATTCGATGCTTCGCCGTCCCCCTCCATCCACTCACCCACCACCATCTCGATCGCGAGACATCCTGTTCCCCTACGTGTGGACACAGAGCAGATAGCGCACATTAGCCAGCTTTACGTTCGGGTCTTACAGGACGCCAGCTCGGCAAGTCCATCGATGCAACCTAGGTGTTGCCAGTCGTCGACTCTGTTAAGGGTTCCCCTCCGGCCCCCTCCCGTCCTTCTTCCCTCCCTCCCCCCCCTACCTGTACCAGACCCGACAACGTGGTGACACGAAGCGTATGCGTCGGAGTCGAGCGTCGGGTCCTGACAGAGCGTAAGGAAGGAAGGGAAAGAATTAATGAATCAAAAAAAAAAAAGGAAAAAAGACAAAAGATGCGTATCTGGCCGAGAGGCGGGCCAGTGATGCCGGGCCGGGGGATCGGCGCGTGTAAAAGAAACGGGACGAAACAGGGAGAAGGTAATGATGTCATGCGGATGGAAAGTAGGAAAATAAGAAAAACAACGATGCCATCTCGAACGGATCCAGGGTGTGTAAAGCCAGCAGGGAAGATCGGGAGAGGAGGGGAGGGCAGGGGGGCGCGGGTCTACCAGACCGGATACCAAATCGCGGCGGCGAGCGGCGGCGAGTGCGGGTGCAAAACGTGCGTGGATAATGCGTGTATATGTGTATACATAGGTATGTATGTGTGTGTGTATGTGTATGTGTAGATGGGTAGGTCTGTGTATGTCTGTGTGTGTGTATGTGTGTGATGTGTGTGTGAATATAGGAGGTATGCCTGCATGGGTTTCGGTTGAGAGTAGCAATTGCTGTCTTGATGGCCCCCGAGCATTCTGAGGCGGGATCGAGATTTCGCAAGCGATCGAACATCGACCACCACCACCGCCGGTGCCCGCCTTGCTGGAGGGCCGCAGCGAGAGACCCGCCTTAGAGTGCTGTGGATCCCCCGGGCAAGGGGCCGAGCTGGAGCTACCTCCATGGTACCTCTCCCACTCCCAACGCAGAGCACAAGGCCCCACATGGGATGGGCATACGACGTAGTACATGCTCGGTACCTAACCATGGATACTAGGGAACGGCAACGCCTTCGCTTGGAGCCTCCCGCCCGTCCCTCACGCGGTGCTGCTTGTCCTTCCTCTCTCCTTTCCGCAGGCGGGCCCCGGCCAGGGGGACAGCTTAGGTAAAGAAGAAGAAGAAGAAGAAGAAGAAGAAGAAGAAGAAGAAGAAGAAGAAGAAGAAGAAGAAGAAGAAGAAGAAGAAGAAGAAGGGAAGAGACTTCTTCACGAAAAATTTTAAATAAATAAATAAAAATTAATAAAAATTAATAAAAATTAATAAAAATTAATAAAAATTAATAAAAATTAATAAAAATTAATAAAAATTAAAAGACGGAAAAGAACCGGGAAAAAAAGTCCTGACGCAACGACAGAGAACAGGCTCCGGGCAAGCCGTTACGGCATCCACGGACTTGCATTCTCTCTCCTCTAATCCGGATCCAGGCTAGGCGCGCCAGAAACCCAGCCTGATTCCATCACCGCAGACACCACGGGGCTGTCAGATTACATAACAAGCCAGCACTACTTACGTAGCACGCCCACGCCGTCGCAGAGGAGAGGAGAGAGAGGACAGTACGCAAAACGGACGAGCCGCACAGAGCGGGGTGGACATCTTGGTGCGATCCCACGGTGCGTAGACACGTCCCGGGACTGTGCTGTGCCGGTATCAGCAAAACTCCCGCCATCAACTGACCAAAATTCAGGGTTCTTCAAGCACGCGCTAACGAGCCCCCCTTGACCCTGCTGATACCGAGCAACAGCCCTGGTCGCGATCCTTCTACACATTCTTCATTTTTTTTTTCCCTTCTATTTTCCCCCTGGAAAATCGGTATTATCTCGCAATCCGGCGGGCGTGGCCGGGCGTGGCCGGGCGTGGGTATGGCATGGGTACGGCATGGTTACGGCAATCCGACCAGTTGGCCTCGACTACGTGCTTAGCAGGTTGTCGGCGCTACTACCTAGCAGGAAACAGGAGGAAGCGAGAGGGCCCGGATCCGTGCATCGCTCCCAAACCCGACAGAGCCAGAGAGAGATTCGATAAGTACGACGGCCCGGAATGGCCTGCATGCACCCAGATCAATCAGATGAGGCGAGATCAAATGAAATGGGACAGATAGAATCCACGATCCCTCCAATCGCGCCAACGACCAATATTCCAATCTGCCAGTGGCAGCGGCCTTCCTGGTCTTCCTCGAGTTCTCGATCCGGCCACTAGCGACACAAAGATCGAAACAATGTTGGGCAATCGTCGATGGCCGGCCGATCGTCAGCACATTGGTGGGCACCTCACAGGAACACCCCTCTGGCGGCGCTTGGCGTTGGCTTCGTATCGCGCGCAGGGCTGGCCCATCACTTATCTCTCTCGACTCGGAGAGCGAGCGGCCAGGGGTTAGAAGGGCGGAGGGCCATGCATGCTCCCCTATGAGTAGATGCGACTTTCATTACATTCCTTCTTTTTTTGGTCTATCGATGATCGGAATTCTCATGGCATCTGGCGGTCTGAAAATACTACCTACCTCTCGCTCCCATCGTCGGGCCAATCGATGGGTATCTCCACGCCTCTCCCCTACCCATATAATAGTGCGGGACCCTGGGACGATCGGAGGTTTTTCTCCACGCGCCCAGCCAACCCCGGCAACCTCCTCTCGAAACGAAAAGACCGAAAAGAAGAGGATAAAAAACAATTTTAAAAAAAACTGAAAAAAAAGGGAAGAGGAGGGAGATGATGCTAGTTGAGAGAGGAACTAACTATTTGGGTAGTTCCAGACATTTGTCTCGTTAGGCCATGTCGCTACAGGCACCACTTACCTGCTACCAATGACAGCTTCTAGGCATGTTCGCAAATGCCGCCGAGACAAAAGAAACCATCATCCCAGAGGCAGCCCGAGAAAAAAATATTCGGCATGTCATCGTAATCTAGTTGGTCCGCCTCCGTCCTGGTGACCAGAGTAAATATTTATTTGCACCTATCGCATGTGACAACCTCTACATACATACATACACGCACACACATAAACGCATACAGCGAACACATAGCCAAACTCGACTACAGAGATTTGGCTGTGCGGTGGTGTAAGCCGCTAGAGATAAAAGAGCGCAATTTAATGCCTGGCGATACCGCGACGTGGGTAAGGACGCTGGCGAGGGTCGACAGGTGCGCTTAGCAGCCGGAGGGAAGCACATATGCCATACGCGCGCGCACGCATGCACACACACACACGCCGACGGGTTCTAGAGAGACCACGATGACGCAAATGAAATTTGGGAAACCCTGCTTGGACTGGTGACGAAGGAGGCGGAGAGAAGAGAGGGAGAAGGGGGGGGGGGAACAACCGGAGCTTTCGATGGTCAACTACATCGTACACTTATCGGCCGAGGCTCCGAACGTCCGCATCCTTGGACGTTCATCCACGCCCGTGGCTGAGGTTTTGCTGGGCTGCCTTGTTTCCGGCTCGGCGGCCTTGGCCAAGGCAGTTGGCGATTCACACGCCCCGAGGTCATCGTAACGAGTCTTGGAAAAGGCTTGGTTTTAGGGGCCCAGGCCGATTCTTCTCGATGCGGTCTGGTCCGTTTGCGTCGCCTATTCTCTCACCCCCCTCACCCCCCCCCCCCCCCCCCTCTCTTCTTCCCTCAATACGTCCTGGTGCATCGCCAGAGTCTGGATCGATCTTGTTGCCTGACAAGTCGCCCGTTTCGGGGATTACCTCTCGAACCAGTCAGGCCACGAGGTTGGACCCGGATGGAAGAACCCCGTTCAATACCGAGCAAAAGGCGGCTTGCGCTGCCCAGCCAGGAGTTCCAACCCTGCTCGTTCCTATGCACACAGCCTAGACTCTCGTCGAAGGGGGGGAGGGGACCGTCGAAGGCTATGCGAAACGTTCGAGCATCAGTCGATAAGGAAAACGAGCGGAAAAGTCGTCGCAAGCGAGGAGTTATCGTGATCTGAATCCCATCTTATCCCCACACCATCCTACTACGACAGCTTTTTTTTTGGTTTGTTTTTTTTCTCCCGATGGTCTTTAGAAACTGCATGCTACCTCACACCCCTTGCCAGGTTCTTTGATACCCTACCGTACATGCCCTACTTGCGTACATATGTATGTACAAACGGAACACCGCCGTCTTACCTTACCGGATCTCGCTGCCTCGGACGATCGCCTACATACTGAATCAGGTGTACGTTATCTATGCTGCCCATCCATTATCGCACAGGATGACTCGCGTTACAGGGAAGTTTGACCAGGGTACGCGCACGCAACCTCTTCTCCGGGTCTTACATGGTATATAACTAAAGAAGGGTTATACGTGCGTGGGCGCGATAGGGTGGATGTTCTAGATGGGTAGATACAACCCACTTAGCACATATTCAAGATTCCGTTAGGGCACAGAGACGCACATATCCACGAAGAATAATCGAAAGAGAGCAAGATATACAGGAGGAGAGAAGATGAGAGAAGCGCAAAGAAAACGACGAGCCATTAAGAAGTGGGTAAAAGGTGGTGGTGTTCGTAGGGATCACCACGATACGATGCAATAAGACAGGCAGACGACCGAGGCCAATAGGAACCGATCCAAATCCGCCCAACGAGCGAGCCGCGAGGTAGGTACTGCAACGATGGGACTGGCATACACATACATATACGCACGCACGCACGTACACGTACATACGCATACGCATACGCACATCTACGCGTCTACGCAGACATGCTGGTTGCTCTGTGGGTATAGGTAGTAGGGATCTCGCCTTCGCCCGCTCTCCCTCCCTTTGCCGCGCCCTTTTCGGGTTCCTACGCTACTACCGGTTCCAGTCCGAACTGCGAGTCCGAACCGCTCGACGTATGCAGGTCGGCAAGGCAAGCCTAGCCCAGGGAGAGGTCGTCGGCAAGCCAGGACAGGATAGAGGGGGCGGATGGGATGATGATGAATCAAATGTTTTTTTTTTCCTCTGCCTTTTCGCCCCCTACCCTGGCTCGAGCCGACATCGGTCGATCCGGAGGCGTCCGTGACGCTGGGTGAGTGGGAAGTCCCGGAGCTCCGCGGCCGTGTCGACCCGATTGACGATATGCGCGACAGCCGGCCGTCCCGCAGGGGCACCGCACGGCAGGGGGGTATGGTAAGGCGGCACAGTAGCACCCGTAGTGTGCGTTGCGTAGCGGGCGGTGGCAGTGGTGGCAGTGGTGGCAGTGGTGGATAGGGATGTAATAGTCAGCAGGTAGGCAGCCGGCCAGCCAGCCAGCCAGCCAGCCAGCGATACCCGACCAGACGCGAGGCCATACCGGTCTGGGGATAATGCGTGGCGGGCTTCTTTCGGTTCTATTTGCGTCCCGCTCTACCGGGTATGGCTCGTATTCAGCGGGAGCTGAAAAGGAAGAAAAGCAGCCCTACGGGCGGCCCCCCCCCTTCCCTTCCCTTCATCCTCCTCTCGTCCCCCATCCCCCTTTCGGCGAGTGCAGTTCTGTGCGTGGCTCAGGCGAGTGCCTGTCGAGATGGCCTCGGTAGAACGAAAGTGCACAGGCGAGTAGAGATCGTGGGGGGCGAGACGTGGGCAAACTAACCGACGAACGGATATTACCTACATTACACCCTGTCCTCCACCTTGCCCTACTCAGTTCCGTCCGTCTGGTCTATCCCGTCAACCGGCCGGGACTCGGCATGGAGGGTCCGTTGGGAACTCCGTCTCGTCTCGTCCTGCTGTGTACCTACCTACTATACACTTAGCTGCCTCTTGCCGAAGGCTAGGGCGAGGTATAGACCCTCGTCGAGACTCCGTCGATCCGGAAGAAGCCAAATCCAAAGCCAACGAACCGGCCTCGGCGTCCCATAGGCGCGCATATATGTAGGTAGACACACACACAACACACACACACACACACACACACACACCCGCAGACGTCGACGCACACACACTAATTACATAGTGGCTATGTAGCTTAGCTGTAATCCTGTAATCCGTCTGCGATGCAGCCCGGCGAACTAACTGACTCGACAACAGCTAACCGACCCAGACGAGTCTGTCCCGGGCGACGGTCTTTCGAGCCGGCCGGACCCAGGTGAGAGAGGTGTAAAAAAGCCCTGGTTTTAATACTACGCCGTAGAGTTACGTTGGGTAAAGTCATGATATGATGGCGACGCACGCACACACGCACGCACGGCCGAACGTACGAAACGAGTAGCGACCTAATACCCCGCGCGAAGCCACCACCTTCGCGCTGCTCTCCATACTCCTTACTCGCCTACCTTTTGCTTCACCTTTGCTGTGCCGTGCTTTGCCGGCCTGGGCGCTTGGCCTCGTTGCCTCCCTCCTTGCAAAAGGACCAGCCCCAGCTGCGGTCCACCGACAGCCAAGCTACCCCTCCACGTATGGGAGGCCGTCGGATCAACCGCTGCCTCGCGAACCCCCCCTCCCCCGTTCCCTTCCCTCCCGTCTAACGAAGCACCTCATCTCTCGTGCTTGTCTGCTGAGAAGCACCCTACCTCTCTTGGCAGGTGTCGCAAGTTGTTTGAAAAAGATTGAAAAAAATTGAAAAGGTGTCGTACGTCATAAGGCGAGACAAGATGGGATGAGGAGGGGAGGGGAGGGGAGGGGAAGGGAAGGGGGCGATCACCGTTCCGCATGTTTAAGCAAAAGAGGGTAGGCTACTTGAACCGCGTACGAACCAGCTCGGCGGGTGCGCCGGGGATGCATGCACAGGTGAACGACTGAATGGAGGGGTCTCGAGTGAGGGAGAACCCCGACGTTAGACTAGCATCGCGGTCTCGAAGTAGACCTCCGTAGAGGCGTGACACCGTTATACCTACCCACCTACCTACCCATCGTGCACCTACCCGTCGTACGTTTCTTCCCGCGGGCAGACCTGCACCCTGCGTGTAGGTAAAGCCGATAGGGGACGCCCCAAGAACATTGGCGAATGGATGCGGCACATATCGGCCGGGAAAGGGGGGGGGCATACCCCTGAACCCTATAACAACCACGTCCCCTATTTACCGCTGGTACCACCTATTACCACGGCTGCTATTGCTATTAATATTATTAGTATTATCACTGTCGCTATTGCTATCATGACTACGGTCGTCATCAAGGCCAGGCCGCGCATCCTACGCGTAGTTAAAATATGCCTCGGTAGATAGGCAGGGTAGATATGGAGGCAAGATAGATAGAGGCGGCCGCAATCAGCCGACGGTGAGCCGCGCCGGCCGCATGCCGCCATCGCATGTACGCATGCTGGCTTCCCATGCGCGAGCAGCGATAGTCTCGTCCTCCCCAACAGAGCAACACACTTGCGCCTCGGTCCGGCAGCCGCCTCTCGATCGAGAGACGCCTCCGCCGCCCAACAAGACACCGCTCTACCCAGGCGGGCAGCGCGGAGGTCCTCCGGCGACACACGCAGACGCCGAGACAGCCACGCAATGTACGAGCACTCCCGCATCGGGACGCGCGCATATACGCGCGCATCACGGGACGGCATCCCCAAGCGGTCCGCACATTGTCCCGCGGCACAGCGCGAGACTGAGTTCGCATCGCGTCTCGACACACACACACATACGCCCACCCACACACACGCACCTACACACGTCCCCCCCCCCCTCCTCTCCGGCGTCTACGAACAGAATACCGGAACCGCGCCCTCGCGCGGCCTTCTTCGACCGTCGGGACCCAGGGACCAAGGGGCCAAGGGCCAGATTCGCCCACCACGACGCCCGGATCGCCCAGATCGGCGTCTCCGCCGCCGCCGATCGGCCGCCCCCCCCCCCCCCCTGCTCCCCCTTTTCACCCTTTTCACTTAACAACGCCCGCACACACACCACATACCTAGGCAGGCAGGCATATACATACCATACCTAGGTATGTACACTTTACAAACACGCTCGCACTCCTTCTTACCCACCCACCCACGCATATGCCGCCTGCGCGCGCGCGCGCGCAGGCACGTCGGCGAGCACGGCCTGGGTCCCACGGCGCGACGCTCCGCTCGCACCCCCTTTCCCAGCCGCCCATCTCTTGCCCACGCCTCCCCTACCTGCCTGCGTGTGCTCAGCGGCCTAGCCTCGCCGTGCAACCTCGCACGACGTACGGGGGGCCGCGGCGCCGACGAACGCTAGGACCAGGGGCCAGGGGCCAGGGGCTGGGGCCAGGCCAGTCCGTCCGACGCGGGCTGGCCACCCTGTCGCCGTGTTGTTTCCGCCTCTGCTTCTTCTGCTGCTGCTGCTGCTTCGTCTAGGCCCTCGCGCTTACCTACCCCCCACCCCAACCCGGCTCTCTCTCTTCCCCCCCTTTTTTTTTTTGCCGAGAGGCGAGAGAGGGAAGGGGATTTGGGGGCGAGGGATATATATGCCTGCCGCGGCCTAGACCTAGATAGCCGCCTACGCGTGGGCGCGCGTTTCTGCGGCGCTTCTATTACGCGGGGGGGGGGGGGGGTCGTGTGGTAGAGGACGAGGAAAAAGGGGCAAAGGGGGGGGGGGGGAGGAGGTAGAAGTGCGAACATCGTGCCTCGCGTGAGACCGCACCGCACCGCGCCGCGCCACGCCGCGCCACGTTGCGCGTGCCGGGACGAACGAGCGGGCGAGAAGAGAAGAGAAAGAGGCGGCGACGGCGGCGGCGATGATGACGACGATATGCGCCGCGGCATCGAGATCTGTGCGAGCCTCCGCCGTCGTTGAATGTGGTACGGATGGGGAGAGGGGAGCCGGGGGGGGGGGGGGGTTATTTATGAGTATGTACGCCCTGACGGTCAGCACGCAGAGGGGAGGGAGGCTTAAAAAACCGCCCCAAAACACTTTTGTGTCTGTCTGCTGTGTCTGGGATGCGTGGAACGGCGCACCGCGCGCGCGCATAGGTCTCAGACACGAAGGCTATCTTGAAAAAAAAAAAAAAAAAAAGTGAGAAAGAAGAACGTGAAAAAGAAAGAGAAGAAGAGAAGAAAAAAAAAAAGAAGTACCGCGGTAAGAAACCACGCGTCCTCCTCCAGCTCCCCCCCCATACCTATCCTATCCATCTATGAGTACGTCTACATCTACATCTACACAATCACAAGCTCGCGCGCGGCCGCCCAAAACCCCCCAAGACCGCGGTATCGGATCAGATCGGATCGGATCGGACAGGCAGCGCCGCGCAGCGCTCGTGCCTCTCCCTGGCCCTCGCCCTGGCCGCCGCCGCCCGCGGGTTCCGGCTCCGCATTCTCCCCCCTCGCCCCTGCAGCCGAGCGACCGCGCGCGCACGTGAGAGAGAGAGAAGGGGGGGGGAGGAGAGAGAGAGAGAGAGAGAGAGAGAGAAGGCCCGACCCGTCAGGAGCGACGGGCGACGCGTCACTACCTGGGGACGCGCGCGCGCAAGACGGGCGATGAACGAGCAAGGAGGAGGAGGAGGAAGAAGAAGAAGCAGGGCGGCGCGGGCCCGCGGACCGTCCGAGGCAGCGCCTCGGCGCCGACGCGCTGCGCGTACGCGTAACATGCTCCACACGCAAGCCTACCTAAGCTTAACCTGCCTGCCTGCCTGCCTTTGCCTGCCGGCCGGCACTACGCAGGGGGCGTGGGGAAAAAAAAAAAAAAAGGGGTTTTTCGTCTACGCAGTCTGCCCGCTGCGCGCGCGCGCTACGGGTAAGAAAAGGGGGACCTCTGCTTCCCTGCGTCCTCCCCCGTGCCTCCGAGGGTCTACCTATATGTACCTCGGCATGTCTGGATGGCGAGGCGTGCGGAGACAGGCAGACAGACAAGTAGACGAGACTGTAACCAAGGTAGTCGACAGGCTCGCGGACCCCGGCCGTCGGCCCTACGCGGCATTCGCAGTAGGCTATGTGTGTGTACCTTTTTTGCGCACACAGGTGGGCTCACGGGGTCGTGTTAGCCGAGGCGAACACGTGCCGCGTTGCCGTTTCGTTGTGCTGATGCCGTCGTCGTCGCCGTCGGAGGCAGGTGTTGGGGATGCGGGCGGTTTGGGTCTTGGGTCTTGCGGGGGACGAAGGGTGGAGGGGGGAGGAGGGGGGCAAGTAGACAGACAGGCTATAGGCAGATGAGCAGATAATAGACGGAAAACCGCGAGAGCAAGGGAGAGAGATAGGTCCAGACCCCAAAGACGCGGACCAAGATGTAACTGAGCTGCTACGGCAGAGAAGCTAACGTGACCCTTCGAGACGCATGTCCGCCCAGTTCGCAAAGCAGACGCCCTTCTCTTCCCCCCTCCTGCCCGTCCGAGAAACGCCGTGACCATGCGACCTGCGATCCCTCCTATGCTGCGCGAAACCAAGACGGAAATAGATTGGTGACTGACCGAACCCTTCTCCCCTCCCCCTCCCTCTCACCCCTCCTCTATCTTGTCCCGGCCTCATCTCCGCCCCTGTCAGACGCCATGCGTACCTTGGGTTGTGACATGCGACTGGTGACCTGCTGCAACCTGCCACCTGCAAGTCTACATTCACACCACCACCACCACCACCATCACCGCTACTACCGCTACCACATCAAACAACTTCTTTTTTTTCTCTCTCTCTCCCTTCTTCCTTTTTTTTTTCTTTTTTTTACACCGAGTTACATCCCCCCCCCCCCCCGGCCCCAAGGCCAAGGCGCGAGAAGTGGGCGGTACGTCTCGGCTACCTCGAAGACAGCTCTACTTACTTCGTACCCGGCAGCGACGGGGGTCCCATCTTACCGGCACCGGTGTCGATCTTCTTGCTGGGGGGCTGCTCCGGCACCCTGAATCCTCCTCCATTGGCGCCGCTGCTGCTAGCGGCGCCACTCCCACCCACCTGGGTAAAAGTACCGCCCTTAAACCAGCGATCCTCCTCCGCTTTTCTCTTACGATTCAGGTCCGCCTGGACCTTGGGGTCGACGAGCTCGAGTCCCTGGACCGGGGTGAAGGCCAGAGACGAGGCCGTCCCCGCACCCCCTCCTATCGTGGATCCCACCCCTGACGTGCGGAGACCCTTGCCGCGAAGGTCGATGTTGCTGCCTGATTGGCCGAAGCCGCGTATCGACGAAGCTGAGCCACCGATCGGCGTAGCCCCTCCCCATCCTTTGTGCTTCTGGCTGAGCTTCGCCCGTGTCCGGTTGTCGATCTGCATGCCTCGAATGCGCCCGTCGTTGGTCTGCCCGATCATCCCCATCCCCGTCGTAGAGTCTCCCGTGCCGTAGCCCGTCTCCTTCTCCTCCTTGCCGAACGCCATGCGGTTCTGCGCCTTTCGCAGGTCTGTCATCGCCGTCGCCTCCTTTGCCTTGCGTGCCCGGCGGCCGCCTCGCTTCCGCGACGGCTTGTCGTCCGGGGCTGGCAGCGCTCGCTGGCCCTTGTTCGGCGGCGGTTCCGTCATCTTGTCCAACCGCTCCAGGCATTGGCCCCTGAGCTCCTCGCCGTACGAGCCGTCGGGGTTCGCGTGGCCCGTGTCGGCGCGCGCGGCGAGGACCAGCTTCGCTGCTACCGCCTTCATCGCCTTCTTCTTGAGGTCGGTCGGGATGCCGCGGATGATCGGCGAGTGGTATAGATAGCCCTGCTGCCGTATGGCCACGTTGGTGGCGAAAGCCGTGTTTCCCTGCCGCTTCGAGCCCCAGGCGGGCAGGTTGCAGGCAGGCGTCCGCGAGAGGTTGGTGAGGCCGCCGGCAGAGTTGATCAATTGCGCAGCCGTCAGCGAGCCCACTATGGCAGTCAAGTTGGGCGCGAATATGTTCATGCGAGACTGCACGTAGTCTGTAAGTGTCTTCTTGGCCTTGTCCATCTTGATCATCATGTGGCAGGCCTTCAGGATGCGCTCGAGCTCCTCCTGGCTTATCTCCTGCCCTTTGGTCGTCGTAGCTTCGACCGTGACGATCATGAGCGAAGGGCCATCGAGGACCGACTTGAGCGATTCGCCGAGGGCGTTGTCGGCCGAGCTCTGGAGGGCTCGGATGCTGTCCGAATCCATCGGTCCGTTTCCGAGGATGGCCACGACTTTAGCATACTCGATGGGATTCTGCACGAGGGTCTCCAGTTCGGGAAACCGGGCCGAGTAATGGTCTCGGATGAACTTGTGGACCTTCATGATCTCGCCGTCGATCTGGGTGGAGAGAGTGTTGGATTCAGTGAGGATCTTATACTCGGGGTTGTCCTCGATGTTACCTATATTCGTCGTCTGTGGGGCGAGAGGTTTCGATTGGTAGTAGGCGATGTCCTGCAAAGTGGTAACCAGTCCGTCAGGTCTATTGCGCAAGCCGCAAGATGTAAACACTTGATCACCGTTCGCAGTGTGTAGCAAAAAGGGAGGGGGGAGGGGGAGCGTGTGGACTAACCCTGAGAAGAGGCTCCAGCCTGTCCATGACCGTGGTGACCTTCCGAATATCCTGGATCCGGGCCAACGACGTCTTCTCGACCCTAGCCCTCGTCACCTCCTCGTCCTCGATCTCGTTGATGGCGCCGCCGTTCATGCCCCCCATCTCCTCGTCGGCGTCTTCGTCAGGCTCTTCTTCCTCGTCGCCGTCGAGCATCATATCGCCGTTGTCGTGGCTCGACGGGGGGCCAACAGCCGGGCCGTCGAGGTCGAGGCCGGCATCATTCTGATCGTCGCCATTCTCGGACCCGGAGTCCTCGAAATCCTGCAGCAGCTCTTCGGCTAGGGTCGACATGACGCCGGAGTCGACGGTCGCTGCACGCGACGGGCAGGTAAACACGACAGGATACGCTCGAACAGGGGGGAGATGCGAAATTGGGACAGGCTCGAGCCGAGTCGAATGTGTGTTGATTATCTGGGTCGGTAATCCTAGGCACCCAGGTATGCAGGGGGACTATGTGCGATGAATAGACGGATGGCCGGCTGCGACGGCGAGATGGGACGTGAAAGATTTGGGCGTAAAAAAATAGCAGCTCCAGACGGGGTCTTGCGTCGCAACTTCTTCGGGATCGCGATGGCAATTTAATGTGGGGCTCGTTTGTCTTTCCTCACCTAGGTGACCGATGTCGGGGAATCCATTCTTCCGAGCGCTCTCGAATGTTATCCTATCCGGAGGATAGTTATAATACGCATAACCCCCTGTCATGCTGATTAATTGCGGGGTTAAATACCCCTGTAAATAGCCCTGTAAATAACCCTGTAAATAACCCTGTAAATAACCCTGTAAAGGGGTTATTTAGGGGAAACTCTGTTTTTACTGGCTAAAAAACGCGCTATGGGTCCCTAAAAATACGTGCACCCAATAAAAACGGCGGGATAAATGGAGTCTTATAATTTGAAATCCTTACGTATATTTACTGACGCGTTTTCTACCCCTATTTCCTGACCTTTTCTGACGCGTTTTCTACCCTTATTTCCTGACCTTTCCTAACCTATTTTGCCGTGACCTTTCCTGACTTTTCCTGACCTTTCCTGACCTGTTTTGCAATGACCTTTCCTGATCTTTCCTGACCTTTCCTGACCTGTTTTACAGTGACCTTTCCTGACCTTTCCTGACCTGTTTTGCAGTAACCTTTCCTGACTTTTCCTGACCTTTCTTAACCTGTTTTGCAGTAACCTTTCCTGATCTTTCCTAATCTTTCCTGACCTGTTTTGCAGTAACCTTTCCTAATCTTTCCTAACCTGTTTTGCAGTAACCTTTCCTGATCTTTCTTAATCTTTCTTAATCTTTCCTAATCTTAGATTTTAATCCCGTTAAAAATTATATATAATTTCTTACGTTTTCTATGTTTTTTATTATAAATAAGGTTCGTAAACGTAAAAATGGTTATTAAATAAACTAAGTATATTTATATAAGTTTTCTATATATAATTTTTTACGCTTTCTATATTTTTATTATAAATAAAGTTCGTAGCTCTAAAAATCGTTATTAAATAAACTAAGTATACTTCCTATATCTCTCTATCCTCCGGATAGGTTATTATTTTTAGCGTAAATGCTAAAAATAAGCCCGAATTATTCTGCGAAGCAGAATAATTCGGGTCTTATTTTATAAGCCAAATCCTGACTTCAGTAAAGGTCTATTTCCTCCCGCTTAGGTAATCTCTAGCCGGAATATACTCGTACAATTTGTGGGGCACAGCAACACTCATGTTTTCCAACGTCTGTAGGTATTAATTTCGATCGCGACCAGGCTAGCTCTTCAGCCTCGCCCGTTTCTTGGACGAATCAACATTCGACTGACGACTGACGACTGACTTTCCTTTGCGACATCGTATCTACACTACCGCCGCAGCTCCGCTTCCGGAACGCTTTCCATCCCGCGCTGCGATTCTAGTACGAGAAGAACGCCCGCCTCGCGCCCCGTCGAGATGGAGTCCTCGCGCGGCCCCCCGCGGGTCAAGAACAAGGCGGCGGCGCCGGTGCAGATCTCGGCCGAGCAGCTGCTGCGGGAGGCGGTGGACCGGCAGGAGACGTCGCTGCAGGCGCCGACGCAGCGGTTCGGCGACCTCGAGGAGCTGCACGAGTTCCAGGGCCGGAAGCGGCGCGAGTTCGAGGACTACGTCCGCCGCAACCGCGTCAACATGAACAACTGGATGCGCTACGCCGCCTGGGAGCTCGAGCAGAAGGAGTTCAAGCGCGCCCGCTCCATCTTCGAGCGCGCCCTCGACGTCGAGCCCACCTCCGTCGTCCTCTGGATCCGCTACGTCGAGGCCGAGATGAAGAACCGCAACATCAACCACTCCCGCAACCTCCTCGACCGCGCCGTCACCCTCCTCCCCCGCGTCGACAAGCTCTGGTACAAGTACGTCTACATGGAGGAGATGCTCGGCAACATCCCCGGCACCCGCCAGGTCTTCGAGCGGTGGATGTCTTGGGAGCCCGACGAGGCCGCCTGGGGCGCCTACATCAAGCTCGAGAAGCGGTACGGCGAATACCAGCGAGCGAGGGACATATTCGCCCGCTTCACCCTGGTGCATCCCGAGCCGCGCAACTGGATCAAGTGGGCCAGGTTCGAGGAGGAGTACGGCACGAGCGACCTGGTCAGGGAGGTGTTCGGCGGTGCCGTCGAGGCGCTGGGCGACGAATTCGTCGACGAGAGGCTCTTCATCGCCTACGCCCGGTTCGAGACGAAGCTTAAGGAACTCGAGCGTGCCCGGGCCATCTACAAATATGCGTTGGATCGCCTGCCCCGGTCCAAGTCTATGGGTCTGCACAAGGCTTACACGACCTTTGAGAAGCAGTACGGCGACAGGGACGGCGTCGAAGATGTCATCCTGTCGAAGAGGAGGCGGCTCTACGAAGACCAGATCAAGGAGAACCCCAAGAACTACGAGATATGGTTTGATTTTGCTAGGCTAGAGGAGGCCTCGGGCGACCTCGACCGGGTTAGGGACGTGTACGAGCGAGCGGTGGCGCAGATCCCGCCCACCCAGGAAAAGAGGCATTGGCGCCGGTATATCTATCTGTGGATATTCTACGCCATCTGGGAGGAGATGGAGGCCAAGGACATCGACCGGGCACGGCAAATCTACAAGTTGTGCCTCGAGCTGATCCCCCACAAGAAGTTCACGTTCGCCAAGATCTGGCTGCTTAGGGCGCAGTTCGAGATTCGGCAGGGCGAGCTGAGCGCGGCGCGCAAGATACTCGGCCAAGCCATCGGCATGTGCCCGAAGGACAAGCTATTCAAGGGCTACATCGAGCTAGAACTAAAGCTGTTCGAATTTGTGCGATGTAGAACCCTGTACGAGAAGCACATCGAGTGGAATCCGGCCAACTGCCAGACCTGGATCAAGTTCGCCGAGCTCGAGAGAGGGCTGGACGACCTGGACAGGACCCGGGCCATCTTCGAGCTCGCCATCCGCCAGCCGGTCCTGGACATGCCGGAGCTGCTGTGGAAGGCGTACATCGACTTCGAGGAGGAGGAGGGCGAGTACGACAAGACGCGCGACCTGTACGAGAGGCTGCTGGAGAAGACGGACCACGTCAAGGTCTGGATCAGCTACGCGCACTTCGAGATCAACATCCCGGAAGATGAGGAGGAGGCGGCGGCGGTTGGCGAGGGAGAGGAGGAGCGGCCGGTCAGCGAGGAGGCCAAGGCGAGGGCGCGCAGCGTGTTCGAGCGCGCCCACAAGCACATGAAGGACAAGGACCTCAAGGAGGAGAGGGTGTCGCTGCTCAACGCGTGGTTGTCGTTCGAGCGCACGCACGGGTCGGCGGAGGAGGTGGACAAGGTGCAGAAGCAGATGCCGCGGCGGACGAAGCGCCGGCGCAAGCTCGAGGACGACACGTACGAGGAGTACATCGACTACGTCTTCCCCGCCGACGACGAGCAGAAGCAGGATTTATCCAAGATGCTGGCCATGGCGCAGGCCTGGAAGCAGGGCGGCGGGTTGGTCGGCGGATCCAACTGATCGCGTTTTACTGCCCTCGCTGCCACCGCTACTTATCGTTGCTATTGCTACCGTGTGTATAGTACTGGGGGTAGCGGAAGGGGCCGATATGTGTCGATGATTCGATGCTGTGCCGTATATGGAAAAAAGAAGAAGGAATAGGCTAGGTAGGCTAGGCTAATTTGCTGATAGACAAGCGGGAGCTAATCGAATCCGGCAACGCGCTGGCAGGATATAAAATTGCCCGATTTGACGTGTACTATCAATCACACCTCGGTGTATCTAGGGGGGCCATTCCCCCTTCTCTCCCTCCTCACCTGTAGATGTCCTCCCCGCAGGAGTCGCGGGTCTTCTACAGCGCAGTTGACCAGCTGTGGCCGAGGACGACGAGCTGAACCGATGCCCTCCGGCCAGAAAATAGTCGCCACCAAATTGTCTGTGGCGTACATGAGCGACGGGACGGCCCTCTCGTAAACTCCTGCCGGCAAGACTCGAAGGGACTTGTCCTGAAGCTCTGCCCCCGCTCGTTCCTGGGAAGATCCCGGCGCCGCGGGAGAAGTTCGGGTCCATTTCCCTCTTTTTTTCCCCCTTCCTTCTCTCTCCGGCAGTAGATACGGCATTAAGCAAGGTCATATACAGGTCCAGGGGCTGTCGACTGCGCAGGGCGGCACAGCAACCGGAGTATTCGTTCCTCAGTCGACTGTGTTGGTTCTTCCTCTGGGACCAGGAAGTGGGTCGGAGGAGGAGGAGGAGGATGAGTAAAGGCAGCGCTAGGTCGGGAGATATACCTAGGCCGGCGGCCATCGGTCCTCGCAACAAACTGCCCTACCGCGCGAGCCGACAGGCAGACCGACAGGCAGGGCGAAAGGATGGGCGTGCAGCGAGACGGGCAGACGAAGACCCTGGCGATCCCTGGTAGTAGGAATGGCGGACCCGATGCCATACGTACTGTAGTATTATAGATGGCCCCTCTCCCCTGGCCATCGCATTAACCGGCATGGGTGGGATTCCTTCCTTCGCTCCCAACCCGAAGACACGGCGTCGGTGGTTTGGGTCTGGCGCTAAGGACGACAAGCCTGAACCACGGGACTCGGTCTGGGACGCAGCTGAGCAATCCGCACCCAGCCATGGCATCATATCACGTCGGTGGCGCGGCATCATCATACTCCCTCCTATCTCCATCCTTACCCCCTCGCCCGGCCGGGTTAGGGTCCAAGGCCAGAGGGCTAGGGTCCAAGGTCAGACCTTTCCTCTCCTGGGGGAGGGGTGTGGAGGATCGGGGAGGGCCACGTACCACGACGTAGCAGGCAACCTGGGTAGTCGGGATGGCTCTCGTAGGATTTGGGATCGCACACCTGGCAACCCCGCGGTCCCAAGGGGGAGGTCGACGGGTCTGAGCTTGGGGCGGTACGATAGGGGAATGAGGGCCAGGCAGGGGGGGGGGATCGGCTTTCTGGGGGTTGGGACCGTAGGCGGAGTTGGGAGAGGAGGCTTCTATCGAGACGTAAGCAGGTAAGGCAGGGGGATGTGTGGATGTATGAGTAGGTACACCTTAGAGGTAGGTAGTAAATGCCTACTCATAAGTCCCTGTACCCAGTGAAGGATGAGCCTGCCTGCCTACCTTACTAGGTACCTGGCTACCATCTCCTTACCTCTTATCCTAGCTTCCTTACACGCCCCCCTAACCTTTGGGCAGTACCTACCCACCTACCTACCTATATTACTAGGGCAGGTATGTACCTCTACTAGGCGCCACTGGGCAGTGGGTACCTACACCTAGGCACCTTCCTCGTAGCAGAGCGGTCAGCGATGATGACATCACGCCGCAGCGCCCGGGTCCAGGGGGAAGGTTACACAACGCCCCCCCTTAGCCCCGTTTTTGTACGACGTAACCACGGTTGGGCAAGTACCTCTCTCCGCGCGCCCAAGTATCTCCAAGGTACCTACTGCTTAGGGTGTCTGTCCGCGCGAGTTGCTGCTCACAGTTAGGGGGGCCTACCCACACCCAACTGGCACCTTGGGCACGCCTCGGGAGCAGATGCTAGGTGCTAGGATGCCGTGATGCCACTGCTTACTTGCCTGGCTTTTACCTCTCTCACTCGCCTCTTCCCCTTACTAACAACAACTTATAGACGTCCTGATCCGTGTCGGTGTCTGGGCCGACGTTACGCGCCTCGAGGAGCAGACCGCCCTGCGTCGACGTGGTCAAAAAGTGCGTGCTTTACCGCTTGCAGATCTACCAGCCTGCCTGCCTACCCGCCTACCAACGCATGAGGTTCCTTTTATTTAGGTACCTACTTACACACACACACACACACACATGTGTATATATATATATATATATGTATGGGCGTAGGGATAGGGATAGGGATAGGCACAGGTAGGTATATATATCCATACGTAGGTGTGTATTCGTCTTTATGAGTATATGTGTGCGGGTTTGAGAACCCGTAGGTATTAGAAAACGGTGGCGATAAGTAGACAAGCCCCCTGAGCCAGCTTACCCATGACAATACACACATCTGCAGATCTGACCGTGTCCTCGTAGAATACAGTAAAAACAACTAGGCAAAGCGTAGAAACCCGTACGGATTCGTAGACAGATTGCCGCCGTGTGTGTGCTAATACGTATCTCCTTTGCCTGCCCGCCTGCCTGGTCGGCCGGCCTGCCGCTGGGTATCTACCTACCTATATCTTCCCCAGAACCGTGTAATTCCTCAATCTAAACGGGCTTGTCAGTTCCCTTGCCTTACCTGCCTTACCTCTTTCTCGGCTTAAATAACTCCATCACGCTTGTCTCTCTGTCCAACCGGTTGTCCGACCTAAATCGACCCCCCCCCCCCCCTTTCCTGTGTTCGCAAGAAAATCTAAGAATACCAGCATTATCAGGTATATCAGCGCCAAACGTTTCCCGCTCGGTAGGTCAGCACAGATATGCTAGCAGAGAGTGGGCCGTAGTAATAGCAGCAGCAGTGGGAGGACAGGAGCAACCAGGTTGTCTGGGGGAGGGAACGTAGCGAGAACAAATCGGCCATTCTACCTTATAGTAGCAATACGTACATCTGCATGTGCGACAACCAGCATGTCTAACCCGACTCGTATCGATAAACCCAGACGAATATGAAAATCAAGACGCAAGGAAGGAGACGCAAAAAAAAAACCCCCCTCATGTACGTCATCCAACCACCGAAAGAAAAAAAGATCCCTCTTCGCGCGTCATCGTCATCATCATCGTTGTCGTCATCGTCATGAATCATCACCGGCAACTCGCCGCTGCCTAGTGGGACAAGCAAAGCTGAGCTGGCCATGTCGAAAAATGAACAAACAACAATGATATGCCCTTCCCCTCCCACATATTAAATCCCCCTTCGGCATCTCCCCCATCTGTACCAAATTTTTGCCCTGCCGCCGCCCTCCTCTTCCTCCGCCAAACAGGTATATCGACAGGTACGCAGTAGGTATAGCAGGACTGAGCGAGCACACAACGACGAAAAGATCGACAAATCCGCCGCACCCCATTCGCCGCGTCACCAATCCCCTCCTGCGCGCCTGTCTGTCTGTCTGTCTCACCTTATCCGACGTGTCTCTCTATATACGTGTATGTGTATGTGCCACGCACCCTCCCCTAACCGTCAGTCCTCGGTCCGAAGGGCCCTCCAGTTCCGCCAAAAGCCGCGTACCCAGCCTCCGATGCCACGTAAACACAGCAGAAAGGGTGACCACAAAACCAATCCCTGAAGACTATATACCCTTCCATCCTCCGCTCGCACCTAAGCGGTCATCCATCTGCCCTACCGCCGTTTGGCCCTCGATGTCTAGATTTGCGCCGAGGCCGGGCGAGGAAAGACGGGACGAGGGAGATCCCGAACGAGAAAGGTAAAACAAAAAAAAAGGACGAGTTTCGTCCAGATATCCGACGATTAGTGGTAGACCAAAAGGAGAAGAGGAGAAGAGGAGGGGGGGTCGCCGGGGGGGGCACACGAGCTAAGCCCGCCACGTTCCCGGCAGTGAGATCTCTTCGCTGTCGTGCGCCTGCCCGCGGTGTATATCTATCCCGCACCCCCTATATCGGCCAACCGGGTGCCTTCGCTCGTACACCGTGCCGCCCTTGCATGGGGTCCCACCCCGGTGTGTTGCCGCTGCGGTAGTCCTCTCGTGAAATCCTGTAAATACCTACCGTCTCCGTCGCACAAGAGACTCCTCTCGCCTCCTCCAATCGCGATATCCGAACCGGCTAGGTGCATTAGTGGTCGTGGTGGCGGCGGTGGCGCCCATCTGTTACCAGTTGAAGACGCATTAGTGAGAAATTCTAGCTTATGGGAATGTATCGTCATATATCTGATACACCGTTGGAAATTAACAATGAAAAAGGAGATTCCGATGAGTAAGATTCTGCTTCTACATCTCAAGACGACGATGGGGTCCCAGAATCAAGGCAGTCTGCGTCCCAATCCAGATTCAAAACGCCCACTCGTATTCCAGTCCTGTACCGTCCAGAGCAGAATCGTAGCAGAGGAAAAATTCATAAGCTTCATAAAAGGCCGTAAGGCGGGAGGGGAACAAGGTAGGCGTGTATGCGTGAGCGGGCCGTCGGCAGTGGTTGATCTCGGTTAGAGAGGGCCGACAGCGATCGGCACAGGGGACTGGCGCGTCATGACGGAACCCTCAAGATGGGTAACGCGAGGTGGATCCGTCACCCTTACCCATCACCGCCTATCATAGCCGACGGGAGGCGCGGGTAGAGTGGCAGAGTAAGGGTTCCCGTCGGTGTAACGAGGCCCCTCGTCGTACCGGCTCTCCCGCGGCGGAGCTGAGGCGTACCGCTTCTCGGCCCCCGACCTGCCGCTGGGGCTGCGGTGGGCCCGCACGAGTCGCTCCATCCGCCTCTCGTGGCGTCTCTTCTTCTCTTCTTTCCACTCGTCGACGGCCTTGACCTGTTCTCGGGCATCCTTGAGCTCCGAGATGGCGCCCTTGACGCCCAGGGCGGCAATTCCGATCGAGGCCGCGTCTTGCAGCAAGGCCTTGGTCTTCAATTTCCGGGCCTCCTCGGGCGACAGACGGCCCTCCTTGACCGCCTTGTGCCTCGCGTTGCGCTGCCCCACGCTGCCGTACACGTTATGGGCAGCGTGGATGGTGGCCACGGTTGCCAAGCCCGCCGTGATCAGCTGCTTACGCCGCATCTTCGACGTCGTCTTCTTGTCCTCATCGGAATCTCCAAGATCACTACTAGAAACAGAACTAGACCTACCTCGTGAACGGGACGAGCTCCTGGCTCGGCCGCCAGTAGACCTCTCCTCGGCGTCGTAATCGTCGTCATCGTCTTTAGACGCGGGCCCCCGGCCGCCCCTCATGTAGCTACGGGACTTGTAATCGTCGTCGTCGTCGTAGCGGTCGTCGGACGGACTCCGGTGACGACTCCGGCGGGTGGGGGACCGACCGCTATCTTCGTCGTCGGGGCCGTTGCCGATGCCGATCTTAGCGAGGCTGCGCCGCGCCCCGTCCACGATGCTGCGGCTGCGGCTGCGGTGTTTCGGCGGCGGCGAGCGGTCCCGACTATCTAGGGAGTCAAAGCTTCCCCGGCGAGAGCGGGACCGGCTGCGGCTTCGGCTTTCGACGAGTTTCTTGGCGCCCAGTGCGCCCAAGCCAGCGGTGGCCAGTGCTGCGAGTCCGACGCCGCTCTTACCGCCTTCGGAGCGGGCGCGGGAGCGGGATCGGCTCCGACCTGTTCGTCGGTCCTCCTCGATGTCCTTCCTCGAGCCATTCAGCATGCGGTTCCCGACGAGACCGCCGATGACAGCCTCCATGAGGTGGCGCTTGCTGTCTTTGGAAGGGTCGTGAGCGGCGTCGATGGTGGCAGCACCAGCGGCCGCGGTGAGAACTCGCTTCATCTTCTCTCCCTTCCAGCCGCCCGGCTCCTTAGCAACGCGGAAGGCTTCGGCCGCGCCGGCGACGAGAGAGGCCTTGGCGGCTCTCTGCATGCGCTTCGAGGGATCGTCGCGCGAACGACCGCTGTCGCGCGAGCGGTAGGAATCCGGGCTCCCGCGACGGCTTCCGTGACGGCTCTTGGTGTCGCCGTCGGAGCCGGCGCCGGTCAGGGCCTTGATGGCGCCTCCGAGACCGGCGGCAGCCAGGGCATTCTCGAGAAAGGACTTGTTGCCCTTCCGATTCTTGGGGTCTTCGTCGTCATCGTCTGAGTAGTACTCGATGACGCGACCGTCACGACCCTTGTGGGCGATATAGGTCGACTTCTTGTCTTCTTTGCTGGCGTGCTTGTTGTAGAAATCGGCTCCCTGGTACCCAGCCAAAGCGCCGGCAGCGCCGAGGGCAGCCGAGGCAGCGACGTTGCGGTGAACGTCGGTACCGTCCTTCTCAGCCTCGTGGCGGTCCCAGAGCTCCTTGGCACCGGCGGCGAGCAGACCGCCAGCGACGGCGGCGATGATCTTCTCCTGCTTGCTTAGGATACGTCTGCGCGCGCGCTCCTCTTCCTCGTAGTAGGCGCTGCCGGGCTTCGCACGGTAACGGCGGTCCCGGTCGTGGGAGCGGCGCGAGTCATAGTAGTCATCGTAGCCGGGCTCGGCCGACCGAGCCCTGCCATCTCGAGAGTAGCCGGGGGGCGGGAAGTCCCGGTGGACTTCTTCGACGGAGAGGTCACTGTCCTCGCGGGTCCTGGGGACGAGGGCGGTTCTGCTAGAGCTAGAGGGATTTACGCGGTAGTAGGTTTCCTGGGTCTCGGCATAGCGAGGGCCAGCAGCTCTCTCGCGGCGTTCTTCCTGGTAGTACCGGCGGGAATGCTCGCGCGGTGGCGGATCGTACGGGTCGTAAGCCGACATGGCAGACGCTCTCCTAGTGCCGAGCGGGAAATAGTAAAGCGAATAGGACGGACAACGGGACAGACGGTGGATGAATCAGTCCAACTTAAAATGCTGGTAGTTCCCAGCTGGCGCGGTGTCAGACGAGTGTGTGGTGGGGAGAGAGTTTAAAGCGAGCAGTGACAAGCTGTGGAGGGGGGGTGGAGGGGCTAAAGTAGGAGAAAGCAGGTGACGAAGTCGCAATGTCAGCAAGCGATGGGTTGTCCGAGTGGCTCTCGAATAATTTTGTATCCGCGGCGGCGAAGAACCGGTAGAAAGTAGTCGGTAACAGGCTTTACTCGATGGGGGGAGTTGTCGTAAGGTGCTAGCGCCGGCGAAGGGGGAGAGAGAGAGGGGGGGGGGAGGGAAGAGAGAAAAAAAAACCCCAGCTTGGGGCGGAAGGGTTAGGGGGACGAAAGGAGGGGGAGGCGAAGTGGGCCATCGGATCTAGATTTAAACGAGACCCAATAGAAGGGTTAGTGTAGGCTGACGTCACAACTCTTGTAAGCGAGTCACAACCCCCCGCTAGGAGCACATAGGTACCTACCTAGGTAGGCTACTGCTAGTGCCGGGAGAGGGACTACGATGCGCAGACGAGGCGCGAGAGGAACAGCAGGAATACGAGAATAGCAAAAATTGAGAATAATCACAGCTACGCAAACACGCCGATAATCCCGCCCCTAAGACCTAGGGCAATTCTGGCGGGAGAGACAAACAAACAGGCAGACGGGACGGAGGTCCCAAATCGAGGCACGATGCCGTTTGCCCCGCGCAGAGCACAGCACACGCATACGCGCATACACGCATACCTGCATACGCAACTAAACCCAACCAACATCCGACTGACTGCGCCTCGCGGCGAGGGCGGTCCGCGACGAGTGAGGTGGCAGTGACGTCCCTCGTCGCCGTCGGCCACGCCCGAACGCATGACGCACCTGGCTGGGCCTGACGAGACGGCGCGCCTGCCTTACCTACCTACCTACCTAGCGCAGCAGCAGCGACAGTCGAGAGAAAGGGCGGGGGCTGGCGCCTCGATAGCTTCATAATACCTGGTCGCTTGCCGAGCTGCCCGCCGGGGGTAGGTAAGGTAGGCAGGTACGTACTTAGGACCGAGGCAGGCCCCTCGGGGTCCTTGAGGCCCGCCTTCCCGACAACACACGATGTAGGCGTAACCAGCGAAGCCCTCTCTCTCCCTTCTAGGACTTTACGAGGTACCTACCTCCTAGCGGAGAGTAACCCTGCGGATACGGTGTGCTACCTGGATACCCTAACCTACGTACCTCGCCGCAGCCTCAGCATCTGATCGATCGGTCGGTCGTTCTCTCGCCCAGCCGCAACGCAAGGACGTAAGCGTAGGTACCTACCTAGGTAATACCTAATAGTACGTACCTATGCGTTTACAAGGCGTTCGCAGCAGCCGGCGTATCCCGCGTCAAGTGCGCATCTGCAACGGCATCACGACCCAGGCAGGCATCCCGTCGTCACCGAGTCCTGCCCACGTGGCACCGAGCGCTCCTCGCCGACTCCAGGCCGGCCGGCCGCCCTGTGGCTGACCCAGTCGCCCCTCCCGCAAGGAGTCCGCGAGCGAGGGATGCAGAGCCGGAGACGCGCACGCTTTCCCGCCAGCCAGCCGCCGCGCCGGGCAAGTTGCGTAGGTTGGGTATCTACACCTAAGGTAAGAGGTAAGTAGGAGGTAGGTAGGTAGGTCACGTACCTAACCGGGCCACTAACCACCACCAACGAATACCCCCCCAAGGTACCGTAGCTAGCCCTTCCGGAACAGGCGGAGACGAATGAAGCATTGCCCTTCAGAGGGCGGACCTCCCAATTTAGAGCACCAACACTGCACCGGCATCATCACACACGTCCACGCGGTCGATGGCCCATCCCACCGCAACAATGACATTTCCTTCTTCTTCGTAGTATTGACATACGCGTGACTTTACTCGAATAACGGCATTGGGTTGCGTCTTAGTCTTGTAGCTGCTACTCATACACGAATATAAAACTCCCTAAGCATGATCCATTTTTTGTTTCTCCTTTTTATGACAACGACGTCGTCTAATTGCAAGGATTCCTTGTCCCCCTTGAAGCCGCCTTCATGCGAATAGTCCACGCCTCGAATGCAATTGCGAAACAGAGAAATGAATAAGAAAAAAAAAAGAGGAGAAACAAACATCATTGCCCCAGACTTTTTTTTTCTAACAAAATCATGTCAAAAGTCCGCGAGCGATTAGAGCCCGACACCCGCCAAATATGCGTAGGGGGGGAGCACGTAGGCGCAGGACCGACCTACATCGACAAGACACCTCACCGAGCGTACATCTGCGACCAGCTTGGCCATTGACGCTCGGTAGGTTCCCCGTCCTACCACCATGACAGAGCCTTCATGGCCTTGGTCTCCATCTTCTGCGAGTGCTGCCACCATTCTTCGTGGTCGACAATGTTCCGACCAATAGTCTCTGGAAGGAAAATAGCGGTGGTCCCCAGTCTCTAATGACCAGGCCCACCGCTGTGGGTTCCGAGGCAAAGACGGCTGACATCTTCGTGCCGCCGCGCCTGCTTCCGTGTGTGCCGCAACCATACTACCAAGTAGTCCGGCTGGCGGGAGCGGACCCTGTAGTAGGGCAGGGTACAGGACCGTCGAGCCTCGGCGTACGTGCGGCTTCCATCTCGCCGCTGTACTACTTTGCTTTCTGTCAAAGTTTCTCCTCTTTCTCCCCTCTAATGTGTGTGCTGTATTGTTGCCAACATGGCGAGTTTCGTCAGCCTCAAGCCCAGGATTCAGAGAGGCTCGTGGCATATTTCGTTTCGAGCCTGATGTATCCAGGAGACTTGGCCATTGAGAGTAGTCGGCCATCACGAATGGGAGGATGTTCGTCCCGTGACCGTACCAAAAGAAAATTCTCCTTCTCATCTTCGTGTACCGCCGCTTGATTCGTCGAACCGCAAACCGAGACTAGAAACCATTATAGGGGTTCTCAACAATTCAAGACACCGAAAGCATCAACTCCACTCTCCCAGTCCCCGGTTTCCCTTCATTAAAGACTCGTTGCGCTACTGAGGTCGAAGCAAAACTTCAAGTAGCTCGTGGAAACGATGGATTTGTGCTATCGGCACTCAAGATTTCCCACCAAGTCCCACTGTCCATTTAGAGAGAGCAAGCGGAGCCGAGTTAGTAGCCCTCTGTCGTGTGGCTGCTGGCGACTCCGTTCGTAGACGGCGCGTCACCGAGGGCAGCTTGCTCCACGTTACCGGGCAGATGAGGGCCGTTCGGTAGGCCCGCTGCCTGATCCGGAGGAGATGGGGTAGCAGTCTTCTTACCGGTGCTTCCCGACCTGGGTTCGTTGCCGACAGCATCTTGCGGGACCGCCATTTGCTGGCTCGCAAAGTTCATACTGGGGTTTCCGGTAGGGGAGAATTCCGGTACTGCCGCAGAGAGCTGCGACTCCGAGGAGCGGGGGTGACCGTTGGCGCCGTTGAGTGTGGCGTATGTTGAGCGGTTCGCACCATTCACGTAAGGAGCGAAGTTGGAATCCGTCGCGATTTGCGGAAAGGCCGGGGCCGTCTCGCCCCCGTACGGCATGATCGGGGGATAATACGCCATCTGGCTGCTGAATGGGTGCCAACTCGATGGTCCGTCGTTCTGAGCGGTAGGGTGTCTCTCCGACATTTCAAGAACCCACGGCTCCCACTTGTCTCGACGGCGTACTTTGTCTTGCCCATCATCCGTCCAGACAAATTCAATGTGTGGAGAGTGCTCGCAGGCAATGCGAACGATCTGGTAGTCCTGCGCTATCTCCTGCATCCTCTTGAATGAAGCGATGACACTCAAGGGAACAAAGCCTTGAGAGTCCATGTACTTCCTCAAGTACCAATCCTTGCAAAGATTGTTGATGGAGAAGTAATACTCCACCTGTGACAGCACCACCTGTAGTATGTGTCCGGGGTCGTTATAGCCAGGGTACGCGCCGTTGCCGTGGGCGTACATCGCAGGGTCGAATCCCGTACCTGGCATGGGGAAAGGTGTCGCCCTCGAAGAACGATGTCCCCCGTTACCCTGAGGACGGTTGCTCCCCGAGCTGGGCCGGCTGCGGTGATGATTTCCAGCCGTCTGTGGGGGGAAAGCGCCGCCATATGACATCGGCGGGTACCCGGCGCCGGTGTATGCGTGGCTGGCTTGCCTCTGGGATGCGCCGCTCGGGTAGCTGAATCCATTGACACTCTGGCCATATTGGGTCTGCGGGTGAGCGGCTCCGTTCATAGCGGGGTGACCCCCTCGACCACGGGAGCCTCTTGTGCGGTCATTGCGGTTTACATTATTTTGCGCCTGGCCATTGGCATCTTTCGTGCCTTGGAACCCATTCTCTCTCGCTGGCTGCGGCGCTCTCGTAGCCTCGTCAGCTTTCTGGCTCAAGCCCAAAGCGCGGGCGGAAAGACTCTGGCTTGTTGTTCCATTGACCAGGTCAGCCTGGCTCTGCTTCGAAGCATCTGTCTTCGGAGCCGCCTACGTGTTTAATCAGAATCAATGTCTACTTGTCAACCTCGCAACCGGCCTGAAACTTACAGATAGATTCTCTCCGGACGCTTTCCCGGATCCCATCGGAGCCTGGAGCCTTCGGGAATCTCGAGATGTGTTCACATCGGCCGAGACGCGCTTGGAGGTGGGCGCTGCCGGTGTTGCCCCAGAGGATGCCGTCGCAGGATCTACAGCGCGGTCTTGGGAGACTGTTAGAGAATCCGTCGCGATTTAGATGCCGGATGTACATACCACTCGAGCCTGGGGTGCCAGTTCCATGGCCTCCTCTCGTCGCGGAATCTCGCCCGCCTCTGGTGCCACCGGCCCGGCCGCCTCGCGAGCTTCTCGTCGGTATAGGCGTTTCAAAATTAACGCTCGGTACAAAGAGAATTTGCACCCACTTCTCCTTCTGTCGAGGCTTGCTCGGGCCGGCCTCCTCCTTGTCATCCTTCTCAGGTTTCTCGGGTTGAGTCTTGGTCTTGAGGCCGTTAACCGCTGTCTCAGGTGTCGGCCATGACGATGTGTTATTTACGACAGAACCCAAGGCCTCAAACGCGGGTCGATCCTCTCCACCATGTGCCTTGGCATTCCGGGGGTTGGTCCTACGGGAAGTTTGATTGCTGTTGCCGCGCGACTGATCAAAATCTTTCCTCGAGGGCTTTACACCACTAGGCAAGGACCCATTTTGAGCTGTGGTAACATCGGCCCCGTCGTTCTGAGGCGCCTTCTGCTTCTGATCTGCGAAGGTTGTATTTGACGAACCATCGTGCTGCCCTCTTGCAGTGTGGTTTGAACTGCGTGGCGGGGTGGCTGGTAAAGGCGCTGCTTTAGCCTTGGCAGCTCTGGCCTCCTTTCTCTGCGTCCATATGTTCACGGCCGGCACCGGAGCCTCGGACAATTCCGCCTTCGGGACGATGTTCTCGTTCTTGTCATCATCCTGGACTTCGTCTGCGTCCTTCTCGGCTGCCTTGCCCTTCTTGCCTTTCCGAATCTTTTTGCCATCATTGCCATCCGTCGCCTGCGAACTGGGATTTGGCGCTCGCCCTCGCCGTTCGACGCCTTTCGGTACGAGGTCCTCCGGCGTCTTCTCGGAAACGTTCCGGGTCTCGCTGGGAGAGGATGATTCGATCACCTTCTCGGTGGCTGGGGCGCTGCCCGTGTCGGTGTGGACCAAACTCGAGCGTTCCCGCTTCGTAGACGAACTTCGAGTACCTAGGGGGCCGTCAAGCTCATTCGAGGTTGTCGAAACCGCGACAGAGGGGGTGCGCGTACTAGGGGTGGCCACAGCATCTCGGCTCTGTGTGCTTGTTACGGATGGCGCTTGGCTCTGAGCCACGCTCGACTGGGATCCAACGGACTGGGCCGTTGACTGGCCTTTCGCGGCCTGGGCATACGAAAACGTCGTCGGGTTTGACATGGTCTCTAGACGCAACTCTGCAACGCTTAGGAGCAGGTTTGTGACTGGGTCGGTTCGTAGGTATGCGCAACAGGGCGGCCGCAAAGTGGCGATCTGTTGCGTACCTCTAGTAAACGAGAGGGTGGTTCATTCAAGTCTACCGATAGGCCAGACGCTCGACCCGCCCCGGAAAACTTTGCCTGCGAAAAAGAATTACCCCAAGCAGACGCCAACACGGTCGGTTGAGCTCCCAGGGATGGATAGGGTCCCAGATGGAAAGGGCGCGCAAAGAGGGGATACCGAGAGGGGATGTTGGGATACGAAGGTGTCGGCGGGAGGGAAATGGAATTATGTGCCGGAAGCAGCCGGCGAAAAGTTTGAAGTAACGATTCTTGCCAGGAGAAACGACGCAGGCAAAGAATTTCTGTGAGAACGAGCCGATCGTACGGGGCCAATCACTAGCGATGTCCGAACGAGAAATGCGAATGCGGGGTGGGATCGAGAACCCCCTCCCCCCAGATGCAGATGCAGCAGCTCGACTAAGGAACACGACGATACCGGCGAGCCCCTAGGAATCCGCGTGAAGCAGGGGCAGAGGAGAAGTAGCCGAAGAACCACACACCCGCTGGGAAAAGAAAAATTGGTTCGACTTTGGCGGAGTGGACGAATTGGTCGATTTGGCGTGCGAGGAAAAGAAGGAATTTGCCGTCGTGGAGGTTGGAGGAGACGAACGAGGGGTGGAAGAAGAAGAGGGGGAGAATTTTTATTGAGGAGGAAAACGTGACACTTATCCGAAAGGCGACCGTGTGCGCGCCGCAGCGTCAGGTGTGCGGTGCAGCAGTGTGCTATGCTGTGGTGGTGCCGTGCCGTGCTGGGGGTGAGCCGGATTTTGGCTCAGGGAGTAAAACCGATGTGGCCTGACAAACTCCGACCTGCTCAGTTAGAAAATCCCATGAATCAACTTTCGTGTTGGTCCGGGTCAGTCATCGAACGCTGACCGAGGGGTGAATGGAGGGGGAAACCAGATGAGGAGGGGAAGGGGGGGAAATGGTAGGGAGCTGGACGGAGGACGGCTCGGACCGCGAAAATATCGGCGGCACTTTTTGTGCGTGCTGGACGCTGCTGGAGCTTCGCTTGGTAGGCGGTACAGCTGGCCAGAGGAGGCCGCTGTCGTACTGTATGCACCGTAGACGAGGTCCAGCTAGGTATCTTGCTAGGTATGTACCGTACGCGTAAAGTAGTGTGTGGTGCTGCCGCCGGCGGTGATGGCGAGATTCAGGACCCAGAAGGAGCTAAAGGCAGCGGATGGAGGGGAGGGGAAGGGGGGGCAGAGAGGGAAAACAAAGGCTGCTGGCGTAGAAGATGCGCGAGATGCCTCGTTTATGCGAATCGTTTGCCCGTCCTTCGACGGAGGGTCATCAGAATACGCAACGCACTCTGGACGGAGGCTCGGGTGGGTTTTTGAATGCTGAGACCGAGAGGAGCAGGAGGAGTAAGAGAGGGAGAAGGGGAGAGGGAGCGGGTTTACGATTGGGAGGGAATTTTGTGCCTGTGTATTAGTCTGTGGGTATTAGGTGGTGGGGTGGTGGGTGACCGGGCAAGGGAAAAAAAAATTTATATCATTTTTCTCACGTCTTCCTTCTGGCTTCCGGCTAGGTAAGGGAATTGGATGAGACGTTTATTAAATGGGGAAAAAAAAGAGGCAGAGAGAGCGCAAAACTAACGCCGCCCGGGTAGCCGGTTGTTGTATGGGTTCTAGGTTAGTCCGCACTAAAACGGCACGCCGCGGTATATTCTATTTTATTTTTACCTATTCCCCCTCCCCCGGCCAAGTGGGTGCTTCAACAAACTGCGCAGCGCCGACTTGGAAGCGCGTGCAGGCCGGAGGGATATTCGCCGCTACATAGCCTGGTTTGGCTTGGACCGCCCTTCTGAGCGGCAGTTCCCCAGGCTCCCCAGAGCCGGAGCGATGACTGGCTTTCATAGGAGATCGGTATGTTCTGCATAGGAGGTACTGTAGGTTCTGGAGGGGATGGATTGGTCGTGCCGGCCGCCGAGCACTGTGCCTTAGGTACCTAGGTTAAGTACCTAGAGAGTCGCTACCTAACCCCGCGGGCCCTCATTTTACCTATATTGATACGGTAGTAGGTACCTCTCCAATTATCGTTGAGCGGCGGCTTATGGTAGGTACCCGCGCGCTGGAAGCTCAATAGAATCATCTTTCCTCCACTTCGCCCCTTGCCCTGCTCATCCTTCCTATCCTTCTCCCACCCTGCCTACCTGTCCTGATCATGCTGGTGCCGCTGCCCCCGCTCGACCCCGCTACGGGATTACCATCGCCATCTCCCACTGCTTGCGCCAGATCTTCTCCCCCCCTCCCCATCCAGGCAGCCTGTCGTAACTCTCTGCCTTCGCCATCCGCCCCGAGCTGTGGCTTGTCGAGGCGCCCATCCATCTCCATGTTCTATGGGGAGTTTGTTCTGTTCTAGATTCGCCCGGAAACAAACACCACGGCGTGACTCGTTTTAGGGTAAGACCGACACGTACAACGATCTGAGTCCTCTGCAGGGCGGTCATGAGAGTGCTCTAGCTAGACTAGTTCCGTAAGCTGTAGAGAATGGGACAGTCGTCGGGGAGAGAGACGATGCGCTGGCCCAAGCTGGCCGCAAGACCCATCGACGAGGCGGCAAACCCTCTCGGCCGATGCAAACTCGAGTGCCCGGTGTCCTAGACGCCCTCGGGAACACTCTTACGCCGTTTCGCAGCATCGCCCACAAAGCGTGGGGAAGTGCCCGCGAAGAGAGAGAGAGAGAGAGAGAGAGGCGGGCTGGCATGCCGACTTAGGTATACCTATGAACACGCCTGCACAATGGGTGATATCGAAGGGTTCCCGTGCTTAATTCTAGGAGCGGCCCTCTTTCGGGACTGAGCATGCCCTGTACTTTATATATCCGGTTATCCTGACCCACCCCCTTCGGCGGTGATGCATTTGTCTTGCTGGGCAGACAGGTACATTGAAGGTGCCTCCTGAGTGGGATGTTTTCCGCGCGCGTCCACGTGAACGCCTATGTGGGTAGGTATCTAGGTACCTAAGTATAGGAAGCGACAGGAGGCAATGAGAACAAGCTCAGGCGCTAGTACTAACCCTAAGCACTTCTTCTTCCGCATCTAGGTAAAGTGCCTGTGTAGGTACCTGGGCATGACTCAAGGTAGGTAGTAAATAGCGCACATACGAGGCAGGTACTTGAGGCACATACCTACCTTAGGTAGGCACATACCTAGGTACCTACCCACCACATGTTACATAATGTAGGTACATGAACACTCTGCAGGTAGCAGGGCTTCAGGGTTCCGTAATGGCTACCTAGAGGTAGGGGACCTCGGTTGAGCTTCGAACCGGTATGAGGTTAGGTATCTACCTATCTATCCCACATCGCAGATAGAAATCTCCAATACATGCTGGCCTTTAGTTAAGTAAGTACTCTAAAGTAGAAGAAGAAGAAGTATATTTAACGTCACGCATTCTATCTACCTAGGTGCTCTGAGGTAGTGTGTGATACGTAACGCGTAGGTCTAGGTACCTAGGTATTAGTGGGTAGTGCAGTATACGGTAGGTACATCCCACTCTGGCCTCGCTCGGCACGCGGACGAGGGAAGTTACCTACCTACCTAAGAAGGTAGGTAGGTAGGCAAATAAATAGCCCAGGCAGGTTCTCCTCCACGGCTCTTGCTCGGCTCCAGTCGCAGGCTGCTAAAGCTGGCGGAGCGGGTGCACAACCCGGCTCGGAGGAGCACGAGCGAGCAAATTACCTAAGTATTAAGTATCAGGTATCAAGTACCTAAGGTAGGTACTATGTACGTGTATGAGTGCAATCCTACCAAAGCGAGAGTGGGAAGGAAACGGGAGGGACCGGAGGCGGCGGGATAGCCAGCGCGAGGGCGTGCGAGGGCGTGCGAGGGCGCTATTACTACTACGGTACACCTTAGGTACTCACCACTCACTAGCGTAGACGCGCCGTTGGCCGGCGGTCCATCGTATGCACATACGGACAGATATCTGCCTACATGATACATCTACCTACATAACCTAACTAACTAATGTATGCATGCGATAACACAGAGCGGAGAGGACCTGTAAGGAGGCGGATATATATACCTAATGAGCCTGCATATACATGTACTTGCCGTCCAGATATGTATATCCCATCGAATTAAGATGTAAGGTATATCAGGTAGAGGAGGTAAGGCCTTGGCATGTGGGTACACAAATACCTACATACATACAGACGGCCTATGAGTCTGAAGAAAAAAAATGGGGGAGGGGTTCACCGTCGTCCTCGGCAGGTGCACGAGGTGGACCCCAGCAGCACCTTAGGGATACATCCTTAGGTAGCCGTGCCGTCACGCAGAACACGCAGAGTAATAGGCTATGTAGGCGAGGTAGACGTCGAGCTCGCACTTTGGAGTCGCCCCGACTACTCATACACAGGCGCCCGAGGACGTAGGGATGGATATAGGTAGGTAGGTATGCCAGAGGTGAATCGCCGACACGAGTCGAGGCGCGCAAACAGGTTTTCGCGAATCGAACCGGTGCTGGCAACTTATGCGCACCTATATGTATGGCTGTCTCGCGTTTCGTCGTGTTTAATTATCTTGTCGCCTATCGTTTTCACACTGCCGCAGAACGGTCTAACGTCGCTCACCACCCGGGATCCGATAACCCGTATGTCTCTCCCCCCCTCAAGCCAGGGTCCCCCCAGGGTCCCACATGGATGTAATAGATTGCTGTGAAGCACCCAGGACGGCAAGGGAAAAGGGAGGCAGGCATACCACGCGTAACTTAGGTATAGCTCTGCGCAAGCAACTAGGAGGTAGTAAGGGTGATACCAGGTGGTCGTTTGCCAATGCCTGTGAATCCGCAGCGGCTTAGGTAAGATAGCAAAGCTCGGAGAAATCGGCTGGGATGAACAAGCGTCTTCCTGGTCGGCATCGGGAGATCCTGTCACGGGCCGTAGATGTGGACATATTGCCCAGCGCGTCCACGCATTGTATTGCCCCCTGCGTTATCTTGTGCGTGTGCCTTGGCAGACGGTGGAAGTGAAGTTAGCTAAGTTCGTCCTTATATGGATGTGATAGTATCCTCCGTCCGTCCTGACGGAGAGACCCGTCGGTTTACCACATCAGGTATATTGGATGCCTGCCTACCTGCATACCCTCCGTTAGGGAACCCACCTCCTGTTAATTGCCTACGGGTAGCCTGTGAGCTGGCTAGCTATTGTATCCAACCTTAGGCACTCTATCTCCTGTATATACATTTACCACGGCGTTGGCGTGCGTTTGCGTATGTATCCATAGATTATATATATCTGATGCCTTTCTCTTTTTTCCGCCGTTCTAGACCCCGTGCCACGGAGACAGCGAAGACGGCGGCGGAGAAGAGCATAGATGCCCGCCAATCCGCCACCCCTCTTCATCTCTCCCTTCTACGCTCTCCTGGCTCTCCTGTCTCGTGCGGGGGGACAGATCTTGATTTCTCTTCTCTGCAGCATTTGGGGTCTTCTCTGTGCGAAATGACACAGCCACTGGTGCTGGGTATCATTCGTTCATCCGTCTCCTCCTTCGCCTTTGCGTGGGGGTGAGACAGAAGTGATTAGAAACCGCCACTCCGCGTAATAACTCGAGGCCAGGCGTACGAGTAGGTACCTTGGGTATCGGGATGGAAAGGTTCCATTTTTAGCACACCGAGAGTGTCGATGGTCCAGTGTTATATGCCTACGTACATATACGAGGAGTTCTTTACCTGGTCAGCCACCTCCGATCCCGCGTTATCTGCCCAGGCAGGCAACTAATACGCGGCAACAACACGCGCGCCACGCCAGCGCCAGCCAGCCAGGCCGAATCGGATTACCTGGCTTTTTTACACATAGTGCCCTACATATGTGCCCTACGCATGTGTATTCTCCCGGCTCATCCTCTTGGCTACCTCTACTCTCCGTGGTTGTTCAGTGTCCCTGCCAGTCCTCGATCCCTCGGCAGCGTAGTACGGCAAACTGTTTACTACCCCTGGACCCCGTTCGTCACCCACCTTGCCCGTGCCACGTCGAGAGCCAGCCGTGATTGTGGTCGTGCCCGTGATTTCTTCTTGTTCCGTTTATCCATTCGGCCAACATCCGCCCGTTGTATGCCCCTACCTGCCTACCGATCTACGCGACGTAGGAAGTACCTTAGGTACCCCTCAGAGACACCTAACTTGATACCTCTCTAAGGTATGTCTCATGCACTATGCTCGAGTGCTGTATAGAGGCGTTCCGGACGGAACCTGTTCGACGCTTTCTGCCCCGTGTTCTAGATTCTACCCGTCTTGCAGATTCCCCCTCCACCATTCCGACGGAGGGCCTCCGATTTGTCACTAGGCGGCGGCTACAGCAAGTTAGATTGCGTACACGACCAGGAAGTGTTGGTCAAAAAAAACTCCCTTATTTTGGGGGCTGATACTCCTGTCTATGCCTGTTTCCTTGGGTGGGTTTTGTTAGGGGGTGCGGGAGGGGGCGTTCAAATACACTCTTATCGCCTTCTCCCTTTGGTCGTAAACCTAGCACGGACACTAGTTACTGCAGGACCAAGGAGGTCAAAAGACGAAGCCAATGTATCCTGGCTGATTTACTCCCAACTCTGGTTTTGACGACCCGGTCTGGGCAGGTTGGGGGTCAAGTTCGAAGCTTTGCTAGATGCCCGGGCGCCTTTCTTGCTCATTATCTACAGCCCAAGTCTTTCAAAGAACACACGAAAATCGAGACACATGATCCTTACTAAGGTTTGGCCCTTTCCCTGAATCATGTGCTATGAGGACCCTCTTCGATCTGCCACGATGGATTAAGTGGTGGTGGCCAGGAAGCGACGCCAAGAAATATCGGACCTCAGCACGACGCAAGCACGCTGCAATGTCCAAAAATATCTAGCCCGTCATCCAAGATGCTGCCCTCCGTGCCCCAAAGCTGGTGGCGAGACGGAGGCTGCTTGAGCCCATCGGGAAATAGCTGACCAGGTACCAAAGAAGACATACGATTTGGACAATAGCCGCCAGCAGAGTCAAAATCGTGTTGTGAAGCTACAACAAGTCAGCCTCCGACGCCGACCTCTAGAGACATACCCAGCACTCACCCCGACGGAAAAATATATCGTCAACGCGATAGAGCCGAAGTAGGCTGCCGTGAAGGGCAGGCGCGAACCAGAGGTCAGGTGCTGAACATACGCCATGGGGCCCATCATAGCCGCGAAGGAAGAGAGGAATAGAACCGATCCGAAGGACCATCTAGGAGAGGGTAGATTGTCAGCATACCGTCCGTAAGCGGATGTCTGTAGGTGCTGCTCAGGTGCGGCAACGATAAAGATTGCACAAGGGGTAGTAGGAAGAAGGTTAGATCCACCGGCTGATCACCCGTGTCGGCATGCAAGATTGATACATATGCAATAGCGGCTGGTTGCAGAGATCTTCGCCTTAACCCAAAGCCGTCAGGGAGGGGGCTTGCCATGTCTAGCCACGAGGACAGGTGGACAGGGGGGGACGGGTGAGTGGACAGGAACTTGGGGGGGGGGGGGGGCTTAGAAAGACTCGGCCTTACAGAATGACAAATTTGCGAGGCGTGGCCATCAGGACTGGCCATAGGACGAAGCACAGAATAAAGCAGGCGAGCGCGCCGAGATTGCAGGCGCCAAAGATCAGCATTCGATCCCAGCGACTCACTAGGTATATGGGATACAGAGATTTCAAATCAGCTTCTACACAGTCGTAGTGGGTCGACTCGTCCATGCGCAACGGTGAAACATAGCTCGCGGAAGATGCATACGTTGTTACTCGGTCGAAGCAGGCCGCAAGACGGAAACTAGGTAGAGACGGGGACGGGGACGGAGACGAAGGGCAAGGACAAGGACAAGGAGGAGGGGCAAGACGGGACTTACAGGCAAACCACCCTTCTTCCTCGTCGCGGCGGTTGCTGGCCGGCAAGGGAGCGCCAGCGCTCTCGGTGGTAGGGAGTTGCACATATCCACGGTCGCCAAACGGGTTCAGCGACTGGATCGAGGACAGGAGACCCGATCGCTGCGACGTGTTGACAGGGGAGTCTCGATCGCGACGCGACCAGCCCAGCGAGTTCATCGATTCCCGAAAGGACGCCGAAGCCATCGCGTCCGAAAATATTCGCACCGCTCAGGAAACTCGCCACTCCAAGTCGGGTTCGATAGATTTCCAAGCAGCCCAGGCGGCGCGGTGGGAGAGGAAGAAAGGGAGGAGGTATTCGCGCTCGGGTCTCGGTGTGTGCGAGTGCGGATGGGCCGCTCGGTGGCTGCTGGGTAGTACTCGAACGAATGAGGTATGGGGTCGGTCGAGCGAGAAGGGCTACTTCGTAATGGATGCGGCCGGGTGTGTCGAGTGACCCCCCTTCTTGGTGGTGCAGTCGTTGGGCGTCGCTGGTCGGGGACGGGATGCTGTGGGTTTATGGGAAGAGGTGTTCTGCGGTGATGTCGCGGTTAGGGAACGCTAAAAATGGGTGTGGTACGTGTGGAGTTGCGTAAGAAGCCAGGGGGAGGGGGAAGAAGGAGGAGGGCATCAGCCAGAGGGCAATCAGCCACACGAGGTCAGGCTTGGGTGTGGTCTGTGCGAGTGGGGGGGGGGGGGGGAGAGAGTGTTAGTCTGATGGTTAGTGTACGTCATTGGCAGGCTGGTCTCGCATGTGGCTTTCGACAGATCCCGGCTGATGTCCCACTAAAACGGGGCCGGCTCGCGGCCGTGAGTGCCACTTTTCCCATCCAGATATATGTATAAACTACGAGGTACTATACCCGCTACGCACGTACATAGACTACATCCCTGATCCGGCTCTGTCTTAGTACCTCCGTATGTGCCTCACGGCGCCTACCCGAGGAGGCACGTTTAGACATACCTACCTCCTAGGAGGCGCGCGTGTCCCAAGGCCCCAAGTTAGGTACGTACGTGTAGGTGCCTACCTAGGTACCTACTTAGGTACACAACCTGACCTAGGCACCTAGGTAGGCGCCCAATACGAGGGTTGAGTGGGAGAATGCGTACCTAGGTAGGTACATGTAATTAGGCACAGAAGGTACCCAACCTTGCCTACCTCTTCTAGAGGTAAGTATTACGGACCCTGCCAATGCAGGTAAGAGAGGTAGGTTCAAGGCAGGGGGCTTGCCTCATACGTGTACTACTATGTACGTTAGGTATCTGTATGAGAGGTAATAGGTCGTATGTAAGAGGTATGTAGGTACCTACCTAGGTATCCATGTGTACATGTAGTGCACCCATGCCTGTCTCATCCTAAACATCGAACCTCTCCACCTGCCTGCATACGCCTGCCTGCATACATCGATGATACATACAAATGTACATACATCGCGCGTAGTTGGGCTGGGCGCCCAGCGTGGGTAGGTACCTAATGTAAGGACCGCGTGTATGTAGTCGGCAGGTCTCAAGTTGGGTAGATCTAGCGGACGAGTCTGTCTACGTACGCAGTCGATCGGTCTCCTCTAGCTAAAGTCTTGACTGAGCTGACTCTCAGACACTCCCGCTGGACGCGTTCTCATCACTGCCTACACAGAGATGGGAGAGGAGGGAGAGGAGGGAGAGGGAGGACTGTTTCCTCGAATGTCGATGCCGTCCACCCGAGGGGCGTGGCGAGGCAGAACGCGCAACGTTGTGCTATATTCATCGCGGTCCTCTGCCTGCTCGCGCAAGCCAAGCCAAGCCAAGACGAGTCGACGCGACCCACACCCGCCTTGGTTCGGTCCCCTTCGTCGACGCCCCCCTCGTCGACGCCCCCTCCAGAGAAATCCGGGTTCTGGTCCCTACGTATCCGCTCCACGACTCCACGGCCCCCCGTGGGTGTGGAGGGGCAATTGTCAAGCAGACCACTCTATCTTCATGCAGCTCCGACGCAAGTTCCGACGATCGCATAGATTCTGACAGTTGCATGCCCCTTATCCCTCGACCGGGGACACACCGGCACCCGCAGCTACCTATCTCAGACATAAGTTATCACTTGGGTGTGTCGGAACGGTGGCCGCTGATTGGTTCGCTGGCGGGGGGATGATGTATCAACAGTCGATGTTGGAGATAGTTATCCATGCCGCGCTCTCTGATGGTTGCAGGATTGCTTGACTGTCGACTTTGAAGGGGGAAAAAGAAGGATTGATGGTGCGGCGGCGAGCGCGCTTGCTCTCGAGCCGGAGCGATCTCTCCAGCAACGGGAACGTTACGCGCAGCGCCCGGCCTTGAGCCCGGTGAACCGGTATTTTGAAGCCATGTACGTGTAGGTAGAGAGGTACCCCCTGCGCCATCGACATGGCGAGATGGATGCCTCCCAGCGGGCCCTCTCTCACCAAGCTTCGTCCTACGCGTGGACGTCTCGAGTCTCAGAGGCGTGCATATGCATGTAGGTGCTATCTTAAGTGGCACATATGGGTGTGCGCATTCTGGTTAAACAGGCGGATGTGCTCGGTGCCATCCCATCCCCGCTGGCAACCGTCCGAAGTCCCGGGCGCGCGACGAGAACGATTGGCCCTCTGCCGTCGACGCTGGGAGGCAGAAGCTGTGGATCGTCATGGGGAAAGCCACGGTCGTCTTGTCGAGAACCTGCAGGCTTGCGTTACATCGGAGCAATCGCCGGCCGGTGGAAGCTCTTTGACCTGCTCTAGCTCCCGCCCGCATCAACCTATTATCTACCATCACACGGATTCCAAGATCTACCCCTCCATTGCCGACAGATCATGCCACGTTCGACGCGAATAGTTTTTCCCTGCCCTCTCGGCGGCCATGACCTCACTGTTCACTGTCTGAGCCAAGGCAGGCCGCCGAAATTACCTACCTCCAGCGAGAGACCACCGCTGCGCAGACGCCGGCACGCGCGTCTGCCGGCTAACCTCTCCCCTCCCTCCCTTCCGGGCTCCCTGCCGCTGCCGCTGCGGGCGTTTTATGCGTGAAATCTCCGACGCTTTTATCTACGACCGAGTGGAGTTCTGTCAGCCTAGCACGCCGCGCTTTCTCCCCTCTTCCGGTCCTGACAGGGGCCCGAATAATAAGCAGCCTGCCAGGGAAGAAGGGGAGGGGGGTAGCAGAGGGGCAGAGGGGGGGGCAGAGGGATGGGATGGATAGAGAGGGACAGAGGAGGGAAAAAGAGGGGAGAGCGTTTCCCAGTTGCTACCCAAGCACGTAGGTAGATGTAGGCACAATGCATGCACGAACTCCCTAGGTAGGTTAGGCAGGCAGGCAGGCAGGTTTCGGTGGGAAGGGTGCGTGTCAAGCTGCTGCCACCTCTCCCGCTATCCTAGATCCCTCTGGAATGGAAATGGAATATGGGTGCGCTTCTAAAGTCGGGCGGGTGCCTCACCCTACCACTCCGCCTCGCACGAGGCGCCAGACTTTGGCCGCCTTCGACCAACAGGACTCGCCGGCTCAGCACACGGCCGCGGACTTGTGAGTCAGTGAAGGACAGCCGTGCGATCATGTTCTTGCCCATCGTCCCGAATCCCATCTCCCTGACCACGCTTTCCCTATAGCCACTGGCTATCGCCAGCTACGCGCAGAGAGGGTGGCATCGTGTCTCACCTAGGTGGGTGGGTTGGCTGACTTGGGTCGGGTCACGAGTCGAAGTGCCGCCCACCCAACCCTTTTCCGTGCTTCGCGACCAATGCCCCTCTTAATTACGGCACCCCGGCGATAAGATAACGCTGACAAGCGCGTACGTGGGCGGGATCGCGCTTCGCAGAGGAGGACGGAGAGGGGGGACGGCAGGCACAGTATGTATAGGGGGCAGGGAGGGCATGTGTCTATGAGGTAGGTAGGTATAGTCTCGCCGGTCTGGTGAGAGTCAAGACAGACAGGGCATCTCCTTCGACCACTCCCCCTACACACCATCACGCCGGGACTTGTTCCCAGGTCTCCAGAGTCATCAGACGCACCAAGAACTTGATGGGGCAGAAACGAAACGCGGCCTGCCGGTTCGTCATCTCGCTGGAGTTATCCGTATTTTTAGACGGTTATGCAGATATTCGAATATAAAAGCGATGCACCCCACGGCCGCAACCCAATAAGCGGATTGTTTCCCTCGCCTCGCCGTTTGCGAAAACACCGACGAACCCGACAGGACCTAGTGGTATTACGCCTCTCTCTCTCTGCTTACCAAGAGACGTTGGCGACAGCGCCACCGCGAACCATCATCCGACTTGTCGTCAGTACTAATTATAATCCTAATAATCACTACCTACAACAACCATAACAACAACAACGACCACAACGTACCCTTGACAGTAGCTATATGTGCCCGGATAGCGCTCCAACCGTCGAGGATTGTTTGGTCGACTTGGACTCGCAGCCCGTCCGGAGATCTGAGCCTGGGATTCGAGCATCGTGCCACGGAATCCGGCCAGGTATACAACTCACTCCCCCCAGACGGCGACAGGCGATTTACATGGACGGCCCCGCCCGCGCGCACTGGACAGTCTCAACTTCATCGCCGGCGCGGCAGCAGGATATTTGCAGGCAGACATTGAGGCCGGACATCTGGTCGGCTTGGCTCGAGCGGTATCTTGGAACAGCACGGAAGCTCCGGCAGGGTACGATCTCGCTTTGCCAGCTCGTCTTCTCGTCACTGCGACACCTAGCTCTGCGGAAAGGTGGTCAGCTTAGACCCTAGGTTTGGTCTCGCAGCTCGGGCGGATCCAGATCGGGAGTCGGAACCGCGACGGGTGTTGTAGGCGTGGACAGGCTGCCAGCTTTTGGCTAACTACTTACGCAACCGGCCAAGGGCACGTCGTCGCGCTAAGCCGCACCGGGTCCCTCGAAGGTCCCAGACAGGTACTCCCCTCGGTACCTCTCCCACCCGCCCAACCTACATACGCCGGGGCGGCACTCGCACGGCTATCCAACCGAGCTTTGGTTTCTGTCGGAAGGATACCTGGTAGGTACCTGTCTATCCTTGCTTATTTCCTACAGTCAGTCAGCTCCTTCAACTCGCGCCTGTCCCTCTTCGTCCCCTCTGTCCCTCCGTCCCTCTCACTCTCACTCTCTCTCTCGCTACCTCTCGCTACCTCTCGTGTCCGCCGGAGGCTCGGCGCAACACCACGCACCAGAGAAAAAGTACGTACAGGATCCGCTCTAGGGTTTGATCCTAAGTTTAGCGGGCAGCCGATCGCTTGGCGGACTTCCTTGGGAAGGTGCGCAAGCGGTGCCGCTTGCCTTTGGCTCCTCAGTGGGGTGTCTGGGTACCTGGGTACGTCTAGTGCAGGTACGTAGGTACCTACCTGACCTGAGGTATCCGTGCCGCACAGCTCGAGCGAGCCCACTGCCCTCGCATCCGTCGCTGTCCCCATCCATGCCATCCCATTCCGTCCGCTTTACTCACCTTCGCCTTGCCCTATCTCGACGCCGCATTCTCCCACTTGCCTTGTTCCACCTGGATCCTCGGCGTGGCACAGGCTGCTCGCTGTCTCTACCCCGGAAGTCCTTTTCGCAATCGCCTATCGTCTTTTCCAGCTTGAGGCCGTCTGCGTGCTGAGCCCAGTCTCACCACGCTTCCCTCGGTCGCATCTTCTCGGCTCGGTCTTGTCGAACCTGATTTATTATAGTATGTTCGACGCTGCACACCATACTGCAACCCGCGGACGTCTATGGCCGGATGCGCACGTTGATATGCACACCTACCCACCCACCCACACATGCGCTCTCTCTCTCACACACACATACACACACACTGCACACACATACATGTCGTCGTATCAGGCCAGACCAGCGCCGCGGCCCCCTCTGAACCCCGGCGTGCTCGGCTCGGGCTGCGCCTACAGGCTGCACCCTCTCGATCTGGACTCGACCGGGTTCCCCCCCCCCTCCTCCTCGTCCCTCTGCCTCGCCCAACCTTTTCCGCGCTGCCTGGCACCTGTCATCGCCCCCGGGAACCTGCCTGCCTACACCAGCCAGTGGGTAGGTACCTAGTTACCTACCTCTTAGGTACCTCTTACTCGCCTGAGGGTACTGCACGATACATACCTCTGTACCTCAGGTACCTACCGCTGCACTCTACGCAACCCGCTATACAGCTCGTTTATTACCCTACCCAGGCTAGGCGGCCTGCAACCTTCCCTCGAGTCCAGGTCTTGTCTGGTCCTTTCCCTTCAGCCTTTACCGCCTCTACTAATGGTGCTTTCTCCATCCCCCCCCTCCTCTCCCTCGCGCGAGCGCGCTCTCTCCCGCATCTGCCCTGCGACTCTCGCTCCCATCCTGTAAACCCTTGTCATTTCCCTGCCCTCTCTCCTCTCGCTCTCTTACTTACCATTGCTCATATAGGTGGATTCTTCTTCGAGCCCAGGGTTCCCAATCCAAACCTGCCCGCATTCCTCTAACCCTCTCTCCGTCACCGAGTCCTCCGATCCATAACCGTGGACGATCCGACTGCACAGACGCTCTAACGCCTCGACTTATTCCGAGATACGACCCGTCAATCCGTGTGCGACCGGCAGCGTCTAAGGACCGAATAAACCCGAAATCGCCTCTCGGCTTGCTGACGATCTGACGAGTCCCGTCGCTTTTGGCAGCGTGTGTGGTCCATTCCTGCGCAGTGCGACGTACCCTGCATTTGGACCACTCTTCTGCCTCTCCTCTGAGGTCAGAGTCGCCGTCATCAAGAGCCACCAACCTTGGCTTGGCAGCTGGTCACATCTTACCGGCGTAGGGATTCTAGCAATACCGCCTTTCAGATCCGGCGGAGCGCACACAGCTCTTTTCCGCGCAGCCAGCCCCGAGACGACTCAAACCCGTCCTTTTTTTTTTCCCTCCTTCTTCTGATCCCCCCCCCGGAACATTGTTCTCTGCCAGACTCGCTCTCGCACGCTCTCCCCCGTTGGCCAATAAATTATCACGACATTTATCATTGGTTGCGCCCGCGCATTTCGAACCCACGTTACCGTACCTACATACGTGCATTCATACCTTACTAGCCCTCGGCCTACCTGGCCTGTACGTATGTTTCCACCCCCCCCCTCGGCCGCCAAACCCTCTGCACTTCGGGCTACTTTGCATCGAGTTCAGCACAACCAGGTGCAAAAGCAAAAGGAGGGAAGAAGAAAAAAATTGAGGCCGAACGGGAGATGCAGATTCGGACCCAACCTTCGTCGCAGATCTTTCTAATTCCCGACTTTCTCCAGATGCGATTCCTTCTTACTATCTCATAGCTATCGACGCAGTCTTTTTTTGAACCCGCCTCTTTTACGTTTAGCGGAAACGACATCCCCGCGACATCCTTTCCTACCTGCATGACTACGTAATCAGCAGTCTACCTACTCACCAGCCCTCGAAGCAGGTACGGTACCCATAACCTCTCCTTTCTTCTCTTTTTCCGGTTCTTTATTTTCCCCTTTTTCTTTTCGTCGACTTCGCTTCGGTTCTCAGTGGTCTTTATTGTTGCGGTCGCATACAACAGATCGGGATCCTACGGCGTGTCCACCTAGGCGTGCTTACCGAATCCCCCTCTCTTGTCGCTCCCACCGCCCGACCGAACCGTTTCTGTCTCCGTGGATGATCGTCAATAACCCTCAGTTCTCCTCCCACTTACTACCCCACATCACTCACTACTCTTCCCCCCCCATTATCCACCTAGCCAACCAAGGTGCGGGGCCTACTCGCCCGGCCCTCGACACTTATTAGAGCAATCTGAGACATATATCGTCGCTGGCTGCAGCTAATACCTTCAACCACTGTAGATACCCAGCAGCCAACCACAACCGGGATTTACTACGTACTCGTCATCCCCCGTATCCAAGTCCTCGTGCACCGCTCTTAGGAAACCTCGACGAGATGGCCCATCACGGCTTTGCCCAGTTTGGCAGCGGCCAGAGTCACGGGAGCGTTGGTGCCAGCGTGGACCCGAACGACTTGGCCATGTCCGGAACCTATGGGCCTTCGTACTCGAACAACTTCAACGGGAACAACAACACCTCTAACTTCTTCGGCGATGACGAGCTGCTCGACACGCTCGGCAGTCCAACCGATCCCCCCCCCAACCAACCTGGCATGCACAACCAAGGCCAGGACTTTGGGATGAATGACATGAACATGGGCTTTTCGCAAGGCATGTACGCACCGCACCAAGGAAGCCACGGCTTGCCCATGGATGGATCGCACATCAACGGCTTCTCCAGTACCCCAGATGGCGACCCGATCCAGAGTCCATTTGTGCACAGCTTCAATCAAGCCCAGTTCCACCAGATGCAGCAGCACCAGCAACCATTCGGCAACTCGCTTCAATCGCCGATATCCTATTCCGGCTCGCCCCTTGCCGGCTCCGATTTGAACAACGATGGTAACGATCCCAACTACCTCAACGCCAAGTCTCGCCCTCAGCTGTCGCACACGATGCAGCGCAAGGCGTCTAACACGAGGAGCCCTCTCACACCCAAGACGGCTGGCGCGCTGTCCAGCCTACCAGTCAACTCTCGAGATTCGTCGGCATTTGGCGCCCAACCGATCCGGACCCAGAACGGCCATCACGAGAAGTCGCCGTCGGGCCAGTGGATGCATACCCCCAATAGCCTCTCCTCGTTCCCAGGCTCCGGCTTCCCCTCGCCCATGCAGCATGTCGGTATGCAGAACCCGCAGATTACGGATGTGCTATTGAAGGGCGGTACATCCATGCCTGCTAAGCTTAGCGCTCCGCCGAATGCCGTATCGTCCCAGGAGATGAAGAGGAAGCGACGCCGAGAATCTCACAACCTCGTTGAGCGTCGCCGTCGTGACAATATCAACGAGAGAATACAGGACCTCAGCAAGCTAGTGCCCACCCACCGCCTAGAGGACGAGAAAATTCGCAAGCTCATTCAGAACGGCACCCCTGTGTCTCCTAGCCTCACCGGAATCTCGCATCCGGCGCAGGCCACGTCCGGGCTCGCCGGCCCAGGAGCCAAGCGGGCCACCGGGGTCGGCAACATTACGACCGGCCTCCCCCTCGAGGAGAAGGACAAGGGTCCTAACAAGGGGGACATACTCAACGGGGCAGTAAGCTGGACCCGTGACTTGATGTGGATGTTGCATCTCAAGCTCCAGCAGCAGGAGGAGCTCATCAACACCATCGCGGATCTCGGTGGCAGCGTACCCCTCGAGATGACAGAGGATGAGAAACGGATGCAGACGGAGCTGATGGAGGCTATAGCGAAGAACAACCCACACAGCTTCTCGTACTCCCGCTTTTCTGGCTCGGGCCTCCGAGTACCCCACCATACCGACTACAGGGGTGAGTCGCTCAACGGGTCAGACACCGCTACGGCTGGACCTTCGGTGAGTCCCGAGGGCCCAGGCGGATCAGATCTAGCCGGAGATTTGGGTGACGCTGGCCAATTTTGGAACGATCCGGACGACAACGGCAGCGGTACCCCATCACTGAACTTCAAGGAGGAGGATGAATTCGGCATGGACCTCTCGCATTAAAGCCCGACGGCCTCGGCTTTTTTTTCCCCTGCGTTACAGCAGCATTTTCTGGCGTTTCGTGTGCCTTAACAATAACTCTCGCGTCATTTTGTCATGTTTCGTCCGACTATCATCACATCCTCCGTTCCTTTCGGGTACTCGAGCCAAGGTCATATCTGCTGCATAAGAGGGGAGGGGCCTTTTCTTAAGGGGGACCGGACCGGCGTTTTGCTTCGTATCGACCGCTTGAGAATATTTGGTAACGACAAGATGGCCGGGGTGGCTGATGTGTGCATGATTCACGTTTGCCATTTCGGTATGGACTTTGTCATTGGCCCTCTACCTCTCCCTCTCTCTTCTCTCGACTTTTCCTATATATCATCTCACCCTGCCATTCTCTCTCCATTTCTCGTTGTCCATTCACGGTAGGGTTTGTCTTTTCCCCAATGATACCTCGAGGATAACGGAGTTTTGGAAGGCGCGACTTCTCGAGCAGTTGATTTGTTCTTTTTTTTCTTCCGCATTTGCATCGTCATCATCATACCATTGGCTGGGTGGGTTTTCCATTTTTATTCTCATTTTTTTTTTTCCCCAATTTCTGCATGTAGCCTGTTCAACTCTTAGGATGAGGGTTTGGGCATCATATATGTATGTCGTTGCGTAACAAAAGAAACTGGGCTGAGGGCTGAGAGGGGGATTTTGCAGCCTTTCGTGGGTCATACACGCGCCCACGGACAGTATCTTTGGAGTAATAATCGAACTACAACCTTTAACCAACTATGGTGTTGCTGTGCCGTATGAGTATCTCTTGTTGCCGTAAGTGGCTCGCCCAATCGGTTTTCCATCTCAGCTATAGTACTCGCTACTTGTTGTGATACCTAATTCTTGGCCTCTACTTGGTCTAGGGTACGTCTGGATACAGAGAGCCTCTTTCTCTTCCCATCTATCTCTCTGCGTATCCATCAGTCTCTCGGTCCGACTATTTGGCGTTCCCGCCTCCATCTCTTACCCTAGCCTCCAACTCGCCTAAGACTAATCAACCAGGCAGCCACTCACTCTCTCTCTCTCGCCTCACGCCGCGCCCTCCTACTTACGCCTACTCTCTGTCTCTCTTTCTCTCTCCGCGCCCGTCGGCGCCCCAGTCATCACCAGTGGCGGACGCAGAGCAGGTGCTCGCTCATGGCGGCGAGGAGGGCCCAGGCGTCGCGGCGGCGCAGGTCCTCGTGCAGCGCGACGCGCTCGAGCGCGCTGCGGCCGTCGAAGTACTTCCAGAAGACGGGCCAGGCGGCGGCCGGGTCGAGGGCGGCGTGGCGCGGGGGGGCGCGCGGGCGCGCCGGGGTCGCCGCGGTGGTGGTGGTGGTGGTGGTGGCGGTGGTGGGCGTAGGGGCCGGAGCGGGGATCGGGGAAGGGCCCCCCGCCGCCGCTGCGCCCGTGTTGGGGGTCGCGGTCGTAGCGTCTGCGGCCGCAGCGGGGCCACCTGCACTCGTCGTAGTAGCAGTAGCAGTAGTAGCGGTAGCAGTAGCGGCGCCGTCGGCGCGGGCCCGCAGCCGCTTCCCGATCGCCGACAGGTAGTGCGAGTCGCGGCCGGCGGCGCGGCCGGCGTCGACGATGACGTAGGGCGACAGGTGCGCGAGGTGCGGGGCGTCGTTGGTCGAGGGGTGCGGCGTCGCGCGCGGCACGGGGCGCCGCGCGTGGTGCGCCGCCTTCTCGGCCGCCTTGCGGTGCGCCCGCGTGGCGATGCGCTCGAGCCGCGCCTGCTCCGCCGCGCGCTGGCCCGTCGTCGTCGTCGTCGTCGTCGCGGCCGACGGGGAGGGTGAGGGTACCGGCGAGGGGGCTGTCGCTGGCGTCGTCGTCGTCGTCGTCGTCGTCGTTGTTGCCGTCGTCGCAGATCCAGCAGCAGCGCTGATGCTGATCGCCGGGCTGCCGGCACTGTCCGCGCCGGCTTCGGGGCCCAGGGACATGGGGGAATGCGCGTGGACCTCGGGGGAGGAGAGGGGGCCGGGCGAGGAGGAGGAGGCGGCGGCGCGGGAGGCGGAGCGGTCGTCGTCGGCGGCGGCGCCGGAAGACGAGGACGAGGCGGCGACGTCTTCCTCGTCCCGCAGCTCGTCGTCCTCGGCGTCCCCGCGGTGGCGGGCGGCGGCGGCGCGCAGCTCGTCGGCCTCAAGCTCGTAGTCGACCTCGTAGCGGATCTCGGGCCAGACGACGACGTAGGCGAAGGTGCAGAGCTGGGTGACCCAGCCGCCGCGCATGAGCCAGGCGAGCATGGCGAGGTAGGCCGGCCGGTGGTTCTTGCTCGGCGCGAAGAGCTTGTAGGGGCGCGGGGCGGCCGACAGGACGGCGAGGAACTCGGGCAGCGGCGGCGCCAGCGGGAACGCCCGCGCCCACGCCTGGCTCGCGCGCGGCAGCCGGCTCGTGTCGCTGTTGGGCGAGAGCACGTACACGTCCCGCGCGTGCAGCGGCGGGATCGCGATCGCCCGCCGCCAGAAGATGAAGTGCTGCGCGTACCTGCGCACCTGCGCCGGCGACAGGGCGGTGCCCTGGCTGATCTGGTAGAACCTGTGCGGTGGCGGAGGAGTGTGTCAGGAGTGCCCCATGCTGCGAAATAGATATTTGGGGGAAGAAGGGGGGAGGGGAAGGTGGGTTGTTGGCGATAGGATAGGCAACTTACGAGGTAGTCGGCTTCGAGAGCCGCACGAACTCGATCATGGCGGCTGTGGTCTCGTCGGGGTCGGCCTGGAGCTCGGCGACGATCTTCTTCTCGTCGCTCATGAGGAGCAGGGCGAAGTTCTTGTCGAGGAAGGCGGGGTCGTTGAGGTTGTCGCCCTCGATGAAGGAGTTCGCGGTCGTGATCCACAGCCCCTTGGACCCGCTCTCCTCCTCGGGAGGCAGGTCGGCGAGGTAGAAGGGCACCGGGATCTGGACCGAGTGGGTGATGCTGCCTTCGGCTGTCTCGAGCTGCAGCGCGGCGATCTTGTTGTGGGAGACGGCCTCGTAGACGTCCTGTATAGACGCGGCCAGGGAGGAAACGTCCAGGATCTCCCTCCAGAGGGTGCTCATCCTGGTCTCTGCATCGGGCTCGTTAGTTTGACGGCTTATCATAGCGATATATGTCACATGGCTGCATCGGCGTACTTGCTTCGCGCCCCTTGTCCTTCAGGGTTAATATGCGCTTCGACTCTTTCCAGACGAAGTCGCTCTTCTGCTGGCTGTACTTGTACGGCTTGTTGATTTTCTTTATGATGTGGAGGTAGAGATTCTCGGCCAGCTCCCTGGCTTCGTGCTTCTTGGGGTTGAGGATGAAGACGAGGTTGAACATGGTCATCCCACTCTTCTTCTCGTCGGTCTCGACGTCGGGGGCGCCGCTCCCGGCGGCAGCAGCACCGGCGCCGTCCTCGGCCATGTCTCGGGTCTCGATCTGGAGCACGTCGCTCGCAAGAATGGTGGAGTCGGCCATCTTACTGGCGGCGTCCGGGTTCTCGGGCGACTTGGGCGGTTGGTACCTGGGCTGCTTCTTCTTCTTCTTCCGCCAGACGCCGTTCTCCGGAACGTAGATGGGGTGGGACACAAAGCAGAGCTGCTCGAGGGAGACCTGGAAGAGCCTCTTGTGGAAGGCACGGCTGGGCGTGAGGAGGCTCTCGAGGTCCTTGGTGGGGTAGCCGGCGACGTGCTCCCAGGGTACTATCTGGGAGCCGTTGTCGGTCTCGAGGTGGTCGTCGTGATCCCAGTTCTGCAGGTCGACGGGATTCGGCAGCGAGCCGGGGGTCGGGGCCGCGAAGGCCGGGCGAAACGTCTGGCTCAGTAAGGGGTCGTCGTCGTCGTCGAGCTCATCCCGCGGCGCGTCGCCGGGCGCGACCGAGGCGCACGGCTGCAGGATGCGCGGCGGGTAGTGGAAGACGAACAGCGGCCCATCGCGCAGCCGGTTGACCACCAGCGCAACGCCTAGGAAGTTGGACGTGTTTGGCAGAATGGGCGAAGCCATGGCTATCCAAAGTAAGGGGGAGAGAGAGGAAGCGGAAAACAGACAATAGAGGGACGAGAACCACTACCGTTGGGTGGCGTCACAAGCCTTACTTAGGTAGAGCGTGCCTATCTGAACAGCCAACATGTCAACACGGCCCCTTTCCCTCTCCCAGGCTATCTACATAGACATCTGTGTGTGTAGTGTATACACGGCCTATTCAGGATATCAGTTAGCTATGTTACGGGGGCGTCACACGGGAACTAAGGGATCTAGGTAAGGGATCCATGCAGGTAGGTATTTACTCGCCCTCGTTGAACCGTCCGATCAAGTGCACCATCGACCACCTGCGGCTAGAGACTCGTTTTTGCAGCGCAACCGGAATAGTTCCATCTCATAGGCCCTGTTTCGAGAACGGGACGTTTTCCATTCTCCTCGTCTGTTGCCGGGGATAATCTTAAGGCTAGAGACGTTGTCGAGACGAGGATGACGGGGATGCCTGGAAAGGTAAAGAACAGACGGTACGTACCTCGAAGCTGTTTTCTCTTTTATGTAAGTAACCACGATTTGATCCTGGCCCCGTAAAATGCATATGTGTCCTGCTACTAATACAGGCAAGTCTTCGCCTGGGCCAAGCAGGAGGTTTACGCCATATAAATGCTTCACGTTCACTCATCAGCATCGAAATTTATACAAGAGGTTAGGTAGTGATAGATCTCAGTTAGAAAGTCGTTCCGCTATAGCATCTATCTATCTAAGGTGTGTAAGCGTATGATGTGTATGTATATATACTCATGCTGAGTGCAAGAAAGATCACTGCGTAGCTGGTTATGCCTGGCCGGCTCATTTCTTGCTCTCCTTGCTCTTCTTGCAAGTCTTGGGCTCGGGGGCAGGGCCGTACTCGTAGCGCGTCAGGAAGCAGGCACTGCATCTGGTGTGAGTGCAGCCTATGCGCGGACACGCGAACGTATGGTACAGCATGTCATTGTTGGTCCTGCAGTCGCAGCAGTTCCAGGTGATGATGGTCTTCCCAGCCTCAGGCATCTTGTTTAGTGGTGGCGTGTGGTTGCTGTTGTTATCGGAATACAATGCAAACGCTTGTGTATCTGCGCAAGCCTTACCTTTCTCGAAAGTAGCAGCTATTACTATTCTAGACCAGGAAGGTGAATAGAGTGGTGGTTTGAGAGTTGTTGGTGTTGTTGGTGATGGTGATGGATTGGAATTGGACCAGATCGAGGCCGAGTCTCCGGTCTATATACACCTTCGGATCCCCTCTCCTCGCCTTACGTGCCGCCGAGCTTTGCTTACTTTCTCGGGACTTGCAAAGAAACAGTTAGCAACAAGCGCATTATCCAGCTCGCACCCCGGCTAGATTGTAAGACACCGTTCGATGCGCCGTCCCTGAAGAGAGTCCAGTATAATCGACCCGTTTCATGTCCAGGCTTGGTTCTTTGTGGGAGGTAAAAGAAGGCGTTTGAGATCTCCTTCTCTGGCGCTCTGTCGTCAGCGTGGGTGCTTCGAGTTGTAGTACGCGAACTCTCAATACGCCGACTCTCAAAGAAAACGTATCACAAATACTGCAGGCGAGAAAGCGGTCAAGGTGACTGTAGTAAGCGTCCTTACGGACAGTACGTCGTGTGTATAGAATGCCGGTTTGATATCATTTTTGCCTTTGTTCATGTCGCTCGATCCCTTTGAAACCGGCGTCCACCGCGAAAACCAGATCAGGAAAAAATCTACCCACACCACAACCAACCCTTGGGAGCCTCAAAACACTAACCATGAATAGGAGGAACAGGGGGGGAAAAAGGGGGGGGGATGGTTTCTTCATCCGTAACAGTCATATGTGCAACCCTCACAGAATCCTACGCCAGAGGAAAGGGGGAAAGTCGTATCTATAAACGCCAACCAGCCGGGAATATACACATGCATTCAGGGAAAGGTGGTGAGGGGGCATGACACTCATAACGTCGTTCGATCTGGGGGTAGGATCGCCGGGGTGTGAATATGCATGTGCGCTAGCAAGTAGCGCGGGACGGGAATCAGTCGGTGTGAGCCTGATCGGCCGGCCCAAGGCCGGCCCGATGACAGGTCTACCCAGCCTCTCTCTCTCCTCTCAGAAGTAGTCGCGGGCGACTAAGCCGACTCCGGCTACGACGCCAGCCACACAGGCCGCCGCCGCCGCCGCCGCGGTCGGGCGCGGGGCGCCGTTGTCGCCGTCACCGATTATGAAGCCGGAAGCCGAGGCGACAGCGGCGCACTGGGAGCTCTGCAGGCCGTAGCAGGCGCGGGACGAGAGGCTCGAGCATACGGAGGTGGCGGTGGGCGCCGGGAGGGCAGCGTTGGTGGCGGCGACGGTCGTGCCGCCGCCGCCGGGCACGATGATGGTGACGCCGTAGACGCCGCCCGCGGCGCTGCTACCGCCCGACAGCCCCGACACGCACGCGGCGTAGTTCCGCGAGCACTGGCTTACCGCGGACGTGCAGGCCACCTGGTTCGAAAACGACGTGGGGATGTACGGGAACTGGAAGTACGTGTTACTGACGAAGGACGGCGTCGGCGTCGACCCCGTCGGTGCCACTCCGGTACAGGTAGCTCTGAAGATCCGGCCCGCCAGGTTGGGGAGGCGGTCGCGTTAGCCTTGGGAGTACATGGAAAATCGATCCTTTCTTTTTGTTTCTTTTTGGGGGGAGGGGGGTGAAGGAAAGGCACACATGGAACGAGAGGATCAACCAAAATAAAGACATACGTGGTGGGGCAGCAGGCGGCTTGGTCTTGCGCGTCGAGGGCGCAGAGCTGGCCGTTCCCGCAGCAGGTGCCGGCGAAGGCCGGGCCGCGGTCCTCGCAGCTGAAGTAGCCAGCGGGACAGTTGAGCTGGCGGCGCTGGACGGGCGAGAAGTTGGCAAGCTCGGTGTACCCGAGCGGGTCGACGACGGCGACGGGGTCTTCGGCGAGGGCGGACGTGGCAGCGACAGCTACCGAGACCAGGGCCGCCGCAGCATGATGATTGGACTTCAACCGCATCTTTCTCTCTCTCTTCCTTGCCGTAGGAATTCGCGCCGACGCACCAGGCTTGGGCGCGATGATTAGTTTTTGGCCGATCAATGCCTTGGACAACTATACTGATAGGCGAGGTGTGGTGGTGGCAGCAGCAGCAGCGGTAGCAGGGATGAGGAAAGCTGCGTGTCGTCGAGGCGTCTCTCTATATAAGCCTTTGCACGGCACCCTCGTCCGTAGATGCGTCTGCACGTAGGCGTGGCTTGGGGTATTATGCCCGGACCAGGTGCTGCACGCGGCACTTCTTCTATTCTAGTTCACCGCCGGCTTATGGCGCTGCAGACACGAGGTGAAAAGAACAGACGGGTAGCGGTTCGCTACTGGTAGGGGACAATACTGCTCGGCGGTAAGTAGGTGTTGCGTGTTGTTCCCGTACGTATCGACCGAGTCGACGATGAGAGAGTAGAAAGACACACAGGCAGGAAAGGAGGAAGAGGAAGAGAAAGACGCAATATACACATACATATGCCTAAGATCCGGTCTTGAGGTGAAGCTGGGCGATGACGGGGTTACGGGGGGTGAAAAGGGCCTAAAACAGGCTTTGCTACCAAATAAATGGAAACCGATACGAGCTTCTCGATCGGCTGGCCGGAGAGAGGGAGGCGGACATAGATACAGACCCTACATGTTGTGCAGGGCGGAAATCCATTAGATAATCGGCGTGGGCGGCGTGCGAATCAGTTGGCTGCTGGCCAGCATCGCGGGAGGTGGTGTCAAGCCAATGGGTGCCAGATCTTGTTCGCCGAGCAACGGCTAGCCGCGACCAGGGTTTGGGTACCCAGCAGGCCACTCTAGGCGCTTAAGATACCTGAGGGGACCAGCGCCGAGCCGCCGCGGGTCTGCCTCCGCTTCTCAGGTACCTTCTGCACCTAGGTAAGGTGCATCAGGTACGTGGACCTATGCGGGGTGGAGGGGTCAATCTGAGGTGTTGTATACCTTGCCATCCTCCTACGTACATTAAGTACCTAAGGTACCTGCCTAGGTGTACCTGTCCCTGCCCTTCCCGCTTGCCTGAAGGTCACTTTTCCGACTACAGGAACACTAGGTATGTACGGATACATACATAAGTACCTGCCCAGGGTAGGTACTTGTCGTAATAGCCTATGTAGGCAGGTACCTACCTACGCAGCGAATCCTAACCTGAGGAGGTGCTACGTGAAGTAGGTGCCCCTTCTTAGGGCAGCCACTAGGTGCCCGGATATACCTTAGGTACTTACGCTAGGTATTACCTAGGTGGGCACTTGTCCCCGACACGCAGTGGCTTCATGGCTCTATCTTACCTCCCATTCATACCATTCCACATGCTAGCTTTTCTACGCCACAAGACGACGACGACGACGACGACGACGACAAGGCACCATATACACAGAAGAGCGTCCTCTCTGGCCCCAGCGTATTCGTTCCCGAGCCCTACCCTAATCCACCAGCTAGCTAGCCGATAAGTGCGCTGCGTCGTGATACTCTCGCTGCTCGTACCAAGCACACCGAAGCCGGTCGCCTCTCATGAGCTCCTTCGGCAGCCCGGGCGCGGGTCCCTATACCGGGAAGCCCATCCCGTGCGCCTCCCCCTTTCCTCCCCTCGCCGGCGAGCATCTGCCTTACTGACCCGGCCTCCCCCATGCCCAGGCCAGAGCGCGGCAGCTTCCCCTTAGATCACGATGGTCAGTCGGCCAGCAGGAAATGCTCATCCACGTCCCCTGTGTTGACACCTGATGGGTTGCGCCCACGCCAGGCGAATGCACGGCCATAATGACACAGTACCTGTCGTGCATCAAGAAGGTCAAGGGCATCAACGACCAGGAGTGCCGCAACATCGCTAAATCCTATCTATCGTGCCGCATGGACCGGTAAGTCATCTCCCCGATTCGCCCACCCACCAACCGGTACGCACCTATCGGCTCCTAGGAGGCCTGTCCACAAGCGCTTGGCTCACTGTGCAGGAATCTGATGGCGAGGGACGACTTCAAGAATCTCGGCTTCGCGGATACGCCCCCGCCGGATTCGGAGTCTCGGGAGCAGCCACGGCAGTAGCACGACGGCAGCTAGGGCGCAACATCAGCCCGTCGCGGGTTCGAGTCTGCAAGTCCGACAGCGGGGAGCGCGTTAGGGGCAGCTTCGAATACCCCCTTCTGGTGCGCGTCTGTGTATGCGACTATTTGTTGCCGCACAAAGTCCAGCTTGTGAGATGCGATCCCATCTCCCCCGGAAATTAGGAGGTATCACCACCCTAACTAGAGCCTCAGATCATGACAGCTCTCCGTAGCGACGAACGGCGAGTATATATATGTATATATACGTTATATATTTTGTGTTCAAGTATCGGAAGATATCGAACCGTTCCCCCTTCTCTCCGTCATGGTCAATGTAGCCGGCTCTGCCTCTCTCTGCGCCACCCGCACGTCCATCGGCTGCCTCGATAGCTAAATGAATAGCATCCTCACAATGGGATCACACATGGGCATCGGCCGTCGAAACCTGGGCAAAACTGGTCCGTTTCGATGCCAAGAGCTGAATCGATTGTTGGTGTTACCTAGCACTCAGCCAGTCTTTGATTTCGTTACCTGGGCGTTACAACCACTTATTAGCTACCGGTATCGGTTGTATTATCGAGCACCAAGTGACACTAAACTATTGTCGAAAGGGGGCAGGAAAAAGAAAAAAACAAGACACGCAGAGGGTGGAAGACGGGAGAGGAAGGGAACATACAACCCGGTATGCCCGGTTGGTTCCCATCGTCTCTTTTTACTTGTGGTTTTCATTTACCTCCATCACACCCCAAAAGCGCCCGCCCACACGCACACGGATACATACACATACTGAAGTAAGGAGGTAGCCAGGCTCGTCGATGCCGCTTGGCCGGCCGCTTCGCTACCGCGCCGGGACAATTGGAGCCGGTTGGGCCGGACCAGACTGGGACTGGCGCCCTCGAGAAAACCGGCAGAGAAGAAACCGGTCCATCCGCCTATACCGATACGACTTAACCGTCTCTGAGTGCCCCCCTCCGCGCATCCCCTTGCTTTTTCCTAACTGAAGTACGTCTAAGTCTGTACGCATGCATGTACCGAGGCCGAGTTGGTCGAATACTCCTTTCCCACTTATTTCCTGTCCTTGTTGCTTGTTGTTAACTTCCTCTCCCTCTCTTCTTCTTCTCCTCCTTACTATTTCCCTGCTGTTGCTCTCCTCCTCGCCACGCATGCATATATATATATATATATATATATATATATAAGTAGACACACATACACCTGGAGATATTTGCACGCATCTTCGCGTATGCCCGTCAGTGCCCCTCCCCCCTCCCTTCCGGCTCTCATCGCGACAGTCCGGCTCCGCGCCTGAAGACCCACGACCAACCGCCTGCTATTTAAATAGGGCTGCTAGACCTTTGTGCTCAAATTGGCTAGATAGGAAACCCAAAGCAACTATGCTCCGCAGCATCAACCGCAGCAGCAGTCGTAGCGCCGGTATCGGCGCCGTCGTGTTCCGGGTCCGGAGGCGGCCCCCGGGCTCCCCACCGAGCGGACAACGCGCCGCCCTCCGCCTCGACGCCGCCCTAATCACGCTCCGTCGCCACTATTCATCATCGCCGGGCGACAGCGCCTACGACTCGACGCTGGAGAACCTGCGGGTCGGCAGCCACACGCGCGTCATATTCCAGGGGTTCACCGGTTTGTCACGCCCTCAACTCTCCGCACGTTATCGCGCGCCCACGTGCTTACCTCCTCCCCGAAAATAGGAAAGCAGGCGACGGCCAACGCCCGCGAGTCCCTCGCCTGGGGCACCCGCATCGTCGGCGGCGTCACCCCCGGCCGCGAGGGCGAGCACCTCGGTCTGCCCGTCCTGCCGAGCGTCCGTAAGGTGCGTGCGCGACGTTTTCATATTCGTTTCTTTCTTATATATGGCTTCTTACAACTACACATGCCTGTCTACCAGATATGCACGTCGTTGGCTCTTATTATGGTAGTCTTGCACGGTCACGTTGGTAGGATAGGGGGAAAAAAAGGAGGGGGGCATTAGAAGAAGATTCTAAAGACCGAGGTTTCAAGATTTAGAAAGCGGGAGCGGACACAGTAAAACAGAGACCTGACCCCTACCGACAGGCCGTCGAGACCCTCAAGCCCGACGCCACCGGCATCTATGTGGCGGCGCCCTACGCCGCCGCCGCCATCGAGGAGGCCATCGCGGCCGAGGTCCCGCTCCTCGTCGCCGTCGCGGAGCACATCCCCCTGCACGATATGCTTCGGGTAAGTCCTCTTTTGATGCGGTTCTGCCATCTCCCTTCTCCCTCGTCAAAGTACATTGGAATGGGTACATAGATATATACTACATCAGCATACTCTACGAGTAGCGTACACTAACCAATATACATAGATTCACGCCATCCTCAAGACCCAGTCCCGGTCTCGACTAGTCGGCGCGAACTCGCCAGGCCTCATATCGGCCGTGGGAAAGTGCAGAATCGGTCAGCGGCAAGTTGTTGTGTGCATGATCAGGGGCTACCCCCGCCCCTCTTCGCTGACCAGACCCTCTTTTGTGCTCACCCGCCTTTCTTCTCTCCTACGCAGGTTTCCAACCCCTGCCGTGCTTCGAACCCGGGCGCATAGGCATCATCGCGAGGTCGGGGACACTGAGTTACGAGAGTACGTCTATTCGGTTTCTTTGCTCCTTTTCGTCCCGGGTATCCATGACTATACCCCATTCCCATCATGCAAAACACACATTTCTATGTGAAAACTTGGTATACATATAATTAACTCCCCAACTCCCAGCGGCCGCCTCGACCCTCAGGGCTGGTCTCGGCCAGAGCATGTGCATAGGCATCGGGGGGGACATCCTCCCGGGTACAAGTCTGAGAGAAGGCCTGCAGGTCCTCGCGGAGGACGCCGACACCGAGGGAATCGCGCTGATTGGGGAGATCGGAGGGGAAGCGGAACTCGAAGCCGCCGACTGGATCAGGGAGTACCGTTCTCGGACTCTAAACCCGAAGTAAGTGTATCTACGTAGATCCCGAGAGAAGGAAGCACGCCCTTTAGTGCTGGGTCTGACAACGATGGAATAGGCCCATCGCCGCCCTCATCGGAGGCATCCACGCCGTCGCCGGCCGTATCATGGGCCACTCGGGCGCGTTTGCCCTCCCGGGCGAGCCCTCTGCGCTAGACAAAGTGAAAGCCCTCGAAGCGGCCGGGGCCGTCATCGTAAATCATCCGTCGCGGTTCGGGCCGGTTCTGAAATCCATCCTAGGTAACTCGGCGCCCGGCACCGGCCCTAGCGGAGCCACTGCCGCCTCTCAGCACAGGGGCATGCACACGGCAGCCGCCCGTCGGCCTATGCTGACTCGACAGGCATCATCGCACCTGAATCCCAGGACTCAGGGACGAAGCGTGCATCTAACCCAGAGCACCGCCTTCGACATGCTACGCCAGCGTGGCATCCCCATCGTCGAGAACGCGGGCTCTCGTCCTGGGAAGCTTCTCGCAGTCACCGTCAATAGGTCCACCAAGAGCCCCTGCGTGGTCGCTTCACCGACTGATGACGTGTCCGAGGCCAAGAGATTCGACTTCGCCTGCGGCACGACAGGCGCGCAGGACATTCCCGTGGCAGACATAGCGCAGCACCTCAGAATTGGCGCTGGCGCCGCTGAGTCTCTCGGGCGGGTGATCAGCAGGCTAGCCGCGCTCTTCGTCGAGAAGGAGGCCTTCCTCCTCGAGACCCGGATCGTGACCGGTGCTGACGGCACGGCAGTCGGGGTTGCCGCGGCGCCGCGCTTCGGGTTCGACGACGCGGCCTTCCGCAGCGGCAGGCGGCAGGCGGATGTGCAGGCGCTGCGCGACATGAGCGCCGAGGACCCAGCCGAGGTCGGCGTCGAGGGCGATGGCATCGTCTACATCAAGCTGCCCGAGGGAAACATCGGCACGCTGGTCAACGGCGCCGGCCTAGCCATGAACACGGTCGACGCGCTCGCGGACGCCGGCGGCCACGCCGCCAACTTCCTCGACACTGGCGGCAAGGCCACGAGCGAGACAGTCAAGCGGAGCTTCGAAGTCATCCTGACGGATCCGCGGGTCAAGGTACGTCTGTCTTCTCGCCTCCCCGCCCCATCAGAACGGCAAGTACACTTAACTAAGCGCCCGCCCCGGTTGGTCGCCTCGTAGTGCATATTCGTGAATATCTTCGGCGGGCTGACGCGCGGCGACATGATCGCCCGCGGGGTCGTGATGGCGTTCCGCGACCTGCAGATGTCGGTGCCGGTCGTGGTGCGCATCCGCGGGACGAATGAGGAGGAGGGCCAGAAGATCGTCGCCGAGAGCGGGCTGTCGCTGTTCGCCTACGACGACTTCGACGAGGCCGCCGCCAAGGCCATCGAGCTGGCGAACGGGGAGCCGTAAATGGCTTGACTGAACCTCCCCCCTAACCTTCGTCGTGTCTGATCGACTTATATATTTATAGATATAAACGTCATGTAAATACCTTGTACGTTGTCTCGACAAGTTGGTACGAGACAGCAATAAACGACGCGCACGGCTTATTTATCCTCGATAGATATACTAGCATAGAAAAGGAGCGGCCCGAACGTGAGCATACGAAGCCAACAAGGTCGCGTATTAAATTGTTGTAGTAAGAACTCGTTAACCAGACGTTACGGCGTTTATACACGTACAATAGCCCATAGGCCCCGAAAGACTGCTCGCCTCCGCTCGGCGGAAGTAGGTTTCTGGTTGGCGGCCTGCGGTCCGTGTTCTAACGACGCCACCACGCCGTCGTCGCGGGTGGCCAGTTCCCGCTGTTCCTTGGTGAGTTGCGCTTCGCCGAGTTCCCCGACCTTCCAAGCTCTCAGGGCCCAACCTGTGCGCGTCAGCCGAGAAGCCCAGCCAGGCAGGGGGGAGAGATGAGAAGTCGTTGCCTTGGGTGGTAGTAGTAACAGAACAGGAGTGTGCTGGCGTATGTGGGGGACTAGGAAGGATGGTCGCAACTTACCAAAGACGAATGCGCCGATGTACATTGCTGCGGTGAAGATTTGGACGTCGAGATACCCCCGGGCCCGGGCCGCCGGAGCGCCACGGCGCTAGCCTCGGCGAACGTCGCCGGCAGGAAGAGGACGAGCCAGGTGACGGAGAGCGCTTCTCGGAGTTAGCAGTCGCACGGATGGGAAAGGATAGGCAGATGGAGAGAGGATGACTGAAACAGTTTTGTGAATTTCATCCAGGTGCTGGGGGGGGGGGGGAATGTCGAGAGGGACAGAACGAACCGGAAGGGATGACGGCGATGCCGACGATCTCGGCGCATAGCGGGGCGGCGGTGGCCCATATGACGCCAGCGACGCTGCCGCTCAGCACGGCGAAGACCATGCAAGCTGCCAGGCCCTTGGCGGCGAAAGTCCAAAAGAACATGCAGATCAGGCCGCAGAACAGGGTGCAGATGTTGGCAATATTCAGACGGCCGACGGCGTCACTCGACAGTCCTATGAGGGGCCGGCCAATTCCTTGGAACACTGCAGTACTCACCCCTAGTCAGCCCGTGCAACCTCGACCCCGACCCCTATCCGGAAGGCGGAACTCACGGTTGAACAATGCGGCCGCCAGGGAGGCCTGGGAGGCGGACAGGCCGACGGATTGGCAGTAGTCGACGATGCTGTAGACGAGGATGACATAGGCGATGAGGGAGAGGAATGCCCAAGCCTGGAACAGGAGGAAGGGGAGGCGTTTGAAGAGCCTCCAATCGAAGGCCACGTGGACGGAGCCGATGGCCTTGTTGCGGTCCCTGATGAAGTAGCTAGCGGCGCTGTTCACCACGAAGCACACGATGGCCAGGATGCGGAAGGTCCAGGGGAGGCCGACCCGAGAGATCATGGCGTTCGTGGCCAGCGAGTAGCACAGGCCGCCGAACCCGGACCCAGAGGCGGTGATGGCGCTGGCGAACGACCGGCGCTTTACGAACCACTGCGGGGGGACGGCCGCGGACGGGACGAAGCACATGCCCAAGCCTACGCCGAAAGACAGGCCCTGGCTGAGCAGGATGTGCCATAACTCGGTAGCGAAAGAGGAGCCGACAAACGCGATCCTAGGGGATGTCAGCGGCCGGCCGGCCGACGCCCCGGAACGATCCAACGACAACTCACGTCTCAAATACGGCCCCGATGAATATGGTGAGCCGCGTGCCACATCGCCCCCACCCCATAAGGACAGTCGCCAACGGGGCAACCAAAAGGGCTGCAACGTGGTTAGCGACAGCGACGAGCCATAGTCGGGCTTTCGATGTACGGTATGTGGATGTGAGATGGGCCAACAACCAACCGAGCCGAACAATGCGCATGAGGAAGAAGGGGAAGCGGGGGGGAGACTCTACAAATAGAAATGGATAACCCTCCAACGAAGGCGTACCCGAGCTGGCTGTCTCCAAAGACGCCAGTCCTCAGATAGTGGGCGAGAAACACGGCATAACTCTGCGAAGGGAAGGGCCACGAGGCGGTTGGTTAGCAGGTTGTTGCCGAGGCGGTGTCGCTGTTTGAGGAGGGCCTCCATACAGAGTTGAGACCCCACGTATGGGCGTTCAACATGAACACGGCGAAGACAACGACCCTAGAACCGCAAGGCCGTCGGTGTCAACTCGACATTATCCTGCCCGTATTGCGGGTTGTCAATTTCGGTAAAGGGGCACTGACCAGCCATAGCCACCTTCTTTGAAGTCGTCTTCCTGGCGCTGAGGACCTAGCTCTACCGTAGGATTCTCCGTACACGAGTTGTCGCCGGTTCCCCTGCTTGCATGTCGTTTGTCGGATCCGGCCATGATGGCAATCTAATAATATTATAAGCAATGCTAGGGTTTGTGTATGTATCGGCACCGGCACCAGACGCGTCGATCGCTACAGGCAATAGGTAAATATCTCCGGCGGGACGCGTCTAGCTCTAGGAAGAATCCCTCCTGCTCTCCACCTAACTCGACAAACAGTGGCAACACTCACAAAAGCCGCCCTCGCTCCTCTTTAAAATAGACCTGGGGTTGGGCTCACGTAACACAGAAAAATGGTATCCCAGAGGGGGCACACATACGAGGTTTATGGATGGCCCTGTCTGTCATCGCCGTAAAGCCGGCCGGGAATAAGAGCGAAAGGAAAAAAAACATAGGCCTGCCCTACTTGCGCTGTTACCTACCGACGTAGCGGGCAAAGCACAGCACAGCAAGCTACGCCCGGACTGGACGCCCCGCGGGGCGCGGTGGCTCCAATTAGGTAAAATCCGTAGGGGGCCTCTCGGGATACTTGGCCGGGATCTCTGCTGGAGGAGCAAGCAGCTTTTCCATAGCGAGAGTGGCTCACCCCCTTGTCTGCGCACATACGTGTACATATACGTGCTTGTCCCTGTCCTTTGCAGTCGCTCGTAGCGTAACCCATGAACCGATGTCGACGCCGCGCGCGCGAGAGAGAGAGAGAGACTAAGGGGGGGATAAGGAGAAAGGGGGGGAGCTCGCGGTGTCGGTAGCACGCTGAGATATATACATGCCGATCGCGCATAGGGAGCATAATCTCGAGCTTGGATGGACCCGGCCCGTGGAGGCGACCCCCCCCCCCCTCCCCCCTACACCGCAAAGGTCGGGAGTGGGAAAACCTGGCAAGCCCGGGCCAAGCTGCGTATTTCTAATATTGGAGTGCAAATGGACGCCGAAGCGAAGATCAGGCTGTCGAGCGGGTCCGACGCAGGCATGCGCCGCGCATCGTGCGAATCGGCCGATATCGAAGGGGGGGGAGGGGGAAGAGAGTTCGCAACTCGCCAGCTTCCCAGTAGACGAGAGAGAGAGAGAAAGAGAGAGAGAGAGAGACGTGTGCGCGCTTCGCGAGCCGGACAGGTGTCAGACCGGCGAGGGAGGGGGGGGGGGGGACGACGAGAGGCTCTCGATCCTGTTCGAATGATTGGGCTGAGTACCTACATAATCGTAACTGTGCCGGTGCCGGCCTTGCGGCCACGAGGGTTTGCTGTCGAAGCCTAATGCATCCCATCGGGGGAGACAACAACGTCGACCCTTTTGTCGTCCCCCCCTCTTCCTGGCTATCTGGCTATCTGGCTGGCTGGCTGGCTCGCTCGCTCGCTCACTTCCCCTTCTCTCGCATTGCGGGTCTGCGGCTCTTGGGAGAGCAGGGAGCTAGCTAAGGAGAGAGCAAGATAGATAGATAGGGGGGAACCAGGGAAAGGGGAGGGATAATAATGTCTATGTGTAGGTAGGTCGACGGATGAGTGCACGTGTTGTGTGGCGTCTGCAGGCACCGGGTGGTATCGTGGTGTGTGCGCGTGGAAATGTGGTGTTGCGTCCGGTCGGCCTGAGGAATCTAAATACGTGTATTGAAGCATGGAGATATGCATAACGGAAATACTTTAGGTAGTTAGATAGGCAGGGCCACCGCTGCGTTAGCTATGCATAAAAGGGTATTAGGTGGATGCATACATAATAGTATAGCTACACTTATGCGTGTTGTGTTAGGTACCATACAGGGAGGGGGGGGTCTATTGACATTATGTCAGCAATCCTTTCTATGACTGGATATAGTATCTGCCTCGTAATAAGAGTAAGTTAAACTCTGGGCTAACATTATTACCATTTCCCGACATAGTTACCATCCGGATATAATGTCTTTATTTTTAAAAAAGGTATATTCCATAGGATTACCCGGTTACCTCTAGGTTACTAAGTACGTACCTTTATACCTTTATATCTTTTACGTCTATTACCTACCTCTCTTCCATAGGTTCGAAGATAGATTTAAAGATAGATAAATTCTACGTACGCGAACTAACTCCATAGGTTCGAAGATAGATAAATTCCACGTACGCGAACTAGCTCCTATAGGTTTAAAGATAAATAGATAGATTCCACGCGCGAATTAGCTTCTATAGGTTTAAAGATAGATAGATTCCATACGCCTGAACTAGCTTCCATAGGTTCGAAGATAGATAGATTCTATACGCCTGAACTAGCTTCCATAGGTTCGTAGATAGGTTCGTAGATAGGTTCGAAGATAGGTTCGCAGATAGGTTCGAAGATAGGTTCGTAGATAGGTTCGAAGATAGGTTCGTAAATAGGTTCGAAGATAGCGCGAACTAGCTCCTATAGGTTCGAAGATAAATAGATTCTACGCGCGAACTAGCTCCTATAGATTCTACGTACGCGAACTAGCTTTTATAGGTTCGAAGATAGATAGATTCCATACGCCTAAACTAGCTCCTATAGGTTCGTAGATAGGTTCGTAGATAGATAGATTCTACGTACGCGAACTAGCTCCCATATATTCGAAGATAGATAGATTCCATACGCCTAAACTAGCTCTTATAGGTTCGAAGATAGGTTTAAAGATAGATAGATAGATTCTACGCGCGAACTAGCTCCCATAGGTTCGTAGATAGATAGATTCCACGTACGCGAACTAGCTCCCATAGGTTCGAAGATAGATAGATAGATTCTACGCGCCCGAACTAGCTCCCATAGGTTCGTAGATAGGTTCGTAGATAGGTTCGTAGATAGGTTCGTAGATAAGTTCGTAGATAGGTTCGTAGATAGGTTCGTAGATAGGTTCGTAGATAGGTTCGTAGATAGGTTCGTAGATAGGTTCGAAGATAGTGTAGTGGTGCGGTGGATCTAGGCCACGTAGCCTTTTCGATGTGTATTTATATGGGTCGCGCACTCATATTTTCATCAGTCAGACTTAGACCGGTAGACATCACGACCTACAGCTATTCACTCGTTTCTTGCCATGCCTTTCTAGCTATCCTCGTCTTTGCCTTTCCAGTCTCCTTTCCCAGCTGCCGTTTTCAGCTGGCCGATCAACCGATTACAGCTGTTTACAGCTGTGATCTTGGTTGATCGGCACTGGGCCAGTTGTTGGCAGTTGGGCAGTCCTTGTTTCGTGCCTCCGTCAGCGTGCCCACGCTGCTCCTGTTCAATAGGTAGTAGATCATGGTATTTATAGAAAAAAGATAAAGATAATAGGTCTAGGTAGGTAGGTCTAGGTAGGTAGGTCTAGGTAGGTAGGTAGGTAGGTAGGTAGGTAGGTAGGTACCTATGGAATATATAGACATTATATCCGTCTAGACATTATTATATCCGTCTGGACATTAGTTCCTACGTAGTTATAAAAACTATCCTGAAATTATAAGAAGGAAAGGTAATAAGGTCGGTACCGTAACCCTTGCTGTAATTCTTTTAGCTCCTCTAAAAGAATAACTAGCTAAGGTAACCCTTACTAGATTTAGTTACCGTATCCGTACCCCGACTCTATTGCTGACATACTGTCCATAGACCCCCCCCTCCCTGTATGGTAGGTAGGTAGGTATCTTAGGTACCCGCGTCTACTATATATATCTACACGCACACATTAGGCAAGGTATGGAAGAGGGTCCTGTATCCGTCGAGGCACCGCTACCACTACGAATCCATCCGTGGATCAGCGGGCAGAAACGGTATTGAGTATGAGTAGATGAGGCAAGGGAGGATGTAGATGTATGCACGTATTATGTACATAACGTAGGAGCTCGAATCGGCAGATGTAATATTGGCAGCGCTCTCTCTCTTCTCTGGGTTGAGATGGGGAAAACAGGTGGACCGATCCTGGATGTGCTGGTGAGTGGTTCGTGCTAGGATAAGGTGGCCCCATGCATGTCCACCCTCGCCGTCGTTGTCGTCGTCGATAGAACTCCTAAAGGAAACAGGAGGCGAGTGCAATCTGGGCACCCTTGTACTCGTGCGGGCGCTTGGTGCCGCAAGGGCCTGCGGAGATTCCCGCGCCGCTTTAAGCAAGGAGTCCGACGTTGTTCGCATACCTAGGTAGCGAAGGGCACGTTGAGAATATCATGGATCCAACCCGTAGTCTGCTGCGCGATGACGAATGCCCGGTAGCGGAATGCCTACTATGTAGGCATAGTAGGTATTAAGGCTCCGCTAGCTCTAGGACTCCCCGAACACGTTAGCGATAGGAAAATGAGCAGGAATAATAGAGCACGAAGCTTGTGAGCCATTGCCGGCCGAGACGCCAAGGCTCACTAGGAAGTACCCATTCCGCGTTCTAGATAGTAGGACCGGTTGCGATCACAGGGTATGTACTTCGAAAGACAATGTATGCGAGAGGGGCTAGATGGCACCGTACTCCCGCGCCGGGCCGCGAGTTTCGGCACTGTTGTTTTTACGTCGGCCCTCACGATGTCACGAATCTGACGACAGAGCCTCGCCATCCCACCGGGGGGCCACATCTAAGCTGTCTATCAATACCGTGAGCACAACGCTCGCTGCTATATCTCCTCCGAACTCGTCCGGACACGCTCCAACCTTGGGATGTCGCGTATCCTATCGTCGCAGATCCCGGATGCTTTCCTGGAGTCTCTGAGTGCTCCCGGCTTCCCAGGGACGTTGGCGTGTTGGGAGAGAGGGCTAGGGCCACGAGCAGTTGACGTAGGTGCCGAGACCGGTCCGGTTCCCTCTCAGCCTGGGCTACGTGGGAGGCCGGTCGCGGCCGGCCAGTCATCCGAGTCTTTCCCGACGGCCCTCATCCGACCACTCGGCCGAATCACCGGCTACGCTGGGCTCTACCCGACACGCGATGGTCTGGACAGCCGGATTCTGCGAGAGGCGGAAGAACTACTCCTAGGACGAGTAGCAACGATATTTGATAACACCTTGCAGCGCTATGAGTGCACTACGGTATCATAATGCCGTGTCGCACAGATGCAACGCTACATATACATGTACTAGGTAAGTCTTGTTTCTGAGCCGCATCCAGGCCACGTGACGAATACGCCGAGGAGCGAGAGCCGGGTCTCAATAAAAGCAGCAACGGCCGCTAAGCCAGACGCGTCCGTGGTAGAAAAAACCCCCGCCAAACGACCAGAACCTTCCATCCGGGTTCCGTAGATCGGGCGGTACCTGATGTACATTACAACATGTGATATCTTAGGTTAGGTACCTACCTCAGGTACCTACCCCCCCTATATCTTATATGCGCGTATGGACTGAGGTGGTTTCTGCTGAGGTGGCTGCTGTCCAGTCCATTCCTGGGACGGACCCTGCTTGTCTTGCGCGGGCTGCAGATGACTCTTCGGAGGAGCTTGGTGGGCGCTGCTGGGCGCTGCTAACAACACGTTAGGCGGCCAGCCGAACAAGCTGAAGTGTGCCCCGGTATCTTGAGCTGTCTGCCCTTGTGGGATGTTTCAGGGCGCGCTCGCCCACCTGTCTTAAGTACCTCCTCTCTACTCCGACACGTGAATAAAGTACATACCTCCTAATTGCACGTGCCCGACAGACCGTAGATGCCGTATCGTAGATGGTACCTGAATGAAAGGCCAGTGCCTTAGGTATATCGGTACCTCTGGCGGCAAAGCTGTGTTGATAAGATACCTACCTCCAAGCGTATGAGCAGATGCTATCCGCTGGGCAGGATTGTATCCATATTACCTAATGTACATACGCAGCGGCGTACCCAGTACCTACATCCAACCTAACATAGGTAGTACCTGGGGCAGGAGCGGGGGACCGGCAGGGCCAGCTGTCATACCCTAGTCACCTACCCGGCTGCCCTGGCAACGACGTGCGAGGAGAGGTGGGAGCAAAACATTGGCTGGCCTATTTCCCCCCTCTCCCTCGAATGGAGCCCTACTTGGGTATTAAAAGAATCCCAGCCAGGGGTGGGACACCTCATCATGCGTTGCTCTTTGTTCTCTTTCTTTTTTTCCCTCTCTTCGCGAGATATCCACATGCCAACCCTTACCTTACTTACTTACAACTACTACCACTACTACCACTACCAACCCTACGTGCATCGTCGGTCCTGACCCTTCGGACAACTTAGAGACCAAGACACCCTACCCAACATCCGAAGTGTACCCGTACATATCCTCCCAAACACTCACACGTCCGAAACGCCAGCGACTCATATCTGTGTGTATGTAAGTGTGTGTATTGTGTTGTGTGTGTGTGTGTGTGTCAATGTATGTGTGTGATATAATACCCGTCAGGTAGGTTACTACGACGTATACACACCCATGTCCATGCTTGAATACCCGTATCACAAGCATACCGCATGCCTCGCTCACCAGCCTTTGACTCACTCGCCCGCCTCCCCCTAGCAACCGAAACCCCTCCCCTCACACACATGCCTAGATAACATATCAACAACAACAACACATCGTCTGTATGCCGTCAACCTCTTGGAATAAAATGACTGATCCCATCGCAACCAGCCGCCAATAACTTATAGCACCAATTCCGTCCGTTTCCATCCAGCCGCTCTCCCCCTCCTTCCCCTACAAAAAACCAGCATCGCAGAAGAGACACGGATATCCCTCCTTATCGTCAGGAAATCGGCCTGCCAAGCTTGAACCACCTCCCCCTTTCTCCAAAAAAAAAGTTACCTCTGCCGTTGGCCCATAAATATATAAAGATAAATGCGCTAGCAACTTCTCCGGCCGAGCCAACAACCACAAGAGAGAGAGACACACACGCGCGCGCACACATCGCTCCGCTTCCCACGCCTTGTTCGCCACGGGCAATGCTGCGAAACAAGTCCAAAGAGCGGTCCTCACCTAGGAAGGTGACGCCGCCGTCGCCGTCATATATGAGCAGTGAACAATTCGGTTCGCATCACCCCGCCCCTTCCTCCTCTCCAGAATGGCTCTCCCTGTCGCATCGGGTCTATATGTCTAGGTGCAGGTCTCGACGCTAACTTCCGTCCCTACGTCGTGCAGCGACCTACCTGGCGGGCCTCCGTGATAATCGAGTCAACCGTCCCGGGGGGGCCCGGCCCCCGCCACCCTCCATGAAATTGCGCCGCGAGTCCATAGGCCGTCTCTCGCTCGGAGCCACCACCTCGGTTCTATCCGAGGCATCGACCAACCACCAGAAGGCCCAGTCAGACGAAATCCCGAAACCAAAACCGCGGGGCAGTCGCCCGAGCATGGCCGGCAGCGTGCTCTCTCGCTACTCCACCACAGCATCCGCCGGCAAGGACTACCACCCAGAAAACTCGTCTTACATCGCCCCTCTGAAACCGGGCGAGGTCGTTCCCAGCGCCACTTACATTGAGCGTGGCCAACGATGGATGGAGAGAAAAGAAGCCATCTCGCTCCGCGAGGCCATCGACGTTATGGACGCCATGGACTCTTTGGATCTTGGGGCAGAAAAAAAGCATAAGGAGAGGGATAAGGACAAGGCAAAGGATAAGAAGAGTAAAGACGAGGGAGTTGAGCAGCATGAGGAAGAGGATGACGAATCCCGACTCTATGATGCGGCCCTTAACGAGGCAGCCGAGTTGGTCTGGCAGCATCAGCATGGTGTGAAGGTGCCCGAGGCTGGCACCCCCTATCGCTATAAGTCGCATATGCGCCAGAACAGCTACGCCCGTGCTCGCGCGGCTAGCGCCGGTCGACGCAACGAGGATGTCGGTAATTCTGGCCTCTCTAAAGAGTCCGTCCCCTCTCTTTCGGGCAGTGTATCCAACAGTGAGCGAGGTTCCTCGCAAGGAAGCCCCCGTACGAGCCTCGAGCAGCAGCATACGCACTCCGTTGGATCAAACAAAACGAAATCGTACGGTGCGCTCAGCGGCACGACACGCGCAGACCCTAGCACCGGTCGCCGGAGCAGCATGAAGCGCAATATTAGCGGCGAAATCGAGAAGCCGTTCTCGGGCGACCAGATCTGGGAGGAGCCGGAGGGCAGCACGGTCAAGCGGACCGCGAGACCATCTCGCGCCGCGGTGAGCAGGCGACCCATCGGGCTCAAGGCTAGAGGCGTCCCCAACAGGGTGCAGTTCGCCTCCGCCTCATCTGATTCCGACGACGACACCGAAGCGCAGACGGCGGCAAAGCCTGTATCCCGATACGAGATCCACAAGAACCCGCCGTCGCAGTCGCGCAACCCCGCGTACACGACGAACAACCCGGCGGGTGCGCCGCGCACGTCTCAGGAGGTGCCGACTAAGAATGGCATGGAAATTCGTAGCGATGACATTCGGCAGGCGACCAGCATGCGGCTCAAGGACCGCAGCGTAAAGTTGCCCACTCCGTCCGCGGTCAGTGACAACCCGGGACGCCCCATCGTAAGCTTTGACCGAAACTGGCAGCCCCCGGAAGAGGCAACTGATTCCAAGCCAGAAGAGTCCAGCGGCGGCGGCAGCAACAGCCGAGTCCCTGTCGTCGGGGTCGTCAAGGAGCGTGCGGGCTCGCAACAAATTCCGCCTCGTCAACAGCCTCCCCCTGCTATCGCAGTTACGCCGGATGCTCCGGTCCCGGTGGCGTCGTCCGGGCGCGCCCTCCCCTCCACGCCGAGCATCCCAAGTATTCAGGTAAACGATAAGGGTAGCGGTAGCGGCCCGCAGGTGCCAACTATTTCCATCTCGAGCGACCGCCCGGTCATACCCAGCATTGTTCTCCCTGGCGACGATAACGATAACAGCACCAAACCACCCACCAGCAGCATCCCCGCCATAATCACGCCCGACGACAATAATGACGGCAGAAGGCCCTCAGCAAGGCCCCTGCCGGACCCCAAGGCAGTGCAGCGAAGTTACGACCCGCTACGAGACCCCCCGCGGAGCCACTGGTCGCCGGCCCCCAGCGGAGTCGGACCCGCCGGTCGGCGCGCAACCGCAACCTGCCACGAATGCGGGCTAGCGATCGAGGGCCGGTTCGTAGGGCTCGCCGGAACTTCGGAGCGGTTTCACCCGCAGTGTTTCCGATGTTACGCGTGTGGGACGGCGCTAGAGGCGATGGAAATCAGCCCGGAGCCGGACACCTCGCGAGCAGAGCGGCTGGAGCGGATCCGGCGGCGGGCGGCGGGCGAGGTCCTCGAGGAGGTGCCGGGAAAGACGATGGCCGAGGACGGGGACACGCGACTGCGCTTCTTCTGCCACCTCGACTGGCACGAGCAGTTCGCGCCACGGTGCCGACACTGCAAGACCCCTATCCTCGGGGAGCATGTGGTGGCGCTGGGAGCACACTGGCACTACGGTCACTTCTTCTGCGCCGAGTGCGGAGACCCGTTCGAGCGGGGCGATACGCACATCGAAAAGGACGGGTACGCCTGGTGCGTCGGCTGCCAAACAAAACGGACCGAACGACGGGCGCCAAAGTGTCGCGGTTGCCGGCTCGCAGTTGTCGGCCAGTACGTGCGCGCGCTCGGAGGAGAGTGGCACGACACCTGTTTCCGCTGTTCGTCTTGCGGAGGTGGCTTCGAGGACGGGCAGATCTTCCCGATGCGCGAGCGCGGCGAAGGAGTAGTCTTGTGCACGCGCTGCCGGGCAGCGGAGCTCAAGATGTGAGGAAGACAGACGGACCGGGGAGTGGGGAACGGGGAAGAGCATACGCGAGCACGACAAGACAGTGTAGAGGGAACAGAAACAGGCAAAGAGAAGGAAAAAAGAACGCATCGCTACGACGACGCCCAAGCGACGCGAGAGACGCCTCAGCTCGGCCGATCAAGTCGATCATAGGCTCGTGGAACTAACTCAGGTTTGGCTCGCCCCCCTCCCCCCTCTCTTTCTCTCTCCTGTTCCCCCTGTCTTCTCTCCCCCCTACATGTCGAGTTGGCGTCGGAAATTGGGGAACAAGGAGAAAAGGCATTGCGAATGGCCGGGCGGCCGGGTTGGCACGGATCGATCATAATACGGTGTTTGTGTCTTTTTTCCCCCTGTTACTTCCTGCCTTGCTTTTTGATCTTATTCCGGGTTCAATCTAGTATGGTGTGGCTCGCGGTAATGGGTGTTTTTTTATGCGTTTCCGCATGCTGCGTCTTGTCCTGCGTTCCCACCATCGGCGGCATAACCACATTCATCATCGAGGCGTGTGTGCGGGTTTGCGTTTTTTTTTTCTTTTGCAACTTTAGGCTTTGTGTGTTCGCGCGCAATTCGGAAGCAAGTAGAGAGAGGCACAGGGCGAACAAGGACGGACGGACAGCAGGAGACCGGGGGAGGGAGAGACCAACTAGCTAGGCGAGTCGGCCGGGTACGGAGCAAGTGTTCGAGTAATTGATTAATCGGTATCTGTCTTTCTACCAAGACGAATCCTTCGTGCCTCGAAGCGTGACCGCGAGTGGCCGGCTGATCTGGACCGAACAGATGCCGGACAGAGACACGCAGAAATGATGGTAAGGGAGGAGACGTGAGGTGAGGATCACAATACATACAGATATATATACCCACCTGTGCAGGTAAAACACCTCCCTCCCCTCATCCCACTCTCGCCTTCCTGAGTCTCGTAAGTCAGTAGTCATCACCGGCTAGGTACATGTATGCTGCATTGGCCGTTTACCTCCTGCCTAGGGTACCTGATACGCCTTACACACCCCCCCAAGGCGGTAGTAGGTATTTACACGTATCTCAAGGTACTTACGCCTTTCCCTACCCCGACTTCCGTACCGTCATCCAATATCCCGATGTTAAATAACGGGTCCCTACCTAAGCAAGACGGCCTCGCCCTGTAATCCGACGATAACAGGAGCAACGGGCTCGAGATTGGCCCTGTTATTTTTCTTTGATGCGGGTACTACTCATAGGAATAGTTCAAATTCTGTACGGTGTTTTAAGTCAAACGAGCTGCTCAGGGCCTTGCCGTATGCAAATATCGAGAATCGGAGTGGCCTCGTGAAAGTAGACGACGATGGCGCGAGGCTGTCTAGCCTAACAACATTTACTAGACGCAGACAGAGTTAGGTGCAGGTAGCCAGAAACAACCATCGGCTATCCTCGTCAGCCATCCCTCCTCGGCTCTCCCGAGCGGGAGAACAGCAGACGGGAGAAGATTGATGTTCGAAGGACCAATCGATAGCGGCTAGCGAATAGCCGGAAGGGTAAAATGAAGTGCCCGTAAGGCAGACAGGACGCAGCAGGTAGGGACGCGGGTGCGGCAATAAAAGCGGCCTTGGTGCGGGATGGGCATCCATCTCGATTAATAGCATAAAGTACTTATCAAAGATTCGTAGAGTAAGAATCTAGCATGGTGGGATCCTCAACTAAGGTCAGAGAGTACGAGGAGCAGCAAATCCCCTCGGAGGCTGATAGCGGCAACGTCGGGGTCCTCCTAAGATTCCACTGGAATGCGATTTAACTCGAATACATCGCGATAACCCTCTCCGCACCGAACCCTACGATCCATCCAAGCTTCCGTGTGTAAGGTGGTATCGGCCCACCAACTAGGCTGGAGCCGGTCGGTCGCATCAGCAGGCGCCTCCCACCTGCTCCTGGTGGACCTCGAGCGTGTCGCCGTCTTGCATCTCAAGCTTGAGGACGGGAGGATTGAAATTAGCAAGCAGAGAGAGAGAGAGAGAGAGAGAAGGACGGGGGGGGGATGAGAGGCGGTAGAAGGGCTGCAATGGCGCGGGTCGGTGTGTCGTGTCTGCTTACCGAGTCGGGGGTGTCACTCTTCTGAACCCGCTGGCCTTCGAAGAGAAACCTAACCGCCTCAACACTCTTCCCCTGCCGCTCGCAGAAGGCGGTCATCAACTTTTCCAGTTTCGTCGAGCGCTTAATTTTGAAAAAGACTTCATTGTTGTTATCTGTGACCTTAATGTTTAAGTGCTCGCTGGCACCAGCAGGCGCCTCCTGGCGTTCGGCCGTAGGGCTTCCGCTATCGTTCTCTCGGGACATTTTTGGTTGTAGGGCTGTGTGTGCTTGCTCCGAGGGACGGTTGGGCGGGTGGTTGTTGGCTTCTATCGCAGGGCTGACTGTCTAGACGCCTAGGTGTTACTCGTCAGAACGCGATCGATGCAGGCGTATGGCGTGTAAAAGGCGCGTAGGCTGCAAGACAGATAGATGGGCAGATAGATGGTGCGCAAGCCGCAGGTGCCTGGGGGGAGGGAGGGGGTGGTAGGGAGCGAGCAGTGTGTTTTACGACGATGGCAACGGGATCTCGTGGGTAGACTCACAGATCAAAGGAGCCTCTTAAGGTACGACGTTCGGGATTCGCGCAGGGATGCAGGTCTAGGGGGGTTATGAACGAGACCGTGGACGAGAGCGCCTGGGGAAATAATGGTGGGAAAAAGAATGGGGGAAGGAGAAGAAGAAAAGTGAGGAAGGGTGATGCGATGGTGGTGGTGGTGGTGGTGAGGTCTGGAATCAACGCGAAGGGATTCCTGGAGGCGCCGCAAGTGGGAAATAAGGACTGTGATCGCTGCTATATAAAGGCGGGGCAGTCGCTTGAATACAAAGGCGTCTCGCACCTTCCTAGCGATCACTTTCCTAGGTGGGCTGCATACATACAGCCTTAAGAGGTACATTAGGTACCTAAGGTGCCCTCCAGTAGGGTAGCAGGTATTGTACCTACGGCGCCTATGTCCGCTAGGACTTTAGGGAACACGGGTATATTCGGGTGGGTATCTTTACCTCGTCGAAGAAAATGAATACTTTTTTAAAAAAAAAAAAAAAAAAGAGCAGTTCCAGAGAGCCCTGCACTGTAATCAGGGACTGGAGGTACCTAGGTAAGTAAGATGGATGTCTTCTGATGAGGCTAGGTACCTCCTATAGGTACTCATAGGCACCCACCTCTGTAATAATTAATTACCTAAGGTAGGTAGGGACCTAGGTAGGTATCTCCTAACAAGGTTCGTTTCCAGTCGACGGCGCGGCCAGCCGGAATACGCATATGTACTGTACACCCCTTACTACCTACGAAGCAGGCGTCTGCTCTCACGCTGTAAATCTACGATACGATAGCTCGGACAACCCCCAGAGTTTTCCGCAAGGCTCCCCGGAGGCTATCCTAATCTCATACTTGAGAAGGGTGTGTCCACTAACGTAAACCTGAGTTTCTTGCCCTGGAATTGCCCGTCGTAGATACCAGCCTACCCTTCGAAAAGACGTATGTACGTAGGACCTGGGTCCGAGGCATAGGGCTCGGGATCTCGCTCCGGCTTTGATAGGAGAGAGAGAGTTGAGGTTATCCTCAACTACCACCCGGAGACCCGATTGGGTCGCCTTTGCGTCTACCACAGAACCAACTAACCGGCCGGTCCATATCGTATGGATTTGATCAACTCAAAGCATACCTACTACACAGTGTATCTATCTACACGTGTGCGCGCGCGTGCAGATAGAGATACTACGTGGTAGGTATACGCATCCGAAGTGGCAATTCAGAGTCGAAGCAACCAATCAGGCCCAGCAGCTCCAAGAGTCCATCCTGTCTTTGCTGAATGCCGTACAGACATTGCTATAATTTCCCCTCTACAATACTCCCTAATCAAAATACATCACATTCCCCTACCGACCCGTTGAGACCAACCTGGCGAGACTCAAAAGATGGTAAGCTGGCATTTCAACAATTTGATGCTAGCGGCTCGCTATGCATGCAATTGACACTGCTACTGCTCTAGGTGTCTAAGGAGGATCTCGGGTCAAACCCCCCATGCCATCCTCGTGCGGTAAGTTTTTGAGGTGCGTTCTGAGGCGATCCTATCCAAGCACTGGCAACGATATGCGAGAGACGTCGTCTAATGGACCACATACGCCCTCAGTGTGCTATACAAGGTAGGCGAAATCCAGCCATCCCAGATCGACGAGCACCCGCAGCGCGAGACTGGACCTAACCTAAGCAGACTGCCTCGAAAGGAACGGGTATAACGAGGCCAAGTGCTCTCTTCTCATCGACGCCCTGTACGAATGCTGCGACGCCTTCTACCGGAAACACGGCGATGATGCAACCAGTGCCAGCTGCCCGAAGGCGAGCCTCCTACGGTTGAAAGTGAAGCAGCGGCTGGCCGAGCGGAACAAGTGAGCGAGGACTCTGTTGTTAGGGTTCTAGGTATATGGGGCCGGTCGGCACTACCATCTCCGAGTACTATACGTCGTCCTCTACAGGTGTGTGCGGCATGTTCTACATCTCCCTGCCCACGTTGACCCGAATAGAGGTAAATATCAGGCAACAATAATGAAGAGTAGAGGTCGTTCTAGGCGATCATTGAGCGCGCGAGAGATCCGCAGGGGACCTGGATAAGCATGGAAGCAAATAGGTGGCTTATCCCGAGACTCTAATATGAATGCCGATGACATTGATGAAGAAGGAAAAAAAGAGATTTTTTTTTTCTTTTCCTGTGCACGATGATTTTAGGCATGTAGGTACGTTGTACTTGGTACTCTTACCAAGCCACAGTGAATCCCGACACTAGTGGCTGCGCCCCTTGCTCTGCGTGGCTGGTGAGGACTACTAAGGGCTGACGTTGATTGGCCAACATCTTACGTACCCCTGACGCGCACAATGGCCAAGTACCTTTTGCCTATTTACCCAACTAGAGAGGTACCTTATCTCTGCAATTCCGGCCCATCGCGTATGGTCTGGATGATTTATCCAACCTCGAGAGCTCGCATCGGCAGCTCCCATCATCAAAGAAAACAAGTACAATACATCAACCACCTCTCAGCACCTCGACGCCCACATCCACACCGGCATACCCATTTCGCCATCTCGCAAGATAGCCAGTGCCGCAAACTGTAGCCAGCCACTCCGCGATCTTGTCGCTACCGCCCTTTCGTTGCGTTCGTACAAGTACCAGCGAGTCGGAGGATGCTGGCTTCCGACCAGCTCCTCCTCAGTCGACGATAGTAGCAACAAACCCTTGCACCAACTGTCACCCCTCGATCCCCGCCGACACCCGACACGATGCCGCCGCAGAGGTCCCAGAACGTTTCCGGGCTGCAGTTTGGCATGCCGCCGGCTTCTCCCGACTCGATTGGGCAAAGTACACCACCGCTGCCATCTGTTGAATCCGACGAGTCGTTTCGGACTGACTCTGACGCTCCCACAGTGCCCTACGACGACGTTGAGGAAGAGTTCTTGCGCGATGCTGAGGAGTTCGCTAGAGGCCTCGATTCCTTGACCTTCGCTAGGACCGCCCCTGCCGATAAACGCGCCGAAATATTCAGGCTCGTGGATACGTATTACCGGTATGCCGCCAACAAAGTCCACGCTCTGCGCGAGTCTAGAGTGCAGCAGTCCAAGACCGCTCTTCGCCGCTTAGATGAGGCGTCGAGCCAGGACTCGATGGACCTTGACGATGTAGACAACCGGCCGGAGTCGCCAGCCGAAACCGAGAAGCTGAAGAGTTGGGAGCTAGAGGCCCAAACTTGGGACCTGCTACGGCGCCTCCTACCGTTGCGATACCCGAACACCAAGGACGCCTTCGAGCCGACGCACCACGGCCTGTCGAGGCTTCAGTCATGCTCGGAACTGTGGGGCGACTTCTTACGGGCGGACCCCACAGCGCGGGAACGCAAAGCCATTCTCGAATGCCTGCAGACGAGCGCCGACGAATCGCGCGTGGACATCGACGAATTGGTCCGAGATTACCAGCAACGCGCAGAAAGGGGTGATATAATTGCCTACGGGTGGCTCCACACACGTTCTGCCATTAAAATGCAGAAGAAGGTTAACGGCTGGTCCGGCGCACTAGATCCCAACGCCTCCGACGTTAGCCAAATCCTTCGAAATGGATCGAACCCTCTAGTCACCCAGCTCGACCCCGATGTGGCGACGAGGCAGGGCCGGAAACTGCTGCCAGAAGACGAGTACTTCGAAAGAGCTATCTGGCTCGGGTGCTACGAATTGTTGCGGAGGGGGCGAAGTATGGCCGAGATTCGAGATTGGTGTATCGAGAGGACGGAAGTCTGGAGAGCCGTCAGCATGTCGGCCATGCCGCTGTCCAAAGACGGGAGTGGAGACAGTTTCAAGTGCGGCCCTCTCTCCATGCTCCTCTGGCGACGTACCTGTTTTGCGTTGGCGCGGCAGGGCGGCACCGACGACTTCGAGCGCGCCGTCTACGGTATACTCTCTGGCGACATTCCCAGCGTCGAGAAGATCTGCGAGGACTGGGACGACTTCGTCTACGCTCATTTCAACGCCCTGCTACGAACGCAGTTCGATGCTTACTTAACGAAGCGATCGCCGCCGGATGCAACCGCTGCTATCACGCAAACCTTGCCCGCTTTCAACGCTGTCCAGTTCCACGGTGACGCCGCTTCGGTTGGGGAACGTCTGGTCAAATCCCTGGAAACGAATCCCAAGACATCAGCAGAAGCGAGAACGCCTATGAAAACCCTTCAAGCAGCCATCATCTCCAACGGCCTCGATCAGTACGCATACGAACTTGGCCTGGCCCTCAGGAAGTCGGCAAACTCCGGGGACACTTCGGTATTGATACCGAGCTCCGGGCAACCTGACGGGCACATCGACGAAGACCAGTTTATCAAGCTTACCGATCATAATAGTTTGCGTATCCTAGTGCACGTCTATCTGATCCTGTCAAGCTTGGAAGGGCTCGAAAACGGGGCTCACCTACAGACCGGGGAGCGTCGCGAAGTCCAGGAGAGCGTGATCTCGGCCTACGTCAGTACGCTTCGGCTGACCGGCCTTACGGATCTAATGCCGCTGTACTGCCATCAGCTGCAGGGAGAGAAGGCTCTCTTCACGCTCAGCCGGAATGTGACCGGTGTGACCAACCAAGAGGACCGAGAGATCCTGCTGAGGCTCATGGAGAAGCTCGGCATGGACATTGCGGAATTCGTCCAATTCCAACCACGCTCTCTTCTGCAGCGGCACCCCGACACCGAGGAGCGCATATCACCGCTTGGCAGATTGTCCATCTTATCAGCCGACCCGTCTACTCTGAAATACGGTCGGCCCCTAAAACCCGATTTCTTCGGGGAAATTCCGGAGAAGCTCAACCCTACTGACGAAGAACTCATCCAGTCTCTGGAATGGTTCCTCCTCATCGACGGCCTCTGGCACGAAATGTTCCAAGCCGGGGCCGCCATCTATAAGCGATTCCTCAGTAAGACGCCATTTTTCACCCCCTATCTGCCGTGGTCACCACCACACACTAACGCCGTACCCAGAGCAATTCAATTTGCATGCTGCACGTGCCTTGTCCGAACGAGTCCGTTGCTCGGAGATATTCATCAAAAAGGCGGGCATTTCTGTGCCCGACGATTCAGACGTGGCATGGTTCGGGGAAATCCGCGCGAACGCTGCGGCTGGCTTGCTGGAGGACAATGGACTCGGTGACGAAGAGGTCGCGGCAGCGCAGAATTTCTTCGAGATGGAGTGCCTGATTCGGGCGCTAGATGCGATGGAGACCATCGCATCCAGCGAATTCCTGGCCCAAGAGTATGTTCCCGTCGCCATCCGCCTCCCTGTCCCGACGCGGTGAAGCTAATCTGCCATCTAGCCCGGGAGAAGCGGTAGTACGGGATTTCTGGTCTAATCTAGGCCGCGAGGTGAAGGTGGTGAAGAGCCTAATGGGTCCCATCCTAGGTCATTGGCTGCTGGAGAGTGCCGAGGGTATGTTTGTCCCGATTGTCGAGAGAGAGCATTTCTAACCGGGTGACAAGGCGACGTCGAAGACTTTACCTACCTTCGAGATGCGTATCTGCCTGAGACAATCATAGGATATGTGAGCGTGCTGCACTTCGCGGGAACGACACTGACTCGAGACAACCTTCTCGAATGTATGGAGCTCGCTTCCGTAATCGCCAAAAAGGACTCGGATGTGGCGCCGGTGCTCATGAGATCGGGGCGAATGAAGGAGCTCGTCGAAGGCTTCGCGAACTGCAGCAAAGCGCTCGCAGTAAATAGCAACGACAAGAAGGGCCCCGGCGGTAGCAGCAAGAGGATGCGGGAGATGGGGTGGACGAGAGAGTTGTGGTCGGTAAAAAAATGAGAGAAAAATAAGGGGAGGAAGGGATTTATTTTTTTAGAGGCCCCCCCCCTAGGTGGGTTTCTGAAGCGGCACATCTAAGACTCTTGAGTCCGCTGGCGTTAGAGGCTCTCGGGGAATCAGACGACAACATCGGTGACGGCTGTCGGACTAGGCACGAGGGCGTTACAAGGTCATGTAATAGTGCGTCCGCAGTGTATAGCAGGGCCAAGCTAGGCTAGTGGACTAAACAGCATCGAGAAACGTTTTGCTACTGCCTCGCGATAGGATTTTGCCGATCCGTGAAAAGAGGAGTGAGTTCATACGCCCCGTAGACTTCATCAGGGGAAAAGGGGTCTGTTTTGCCCCTATTGAACCTAGCTAAAGTGGGGGAGGTTGATAAGATAAGACGAGCAATAGGATGAAATGGGCTAGGTGAATGCCTAATTAGGCACACCCACCGCGAACGTCAACGTCAACGTCAACATCGCCCTACTTACCTACTCAGAACAACATCACAACCTCACAGTCACTACTACGCTACAGTCACTACTACGCTTTGGGTAGCAGGGGAATTCGTAAGAGCGAGCAAGTGAGCGAGCCCACTACACAGACCGACCGACGGGCGGAACCGAGTTCTTCCCGGCTGTAGAGAACCCCCGAAAGAGAAAGAGGCAGGGAGTCGGAGGAAGAGTTGGAGGCACAGGTAGACGGACGGAGATATGTACAGCCCGCCACCTGTCCCGCCGCCCAAGCCGAGCAGCCACGATGCCAGCCGCCTGGGCACGCCGTCCGCGAGTTCTTCCTCTCTGGCGCGGCCGCTGCCACCGGACGATCTCGCTTACTCCTCCGCCTCCTCCTCCTACCAGGACGAGGGCAAGGCCAAGGCCACTCCCGCCACAGCTGCTATGACGACGACAACAGATGCGTCGGGCCTGATACCCGCCCCGACGGCGGAGAGTGGTGGTGCCGATTTTGCGGCTGGCGGCGGTGCTACGGAGAGAGCGCAGCCGCCGCCGGAGGATCCCGGCGATGGCTGGTTGCCGAAAATTCTCGAGGATAAATCGTACGTGGTGGTGCTTTCGCAGATGTGTCTACCTGCTACTAGCCTTCCATTACCCTCATCTCCGTTACTTCACCTATACAACTTCTCTCCCACCTTGGGTGTGCCCGTCAGCCCCCTCCTAGCCAGTCCCCACCGCCTACCCGGTCACTAGGCTGCCCACGCGCTAACACTCGACCCCTCACAGGAAGCAGGACCTGGCCGAGATCCTGGGCAACCCAGCGGCGCTAGACGCGCTGACCCACGCGCCGTCGGCGACCCACCCGTCGCTAGCGGCTTCGAGGGACGCCCTGCTAGCCGCGCTTGCCGACAACACGGCGCTCGCGGGCCGGCTCACCGAACTCGAGGCGCGGCTCGCCTCCCGCCGCGCCGCCGCCCAGGCCCAGCTGCTCGCAACCCACGCGCTCGAGCGCCAGTGGCGCCAGAAGCAGGCCGAGATGGACGCCGCGCTCGCGCCGTTCGCGCCCGCCGCCCTGTACGCACGCCTCGGACAGGCCCTCGCCGAGCAGGAGGCCGTGTGCCGCGCGCTCGAGGAGAGCTTCCTGGAGGGCGGGGGAGGGGGAAGTGGTGGCGCGGGCGGCGGCGCGGGTGTCGGCGGCAGCGGCGGCGGTGCGGGAGAGAGGGGAGGGGCGGCCGGTGGAGGGAGAAGAGAAGGCGGAGAGGTCGCGACGGAGAGGGAAACGCTTGATTGGGTCCGTCGGTACCGCGACGCGAAGAAGCTTTATCATCTCCGCCACGAGCGCCGCGAGAGGTGGAACGAGCACCGCGTCGGGGGGTGGCGGTGAGGGGCCTCGCGTTTACTTTTATATGTTGCTGTCCAGGTGCGACACCGATACGTTCAGGTCGCGGAGACTTTTCTCGCGATCCCCGCCCTGTCGAGAAGATACTTCCCTGTCTCAACAACTTAATTACTATTAAATCATCCCTAGAATTCTCTTGACACGCCCAAGCGCAGCTACCGTCAACAATACCATCTACGGACAGGTTCCAACCCTCCAAGGCCTACGGCTCGGATCCCGAAAACCGTTTGAATAACCGAAGCTTCTGTCTTCGGTCATCGCTACTGATGCGCCGTATTCATCTTACGGGATTGTGTCTCACACCATCGGTTTACGTGTGTATGGTATCATGGGAAAGTCCCTTTCCAGGAATTCCTGCTCAATCCGCCTGCGGAAGCGAGCGGCTTTGTTTACCGGCGCTCGAGGACTAGCGAGAAGAAGCCGAGCAGCCATGCTGGCGCTCATACTAGGCGCCGGGCCGGGTGGACAAGAAGAACGCAGACGCGGAGACTAGATAGCAGGGTGGGCTCGGCAACTCGAAGGCGTCGGAGTCGGAGCCGGTCAGCAACCGGCCCGGCTACGGGTAATTACCTCGTCTTCCCACGACAGATTTGGCCACGGTGCATTCGGCGACTTGGCAAAGCCCCCAAGCTCGGGTCTCAGCCGCTCAACCTCATCCTTCATCCTGGGGGGGCTAGAATGCGACATACAGCATATACCTATATATATATATATATATATATATCCATAGGTGCATAGTTAGATACGGCTGGTGCGGAAATCATCTAGTCATTCGGTCCAGAGCTGAGCGTGCGCATTTACCCCCGAAGGAATCAATCGACCGCCTGAAGCAATCCGTACTGTACCTGCGGGTAACTGGCAGGCAGGCGGACAGGCGTACGCAGGTCGCATAAGCCAGCGGGACATTGCCATGGCGTAGCCTAGATGGCACGCGGGAGTGTCGGAACGTAGCAGATCGCATAGTATTGCCTCCCCCCAGCCCGGACGCAGCACACGGACACGTCGTGACGCCCGCGTACGAATGCGCAGTAGCTCGACGTAGGTATAGTTACCTGGGTATATGCCTACGGCTTATACCCACGCGGCGCGTACATGCCCCTGCACATAAGGCGACGGCGCATAGCTAGCTACGTAGTGTAGCCTCCTCCTCTCGTCGCCGACGGAGCCGAGGGTCTGGATACATGGTGCACACACACACACACACACACACACATAGACAGACAAACTCCGCCGGCTAGGTACGTTATGTCGTTCGCATAGCTAGCTAGTGAGTTTTTTTTTTTTCTGGGCTCAGTCGCCGCCAAGCCGGTCGCGAGTCGAGCTGAGGCGAGTCCAGCTGGGCCGGGGTGCGAGCGAGAAGACGAGAGAGGAGACCGCCAGAGGGGAGAGAGAGGTGGTTGGGAGGAGCCAGCAGCAGAGGGAAATCTCGGGGGGACCCATAGCCATTCGGACCGATGAGCCCCCCCCCCCCCCCAGCAAGCGCCCAGGTAGATACGTGTGTAGACAGACAGACAGCCTGGCTCCGTATCCGTACGCACGCGTATGCGGTAGGAGTGCGTGCATTACGCGCACGTATGCACGCAACCTGTGCGCGCGGGCGCGGTACGCGAGGGTGTAGGTAGGCGTCTTCCTTACCTACCTACCTACCCTATCGAACGGACCTCGCGCGCCGCCCCGACGGCAAGGGACGAGGTCTAGACGTAGGTAGGTAGGTAGAGTACATGCGAGCGCGCTGCCCTGCACTGGCCCGCGTCGGTAGGGGCCGCGATGCGACCCGCGGCCCCCTTCCGAGCCGGGGGGGGTAGGCTTGCTTACTTACTCTGCCTGTCTTACTCGCTGGCTCGCACTCGCGCTCCACGCGCCCGCACGTGGCCGTCCGCCGTTCGACGCCGGCGGGCTTTAAGGAGGGGGGCGAGGGCGGCCACGAGGCGTGGCGTGGTCCTGAGACGACAGCGGGCGGCCGAACGCGCGGAGTTGCCTATTCGAGGGGGGCGCTCGGCCGCGGATAGGATGTGATAGGATAGGGAGCGGTTGTCGGCGAGGCGAGGCGGAGGGGAGGGCGGAGTTGTGCGTGGGAGGGAGGGTGCGTGGCGCGAGCAGCGATGACGATGGCGGCGGCAGCGGCAGACGCACGCCAGACGTCCCACGCATGGCGCTGGACGGGGTGTGGAGGGGAGGCGAACGCGCCGGCCTGTCTAGACACGGCCGCGCTCGCTCGCACGCTCGCTCAACTAGCTTACTAGCCAGTCGGCTGGCTAGCTGGATAGCTCGAGGGGCGGAGCGGCCTAGCCGGGTCTGTCTCAGAGACCAAGCTAGCTTCGGCCTGTCTGTCCCGCCCGTTCGTCTGGCGAGCCAGCGGAGCCACGCCTTCTATCTGCCCGAAGAGCGAGCGAGCGTGGGGGGTCGGGGGGGGCTAGGGGGGCGCGGCTGGGACGCCTACACACACGCCTGGCGTATTGTTGACGCACGTACGCTCATAATGACACGCGGCGAGTCTCTTCTGGAAAGCGAGGGGGGGACGGGGGAAGGACAACTTTGGCGAGACGAAGATGTCCTGATGCTCGTGTCCGGGTGAGCTGATCTGAACAATTGCCTCTCTCTATCGTGCAGACACGCGTGGCTAGGACAAGCGGACGATGCCCGAACAGGCAAGCAGGCGGCGGACAAGGAGACAGCTGTGTGTGCGTGTGTGTGAGATAGAGAGAGTGAGAGAGTGAGAGAGAGAGGGCGAGAGAGATAACGCAGGACATAGGGCATGCGTTCACACGCCCGCGCGCGCACAACTCACGCTCCCACCCATCCCACCGGGCCGAATACGCCCTGCCTGCCTGTCTACCTCCCGACGTCTCCTCTCCCCTACGCACCCAGCTGGGCACGGCATACGCACACACCCTCCACGCGAGGTCCCAGCCGTCTTACCCGGCATTTCCGTCTTCGGATAGGCGCCTACATACCTACCTCCTCGACACGAAGGCACCGGAGGCGTAGACGGCCTTGCTCCTTATTCCCTCACCCCTTACCCCTTTACCTCCTTTCCGCCCCTCCGCCCTGCACCGGCCCCGTGCTCCTTTGCGTTCCTCAGTAGCCACGAGTAGCTCAAAGGCTAAGCAAGACGGCGTAGAAGGTAGATAGTATCTGCGCCTGGCGGAGAGGTAAGGTGGTAGTAGCCGGGCAGGGAGAGCACGTTCGGTATGTGTGCGGGCGGACAGGGTATCTATTTACGTATGCGTGCATGTATGCGTAGCTATGCGTGTGTAGGCCAAGCTAGGAGAGCCTACGTTTCCCCCCTTCTCCCTCCTACCCCTGCGTAGGATGCGCGCGCGTACAATGGACAGCGAACGGGGACAGAGGCAGAGGTAGAGACAGAAACATCTAGATGGGACCTCCTCCTCTCGCGTGTGGCCACACACATACACATATACATACATGCACATGTACATACATTCTAACACATCGTACCCACAACCCCCTTAGACAGCGCCCCCGGGACTGACGTGGCCTACACATGCAGTCAGTGAAACTCGCGCGCCGAGCCCTTGACCCATCTTTGCTCGCCCGCCCTGGGTTGCGAGCTGCGCACTTGTATTATCATTATACAGGGGCTAGCAGGACTGCTTTCTCTAGCTGCGGGGAGATGTTCCCGGTTCTCTTTTTCTCTTGGCCTTTTTTTTCCCTGCTCCCCTCTCCCGTTTCGTTTCTTGCTCCTCGCCTTACCGGAGTGGCGTGCTTCCTACGTATCTCGCTGCGTCTCTCATCCGTCGTTTAGGCGTGCTATCTGAATCGCTTTCCTGGCCGTACGTACATACATACATATAGGTATATATATATGTGTGTATGTATATATATACACCTACTAAGTATCTCCTCCAGTGTGCCCCTCCTCTCTTCACAGCAGCATCCCTATTCCACGGCTAGCACCGCACTGGGATAACAATGCGCTGTGTCCCGCGTGTGCGAGGGGTACGTACGCGCTATCCCTTACTTTAGGAAGCTAAACGGACTGGTCTTCATCTCGGGGCTGCGCGGGCTCATCGGCAGCGCGAACAGCTCGTCCTCCGTCTCTTTGCTCTGTATCTCGGGTGGCGGCGCCGACCCCTCCTGCTTCCCGGCCTCGCCCCTGGAACCGCTCCCGAGAACCGCGTCGAGCGACACGACGCCGGCGGCCCTCGCTGGCGGTTTCGGCGGCGGCACGGGAGCGCGGAGCTCGGGGGCGCCGTGGTGTTGCTGGAGTGCGAAGTGGGTGCCTAGGAGAAAACGACGCCGCCGACAACGACGTGAGTATTAACCGAAGCAGAGCGGGAAATGAGGTAAGCGGTTCGCCAGGGAGGGGGGAGGGGGATGGGGGGGTTAAGGTGTGAAGGAGGCGCCGTGTATGTGTTGCAGAGTTTTCTCGGATGCCTCCAAAAAGGGGGAGGTGCGGAGAGGGAAAAGGGGAGCCAGGCACGTTTGTTCAATTAAAAAAAAAAAAAGAAAGCAGAAAAAGAAAGCGAGGATAAGAAGAAAGCGGATTACGAGTGCTCGTCATAATGAAAAAAAAAAAAAAAAATCACCTACGTAGAGGATTTGCCAGTTCTGTCGGCGAAGTCGCCAACTTCAAGCCTTTCAGCTTCTCGCCTAAGCGGCCGCCGACGGGGGACCGCGGGCTCTGCGGTGAGACGGGGGGGCGCGGCTCCGCCTCCGACCGCGCGCGAGATGCAGCAGCGGCGCTGGCCTCGGCGAGCAGGTCGTCGAGCCCGAAGTGGTCGATGATCCACAGGCGCTCCTGGACCGCCATCTCGAGGCCGACACTCTCGCTGTTGTCCCGCAGCTCGCGCCGGATCTCGTCCTGCAGCTGCCCGGCCCGCAGCCGCGCCCAGGCCGTGTGCAGTACGCCCCGCCGCCCCGCGTCCCGCGTCCCGATGCCGAGGCCCGGCGCGAAGATGGCCGGCATCGACCGCGCCGTCAGCGCGCGGCCTGACGCCGCGTGCGTGATCGTCACCGCCGGCGGCACCGTGGCGCCCGACGGGAGCAGGAAGTAGATCCGTTGGCGTCGCTGCTGCTGGTGTCGACGCTTCCCCCCCTCGTCGTCGCCGTTGCTCTTCTTATTCGCTGCCCCGTTTTTGCTCCCGTTCTCGTCCCCGTCCGGCTCCACCCGCTCGCTGACGGGAAACGTGGCCCTTTTACCCTCCCATGTCACTACCCAACCATCCTCCGCCGTCGGCGCCGGGTCCCACTCGACCATCAGGATCTTGGACCCGTCGTTGCCGCGGCCGGCCTCGAATTCGAACCGTGCCAGGGCGTCAGGGGAGGCCGGTGACGTCGGCGAATCCACCACCTCGGCGACGTCGCTAAACTCGGGCGCATGTCCACTACCGGCGCTGGTGTTGGCGGCTCTGAAGCGTGGTGCTGATGACGGTGACGACGAGGGAACGACGTCTGAGGGCTTGGGAATCCGGAGGGACCCGGACCCGGACCCGGTAGCGCTAGGTGTAGGTTCCATGTTTCACCCGCCCACCCGCGGCGTGTACCGTACGGGGCGGCGGCTCGCGGCGCGCGCGTAAGTATGAGGTGTACGAGTGTAAGTGACGGCGGGCGCGAGAGGAGGCCCGCTTTCGGCGGTGAGCGAGCGCGGGTGACCTTGCTCCGAGGCGTGCGTGTCAGTGGGAGGTAGGTATAAGCAGAGGAGGGACCAGCCGCCGCTTCGTCTACAGGCGCATCGAAACACCAATGGAGGCGGCTCAGTGCTCAGTGGGCGGGTTCGAAGGGGGAGAAAAGGGAGGGGGAGGTTCGGCTAGGAAACGAGCATTCCCGCGCGTCTGTCGCAAGAAAGGAAGGGGGGGGGGGTGCAGGAAGGGTGTGAGAGACCGAAGGTGAGCCAATCTCTCTCGGACCACGCGCCGCACGCATACACAGACACACACACCGACATGGACACACAGGCGCATGCACGAATCACCCGCCGATAGACTCAGCCGCGCTACGGCGGGGAGAAGGGGGGGGGAGGGGGGTGGGAAGAGACGTTGACTCGGGAAAATAAACTCAGGAGGACGGATGAATCTACTGGGTAATATCGGACGGCAGCGGGCTCAAGCAACAGAGATAGTGTATACATTTTGCCCCTGGTCCCTACCGCCGGGCATTATATAAGAGGAGACATCGGCAGTTGGGAGAGCAGCAGAGCAAAGTAACGAAATCGTGGTAGAGATAGAGAGGAGGGAGGGGGAGCCAAACCTGCACTGATTAAGAGGCGAGTGTGCTTCGGCGTAAATCGCGACGAAAGCTGTGATGTGTGAAACGTAGGGCGGGAATAAGACCTAGAAGGCAGGGTTTTGATGATGAGAGGAGCCCTCGAGGAGCCCTCGAGGAGCCCACGAGAAACAGAGATGGAGAAAAGAGAGAGAGAAAAGAGGTCTCCCGCGCGGTCTGTCCCGGATGGTGGCCGGTGGTGGATTACCGAATTTGGCAACCTGCCCAACCTTGGTCTCGTAATAAGACCTCGAGAAGGACGAGAGCGAGGGAGAAAGAGACAGGTCTAGACTCTCCCGCTGTTGTGCGTGCGTATATAGATGGGAAAGATAGGCGGGTAGGTAGGCGGGTAGATTAGACGAGGAACAGGCGCGCGGGGAAGAGAAAACGGGATAACTAGGACAAGGTGTGTGAGAAGGGACAGATGGCTCTCCGCTCTGCGCCTCCCCCCCTATCCCCTCTTAGTGACGATTACTCAGGGTGGGAAAAGGGAATGCTCGACGTCTTGGCGGGCGACGACGACGATGGGTAACGTGGCAAGGGACCCCGTCCGTCGAGGGTTCGAGTGAGGCTGGGGACCATCTGACGCGATTTGTCCTGGCCTGTCCGATTTCCCAGTCCCTGCTCCGTCTCGATCGATTTACATATCAGTAGAGCCCGCAAGCACTGTCTGACTAACTATCCAACACTTTCTATCTACAGTGAGGTAAAAGTAGCCATCGGCGATGGAGGTGAGAGAGAGAGAAAAAAAAAAGGAACCAGGCAGAGCGAGGGAAATCCAGGCCCATCCCAGCCCACGCCCAGCCCATGCTCATGTGGTTGCTAAAAATAGACCGACGCGAGCAAGCCGTTGGCTCGGGGCATCTCGCTTTGCTTGTCCGTCACCGTCATCGATCTATGCCAAGGGGCCACCTGAAATAGGTGCATGCACATAACACATACATGCCACACACACATGCGTATGTATGTATGTATGTATGTATGTAGTGTCGATAGCTGCTAGGTAGGTGGTTTGGCGTGCGTATGAGCTCTCTCACTCTCTTGCCTTCTTCGTCCAAGACCCTATGTGGGCAAGCAGATATGCGTACCTATTGGCGAGAGGGGCGGGGCATGGCGCTTTATCCCCTTCATAAGGGACTTCGCTGGTCTATCCTAGACCCATCCTCTCTCTCTCCCTTTCCCTCCTTCTTCCTCGCCCTGCTTACTGACTTACTAGGAGCGCATGCCTAGCATATGTAGGTGTACGGGACTCACCCTTGACCTCCCCTCGGCCGGGTGCTTGGCTCATGATACCGCTCAGGAAAGGAAGAGAACCGACCGTTCAAAATCACGAGAGTAGGCTACCACACGGGCTCGCATTTCGCGCCAGTGACTCGTCGACGTAGACGAGGCCTTGGTCGGATCGGATATGTTAATATTGGGTCTGGATCAGACTTTGCGAAGCTGATTGATTTTGCGATAGGGACGACCCTTTCAGACAGAGGGAAAAACGCCTTTCGCGTCGTCGGTTCTACTGTCGCTGGTTTGGTTTCGGGAGATCCTCTCTCTTTCCAACGCGGATACTAGTAAGCCAACGTCACCGTGTGTGTGAGAAACGCAGTTTCGCCATTGGGCTCAGAGAGCCGAAGACTGAAAAAAAAAAAAAGAAGAAAAAACCCCGCGGCGCCGGGGGCTTCGGTTGGATCAGCTAAGTGCATCGGATACCTCTTGAAAGGAGGGGGTGGAGGGGTGAGAAACAGGATCCTGCCGGAAAAATATCGGCCGGGAGAGGTGAACGGAACAGGCAGATGTGAAGGCTGTTCTGTCCCGATATCACTCATGACACGATTCCTTGCACCAACCCGCGACATGGGCGACGTGCTCCCCTTGCGCCACAAGGAGATTGGATAGCCTGATCCTGTCTCGGATCTCAATCTGGGGTTCGTGGCCCAACCCCCCAACGGGTTCGGTGGGTGTGCGAGTGGGCGAGTAGGTGGGTGGGTGTGCGTGAGAGAGTACGGAGTGTGAATTATCGGCGCGAGTGGGTGTGTATACCGACGCCCCTGATAGCCAAAAGAGACAAGCGACGCGCACACGAAGAGGCCTCACAGTCAGGCGAGCGGTAGTATCGATCTAATATATTAAAACATACCATGGTAAGCTGCAAGCGACAGCCCACTCAAGCGAGGGACTGGGCCTGGGCCGGCTTCTAGGGGGTGGCTTTCGTAACGACTCGCGCCCAGCTCCGGAGATTGCTGTCTAGGTGTTACTGTGACCAAGTCGTCGAGCTTAGGGGCGAAGAGGGCCGTGTAGGACCGCGCAGACTCCGCGGCCCGAGGACAGCCTCGCGTTCGAAAGCATACCGCACGTAGCTCGAAATCAGGAAGTGTTACACGATCGGGTCGCAGGATAGAGAGAGGGTTGGAGCCGGGCCCTCGCTTCGACGTCTCCCGCCGGAGTCCAAACGTTTGCGCCTGCTCGGTCCAATTACTTTCCACAGGTCATCGCCGTCGTCGGTATGGGTTTGACCGAGCGAGTAGATCATCGGTACTGTGCGACCTGCCAGTCAGTCAAGAACCACTACATTTACCGACGGGGCTCTGTCCGACCGGTCGAGCCATGGCGGCATGTTGCCATCGCTCGAGCGGAGTGGGCACATCACCATTAGGCATCGGTCGTCTCGGAGGCCCGACTCCTATGGCATATGATACTCTAGGTTTTAACGCCTTGATCCGACGAGGAGGTCCTCGTTTTGCCCGCTATCAGAAGCATGACACAAATATCACGTTGCACTCGCGTAAACTAGTTGTGTCCGCACTCCTCAAAAGCCGGCGTGTCTCGTCACCGAGCACTGAGGGGCGAAGCCGAAATCGAACTGCGGCTACTCTGTACCTATCTACTGCCGCGCCTAGCTTGGTAGGGGACGTGTTCCACTCGGGCTGATTCGAGGTCGTGTCTTGACAAAGGGTTTTTTTTTAAAAAAAAAAAAAAAAACCCCCCCCTCCCTATGAATTCCCCCCTTCGAGGAGAGATATTATGTGTCAGCGTAGGCAGGTAGAGCGGTAAGGTAGGTTATCGTTCGTCGCTGTGTGAGACATGACACAGGGCCTGGATCTCGTTTGCCATAAATAAGAGAGAGGTAGAGGTGGAGACAGGGCGCGGCGGACGAGCGCGAGAAAAGAGACAGGCCTGGTTCTCGTCTGGAAAGATAGGCTGCGTGTGAAGGGGGATTGACGGTGACAGTGACCAATGAGAAAGAGGGCGTGCCGTAGCCAGGAGGAACTGAAGAACGACCGCGGTAGGGCCGTTGATCCACATGGGTAGCCTTTCCTTTTGACGAGCGACGGCTCAACCACGGGGAATTCCCACGCCCTTGTCTCTCCCGGTTCGCTGACAGTAGTGGCGGCTTGCTAGTAGGTACATTACATCGCAAACGGCGTCCCTGTCGAAATCAGGCGTTGTAGGTATGTAGGTATGCCGTTGGAAAATGACATACGACACGGCCATCGCCTGGAGGATGACGGGTGCTGAATCAGACGCCAAACAAATGCTCCGCTACAGGAAGGAATAACAATCCGCGAACCCGCCGCTACTCGGCCGGCTTTATCGCCGTAGAGACGGTAGGCGACGAGAGAGGACGAGACGATTGATTATGTATCCCGGATAAATTACGTGGGCTGACAGGAACACCTCAATACCAGGAGGGTTCCGAAGAAACAATTGTTCATGATGAGAGGACAAGCCGCTCCCTAACGCGCTTCACAGGCGAATAGTTGTGTGTGCTGTACCGTATCTTCCCGTAGGGTTTATTTGACTCTCCCGTTGCCGTCAATGAGACTTGACGATTCGGACAGAAGGCGGTGGTCATGTGTGCAATGTGTACATGGTGAAGGGTAGCGGACGGGTGGTAACTTGGGTTGTGTGTCCCGTATGCATCCACCGCATCATCGTAGGGTACGAAAAAGGGGCTCCTGACCCCATTGGGAAAGAAAGAAGAAGAAAAAAAAGGGTGCCTAGGTGGCATGTAACATTGCGAGGCCGAAATGAGAAAAGCAACGAGAAGTGCCGAAATCAATGCAGATCTTTCCCGAATCGCGCTCAGATCGCTGCCGTTGGCGAATCGTGAGATTGAGAGCAATGACCCCCCTTCTGCCCCCGTTTACCTGCTTCCTCGACGGACTGGCTCTGCAGCCGTCCAGCGTGATGCTGGGTATCCCGCATATACCGTTTGTGGTCGAAGGCGATGTGTCGTGTCGCGCACGCGCGACCGGAGGCCCGTCTGGTCTGCTTCTCGCTCGACCTCGACGTCTCGGTCCAAGGAGGAGAGAAGACGAGAGAGTCCCAAGTTCAGACAGACGCTCGGCCAAATCCCGCATATGCCAAGTGTGTTACGGCCGTGCCGATGGCCAGGGAAGGGAACAAATCGTGACCCAGTTACGCACACGTCTCACATAGGTACCGTATCTCCTCCAGACCCTGCGAGCCTTGGCCGGGAATCAAATCGGTGCTTTTCTCGGTACTGGCCGCATTTACCTATTGGGAGCTTCCCCCTCCCCCTCCCCCCCCGGCCCCCCAGACGACACGACCGGAAATCACGAGGCTTCGAGAGGGCGACTCTGTCTAACCCGATGTTATGACAATCTGCAAGCTGCAGCCGACCTTGCCATAGGCTAAATAAGGGGTGGGAGAAGGGGACGTAGGCCTGCTCGTCGTGCCTCGTAGCCAGTACTTCTAAGCAAGGCAGGGTTGTTGCCAACGGCCAATCTATGGTTTGCGCCGGCTCTACGCGTAGAGGAGCGTCGGCGTTAGGGGTCAGCTATCAGAAATGAAGCCATCCAGACGCGGATAGGCAGACATGCTATGTAGGCATATATGGATGATATGTGGTGTGGATGGAGGGATGGAGGGGACTAGGGGAAAGCAAGAGGGAGACGGAGAGGGGCCAGTATACGGGCGGAGGCATTGGTGAAGGTCGAGAGGAGGAGGAGGAGGAGGTAGGGGTTAGACAGGAGGCTCTCAGTGGACGACCGAGAAGTGTATACGACATTTGCGGGCCGATAGGTGGGTGGCATCGCGAGGGACTCCGGCAGGATGTAAGCAGCCAGATCAATGCGGAGTGGGCCAACCAAAGCGCTGAGACGATGGGATACCGCATGGAGACTGCCATGCAGGTATGACTCGGCGCGAAAGGGCGAGTTATGGCCGTCTATGGCCGTACGACGGGGGCCGAGTCGCGGAGCCGATCTAACTTGACGACTACATGGCTGTGTATGTAGTGTGGTGTGGTGTAAGTGTACTGCAGTGCAGCGTTGTAGTGTAGAGTGCACAGCGCAGGCAGATGGGCAGGCTGTGTGGGTGGTTTTGGGGTTATAGAGGGTAGGAGAGAAGGGAAAAAGGGAGAAGCAGCTGAGGACGATGACGACAGCGACGACGACGATGACGACGACGGCGGCGGCGACATTGGTTCTTCGCGGGCGAGTCCTAATCTATCGCGGTCACCGCCATTATCATTGTCATTGTGATCATCGCCGTGTGCCGTCACCATCCCCTTCCCCATCGCCATCCACTTCCCCATCCCCTTCCCCATCACCATACCATCACCATCCCCGTTGTCACGACCATGGATCGGGTCGGTGGGTTTGGTCGTCTGTGCTCCAGAGGCGTATGAATCGGGTACACGACATGACGGTCAGTATTTATGCCGCAGAGGAGGGTGCTTTTCACGTCAGTAGGTAGCGTTATGTAGTAGAAGTGCGCAGGGACGCCGGGAGGTGGGATGGGCTTGGGCACGCTGTCAGTCTTCGTGGATACTATGCGGATGGACGGTAATAGTGGGAGAAGATGTGGGGAGACAAGGCGAGAATCGGTAGAAATATCGAAATAATGGGTGTGCGCATACACACGTACGTACGTCACATCGCCGAAATAGGTACCTGATGTACGCCCGTCTGTCCCTCTACCCGAGCCACCGACCGGCTACCAGAAGAAGAAGGGGAGTACCAAATTGAAGGGGACGGATAGGGTACCTACAGCGCCTACAGCGCGCAGAGAGGGCACCTATAGTACCTACAGGTGCAGCACTTACAGTACCTATCACGGCACCTGGGAGTACAGAAAGGAAGTACCGAGGGGCCTGCCGCAGCGGAATTATGGGAAGAGGGAATGCTTGGACAGATCGGGCTCGACGTGAGAGTTGCTCTGATGATAAGGCGCATAACAGAGCGGCATAACGACATATCACTCGCTGGCCATAGGTCGGCACCACTCCACTATTTGACCGGGCAAATCGCCGCCAGTAGTGCTTAAAAGGGTAAACCCTCACCCGGGGGGGGGGGGAGGGGTAGGGGTACTAGGGGGTACGGAGAGAGGAGACCCTTATTGTATCTTTTAGCTCACGCCACGCCACGCCTCCCTTTCCCCGCGGCCGCAACCCCCCGAAAGAGAGAGAGAGAGAGAGAGAGATAGAGAGAGGTGTATATATAGAGGATGTATATAGAGAGATAGATCGAGAGAGAGGGAGAGGAGGAGGATTTAGGTGGTCTCTGCGTAATCACCACCAGAGGTACCTAAGCTACCTAGGTACCTACCTAATGCTGTGCACGGCGTGGGGGAACCTGCTAACCGGCCCGGCAGAGGGTACCTGACAGGTTAGGTAGGCGTCTGTAAATGAATACCTTAGGTACTTGCTCTAGGCCCGTAATCGCGTGCTGAGCAGGTACGTGGAGATGTCATATGGAGAACAGGCTACGCTGTCGAGGGCGAAGGCGATGTATCTAATATACCTGGTGGGAGGTGGGTGGGGACCTACCTACCTAGGTACCTAGGTACCTGGGCAATACCGCAGAGGTGGAAAAGGGCACCGGGACTAATTTCCCCACATGCAACCCGCCTCGTCGCCCAGGGAGGTACCTCGCGGTACCTCTGCTGGTCTGCCGCGGGCGGCTTGGCAGGGAACCTTTCCTGCGGCAGGCCCTGCAGCCCTCCCGATGCCATCTCTCTCTCTCGGTAGTACCTCCGATGTACCCTGGCTTTTCCCGCCGTTTTTCCCAGCCAGGCCCACTCCCGTCATCTCCCCGTGAATCCACCCTCAATCCATGTACTCTCCCTATGTACTGTACATATGTACATGGTCCCATGTTCCCATGCCGCGCCCTTCTTCCCTCTCTCTCCCTCTCCTCTCCCTCTCTCCAGACGACCTCCCAAGACTCAAGAGTCCCCATTCCCTCCACTCCCTTTCTCCCCCCCCCCAGAAGTCCCATAGTCCGCACAACTCGCGAACTAGTTCCAACTTGGGATCTCCGCCACCTTCACGTTCTCGGCCTCATTCTTCCCTCCCCAACCATACTACCATTCCTACCACTCCGCTTCCTCTGTTCGCGTGGTCGACTATATGGGTCTTTCTTGTTCCTTAGCATAGACCCTATGTAGGCCCTTTAACACCCATGCGACCTTGATCTCTTCTGTTCACCTCTGCCCCCATCCTCTCTTTATCTTCGTTTGTCACCTTTTCGAGACACCATCCTTATTCCTTATTACTCCATACTTGGACGCTTCCCGCATCTTGGCCTACGAACCGCAAGTTGCGCCTCGTCTCTTAGCCCTCACCCCCTCACCTCTTCCCGTCCCGACGGTGACTACACCCCCATCGGATTGTCGGTCGATGCTCTTCTAATCCCGTCACGATAGTTCTTCCCCTCGAGCTGTCCGTTCCCGCCGCATCCGCCATAATACCCAGCGCGGGCACGGGGTCTGCGACGACCGTCCACCAGCGTTGTGTGACCGCATCGTCCTCGACCAGAGAGACCCGACGCTCCAATTCCGCCCCGACGATCGAGACTGGACCAACCGGATCGGCGTGGAAACCAGACGATAGGTGCAGAGCGCTTGGTCGTCATTGCTATCCCCCCCTTCCATACATCCGACGTCGCTCGCTTTTCGCGCTTTAATTGCTGTAATTTCTCAACCCGTCGTTCATTTACCTATCCTCCTCTGGCCTCGGCTCGGGCGTTACCCCATCGTGGCCCTCGACTCGAATTCTTGCCGGCGACGGATTCCGGTCTCCTTGAAAAGCGCATAGCCCTCCCGACGCTCTCCGATGTCTCAACATGTTTGATATGCGACTGACTATCGTCGATACCATCGAGCTCGCCGTCGCCCTGCTTGTGCCTGCCTTATAGAGGACAAGCGTGCGTTACGGGCATCGCCTGTCCTCCCATTCCGTCCCGGTGTACCCGCGCAATACCCGGGAACTTCTCACATGATGGACCCCCCACATATGACCGAGTTTGCTTCGCGAAAATACTTCGACAAGCTCAAGCAGCTCAGCGAATCTAAGGACCACGCTCATGCTCACGACGATGCTGTTATCCCGCTGGATGGCCCTGCCGTAACCGAATCCTCAACATTCATTCTACCTATCGGGGGAGCAAAGCCGATAGATCGCGCCCTGCATGATGTTCAGAAGGCAGAGAAGGAGAAGCGCCGCGCCAATTTCAGCCTTAGAACTATTCTGCCGTCACGCAGTTCTACCGATCACGAGCATCGGAGACAGTCTAGTGATCCCCCCCCAAGGAAAAGGTGAGCCCGTCTAGCCGCTGACGATGCCGAGTCGGCACTGCCCGCCCTCCCTTCTCTGCTAACTTTTCACCCTCAGCGTTCCCTTCGACCAATTATTCTTGGCGCTTCCCAACGAGTTGAAGATCCAGATTATCGCGTCCTTACCTTTGTCAGACATACTGAGTCTTCGCCTGGCATCGCGATCGTGGCATGCTATGATCACGATCAACGAACTTCCGATCGCGCGGTACCACCTAGTACATCACGTCCCGGCCTATGCGAAACGGTTATATCCGGCACCCGATCCGACCGCGATCCGACTCCACTACCTCTGCGGAATCTGGCACCGATTACACGTCGCTGCTAAACTCTCGTACTTGATATGCGAGAGGGTGACGAAGGAGATGTTTCTCAGGACCACCGAGGCCCAATTCCTCGAATTCAAACCACAATACGAACGAATGCGACGCCGATTGATCCCGCTACTCTTCACCATCTTTCATTTCTTCGAGATGTACCGGAAACTGCATGTCGAGTACATCAAGGAGCACGGGCACGGGCTATTGCGGGATCCCTATACTCTCAACCCTATCGAGCTGAAAATAATGAGCATGTACGATGACCAGACCTTACTACGCGTTCACCAGGTGTTTCCGCTGGTTGTATCCTCGTTCTGCCGGCGCCTCCGGCCTCCTTCTTATGTCGGCCGCTTCGAACGATCCCTGAGGGGTTACATGAAGGATCCGCCTGCCGACGAGGTCTACGTGGCTGCCTTGTGCGTGGGCGGGCTACGGCAGGTGGAGCGGTTCTGGGAGGTCAAGGGGTACAACTCTAGGAGAGGGGTGGTTGAATCATGGTATAATTCGGTTACGAAGGAACCTGCGGATACGACGACGCCGAAACAACGACGGGGTTTCGGGCGCCTCTCTAGGAAGAAATCGAGTACGAACGACCCCGATTTCTCGAAGTCTACCGGGGAGGCACACGGGTTCAACCGTGTGCGGCACGGGTTCGATTACGACCGACGGGGGAGTGAAGTATCGGCAACCGACTTTCCGGAAAGCTTTGTGTTCAGCACCAGCATGGCGCAGGGTATGCCGATGGGTCCGCTCTCACGGGAGCACCTCAAGGCGGTGCTTCCCGACCTGCCGACGCTGCACCAGATCTGGTTGCCCACCGCCGAGGCCCTGATACTGGAGAGGAAGATTGTCGAGCGGCCGCAAGACATCAAGCGAAACGCGCAGGTCATGCTGGACCTGATCCGCGAAGATGGTGCTGCCGAAGAGGACGAGTGGTGGTACGGGCGATCGGCGCCCGAGTCGGTACGGCCACCCCTCGAGGCCATCGAAGAGGATCCCGTCGAATAAGAGCATTTTTCCACGCCAGCGAATCGGGTTTTGCGTTTTTCCACGGTCGGTTTGATGAGACTTATTAGCATCGGCGCTTTAGAGAAGGATATATATCCGGGAGGTCTGGGCTGTGCGCGCGCGCGCGTCTAGCCGTGTCGTATTCATCGTCATCGTCGTCATATCAGCATTTACAGGGCGTTTTTGTTTTGCGTACGTCATAAGGGTCGGGAAACAAGAAGTCCTACTTTTTTTTTTTTACTTCTTTTTCGGTCCATCTATCGATACTCTGCGACATAGCTGAGGAGAGGAGGCGATGAATATCTAAATTACCCGGGATTGCTTTTTTTTATTTTGTCCTCAACCAAATTCTTTTCTCGTTTTCTTTGTCGACTTGCCGTCTCCCGGGACGTTATATATATTTATGGCTTGGAAAGAAGCATTGGATAACTCGGCGCATGTGTGTATGCTCGTGCGCACGCGAGAGCATTGCGAGCTTCTGTTTCCTTGACTCTGTCACCATCGCAAGGGGGTGTGGAGAGAGGGGGGAGGGAGAGGACACCGTCTTTACATTAGGAGAGGGAGGTACTCAAGGCGGGGAAGTGGAAGCCGGAAGATGGGGCCAAGGGAGAGAGCGAAAAAAAAGGGGGGGGAGATGGGAGGCCGACGGGGAACGCAGCGAGGAACGGGGAGATTTGCCAAGGCGGAAGGGGGAGAGAGAGAGAGAGAGGGAGATAAAGGGGGTACCTTCCACCTGTGTTCGGTTGTCGAGAGTGGATTTTTTTTTTATATATTACTATTGCCAGTTCCACCATTGCAAGTTGTCGTGAATAACAAAAAGGTTCCCTCACGCTGCGTCTTCTGCCTGCCTACGGTTTGGTGCTGCTCTGGTGCTGTGAAAAGCCCGAGAAAGGGGGGATACGGAGGTAAGTAAGTAGTAAGGCGAGCGGACCCGCCGTGGCGAGGCGCGAGAGATCGACGCGTCTTGCTGAGCCGGGCCCCGCCCGACTCGGCGCCGTCGCTAGCTCCCGCTTCCGCGCCGGGCTTGCCGGCTGGCATCTCCTTGCCACGCCAGGGAGCTGCCCCGAGCGCCTGCCCGCCGCAACGCGAGGCGGCGCAGGTCCCGCGAGGCATTGTGTGCGCGTCGGGCTGTGAGTGAGAGGGTAGCGGCACCATATATATGTGGAGTTGGGATAGAAGATATGTATCTATATATATATAATATATATATGTATGTGTGTGTTTGTGTGTGTGTGTGTGTGTGGGCGTGGTGTATATCTCATCCATCATTAAATACTACTACTTACTACTCGTCGACAATCGTTAACGTGACGCTCCTGATATAACCCACGTGTATATGCGTACTCTCTCTCTCCCCCTCTGTCTCTCGCGGTCTTCTCTGGATATCCCCGAAACCCACGCACTCTCCCCTCTTCTCTCTCTCACCCACACTATAGAAATCCTCTGCAGCTGAGGCCTCTCTTCAGCCTCTTCTCCCCCCCCCACCCCCCCCTCGCGCCCCCTTTTTTGCACTTACCTAGCCTGCCCGTTATAAGCCCGGCCGAGTGGACTCCGTTCCCCGTTCCCGTCTCGCCCCCCTTCCGATCCCGACCCATCTCAACTTCTCCCCTCTTGCCTTCCGAAGTGGTGAGTATTCCCCAAGACGTCCAATCGCCGTCGCTGTTCATCACCGCTGTCGCCGTCAACGTCACCCAGGTAAATCACCTTTTCGTTCTCTTTTCGCTTTTCTCCTTTCTTTTTTTCTTAAAAAAAAAGAAGGAAAGAAAATAGGAACCGGCGACGCAAATGGTATATTGAAAACACACACGGAGAGAGAGAGAGAGAAAGAGAGGAGCAGCAACAATACCAGCCAACCAAAAAAACCCGTGAGACGCGTCCCGCGAAAAAAAAAAATCGAAACTCCCGCTCTTCTTGGTCCACGCGATTCCCCGTCTCGCTTCCTCGCTTCCCATCCCTCTCTTTCCTAGCTCCCTAACACCGAACGCGATTCGAGAAAGTGAAAACGGCAAGAAATGAGAGAGAGAAATGATGACGTTTTGATACCTTTCGACGTTGTCCCGCCCATCGAGCCTGAAATGAACACCTACTGTCCCGATTTGATGTGCCCTCCATTCATTCATGAGAAACGAGTCGGCTCCTGTCCCTTTCCTATCCCGTATGAGTATATCTGTCGTGAAACATATAAAGCCCAAGCATAAACAAACGGGCCTCCCTTAAGCTTTCGCTTCCTTTCATATCTCAATCCGCTTGCAAGAACGCCATCTTAGATTTTTTTTTCGTCCATTCCTCAAAAAAATAAAATAAAAATAAAACGCCACGTTCCGTCATGTATCATACGTCAATCAGATTATAGCGGCCCTTTATTTCCTACGTGTCCCCGTCCCGGGACCGAATCACGACTGCCACCTGTTTTGAGCGGCGCGGCCGACATTGGAAGAAGAGAGATAGGTACTAGTCATACCTGCCGCCGAGGAATAGAGAGAGGCAGCGCCGGAGCTCGTCGTTCGCTGCTGTGAAGGCATGCCGCTGCCACCGAGCCCGTACGAGCCGGCGCCGAGGCCTAGCCCACCGTGGGTACCACCTGGCTCTAGGCTTTGCATATCTAGAAAGGTGGAATCGTAGGGCGCGAAACTCGCCATCGTGGTATGCGGCGTGCTGTGGGTCGTCGTAGGAGGCTGCCGCGCGCCAAAGTGAGGGGAATGGTTCGAGACGTTGTGACTCGCGGTGCTGGTTGTGCGGTAATTATTATCGAGTGGCGAGGCCGAAGGCGTCCGTCGCGGCGGATACCCAGTATTGCTATGAACCAGCGATGGCGACCCTCGGTAGCTCGAAGTGTCCCCTTGCATGAGAGGCGAGTTGGACTGGGCGCCAAACTGAGGGGAATTGGACATGTGTTGCACGAGGCCGGCGTTGGGAGACCCGGTAGCCATGTGCTGAGGCTGGCGCTGACTCGTGGAATACGTGGTGGCCTGTGTGTTGTACGAGGAGCCGAGGCCTTGTGTTGGGGGATAGTAACTTTGCGACGTCCTAGTCTGCTGGTGTGAGCCTAGAGAAGAGGGCAATTGCGGCGTCTTTGAAGCCTGCGACGGCAGAGGCGACGCGCCTTGAGCGGCGTGTTGCTGTATCTGCTGGCGATTGGCAGTCTGTTGTCTCACATTGTCTTGCTGGGGTTGGAGACTGGTAAATCGTTCAAAGTGAGCCTCCAGGCCCTCAGCATGGTGAGAAGGTATGTTGCTCCCGATCGGCATAGTAGTCGACTGGTGTTGTTGCTTCTGGGCGCGGCTAGAATGTTGTGTCGGGCCGTTGCGGTTATGTGGTGTAGATAAACTATCGTAAAATGCATCAAGCCCCTCGGTTACCGGAGGGTTTCGCGATGTGGCTGAGGCTTGACCGGATTGCCGGGGTTGATCCAGCGAAGCCGCAGTGGATTCAAGGGGGTTCTTCGACACCATGCTATTCGGTGTCGGCCGCTTTATTGCTTGCAATGTGCCCGACTCTTGAACCTTGCGGGGGCGTTTTGCCGCGGGGGGAACGTTGCTTCCAAGTGCAAACTGTTGGGCGGGCTGGCCGGCCGAGGAGTGTACTTGAGACATCGAGGTTGGAACCGCCTGGGAGACGCTAGGCTGTGTCTGCTGGGAGAGTGAGCCTCCCGCTGCGGTCCCAGAAGTCCCATCCACTTGAGGATTTGCAATACTAGCGGGGGCAGACTGGCGCTTCCGCTTTTTTCCTGTTATTGATGACTCCTTGACTTGAGGAGTCGGAGTTAGGTTGCTAGACGTAGTGGTTGCTAGAGTGGCGAAAGACTCGGGAGGCGGAGGGGGCAGCGTTCGTTTGTCCTTCTGAGAAGAGATGCCATCGCTGATAGTAGGCAGATTGCTGTCACCCGAATACAACGAGGTCGCCCCCCCCCCTAACTGGGCGGAGTGCTGGTCAGTGTGATTCGACGGACCCGGCGGCTGCTGCTGCGATGTGGATATATTTCGGCTTGCCGAGTCATTGGCAACCTTCGGTTTGTTTTTCGAACCTTTTGGCCGCCCGGCGTTGGCCTTCTTTTTGGACTGTTCACCGAGCATGGGGACCGGCACTGGCACGGGAGTTACTTTCGGTGGCGGCACCGACGAATTATCGGTCGGATTAGGCGTACTCGAGTGGGTGACGGTAGATTCTATCGCCTGGCCCGGCTGCGGCAGATTAGAGCCGTCTTTAGGCCGATTCTTAGACCCTTTCGGTCGACCACGCCGTTTCGCGCTCGACCCAGGGACCGTCGCGGCATCGTTGATAGACTTGAAACCACCGGCCGAACCGGGTGCGGGCGTATTGTTGAACGGCTCCCCTTCGGGAGCGCGGGGGGGTGTGCCCGGGCCATTCCCCGGTGGCCCGCCAAGCTCAACTATGCTATCTCCATTTATTTCGTGAATACTGTCGTCCGCCTCAACATCAATCCAGCCGCTATCATCCTGGGGCTCTTGGGCCCGATAAGCAGTTCCTTTGCTGCCTTTTTTGATTCCCTTGTCGCTTCGTGATTTGCTAGCTTTGCTCCCCTTGGGTCTTCCCCTCGGCCGTCGCTGGTTGACGGGCTGGGTAGGCTGGGGTAGAGGCGCAACTTGTCTTCGGGACTCGCCGAGATTGGGAAATATCTCAGCGATCCATCCGACAAATAAGGAACCCGAACCGTTGGCTTCGGCGCTCTCGGGGAATTTGCCGTCAGCGGGGGGTGGGGCAGCGGGTATACCGCCGAAGAATGCGAGCGCCTTACATAACTGGTCGACGACGGTGTTGGGAGGGAGAGTCCTGAGTAAGGTGAGCAGTCGAGCCTGTTCCGTCTTGGTCTCCGCGATGCTGAGCGGCCGATTCAGGTCGGCATCAACGGCTGCGGGTTCGGCCGAAGTAGATTTCCCCGGAGAGGTGAATTGTTTTAGGCCTGGCGGCCGCGGGTAATTTGCCCTGCGTTGATGGGAGACGTAGCTGTCCGTCTGCGCCAGCTTGGCCTGTAGAGCGGTGCTTTCGCTGGTCCGCTTCGCGGCGGCATCGCGACCCTCACTGGCACGGTGACTTGCGACGTCCATATGCATGACGCTGAAGTTCCCTTTCATCTGTTCATTGACATCCTTCAGCTTGCTCGGGACCGGGTTCCTCAGGCGCCCGTCTCGAGGATATAGCCTTAAGTCAGTGTGCACTGAGCCGTCATTCGAGACGGTGGTAGTAGGTAGGAGCCCATTGGTGCCCCCATTGGTCGTAGAAGCAGCCAGAGATGGGGACGGCACAGTCAGACCGGGCGTGGGAGATTCAGAAAGCGGTTGTCCGTTAGAGCTCGTGGCCCTGGCGGAGATGGAGGTTGAATTTTTTGCCAAGTTGGCGGGTTGTTGGCCTGCGATATTCGGTCAGTCAGCCGAGGAAAGAAAAACACCTTTACTATACAATGGGGGGGGGGTAGATGACAGAGGAAAGAGAAGGGGATTTTTATTCTTATAAAAACGAGGGAAACTTACTGGACGTGGTAGCCATTTGATTTAGACAATGGCAACCATGACAAGAGACGAGTAGCGCAGCCTGGATCGGGTTCGTCGACTAGGACACGGCGAAGACTCGGCTTATCTCTAGTTGTTGGATGTAGGCGAGTTGGGGGGATTCCATGCTCATCGGCGGCATACGACTGGGTGCAGAGATCACCAGCGCGTCATGGCGAGAAGTCGGTGCGACGTCGTCGAGAGTCGGATCGAGTCGGGGAAATGAAGGCAATGCGCCGAGAGGGTGTGAATAGACGGGCGATTCTACAGTTGAGGAGGTTGGCAAGGGCAACAAGAAGGCGGAGGTAGGTGGTAGTGAGGTAACGAGGCAGGGAGGTTTACCTAAGACCGGAGCGATATAGAAAGGGCGGCGACCCGTCTATCGTAGACGGGGTTCGAATGGCAGTCTTCCCACTGCGGTAGCGGGCGGAGCAAATGGAGGCGGTCGGATCTCGAGCAGGATAGTGACAGGTGGTCGGGCTTCATAGGACTGGCTGCTTGCTGATGCTGGTGTAACGACGACAGGGCGAGGGGAGCGAGGGACGAAGACGGACGACACGGCGATAAGTACACACAACACGGACGGATGTGAGACAAGGCACGAGCGGGCGGGCAGACCAGCTAGACGGCCAGAGAGCGAGAGCGAGAGGAGGCGAGGAGCAGGAAGGGAAGGGCGACGGCGGCGGGAGCTATCTGTCTATCGATCTCGAGATGAAAAGACGGACAGAGAGGAGGCGGGCGAGGTAGGGCGGGCTTATGTGCGCGTATATGTGTGTGTAGGTGTGGGTGGTCGGCGTGTGCATGCGTGGGCGTGCCGTGTGGGCGCAGGTGGGTAGGGAGGCAGGTAGGTAGGTGTGTAGGTTATGTGTAGGTACCTAAGATATGTGTATGTGTAGGTAGGTGTGTGAAGGCGTGCATGTGTATGCGCGGCTGTCTGTCTGTCTATCTGTCGATGCCTCCGGGACTGGCGATGTTTTTGGTGAGAATATACGGATTCTCGTGTCCCGGCGGTTAGTGGATTTGCACGTCGACGGCTGTAAGGCTCTCGGGATGTGCTATGGGGGTTTCAAATCGTGGTAATCTGCATTCGTAAGAAATGGGGTTCGCCTGGCAGAGAGGTAGGTTAAAGCGGAGAAGAGTCGTCGCGAAAGATGGGATTGTTTGGCGGATTGATTCGACGACAGGCTTGGAAAGGGGACGGCCGGCGTGGGATGGGGCGAGGAGCAGGGATGCATGTATGCAGGTATGCAGGTAAGGAGGTAGGTAGGTGTGTCACTGTGTGTAGGTATATAGGTACCTACCTGTTGTGTGTGAAAAAAAAAAAAAAAAGTGAATATACCTATGCAGGTAGGGGTGTATATGCAGCTAGGCAGTTATGGAGGAGGTGCCTGCGGTTCGTGAGAATGACAGGGTTCGGTTGGCAGACGTGGCGGTGGGCTTGTGTGCGGGACTTGTGTGTGTGTGTGGGCGCGCGCGCCTACGTCAGGCACCGAAACCCGCCCACCTTGCAATTAGGTGCCTTCTGTATCTGCATAATATACCTACCTGCTTATTGCCATGTAGCTGGTATACGCATATATTTATAAATGGAGGTTTCTGCGAGCCTGGCAGCAAACTCATGGCTACAAAGTTATAGAACCCCCCTACCCCCCCTGCTGGCATCCCTCACTCTAACTGGAGGTCCGTTAGGTACTGCTAACCTACCTATGAGACCGCTAGGTACATCATCCTCGACTTCTTACCAGAGGTACATGCGTCGGTGTGGACTTGCGGGCAGCTCCAACAGGTACCTAGGTATCTAACCCAGGGTGCTAATACCTTACTTACCTGACAGGTACCTCTGCTAAACCCGGAGCAACAACATGGAAGCCAGCCGGCATTGCTTTCACCTATACTATACCTACCTCTACCTACCACCTACCTACCTTAGGTGCCTCTGGTATCCTCCCACCGATGAAATACAGCATCACCTACGTACCTCCCATCTCCATACGAGCCCGTATCACAAATATTTACCCACCACGTACGGGACATATATGTACGTAGTAGTTCCATAGATGTGTTCGCCATCGCCCGGTCTTCTCTGCGTATACCCCAGGGCTTGCTGGCCAACTCGACCCCAAACCGTCCATCCTTGAGAAATCCTCTCCTGCGTCTCGAGCTCCGTCCCAGACGAGCTCTCTTCTCGACCCGACCCCAGCCAGCCAGCCAGCCGCCCCTCGGCTTAGGACGCATTCCACGGAAGCCCGAATAGAACATACCCACCCAACCGATCCCGCCTGCTCTGCCGCTATGGCTCCGACCCCGACGAAGTACATCCTCTTGTCGCTGCCTCTCAGCACCTTCGACACGGGCGACCGGCGAGAGGCTCTCGAATCCCTCAAAGCGACGATTAACCCCGAGAACGGGACCATCTTGCCATTCGCTGTCCCCGATCTTAAGATAGGGTCCCTAGACGCCTTGGTACAGCAAGCCGATGATCTGGCGAAGCTCGGCAACGCCTGCGACGGAGTGGTGAACAAGGTCGGGGAATCGTTACGTGCCCTTTACGGAGGCAACGACGACATGGCCTCCCAGCAGAAGATGGTCAACGACAGTCCGTGCCTCCTCTCTCTCCGACCCCCGGCTCCTGACGTGCTAGCATATTAACGGGGAGTTCCCCAGAGCCAACCGACCAGTACCTCCGCACCTTCAGGTGGAACAAAGTCCGCTACCGGGCCGACCGGCCCGTTGGCGAGCTCGTGGATATCTTGCAGAAGGTACTACTCCGCTCGGCTTGGGATCGCTCCCATCGAGCTCGTCGGCAGCTATGCTAACTGGGGGACGCGCCCCGGCAGGAATTGGCGACGATCGACAACGATGTCAAGGGCAAGTTCAATCAGTACAATCAAGTCAAGACGAATCTCGCCGCCCTGCAAAGGAAACAAACGTAATGCGCCTCGAGAACACCCAGCTTCGATCAACCCCCCTCCCGCCTCCAGCACATGTACTGACGTTACTTGATGGCCTCAGGGGCAACCTCGCGACCAAATCGCTTACGCCGATCGTCAACCCCTCCTTGCTAGTAAAGGACTCTGAATACCTCGAAACCCACCTCGTGGCCGTCCCCACGAACCTGAAGAAGGAATTCTTGAGAAGCTACGAGACGCTGTCGCCTATGGTGGTCCCTCGCTCGTCCACGCAGGTCGCGCAAGACGACGAATTCGTCCTGTTTGCCGTCACCACGTTCAAGAAGCACAGCGCCGAGTTCCAGCAGAAGTGCCGGGACCAGAAGTGGACGCCCCGCCCGTACAAGTACGTCGAGGGCGGCAAGGAAGAGGAGCGGAAGGAGCTAGACCGCGTCGAGCGGGACGAGAAGAAGCTCTGGGGCGAGGCGCTGCGGCTCACTCGCACGGGGTGGAGCGAGAGCGTCATGATATGGGCCCACGTCCTAGCCCTCCGCGTCTTCGTCGAATCGGTGCTGCGGTACGGCTTGCCATTGGAGTTCGTATCGGCTATCGTACTAGTATGTTCACCCGCCGCATAACCTCTGCCCCTCCCCCCTTTTCCCCCCCTTGATCTCCTGAGGGGAGGATATGTCGTATCTGTGCTGACTCGGGGACCTTTTTTTTTTCTTCTCCCCCACGCGAGCAGACCAACGCAAAGCTAGCTAAGAAGGTCAGGACGGCGCTCGACGCGTCGTACTCATACCTAGGCGGGAACGCCTTCGGCCGGGACAAGCGGGGACGGATCACCAAGGACGACGCAGCCCTGACGTCCGAGATGGCGGCGGCCGGACTCGGCCACGCCGCCGAGGGCCACGAGTACACGGCGTACGTGTATTACGAGTTCGAGCTATAGACGGGGCGTGATCGCAGCGGCGGACGCCAGCTGTCTAGGCGTCGGGTGGATTATATATATATATACGAAGTCATTTGCCATGTCATGTCAGGCTAGCCAGCATCTACTCCTACCGAGGAGGGGGGAAAGCAAGGAGCGGGGCATCGGGTGATCGATTGCCGTTAGCAAAGGGGGAGTGGCGCACGCGTGTATGGGGGGGAAAGAGTTGGTGAGGTTGGTGAGGCCTTTCTGTGTATATTCCTCATCATCATCATCGCGGGAGGCGAGACAGTCAGATATAACCTGTCCATAACAACTCATGCATGCTATCGAAATGTCCCACCTCCCCGTCCGTCCTTTGCCAACGCTGCCGCCGACGTGGTGCTTAGGCGATGAGATATTCCAGTTTAGCATACAGAAAAACTAAACCACCACCCGCTCTCATCTTTTTTTCCCCTTCTTTTTCCTACCCTCCTTTCCCCCTTCTTCCGCACCATCGCTACTAACGCCCAACCCTACGGGGCGACATTGCCCCGCGGCTAGCTAGCTAGCTAGCCAACCGGCCCCCGCCGGGGGGGGCCGGCTTAGGGGGCGGGCGGGACGTCGGCGACGGGGGTCTTGCCGGCGGGGATGAGGCCGCGGTCCTCGAGCCAGCGGACGACCTGGGCGACGCAGTCCTCGACGGAGGCCTGGTCGGTGCGGAGGACGATGTCGGGGTTCTCGGGGGGCTCGTAGGGGGAGTCGATGCCGGTGAAGTGCTTGACCTCGCCGGCGCGGGCGCGGCGGTAGAGGCCCTTGGGGTCGCGGGCCTCGGCGACGGCGAGGGGCACGTCGACGAAGACCTCGACGAAGGGGAGCGGGCCGTCGGCGTCGTGCTCGTGGCTCGCGTGCAGCGCGCGGGCGAGCTCGCGGTCCGCGCGGAACGGCGAGATGAAGGACGCGATGGCCACCACCGCCGCGTCCGCGAACAGCCGCGCCACCTCGGCCACCCGCCGGATGTTCTCCGCCCGGTCCCCGTCCGAGAACCCCAGGTCCTTGTTCAGCCCGAACCGCACGTTGTCCCCGTCCAGCCGGTACGCCGCCACCCCCAGGTGCAGCAGGTGCTGCTCCAGCGCCACCGCCACCGTCGACTTCCCCGACGCCGACAGCCCCGTGAACCACAGCGTCAGCCCCCGCTGCCCCCGGTAGGCGGCGCGCTCGCTGCGCGACAGCGACGGGTGCCAGGTTATGTTGCTGCGGCGGCGGAGAGGTTAGTTAGTCTAGGCTGGGTGGTGTGCGTTTTTGCTCCCGGCTTGTAAGCTGCGGTGGGGGGAGGGCCTGTCTCTCTAGGCTTTGTTTTATCCGAACCCTTATTTTCATTTTTGATCTTGCCTTTTTTTTGTCTTCTGGTCCCGTCTCTACTTGTCGAGTGGCGCGCGGGTTGCCCCTCTGCCTACCCTCGACAGAGTATCTCTACCCGTCCGTGTATCGGCATCTGTTCTCCGGTGCCGTGGCCGACGCAGGTACCGTCTGCAGAGCGAACCGGGTTGGTCGGCCAGGGCACCGGCTGGTGGGCTGGGAGGGAGAAGGAGGATGGCGAGGGAATGAATGGATGGATGGGTTGGCGGGGGAGGGGCAGAGCGGGAATCGTGATTCGCGCCGGATGCGAGGGAGGGGGGGGGGGGAGAGACTGTGTAAGTGGAGGGGGAGAGGGAATAAGGAAAAAAAAAGAGCGGTACAACGTCGGAATCAGGAACCACTTACGTTGCCATTGTGCCGGTTTTTGATGTTTTAATTTATATGTTAATCGCTCTCCGGCGGGGTCAACAACGGTAGATCAAAGATGCTGGTTTCTTCTGGGTGTTCGAGGAGGCGAAGATGGAAATGGTGGAGGGAGATGGGAGAGGAGAGAGGGAGAGAGGCAGAGGCGCCCAAGGTATAAATGCGCCCCAACCTAGAAATGTCGAAGCTCGCGCGTGTCGAATTCCATCACCGACAGAGGCGCCAACTACGCCTTAAACTGCAATTCTTATGCTATCCCGAGCGGCCACAGCCAGACGCCTACAGCCAGATAGCCAGGTCGGCCAGCGGCATGATGTCTTTCCAAGCTGCCGTTCACCATCTCGGCACTCGGATGACGTGCTTCCACCGTCCTCCGATTCGCCCGCCGCCCATCTTGGAAATTCGACGTCCCCACCTTCGCCTTAGCCAGCCCGTCTATCGCGGCCTGTATAGCAGTGGAAATACCGCCCCCAGGGCCCCTAAGGATGGCCCCGAACTAAGGATGGCCCCGGGGATGGCCCCTATAACGACTAGGGCTAGCTAACCTAGGCACATACCCACCTCAGTATTGCTAGGCAACACTTAGGTGCGCGCTGCGTACCTCCGGAGTAAAACAGCTTTCATCAATTCTCCGTCTTGGACTTGCGTGCTAGAGTCGATCGACACCTATGTGTATCCACCCCGAAGACCACTCGATAGGTACATGCCCGGTACGCACCCCCGTGCTTTTCGAAGGGTGTCTGGGGAGCCAGTTCGGCGAAATCGTCGGTATCCTAGCGCACCGCGTTAGGGGCGCTTGGGGTTGGACACGATACACTGGTCCTGGCATCTGAGCCCAACTAAACCGCCGTTGCTAACACCAGAGCGCCTCACGTCGAACTCTCGCAGAGCTACAACCCAGCAGTCACCCGAATCCCGTAGAACCAGAAACACGCAAACCCATGCCCGACCCAAGCTGTAACTCCTCGCCGGGCGTAAAGTCTGCCCTGAATCCTATGTTGGTTGTCTAATGAAATCAAGTCTATATGCTCATCTGTGCGCTACCGTCTCGCAATCACGATGTGGGGTACACGTTCAACATCATCTGCGAGACCAGTCAGCAAGTTCCGACCCGTTGGTAAGCTACGGCGTAGGTGGGTTCGGGAGGATGGGTAGGACGGCTGGACCAGGTGGGTGATACATAGAATGCGGGGAGGGGGGGGTAGTCACTACTCACCGCGGCCTGCTTCGGTGAGACGAACAGGGCCGTCGCCTCAGCGAGGACTACCGGCTGTTCGCCCTCGCCGACCAGCGTCTCGATGCGGCCCTCGACCCAGGCCTTGCGGCCCTCGACCTTGGTCGTCTTCGCGCGGAGCACTACGTACGAGCCTGCCTGCGCCGGGGCACGGTAGTTGATCGAGAGGTTGGCCGTGAGGCCGACCTTGTGGGGCAGCGCGGCGAAGCAGCAGCGCGCGAGGCCCTCGTCTAGCATCGTGGCGAGGAAGCCGCCGTGCACGATGCCTGGGTGGCCGCAGAGCTCGTCGCCGATGTACGAGATCGACACCAGCGAGCGCCCGCCGCGCTCCGCGAACGTCACCGGCGGCACCACCACGCGCCCGGGCCCCATCAGCGTGCCGCCCGTCAGGTTGTAGCCGCGGAACGGCTGCGGGATCTTGAGGTGTGGCCGCGACTCCGAGAATTCTGCCCGGCTCCGCAGCTCTCGCGTCAGCGGGTGGTTGTCGATGAACTCCTCCACCTCGCGCTCCTGGTCGTGCTCCGGCACGAACATGGCGAGCGTCTCCTCGTCCGTTGGCGGGTTCAGCACCCCCTTAATCGTCGGAATCGCCGGTGCTATGCTCATCGCGAACCCGATCGAGGTGCAGACAATGCCGATGACTAAGACGGTGGCAGCGCGGCGCTTGAGCGAGGGTTTCTGGTGTTGGTGCGGTTGCGGTAACGGTTTTGGTGGTGAGTACGTCGTCGACGGATCTCGAGCCGCTACTGTCTCTCTCCCCCCTCTCTCTCCGTTAGCCCAGCAAGAGAGGGTTGTGAGGGCGATATCCGGTTTCGGGGACCGTGTATGCTTGGGGGATAGCGTGACGCACCTGGAGAAGAGGATGTGCTGCTGGCCAGACAAGCAGACAGCGGGCGGCCCGGGCGCAGAGGCAGCCGCATATTTATACCCGGATAGGACGGGAGCTGGCGCCAGCGCGCCCCAGCGCGCAGGACCTGGGACGGCATTGGCATTCGAGGGACCATGTTTGTGTTGCGGATGCACGACAGCGAATGCGAGGCCGGGCGGTGGGGGAGGGGGGGGGACACTTCCGTAACCGGTTGCGCTAGATCTGGGTAATGCTAAGACGACTCCCTCGTCGACATATTCGCGACGATTCGTCGTCGTCTTACAGTCAGAGGCCGAGGCACGGGAGGGTGGGTGGTGTAGAGACAAGTTGTTGAGGGCGACCAAAACGCCGGGGTGCTCTTAGCTCCGGTGGGCGGGTGTGGGTTCGTTGCACATGCTCTGCCCATCGACGCCCCTTTTCCTTCCTATCGATAGCATCGCGATAAGCGCAAGACAACGTCTAGACGGGTAGTGCCCCCTGCTATGCACCGGTGGCACACGCATACTATGCAATATACCTACGTGATTACCATGATTACCAGCCTATGCAGCTATAGAGTATGGGTATAGGTAGTTGGCGCCCGGATAATGGCACCCTCACCGAGGCGTCTTGCCGACGACGCATACGTAGCACTGCCTATGTATTTCGTCGTGAACGGGTGAAGATGCATGCCTGCTACGTAGTACCTATATCTCTGCCTGCTTACAAGGTGGCCGAGTTCAACAAATAGGTAGGTAGGTAGGCATTACTAGACTAAGCGGTCTACCTTAGTCTTATACGCGGCCTTATCCGGCTCGCATAGTCTCTGTCTTTACCCATAAAAGGTCCCAACTTCTTCCCTCTGCCCGTCCGTGTTGGGGCTGATTAGGTAGGGATCCCTTCTGCTAAGCTCGGGGAGGAAATGCCTCGGCACATCTAGCCCGGTCGACGGGTGTTCAGTAGGTAGAGGTAGGGATGTCGAGCACCATGAGGTGTACCCCTTTTATCACATCAGTTGGCAATCTCAGGCCTCGGCGAGCTCCACGGTTGGTTTGGGACGTGGCGGCGCTCGATTCAACAAGACTAACTCCGATTCTCCCTACATCCAGAGTCCGATAGGAGCGCTGCCTAAGACATCTACGCACAAGGCCAACAAGAGCTGATCGATTTCTAATAATAGGAGGCGGCTACTCCATCCGCACTTGTGACTCTGTAGGGAGTTGCCTAGTTCGAATCGCCTGTTCGGCTTTACGTGGTTACCAACTTGTTCGTAGGCCAGCGCAAGAGACATACCATCTATCACATGACCACGGGCCACCCCCCCGCGGGCCACCCCTCAATACACCAAAAAACGCTAAAACAGGCCCTTTTATAAATTAAATAGCTTACCTAAATAAATTCGAAAAATTATAAAAACTAAACCAGATTAATACCCGTTACTTAATTAATCCCTAAAGCGCGCCGGAGCCCTAATTACGCGCGGTAATCGGACGCGTTATAGTAATTAAATATCTTACTTATCCTCGCTTAGTAGGCTTACAGCCTCTTCCTAAGCTACCGTTACTACTACCTTTTCTTATTACTATTATTACTCGATTACGGCTTCTAACGTAATATTAAGTAGCTATTAGCTATCCTAATCGTTCGCTAATATTTCGCAAAGGGATTAGAAGTGCTTATTTAGGTTAGGAATAGCCCTCCTTCTCGGCTAGCTTTTTAGCTCTAATTAAGCCATTAACGAAGAGATTTAGTAATCTGTCACGGAGTAGTTGAACTAGCCTATATAAGCCTACATATTAAGGAGGAGCAGAGCGTACGCGATGCTAGAGACCCGGATAGGTTTACTCGAAAGTACATTCTATCGAAGACTACAGTACGTACGATGGTCCAAAATAAATGAAACTAGTACCGCTATACTAATCGAGAGATAAGGAATTTAATGTAGTTATCGTATCTTAGCTATGCCCCTTAGTTATAGAGATATAATAATCGCTAGCCCGAAGGCATAAGAGGTAAGGAAAGAAAAGAGGTAAAACGTAAAAGTTACTTATTCGGCTATAGCGATACGACGAAGTAACTTAAGCGCCTATAATTAAAATAAATATACTAATCGGAAAACGACGAATCTAATAATAAAAACGAATCTTTAATTAAGGTAAAAATAATAAAGATAGTAATCTAGCTAGGTAATAAACTAAATAATAAGTATGGTATAGCCCGTACTTACGGGAGCTATAGTTACTTTATATAGGCATAAGGCCTATCGTAGCGTATTACGTAATGCATTAAGAGGGCATGTCTTACCGTACTACTATAATACCGCAAAGCGTAAATGTAGGCGTCTACGTTTTACGCGATATAATCTTTAAAAGCTAGCTTCGTATAAAAATCGTAATAATCGTTAGTAACGTTTTTAAGCGTTACGCGAATATTGAGGAGGAGTAGAGCGTACGCGATGCTGGAGACCCGGATAGGTTTACTCGAAAGTACACTCTATCGAAGACTATAGTACGTACGATGGTCCAAGATGGATGAAACTAATGTCGCTATACTAATTAAAAGGCAAGGAATTTAATGTAGTTATCGTATCTTAGCTATGCCCCTTAGTCGTAGGGATATAGTAGTCGCTAGCCCGAAGGTATAAGAGGTAAGGGGAAAAAGTAGTAAAAACACAAAAGTTACTTATTCGGCTATAGCGGTACGACGAAGTAACTTAAGCGCCTATAATTAAGATAAATATACTAATCGGAGAACGACGAATCTAATAATAAAAACGAATCTTTAATTAAGGTAAAAATGGTAAAGATAGTAATCTAGTTAGGTAATGAACTAGATAATAAGCATAGCATCTCCCGTACTTACGGGTACTATAGTTACTCTATATAGGTATAAGGCCTATCGTAGCGTATCACGTAATACATTAAGAGGGCATGTCTTACCGTACTACTATAATATATAAAGATCGATTAACGGCGAATTTCCTAGCCTTATTAATCGCGTTTAACGTCGAGACCTATACCTCTAAGCTCTCCTTTTTAAGGTTCTTTCGTTAGCTCGTTTTAGCTATATCTTTTTCCTATTAAAGCTTGAGGTATACTAATACCTTATTACGGCTTATTAACTAGTTCTTAATTACCCTAAAGCCGGTATAAACGTTTTTCTCGGTAAAGGTATCGATTCTCGCCGCGTATAAATAACATAAGAAGTTTAGCTTATTAATCGGCGCGGTACTCGTTAAGAAGTATAACTAATGTAGTGGTGCAGTGGATCTAGGCCACGTAGCCTTTTCGATGTGTATTTATATGGGTCGCACACTCATATTTTCATCAGTTAGACTTAGACCTGTAGACATCACGACCTACAGCCATTCACTCGTTTCTTACCATGCCTTTTCTCGCGATCCTCGTTGCCCTTTTCTAGTTCCCTTTCCCAGCTGCCGTTTTCAGCTGGCCGATCAACCGATTACAGCTGTTTACAGCTGTGATCTTGGTTGATCGGCACTGGGCCAGTTGTTGGCAGTTGGGTAGCCCTTTTCGTGCCTCCATCACAGCGTGCCCACGCTGCTCCTGTTCAATAGACATCGAAAAGGCTACGTAGCCTAGATCCACCGCACCACTACAATAGCTATATAATTCTATTTACTGCTGTTTTTAGCTAATAATACCTCCGGTAATACGTATCTGATTTAATCCGAAAAAACGCTAGATTAATAATAAAGCTCCATACGAATCATATTTATAGTATTTCCTAAATAACTTCAAAACTAATGGGAAGCGGTATAATCCAAAATGGCCTGTTTTAGCGTTTTTTAGTATATTAAGGGGTGGCCCGCGGAGGGGTGGCCCGTGGTCATGTGATAGATGGTATATGAAGCCGCTACCGACCTGGTGAACTAAGGGAGATGTGTCTAGGTATGTAGGCAAAGAGCCGGATGGCATCTCACTGATCGTCTACAGGCATCACTTCCGTTGGTAGGCAAGTGGTGGGTGGTTTGTATTGGTGGCAGTGGTGTTAGAATTAGTAGAGGTAGCTATCTAAATGTAGGTATTCGGCCTGCCTCTATGTATCTCAAGACTATAAGGCCGGTATTGTATATGCCTTCCCGCTGTCTCTATCCCGTCTCTTACCTGGCTAGGTATAAGTAGGTAAGTCAGGTCTCCCATGCCTATCCTGACAGGCAGGCAATTCTGTGTATGTAACCGGCAATGGTCACTACGGCGGACCGTAGGATCGGCCTACTGCCTCCAGCGCCTGACACACGACGCGGACGCCGGCGCTCGCCAGATCGGGAACGCATGATCTCATGGCGCCGTCATGACCATCACGTCTAACCGGCTACTTGGGGAAAACCTGCGCCAGCGACGAATCCAGCGTCTTTTCCTGCCATCCTTCCTTTCCCCATTCCCGAGTCGATTCTGGGATACCCTCACCTCACACCACTCTCGCGCGACCTCTAGGTCGAGTAGGCATTATTTGAACCTGCCCGCCCCCAGCACAGCCAGATCAGTACTTGGCCTTCGGACAGAAGCGCATCTCTGCAACTAACCGCAGCACCGTTTCTAAGCTCACCACCATTCGAATACTATCTTCGACTTCCCCGTCTACGATTCGCAACCCGCCAATCTTCCTCGCCAGACACTACCCGCCTCCAATCTGGGCATACGTACAGTGGTAGACGAGAGACCGCCACCATCATGGTTAGTAGCGACGCCAAACCTCCATCCCGCGCTCGGAATTGCCGAGGATAGTAAGGCATCGTCATCATCCCCCGCTGACACCACCCCCGCGCTCGCGCAGGCCACCGCCGAGACCGTCGAGCTGGGCGAGCCCCACGCTCCCCGGGAGGAATCCATCAAAGTGTTCAACGAGATCGAAGCCGACCTCAAGAAGACGCTGCTGCACATGAAGCACACCTATCTCAGTAAGCATCCCCCCCCCTCCCCTCCCTCTCTCTCGCCACCCCACCCCGCCGTTCCCCGCCGACTCCGGCGTCAGCGCGGGGGCGCAAAGGCCGAGAATGCGCCCGCACGTCGCAGAAACGAGAAATACAAAGAACGAAAAAAGAATGAAGCCACAATCGGCAAGGCCATCTCCAACCACTCCGCTCCCGCTAACCTCCGCCAGAGCACGAGCCCGAGTACTTCGCGGCGGTGCAGTCGCTGCCGGACGCGGCGCTGACGGGCTTCGGGGCCGTGGACCTGGAGCAAGTGCGGGTGGGCGCGTCGGCGTACGGCGTGCACCTGTTCGGCAAGGTGCGCATCCCCGCCGCCGGCGACCCGCCCGCCTACCTGCACTTCCGCGCCTTCGTCGGCGGCGACGGCCACGACCGCCCCGGCGTCGCCACCCTCCACGCCATCCACACCGAGGAGCGCCTCGTCCCCGCCGACGGCGACGGCGACGCCCCCGCCGACCGCCGCTACCGCGCCGTCTTCACCCGTGACGACCCCCTCGAGTGGTTCGATACCTAGCCTGCTGCGCCGGAACGGGGACCGGTTGCGAGGGGGAGGAAAGGCGTGGTTAGGTTAGATATTAGGTAGTGAGGGAAGGGAGAGGGAGAGGGGGAGATGAGAAAGTACCTACAACACGAAGAGAAAAAAAAACAGATATTGCTCAGCTTACACTGGGTTCTTCCCCTCCATAACCTAACGCGAGGCCCATTTAGTAAAGAAGCGCATCGGGTATCTTTTTATTTATCATTGCTGCAAGCTACCTGCCATCTCCCCATCCCTTGCTACTGCGAAAGGCAGAACGAGCAAACGGAGGAATTATGAGAAAAAAAAGCGCCCCTCCGTGACTATTTGCCATAAATGTTACCTACCCCTTTTACGACGGATATTCGCCACGCTATGTAATTTACGCCAATGGCGGCACGCGACCACCGCTCTAGGGGTCCTCCTAGTCCTCCTCCTCCTGCGCCAGCAACTCCGCGTAGTCGTCGACGGACGCGAAGGTCGGCAGGTTCTTGAGAGCCTTCCTGCGGGCGCTGCGCTCTGATAAGGGTTTCTTTTTCTCCTGCTCCCCCGCCCCCTCGTCCGCCGGCTCTCCGTCGTCGTCGTCGTCCTCCTCCTCCTGGGAGTCGTCCCAGAACTCGACGCCCCCGTCGTCTTCCGATTCTTCCCCGTCCTCCGCCATCGCCGCGCGCTCGTCCTCCTCCGAGTCGTCGAGCCCCATGAGGTCGTCGAAGTCGGCGTCGTCGCTGTCCGACTCCCCTCCCACCTCCGGGCGCGACAACACGAGCGCGTCCCAGATCTCGTCCTCTCCCACCTCCCCCAACCCCTCCCCCTCTCCTTCTGCGCCGTCCGCGGCCGCCTTCTTGCCCGCCTCGAGCTTCTTCTTGCGCTCCGCCTGCTCCGACTTGCCCACCCGCGTGAAGTACTCGTGGAAGAAGACGTCCTCGGCGGCCACATCCCCACTCTTCTTGTTCCAGAACTCCGCCGAGTTCAGCGACGGTCCCGCCGTCTTCGTCGATGCCCGGCTCGACAGGAGGATGTCGCCCTGGCCGCCGGCCGCGGCCGGCTGCATGATCGATACGCCCTTCGCTGCGTCGCCGGCCTTGGCGTTGCGGTAGACGAACTTGTCTAGGAACGCGATAAGCGTGTGGCTGGCTAGCTCCGGTTTCTGGGCGGCTTTCTGCCCGTTTAGTAGATTTGACGCGTAGATGCCCACCGAGGGGTGAAAATGTTTGAGGAATGGCAGCAGCTCCCACAGACAGCTGCGATGCGCGTTGCTGTACTCTGGGTCCCTCTTCCGCCCATCGTACGCGTTCGCACTCTTCGTAAACTGGGGTCCGAGTCCGTCAGTCTTATCCTCCGCCGGCGCATCCGAAGCTGGAGCCGGCGCGACCTCGTCCTCGTCTTGTTCCTCCGGCTCGTTCGTCAGCGTTTTCAGGTCCGGGAACGTTGCGGTGAGGTCGATTATGAGATAAAGAATACCGCAGACGAACGACGGTTGGTGCAAATTCAGGACCTGGAGCATTCTCTTGACGAATGCCTTTACGCGACGAACATCTACGTCAGACTTCAGGCTCTTGTACAGGAGATTGATATACAAGGCTTGCTTAGATGAGGTGAGAACGCGCGGGTCGAGTAGAGATTCGTAAAGGGTGCGGTAGAACCTGTCCGTGGCGAGATGTCGGTTGACTGCAAGTTGCTGGATGAGCATGAGAGCCTGGATGCTGGTATTGAAATTGGACGAATGCGTGATGCGGAACAATGTATCAAGATGAGACTCGAGTCTGGCAGCCGTTAGTAGTAGGTCTACGAAGTTGGTGGATATTGGGACTTATGATACTTACGTCGACTGCTCTGTTTGAGAGAACGGCACAGCCCGATTTACACCGGTGAGGATTGCTGACACGAGCTTTTCCGCAGACTCACGCTCGGGCGAATTGGCGGTATCCTTGTCGATAGGCTTCTTCGACGCCTTGCTCTTCAAGCCGCGTCTGTGCCTGTCTCCCTTAGAAGGTTCGGGGTCCATATCCTGCTGGCTGAGCTCTCCGTTCTTGAGCAAAGAGACGAAAAGACCGAAGTAGATATTGAGAAGAGAGTCCGCCGTCTGCGGTTCTTTGGCGCTCAGTATGGTTTGATTTAGAGTGTTTATGGCGTAGTATTTGGCGCGGATTTGCTGTCCGGGCCGAAATATGACGTCCTGCTCGATGTTGCGTATGACCACCTGCTTCATCCCAGGATGGGTATTCAAGAGCTGGAGAAGTAGGTACGAGGCCCTCGAGGCGATCTTGCGCTCGCGGTCGCCAAGCTTGTTCACAAGAAGGCGGAGGAGATTGGATTCTTGCTCGGGCTTATCTCGTAGCAAGGCGTACACCAGGTCGATAGCTTTGGTGCGGGCGTAATCGACTTCGTCGTCGCACCATACCTCCAGATTCTGGATTACCTTGAAATACGCCTCTTTCAGCCAGTCCTCAAAAATCCACGAGATCAAGTGCTCTTTGGTGATTCTGCCTGGAAGTTCCCGGCCGACCGACCAAGTTCTCAGGCCCTGCTTCTGTAGAGTCCCAATGAGGCCCAACTGCGAAGGGAAGGGGCGTAACCGCCTGTCTGACGGCAGGATCATCCCGGGCCCGAGAAGGTCGACTAGGGCGGAAAGGGCGGAAATAGCCTGTCCGCGACTCCTTTTTGCTGCTAACCCCATCAAAGTCTCTAGGGCCTTGATGTTATGAACTGGTGATTCCTGGATGGCTAAGGTTAGGGCAGAGACTTTATCTGACATGGTACCGGAGGACATGATGGTAGACATGAATTTGTGCGACGAGGATGCGGATAAAGTCTTGTTATACGCAGTGCTATCTTCCTCCAAGACGGACTTGGCGTATGCCTTCAACCCGGCTATCGCGGCTGCATACGGCGTTACGTCGTCAGAAGCCGGCGTTGGGAGCGTTCTTAAACCGGCAGCATGCCAGTCAGGGCGGGGCTCGAAGGCCTTTAGGAAAATTAGTCGAGCCCGGGCAGAATTCGAATCTCGAGAGACGCTTACTGACCGTCTTCCTTTTCGGGTCTCTCAGGGGCATTTTGTCCGGGTTCGGTTCCGGCGTGGCTGACTGTCGATCCTCGCCGCCACCATCGTCCACGTCGTCGGGGGCGTCCATGTTATCATCAGACTCTTCAGTCTCCGACTCCGGGTTCACGTTCTCGAAGCCAAGGCCGGCAGCAAATTTGGCTAGCTCGGCCTGTAAACTCTTGTCGGTATCTTTCTTTCCCTTGTCATTGCGGAGCTCTTCATCGTCAGAGTCTACATCCCCCACCAGCTTCAAGTCGTCCTCATCTCCACCTAGGGCTCTGATCTCATCCAGGAAGGCATTGGATGTGGCTTTCGCGGGAGCGGCGTTCGGCTTGTGGCTCTTTGCTTTTGGAGCATTCTTGTGGGTGTTTTTAGCCTTATCGGGATTCGAGGTATTCGTTCTCTTATTCGGCCGGGCCTGAGACGAATCGACTGTCGGATCGCGTTTCCTCTTGCCGTGGTCCTTCTTGCCGTGGTCCTTCTTGCCTGGGTCCTTCTTGCCTGGGTCCTTCTTGCCTGGGGGCTTTGTAGGTACAGCAAGCCTGCTGTCGATCTTGGCGGTCAATTTCGCTAGGCTTGCTTCGTCAAAAGTGGCCATTGGAACGGAGGGCGTGAGTCCGGGGTGGTCGGTTAGTTGGCGTAGCAATAATGATGGGAGACCCGGGTCGGAGGTTCGGGTGGGCGTGATTTAGGAAATAATCATGCCCGGCGCGCGCACCATCAAGCCTGAGGTGAAAGCTGTATGCGTTCCAATACGAGCGAGTCTGGGAAATTTAGACTGTTGCTAGGAAGGGGAAAAAAAAAAAAAACCTTGGAGGGGCGAGGCTGACTTGTCACGACTAGGCCGACATTGACCAATAGGAGCGGATTCTCTACCAACATCCTAATGCAAGGCTTTGAGAATTGCCCCATAGTAATAATTTCGGCGTTGTTGGCTGTGAAGATGTCTCACCTAACCCAGCGTATTATGTCAGCGCGAAAAAAAATACTTCGGTACCTAGGTACCTACCTACCTGTACTCTTGAGAAGGGTCATGGAAGTACCAAAGTACCACTCTAGGTACCTAAGGTACCTAGATACCCAAGTATGTTTTTTTTTTTACTTAGGTAGGTACAACTTTCCTGTATGTGGGCTTCGAAAGCTCCCAATGTCTCGAAGTTTTTCATATCGAGACTCGTAATTTTCTCATAAATAGGCCAGGTGACGGACGTGCTTCGCTAGAGTGCCTCTTTTATAACCAAATCTTTCACGCATCTTATATCCGAAGGATCGTGCGGCACTCGCGATACCTAGGTAACTTAGTTGCATCTCGCCTCGACTAGGAATCTCTTTACTTGGCCTGGTACTGCTAGCGATGCGAGGACCGAGATGATGCGCCTGTCACGTATCCGAGGGAGACGACATCCCCCCATATTCCAGCTTCTGAGAGCCGAGAGCACGCTGGCCCCGGAGTTTGACGGGCCAACAACCTCTCCATTCACTCGCCGGTCCCGGTTCTGGACACCTGTGGTGGGGATGGCTTGCCCTAAAGATGAGGGCATGTGCTTTCTGTTCCTGTGATACTCGGGCGTCCGTCCTAATTTTCAATCCAGATTTTCATAGTCTGTTAATTCGCGCCGGCTACCTTCGTCAGGTGGGTGTCCAGAACCGCTGGTCGCTTTGCTCTGCGTCTCTTTGCTCCGCGTCGCTTAGTAGAATCTAACTGGCCGTGTCAAAGTCCCAATCGGGGATATTCCATATGCTGCCTCTAGGCCTGAGGGTAGAGAAAAAGCTAGAACGGTTGATAGACAAACATATGGCGATGATCGGTGAGACTTGCTTGGCCCGAGTCCGACACGTTCCTTATTACTTACCGTCTCTGTCGGTTGCAAGGTGCGAGCAAGATTTCCCTATCGTCGATCTCATCCCAAGCACTATGGGAAACAACGGGTCGACTCGAAGGCTATGGTCCGGAGGTACTTATGCCCTACCCGATCCTCGAGAAATGCCTCCATCTGCAGATATATCGCTGATGTATTATGACATCTACCTAGTTATTTCGGTTTACCGACAGGAAAAATTACCCCTACTTACTTGCACCCACCCACGAGGAAGAGATTACTGCGCTTGTAGCGAAGACCGTTCAATCCTATAAGGATCTCCCCTTGAAGCTCTACCAGATCGGCAAGCAACCTTGAAACCCCTACCTCGGATTTTAAGCTTACTTTGCCAGGTCGCAAGTACCGCGACGAGATCCGCCCGCGCTACGGGCTGCTGCGGTCTAGGGAGTTCGTCATGAAGGATCTTTACACCTTTGACTATTCCGTCAAAACCGCCCTCAGGACGTATGCAGAGGTGGGAGCCGCGTATTCTCGACTCTTCCGAGAGTTAAAGCTGCCCGTCTTAGTTGCCGAGGCGAGTTCCGGTGATATCGGGGGGGATCTGAGCCACGAGTATCACCTCCCCACTGCGATCGGGGACGATGCCGTAGTGAGTTGTAGCAGCTGCGACTATGTTGCCAACGAGGAGCTCGCTACTACGCGCCCACTGCCCCCCCTGTCCGCTTCTTCTGTGAACCCATCGCTAGACCTCTCATCCGCCTATGTTTGGCGCGGCATCTCCAAGGACAGGTCGATCTTGGTGAATGTCTGGTGTCCCGCGTCGTTCTCATGTGATGACGTTAATATGTACGCCATCAAGTCAGTTCTTCCCGAACTCGACTCTAGCCTCAACGACTCGGTGTCATTCTGGCATTCTGACGGCTACAAAACCAAGACCTCCGGCTCGAGAATGCCAGTAAAACTGGTCAACCTTGTGGACCACAGATTCGGCTCCCGTTTCGCCGATATCGTCATGGACGGTTCGAATCGAAAATCGCTACTACCGGAAAGCAGCGATCTCGACACCGACTCCCTCACTGTCGAGTGCATAACCTCGACGGCCCAAGGCAGGCCTCTCAATCTTATCCGCATCCGCGACGACGACTACTGCCCGCGCTGCGATTTCGGGAAGCTTAGGATCCAGAAGGCAATCGAGCTCGGGCACACGTTCCACCTGGGGACGCGGTACTCGGCGCAGCTCGAGGCACTGACACGGCTGCCGAGTGACCTTGTCAAGGAGAAGGGCAGCCACCGCGGTTCGACGATGATGCCGCTGGAGATGGGATGCTACGGGATCGGGCTGTCGCGCATCGTCGGGGCGGCGGCGGACTACCTGGCAGATGAGAGGGGGCTCAATTGGCCGCGGGCGATCGCGCCGTTCGAGGCGGTCGTGATCGCGACGCCGGAAAACGAGGGGGACGCAGCCACTGTCGCGCAGACCCTGGCCGCGGGCCTGGGCGGTCGGCACCCTCTCATCGACGTCTTGCTCGATGACCGCCATGAAACGATTCCCTGGAGACTCAACGACGCGGACATCATCGGCTACCCCGTCGTCGTCGTTCTCGGCAGGAACTGGGTCAAGGGGCGCGTCTGCGAGGTCCAGTGCCGCAGGCTCGACCGCAAGGAGGACGTCCCGGTCACTGACGTGCCCGCCCACGTCACTAGGCTCCTCGCTCACCTATAAGGAGGAGGAGGAGGAGATGGACACCCGACCCCTCCACACTCTCTCGTAGGATGTTCGCGTCCTGCTGTGCCCGAATACTAAGGGCGCGGAAAGGAATCTAGTGTAGAACCGAATCCGAGGTCCCGCAACTCGCGCCTGTATTATACCCCGAACCGCGTGCGTCCCTTTATTGACGTGCGTGAGACTGTGTTTTATAGATAATTGCAGATGGGGCAATGCGCCTCGTAGAATACCTCGTAGAGCCAACTTTCTACATATATATCTCCACGGCTCAACCGAGCCAAGTTTGGATAAACTAGAACTGTGCGTCCAGACTCCTTCTCCATCACGACATATATGTATCTAGCCGCCACCCCTGAACAAGATAAATATATGTAACAGTACGAGGTGTCTCAAGTATCGCGAGATCGCCTCGCTTTTGTCTCTGCATCTGTCTCAATCTATCGTTGGTGTGATAGATGGTCTGCATAAATGTACCGGCATCCCTTGCAATCAGTCTTCAGCAAGTCGATCTTAAGAACCCAGGAGGGTATCAATCAACGGATCGCACCTTAGGCCAAAGTGTTGATGGCTGCTAAATAAGTCAAGTATATTACCTATACCTAATAGTGCAAGCTTCGTATCTAGTCGTCATGGTGCACACCCACGTTTGTGCAGGCCTATACGTTAGCATATTCGGACTGGTCGATAGGTTATTGTTACTACTCGGTAGACAAAGAAACGGAATGGAGTGTCTGCAATGTATGAGGTGGCCGGCACAACGCGACACGATGTCTTATGAAGATGCATGGGTCCCTGTCAGTCTAAGCGAGCGCCCGTTACCGACTCGGCCCCCCGCGGCCACCACCTCTATATATCTACTTCCGCATCCAAATTAGCCCGCTCGCTCGCGGTCGGGGGTTTGGGCGGGGGACGCGCTCGGCGAGCATACCGACGGGTGGCCTAACAGAGGGAGGAGAGAGAGGGGGAGAGGAGAAGACGAGGGGAGGGGGTGGCCGTGGCTCTCCCGCTTTCAGTCTGGCGTGCTTCAATAGCACGAATGTTGGCATCCACGCAGATACGACCTTCCTCGGTAATCCGCGGTGAATCTCGGAAGATAGAGAGAGAAGGGCGAAGGAGGGGGCTATATAGGTGCAGGCATATATCATCTGGTGGTAATGTTGGCTAACATCGATCGAGGATTCGGTTGGCCGATATAGGGGGGCGATACTTGAATGGCCGATGGCCGAAAGCGTCGAGTGGGTTGTGTAGGATTGACTTGGCTGCGAGAAATTGCGCGAGCTCCTCGACAATCCCAAGAATCGTGCAGCTGGCGGTTTTGGCCTCCAGCTTTACCTCTTCGCATTGCGCATGGCGGTCCTTGAGGTTTCTATCCCCGCATTCTCCTCACCAATATATGTCGAGATTGCTGACAAGCCACCTGCCTTTATAGGGCGACATGCTGATGGCTCCCTCGAAGATTCTTAAGAACCTGCTGGCGGCGGTCTTATACCGCGAAGTAGTGGCCGTAACAGCACTCCCGAGGGCGAACCCCGTCGTTTCGGTGCTGAACGGTAGCTACGAAGGACTATACCTCCCCGGCTTTAACCAGGAGGCGTTCCTCGGCGTGCCCTATGCCCAGGACACAGGCGGTTGGAACCGCTTTCGGATCCCGCAATCCTTGGATGAGACGTGGTACGGTACACGAGACGCTAAGACCTATGGTGATGCGTGCCCGGACTACAGGCCGCGAAATGATGCCTATGGCATGAGCGAGAACTGTCTCAGTATCAACATTGTGCGGCCGGCCGGCCTCGAAAATAACACTGCCCGGCTTCCCGTCATGCTGTGGATCCATGGCGGTGGATACCAGTACGGAAGCAGCGGGCTTCCAGCGTATAACCTCACATACCTGGTGCAGAAATCGGTAGAGATCGGCCTGCCCGTCATCGGGGCCAGTATAAACTACAGGAAAGGAGGCTGGGGGAACTTGTATTCCATTGAGATCCAGGTGAGCGGGTTCAACGCCCCGCGAGGCTCAGCTGTGCGGGAAAGAACTGTTTCGCTGACCGGAGCGTGAAGGGATCCGGAAACACCAACCTGGCGGTGCGAGATATGCGCAAAGCGTTAGCCTGGGTTCAAGAAAACATCGAGAGTTTCGGTGGCGACGCCTCGTCGGTGACCATTTGGGGGCAGTCGGCTGGGTCATTCGCTGTGGTACGTTCAAAGTAGCTCGTTCTCGTGAGAGGATGGCCCTGGGAGCAGACTATACGCTCGTAGGTGAGAGGCCGGGTCTGCGAGACGGTGAGCTGACGTGCAGTCCCTTCGGTATAGGGTCAGCTCTTGATAAGCTATGGAGGGAAAACCGACGGACTTTTCCACCGGTCCATCCAGCAAAGTGGCAGCGCGACGACTGCGTGGTGCAATGGGTCGGACTGGTACCAGCCGATCTACAACAACATCGTCAACCAGGTCAACTGCAACTTGGCGCCAGATACACTAGAATGCTTGCGGACGGTCGACTACGAGACCCTGTACCCTTTCCTGAACTCGTCGGCCGTTCCCGGCCCCGGCTTCTATCCTACGGTCGGTGGGTTACCCAGCAATCCCCCCCCCTTACACCCCCCTAGCTGCAGATCGAGGGGCAATGATCTGGAGGCGAGCGCGTCCATGCTGACGCATAGAAAAGATGGCGATGTCCTCCCGAATTATCCTTCAGAGCTCCTGCGAGCCGGGCGCTTCGCACGTGTTCCGCACATATACGGCATCACCACGGACGAAGGGACCGACAATGCGCCTGTAGGTGTCATCAATACCGATACTGACTTGCGGAAATACCTGCTCCACGGTGTAGGGTTTGATTTCCCGTCCACAACCGTCGACCACATCCTGGAGTTGTATCCGGACGACCCAGCGCAGGGCATTCCAGCCGATACGGGCGCGGAACGCTTCGCAGACCTGGGGTGGCAGTACAAGCGCATTGCGGCTATCGTGGGCGACATCTTCTATCACGCGCCGCGGAGATACGATGTGCGTAAATACACATCCTGGGGCAACCCGACGTATTCATACAGGTTCAACACGCGGCCGTGGCGTGAGAACACCACGTCCACAGCACCCGATAGCAATGCTACCGGGGGACTTGCTCCCGCGTCGGAGGGTGTCGCGCACTTCAGCGAAGTTGCTTTTGTCTTTGCGAATCCGACGACGGTAGGACCCTGGCCGGCGTATCGGAGGCTGAGCGACCAGCTAAGCAGCCAATGGATTCGTTTCGCGCACACCGGGAATCCGAACGGACCAGGACTGCCGAAATGGCCGCGATACGACGAGAAGGAGGTCGGACTCAACCTGGTGCTGCAGACAGAGACCCAGGGCGGGACATATGTCGAGGAGGACACGTACCGGCTCGCAGGCCGCGAGTACCTGACGCACTGGGCAAGGAGGAGACATGTATAAGGAGCAGGAGAGCTAGTTCGAAAGCACAGAGAAACAAAAATGCCCCTTCTGTCACGTCGGGCATCCGTACGGTGTCTACGCTGTCGCAACTTGACACACGATCTTGTGGGGTTAGCTGGTTGACGGCAGTGGTGGACGTAGATAGACGTTCTCAGCGGCAGGCAGACGACGATCCGACCGCCGCCTAAGGAGGCCCTGCACCTTAACCAGCCGTTAGTGAAGCCGTCATTCTATACGAAACCGTCGATACGGTGTAAATCGGAGAGGATCGAAGGGAAAGCGCAGGCAACAGCACCCAATGTGAAATCAGCATTGCCGTAAAGAGGAAAAGCTCGACTCGTTGATGGAGTGGCTCGTGTTGGGCTTGATACGACGGTTGGAGGTTGCGCTAGGAACAGAAGATGACGGTCGAGAGATGCTAGGTACCTAACGTAGGTGATGGTGCTGGTTATCGGTGCCGCTACTATAAGAGGTAGTAGGATAGGTAGGTACCCAGAAAGTACCCGACCCGACGAAGTACCTACCTGACGAAGCACCTGAGGCGGGCGGAATATATGAGTGGAGCTGGAGCATATGAAAGTTCCAGGCGGGTATTGTTGACTGCAAGAGGTACCTGAGCCAAGACACCAAGTCACAGGACCTCGCGACCGCTTCCAGGCGCCCCCCCGCATCTGCCCGCTGTTACCCCTGTAGATGCAGTGAAAGCCCCCTGTGGGCGACTGCATGCCGCGCATTTCTCTAGGCTACCGTGGCGCCAGGCAGCTCCGGCCCCTCGACGGTGCGTTCAGCTACTCAACAACCCGTCCAGAACCGCCAATGTTAGCGCAACCTCTCGTCTCCTCCCTCTGCTACGCCATCAATACCATGGCGCCACATCGTTTCCCGCTTCCCGTCCTCCCTTCAGCCCTCCAGGCAGGTCTGCCTGATCTGCCTGATCTGCCTGGTCGTCGTGACACGTTCTCTCCTCGATCACTCGCTCCTGCGTCTCTGTGCCCTCGTTCGTCCCGTCGAGATCGATGGTCTCTACCCTCTATAAATGAAGAGGCATCGCCCAGCTCGTCCCATTCTGTTGACGTAAATGCCCTTCGTTGAAGCTGCTCGCCTCTGTTCTGTGCCCGGACTTATACCATCGCTGCTACGTTCTGCTATGCCCACATCCTACTCCCGTGCTGGAATTTATCTTGAATACACACGCGCGCATATAGATTGATTCCCTTCCCATCCCTATTATCATTCTCCCTCTGCTATTTGAATCCCGAGCTGAGCCGAGCCGAGCTCAAGCCGCTCATCATGACTGCTACCGTCCTCCCCAAGCTACCCGTGGCTCACGATGAGCTGGTCAATTATATTGCCAGCCACCCTGAGGTCCCCGTGAGGCAGCTGATGGAGCCCTATCGCCAGTTCGAAGCCAAACTGCGTGAGGTCTACGCTCAGGAACGCACCAACCCCATCCTCGACGACCCCTACCTCAATATCTTGCCCGTTTTCAACGAGAACACGCTCAATATCAAGACGCGTGCCCGCAATCCCGAGGCCGAGCCTCCCGCTGAGAGGAACCGGTACATCATGGTTCTGCCTGACGATAAGCGCCGCAAGAACGGCTCGCCCGCGGTCGTCGAGTCTCTCCGCGAGTTCCGTGACAACTTTAGCGTCTTCTCCGAGTCGTCGCTCGCCGATATGGACTGGAGTAACATCGTTGCCGCCGGCTCCTCTGTTGTCAACTGCCTGCTCCCCGTCCCCGTGGAGTATAAGAAATCCAAGAGAGCTCTACGCCAGTACTACCATGAGAAGTTCTGCCCAGCTTCCGATGTGGATCTGTTCTTGTATGGCCTCACTGAGGAGCAGGCCATCGAGAAGATCAAGGATATCGAAGCCCGCGTTCGTGACGCGATCCTCTCCGAGGTCACCGTGGTGAGAACCAAGAATGCCATCACGATTTGTAAGTTGGCCGCCGTCCTTGCCTGCGTCATGGTGATGACCTAATACTAGTCGCCAAACAATAGGCAGTCAATATCCCACCCGCCACATCCAGGTACGGATCTTCCTACGTCGCGATGCTCTTTGATCGTAGCTGACAGCTCTCCTTTCAGATTGTCCTTCGAGTGTACAAATCTGTCTCGGAAATTCTCACAGGCTTTGACATTGACTGTTCCGGTGCCGCCTATGACGGGGAGCAAGTTTACTGTACTCCTCGAGCTCTGGCTTCGTACATTACCCAGATCAATCCGATCGATCTCAGCCGGCGAAGCCCGTCCTACGAGAACCGTCTGTCCAAGTACAGCCATCGGAATTTCGAGGTGTACTGGCAAGAGCTTGATCGGTCTCGTATTGACCCTACCATCTACGAGCGCAGCTTCCAGAGGACGCTGGGGCTTGCCCGCCTACTCATCCTGGAGCGTTTGCCAACCACGAGCGCCAGGGAGGAATACCTCAGGAAGCGACGAGAGGAACGTGGAAGGCCAGGAATGGGCTACCGCTACTATCACCGCCTCGCAGGAAATATCAAGGACAATCATGAAGACGAAGTCGCCGACTGGGTGGACGAGGAAGAGGTCTCCAACTACCATACCTTCACCGTCCCTTACGGCGCTAAGTTCCACGCCAAGAAGATCGAAAAGCTCTGCTATACTAAAGATCTGCGTGAGTGCCACCGCTCCTTCTCCTACCATATTCCATGGCCCCGGTGGCTCTAACCATGACGTAGTTCTAAATGCCGAATGGAATCAGCCCAAGGAAAGGGAGATCTACCTCCATAGACACCCTGCATTCTTTGGACGAGTTAAAGATGTAAGTCATCGCGGCACGGCGTCTTGATACGAAGCCGATTCTGACAGGCACAAGGTCATCGAGGACTGCTGCGGAACCTGCCCAAAGGCAAAGACTCCCGAAGAGGTTGAGCTAGCCGAGAAGGAAAGCGAGATTTATGTGTCGGGGAGGGTCTCTTTTCGCATTGACGATCCGGGTAGACAGGTTAGCGACCCTTACGACCAGACGCTGTCTCGCAATACTAACCACATCCGCAGCAAATCGGCTCATTCAACCCGCTTACAGAAGACGACTGGACGGAGATGGCATACGTGGGCAATACAGCTCGCCTATGCCAGGCTATCGTTGACGAGGACCTCGAACATGTTGAGGATTGGCTTTCCCAAGAGGGTGCCGATCCCAACAGGAGAGATTACACTGGCCGAACCCCGTTGCATCTCGCCGTCATGAGCTCCACGCCCGAGATCGTTAAATGCCTGGTTGATCATGGTGCACGTCTCATTGCTCGCCTGGCCGACGGTCGCACCGCGCTTCACCTGGCTGCGGGACGCGGGAACGTCGAAATAGTCAAGGTTCTCCTGGAGAAGAGTGCCGCAAACGAGGAAGAAGAAGAGGAAAAGCGGGATCAGCGCCGCAAGGCCCTCTACGCAGCACATAAGGAGGCCCAGGAAGACAATCCGGAAGAGGTGCTGGGCGTTACAAGTCCCAATCGCGATTCTGACCACGAGGACTCTGATGGGGAGATGGTAAGCATAGCGGCGTCCGACGATGACGTACAGACGATCACCACAGCATCGTTCGTCAAAGTCGACAAAGACGACGCTGCGGCGGGGGGTGCCGAGCCAGCAGCTCTCGACGACCAGGGAGAACCGGATTTCTACAAGATCGATGTTGTTGCTTGGGATTCGCACTGCAGCCCCCTACACCTTGCCATCCTCGGCGGTCACTGCGAAACCGTCAAGCTTCTGTGCCAGGAGTTTGGCGCCGACGTCCTGCTTCCCATTAAATTTGGTGAAGGGACGTGGGACCATCCCCACGTCGTGATCCTCTCCATGGTTTTGGCCTTGGCACTCTCGGTTGATAAAGCCATACGTATGACCGAGACTTTATTGAGCTTGGGCGCGACGTCTTCGCAGGCCGACATGTATGGTGTAACTGCGTTCCATCGGTTTGTCCACAACGGAGTGCCCGAACTGATCGAGAAACTGGTATGTCATCTCTATACTGATATCCATCCCTCGTGTGTCTTTCCTAGAGCCTATGGTACTACTCGTGAATCTTCACTGACATTGGCTTGTCCTAGTGGGAGAACGATAAGATCGGCGTCAAGGCAGCCCTCAATCACCTTGCCGTTCAGGGAACGTACTATAGTAATGGCCCTTGCGCCAGCCCGTTGCTGTCGGCTATAGAAAATGGCGACGCAATCCTAGTTCTGAAATTACTTGACGCAGGAGCGAAGCCCCAAATAGAGTATGACTCGTGGCTCAGGGGTGCCAAGCAGGTCTTTGAGAGGGATCTCCGAGTAAGTTTATATACTCTTCGCCGCCGTTTCGCTTTGGCACGCACGCGTCGTTAAAAAATGCATGAGAAGGCCATTCACTTCCCATTGACCCCGACACGTAAACACCTACTTACTAGAAACCAACAGGACTACGGCTCGAATCTTAAGCTCTTCCGCAAGAGTGCTGACCAACCCCTGATAGTGGCAATTAGGTCACCAAATCCGTCTGTCGCTATCGATTTACTAGAGAGGGGAGCAGATCCCAATGCTCTCACCAAGGTTGGCCATCGTGCCTTGCTGGATTCATGGGCTTATGCGCAGAACAAAGGCGAATCTGCGCTCGATGTCACTCGCAATTTGCTGGACAAATTTCGCGAGTATGCAGATGAGCTCTCTGGGTTGGAACAAACGTCTGAGCCCGGGAAGCCACCTGCTTTCTACAGCACCGTATTGGGTAAAGAGTTAATACCACCACTGGAACCTTTGGGAGCTCCGGAGTTCCTAGCTAAGTTCACCGAGGGGACATACCAGCATTGGTTGGTCTCCAGGGATATCGCCAAGGCACATGACACCTACAAACAGGAGTTGGAGACGTTCGGTAAGCAGAGAGCAAAAGCTCTCAGTGGAGGGGGGTTGAAGATGAAGTTGGAAGCCGTTGAGGATATTATTTCTCAACTTGAAAGGGTTGAGAAGGCCCTCGAGGTGAATGGAGCAAAGACTTTCAAGGAACTACATCCTCAGATCCAAGGGCCGATCACAGGCACGCCTCAACATCTCGAGCAGAAGCCCTATTCTCTAGAGTTTACGTTTGGCAACGTCGTAGACATCACAGACGCACGAAAGGCTGCCTATATCAAGCTGTAAGCCCACCCCGACGGTATTCTCTTGTTTTCGTCCTACTAATGTGTTTTTCTTTTATTCAGCTTCGAAGCGGCGTGGGCTGGCGATCTCGAAACGATCAAGTCTCTAACCCTCGCTTCATGGGACGCAGACCAGCAGGAGCCGCCCTTAAAGGTGGCTGTGTGGGATAATAGTCATAACAATCCCGTCTCACTAGCGTTTCTTAGGGGACATTATGCGGTCGCGAAAGCGATACTAGAAATCGCACAAGCACAATGGGCACCGGCGGATGAGAAGACGACTCGCTTCACGATGAATGGGGACCCTGAGGGGGAATCGGATGGAGATTCGTACAACTCTGATTGCGACTCCAACGAAGACGGACTCGGAGTACGTGAGAAGGTCATCGAAGATCAATTCACAATCGAGAACGTTGGCCAAGTGTCCATGAAGGTAAAGAGTCAGACCCTTGCGAGCGCCGTCCTCACTTGGGCAACCCCAACCTTCACACTGCGTGACGGCGTACTGAAAAACACGGACCACCGGGAGAACCTAATTACCTTCGCCATACGTGAGAACGACGTGGAAGCGTTCAAATTCTTAATCAACCTAAGCATCCAGCTCGCCAGAGAAGAGCCTGTTACTGATAACGAGTCGAGCCGATTCTACACGCTTCCTCGGAGCGATTTCGACTATGCCGTGCGCCTTGGCCGAATAGAAATGCTTGCGGAGGCTATCAGGCGAACTGGTGCTGGCATCCCTCTAGAGGACTTGGTGAAGAAGACGGGCACAGAATTAAAGGTAAAGCCGCGCTATTACCAAGGTTTGAACGTGTACGGGAAAAAGAGGGCGGATTGGGCCAATGCTGGCCGCAACCTCATGCATAGGCCTAGAGGCGGCAACGAGGCCCCGCCGTTGCTCACTGCCGCGGCTGAAGGCTCTCTAGAATCCGCGGAATGGTTTATCAGCGACGCGCCGATGAGGCACTACGCAGAATTCGGCAAGTCGAAGGTTGCTAAGGAGGACCCCCGTCTTAAACATCTCAACGAGGCGCGCGGGGGGTTTGACAGAGCTATCGCTAAATGGCTTGGTGTCCAAAGTGAGTCTGGATTCTCTTGTCATGCTTTCTCTTCCCTCTAACACTCGCTAGATGATCTTGCCATCCACTGCGTGGTAATAAGGGCCAAGGAAGGGGATGCCAATAGAGTCCTCGAGTACCTGATCAGGGTGTGCCCGGCTTCCTTGGAGGCCAAATCCGCCCAGGGATATACTCCCTTGTTCCTAGCCTGCCGCCTCGGGAGAGTCGAATTCGTAAAGGCGCTCATCGATGCTGGCGCAGACCAGTCCGTTAAAGACAAGGAGCTGAATACCATCGTCCATGCCGCTCTAAGGAACAGGCCGCATCTGATTAAGCTACGGGAGCTCTTAAACCTCCTTGATCCTGATCTGAGGTCTCACATGTTCCTTCAGCGAAACACCCTCTCTTCTGGTGGCAATACACCCCTGCACTACTGGCTTCGGGAAGCCAATCCACTCATTTACACGTGGGACTACAGCGCATATTCGAGTCCGAATAGATGCCTCGACCGTGAGAAGGCAGAAAACGTTGAGGTTTTGCGCCTGATACTCGAGTTTTCGGGTGGAGCTGAACTCGATATCTTAAACGGTTCTGGTGATACCATTCTGCATACTGCCGTAATTCTTCACCTCCCAGAACACATTCGGGTGATATTGGCGCAGAATTTCAACCTCATATATCGCGAAAACGCAGTCGGCCGTACTCCGAGCGAGATCGCCTACGACATCTGGATCAACTCTCGGGTAGAGACGGCGGAAAAAGTCGTGGCCAGCAGCGACGACGGGACTGAAATCACGCGGCTAAAGAAGAGATGCCCTAGGGACTTCCTTGAGAATGGGTCGAAGGGGGCAAAGAAGCCTAGGCCGGACCGCAAGAAGCTCACGTGGGATCTCTTCGAGGAACATCTTGCCAAAGGAAGCGCCAAGCGCCGTCTCGTCAGTCTGAACGAGGCAAACGACGTGGCCAAGAGGCTGGGCGAGCGCTATGCGTCGCAGCGATACTTCTGGAAGGGGCCAAAGACCGAGGAGGAGGACGACGAAGAGCCGAAGCCCCAGCAGGAGGAGGAGCAGGTGGCGGATTATGTCCAAAAGAACTACGCGGATTCGTCAGCATGGCACTACCCCGTGGAGAAGCCCGATGCTTATTACTGTTTCGATTGCGAAACATACCACTAGTTGGATCTCTCTCTCTGCCTCCCCCCCCCCCTCTCTTCTCTTTGTCATGGACTTGATTTTAGATCGGCAGCCAACCAGTATGGCAAATCGTAGACGCTCGAGGCCGTGTCACTTGCGGACGGCTTCGAGAAGTACCAACGAGATGGACCAGGGATGAGCGGAACGGGAGGGTCGCATTCCTTGACATGGTTTACGATTGGGGTCTCGCGTGTTTCTATCTCTCTACCCAGATTACCAAATTGGAAATTCAACTTGGTCACTATCTTCCTCCCTAATTGTAACCCTCGCGCGTAACTGGCCCGCCTTTGGCGACGCACCCGCGACTTGATGGTTGAGGGAACATGGGAGGGGGGATACTGATTCAACCCAACTCCTCCATAACAGGAAGGACTGCGGGCTTCAGCCAACATGGTATCTCACTACTAAGAATAGCGTACAAGAGAAATAGTTGCCTAGCTAATATAGCTATACTTAGGACCGACTTTCATTCATATCAGGAAGCGAGAGGCCATAGAGGGAATAGGTTTGGTGAAGTGCCACGGCCGGAGGCTCAGATTTATAGGCCAAATATATATCTAAAAGGACCCCATGTCTAGTTTCTACGCACATAAGAAACCCGGGTAGTCATAATGCTACCCTCGCCCAGCCTCCAAGCCGGAGTGATCCCTATATCCCTCTCAACGAGCGCAAGAAGCGAGGACACATCGATAAGCCAAGCTACTCTCTATGTTTATTCCCCTCCTAAGTTTTTTTTTTCCCTTTTCTGTAACCAAATCCAACGCGTTTACCAAACGCCAAAAGTTCTACACAACTTCCTTCCCACATTCCCCTATCTCTATTGCGTTCCCTTCCACAAGGAAAAGAAGAAAGGAGGCGTGAAAAAGAAAAGAACTAGGAAAATCTATAGGTACGGAGGACGAGAGTGGGGCAAAGGGTGGGTATTAGCTACTTTCGGGTTTCTCTCGCCTTAACCGTCGACGAACGCCTCGTTCTTAGCCTTCTGCGTGGTCTCGTCGGCGCTCCCGTCCTGGTTTGTCGAAGGGCGGTTCGCGATTAGACGCTGGTGTTGGGCGGGGATTGCGACTGTCAGCGCTTGCTTCTCTAGGGGAAGATAACAGAGCAAGATGACGATAGGAGGGGAAAAAAAAACAAGGAAAATGGGAAGATGGAGAACGGGACGTACCACGAGGTTTCTCAGCAGGACGGCGATGGTGACCTTGCCGACGGAGGGGACGTAGATGGCGGCACGCTCCTTGACGGCGGGGCCGTCGAAGTTGCGGAAGGAGGAGAAGTTGATGCAGACGGCGCCGTCGCGGAGGAGGTCGACGGGGACCTTGTAGGACTCGGCGGGGACGCCGGCGACGACGACGTCGCTGAGGGGGAGGCAGTCGGCGAGGGACCAGCCGGGCTTGTCCTCGACCTGGTGGCGGGGGTGGCGGATGCCGCGGCCGCGGGTGAAGAGCTGGACACCGGTGAGGTCGACCGAGTAGACGGCGGCGCCGTCGTTGGCGAGCAGGGCGGCGAGCGGGCGGCCGTTGACCTCGGAGCGGTTGATGACGGTGACGGTGCGGCCGAAGAGGCGGTTGCCGGGCGGCAGGATGGGGTTGTAGACGCGCAGGTGCTCGAGGATCTTGACGACGGCCAGGGGGGTGCACGGGAGCAGGGACTTGCGCCGGCAGGCCGGCGGATCGAGGAAGCGCACGTTGTGGTACATGTTGTAGATGTGCTGGTGGCAGAGGCCCTCGACGTCCTTGGCCAGCGCCACTGTCTCCTGCACGTACCGGTCGTGCGCCGGGTTGCCCGGGAAGATGGGGTAGTAGACAATGATGCCGTCGACGCGGCCGTCCTCGTTCGCGCCCACGATCTCCTCCTCGAGCCGCTCCTTGTCAACCCGCCGCAGGTCGAAGTTGAAGCCGCTAGGAAGGGCGGTCTGGTCAGCGACATGACGGCAGTAGTCTTGGTTTTTTTTCTTCCTCCAACGAGATATGGCTATACAAGCCAGGTGAGGGGGGCGTTCCCTACTTCTCCTCGCAGGTCTTCTTAGACCACTCGGCGTACTTAACCGCGGCCGGGTCGTCGTTGGCGAGGAAGGCGACCAGCGTCGGCGGGCCCTCGCTGCCCTTCTGGATGGACCTCAGCGTGTCCTTGACCTCGGCGAGGAGGCCCTTCGCGATGGTCTCGGCCAGGATGACCTTACAGGTCTTGGGCACCTCTTGCGCAGCCATCGCGGGTGGACGAGATGGGCGTGACCGGCGGGACTAAGGCGTGTGACTGAGTCAGTGAGTCGGTCCCAGGTCCGCAGCGGAGAGGAGGGCAGGGCGAGAGGATTTAAATATGCATAGGCTATGGGTAGGTGATGCGGCCAAGGGCAGGGGAGGGAGATGGTGTGGCAGGGGTGGTTAACTATGATGCATCGCGGGTATATGCGAATAGGTAGGGGCCGCTATGTACCTATCGAGCGTGCTAAAGTGGCTATATTAGGTACCTAACAGGCTATATGATATAAGGGAGGGCGTGCTATGCTATTCTAGAGAACACATGCGAATACCGAGAACCCAGGAGGACGCGAAGTCGAGATGAAAACCCACCTGCCCCACTACCGGTATAGCTGCATCGGCCCCTCGAAGGGAAGACGGCGATAGCGCGTGAACGCTAAGGTAAGCGGGATGTTGCCGCAGGGAACGCGTCAAACGAGAGCGGAATTGTTGGCGCAACAAACCAGAGGGGTCTGGAGGACCGAATCGAGAATGCGCGGTTAGCAATTGAGGACTGACGAGAGGTATGAGCCTCATTCTTACACAATATATGTGTAGGTCATCAGTAGGGGATTTTTTTATTTAAAATTTTTTTTTTGGCCTGTGAGATCTTACCCCTCCATAGTAAGTACCTAAGTGAAAAGGCGGGGGGTGACCCTGGAAATTTTCATTACCCCTCCTACTGTTTACAGCATAGATCCGCAGGGTGGTCCGTACCTGCGGGACGAGGTCAAGTAGGTGCATGCCCTAAGTACCTAGGTACCTGTAATCTATGAGTACTCTTGCATTACCTACCTAGGTACCTACCTCACCAGCTCTGCGTTCCTATATCGGCGAATATCCTCCGCCCAATTCACCGCAAACCTACCGCCTGCTCGTCGAGAAACTTCTTGCCGACACGGGAATCGCAGAGAGTCATAGGTAGCAGAGAGAGGCCACGGCATCTCGTCACTCACTGGGCCCGGCAACGCCGAATTCGACTGGGCTGGGTCGGATACCGTCAACCGGACCAGGCCTAAAATGGCACATCCCAGATTCGAAGATCTCGCCCTGCAGTATGTTCTCGCCGATGAGCCCAGCCGGGAACTGGCTATAGCCGAGAAAGCCGCCACAGGTACGCTGAGCCTTCATATCCATCTGCCAAAACAAAGGGAAAAAAAGGAAGACAATAAGACATACTGACACCAGTGCCGCCGTACAAAGCAATCGAAGAATCCACAAATAGCCGAATCGCTGTAGGCCAGTGGGTGGCTTCTATCAACCGTTGGATTCAACCAAGCGACGACCCAGGCGATGACAACCTTATCTCTCGCGCCAAGGCCCTGGAGTTCCTGGCCAGCACTCTCGGCGTCCTCGAGAAGAGGGAATCCTCCTTGAAAGCCGACCAAATCGCCCTCCTCGTCACTTTCTTCGGCTCCCTCTTCTCGAGCGACCACCGCGGCGGTATCACGGCTTCAGCTGGGGCCCTGAGGCACCTGGTTAGCATGAAGTCCTTCCAGCCGACTTCGGCGACAGACATAATTGCGAATGTATGCAAGCTAGGGGACGACTTCAAGTTGCAGACGCCCGCCACGCGGCTCGAGGTCTACCAGCTATTCCTCGGCCTCCTCCGCGACCCTGCGGTGGCCAACGATCTGGAATATCGGCATGGCAGCGCTTGCGGATTCATAGCCAATGTGCTAGATCTGTGCAAAAATGAGAGAGACCCGCAAAATCTTCTCAAGTGGTTTGAAACTCTCCAGATCTTTCTGCAAAGCTTCTCCCCTTCCGCAGACGTCACATCAGAAGTCTTTAAGACCTTTTCCGCCTATTTCCCCATCTCCCTCCGAGCCTCGGCCACGCCGTCAGGCATCACGGCCGAGGACCTCAAGAGTGCCGTGCGCTCGTGTTTCTCCGCCCATTATCGCCTCGCCGGTCACGCGATACCGTATCTGCTGAATAAGCTCGATCAAGGAGAGGCTGTGTCTGTTTCCGTCAAGGTTGACATCTTACAGACACTTGACGCTTGCTTGGTGCAGTACGAGCATCCCCAGCAAAGCGTCGTCCCGTTCGTCAACCAGATATGGGGCTCGCTCAAGTACGAGGTCCGCAACGGTGAGGTCACGGACACCATCAAAGCCACCTTGAAGGTGATAGGGTCTCTGACCAAGCGGCTGGACGATGCTGAACTTCTCTCGTTCCTCTCTAACGCCTGGGGAGATTTGGTCGAGGACATATCTAATGCGACATATACCGCCCAAGCTGGTCGTCTGTTAATTGCAATCGCCGGAGCCAGCGCTCGGTCGTTCGCTGCCCTCACTCCTAAAGTTTTATCCCATATCAAAGCCACAGTTAAACAGACCCAGTCAACATCGCACAAGCGAGACCTTATCACCTTATTGAATTCAATTCTCATCGTACGATCCCATCTAATTGACAATTTGGAGAACGATGCGAGTTCTGAAAGGGAGTTGGCCCCCCTGAAAGACGAACTCTTCGGCGATACCCTCTTTTTCGAATTCTACCTCCCTATGTGGGAGGAGAGCTCAGATGGCCGAGCGGCTACGGAACGAGTTGGGGCACTAAAGAAAGTTATGGAAGGACTTGCTGTTCTCGTGGGCCAACGTTCCAGCGTGCCCGATTCTTCTCACCAACTATGTTCGGTGGCAACCTGCGAGAAGATCTTCAGCTGGCTCGCAGGGCCGTCCGTTATCCGCCCCTTACAAGGCAATCGGTCCGTTGGGTCAGTCGCTAACAACGATACGGCCCAAGACATTCGAGATGCCGCAGTAGCAGCGTTAAGGGATGCCGTGCCCCTATACCCTCCTGCATTTCAACTCCTGCTCCAACAGTACCTTTTGTCAATTAAGGCGGCGTATCAAGAACAGGTTGCAGCACACGACCTCCCTCTAGAGATTAAACTTGTGGCGGTAGCTTTATGTGAGATTGGTTGCTCAAATACCCCGGATCCGAACCGGGCTGTTGCGTTGTCGAATCCGATATCCCTAATCAGCGTCTTGTTGAAGGGTCTACTGTGGATGCTCTCGGAAAAGGCGCCGCCGCGGTACTGGACAGCGTTTATCTGTTCGATTCATTATTCTGTTCTACAACTTTTATCCCCTCGGTCGAGCAAGCACCCCAGCTCCCAACATACTAATTCGCAACACCTCATCACCAAGGAGTGGCTTATACAGTGCACTAAACAACTGGAAGAGGCCGGGTCCCCCCAACCTGATTTAGATAGTGCCGTGAATCCTAACTTGACAGTTAAAACACCCGGAAATCTGGATACAGGCGGAATTGGTGTTTACCAACAACTTTTAGCATATTCGTTCTTGGTCGTGAGACAGCTATATCGTCGTTTTACCACAGTCCACTCTCAAGCCGATGGGCTTAATGATGGTCAACCGCGGGTCGGATTGAGCCAAGATTTCGAGCAAGGGCGTGATCTCGTCATCGAACAGGATATATGCCTCCATCAACTGGGCCTTCTAGCTGCGTCCGTTGTTCGAGCGTTAAGCCAGGAGGAGCAGAAAGCCTTAGGGCTGGGCACCGATATGTTCACTCTCTTCCACAACTCTGATCTCGATGGTATTTATACTCAGGGAGAACTCATCCCTGCAATATTTAATGTCAGCTCTCTGGATAATTTCCGCACAGCGCCGCTCTCCATGGGTATATTACAGGGTCTCTATCCTGGGGTGATGGATTCACAGGTGAGAAAGAATTTCCGCCCGAAACTGACGCTTTGCTAACCTTCTTTCAAGCATCATATCGCGGCTTTAAACAATCTTTGCGCTGTTCTCACATCAACCCCGGCGCCCTATTCCGATACCACAAGAGCTGCGTTGGACATCATACTGACAACGCTGTCAAATAAATTGCGTACTCGAGATGGCGAACATGGCGAGAAGTATCTACAACTTCAATATGATCTAATCGATACCTTAACCACGACCTGGGACATGCCTTCAGTGCCCGGCCAAGATTTCTCCACGACGATTCGCGTTTTCCGTAGCGTCCTCCACTTCTTGGCTGGCGATGTGGCGCGATTCCAGTCCAGCCCTAGCAACCGGAACCCGCTCCTCAAGATGATATGCGACAGGGCCCCCTCGCAACCAGTGATCGGCCGACAGCTGGCGCGGAGCTTCGAGGTTCTCGCGAGCCCGAAGGAGTGTCTCGACAAGGAGAACCACGCGATCCGGAAGCCGCTGAGCGGCGAGTGGCTGTACTTCACAGCTGTGCGGCCGTACCTGAAGGACTGCTTCCCGAGTCCGGGAGGCGGCGGCGACATCGACGCGGCCGTGGCCACCAACCGTACTGCGGCTACGTTTGCGATCCTCAAGCACCTCACGTATGAGCAGTACGCAAGCGACGTCGGGGAGGTCGTCCGCGTCGCGATCCGGGCGCTCTCCACGTCCGAGAGAGACGGCGACGCTGCCGCCGAGACGGCCGCCTGCCTTGGCGTGTTGCTGCGGGTCCTGGAACACGAGCCCGCCGCTCTCCGTGAGCACCTCGCCGGCCTCATCACCGGCGCGGCCACGGCGTACGAGCGGGCGGTAGCAGGCGAGGTAGCCGCCGGGGCGAGGGATCGCATCCTCTGCCGCAAGTTCGCGCTCGAGTTCCTCTGCCGGCTGCCGCCGTCGTACGCGGCACAGCACCTCGTGCCGCACCGCCGCCAGCTCCTGCGCCCCTTGTCGGTCGCGTGCGGCGACCCGGTCCGCGAGATACGGCGCGTGGCGCTGGCGGCGAGGAGGGCGTGGGAGGGACTGGGCTAAGTAGCAGAGCGCGCGCGTGTAGGTGCGGATATATATGTAGCATTACTTATGCGTGTCGCTTTCTTGCTAGTCGTGGCGCTCCGAAACGAGGCACCGGACAAGCAAAACCAAAAGAGTACCCTCTCTCCGCGCTGGCTCGCGTGCTAACGCAGTCGCTGGGTTCTGGAGGGATCTATAAGTGTGTAACATAAGTACAAGTAACATTTGTTCCTGTACACAACACCATTTAGTGCGGTGGGCTGCGCGACAGTATGTTTCGGTCGTCGCCGTGCGAGGGTAGATGGTGCCGACCGCAACTCGGGCCAGGTGACCTTGGCACCGTGGACCTAACAGGTGGTACAGCGGTCGTGGCATGCGGGCCATTCTAGGATAGGCCCGAGGAACAGAGGACACGATGTGATGAAACCAGACAAGACAGGAATATAGATTCGTCTGATATATAGGTAGCCAGTGGTATCATCATGTCATTATCTCAGTGGCGCCATTTTCCCTCCCCCTCTCTTTTCTGCTTTTTTTTTTCTACACGGACCGCTGTTAGACCTTATCCCGTCCCATCCACGGCTCTCGCAGCGACACGACTCGTGTGCCGCCGCGGAGACAGGCGAGGCCCCACCCCCTCCCCCTTTTCTTTCTTTCCCTGCCCCTCCTCCCCTTTTCCTCGCACAGGCTATCACGCCTTTCTCCGCTTCGAGGCGGACTTCTTGGGGCTCGCGGTCGTGGCGCCGGTAGAGGCGGAGGCGGAGGCGATGGCGTCGAGGAGCTCGGGGGCGAGGGCCTGGGCGGCGCGCTCGGGGTGGGCGGCGCCGATGAGCGGGACGCTGGACGCGAGCGCGGTCTGGAACGGCGGGGCGACGAAGCGGCCCTGCACGTCGAACCACTCGGCGAAGGAGCGGGCGAGCTCGAGGGTCTGGGGCGGCGGCCGGGGCGCCTGCGGGGAGGCCGGCGGCGGGGTCACGGTGATCTTGAGGTGGTACGTCGGGATGTTCTTCTGGGTCGAGGTCGCGATGGATATCTGGACGAGGTCAGGCGGCAGAAGGGAGGAGGGGGGGGTGAGGAGAGAGAGAGAGAGACGCACCTTGGAGCCGTCGCGGGCCCGGCCCTGGTAGACGACGCCGCGCTCGACGTAGGCGACCCAGTAGGTGAGCACGGCGTTGAGGAGGGCGTAGAGCCCGACGGCGGCGGCCGTGTAGCGCTTCGTGGCCTCGAACCCGAGCTGGTAGTCCCAGGCGAAGCAGGCGGCGGCGACGGCGAAGGCGCCGTACCCGAGCGCCAGGCGCGTGTCCACGAGCCGGTGGTCCTGCCGGAACCCCAGCGAGTTGAGGTAGTTGGGGATCGCGTCGTCCGAGGTGTTCTTCAGGTCTGCACGGGGGGAAGGGGGGGAGGGGTGTTAGTTGGTTCCCGGCAGTGGTGACGACGGAGGGAGAGAGAAGGTTACCTACCGGCGAGATTGTGAACGGAGATCCGTTCTTGGGAGGCCATTGCGGGTGAGCTTGGTGTCGTATGGAGCCTAGTGTCTTCGGCGACGAGGAGGGAGAGAAGTGGGAGAGTGAGGGATGCGTAGGTTGCATGTGACTTATGCGAATTGGGTGTTGAGAAGCGGCCTGGTGGTATAAGTGGTGATGCTGCTGGTGATGGCAAGCTTAGGTGGCTTCTTGGCTATTGGACGCTGGCTCAGGTGGGCTTATTCTGACGGTCCGACAGGGTCTGACAGCGAGCTGTGGGTACCTGAGGCTGTACCTAGGATTCTTAGCTACATCGGTAGTACCTTAAGTACAGGTAGGTACCTAGGATCCTTTCCGCCTGAGGTATGGGTTACATAAAGTACAACCCTCCTGTGCAATTTACGTGTAGAGTAGTAATGCTGCACAACAATTTATGCAGCCCGTGCAATTGGCCAGGTGCAGGTACCAACCAACCATTTATTCGCTTTGGTGGACTGAACAACTCTCACATAATACAACTCCGAGCCACAACAAGCAAGGCGCCGCCAACAACTTCTCACCACGCCTACGACCCGCGATCGTCTGGCCTTCCTCTTCGCTAGGTCTACGCGTAGAGGCCAGCGGCCCTATATACTTCGTCATGGCTCAATTAGCGCCGCAGACGATCCATCGGGATCCTCAGCTCTTGTAGGTGTCGTCAGCGAGCAGCCTCTCCAGAGATACTGACTGTGTATCAAAGCTACTGGATCCTGCTGCCTATTACGGCTGTCATGGTAAGCTCGTCGCCCTTCGCGTGTGCCGTTCCAGCCCCCGAGGAGATGGTGCGATAAGGGGAGAGGCTCGCGCTCAACTGGACCACAGATCCTGACCGGCGTTCTGCGACACTACGCCACCGTCCTCATGGCGACGACGCCTAAGAAGCTCGAACAGAAGGCCATGCGGGAGCAGCGGTCTCTGCTGCACGGCGTGGCCGTGCGCGGAAACTTCCACGTGCTGTCGGAGCCGTCGTTCCGCACGCGCCGTGACTACCTGATCAACGCCTACGAGAGCGGCGCGTTCCTCAAGGACCCGGACCGCCGGGGCCAGCCGCCGCCGAACCCGATGACCGACCCGGGCGCGATGGACGGCATGATGGGCATGATGAAGAACAACATGGCCATGATGATCCCCAACACCCTCATCATGAGCTGGATCAACGCCTTCTTCAGCGGCTTCGTCATCATCAAGCTCCCCTTCCCCATCACCATCAAGTTCAAGAGCATGCTGCAGGCCGGCGTCGCCACCAAGGAGATGGACCCCCGCTGGATGTCCAGCATCAGCTGGTACTTCCTGTGCTACTTCGGCCTGCAGTTCGTCTTCAACTTCCTGCTCGGCAGCGATAACGGTGAGTCCCCCCCGCCCCTCCCCCTGCGCGACGTCGTGGTGCCCGAAGAAGCAGGCAACGGGAAGCTGACGACGCAACGAATAGCCGCGAGCCAGATGGCGCAGCAGATGGCGGGCATGGGACCGCAGGCACCCGCCATGTTCGGGCCCGGCGTCGATCCCGACAAGCAGTTCAAGACGGAGGCCGAGAATCTCGCCGTGGTCGAGCATTACTCGGTGCTGGACGGTGTGGAAGATCGATTGCTCCAGGGTATCAGGTCTAAGTAGTCGAAATGCAAGAAGAGGAAGGAAAGGCTTTAGAGAAAGTAGCCCGGCAGCTAGATCTAATATGAGCTGCCGCAGCGATTTCCAAACTCCCATATATGCACGCGTCGGTGATGTCCGTTATCTTGCGATAGATTGATACCGGGCAAGACACAGCTAGCCGGTCTCGTCCGAGTCCTTAGCCGTCCCACCACAAACATACACCCAGGCCTTCCTTGAGCATGGTTCCTTGGATGCTATAGGGGGATAACTTCTTGGCCTTTTCGATAGCTTCCTGCTCCGTGCTCTCGGGCGTCTGGTCCTGCCACGCCTCGTCGACCACCTGGAAGCGCACCATCTCGTTCTTGTCGTACCACATCGCCTCGCCCTCGTAGATCCACGTCCAGGCTGCCTCGTTGTGGTCGCTGCGGAAGGGGTCAGATCGACCGAGTTGGGGCATGGGCGAGGATAGTGAAAGGGGGGAGAAGGAAAAGGAGGATGTTGCGGAGCCAGTTTCCCAATATGGTAGAGGAGACGGAGACTTACTACTGCGTGTTCTCGGGGAGTTCCTTGTAGGGCACGAAGATCTCCTCGAAGAACTCGGTTCGGACTGCGCACCGGGTTTCTTCTAGTTAGCTCAGCGCTCTCTCCCTCTCCTTTCCAGATCTGCCTTCGTCATCGGCGTCGCATACGGACGATTGAGAAAAAAAGGAAAAAAAGTCAGGGGCACGTACTGCTGATCCCGTGGATGGAGGAGCTGCTGATCCGGCCGAAGAGGGTCTCGCCCTTGAAGGGCCGGAACACGATCATACGGAACTCGACTGCTCGCAGGAGTCAGAAGCTAGGGAAGGAAGAAGAAGCGTGGTGGCGGCAGTGATGGGGGGGGGGGGGGGGGGGGGGAGAGTACCGTTGACGTTGACGACCCCGGTGCCGTGGCCGATGAGGCCGTCCGACGCGTCCAGCAGGTCGTACATGCAGACGCACAGGCCGATCCGCTGGATGACGCGGTTCGCGTACTTGGCGTTGATGCTGTCCTCGATCGAGACCCGGCTCGGCTTGCCGAACTTGTCGGGCGCTATCTGCACCAGGTCGGCGATCTTGGTCTGGCAACAGCACTTTGGTTAGCGCATGGGCGGGACTGGGGATTTTCTTTTTTTTTTCTTTTTCGTTTTCTTCCTCCCTTATCCCCTCCCCTCCCCCCTCTCCTCCTATCTCCTTGAGATCCAGCAAGACAACCCATCCGATCTATTCTTTATTCCCTTGCAAATACAAAATATAAAATGAGGAATCCGGGGTAGTCAATTGGGATTTATTACTGACCAAGATGAACATTATGGCAGGCGGTTGGCGAGATGACTGTGAAGGGGAAATCTCACGACTTGGGGGGAAGGGAGTTTGCCGTGCCTCGCCTATCTGTACATGGCAGGCGGTCCCTACAGGAAGTGGCACGGAGGATAAGTCGTTTGGAAGTGCTTTGGGTAGAGAATCTAAGTGTAAGTGGCCTTTTGGCTGCCGTTGCGAAGCGTATCTGGGTGTCATGTAGGTAGATAAAACTGCGTTACTGGATATGCCCCGACGTTTTCTAGAATATGCAATAACACAGTCTATTAATGCGGGTGGGACGGATCCGGGGTGTACCTTCGCTTCCTGCGGCTGAGATGCTGCTGGCCATTTTATGCACTGGTGAACTAGCATGCATATTATCAGCCGCGGGCTTCTGTTGATGAATGCCTACTACATATACATTGGGTACTTAGGGGTACTTGGGCACCTATCTAACCTAGCGTAAAACCCGATTTATATGTACCTCTCTATAGCGGTGTGGTAGGGAAGATACCTACTTGCGTAGCCTCTTAAGGTAAGTCTGTACGTACCCACCTATTATATATTGTACCTGACCTAGGTGCCCCCTCTACCTCCTATTGGATGGACTTCGCTATTCTGCATAACCCAAGCAGTACGTAGGTACCTACACTGCTGCAATGGTCCGTGCTGCGGGTAGGTGCAAGTGCCTAAAGGTGGTCCATGTCACCTCCTCGCGCTGCCCATTTCAAAAATATTTCCATTCCCACACAAATCCGTCTCCCCATCCCATCCCATCCCATCCACCCCTTCATCAACACAGCTTCAACAACCAGCTTCAACCAACTCCATCCATCCTGCCGTAGTCCACCAGTCGCATCGCCCCGTCACGCCGCCATCGTCCCGTCTCCCACTCGACACGCCCGCTCCACTGAGCACCCTTACTCGAACCTCTTATTCCCCCGTCTCTCTCTCTCTCTCTCGTCTCGCGTCGTTGCGTCATTGCGTCCTGTCTGGGTCTCCTTGTCGACTCGACTCGACTCGACCGGTCCAGCACGGCCTTGCCTTACCCAGTCTCTACACAGCCTAGCTGCCGCGTCGTTCGTCCATTTCACCACCTGCGTGCTTTGGCCGGCTTCATCCCCACCTGCCTGGTTCAACACCGTCTGTTCTGACCTTCCCCCGTACTCCAAAGTCCTTGTCGCCCTACAGCAGCTCTCCTGCGATTTGGGCACAATCACCAGTTAGTGCTAGCTCTCCTACCCCTGCCGATACTCTGTTGGCTCTGCCCCGGCCCCCTTCTCCCTCTTCAGACTGCGGCAGGATGCCTCTTTTGGCCTCCTTACCCGCACGCTCTACCGTGGGACGCTTGCTAATACGTTCCGCCGTAGGGTTTGATCCGTCTCATTATAAGTTCGCCGTCACTTTCAGAGCTATACGACGGACGGGTTTGCCCAGTCGACAAAATGAGCAACTATCCATATGCCCCCCCTCCCCCTCCCCCAGCGCCGTCGTCTGCTCCTCCTCCTAGTACCTATGGTAGACCGCATCACGGCCACCACCAGGGACCCAGCCGCGGCGAGTATGGCTCGTCTTACTACCAGCAGCAAGACTACTCCTCCCAGAGAGGCGCGCCATACAGCGCCCCGCAGCCAGCTGGCTACTGGCAAGGAGCTCCGCCAACTGGCCATGGCCATCCCGCTGGCTCCTCGCTGCAGCCCGGCTATCATGCCAACTATCCGCCACAGCCATTTCACCCACAACCAGGCCAGCCCTATCAGCCCCCCTACCCAAACCAATCTTCTCGTCCCACGTATGGGCCGCCGTTCGGCCAACTGCCGAATGAATATCCCCAGCCCCCTCAGCGTATGGGATACGAGCAAGCTTATCCCGCTGCACACCAGCCCGCCCCTTATCAGCAGCCGCCCTACGGCTACCCTCCTGCCTCCGCACCGTCATTCGCAGGAGCTCCCCAGTCGCAGTACGGCTCTAGTTACAAAGGTCATGGTCGCGGTGGCTTCCCTCACGCTAGCAGAGGAGCCCATGCACCAGCCGGCGACCGTGGCGACAAGTTTCGCCATCGTGACCAGAAACCCCATCACCAGGTGTTCAACAATCAGAAGTCTGATCCTGCTGCCGCGAAGAAAAAGAAGCGTAAGACCAACACGCTCGGACTGACCCCTGGGGATGACGATTCAGATGCGGGTGTTGACGAGGAGAAACGCCTCGAGGAGTTGCTCGGCGCTGACGCCCCAAGGTGAACCTAGACATCCCCCCCCCCTCCCCGCCCCCTATTTGCCCGATCTGTGCTGACGTTCTTCGCTGTGTAGCGTCCCCGATGGTGATATAGCTAAGTGGCTAGCGGCACGCAAGGAGAATTTTCCGACCAGAGCCCGCATCGCAGCTAAAAAGGAGGCTGGGCTGATCCCCAAGCCCGAGGCCGACACCAACACGACCAAGGAGGCTGTCACCGTTCAAGTTGATCCGGTAGAGAAGGAAGCCGATCGCCTGCGGAAGAGGCTGGCTAAACTTGATCGCAAGATAGAGAAGCGTAAGCGAGCGCCTAACGACGAGGGTGATGATATGCGCTCCGAGTCCTCGGACTCGTCATCTGATGACGACCAACCCGAAGCGCTCCCCACTAACAAGTCGTCTGCGGGCTTCTTACCCTCTTCCAACGCCCGAGCTGACCCCTCGAACCACTGCAAGTACTACTCTACTGGCGGTACCTGTGGTAAGAAGGGCAAGTGCCGTTTTGTTCACGACCCGGCTGTTCGCGAAGCTGCGCTCCAGGAACGAACTAGGAATGGTGGGCGCATGACGTTGAAGCAGCGCCTCCTTCTTAACGACAAGGACCAGGATGACATGGATTTGATCAAGGAGATCGTGAATATGCGCTCCAATGGACGTCTGCACGATCCTCAGAACCCGCACATTCACGCAGAGCGCCAAGCTAGGGAGCAGGCCGCCATCGCTGCCGTTTCTACGCTCCCTACCGCCCCTGGCGCCGCCAGCCTACCCCCTAACCCTTACGCACACCTCAAGAACGGGGATGGTGCTGCCCGGTATCGCAAGCCTAAGAGGCACAATGATTGGTCGTCTGCCGTCAAGTACCAGGGCTGGCCTAAGCTCGTCGGTTACGGAGGGGCAGGCGTGCCACCTAAGCAGATGTCCCAATCCTAGTTTTGTTGGGAGAGCGCAAGCTTGACCACTCTTCTCGAATTCTCTTTCAACACGCAGTGCTGTCGCCGGTCGCATAGAAGCTCCCATCAACGTGGTGGGGCGACCGAACCGAAGTGTCACCATGTGGCACGGGGCAAATTCTAGACTGCGTCTTTCGGATTAGTATCCAACGAGGATGAGGGCGAGGCCCAAGTTGTTGGTCTTTCGACACGTCCTACGTCGTCAGTGGAGAGAAGCCATGCATCTCGGCGCTTATCTGGCAATTTCACGCCGTCCGTTTATTCATTGGTCAACAATTGTTTTTAGATTCTCTTTTCTATTCTTCACCCTTTCTTTCTACAGGAGATGTTGGCTACGCAGTCCAATAGCCCCCATTTGTGTTGATAGTTGCTCGGTATTATTTCGTCGTACCAGTCTACGGAGCCAGTCTTGGGAATTCTGTGTTCGTGTTCAAATGTCCACGATCGCAATTCACTCAGCGTTTGCGGTACAATTCAGCGTCAACGAGGGTGCGTGCGTAAGCCTTTCTAGTCGGAAAACTTTGGGATGGACGAGTGGTTATAGGCAGATCGGAAAGGGTGGGCGGGCAGGCGGACGGATAGATCATGATAGAAAGGCTGCTGGGTTTATAGGCTGTTTGTAGGAGTATAATAGGCTCATTGGTGTTCGCGTGTCTCGTCGACTTGTGTCGCATGCGTGTTTTTATCTATGGTGCCAGTAACGAAGCCTTGATCCGTCGCTACGTGACGTGGCCAATAATATCGCTATGAATCACGAACTTAGCATTCGCGGGATAAAATATAGAGGATACACGTCGTTTCGGAGTTTCTTGGGCGAACGGTGACATGAGAAGCCTTGCTATTTTCTAGTTCCGTATACCTCGCCGGCTGCAGCCAGGCGAAGAACAGCAACAGCGATAGATCAACAAGAACTGCGCGAAGTTGTATGAAATACAGGTATCTATCTCAAATACGTTCACATCTAGTCTATTTTGCGTCCCACACCAACGGGCAGCCCATTATCCGCCGCGGCCTGACATGCTTCCAATACGCACCGGACCTCACCGCTCGACCGCCGTTCCCGTATTTCCGCCCTCTCGTAGCGGTCCATGTTCCCGGACGCCTGACGCCGTAAAATGCATTCGTTCCCGTCGTCGTGGCGACGAGAGTCTACCCCGGAAAGTGTCCCCCCTTGCTCATCTCCTTTCCCGTCTGTGGTGATGTACGTGTTGCGCGCGTGTGTTTGGCTATAGAATCCCTCCTGCGTGCGTTCGTGCTTCGCTTCCCGTCCACGCCACCCCCCCTTCTACGCGAGTGCATCTCGGCCCGCAGTAGTCCGCGCCCCACGGCTGGCCAACGCCTCCGTGCTTTGTCTGCTTTCCGGCCGAGCTCGTGTGTGCTCGGAGCCGCGGACGAAAAAGAAGTCGGGAACCCGAGCCGGAGGGGGGGAAGGCGGGAGATAGCTGGGCCGACGGGAGCCGTGGCCACTGTGCATGCCAAGGGGATGCTGGTTGCGTTGTTCTCTCTCGGCCGGAAGAGTGCCGGAGGGTGGGTGAATCAGACGAGCAGGACGGCGTTGACGCAGCCGTCGTTCTCGCAGTTGTTGGTGATCTGGGCGTAGCGGCCCCAGGCGACCTTGCCGCCGGCGGTGACGAGGCCGAGCTCGGAGACGTTGACCTCGAGGATGGTGCCCTTGCTGAGGACGCCGAGCTGGGTGTAGAGGGGCTGCTGGGGGTTCTTCTTGACGCTGAGGATGGGGAGCTGGACGGTGACGCCGAGCTCGGGGTGGGTGACGTTGGCCTTCTTGTAGCGCAGGCCCATGGGGCGGATGAAGCGCTCGTACTTGACCGGGCGGCGGGTGAAGTCGGGGCCGACGAAGGTCGGCTTCGTCACCATGCGCTTCCAGCTCTTCTTGGCCGTCTTCTTGCCCGTCGCCACCACCTTGAACATCTCCTCCTCGCTGATGCCGCGCACCTTGGGCAGCGGCACGGCGAACTTGGCCGCCTTCTCCGCGCGCTTGTTCTTCACCGCCGAGCTGAGCGCCTTGGCCTGCGTCGGGTTCGCCCGGTCGAGCAGGTAGTTGGGCAGCGGCGTCTTCGGGTCCTGGTCCGCCGGCGCCGACCGCACGTTGCGCTCCTCGTGCGCGCGGATCGCCTTGCGCATCTGGATCTTCTCCTTGCGCCGCTTCTCCTGGTACAGCTTCGCGCGCAGCCCGCGCAGGTTCTGCGCGTCCTTGCTCGCCTTGTGGCCCTCGCGCGCCTCGCGCTTGCGGTGCCGCTCCTCGTGGTCGAGACGCCGGCCGTGCGTCTTGCGGAAGCGCTCCATGTACTCATTTTGAGGCTGTCGTCCGCCCGCGGTCAGCCTGCTTCTCTGGGAATGCTGGGAGGGATGCTGGGGGGTAGCCGTACCATGATGGGTGGGATTCGCCCTCGAGAGGGACTTGGAAGGTTGACTACGTGATGGGCTTTCTCCTCGGCCGGGTGAGTTACAGGAAGTTATACTGTAATTTGGGTTGACGGAGAAGAATGCCGATAGGATGCCGGTGTCGTCGATGTAGGCGGTTGGTGGCATCGATGGGGGAAAAAAAGACTGGAGTCCCTTATCGATTGAGGACGTGTGCTACTGCTTATCGATAGCTCCAGCCACACATTTTTTCTTTTGTAATTAACCGTACTTATGCATATATGTAGGTATACGACCATCGCACAGCCACACAGCTGAGAGTTGTTGCAAGTTCCGCCACTACCTGCAACTTTTCTTCCTCAACCACCAAAACCTGACTAGCTGGAGAATCGCAAGATTGGGAGAGATTGGAGGGAGCTCTCCCAGTCAGTCGGTCGACCGGTCCACTCCTATGACTTCGTCAATTGGATTTCTGTGGACGAGTACACTTCCATAAGCATACCCGGAAGTATCTACGATACACAAAGGAGGAAAAGAGGGGGGACGAAAGAGAAAATGAGCCGACTACTCCTCCGCTCTCTGCGGGAGCTGGGCGCGACCACCACAAGGCTTCCGCCTACCTTTCTCCTCCCCATACACGCGAGGGGCCTCGCGACAACGACTCCGACGACGCCACCGACCGGAAGCTCAGCGCAGACTGGTGCCCCGCCTATAGCGTCCTCAGAGCCTGCTCAGCCGCCTTCGCCCTCGCCATCTCCTCCATTGTCGCGACTGCCGACGGCGCCCACGGCGCCGGCAAAAACCGGGGCGACATCGACCTCGGTAGCGGAGATGTACCCGTTACTGTTCGCGCAGCCGCGACACTACATCACGGTGCTGATCCACGGGCGGCCGTACCTCGTGACGGAGGGAGACAGCATCCGCCTGCCGTTCCTGATGCCGGACGTGCTGCCGGGCGACGTGCTGCGGCTGGACCGGGCGTCGACGCTGGGCTCGCGCGACTTCACGCTGCTCGGCGCCCCGCACATCGACCCCTCGCTGTTCGAGTGCCGCGCCGTCGTCCTCGGCGTCGAGACCGAGCCCCTGCGCATCAAGTTCAAGACGAAGCGCCGGCAGCGCCACGTCCAGCGCGTCAAGAGCAAGCACCGCTTCACCATCCTCAGGATCAGCGAACTGAAGCTGCTGCCGCCTCCCTAGGGGCCTACAAGCGGTAGCGGCGGGGCACAGAGAAGGTGGGGTGGAGATGAGTGCCCGAACTCTCTTGGTTGCAGACTCGAACCCTCCTGTTAGGGTTGGCCAGGCCGTGCATGGTAGAAGAATGGACACTCGTAATATCTGGGGTCAGAGGGGTCACAGGTATTCGATCTCTTCTAAATGTTAAGTCAACTCGTGGCGACAGAAAGGTGCTGCGTTAGGAGATAGAGCGTCAGGACAGCCGAGGCATATGTGTATACTCATGGCATGCTAACGATAATTGTACATACGATGGGCAAGCGAGTCACATAAAAGCCGGGTTAGGACGAGGAAGAGTACGCGCGAAGCTAAGAGCGTATACAGAAGAAGAAAAGCTCCAAACAACTGTACTATACATCGCCAATTCGGCGGGTTTTATGTCCGCTTCGTTATTGTCACGGCCATGATCGTAATTTTGTACATCGTAGGCATTCGGAACCTTAGCTATTGAGGAGACAGGTATCTTCGAGCGAAGAGCAAGAACGACAGTAGGGTATTTCAAAGCATCAAGAATAAAGTAACAAGGTCACCCCCTTTCCCTCCCTCCTTTTTGGTTCTCCCCCCTCCTCGTCTCCAAGCAGGATGGAAGAGAACGAAAGGAAATAAGAAAACACCACAACACCACCGCTACCGCCGGCATTATATACCAGTTGCGACGGCCGCAACAAGCTCGTACTTGGTATTCCAACATGGGCGGACAGACGGATGGACAGCCACCCCGTTTGCCGGGGGGCGGGGCGTCTCTCCTTCCCGCCATCGTCTCGCGTCTTTATAGAAATAGGTAAGAAAAAAAAAAGGTACATATCGAGCTAGGCCAACAGGAGAAAACAAGTAGAATATAATAAAAAGGGGGCGCGGAGAAAAGTAACCCCCCGGTCCCCCCCCTCCCCCCCGTGGTCCCGAACACCGGAGCTGAGATGTGACAGGAAGTGAGAAGCAGAACGGTGCCGTGGCAGTATATACAGCTGGATCCAGACGCCATGTCGGGGGGGTATTGCCCGGGGAGTTGGCCGTGGTGGGTGATGGTGAGGGAGTAGGGGACAGAGATGACTTTATTGGAGGCATCGTCTCTCTTCTCGTCCCTTCTCTTCTTTTTGTGTTGCTCTTGTCGAAATCGAGGGCGGAGCCGGACCGACCCGAAACTCAAAGCATATGCTGTCTTTCTTCGTTTTACGCTTCTCTGCTTCCGCCTCTCTCTCTCTTCTCCATATCCCCCTCCTGGCCCCCGTCACTCTTCCCCTCCTTTTCTCTCGCTCCGTAGTTGGCCGTTTTCGACGGCTTGGATACCGCAATCGGGCTCGGGACAATCGTGTAGCCTTGGTCTCTAGACGAGTGTCCCCTCCTCCCATCCCTCCGCACCCTCTCTCCTTTTATTCGTCGTCGTAAGCCACACGTACTCGTCAACCTCCTCTCTTCATTCAGTTCCCGACCGATGGTTTGTCTTAATTCGTTCCTCTTCGCATTAATATTCACTCGCACACGAAACTACCTTCCGGCGCCGTCTGTGGGACCCGCCCGCGACGACGGCGGAGCTGCGCCGCCCACCCCCTCACGGCCGACGGCCTTCATGATGCTGGCCCAGTAGGCCTGGGGCCAGACGCCGAGCGCCTCGGCCTCGGTGGGCATGCGCTCGCGGCAGCGCGCCACGACGCTCTGCACGATGCGCCCGAGCAGGTCCTCGGTTACGGGGAGGCCGAGGCCCCCGTCGGGCGCCTCGGCCGGGTGCAGGAACGGGTCGGCGCGCGAGAGGAGCTCCGCGCACGTCGGCCGCGCGTGCTGGTCGCGGCTGAGGCACCGCCGCATCGTGCGCAGCAGCGACGGCGGCACCGGCTGCCCGCCGGCGCCCCGGTCCCGGAACTCGATCTCGTACTGCCAGTTGATGATGGCGTGGCACCGCGCCATCGGGTTCGCGATGTGGCCGAACGGCGGCGTCCCGTACACCATCTGGTACAGGATACATCCGAGGCTCCAGATGTCGCTCGGCTTGCCGAGCTTCATGAGCTTCGGGCGCGCGAGGCTTCCTGCGCCCGCGCCGATCCGGTGGTGGCGCGGGTCCGCCGCGTTCGAGTCGATCAGGCTCTCGGGGCTCATGTAGTTGGGCGTGCCGATCTGCGTCTCGCGGTGCACGTTCACCGTCTCGTCTGTCTGGATCGCGTTCGCGATGCCGAAGTCGATGAGCTTCAGCCGCCCCTGCACGAGCACGAAGTTGGCCGGCTTCAGGTCCGAGTGCACGATGTCGTGCGCGTGCACCGCCGCCAGGCACTCGAGCATCTCCTGCCAGTAGTACCGCACGAACACTGGGTCGAACCGCGCGTTCTCCGGCGACAGCCGCAACCGTAGGAGGGTGTTAAGGTCTAGCTCGCCCATTTCCATAAGCTATACGTAGGAAACGGAGAACACCGCCACGGTTAGCCAGGTGCGACGTCTTCGTCAAACTAAAGGGGTTGGGTTTCGTCTCATGCCACGCTTCACTTACCAGACTGAGGACTTGCTTCTCCTCGTTCATCTCATAGTCGTACAGGGTGATGACCCGCTCGACGTTGTTTAGCTTCTTGAGCAGGTCGATCTCGCCCTTGTAGCCGCGAACCGTGTTCTCGTCGGCGCCCTCGAGTGAGACACGCTTTAGTGCGAACATCTTGCCGTTGTCCGCTGCCACCCGGTACACCTTGCCGCTGCCGCCTCGCCCGAGCGAGTCGAGTCGGGTGTAGCATTTGCCGTTAACCTTCATATAGTTCCGCCGCTTCCCCGCCGTGGCCGCTCCCGCTGCCGACGTAGCCGCGTCGAGGATCGACATCTTGGGCGGCGGTGGCGGTGCCGCCCTACGCGGTGTGTTTTGGTTCAGCGAGCCGAGCGCCTTCCGCTCAGGTGATGTCGGCCGCAACGCGCCTACGTCCGCGCCCAGGGGCCGGGGGGGCGGTGCCTTGGGGATTTCCCTCTCGAGAAGGGAGCTCGTGGACGGTTTAGGTCTCCTAAAGGTCGGTGGGGCTTCGTTTTCCTGGTCGTTTCGCGCCGGCATCTCCGGCCGCGGCGGAGGGATTCGGTAGTGCGGGATGGGAATCTCGTCGTGGTCGGGCGACGCCTGCCGCGATTGTGGAACCCGCGCGTCATCTACGGCCGTGGATGGTTCTCTCCGATGCGATGGTCGCGTAGAACTCCTAGAACTGACGGGACTGCCTGAGGCTAGACGATCCGGTACGTAGTATGACGAGGCGAGGTTGTCACCCAGTTCGTAGTCCGCGGGGTCCCGAGGTTGCTGACCGTCGGCGTCCTGGCCAGAGTGTAACGGCTCGCGCTCGTTCTCGGCGTCTTCCTCGCTCTGCCTTCTCCGTCCTCGACGCGCCGGCCCGCTGAGGAAGCTGCCGGGAACTTTCCCTACTCTCTTGACACGCATCGCGCTCTGAACACCTTGACTTTCGTCGATTCGACTTCTGGCACCGTTTGAGCCCATCCTAGAGGCACTCCCTGGATTCGAAGACCCCTTGTCTCGGGGCATGGTCTGAGGAGCTTCCGGTGCGCCGTCCTCATCGGCCTGCCCGGCGTGGGAGAGGAACGAGGCCGAGTCTGCGTGTCGCGAAGAGGATAGCGCCGACGAGCCGGACGAGCGAACCCTACTCCCCGACGAACTCATGGCGATCCTGACAACACGTCCCTGCTGGGCGGGCGTGTTGATGTCCTTATCCTTGATCTCTGAAGCATTGGCCATATCTTCCGCGACGCTGTCTCGGCTCGGTGGGCGATTCCTACTCTGCGAATGGGAGAGCGACGTCGATGTGGACCTCCTCTTCGCGGGTTTGGCTTGAGCAGCTGTAGCAGCAGTGGCGATCGTCCCGGACGTGGAGCTCAGTCGAACCACTCGCTTCCTAACGGGGCTGCTCTCCCTACTAGGCTGGCTCTTCACGGGCGAGGTCGGTCGCGACGATGTCTGGGCGCTGCTGGCGCGGGTATGTTGTCTCCTCTCCTCGCCCACCGACGTGGACGAGCTCAACACGCTGCGTCTCTTTATCGGCTTCTCCGGCTCTGCGTGCGCGGGCGAAGGGGGGCGGTGGCCTCGTGCTCGGGTCCTGACACGATCGTGTTCCCGCTCGGGCTCGGCGCCCTCGTCGTTGAGGAGCGCCTTGGTGAGAGCGCTGAGCTTCATAGGCACGGGGATCTCATCGTCGGAGCTGTCATTCACCGCGTACTGCGACTTGGACCCATGGGCGGACGGTAACGGGTTCGACTCGGCGCGCTCGAGCTGAGATCGTGACGGGGCCCTCCTCAATCCGGACGATCGTAACGAGGACTTCCGGGTCAGGACAGCAGCCGCTGCTGGGTGGTAGTAACTATTACTGCTTGACCCTGCGGGGGTCGGGGATGCGGCAGAGGCCATCTGTATGCCTGCGGTGCGAGCCAGCTGCTGATCTTGGGGGAAAGAGAAGAGACCGACCGGCCTAGGGGGCGGAATTGGGAAGCAAGCACAAGCAAGGCCAAAAGCGGGTTTCTGCGGAGGGAGCGCGTCGAATTGGCGGTTAGTATTTTTCGTGTTTCGTGGATTTAATGGATGTTTTACGTGTCGGGGCAAGTCATGGTCCAAAACATTGCAATCTGGTAAGGAGACGGGAGGAACGGGGCGTGTGGGATGGGTGGTGATGGACGACGGGATTGTTGAGGGACGTCGACCGGCCACCGAGCTTGGTTCAATTTCCCCCCCAAGTTTCCCTCCCCCAAGTTTTTTTCCCTCTTTTTTGCCGCTACTGTTATGTTGTCAGGGGCAACGGAGACATTCCGAGGCTGGTAACCAATCAGGGCGCCCCGACGGTCGTGGTTGTTGACAGCTGGCAGGTTTATGAACAACAACGCGCGGTGAATAATGTGCACAACATGCATAATGCACACCCCCGCGCACAAGTGTGCGTGAGCGGGCCTATGAGCGTTCAAGCCTGATGCTCTGCATAAGGATACGGCCCATAATTCATCCCTCCCTTCTCATGCCATGCATCCCACGATGCCCCTCCATATCGAGATGGATGGATCTAGCCTGGCTGCATGCGCGTCCGATTGGGATTTAACCGATGCTTAACTCAGGCGCATATCGCACCTCGATTTTCTGTTCGGTAGGCGTGTATGTGTGTACGTGGGTGGTCAGCAGGAAGTATCATGTTTACCACAATCTCTACGGCTTAGCGGATCCAGTTGACAAAAGCGCATCGTCAAGTTGACAACCTGCCCACGTCACAACGTCGACTAGAGAGAGATACGTGGGTTGGGGGAATTCAAAGCGCAATGTGCGTCACGTCACATCCTTTGCGGGCCACCATCGATTCGGATAGGTGCGAGAAGGAGAAGCAGGACTGAATTGGCCGAACCGTCTCTAGATAGCCTAGTCGAACCCGATCCTTCGGGGGCTCATCAAACGAAGAACCATCCACGCCGGATATCACGCAAGACCGCCACAGCCAGTATTTCCGCCGCTCCTCCGAACCCACATTGCTTCCTTTTCTTCGTTGTCGTAAGCACATATGATGGGCGTCTAGTCGAACAGACCGAAGCCCATGTCGTCGTCCGACTCTTCCTTCTCTGCAGGACATTGGGTCAGCATTACCGGTCAGAGGGGAAAGGGAGAAACCGGGCTCTGCCGTACCCTCTTCCTTCTTCTCCTCTGCCTTCTCCTCGTCAGCAGCAGCAGCGCCGCCAGCGGCGGCAGCACCACCGGCAGGGGCGGCACCGCCGCCGCCGCCGGAGGGAACCGACGCGAGCTTGGTAGTGCCCTCAGCGATCAGCTATAGTGCCATGTTAGCCGGGAGCCCCAATATTCTTATATACACAGGTTTGTCGGTGGTTCGAGATTTTCGCAAGGGGAGTCGAACCTCGTTGAGGTCCTTGCCATTGAGCTCGGAGATGAGAGTGTTGAGGCGGTCTTCGTCGGCCTCGATACCGACGGAGTCGAGGACTTCCTTGATGTCCGAGGCAGAGGGGGAGTTGTTGCCAGCGAGGCCGAGGAGGAGGTAAGCGGCAAGGTGCTTCATCGTTGCGGATGTGGTCTGTCCTAGGGGTGCGCACAGGTAGCGGTTCGGTTAGAATGATATTCTGATCTCTCCGTTCATGGCCGAGCGCACTTTTTGCGATCAGGGCAGCGGGAGGGAGGGGTGGATTCTTGGTTGGGACCGCAGCATGGTCGAAGGGCGTGGAGGGAGACAAAAAGGGAATATGGCGTGAATCGGCGACTTACGGAGACGGGAAGAACACGAGAAATCAATCAATTTAACCGCGAAGTTGGGGCGGAGACTGAGCCTTCGAGTTCTGTGGGATGTTCGGTGACGAAGATGAAGGGAGGAAGAGGTATCGATGTCCTTGTCGAGGAAGAAATCCGGGCGGAGGGGGAGATAAAAAAGTTCCCTTCCATTTCAGGTGCGCACGGCGACTGTGGGCGACGACCGGGCGGGTCCCTTTTCGGTTATCACCTGATTAGGGCCACCTCCCGACATCCAGCCTCGATTGACATGTACCCAGGTATATTCGTATATCCGTGGCTTGCGTGTAGGTTAGGTACCTTGTGCATGTACTGCGTTAGGTACCAAGGTACCTCCTCTAGGGGTGTCTATCGCGGTCAGCTCGCCTGTTGCATGTACCCAGGTACGCAGGTATACAGTGCCCGCCCATACTTTGTTACTATAGCGGGAGAGGGGTGGGTCACCAAGGCAAGGAGGTTGCAGCATATACCCATATTTCCACATGTGAGTACGTACCGTGGAGCTAACGGACCTAACCTAGCCCCAGACAGCAAGTCCCTACCGACAACTGAAATGTGGCTGGAATCGCCACCCGCCGGCCAGCTGGCGCTGCCCGATGGCGAGTGGTTGACACGGGATGACGTAGCTCAGCCACGCTTGGCTAGCGCTAACTACCAGCTGCAACCGCCCAACCAGCAGCCAGCCAGCCCAGCGCCATACGAGTTATGAGTAGGTATACATGCATGTACCGTATATACATAGGTACCTAACTCGGTACGATTGAATTTCTACTGGAGAGCGGAACAGCACGAGACTTTCTTTCTACCAAACCTCTTATCACCACCACCGCACCCGCTTCGACGCCATTTCCCGCCGTCTCCTCGCCTCTTTGTGTACATAATAGTCCGCCGCATCCGTTAATACCCCCCCAGATCCATCTTTGAAACGCCCTCTGGCCTTTCCTGCGACGTGCGAGATCAATCCGACCAGACTTCACCTTCGTTTCCTGGTCGCATCGGGTCTTGAGACGAGAGTCATCGCATATATGACAGAGCCTGCTGATTTATGACGCCTCGGGTACTGCCACACGTTCCTGACGGCAATCCGGCAGCGATCTAGAGACGCCCTTCCGTGGTAGTTCGGTCCACCAGTCTTATCATCATGCCCGTACGTCGTCCACTCCCCCCGTCCGCCCGTTTTAGTGATGACCTGATATCTAACCACATGTCCTGTGCAACTAGATCGGTGACCTCCTTGCCGAGATCAGCGGTGGCCAGTCATTTCCTGCGCCGCCCGAGAAGACCTCGACGTCGTTAGGCATCAAGCGCAAGGCGGAAGGTGATCCGCCCAATACAGCCTCGGCCAAGTACAACAAAGCACGACAGCACGATGTGCCTTCTTCGGCAAGCAGGGTCGCTCGCGATGTGAAAAAAGATGACGCCGACCGCCCCAGGACTGCGGCCTCCGTTCCCGCCAGATCGTCGACCCTGCCTCATCGGACACATTCGCCGTCGACAAATGGCCGCCCCTATCAACCTCCTACGCCAAATGGACAGCGTATAACCGCCTCCTCAAATGGCAGGCCTTCGTCTGGGCCGGTTTCCAGCACTTCCCAGCCGAAGCAGCCTTTGATTCCCGCTTCCCGGCCGTCGAAGCTCAACACGGCGTCTCAGCCTCTTTCTAAACCACCCCCGGCGAAACCCTCGCCTACCACCCCAACTCCCTCGGACCCATCCAAGGCGCCGAAGAAGGGCTCTTTCCAGGAGATAATGGAGCGTGCCAAAAAGGCCCAGGCAACGATGAACAAGGCCGGCATGATTCAACACAAGCCTATGGACAGACGAGACCGAGGCTCCGGAAAGGCGGAGCCGAAACCCAACATCGTGAAGGGGAAGAGTGGAAAGGCGTACGCTGGAAATGGCCGGACACCTGCTAATCCTTCCCGTGACGGTGCACGGCCCGCCGCGGGAGGTCGCGAAGGAGGCCGGAACGGTACCACCAAGGACGCCAAGGTAGATAGCAAGCAGGCACGTGGCTCCCCAGCAGGTGAAGTGCCGGAGAAGAAGGTCAAGAAATCAGCAACTGCCACTACGGGCTACACTGGAACCGCGCGCCCTCGACCCGGCGCGTCGTCGGACAAACCGTCTTCTAGGAAACAGGTATCATCTTACCGTGGGGGTGGGCTCCTGGCACCACCTAGCCGTCGGGATCGGTACGAAAACGAGTACGACGATGATATGGACGACTTTATCGAGTATGACGACGACGACGAGCCCGACCCCAGAGGTAACGGGTACGGCTACGAATCCGACGGCTCTAGCGATATGGAAGCTGGCTTATCCGACATCGACGTAGAGGAGCGAAGGGCGGAGATACTAGCACGCGAGGAGGACAGACGCGAGCAGGCCCTCGAGGAGAAGCTGAAGCGAGAGAAGGAAGAGCGAAGGCGACGACTCGCTCAGGGCTGATAGGGGTGCCCGGCCGCCGATGATGAGATCTTACGACAACGGCCTCATCTGTGAATACGGGCCTTTTTTTTTCAAGTCTTCCACAGATCCGCTTTACCTCCCCGTAGCGGCAGCTTTAGAGAACCGGATTTCCGAGGTTTACGTTTAGACGGGGGAAAAAACTGCATGGAAGACGGCGTTTTGTGATGAATTATTCTCTTTTCGGTCTTCTTCGTCCCGCTTCCCACATATATTCGAGGCCGAGAAAAAACACCGTACATGGGACAGCAGCGGCGTTGGTCATCATCATTCCTCAATCATCTTTCGGCATACCCCCTTCCGAGCGTTCCTGGGCCAGACGACAGCAGATGAGGGTTAAAGAGACGATGTTCGTTTTTTTTCCTTTTTTTCCTTTTCTCCATTCTCGTTTTCGTGTGCGCCTCCTTTGTGTTACTTTAATATCTCTGCATCACAGGCGGACTGGATAAGAAGGAGGACGACCTTCTAATGTCGTAACATCTATAGGAGGGCAATTTCTAGGACTACCTCTTCCTTCTAGGACTACCTCTTCCCACCGTACTGTCTCCCTACCTTACAACAATTACTGTATATTGTTCTCCCTTCCCCTGACTGCTCCTCGCCTCGCCTTCTTGGCGGTCGTATCCTGTCTTCGGCGTGATGGATTTTCTCTTCACATATCTAAAAGCCTTTGCGTCATTCCGTATATACACACGTGCGTGTAGCTGGGGGGCTACTTGTATGCCGTCTAGTCGATTGGTTGCCCGGGGAACTACGAGACGCGTCGTGCGCCACTGGGTGATGAGTGTAGAAGAATTGTTGATTACGTCTCACGGGTATACATCTCAGAGCAAGCCAACACGAAGACGAGTTAACGCAACGTTGGATGAGTAGGTAGGTACGAGTTCAATCTCATAGTATCATGTTTTTTTTCCTCCAGCATCGTCGACTGCGGCCGTTCTAACCTAGAGTTCCCTAGACTCGGATCCTGAACAGGTAACGCACTCTGACCTGGGCCTCGTTGTAGCACACGTACTCGCTGTACTCGAATTGGTTTCTTTCCCAGTGATCGTTTGTGAACGGCTGGTCCATATTAGGCTGCGGAGAGAGAGAGACTGGGTTAGCGAGGAAGACTCTATCAAGAAGCTCAAGGTTGGGAGGGGTAGGTGGGATATAGGGAGAAGGGCTCGTGCTGGCGTTACCATTTGGACTCCCTGCAGGGATGGGTGAATGCAACCGGCGTCTTTCCATGATGTTACGCGTCGGCATCCAACCCCATGGACGGCGAGGCAGCCCCGCTGTCGAGCCTCCTGGGCCGCGTTGGGCCTCGGACCCAGGTATCTGAGTATCGGGTTTCCCAGCTCGGCCTCGCATAGGAGCAAGACCCCGTGCCCGTTGCAAGCTAGTGCCGAGCTGTATAGGGCCGACTATCCGCGTAAACACTGTGAGCTTCTCCTCCTTTTCCTCTCATCTGAGCGAGAGCTACTCACCTTGCTAGACGCCTCGGCCAGATATATACCCTTATCAAACATGTGGCCCGACACCAGGGCTTCGGGGGGCGCAATACGCAGTCCTTGGGTGAGAATACCGCGGATATTGACGCAGCGCGAGCCGTGCCACAGCAGGCGCCTGTTCTGAGGCAGCCCGTAGGTGCGGTTGATCTTGTCGCCCTCCCCTCGGATCTGGACTCGGAAGATCTGCGAGACCTGGTAAGCGAAGGCGTGGGTTGGGCCGCGCGTGGACCGTAGGAGGGCCTTGAGCTCCTCAAACTCTTGGCTTCCCGCGTCGAGCGGCGTCATCACCTCGAGGCCTAGGCTCTCGAAGTTCAGTCTCAGCTCTTGCATGGCCACGTTTTCCCTCTCGAGCCTACGCCTGTGCCGGGCCTCCATCTCCCGCCGCATCGCGCCGAGTTCTCGTTCCTCTGCCGCGACCTCTGTAAGGTTCGCGAGATTCTGCAACGGACTCTGTTCCGAATTGACCGGAACCAGGGTGTAGTACAAGTTGGCCAGCTCGGTAACGACCGCGTCTGGAGTGGCTTGGTACATCGAGGTGGCCAAGGTGTTGTCTTCTAACACCCGTCGTATGTATCCCAGGATCCGGGACCCCTGCTCGAAGGCGATGTGGTTGAGCTGCCCCAGGGGGAACGTCCCGTCCGTCACCCGGTACCGGTCTGTCGCGCCCGTGACATACTGCTGTTTGAAAATGAGCTCTGTAAGCTCCTTGGCCGCCACCGGAAAATCCTCAGCCTTGGTTACGCCGGGTGCCACGGCGTCGAAGTCCTCGTAATCAGGATCATAGTACTGTGTCGGCCGTTAGTCAGCCATCGCTATCGCCGAAGATGACTCGGGGGAGAAGGGGGCAAGGAGGGTGAGATAGGATGGACACGACAACGGAAAAGAGGAAACAGGCGAAACTCACGATCCTCTCGACCAATACATGCTTTCCAGTAATCGAATAGCTGTGCCGGTCGCTCCAGTCCAGGCCGGTCCAGGCCTGGAATTGATTTCTGAATATATTCAAGGCGGGCTGGGGCTCCAGATATCTCGGGGAGTAGCTCCAGCTCCCCGTGCTTCCCACCCGGCCGTGTCGGCTCCAAACGGTGAACTCCCCCGTTACGATTCTCCGCAATAACTAGAAGCACCGGTCAATACGTCTCGTAGAAGGCGGCGTTTAAGGGAGGAGGGGATAGGGGAGAGGAGAGAGAGGTCGAGGAGAAGAAAATTCTCACCTGGAGTCGGACATACGTGTTCCAAGATTGAAGCACGTCCACTCTTCTCAGTAGCACGTCATACACGACGCGGTCCTCGTCGATGTATACCTCGAACCCGAACAAGTTCTCGGGGACGCCTTCGTCGACGACGACGAGCTTGTCGATGGACGGGGCGTCCCGGACGAGAGCCACGGGGAGGAGTTCGGCGCGCAAGATTGTGGAAAGAGGGAGGGCGAGGCGCGGCTTGAAGTTTTCCTCGGGTATACGTGCAGACCTGAGCAGGCACTCCTCGAGCCACTGCAGCGTTACCAGGGGCCGGCCACTGGCTTTCGCCTGGTCGACCTTGTGCTTGCGGGGACCCTCGTAGAAGCCGGGCCCCTCGAGGACCACGATGTGGGTGGTAGAGGGACCGATCGAGCTCTGGTGGGTGGCGCCCAGGGGGTTCAGGAGTCGCTGCTCGATTTCGGCGTAGTCCTGGCCGGGCCAGATGCCGCAGAGCACTATATTGCAGTCGCTGAGCGGCGGGCCGAGGGGCCGGCCCAGAGGGCCCGTGTAGCCCATGAACGCCTGGGGGGCCGGCATCCTGGACGGGAGAATCGAATAACAATGACGACAACGAGAGTGGCTGAAAGAGGAGGAGGAAGACGAAGAGGAGGAAGAGGAGGAAGAAGAAGAGGAGGAGGAGAAAGAAGAGGTGGCCCATTTGAAAATTTAGCACAGAATTGTGAGATGGCGATGCTGAAGTCGCCTGTAGATACTACTATTGCTGATGAGGTGACTGGTCTTTCAGGAGGATGTGAGGAGGCGGCGTTGTTCAAGCCGCCTTTGGGTACTATTGCTGCTAATGAGGTGGCTGTCTTTCAGGGCGAAATTGTGAGTTGGCGTTCACGTTATAAGCCAACTCTTGAGATGTTGCTACAGCTGAAGAGGAGTTGGACATGGGCTGTCTAGGGAGGCAGCAGTTGAAATTCGATCAACTCTATAGAGCAGCGCGTAACCAAGTATGTATTATATCGAGATAGGTAGATACAAATTTACATTAGGTCAATTGTGTGTCAGAGAATGAGCCGACCTAATTCAGAGCTGGTTAAGTGTATGCCTATTATATAACAATGAAGGCTCGACTCTATAAACGAAACGAGGTAGTTAAATCTATACAGCAACTAGAGCAAGAAGCTATCCCTCTTATTAGATGCTTATCCGTAGATCTTCTGTATATTTTTGTCATCTCAATCGAGGATTAAGAAGAACATTCGAAGTATAGAGGCAGTTAATGAGTCAAGGTATTGTTATTATGCACTATGTTGTACTGTATAAAAATTATATAGATATATAGCGTAACCGGTTAGGTAGGTCTTTGCCCCGTAATCGGATGAGCAGCTCACGGAGCAAACAGTTCCTATATGGGGGAACGCATCGTGAAAACTTTTTCGTTGTGTATCTCCGAGAGGGGATGTGCCTTCTCTCCGTAGTTATGGGTAGTTGACTAGGCTGATCCCCTGACCCAATCCCCTCCGATCAAGCGAAGCAAGAGAAAAGAGAGCGAAGTGTGCTTCTAGCTGCCCTCTATTCTCCTTCCGAGAAGACACCGCTGATGCCATTAGGGAGGATATTGTATGGGTAGACTCGAGTCCTGTATTCGTGCCGCGAGCTGATTGTCCTTCCACCACGCGTCGTATCCCCGATTAGGTACTGACACGATGCAGTACCGGTCTCCGCAGAAACGCTGTACAAACAGAAAGACATGACCATATCGTATAATAAGTAAGGGGTAGACTGGCTCAGACATGCCTTTTCGACGTCATCGCTGGTAATGGGCCGTGATACGAGGATCCCAAGAGGGTTGCTACGAACGTAGGAACGCACAGGTGGGTCAACTCGACGGGATTATTGGAGACCAACTCGGAAGTATCTGATGTATCATCATCGCCAGTCCCTTCAACATCACGTGGCGTATTGCAGGCCACTAGCCGGGATCGGGTCTCAACTGATCAGCGCTGTGCCCCGAAGCCTACCCGTGTGGCTTTCCATCTTGGCTGTCCTCGAGCCGAACTGGATCTGCGTAACCGTCAGCGGCAGGTCGATTGCTTGTTGTATGACGCGAACTCCCGTCTTACCGCCCTCTTCTTTTCTCTAGCCACCCCGGGGATGCCGAGCTTATCGGCGAGGACCCTCAAGATTCGCTTGGCCGGATCGATGACAGCGGGGTGGGATGGATTCTGGAAATCGCACTTCTCCCATACGGGAGAGCTGATAGCAAACCTAACGAGTTCTTCGTCGAGGTATGGGAACCGCACCTCCTTGCCCCAATGGGCCATGACCCGGTCGTCACGACCTAGATTCCTCTGGCCGATGCGACTGATATCCAGCTTCAGCTCGTCGATGACTCGGGCATACCCACCTGCCTTGAACGCTGCCTCGTGTCGCGCGTAGCCGCCGAAGAGTTCGTCCGCCCCGAGACCGGATAGGAGTACCCTCGACGGTGTAGCTACGACCGGCGGGGTTGGCTCCCAATCGGGCTTGTCAACGTAGCAATGTCCTATTCCCCGGGCAGAAAAGTAGAGGGCGAAGGCGATGGAAAGATCCATCTCCGTGTTATGAGGATGCATAAGGGAAACAATCCTTGGCTTGTGGCTCATGGCTTCTTCAAATGGGACGTTGACCTGTTTATGCGGCTTAGCTGGCCGTCAGGGACGGCACGAGTGGATCGAGGACACACTGCAATGAAACGCCAGCGTCGGTCTGGGCAGACCGATTTCAGCTCGGCAAAAGCCTTCCGGCCTGTGGCCCTGTCCGGGCAAGCTTCGTAGATATCGCCCGCCTCTCGGTGCGCCAGGGTCTTATTGATCGCCACTTGGCGGGGGTTTTCGAAAGCAACATTGATCAGGTCTATCTCCTGACTGCAGGGGACAAACTCGTGGGCCAGCCTTGCCAGGACCGTGCAGTCGAGACCCCCAGAGAATAATACAGCGACGCGGACGTCCAAGCCGGACAACGGGTTTGGTGGTTCTGAGATATCTAATACGCGCAACTTGAGAGACTCGCAGAGCCAGTGCCGGAGCATCTCGGACGCCGAGTTGAGGTCTGGTTCCTGGCCGGGCCGAGGCAGCGCTGTGTTGAAATGTCCAATGCTCGATACCTGCGAATATGAGTTTATAGCAGAGGTCGCATGCGCACACCTGTACTTGCGACAATGTAGAGCTTACCATGTCTTCTCCTCCTGATCGTATCCACGCGTGCTTCGTGACCCGGGTGTCTAATATCAGTCCTTGAGGCGTAGCAAGACGCGTGCTGAGATCTAATGAGTATATCCCACTTGCTTCCACTTCCTTCCAGCTAGCAGCAGGTACGTCGGCAACACTGGAAAATGATATCGAGCTGCCATGCTCGGCTGCGTGGACGAGAAGCGACCGTCGCCCTAAACGATCTCGCCCAAAATAAAGACGTCGGATCTGAGCATCATAAAATAAGAAGGCGAAGGGGCCATCGACACTGCGCAAAACATTCAAGATGTGCGACTCTCGCGATGAAGCCGTGGGCACGTCGATGGCATCGAGGATTCCTAGGAGGAGCTCGCCGTCGTTTTGGCTACGGATGGATTGGCCGTTGACCCTCCAAGCCTCCCCGTTCCAGCAGAGGACAGACGCGCTGACGGCAGACTCCAGCGGCTGCCTTGCCAGGTGGTCTCCCCGCAAGGCCAGGACCGTCGAGGTGAACTCGAGAGAGATCTCTGAGTCATCCTTTGCGAAAGGAAGCGCGCGGCGAACCTGACCGAAATGATCGGGACCACGGTGCGAAAGGAGACTTTTCAGCTCGACAGGCAGAGCTGGAATGGGAGCGGAAGAAATGACGGCGTGGATACCACACATGATGCCCGGACCCTGCGAGAAGGCGGCGGCCGTCCGGGCCGTTGATAGGATGAAGCCAGGAAAGACGGTCGAGAAGAGGGATGAATAGAGGTAAGTAGCTAAATGTGGATAAAGATAGACGGAGATGGGAGGAAAAAGCGGCTCGGAAATATTCCTACATAGATAAGAGCTAAGGGACCGCGGCGCGTTGCGCTAAGCAATGCACAGCCTCATACAGCCACATCTTACTACCCTTGGTTTTTTTCTTTCTTTCTTTTGTTGAATTTTTTCCTATTGGAAAGTACTTGGGTATCGCATGGAGTTACAGACACCAGGAATGGCATAGGATGGATAATGGGTGCTTGGGAGATATTGTGTGAGGTTCGGCACTAAGGAGGGGGGAAAAGAGAGGAACCTAGGATTAAGTACCTATTCCCTAAAATAAAAAGACACTGTACAGAGCAAATCGAAGAGAATGTCCGGAAACTCACCACCGTAAAAGTGAAATAGTAACACAAGAAAAAAATGAAAATAGTGAATAGCTACATTAGAACTAGCACCTCTCCGTTTCGATCGGAGGACCTCCGGGTTATGAGCCCGGCGCGCTTCCACTGCGCCAAGGTGCTTTTTTTCTGAGTTCTCTCATGTCAGGGGTTGTATTATTCTCCCATATATGCCTTGCAACCCTTATACCTAAATCCCACCAATCAAGTACCGTTGTAAAGCTGTAGGCACGTCGAGTCCAGCACTTTAGAGTACTTCGGTAATTCACGAGCCCCTACAAAATGTCGCCAACGCCGTGAAGCGAAACCTCACCAGAGGTTGCAGAGCCATTGCCACTATTCGCTCTCTTCGTCTTTTCGTTCTCGCTTTAACCATCAAAGCAGGTGTCAAGCAGCTTTTTTTGTTCCTATGCGAAATAGTGTCATGGCTTAATTGACTGTGGCAGTATCTTGTCCGGTCAGGGCAACCATTGATGGATACCTATGCGAGAACTGCACTTATTCCCTCTCTACATACCTATGTTCGCGTTGATAGGCATACCTCGGTTTAGTCGTGCTAACAACTCCTGATCTTTGCAAAAGTTCGTGTCCCCTTTCCAGACCCGTTTGTGTTGAAAGAGTCTGATACAGCTTGTCTAGTTGCAAGCGCCATAACGTCCCCCTATTCAGGACAGAAACCAGACCTCCTAGTTCAACATGCGAAGAGGGGGGTTGACCATTGTTTTAGTATCTCATCCGTGGCAGGCTAGGCAAGCCTCTAACCCTCCGCAGGATTTCCTTTCTACAAACCACACCCAAATTCGATTCATCAATCCGGATTCTTATTTGAGACGGACCTTGGAAAGGACTGTAATAATATACGTAGAGGGGGGGCTTCTCGCCCACTCCCTCGTCTTTGCCTCCCGCCTCCCTATCCGCACCCCAGGCTACCCAAACTGGAGCAAGAGCCAATACCCAAGCACGAAACCTCAACCATGTCCCATATTATGCCTGCCCTTTTGCTCCTTGGCTGCCTGTGCCCGACCTTGAAAAGTGACCTGACCCCTTTACCCTGAGAAACGCCGCCCCGGAATTCAAGTCTTCTCCGTAACCACGCCCCTCAAGCTGCTGTCGCTCTCCCTCTCGTCCCAAACGGCTCTCTCGAGCGAGGGATAGACCCACTCGACGTCGCCCGCCTCTCCTCCCGCCGCCGGCGGCGGCGCCGCCTCCTCCGCGTCGACGTCGAGCAGGCGCCAGCCGGCGCGCGCGAAGCGGCGGCGGACGGCGGGCACCATGCCGACGACGCGGATGCGGATGCTGGCGCCGAGCTGGCGGCGCACGTCGTCGCGCAGCTCGGCGAGGGCGGTGAGGCCGGTGGCGTCGACGAAGGGCACGGCGGTGAAGTCCCAGACGCAGACGGCGAGGGGCATCTGGCGCAGGGCGACGCCGCGCGCGGCCCGCAGCCGCGCGAGCCGCTGCTCCGCCGCCACGCTCCACGACCGCTGCCGCTCCACGCCGTAGTGCCGGTTCCCCACCGACGGGAAGGCCACCTGCATGGCCTCGAGCGCCCGCACCTTCGCCCGGTTCGCGTTCGGGAAGAACAGCGCGTCCGCGAACCGCACCACTACCGTGTCCTCGGGGATCGACACCGCCGACGGCAGCCCGCCGCCCGCGCCCGCGCCCGCGCCCGTCGCTCCGCCGCCGCCGCCGCTCGTCACCGACCCTGACTCGCTGGTGAGCACTGTCGGCGTGACAAAGGCCGTGCGCAGCAGCGTCCATACGATGCTCCACGCCGTCGCCGCGCCGATGCCGATCTCCGCCGACACGAAGATGGTGACCCAGAACGCGACCATGCACGCGACGAAGTCGGCGAGCGAGACGCGCCAGTACCGCCAGATCAGCGACAGTGGGCCGAAGAGGTGGATGACTGCCATGATCTATTGTCCCAGATTTAGTAGTTAGCGGGTGAATAGACTTCTCTTTTAGGCGGACAAAAAATAGGGACGTCTCTTTCTGAATTTGCAAGCGAAAAGAGAGGGAAAAGGCGGGAGAGGAGAGATAGAGAGACAGAGAAAGATACTCACAATAATAGCGGAGAGTGTCGCTTTAGGTAGCCAGTATAGCGCGGGCGAGAAGACGTACAGGGTGAGGATGATGAAGCCGGCCGTGATGGCGCCGTTGAGGGGGCTGCGGACGCCGCACTCGGAGTTGACGGCGGTGCGGGAGATGGCGCCGCCGACGGGCATGGAGCCGAAGAAGGAGTTGACGATGTTGGTGACGCCGAGGTAGTTGAACTCCTGGGTCTGGTCGACGGCGTAGTGGTTGCGGCGGCCGAAGGCGCGGCCGACGGCCTGGTGCTCGAGCGTGCAGGCGACGAGGGGCGCGATCGAGCGGGCGGCGACGCGCGCCAGCAGCACGGCGCCGGGCGCGCGCGGGGTCTCGATGCCGTGGGTGGACACCTCGCTGATGCTCCAGAGGTAGGCGCCGTGGTCGCGGCCGCGGTTGGCGAGGTAGGAGATGAGGGTGAAGACGACCATGACGACGATGGCGCGGCTGCTGGCGAGGTAGCGGATGGCGAAGTGGCGGCCGCCCCAGCGGCGGCCGACGTGCTGCAGCGCGAGCAGGACGAGCGCGGTGCCGAAGCCGATCCCGCACGTCGGCCCGTCCCACCGCGGCAGCCGCCGCAGGATGTTGGCGAGCTGGTTGAAGGCGCCGTCGGGCACGTTGCTGAGCCCCACCAGCGAGCCCACCTGGCCCATCCCGATGACGAACGCCGTCGCCGAGATGAACCCCGTCAGCACCGGGATCGACACGTAGTCGAGCAGGAAGCCGAGCCCGAGCAGCCCGATGAGCAGGGACCAGATCCCCACCATCATCGCCACCGCCGCCGAGATGTCGACCCGCGGGAACTCGTCCTTGAGGTCGGCGATGATTTGCGCCGTCAGGAGACCTAAGATCGATGTTGGTCCCGTCGATAAATCTGCGCAGGGGGGGGGGGGAGTTAGCGTCAATTCTCAACGCTAGCCGTATTCGCGTCTAGTCCCCCCTATTCTCGACTCGCCTTTCGACGTCCCCATGAACACCATGACGGCGGCGGGGACCCAGCAGGAGTACAGGCCGTTCTCGATCGGGATCGTCGCGATCTTGGCGTACGCGAGGCCCTGGGGGATGAGCAGGACGCCGACGGTGAGGCCGGCCATGAAATCCTGGGGCAGCCACGACAGCGAGTAGCGCGGGAGCCACTGGACGATGGGGAGCTTGTCGGCGAGGTACTGCTTCGCGGCCGGCGGGAACTTCTTGGGCGCGACGCGGGCGAACTTGACGACCCTGTTCAGGGTGACGTCGGTCCGCAACTCCTCCTTGAGGGCGGTGACTGTCTTCTCCATGGCGCTGGTCTTTCGAGAAGTTTACTTGCGCTAGACTAGGGGGAAAGAGGAGAAGAGGAGAAGAAGAAGAGAAAAGTTCCCCGACTGCTCAAGCAACGAGCATATAGTCTAACCTACCCTAGTTCATGAGGCTGAGATCGCTACGGGCCTTATTATAGATCGAGGTCCAGCCTACGGGAAATCAGTTCTCACCTCGTTGCACAAGATTCTGGTGCTTCTCCAAACAGAAGGTCCCACGGTTGGGCGCTGGGTGGTAGCGGTGGGTGTCCTGCGCATGTGAGGACGATCGCGCACCGAGGCGGCGATGCCCTCGACCCGGGTCGCTTGTCGCAGAGCCAGTTACGATCACACCTACCCTCGGAATATTCTCGCCGCTCTGTCGGCATCAACGGGGCTCTCTACGAGGGATCTTGAGGGTCATTTCTTGTTCTCACATGTGCGAACCCTCACGAAGAGAGGAACGCGGCGCGGAATCACACGTTCAGGGGCACAGCACGATAGAAGGGCCGGCTCGTAGGTACGTAGAATTCTCGGCCTTGAGCCTCGAGCAGGTGAAGAGACTTGCTTTCCCTCCCCCCCTCCTCTCTCCCTCTTCGCTCGGTGGGCTCCTCGGGGCTGGTTACTGTATGCTGCTTTCGATGCGAACAGCGGCTCATATTACGGGCGTATCTGGGTCCTACCCGGGATCAGGCGCCTGTCTGATGCCCAAAATGTGACTCCGTACCGGGCACGCTGGTCAATCATCGTCTCGACGTGACAGATTCGTCCGTGATGTGATCGTCAGGCGCGGGGTAAGACGTGAGTTGACGGCAGCCATTTGTGGGATGTGGGAGGGACGTGGACAGGGTGCGTAGCGAGTGCATATTAGCATAGACAAGGCAGTGAGGGCGTCCTGCTGGGAGAGAGGCGGTAGACGGCTTGGATCCGGGGCGGCGTAATCTATTCCAGACAGGCTATCAGCTTGCCCCGTGCGCCTGTCTCGCCAGATCATGTAGGTTCTGCCTCCATCGCTTTGTTGCCGCCATCGTGCTACGTAATCCTGAGTGCGTATACATATTTGCATATTCATATGCCTACGTGTGTCCGGCAAATACCGTGTATTAATTATTAGCTGCTTTCTGTATCTTCACAACCCTTCCAAACCCCTTCCAGGCCTCTTCGGTACATATATTAAGAGCCAACACCATTAGCATAGTAAATAGCTTCTCACCTAGTCGTTAAGTACAAGTTAATTAACTACCCACCTACCTTGAGCGCCCTGTCAACGATGCCCTCCCTAGTAAGACATCCCCCATCAGGTGAGAGGAGGAGGAGGCGCAGCATAGCATAGCTTCCGTGCGCCCTGTAATAAGATCTCGACGGTGCTTACAGTCATTGCAGTTCCTGGTTGTTGTCAGCATCGGATGTAATAGTAGATTTGCAGGTCTATACCGAGTCTTGGCTCGGAGGTCTTGGCGGTCTATAGGACATCGGAGCCCATCCCTAAATCTCCGGGTCACAACCGCGGTTATGTGCGGTGCCTGTATGTGGGTATATGTGTGTGTATTATGTGTGTATGCGTATGCCGGCAGGCATCACAACGCCTACGTACAGGGCGTCGTAGCGGTTATGTGGCGAGCTACGGGAGGAAGTCTGCTGGACGCCTGCGGTATTGCGCCATGTCCTCGCGCGAATGCATGTGTGCTACATCACAGGGAAATGTAGGCGCCTACACTTCCTTGTTTGGTGCTGTCGGACTCTACGGCTGCCCACGCGACAGCACTGCCAATATAATATTGCATGAGCCCAGTGGCGCCGCCCACATACACACAAGACTCGTTGTTCCATGGGTCTTCGATGTCGTCGTGGCCGTATACCCGGGCGATGTTTTTATTCCGCGCACGTCTGGGCACGATGACGCGGCCAAGCCGTGCCTGGGCACCGCGGGTTCGCAGCCAAGGACGAGAGAAAAGCTTGACACAATCCAGGCTCTGCGTGGGTGCGACGGTGACATCGCATGGGCAAGCCCTGCTGTGGCTACTCCCTCGGGCTGCGCATATGAGTAGCAAGTCATCGAAACGGCCCCTCTCGCTGTCATCAGTCGACCTTTGTCTTAATAGCTGCCCGTGTCTTATGATAGGGAGTCGAGGTTTGGTTCTGCGAGTTGCCGTCAAAGCAATCTCGGCGATCCAGGGGAATCGCGGGAATTCCCCTTCGTCGAGTTGGAGATAAGATTGCGGAAATGCAACCGGGGAGACTTACTATCTCGCACACAACATCTTCTGCAGCGTCCGCCGCATGCGCAGACGATGGACCGGCCGATGATTGCCTGCCAATCGCAACACATCAGCGCACTACCCTACTCCCTCCCCTGCCTCTCCTCATCTGCCGTGTCTGTCTACTCCCCAGCTGCTCCGCCGCGGGACGGGAAGAAAGAAGAAGAAAGCGAGGAAGAAGGAAACTTTTCCAAACAGGTTAAAAGACCACACAGACCGCTGTAACACGGCGGGGAACCCCACATGATCCATGCCTCATGTTTCCCACTACTGCCAGCGCTGGGGGTTAAATCAAGCGAGGCATCCGTAGCAGAGGACGGACATATGCCCCGATTCAGCGCCCCCAGTCGTCCAGGGGGGGCAGTTAACCGGGAAGACGAGTCTGGTTGGTCAGCGCAGGCTGCCGACGCGGCAGATACGGGAACCGAAGACGAAAGGAAACCTCGGCGGACCATCTTTTGTATTCGCGTAGCAGACAGTTCGGTATCGATTGGTTGACCCAGGGCCCTCTCTCCTTCGCTTGAGATTATGAACGTGTCGCCCAATGCTTCGGGGGGAAAGGGTGGAGGGGACGGTCGACCGCTGCGACCTCCTCTCGGGTTGCTGGCAGGGGGTTCGCTGCGATGCTGGATTACGGGGCGAATCTATACGTAGGGATGGGCTGGCGTTAACGCCATCCCCCAGTCCGCTCCCGATAACAGACCACTGATGGCCTTTTGCAGATGTAACCTTCGAGGCCGGGTAGCCCTCATCGCACAGTCCAGGTCCAGCGCGTGCATGTGCGTTGCTCGGTCTCCGAACGCCAAGGTACGTCGACATCAGCGCTCCCCGCAAGGTGAGCCGAGCCAAGTCGGATTTGCGGCTCCTACAGAGGGGAGCGCCGGATATCAGTCGCTGCCGTACTCACACTTCCCCAGAATGCCACAATCTAGATGTCGCGTGTTTTTACACAGGGCGAGGTGTACCGGGCCTTGATCGCAGTCGGACAAGGACGAGGAGAAGGCGGAATTGGAGTCAGCGATATGGTTGGCTAGACGTATTTTAGTGCTCGATATCGTCATGGTTTCACAACCCCCAACGTTGCAATCGCTAGGTGGGCAGGCAAGGCAGGGAGATATGAGGGTGGTGGGCAGGCTAGCGTAAACAAAGGTATTGAGATCGATGCTCGGTCCCCTTTACCGTTGCGGCCCAAGCGAAGAATGCAGCCTTTGCATCCTCATCGGGCTGACTCGCGAACCTGGTTAGCACCGGTTCTCCTCGGGCACGCGTCGAATCTAGAGGGGTCATCATGTCGGCATCGACAGATCGAGTCCTACGGGATCATAAACTCCCCTCTCCGAGTACGACCAGCGAGGCCCAGCTACAGCGTATACTCATAGGCCTACAAGGCCAGATAAGGAAGTGTAGGCGTCGAGATTTTTCTGTGACAAATCCCGACCGTTCCGAATAATACCTTCCGCTCTCAGTCGACGCACGCCTCGAACATCGGGGGGGCCCTGGTACGCGTATCGAATATTACCGGGACGAGCCTGTCGTTTCGGAGATGGGCCTATAGGGCCTATACCGGTCGCCACCAGAGGGCACAGATGCAGTGTGCTCGATGAGGACGCCTCCCGCCTAGCTAGGCTCTGCCGACGGCAAAAAAAAAAAAGGTGGACATTGGCTAGCCAAGGATAAGCTAAGAGGATGCTGGTTATAATAATAGCTCAAGGAGGTGTCGATAGGCATTAATCGCAGGCGACCTCTGGATGAAAATGGTGGTATTAGTTATTGCCTGTTTTTCTCTGGACTATCGATATAGCGAAAGGAGGCGGATTACTCTAGTAGGGTTGGTATTATTAATATTATTTAGCAGAGGGGGTGCCTTGTGCGAAGACCTCAAATAACTAAGAATAGGTATTAATACATGACTGCTTCATTCCTGTGATAACAAGATTATCGTAAACCTCCTACGCACTCATAACTTGATAATACAATGGGTAGTTAATATATTATTACCTTCACATCGCCGCAGATAACAATATACTGAAGGATGTAATAACATCTTCTACGATGGAGAGATAAATGTTAATATACGGATAATATTATGATTTGACGTGAACGATACATTTTTACCAAAGGACTTTCTTAATATTGTAGAAACCACTATTTTGTATAAGCTCGTCGGGAATAATAACCAGTATTCAAATTCAACTTGTGATGCCACCGAAAGCAGTACGGATGTAACCTCATGCAATAGTCCTGTTTACGGTAGAAGGGAGAGAGAGTTATTATTACCCGAGCGCCCCCCCCTCCCGTATCGTATACTCTCACAACTCTCCCTGCTTGGCGTCCTCTTGGCCTGACCTTAGACGGGGCAGGGTAACTTCGTCCTTCTCGGCGCTCTTGACCCGGTTCCAGAAGATCTCGCCGTTGGCGGGGTCGTCCTGGAAGAGGTGGTCGACCACCATCTTCTTGGGTGTCTCGCCGAGCCACTGGAACAGCGAGAAGTCCTTGAACTCGTCGGAGCGGAAGACCTCGAGCATCTCGATTGGCTCGTCGCCGATGTTCTCGATGAAGTGGCCCATGTTCCTAGGGATGATGGCCACGTCGCCGGGCACGTAGTCGAAGGTCCGAGCGGTGCCCTCGGAGGCGAAGATAGTGACGCGCGCGCGCCCGCGGATGAAGAAGGACCACTCGTCGGCGTTGGGGTGCCAATGCATCTCGCGCAGCGCGCCGGGCTGGATGAGGACGTGCGCCGCGGCCACCGTCTTGGAGATGGGGAAGTTCTTGGAGTCGGCGATGCGGACCTCCCCGCCGCTGGTCAGATGAGGCTCTTGGTCGAGCATGCGGTGGACGAAGTTGTACTTGGACTTCTTGACGCCCTTGCCCGTCGGCTTCTCATCGTCGACGGAGCCCGGCAGGGATCCCTGGAATATGTACCTCTCCTTCTCGGGGATGTGGGCGAACACCTCGGGCGCGAGGTTGAAGTTCTTGGCGATCACCGACCTCGGCGTGTGCGCTGTGATTGACAGGTTAGCATCCTATGGGCCGGCCAAGTGCGCGCTTGTCCGGAGTGGCGTGGTGCCTGCAGGTGTTGTAGTAGCAGGAGGAGGAAGAGCATCATCACGTACCTAGCCAGTCGGACAGAATAAAGGTCGACTCCTCGGAAAAGTTGCCGTCGTCGAAGATGAGGAGAAATTCGGTGCCGTTCTTGCCGAGCCCCTGGAGGGAATGCGGCACGCCGCTCGGGAAGTACCAGAGGTCGCCCTTTTTGAGATCATCGATGAAATTCCCACCCTCGTAGTCGAGTGCCGTGACCCGAACCTCGCCATCCAGGATGAAGGCCCACTCGGCTTCCTTATGCCAGTGCAGCTCGCGAATGACGCCCTGGTCGAGACGCATGTTGACGGCGGCCAGCTCGACGCTGGTGCCCAGCTCGCGAACCGTGGTCTGGCGCGTCCAGCCCCCTTCCTACTGACGAGTTAGCACCTGGCTCCATCTCCCCTTTTTTTTTCCCCCTTGTCTTGAATGTACCTCTATGCGGACGTGAGAATCGGCGAAGCTCCAGCGCATGTTGTTCATATTGCCGTGATCCGTGCTTGGCGGGCGCACCAGATCTGGGCTCTGGCGAGACCGTTCACGGTTCCAGGGGCCGAGAACAGAGGCGCCCCATCCGTTCCGGTAGGGGAGCGGATCCAGCTTGTCGCCGACGGCATCTACAGCTCGGTCGTACGGATCCCTATAGTCGGGAGTGTAGGGAGACTTGGCGTTGGCGCTGTATTTGGCCGGGAGGTTGAGCCCGGCGAGGAGATACTGGCGCGGGCTGTCCTCGACGGGAAGAGCGAAGGCCGGGCCGCTCAAGGAGAGATAGGCCGCTAGGAGATTCCAGGCGGCAACACTGCCGCTCCCGCTCCCTAGCTGCATTTTGGAGTAGGTTTGGGAAGAGTTTCTTGGAAATGGATTGACTTGCGGGGTCGAGCCGAGTGTAAGTCAAGAATGAGAGAGTAAGCAAGGCAGGCTGGGATTTCCTACGCTGGTTCGTACTAGAAATGACGGCTTGTTGCTGCTCATGAGTAAACAAAGAGAAGTTTGTCAAACCAGCCAATAACATATATATATATACTTGTAGGTATATATATAGAGTGTATAATAGTATATAACTATGCGTAGAGGTAAATGGTCGCCAGCGCCAAGCACGTTGCAGAATGTGAAGACTTGCCGTCGCTGCCGATGCTCCCAACGCCGTAATCCTGTCTTCCTGTCTGGCGCCGACCCTCGTCGCTGTAGGCTTGCTGCCACTGGCGATATGACCGACCACTTACCTACACGATCGATCCCTCGTCGCCCATATCCATACGATGCCATGCACAACTCCGAGCGAACGGCGAATCCCGAGCCCAGCATCCACCCCCCGTCGCCAGTCCCTGATCGCCAGTCCCGGCCCTGGCCACGGCTAGCGATGGGTGACGATGTACCTACGTTTGGTCGCGAGAGCGGATGGTCGAGCACGCTGCATAGCATGGGGTGACGGGGTGATGGGAGCGGGGGGATCTCCTAGCAGCCGCCGGCGAGAGAAATGAAACCGGGGCCTATTATTACTTGCTACTAATACTCGTCACGTACCACCGAAAGCGCCGCCTTTGTCACCACACCACGCAGATATCCGACCCTACCACTGCATGCCAGCCAGGGATTTCTGTTTCGGTTTCTTTTCTTTCTTCTATCTTCTTCCCCGTTTCTTCCTTTCCTTGATTTTTTCCCTGATCGGTGGTATTCGAGACTACAAGTGCAACAACCCTTGCGTATAGCCCTGGGATGGCTTGTGAGATTGTAGGTAGGTACCTATGTATGCATGTAATTATCACCTACCTACCTCCTATATAGGCATGTTTAGGAGGTAGGTATTGTCTACCTCCTCTGCAGAATAGAGGTGTCTAGGTACATTGCCTACCTCTTATCTAGCTCCCTTTTCTGGTCACATAATTCTACCATCGACACACGTTAGGAGGTAAGTATTCACAACCCGTCTGGGATGGAATTCGTCAGGCATTCTCCTCTCCTTTTTCACGCTTACACCACCGCGTACGTGTAGGTTAGGGTGGGTTAGGTACTTATTCAGCTGTCTACGGCGTTGCCATCCTCCTCGCTCGGCGGCTGTTATAGGTACCTTAGGGGCCTCTTCAGCTACGTTGGGTACCGAGATAGTAGTGTACTTTTATACCGAAGTATGCTTCGTGTACCTGATGGATTAGCGGGTTAGGCTAGGTACCTAGGTACCTCCTATAAAGTCGCCCTCGATTCCAGCGAATCACCAAGAGCCCCGCCGTGGATTCCTCGACGGTTTAGGTACCTTTGCGGATTTTACTGCAGCATAGCGTAGTATATACAGGTACGCCTTAACCTGCGCAGGTACCTCAGGAGGTACCTGAGAGAACGACCTCAATTCAGCGCGATCCCTCCTCGATGACGGAGATATACTCATAGAGGCAGGTACGGTACCTACATTTCTCGATATACGGATATAAAGATATATAAATATATGCGAGGGCACCGTCTTTTATCCTACTTGTCCTCCCTTGCTTTTCTCCTCTTTCCCTTGCCTCCTTTCCTATCTCCCGTTGTGTGTCTGTCCGTCTGCCATTGGATTCTCCCGCCGGAGCGATTCGCATAGACGAACATAGCCAAGGTACCTACCGGGAAAAGGAGACAGGGAGAGCAAGTCGACTGCGTGCCGTGGCCGAGGCGAATCAACCCACGATGTCGCAATCGCCGATCACTGGGTACGGCACCTTGTCCAGCAACTCGCAGCCGGCCCCGGGCGTCGACGGCGACGATGGCGACGTGCAGCCGTTACTGCAGACTAGAAGGAGCGGTATCTGGGTGCCCTCCCGGCTGGAGAAGTGGCGGTCCAACATGATGGCCGACGTGCGGCGCGACTGGGCCGACTTGATCCTGCTGGCCTGTTACATTATCACCGGCCTGCTCGACAGCGCGTCGATATCCACCTGGGGATCCTTCGTATCCATGCAGACAGGTTAGTATACCTACCCACCTCCTTGATCTGCCTGGCCTGTAATATAGGGACGCAGAACGGCCCGTACCCCCCACGTTTAGAAGTGATCGCTGAGTGTCATTTGCCATGTAGGGAACACCGTGTACTTCGGCCTCGGCCTCGCTGCGCCACACGAGTCGACGCGTTGGATCAAGTCGGGGACGTCGCTGGGCTGCTTCTGCGTCGGCTCCGTCTTCTTCAGCGCCCTGCACCGCGTGCCCACCTCGTCGCCCAAACGGCGCTGGGTTCTTTGCGCCTCCTTCGTCGCCCAGGCCATCTTCATAACCGCCGCCGCTGCCATTCTCACCTTCGGGCCCCAGACTGACAGCGCGACGAGGAGGGAGGCTATCGACTGGACTGTCCTCGTGCCCATCGCGCTCGTCGCCTTTCAGAGCTGCGGACAGGCTGTCGCGAGCCGTGCCCTCAAGTACAACGCCCTTACGAGTGTCGTCCTCACCAGCATATACTGTGACCTCTTCTCCGACGCCGAGCTCCTCTCCCCCAAAAATCCCGAACGCAACCGCCGCGTCGCGGCGCCCCTACTGCTCCTCATTGGTGCTGTCCTCGGAGGCCTTCTCGCCCGCAGCCCCGTCGGCACTGCGGGCGTCCTATGGGTCGCCGCTGGCATGAAGATGATCGTCGTCTTTTCGTGGTTGCTCTGGCCCGCTGAGAAGGGGAATGACTGGTAGCCAGCTTCTCATCGTACCCGGTTGGCTACCTGTCCATGAAACCGGCATATATCGACAGATGGAGAGAGCTATCCACACGTAATAATGCCCCGATGCTTATTGAATACACCAGGGTCTTTTTCGCCGACTCTCACATGGGGGGTAGATGAACTGCGTCGACGACAAATACCGACACCGTAGGTACCTCTAGACGAAAGGGCCTCCGTCGATAGTGATGACGAAATATTTCCGAGCGACATGTAGCGCTATCATTGTCATATTGGGCACCGCGCCGTGTAGATGGGATACATATAGGTGCCGGCTAAGCTAGGGGTGGGTGGCGCGACGCCAAAACATCCGCTTGAGCATCTTATTACACGACTTAGGGTGGAAGAAATCGTATTGCTTTAAACGGGAACCCAGGTGACCTCGATCACACGTAAGCGCTTGCGTGCGTGGCAGCAGTAGATATATATACACGAGTAGCCCAGAATCTCACCTACCCACATCCCCTTCCCCCTTCCCGTCACGGTCAGGCTCAGGAGGCGTCGGGGCCGTCAGCACTGGGGACGACGGTGTCCGTTTCTCGATCTTGCCGATGATTCCGGTGCCGCGGAAGTAGATAGCGACGACGACGGCACAGCATAGGGCGAGGCCGACGTTGAACCACTGGCCGGCGCGTAGGCCGGCGAGAGAGGCGGGTTCCCAGGCGAGGATGCGGCCGACGTGCTCGACTTCCACGCCGCGGTCGCGGGCCATGATGGCGGTCTGGATCGCCGTGGTGATGGCTAGCCCGACGGCGCGGCCGATCTGGCCCATGGCGTTGACGAGGGCGCCGCCGAGCGCCTGGTCCTCGCGCGGCAGCGACTGCGAGGTGAAGAGGGTGAGGCAAGGCCAGGTGATGTCGGCACCGATGACGGCGAGGATGAAGGCGGGCAGGCCGAAGGCGAAGTAGGAGGTGTCGGCGGGGATGGGGATGGCGAAGAGCAGGCAGGCGGCGGCGACGCTGAGGCTGCCGAAGAGGAGGAGGAGCCAGGCGGGGACGCGCGAGATGAGGTGGCTGACGACGAAGGCGGTAGCGATGCCGCAGACGCCGGTGGGCACGAAGCGCAGCGTGGTCTGCAGCGGGTCGAGGCCCTGGAAGTCCTGGAAGAAGAAGGTAGCGGAGACGAGCAGGTCGTTGAAGGCGGCGAAGAAGAGCACCATGGCGAGCATCGCCGCGCTGAAGCGCGCGCTGCGGAACACGGACACCTTGACGAGCGGCCGCCGCGTCGTGTGCGTCTCCTGGTACCACTGCCACGCGACGAACGCGGCGAGCAGCAGGCCCGCGATCACGAGTAGCAGGTAGATCCAGACGGTGTCCCAGCCGACGGCGTTGCCCTCGGTGAGCGCGAACAGCAGCGCGAGGATCGCCACCGTCACAAGCACCCCGCCGGCCCAGTCCACCGTCTTCAGCACTGAGATGCCGCCGCTGGGGGCCCTCTCGTCCTCTCGGTGCGGCGGTGGCGGGATGACGAAGATGCCGGCGACGGTGACGGCGACGGCGAGCCCGCCCGTCGCCCCGAAGACCCAACGCCAGTTCGCGAACGAGGCGATGAACCCGCCGATCAAATTCCCGAAGACGCTGCCAAGGGGGGCGCCAGCGGCTGTCTCTCGCGGTTAGCAGACGGCCCAAGACACGCAGCGGGCAGTCAACAGCGCGCCCGAGAAGGAGGGGGGCGGGGGGGGAGGCTACAAACCATAGGCGCTAAAGGCGTAGTTCTTGGCCTTGCTGGGCGGGAACGTGACCCCGAGGATGCCGATGGCGGTGGGCACGTTGGCGGCAGCGCCCTAAACACACGATTCATGAGCATACACACGGCGCAGTACGATACGACCCTCCCTCCTCCCCTGGGTCTGGGACAAATGTGGCGCTTACTAGTCCCTGGAGGCCGCGGAACAGGTTGAACCCGATCTCGTTGGGGATGAAGGGGTTGGCGATCATGGTGGCGGCGACGAAGGCACTGCCGAGGATGAAGATGAGGCGCTTGCCGTAGATGTCGGCGATGCGGCCCCACAGGAGCAGGAAGCAGCCGAAGGTGAGCGCGTACGACGACACGACCCACTGCAGGCTGCTGTCCGGGATCCCGAGGTCCTGGCCGATCATGGGCAGGATGATGACGACCGACTGGATCGAGAGGATCTGTTCTCTGTCTGTTAGCTAGGGGTGAGCGATAGCGGCGGCGACATCGGCGCCCGGGAGCGGGAAAAGTGCTGAGCGTGTGGCGACGTACGTTCAGGAAGCTGGCGCCCGTGACCGTCGCGACCAGGGCGATGCATCTCGCCTTGGAGAAGGGCAGCGTCGGCTTGTCATCCTCGTCACTCTCGTCTCTGCCGTCGGCGCCCTGGTCCGGGGGCGGAGGCGGCTCGCCGAGCACTTGGCCGACCTCGACGTCTCGTTGGGACTCCTCGTCACCCGCTCCTGTCTCGCGGGGGGCCATGGTGCCGCTCGCGACGCCGACGCTGGGGTGGTGGTGCGATTTTTCTTCGGCCATCCTGGGACGACAGCGGTATGGATGGAAACCACGACACGTCAGCAGTCCAGCATGCGCCGAATTGTTGTTGGGAGGCTCCGCGCGGCGTTCCTTGCCGAGACGGGGATGGGACGTCGTCTTGGGTCGGCAGGCAGGCAGGCAGGCGGGTAGGTATTTATTCGATATTTCTCATACGCGCGCTTAGTCTATACTGCGCGGCATTACGGCCCCCGGACATGCCATATACATAGGTAGCCATGTACTATGTGGAGACGGGTAGGTTCCGTTGGAGGGAAGCAGAGAGACGAGACAATCTCAGCGGGAGAGAGTAAGGGAGAGGGGGCTGGATGACGAGCTTCACTTGAGACCAGCCAGTGGCCAAAGTTACCCAAGCTTCAACCCCCACCGTCCACCGGCCATGCAAATATGTCCCATTTCTGGGCCAATCACCACTACCACCGGTGACGAATAGGTCCCCTCATCAGGGGAGGGGCGAGATCCCTTGAGACAGGCGAGGGAAGATAAAAGACCGCCCATTCCGAAAACCGGTAGCGGTTTTGGTGGCCCGGTGATGGAGGCGGCAAAACTATGCGATTCATGGACCCTGCCCTGCCTATCATCGGCTAACAGTTTGCACGGGTCGGCTGGGCGCCCGGCATTAGATCGCGCGATGCCAAGCCGCCGTTAACAATATTTTTCATGGGAGGGGCCGTAGGGTTCAACGTCTAACGCTGTCAGGAAAACCGTCCGTCTACACCGGTTGGCAAGGGGTCTTGGCTTTTATTATGTACATATTCTCGCTCTCTATGTATATTCCGAGTGTATATTCCGAGCACGTATACAAGCGTGGAGACTGGCCGGAATTTGACGAGGTTCTCTTCTTGATAGCTACTATGGGGAGTTAAAGCGGTAAAACAAACGGACATAGTCGTTCGTCGTCGCCAGCAAAAGACCTAGTCAACTCTTCTGTCTATTTGTAAAGTTAAGAGAAGCGTAAATATATAGATCAGTTAAATAGTTTCCACAACCACTACTCAGGCTCAATTTAGCGCCTATTATTCATCAGGAGCACCCGCAACTCTTTCATTCGCAGGCATTCTCTAAGGTCTTGGTATAACATGTAGCGAGTTGAGGAACCGAGTAAGACTCTTTCCGTGCCTGGGGCCGAGACGGGAATTCGCGCGGCAAATTCCCAAACCCGGCCGCAGTCAGCCTTCCCCTCCCCCGCCCGCCCGCCCGGTTAAAGAAAAGCCGGCCCGGTGGCGCTGGGGCCGGACTGCCGGCGGAGGCCCATGTGGACTGTGTGCGCATGAATCGAGCGGCCCTAGGACTCGCCACGCTCTGAGGCTTCGCGAGCCGAGCCAGGGCGCCGGCCGGCCGGCCGGCCGGAGCCGAGTCGCGGATCGCGGAGACGCCCGAGACGGCAGAAAGGCCCCGGGTTGAGCTCTCTCGCGCGCGCCTGTGGCTCGCGGCAAGGCGAAATGGTGGTGTGGGTGCTGGGAGTGTGTTGGAGACGTGGTGTATAGGTAGGTATACAGGGCCATGCGGTACCCTGTGGCCGTGCGGTGCCCCGTGGCCTGGTGGTATCGAGCTATGAGAGTCACAGCAGTGCATCAATCGCCCTCAAGACGACTGGGTGGTGGCGCTGCCTTTTGTAGCAATAAGGGGCGGATAGGTGTGGCATTGTAGGTAGGTAGGTGGATAGGCTTGCCTACAGTTTGTTAGACGGGATGCCCCTTTTCAGCCTTTGGGGGTGTAAGAGTTAGGTTGGGGGTTTTGTCTCAATACGCAGCCGCTACCTAGCTCCCTCTACATACGAGTTCCTCGCAGGACGTCGGGGCGGGACCGGAGAGTGTTTCCTATCTCTCTTTAGTAACATGTTCGCGAAGTTATGGCGGCACTGAGGTAGAGAGGGATCTTATCTACCCAAGAACACCGCAGAGTTGTCTGTCCTCGGCGATCTTACCGTAGCACAGCCCCAACATCACTTCCGGCAGCGTTGTCAATTGTCATATTAGCTTCTTTGGCCATCTCATGTCACATCGGAAACGTTTCTAGTTATAGGAACATACTAAGGCTCGGCTCGCTGTCTACGCGGAGTTTCTATTCGGGCGATCATACGAGAGGCTAATGGGGACAGGTAAGTGAGTATTTTATATTTAGCAGTTAACGGCATGCAATAGTCTCCTTGTATTTCTGACCACCAAAGACTACCCATGCGCAAGTCTAGAGAGCCGTAGCTCTTTAGTAACCATTTGCCTTTACGGGTTAACTCCCCCATATCGACTTGAACTCTTGATAAACGTCATACTGCCACTCATGATATCCCCGAGGCCCTAAACGTAAGCTGGCATGTCCGGTGAGCTCCTCCCGCCTTGCAGAAACTCGGAAGTCAAATCACGATGTCTCTCCTCCCACTCCCGGCAGATGTGAGAAAGTACTCTCTTGCAAGCACTCGGCGGCAGGGATGTCTGGACTGACACGGCGTTGCACGGCGTTGCCCCCTCTGCATGGCTGTGCTGTGCACAGCGGACTTCCTTCTCGAAGCTCCAAATGTCATGGACTACGCTTATATGGTATCCACAGATGGTTTCTGCCTCCAGAGCCGCGGGGCTCTCGGCCGGCGTGACATGGAGACCCATGCTGAAACGCATGAGCGAGGTGAGGAGGCTGCCAGCGTGGTGTGAGAAGGAGAAGAGGAATATTATCCGGGTTGAGAGCTTACTAGTGTCCGCAGTCTATCATTCTATACGACAAGTACTGGCGGAGACTGGTCGTCTGGGCCCTTACTTCGTCTGTCTGCGACTGCAAGAACTGGGCAGTGGGCTCGAGCAGATCATCCGGTAACACGCGGTCGCAGGCTTGCATGCTTTCCATCACGTCGTAGGCGATGGACTCGACGGGGAGGGAGCGGTCCGGGCGCGCGTCACCGCGGAAGAGAGACATCAACCTCAGGTTAAAGGCGGCGCCGTCTCTAAACGACTTATAGTCGAGGATACCTGGGTTGTTGCGGTGAGCATAGCGCGTCTCTTCTGCATCCAAGGCTGGTGGGCTCAACTCACCGTCCGTAAGGAACAAGAGCGTGATCAGTTTGCACACGAGTTCGATCCGGTCGTCCCTTGCCTTGGGGTAGGTGATGCAGCACATTCGCGCGACCCCTTCGGCGGCGAATTTCCCGCGGCTCTTCTCGTCGGGGAAATCCCAGTGCTCAAGAAAGAAGTCTTGCACGTCTCGGACCACCTCGTCGGCCCGAGGGTGGCACTGGGAAAGCACCGACGGTTCTAGAGACTTCATAGCGTATTCAGACTTGACTTTATGAGGGAGTGCTTTGAGATGGAAAGAGGTAGAAAAGGGGTGGACGTGCTGATTTCTCCGAAAATTTATAGGCAGGAGGAGAGACTGCCGGAATTCATATCCGTGTCTTGGGCTAGCTAATGCTAATATGCATGTCTTCGGCGTGTTGCAGATACCGCTATACGCTCGCCATCGGCGATGACAGTAAATCGAGGCGCTTTTGCTCTCCGCTCCACTGCCTTTCGGGGACAATGGCCTCGTGAGTTATAAGTGGCTATAAGAGAAAAAGAGAGAGGCCTTAGCGAAAGGCAAGTCTATCGTCCTTTGTATAACCCTGTTTTCGGTCAGACTGCTGACATAGTTAACTACCAGTAAACGTCCTTGGTTGATGTCAGCTGGGGTAAAACACTACGGGATGGCATGAAGACATATACTTACGCTGCACAACATACCTACTTAATGTTTAACAGAGCTTCCATGCTCGGGGTTCGGGGAAGTATAAGTCCGGTATATTATAGCATAGCATAGCGCAGTAGGTACATAGAGCCGTCCTACATCTGCCATCAGATATATCGTTGAGCCGCAATCCGACCCGATCTGACCCGGGGCTCATTTCCTGATAGCAGCCAAATCCCCTTCTCGGTGACTCTCCCCTTTCTCTCGTCCTCCTTGCTCCTTGCTTTCGTCAGATACTCCAACAGAGCACGGGCGAATCATTCGCGTCCGAGGACGCCGAGTTATGTTGCCCTAGTACTAGGCCGGCGAAAAGTCTCGCACCAACCAACCGCAACCGCACCAACTCCAGTCTGTCTCGTAGCAGATCCGTGACGAGTGGCCGAGAAAAAGAAATAAGACGAAATGGGGGTATTGTGTCCAGGATCCGATATTAGGAATAACAAAAAAAAGCACGAGGCAAAGGTACCGACGGAGGATAATCCGTGGAAACGGCGAGAAATGCTGTCGCTTCGCATCGAGTGTGGGAATATACAGGGGGTCATTATATAGGAGGGTAAACAGTAAGATGGGACCGGCCTCGCGAAGCCATACTGTTCTGGCTCGCGATCGGCCATATGCAATTGAGGTTTCGCGCATAGCGTGGGGACTGGTAATTCCCGTTGTCGTATGCAATGTGATAGATGTTGAGATGTTGGCGACGGTGACGGTGGGTAGTCTTGCTACCGGTTGAACACCAGTGCGTTCACCACGTGGCCATTCTTCCAGCCCTGGCCCTGCAGCGACGTGTTCTCTTTCAGAATCTTGCCCATATAGGCTATGCGGACGCGCTTGGTTGACGGCAACTAAGTTATTGTTAGACCGGACGCTCACTGCTGACACCTTTGGCGATGTCGGTAGTTAAACTTACCCCGGACTCCTCGATAACCTTCCTGGCGACGCTCCTCACGCTTTCCTCGGGGGTGACGCTGATGATCACATCCGGCAGGTTATCGCTCAGTCGTGCGCGCACCTTGACCATGTCCCGGACGTCGGCGACCGCCTTGCCCTTCTCTTCTCTCCGTCGTATCGCCTCGTCCTCGTCCAGTTCCTCACCAGCAGTGTCCTCCTCATCGGTCATATCTTCGTCGTCCTTCCCGGCGGTACCGTCGTCGTCGCCATGGCTGTGCCTCTCCTTCGGCTTCCTCTTCGGTTCCTGGTGCTCCTGCACACCGACCCTCTCCTCGGGCACGTTCACGGGGTCGCTGACGATCCACTCGGGCAGGGCGTAGTAGTTACCTAACGAGTCGTATACGCCGTTCGATAGGTCGCCTGTCGGCAGCGTCACCTCGGCGGCCTTAAGTATGCTCTGTGCCGTAGCTAGTCCGCCGGCGCCGTCGTCGTCGCCCCCGATTTCCGTTCCGGGAGCTACGTCGGTAGTACGCCTCGCGTCGGCCTCCCACATGACCTCCAGCGCGGCATGTAGCACCTGCCACACCTCGGGGCGGCCGGTGACCCTGGTATCGAAGAAGTCGGCACGCTCCGTGTCGAGCTGGGCACGAGTCCAGAGGCGGTCGCGCGCGACCCACTCGTGCCGGCGCAAGGGCTTGTCTATGTGCTGAGACAGGGGGGCATGGTGGTGGTGGCGGTGCGAGTGCGAGTGAGAAGGCAGGTGGGAACGGGTCATGCCCCGCGAGGGAGGCGCACTATCGTCGGTGCCGTTGCCAGAGGGATGCTGATGGGGTGTGGCCAAGGGTGGCGGCGGCGAGTTGATGGCTCGCGCCGAGGGCGAGGCCGCGCTGCCCCCCGGGTATGGGGCATTGGGGCCAGCCGGCCGCGAGAAGCAACAGCCCTACATCGGAGGGAAACACTCACTGGTTAGTGGCAAGTCCGGGGAGAGAGGGGGAGTGGCTGGGGGGAGGAAGACGAGAGGGGAAAGAAGTAGAGTGGGAATGGTTGGTGTATTTTTCGGGACTATACCATTGTTTTTTTTTTCTTCTTCTTTTTTGCACTGTGAGGGAGAAGATCGGGGCCAACTCCAAGGAAGTGATTGGACACACCATCCAGCGTCGACGGGAGGTGTTCAGCGCATCGTTGACGAAAAAAGTCGTAGGTATGCTCGGCCCTGGCGATCGCTCTCCTTCTATTTGCCTGCTGCGGCCATTAAGCGGAGCAAGGGAGACCGGGACGGCTGTTCTGCTGCCTTTCCGGCGTGTCTCAGGGCGGTGGGTTTGGCTGTCTGGCGATGCCGATTTGTGCGTGTCGAAGTGGGCTAGATGGAGGGTAGGAAGTGGGAGGAGAGCAGCGAGATGAGGCTGAGGCGACGAATGATGGGGGGTCGATGGGAATGCCAGATGGGATCCAGATGGGAGGCGGGGACGTACCCAGTACTTATGTAGGTACTTGGTTAGATACTGCGCATGGACATACCGCGGCATGTACCGGTACGCGTGTGTGCGATGCTACGTCGGCGACCACTGGCGGGAAGCCCTAGGCGTGGCGCCGGCCGCGTGGGAGCGTGCGGGCGTACCTGTACATACCTATCGGTGGGGCAGGTTACCCCGTACCCAAACTGAACGAATGGAACCGGGTGTTTTAGTGGGTGGGGCTGGCAAAGTTAGAGGTACCTCCTCTTAACCTCGAAAGTACCAGCGTACCCAATCCTCCATCAGGTACCTCTACCTCCCATACAGGTACCCCCTACACAGAACCTCGACCACGGCCGCCAAGCTGCTCCTAGCTATCCTCACACGTTCCTGGGTAGCTAGAGTAGTATTCAGTTAACGCAACGTCTTCACATGCCACCCTGTTTTGCATCGTATTCCCTTCCCGCCCCGGCTCGGGGTGACGCGTAGCAGCGAACCGCGTAAGCAGGCCGCACAGGGCGAGCATGGCCAGTCCGGGCCGGGCCAATCGGGGAATCTCCTGCTGCTATCGGGGAACCTGGTTATGAGTCCCCTTGCTGGTATGGGGGTAGGGGGTAGGGGGAGGTATTTAGGACCTCACGTAGTTACGTACAAAGTATGGATTGGTTCGATGCCACCCGGCCCAAGCACCGGGCGTATACCGCCCATCAACCCATCCCACCCATCCACCCGTCCTACGCCTACCCTCGATGCGTAGGCGCTCTCTCAACCGTGTGCGGTGGGCTCTCTACATAGGCAGGCGTCACACATTGCCTCGTAGCACCGAATAGTGGGCGTAACGGCCTTCGTGCCCCGACGTGGCCCGCACACGCATATCTATATGCCTGGTTCTCTCTTCGCGTAAGACATCACCACAGATACCCCCGGCAGGACTTGCTGCCGCACAGGCAACGCGTCATGTCTTTCCGCTTCTCCGGGTCGAGCGCGTCCTTCTCCGAGTCGTCGATTCCGTCGACGTAGTCGAACGTCAGCTCCTCCCCCTTGGGCACGTCCCGGACTGCGAACAGGGCCAGGTCGTGTATGTGCTTGTCGGCGTGGTCGCCGACGCGGGCGAAGATGCGCAGGTTCGGCTCGCACGAGTGGTTGACGAACCGCGTCGGCCCCGACATGAACTCGCCGTCCACCTCGAGCGGCGCGCCGCGCAGCCGCTCGTCGAACGAGTCCGGGTCCGAGAACTTGTCGAGCGCGAACAGGTACACGTCCTTGCGCTGGGCGATGTGCGACTGGGCCCGCCGCCGGTTCGCCTCCTCCGCCGTGATGATCTCCCCCATGTACTTGTCGACGAACTGGCCCTTCTTGATGTCCGCCGTGCTCCTGACGCCCCACCCGCGGTTCGTCGTCCGGAAGATCTGCAGCGGCACCTTGCGGCCCCGCTCCACCACCCGGTTTGGGCAGTCCGGGCCGCACGCGCAGCTCTCGTGGCACTCGTAGATGGGGTGGCGCGACGTGAGTATCCCCGAACGCAGCCGGCCGGCCTTGGCGCCGTGCGAGTGGTAGGCGTAGGTCTTCTTGCGACCGCGCTCGGCGTAGGTGGGGTCGGAGTTCTCGTCCTCGTCGGAGCTGTCGCCGACGTCCTGCAGGCAATTGCAGGTGCTGTACTGGCAATCCTCTCCGTCGACACACTCGCAGCCGGTAAGGAACTCTCTCCTAGTTGGTTCCACACCCTTGCCCAGCACGGAATGTTCGACGAATCGGAAGTGAGGGTCGAGCACGGCTTCATCTTCGGTGTTGACGATGGTGACGGGAAAGCGAGCATGGGTTGCGAAGGCACGGATCTGGCAGAAATGGCAGTTCTGCTTCTCTCTAATGTGGCCCTATGGCGATCAGCGCCCGGCCGTTAGCATAGGTAGCACACATCAGCAGCGTCGGTGCGTAGCAGAGCACGTAGAGGTATCGTGGCGGGCACAAGGGGTGGCTAACCGGTTCGCTGTGGTGAAAAAAGTGCTGTCGCGTGGCCTCCTCCATCTCTCCGCTCGTTGTGCTTCGTCCTTCCTTGCCGGATGCAACGGAAATTGTCACCGCAAATTGAGTATCTGGAGCATCAGGTCAGGTAGCTCGCGGTGTTGAGGCCTCTGCGATGACGTTGCCAACGGGTAGATATGGGTTAGCGACAAGGAACCGTCGACGCGACTGGACGCGTCCCGGATCCACTAAAGCTAGCGGCGGGTTTCTCGTATCCTCTGGCTAAACTGTTTAACTGCAAACCCCCGTTATACACATATTAACTCATCCTGTAACATACCCTTCATGTAGACACGCAGATGTTAACTAGATGTATATACTTGTGTGTATACGGCATAAACAGTTCATGGTTTTTCGTCCAAATATATTCTGAGATAATCTAACATAGGTGGAGTAGTCTCTACTTTCTAAACATCCAAACCACCTACCTATTGTAAGAGTCCTTACAGCGGAGTTTGTTACGAGCGGCAGTCCTGACGTTTATTTGTAACTGTCCGCCAATATACGCGTTTATGTAACTCGCCGTCGACTGTTGCGAACGGCTGGATCAGAAGGGGCCAACGGAGGAGATAGACAACACCGGATAAATGGTTACCCGAATTAAGGAAGGGAGCTGAGACCAAATAAGAAAGGTGTCTCCCGACCGCGTAGGTCCCTATAGGTAGGTATAGGCCAGCTAACATACACAGACAGGTCCTTGGGCGGTCACTTAACCTATAAATACTCTCCTAACACAGTTCGGAGACCTAACCAAAAATGATGTCTATAAGGGATAGAAGCCCCATCCTTCTAAAATAGTCTCTTGTTGCTCAGTTATCAATCTAATACACAGTTCACTCTTTAGAGTCGCCTCATCCGGCTCTAAGGGAGATAATGAAGTGTGGGCACTGGGTCCTACGATCAGCGGACTTATTCCTTACTGTGACCTTCAAACCAAGCCTAATGTTAGGGATCAACACTACCCGGCGTACCCGTACCAAAACCCCTACCTAGGTACGCCCAAAAGAGGGGAAGAATAGTCACGTGCAATGCTACCTTCGTAGGTGTAACCACGTCCTGACTGTAGAGATATACCTAGTGTGTTTCACCTACGGCCACAGGGGCCGCCTGCGGACCAGAAGGGGAGCTGCGGCCCTCATAAGGAAGAAGGGGTATATATAGGGACAATTCCCCTCTGCATATAGTCACTCCTTAAGTTCTTCAGTTGTTAACCTAATAGGTACACAGCTCGCTCTTTAAAATCACCTTATCCGACTTCAGAAGATTGTGAAGTGTGAACTCTGAGTCCTACGATCAGAGAACTTATTCTTTGATGTTACTTTCAAACCAAGCCAAACCAAGCCAAACTAAGTTACTTCCCTTCTTCGGTACCAATAGAATTAGTAGATCGTAACATCGACTTGCAAGTTGGGCGTCTCTTTAGCTTAAAACCGGACCGACTCTCTTACGCACTCTAAGGGGACGGCCTCCTTTCCTCTATTATCTCCATCGGCAAGCCTAGGCTATTGTTGCACGTCTACTCCGCTCTCCGCAGCACCATAAAGATCCACTGTGCTCAGGCCACTCCCTCTCGCCGTCCCCGTCTCATATCACACGAGCTGATACCTGCGTAACCAGCTATCCGCCTCGCAGTCAGGTAGTACTCGACAGCTCTTCCTCATTATCACTCACCGTTGCCGCCACTTGCGCAGATCGTAGGGACGCTGCCCTGCGTCCGTTACCACTTCGCAATGCCTCGCACCCGGGACACACCTCAGTCCTTCGAGGATCGGGAATTCTTCCCCGCATTCCGCGACTGCCCAGCGGAGCACGAATGGGACGATCGATATTTCATAGATTCAGTGCCAGGCATAGGTGTTAACCGGAAGCATTGGTGTCTACTCGGAGAAATAATCCAGGCAGACACCCGGATCCGTCCTCGTATCGTGGCCAAAGATTACCGGGGCGAGGACTTTGTCGTAGCCCTCTACCCAGACGATGAAGACGACACGCCCCGCCTGCTGAGGCAATTCAAGGTCGGTAACACTATTGCCATCTTCTACGCCCTCACCCACGGGTTCCTCGATGGCACCATCGGCGTGAGAGTCGAGAGCACCGATGAATGCTTGGTAAGTGGCAGGTTTCCCATGCCTAGGAGGTGCAGAAGGCAGATATTATCGGCGTCGGCCTATTAACGGCCTCCATAGATCATCCCCCTAAATTTCAAGGATGTCCTCAAGATGAATAGCGAGTTGATCAAATACACGCCCGCCAACGGCACTCTACGAAAGTGTCACGGCTGCGAGGCGGCCGATGGGCAACTCAACAAGTGTGGGCAGTGCACATTATTCTTCTACTGCAATAGGGTACGTGAACCCTTCCAAAGTTCCATTCTGCCCATAGCGGCCACATAGTGATCCACCGGATGACGGCGAGGGAAAAGGAAAAGCTGACTCTGAGGGGGAAAGGAATGCCAAACTAAGGCCTGGACGGAGAAGAACCACAAGAAGCATTGCAAGGCACTCAAGGATAAAAATGTCCGCTTCATGCACTTCCTGGACTATGCAACTCATGACGGCAACATCTCTCTCTCCTGACACCTACCAACACAAATGCTGATTTGTGGGCGAGATGGCCGTGCTTTCGGTGGCGATGCAGACAAGATCTAGTGCCTATCAAAAGCCATGAAGATGGTATTGTCCTGCGACTCCACACCTTCAGAAACTTCTCATCTTACGGTAAAGAAGGGGTGTGTTGTGGTCTAGCCCTGGGAAGCCCAGGAGAATAAATACATACTTGTGTCACAAAGGGGATCTATGATAATTACGACTTGCAACATGTTCCTTCTCCAAGTGGCGGTGAACACGATATAATAAGGATTATGAACAAGTGCTCATAGCCCACTGCCACCAAGCCCGACGATTTGGTTTCTCAGCACATATCTACATTTCTAGCTCGATCTCAGTATTGTTATACAGCAACCTACGTAGTCGTCGCTGCCAGTTTTCTTTAAGCTACCTATGTAGAGATGGGACTGTATCCTTTCTACCTCGTAATATATCGTTTCTTCGAATTCAGTCAGGTCCTGCTTGCCTGGGTACTTAGGCCATTGGCTATCGAGACTAGTATAACCCACTTCTAAAGAGGAGTTGGTTTCCGGGAATACCACCAACCGAGAACTCCGAGCCGTATTAGACATTACGGGTTACATCCACGGGGGTGCCATGGAGTAAGACGTTAAGACGCTGCTATCTAGTTAGTGTCACAATCTCACCTCACCCGACTCTCCAATTGCATCATCGAGTCGGGCCAGAAGATAAGGAATGTAGGTAGGTATAAGGTGATTGCGGCTAATGAACGTACTTCGCCCATCAGCGCAGCTCACATTATCCGACCTGCTTATCTACTTACCCGCCTTTCCCTTCGCCTCGAGATAGGTATCGGCCCTCATCGCCTCGATAGCAAGGATAATGGCAGCGAAAACAGCAGGAGCAGCAGAAGTCAGGCCGGCCTCCGAGGGGACCGTCGACGGACTGGCGTCCTACGTCGGAGAGTTCGCCGCGACGCCGGGGCCGCTCTCGAAGCCGCTCGCGGACCTCCTCGCGACGTACAGCGGAATCCCACGCGACGCGCAGGCCGCGCACATCGTGCGCGTGCGCGACGAGGCCTACGCGCGGTTCCCGTACCCGTGCCTCGGCACCTTCCGGTTCCTCGACCTGGACCTCGCGGCGCACTTTGGGTACGCGGAGCACGTGCTGGCGCCGCTGCTGGCGCCGCGCGCCGTCGGCGCGGAGGAGGAGGAGGAGGAGGGTGAGGGCCCGCTGTTCCTCGACCTCGGTACCTGCTTCGGGCAGGACCTGCGGCGGCTGGCGCACGACGGCGTGGCCGCGGCGCGGCTCTGGGCGAGCGACATCGAGCCGGAGCTCGTCGAGCTCGGGTTCCGGCTGTTCGGGGACGCGGGACGGCTGGGTCGCGGGCGCTTCCTGTGCCCGGGGGATCTGCTCGCGGCGGCGGACGACGCCGGGGACCGGCTGCGCGAGCTCGACGGCCGCGTCACCATCCTGCACGCCACCGCCGTCTTCCACCTGTTCTCGCTCGACGAGCAGCGCCGCGCCGCCGACCGCTGCCTGCGGCTGCTGCGCCGCGACCCCGCCCGCCCCGCGCTCGTCATCGGCGCCCAGGTCGGCAGCCTCACCCCCGGCCCGTTCTCGCGCCGCAACCTCTCCGGCAACTACATCCACAAGTACCGCCACGACGCGCGCACCTGGCGCGACCTCTGGCGCGACGCCGCCGCCGCCCCGCCCTGGCGCGACCTCGTCGCCCGCGTCGACGTCGAGTCCCGGCTCCTGCGGCGCGTCCACGGCCAGGACGCCGACGGCGACGCCGTCACCACCTTTGTCGACGCCGACGCCGACACGCCCATCGTCTGGCAGATGTTTGAGGTCTGGGTTACGTTTGCAGAGCAGCCGAAATAGACGATAGGCAAGAGGAGAGACAAGTGGACGGAGATCCCAAGATAGGGGGCTAGAGTTATGAGTTACGACGGATACAATGTGTTGCCAGGAAGGGGTGTTCTTAGCTGCTTTTAGCACTGTGTTAGGTTGATAGGGAAGGAGGAATAGCAGTCGAGAGTTCCTCTGTAGTTGTGTGAGCAGACGAGGGCGGGTTGAGATTACCTAGATATAGCAACTCTTGCTAATGCTCAGAAACGGAGCCCAGCTCAACTAGTAGACTTCAAACACTCGCAAACGTGGCCCCACTGTGCCACACTATCTCATTTAATACTACTAATAGTACACCTAGTTGCCGTCGTCGTGAGTTGGGCAGTGCTACAACATGACTGCGTGGATGAACGACAGACGGCTTATGTACATATTCACGTCCGAGATGAACAGACCCCGCTAGTTGCAACACGTGCTTGCATAAAGTGGACACCTAAGGCTAGTGTGGAGACACCCAACATGGTTCCGCACCCCACCAAGGAGGCTTAGGGGCGTGTCTCAATATTTCGCTGCCCCGATAAGATAGGTAGATAGAACTAAACAATTCTTTTTATATTATTTTTTTATCTTGAGAATCGTCGAAGCTGCTTCCCATCCACTCCGAGCAGCCATCGCGGCGCCAGTCGATGCGAACACCCCGACACCAATATCCTACACGCTACAGTCTGAAACCCGCCGCGAAGACTTATCACGCCCGCATCTCCGAGACTGCGCGCGTGCGACGGCCCTGCTCGACATCCCCTCCCTCATCCTGCGCTCGCGTCTCGCAATGGCGGCCGACGAGAGGAACATGCCGTTCATAAAGAACCTCGCGTCGAGCGGTTCGTCTCTCCCCTCCTCCTTCTCACTTACCACCCCCCGGCCTATCCTCCACGTAATCCCCTCCCGCCGTCCCTCCTCAGACGTCCTAACCACGCAGCGCCCGCAGACCGCAAGATCCGGACCTCGGCGCTCTCGACCCTGCGCACCTTCCTGGCGGCGCCCGCGACGGCGGCGCGGCTCACCGAGCTCGACCACTTGAAGCTGTGGAAGGGACTGTTCTACAGCCTGTGGATGTGCGACCGGCCGGTCCCGCAGCAGAGCCTGTGCGCGGAGCTGGCCGCGCTCGTCGGCGTCCTGCCCACCGCCGCCGCCGGTAACGCGCCCGACGACGACGACGCCGTCGCCGTCGCCGTCGCCCCCTTCCTCCGCGCCTTCTGGGCCACGCTCGCCCGCGAGTGGACCGCCATCGACGTCCTGCGCATGGAGAAGTTCCTGCTGCTCGTGCGGCGCGTGCTCGGCGCGAGCCTCGCCTGGGCCGCTGATCCGCTGCCTCCGCCACCTCCAGCCAAGAGCCGCCGCAAGCAGCAGCAGCAGCCGCGGCCGCGGCCGCGGCCCTGGGCCGGCCCCCGCGCCGCCGCCACGCTCCGGCTCCTCGCCGAGTGGCCCCTCGACGCCGCCGGCGACCTCGCGCGCGTCCCCGTCGGCCTGCGCCTGCACGTCCTCGACATTTGGGTCGACGAGGTGGAGCGGCTCGGGCTGCTGCACCCCGCCGCCCGCCAAGACGATGATACCGACGCCGACGCCGACGCCGACGACGACGACGGGAGGGCCGAGTTCGTCGACGGCCTGCGGCGCCTCGTCGAGGTCCACACCCGCTCCGCGTGCAAGCCCGTGCGCCGCCGCGCCCAGGACTCGCTCGCCGACGACCGGCTGCCGTGGAACAGGCGAGAAGCCCGCGACGGCGACGTAGGCATGGTCGAGGCCGGCGAGGCGAGCAATGGCGGGGAGAGTTGGGACGGGTTTGAGGATTAAGCGGCGCTAATGGGTCGATGGAGGGGACGTTCTTGAATTGCCACGTCGAGTCTTTTGATGTTTTATCAGCCACAGGTGTCTGGCGTTGGGATGGGTGGATAGATATGATATCCGGTATTAAAATTAAGTGGTTTTAGACCCCTTTCTCTAGACGAGGTAAAAGCACAGGAACAGAACGCTACCTAAGCTCAAGGACGCTGTGGAATGCTAAATATACCCAAGTACGCTACAGCGAATGCTGTACCTATTCTACAGGGCCGCGAGCCTGCGTCTCCGCTTCGTCTATATGGGTATCTATGCAATTCATCGTCTACTTCGTGGCCCGTTCGATTACGACGACTGTCCCCATCTCCGGGCCCATACTCGTCCTCTTCGTACTCATACACCCGCCGTCTCCCAGCCCGGGGGCCCGGACTGCTCGTATATCCCCTGCTTCGATATCACCGTCCCTAGCCCCTGGTGAACCTCGACCTGGAAGGGTTCGAAGGGGAAATGCTCGCCGTCGATACTGATGTAGCCGCGCTCCTGATTGCGCGGGGTGAAGCGGTACGCCGCGACCTTCCGATATGACACGTGGGGCATGTCTATCAGTTTCCCGTGCTCTACCGAGCTCAGCAGCTTCAGATACTCGCTAGCGGATATGTCACCATTATTGAACACCACGTCCATAAGTCCGTCGTTGGGGCAGGCGGCGGTAAAGAAGTTGGCATCGGGCGCCATCCATGCCATCTGAGGTGTGTTAGCAAAGATCTTTTGTCAACAAACAGTAGCGCAAGTCGCAGTGGTGTGGCGTCCTTACATTTCCGCAGTAGAAATTTCCGAGCTTGTCGTGGGACGCCGTCTCCCAGTCGCCGGGAATCTTATCATTGATGGTCCCGAACTGCAGGGGCGGTAGCCCATCCCCGGCATCCGTCTCATCCTGCGTGGACTCTCCCAGAGACTCCGCCCCCGCGTTGTTCTCCCTCCTCGTCGTATAGTGCCTCTCGGCTCGCTCGCGTCTGTAGTGGGCTTTGATGTCCTCCTTCGCGGGGATGACGACCTTCATGGATATATCGCACGGGTATACCTTCTTACTAAAGATACGCATTGCCAAGCCGACATTAAAGCGTGCCGCACCCAACCAGCGCAGGTTCTCGGTGCCGAGGTCGCACTCGGCGATGATGCCTACCGACTGGCTTAGGAAGCTGAGAGTCCGCGTCGACCCTTGCGTGATACTCATGAGGTCCAGAGGCGTCCTCACGCCCTTGATAATAGCTATAGCGGCGAAGCCCGCCAGATGCGTGCTGTTTAGGTTACAGCTCATGGCGTTACCGCTCCCGCACGGTATGTGCGCGATAGCTACCTGGCGCAAGGCCTTGCGTGCGTCGGGACGCTTCCCTAGGCCGTTAATACACTCGTGCGGCAACCCGTCTCCGGAGCAAGGGACCACGATGTCAAAGGCGTCAATGTCGAGACCCTCGCAGATGCCGATTGCTTCGCCCGGGGCCTGGGTGCACACGACGTCCAGCGGCATACGCGCAGCCTCGAACAACGGCTTCACTTGATCCTTCCAAATCTTGTCGGCACCCCCTGGCCCCGCATGCGGGTTGATGAGTACCTTGGCCCGCTTGCAGCGTTGGGCCGTGCCGTATGCCTGCTCCAGTAGAGATTCGGCCCAGGTGCGTGTCGCGTCGGGAGAGAGCTCGCCCAGGGGGTAGGTGAGCTTCCCGGTGCGGATGTGTCTCGCAGGCGACTCATAGGCATAGTCGACGACCAGCGAGTCGTCGGCAACTTCGGCCCAGAGCACAGTGTACAGAGGAATCAGGAGCTGATTAGGCTCGGCGCCGACGGCGATGCCACAAAACTTGGTCCGGTGATACCGAGCCACGACCCTGTCTAGAAGAGCGCGAAGACGGGCAGGTTAGTTTCAGGCGATGTGGAAGCAGAAAGGCAGACAGGTTACTCCGTCACACACCTCTTACGATCAGGGTCTCGTCGTTTAGAGCGAGGGACACGCCTCTGCCGAATACAAGGACATTTTCGGCGGCTGGCGGGAGAGCCGGGGCAGCAACATCGACAGCGGGGGCTTCAGCCATGATGGTTGATGGGTTCTCGAGATGGGACAAGACCCAGTGAGCGACAGGAAGGAAAGCTACAGAAACGAGAGGCGGGCAAGAGAGACAGAAAGGGAAAAGGCAACCAGCGAAAAGCGGTATGAAGGGAATACGAAATATTATGAAATTATGGCATGGGCCTTTGCGGAAAACATAACGGCATGTTGATTGTGAAAAAGAGAGAGAGAGGATGGTGGTGGGACATAAAATGCGAAGTTCTCTAGAAAAAAAAAACCACGGTCAAGGCGCGCTGGTAGAGATGCACCTATCCAGTAAGCGCGTAGCTGTCGTATGTACACCCGTACCCCCTGAAGACTCGTCCTCTGATTGGACAATCCTGGCTTTATGCCCTTGCACAAGCTAGTAGGCGGGTAGAAGCCTCGGTTCGTTGCTAGCGCCCCTGTTTCTACCTACTACGTAGTATCCAATGTAACCAGGCAGGTCGAGGTCAATCATACGAGGAAGTATTGCATTGGGGGATACCTACCTGTATTATTATGCATATGACTGTATTATGATGCATATGAGTACACGTGTGAGTACGGGTATGAAATCTCCCTCTCCCCCTTCAGGTAAAACTGGAGACCCTCACTCTTCCCAACTCTTCACCGTCTGGCGCCCTCGCTCCCGATTCCTCGACAAGATGGCGAGCAGGTCACCAATGGGTCCAACCGGTAAGGCACGTCTCAGATCTTATTCTGGCCCACTCGCCGGGCCGCCAGATTCCGCTCCGGGCTCACGACGAGGACGACGTGGTGGCTGAGGGCGAGCACCTCGCCAGCCTGGTCCAAGATGACCACCTCGAGATCCATCCGCCCGTTCCGCAGGCATTTGGGCCGCACTCGCACGAACAGCCACTCCGCGCCCCCGGGTGGCAGCAGCCTCTTGATGTCCAAGTTGAGCAGCACCGTGGGGTGCCAGAAAGGCGGCGCGTCGCCCTCCTTGCCATTCAACCCGCAGCCCCATAGATCCGTGATGACCGACGGGAACATGTCCGACGCTAGGCCCAGGCTCTCGTTTGTGAACTTGTCGCCAGACTCGAGCCGCAGCCACTCGTCTACGATGCCCGGCATGACCTGCCCGCCGCGCGGCAGAAACGTGCGCACGCGGTTGCACACCTTGCGGGATTCGGCGAAAGGCCGGCTCGTCTCCTCAACCCAGTTCGCGTCGCCCGACGCTCCGGTCGTAGCGAGCGTGGCGAAGTCGGCCGGCAGCGGCGGCGGCGGCGGGTGCAGCGACCAACCAGTATGCAGGCTCAGCCCACTCTCGACGTCCATGTTGGAGTGTGTGGCGTGGGCGACCACCTCGTCGCGACCGTTCTGCGACAGCGCCACGTGGACGATGGACGTCTGGCGGCCGAGCTTAACTTCGCGGATGGTCAGCGTCGCCGGCCCACCCTGCGTGCGCCGCAGAAAGTCGACGTGCAGCGAGATCGTATGCGGCTGGTTCTGCGCGGCGAGCGTCGTGCGGAAGTGCGTCGTAGTGGCGCTCAGGATGGCTGATGTCACCATGCCGCCGTGGGGGACTGCGTAACGGCGAGCTGCTCGTTAGATCTGCGGCTCGATGGAGAAAGAAGAAAGAGAGACGTGTGATATTGGTGGTGTAGCATTTACGCACCTGAGCCCACGCACCATTCCGGATCGAAATCAACAGCGTAGGTATGCGAATCTATAGCCCTGACCGCCGTGGCCTCGGCAAGCGTCGGTACCATCCTCAGTGTGGCCGGTCACCTTCAAGTCTGCAGAGGACAATGCGAATTTTCCACGGCCCACGAGTCCACGCGAGTCTGCGAAATGTCTCTATATGTATACCTATAAAATCGCATCTGCGCACCTCCTCAGCACGTAGTCGGAGTTGGAGGAATTCAAGTACCCCCGTACGACAAGGCTACCTACCTACCTAGGCTCTATATGTCAGATACCAAGACATGCATACATCCACCCGTACTCCATTCCATCAGGGGGGTATACATTTATATGTGTACACTCATACCCAGGTATGTGCGACATGCAGGTGACAGACCTCGGTATTGCCCTATACCTAGGGGCGTATTCCCTGTGATTATCGCGGTCTCTACAGAGGCCTGCGATGCATCGATTCTGAATACGAATCTAAAGCGCATTCGGGCATGCGTAGGGGAATAACAGGAATGAGGGACAATACCGTCAAGCGACGCGGACCGAGCGACTCTATCGACCCATCGCACCCACCAATTCTCAACAACGAAGTCGCCGTTCAATACCCCAAAAAAGTCTCAGTAATGAATATCAACTTTCATCAATATTATTTCATGATAGGTTACCAACGCTACAACGAGAATTGCCCCAACCTGTGATCACTGGGAAGGAACCTGTTCTTAGCTCACGTGACTCGCGAGATTCCGTATCAAACGCGACAGATTTCCAAGCCTGGGCGTCTTGGTATCCCCATACTGACTCTCCTTGGACTCCTCGGCGGGGGGGGGGGAAGCCAAGTTTGTGCGGCAAACCACTAAATTTCTTGGCTCCGGGGTACCCAATGCTCAGGGAACGACGAGCCTCTCCTACCGGAATCAGGTCTTGTTATGAAGAAGAAAACTAGAATCAATAGGTATGCAATTTGCCTTTGATGATTATAGGAGGGTATAGGGAGTCGATCGACCGTCACTTACGTAAAGTATAAAGTCGTATAAAGTCCCGTGAATCTCCCATAATATTTGGGCTAGTTAGCGCCGTATTATACTTCCCGTCTTGGGTTCGTTTCGATATCGAGAGCATAATAGACTTAAGTCACCGCCTGTGCGTGCGTGTTAGGCTCTACTTTGATGTTATACGCTTCTCGTGAAACACACTTCCTCGGGAATTCCCATCATGAGTGTTTAGGCGATATAACCCTATAGAAATTCACAATCCCAGTATCACAGCATAGCTTCTATAAGTGAAATACTGCGTCCTCCCGAGCTACAGCCCGGACCAAGCTGCTGTTCCGGCGAGCGGCGGCTCCCGTGTTCATAGCCATGGCCTACTTCTTTTCAACCGTTTTACCTTCGTCCTTGGCCGCAAATATACCGTAAATGTCTGGAGCCATCGATAAGCAATCGACTCGAAATGAATTCCAAAGCCAATACGGTTTGAAAACTTATATTCAGCGGGTGCGGGAGCCGGCACGGGCATAGGGTCTGGAGCGGGAGCGGGAGCGAGGATCACAGAGTACTGCATTTTTTGGTTGCTGGTGGAGTGTCTAGCTCGTAATGATGCTTGAAGCCGAAGAGGGCTAGACGTGTCTGAGAATGAGATGTAGCCCGAGTAGTTTGGCCGGGTATATAGACTGGCGGTATTTCTCCATCAGCAGCGTCATCTTTCTTATTCACCATCCGCCCGTATCACTGTGGATTCCCGGTGGTGTCTGACACGCTGGCAGTCCAATAACTCCGGGGAGGATTCATTTTATCTATCTCCCTCCTCCTCAGCTTCCTATCTGGGCTCGCAACCCCCTCTCGAACGCATGGAGCAAGCGTTGGTGGCGTGGAGTAGATGTACCCACCTGTCTATCGCTCATCATTTCGTCGCTAGCAAGGCAATGGTTTCCCGGTTCCTCAACGCATTGCTTTCTGATCATTTACGAGGAAATAAATCCCGTCGGCCACAGACTTCGGATTATAAACCTTCGCTTGTCTAAGAACTATCCCTGTAGTAGTGGCTTCCGGATAAAAGATCGCGGAGCGTTTTTAGGGCATTAAATACAACTGGCTTGGAGATTCGAAGACTGTAACTTGGCCTCGAAAAGACATTATTCTTCCTAAGTTTTGGCCCTTTATCGCGGGGGCCTTGACGGGCATTATCATCTTCCTAGTTCTCTAGCTAGCTAACCCCGGAATATCGCAGAAAAGGCTTGCCGAAGAGGTTAAAGAGGAGTAATGGAATCGCTGCGGCTGCTCCAGCGTCGGCGCCGCGGCTCACGGATGCCTTATGGAGCCTAACTTCTAATACGGATGGTTTCCCGCTCGTTGCGTCTTCTAAGAGCTTATAGATAAATACCCCGTCCTCGACGACAGGCCGTGGTATGTCGATGAGAACTACACAGCCGGTATCCGTGGAAGAGCTGTGGCAAGGGAAACACGCTAAGATTTGGACGAAGAGGTGAGCTACACACACACGCCCCCCCTTTTTCCTTCGTTCCTCACACATTCCCAAAAGTCTCGCCATTATATTAGACACTAACATTCTGGGCATCTAGGATTCACGGCGAGCATTGCTTATACCAGTGGAGGAAGCTCTGGCATGGGATGGAGGATAGAAAGGAATTCCTAGACACCAAGACCTTCAGCGCCCATCACGCACAACATTGCGCTGACCAGCTATCGGAGGGTTGCGAGGGGGGAGATGACAAGACATGGGTGGAGTTGGGCTTCTACAAGTGCAAGAGGACAATTTGGTAGCGAGTTGTCTCTGTGGTCGCCGTATTTCCGGGACCATCGTTACATTCTTCGATCCAGCCTACGTAGATCCCCTGTCAATCTATGCATGCAACGTGAGCCAACCCCAAGGCTCGGCGGCCACATGAGAAACACATGGCAACCGTTAGTCAGATGATGCGATTCGGACGGTATCTAATTTACATAACCAGGCATGAGGAACCCAAGCCAGCTTATCGGCCTCCTCGATGGCCTTCCCCTATTGGCTCCGTACAGATGCAGTCAGGGTTATCATCGCGCGGATCTTCCTCCCTGCTCTACAACGTATGAAGAGATTGACCCTCCTGGAGTATAGAGCCAGTCATGAGGGGGTGAAACGGGATTCGGAAGATTTTGTCCTCGCCTACGTGGTGCTTCGGTCCCCTCATGTCACCGAGAGGACTACCTCCATACTCATGCACGTCCCCTCGAATGTCACACTTGCTTAGATGGATGGATCGGTGGCCTATTCCCCCAAACCGAACCCTTCTTCGCCAAGTCACCTAGATTCCTACGTCTTACCCCTCCCCGAGTACACCAGAGGGAACCTATGCCGAGCGTATGGCGATATCATCCGACTACGCGGAAGGCAAAGACGAGTCGTCGTCGACGGCAGCTAGGCCTCTCCTCGCCGACAACGAGTCGTCCGGCCCTGAGGTGTCGTCGGTTCCGAGGCGGAGAGTCTGGAGCGCGACGCGATGGACAATCGTACTCGCTCTCTCCGTCGTATGTAGCAACGCGATTAGTATACTCACGACGTACCGACCCGTCCACCGCTCGAGCGGCGGCTGCGACGCCTGTAGCCAGAGCGTAGCGGAGCCCCCGATAGGGGCGGCACCGATCCTGCGCGGTCTTCCGCCCGAGGCCCAGCCCACGTGGATTAGCACGCCATTCTACGACCGCGAGCACAGTATCTACCGGGGGCACGAGTCGCCCGAGACAGAGGCCGCCTGGCCGGAGCTGACGCAAATCCGTACGTAGCACCAACCCCTGCTTGGAAATTTTAGGGGCTCGAGCTTTGAGAGGGGAAAAGAAAGAACGAAAGAAAACACCCCCGCAGGCGTCATGAGACGTGTAAGAACGGTAGTTAACAGCTGCCTGCCAACCAGACGCGGGCCTGGTCCTGGTGCCGAAGGAGGAGACCTCAGCCTCGGATATCGACCCGACGAAGCATGCGTACTTTGACAACGCGGAGAAGGGCCTCGTCGGGTACCTGGTGATCCTGGAAGCGACACACCAACTGCACTGCCTGGTACGTGCGATAGCAGAGACGGCTGCTGCTCACACCCTTTCTCTCCGGTAATATGGCGTAAGGAGACCTTAATCGCTAACCATGGCGTAACGGTGGCGCGCTCTCGAAGAATTTGCTCAGGCGGTACTGCCACTTTAATTTTAACTACCTACACGAGCGAGGCAGAGCGCGAGGATCTCTCCGCGACGATGGAGTGCTACCAGCGGTTGTACGTCGGCACGCCCCCCCTTCTCTCTTTATCCTTCCCACTGCGAAGCCCCCATATCCCTTCGCCCCCCAACCGGCTCGCTAGCCTGTGATGTGCACGGCGGACGTGGGGGTGATGCCGTTCGTGTGGGCGGGGCGCGCGCGCACACCTGCCGCGCCTACGAGCCGGTGCGGCGCTTCGTCCGCGACCGCGCCGTGCCGCGCCCCGCGGGCGGCGAAGTCGGCCCGCGTCCCAGCGACTACGCCGTCGATGACTACATCTGAGCCGGGGGGGCATGCCGCTCAGGGCGGGAGAGGGAAAGAAAGAAATGGGAGATGATAAGGAGGAAGGGTTACGTGCGTACCTAAGTAGGGAGACAAGGTTAGACATACCTAGGTACGTCGAGATCTGGGAAAAGGAAGAGGGCGGAGACGGCTGTAAGCCGAATCGGTAGGTACAATAAAGGTAGAAAAACGCGGTAAAGAGAAAATTACAATTCAAGTCAAGGGAACTCGGTAGAGATATTGCCGGGAATGGTACTGAAGATGCAAGTATGCTGCCGCGATAGGACTGAAAGGGGTGCATTCAGGTGCAGCAAGATGCCTACAAGTCCTGAACTTGATAGGGGTTCCCCGGTACCGGTCCGGAAGGTAGGTAGGGAATGATAGGTATTTACCTCCCGTTCCCCCCCCTCCTTTTTTCTAGAATATTTCGGTGTACGCGGACTTAAGGTTTCACCTGTAGGACTATCCAAAGAGGCGTCGTGTCGGGTGACTGCGGTAGAGTCGTTGGTCAGTATTATTAGGCTGTGCTAGCTGACGAGTCTTTTCCGAAGCCTAACAAGAGCGACACGTGGTTTTCACCAATGTTCCCATTACAGTGCGAATTCCGCAGATAGCTCTAGGGAAGGTTGAAGAGCGGGTTGCTTCGTGTATGATCGACTGGAGATACGGGAGCGAGATGTAACCCTGGCGGGGATGTGATATATATCCAGGTATCGAGCGCTATATAGCCAAGAACACCTTTTTAACGTCTCTGTTTCTCTCTCCTTTTGCCCCTTTAGGCCTACCTGTCTACCTACTATCGTCAACTCTCTATGCATAGTACTGTTACCTACAGTTTGCCTCTAGGCAGTGAAACCTGATGTGCGGGTAGCGATTGACGCCAAGCCGACTTCTGTCTCACCTCTACGCCTGGGAGCGTGAGGGCGCAGTTCTGTAATGTCTCAGGCTTACTCACTGGTCCATTTTCTAAAGAGAATGAGGCGCTTGCATTCGATAAATTGCCTCATACTGTGTGCATCCTGATATGTATGAGTACTGCCTAGCGCAGCGCATAGGTAGGTACCTAGATGATAACGGCCGTGGAAGTCGATCAGAGACAGCTGCGCTGTCTTGGCGCCAAGGCGCCGTGCAGTACGGGCTTGAATGCCCTGCCTCTTTCTATCCTTCGTACATACGGAAAAAGCACACAACCTTAATCGCAGAATTCTGTAATCGCAATAAAGGATGTGAGGTTAATATGCTGCGCAGGTTGGGTAGAACATACAAAATTAGGTTGTTGAGCATGTAAAGACTACGTCTCGGTGTTTTAAGGTGAAGCAGAAATGTCTGTATGTTCACCCCCACCCCCTTCTCAGCCGGGGCCTGCCACGACAATTAGGTAGGTAATGTGTACCTACGTCCTGTATGAGTATTCATAGGATAGCGGGCTGTGCTTCCTATAGGAGGGACTTTTGCAGGGCAACCCGGTCCCCGTGGCACAGAGGCTCAGCCACTGCAAAGACGCCGGACTTCAAGCAACAAAAATACAGGGTATTTACAAGCACCATTATAGAGGCTTAGGTACTTACCTATCTCCTTCCTAGTAGGTACCCAAGGCACCTAAGGTACCTACAGCCAGGGAACCCAGGGTATATTAGGTACCTCTGTAGGTACCTGTATCCATACGCGTCCGTATGCACATCTAGGTACCTGGTATCCCTGCTTTGAGCGACAATTGGTCTCGCGTTCGATGCTGCTAACGGATTCATAAGCTTACTCGGTCCAGAGGTCGGGGCCTGATGCAACATGCCGATCATGCCGACGACAGCGGGGAGACTGGCCCTATGGCAATTCCCGAGGACATCCCGCCCCAATTCAAGGCATTCCTCCGCCTTGATACCGGTAGGAAGAGAGCCTGTTTATACAGAGTTAACGTATAAGAATACCCTCAGCTACCCTGGGAGCCGGTCTCAATAGATAGCCCATACTGCAAACTGTTCCTGTCCTTTCCCCGCTCAGACCACCTCTGTTCTGCCACCCCTCACCGCCTGTATGTTTCCGGCATAGGTATATATTCTAGGCTAGGCAGTCCACCACCCGGCGTCGAGGCGACTCCGGGCCAACAATCAATACCGTCTTCCTTTTCCATCGTCTATTCGCTCGCCGAATCTTGCAGCATTCGTACGCAGTGCCTTACAAGAGACGAGCACCCTCGCACTCCCCTTCCTAGTGCCACCGCCGCTCGCAATTGCGATGGCGACCGACCCCGCGGCACACGCCCCTGTCTCGGCTATGACGCTGGACAACTACAGATTCCCGACGGACAAATTGAAGATGCGGCAAGAGGTCGAGGATCGCATCCCCCTTGTTCTTGTCGCTTGCGGTAGTTTTAGCCCCATCACCATCCTCCACCTACGCATGTTCGAAATGGCGAGCGATTATTCGCGGTTAAGTACCCAGTACGAAGTCGTCGGAGGCTGTAAGCTCGCCCCCCTCCCCATTGCCGATGTGAAGGCCTCGTGACAAAGGCCGGTGTGTTTCTGACACCGCGTAGACCTCTCTCCTGTCTCCTCGGCGTACAAAAAGGCCGGGTTGGCTCCGGCGCGCGACCGGTACGTCCCCCTATCACTGCTATACAGCTATCTGTGATGACTGACTGACTCTGTATTGGTGAACAGCGTACGCATGTGCGAATTGGCGGCTGACGACGCGCCCAGTTGGCTGATGGTCGACCCGTGGGAAGCTATCCAACCCGACTACACGCCCACTGCCGCCGTCTTGGATCGTAAGCCGCCCCCTTTCCTCGCCTAGCCCCGCCTGCTTTCCCCTCATTCCCGAATCTGCTGCCACGTGTGCTCCCGCACCCTTGCCCCCCCCTCCCCTCAACCGCAACACTCCGAAGAGCCCGAAGAGAACAAACACTAACTCGAAATGCCACAGATTTCGATTACGAGCTGAACCAAGTTCTCGGGGGCGTCTATGGTGTCGACGGCGAGTCTCGGAGGCCTGTGAAGATTATGCTTCTCGCTGGCGCCGATCTGCTATCGTAAGTGTTCACAAGACTTCGTCTCCTCTTCCGTCCATTGTCGATTTCGTTAAAGTATACGGCACTATACTGATGGCTTTATATATAAAGCACCATGTCTGCGCCGGGTGTATGGGATAAGCAGGATCTGAACCACATCCTCGGCGATTTTGGCGCCATGATCGTCGAGAGGAGCGGGACAGATATGGACGAGGCTCTCGGAAACCTCAAGCAGTGGGAGAACAACATCCGTAAGTAGACCGGGAAGCGCAGATATCTGGGTCCTACACGTACTAATTCACGGCACCAGACTTTATCCCCCAGCTCATTCACAATGATGTTAGCAGTACTAAGATCCGGCTTCTACTGAAGCGCGGCATGAGCGTCAAGTGGATGACCCCCCACGCCGTCACCCAGTACATGAACGAGAGGGGGTTGTACACGGATGACCAAGATACGAAGTCCAAAGACAAGGGCAAACAACAAGCGAAGAACTGAATCGTGACCACCTGCGTCGCAATCTCTCTAACATCGAGCCAGCTCGAATCACGGCAACGAATCAATCGCCGCCATCCGCGCCCGGAATCAAACTATTCCGGCCGCGGAGTCCGGATGGTTGCCCTAGGTTTCTGAATCTTCTTTTTGGCGAGGAACCAGCGTAGGGGCCAACCACTCGAAAGAACCCTCTCCGGCTGGACATTTTGCCAGTGTCACGTTATCGTCTCGTGGGAATTTGGCTGTTACGAAAGAAGTGGAGCCTACGTTGGTGCGGCGCAAATCCATTGGGGGCGTTTACTGGCACTTATAGCTAAGAAGTAGCTATGAACCTCGCCAGCCGATGGAGGAGGCGAGACATGGGCCTAGGAGAAGAGCAACGGGCATGTCTGGCTAAAGAAATAGCCGACGGCTGCCTCCCCAGCCTAGGTACGCTCAACACGGGCCAAAGAGGGAGGAAACCTGCGGACACTCCCAGCCTGGGAACTGCCGGCCACCTCGCCAGCCGACGCAGGGCCGAGAGGCGATTTTGCATTAGTTACGATAGGCACGCAGGCAGCCTTTTGGGTCTATAAACCTAAAGAGGGACGGGAATCTCAGGTTACGGGCATACGAGCTGTGGACAGCAGCGTTTTCGCGAGTACCATACGGAAGGTCCCTAGACCAATTTGTAATAACAATACCTACATAGATACCCCTCACACAGCAATCATACCGACGCCGACGAAGCGAGCCGACGCGGCCCTGGCTGCTTCATTGCGCATGCTACCGGCTCCTATCTGCTCCTCAACATGCACTTTGAAGTTTATTTCTCTTACGAAGAACTGAGGCCTGCGAGCAGGATTTGTCTGTGAGCGCGGTCTCTCGTAGAGAGGTGCTTCTAGCTGGCACCGCCGTCTACAGGGTCGGGCCCGCCCGCCGGCTGGGGCGGAGGGAGATGGGAGGCACGGGAGGCGATCACGACAGAAGGCGAGGAATGACCCCATCTGAAGATCTCTCTCATATCGCGATGGCTGTGCAGCGAAAGCGCACCCTCGCTTGCGTCATCCCAGCCCCGCATCCCGTTTCGCCCCCTTCCACTGGTTTTGTGGTGCGCTTGGCGGGCAGCCGATCACGGAGTTGCGGAGCGGCTTGTTTTCTGTCCCCAATGTCGTTGTCGTCTTTGTTGCTTGAAAGCTACTTAGCTACGGGTTTACCTTGGACGGGGCTTACTTGCCTGGGATCTTGTCACATGGGGTGGTGGTGAGGTTTTGCCTGTTCTTTTTCTTCTTCTTCATCTTCCTCGGTGCCTATAGGTATATAGATGGTCTGGTGGCTTTGGGGGGGTCTGGTCCCGACTGGCCGGCCTCCGTCGCCATTGGTAAGGTAAATTGGTGCTACTAGACACACGATATGTTAGGTGGCTTGGTTGTTCTGCCAATGGCGCAATCCGAGCAAGGTTACCTATATGTCTGGGATCCCCATTGGGCCGACCGGTTACGTAATGGGCATTTTCCCCGGAGGAGCCTCGGGAACCGGGGAACAAGGGGAGAGAACAATCTAGCCGGGGGGGAATTAAGAGGTATTATAGGTATGTGTCGCGCGGATAAGAGGTGGTTAGAAGTATAAGACGGTTTATCTCCCTTTTGGCTTTGTCAGCGAGTTGTTCCCTAGGCAACGTTTTTTCCGTTTTCGGCTACTTTTTCTCTGTCTTCGGCTATTTTTTTTCTGTTAGGGTTCGGATAGCAGAGCAATTTGTGCTCGCCTATCTGCTTTCTCGTGCAGGCTAGATAGAAACTTGGCTGTGTTCGTTTCGATCTCAGGTGTTGCGAGGATTGTGTAGAGGGTTTAGTTACCTGCTAACCGTTGACTGCAGCACACACTACACATACTTACCTGGGTATGCTGCTATCTCTTCGATTCCCTCACGCTTGTCTCTGGCTCCCGCCGCCGACGCCCGTACGGAAGCACAACGCTATCGTATGGTCTCAAGCAGCAGTTACCTATGCCATGTGTAATCGATACACAACTACCGCATCTTAACAATAACGCTACTGAGCCCGCATATGCCTACGCGTCTGGCGCACACAGGAAATACGTGCAGCTCCTCCAGTTCGATGCCTTCGCATTTATTAACATGAATCCTAGCAACGCCACCTAGATAGGTATACAGTCCCAGGCTCTGTCAGCTCTCTAGCAAGTAGGCGTTCACTTCCATTAGGCACCTACCCGTAGTTAACACACCCTTACGCTTCATCGACACCAACTACAACTTTCGCTATCGAAAAGAGGCGTTGGCGTTTACACGAATGCATGCCTAATGTTTTGGATTTTTCGATGACCACCGCATCCTATCCTTAGGCATCGACCTAGGCATCTATACGATATTTGTACCATTCTGTCGTTGAATCCGTGCTGGCGACACCTCAAGTGCCTATGTAAGTCCGAAGTCGGGAGACGTGGCTGCTGGTCCAGCGAGCTGTGTCCGTCATACGCCGACTGGTACGAGGTAGGTACCTATCACTACATTAGAGTAGCTACGCTACGTACCTAAGATGGCAGGCAGCCCAGGTACCTGATGGTAACTCACAACAGGTAGGCACGTGTAATGACGCGGGGCAACAACGCGGGGCACAACGCGGGGCACACAGGCGTTGCATAAATTTTTCTCGCAATTACCTAGCTTCAATTGCATATGGAATTCTCGTCTCTCTCAAGCTCTAGTCTCCTACACTGCACAATACAACACGACGACAGCTAAGAAGACACCCTCCAGCACCACCTCTCTCATCGCCGCGATGCCGCAGTCTGCCCTCCTCCTCGGCTCCGGCTTCGTCGCCACGCCCACCGTCGAGTTGCTCGCCAAGGCCGGCGTGCACGTCACCGTCGCCTCCCGCACCCTTACCTCTGCCCAGCGGCTCGCCGGCAGCTTCCCTAACGCCAAGGCCATCAGTCTTGACGTAAACGACACGCCCGCTCTCGAAGCTGCCGTCGCCCGGCACGACGTCACCATCTCGCTGATACCCTATACCTACCATGTTGCTGTCGTCAAGGCCGCCATCAAGGCGAAGAAGCACGTAGTCACGACGTCGTACGTGTCGCCCGCTATGCAGGCCCTCGACGAGGAGGCCAAGGCTGCCGGCATCACCGTCATGAACGAGATTGGGGTAAGTCGCAGATGGCTTGTACGGTGTCCCCCTTACTTTCTTTGCTGACCATGCTAGCTCGACCCCGGGTATGCCTTCTGACTGCCGTGCTCTGTCCCATCCTTCTTCCGCTGACCCGCCCCCCGCAAGAATTGACCATCTCTACGCCGTCGACGTTATCGACCGGGTCCACAAGGAAGGAGGCTCAATCCGTGCCTTTAGGAGCTTTTGCGGTGGCTTGCCTGCGCCAGAGAGTACGGCTACGATACCAGATTATGAGTGGGGATACTGTTGAAGCTAACTGTCGTGCTAGACTCGGATAACCCTCTCGGTAAACGTGGCGCCGGCTTTCGTATTCCTTCTGGCTGCTGACTAGATCTAGGATACAAGTTTAGCTGGAGTAGCCGTGGGGTGCTGTTGGCGTTGAAGAACAATGCCAAGTATTTCGAGAACGGCCAGGAGGTGAACGTGAGAGGTGAGGATCTCATGGGGACGGCGAAACCCTACCACACCGGCTTTCTGGGCTTCAACTTCGTCGCGTATGGAAACCGAGACAGCACCGGTTACCGAGAACGGTAAGGATACGGACTTGACTGTTGAACCACGGATAGTCAATTGCTGATTCTTTTCAGCTACAACATCCCCGAGGCGCAGACCGTAGTTCGCGGCACCCTTCGATACGCCGGCTTCCCGGAGTTCGTCAAAGTTCTCGTCGATATCGGCTTCCTCAGTGACGAGGAGCAGGACTTCCTGAAAGAGCCAGTCGCTTGGAAGGAAGCGACCAGGAAGATCATCGGCGCCAGTTCATCCAGTGAGAGCGATCTACTGTCAGCGATTTCGTCCAAAACCACATTCGAGAATGCCGATGAGAAGAACCAATTGGTGGCAGGCCTCAAGTGGCGTAAGTAACCGAGAACTCTAGCGATCACACTCGGGCAGTTTTTGACACAGCAGCACAGTCGGTATCTTTTCTGAGGCCAAGATCACGCCGAAAGGGAACCCTCTAGACACGTTATGTGCTACCCTCGAGCAAAAGATGGCCTACGAGGAAGGCGAGCGCGACCTAGTAGTACGTATATAATCGTAGTGCTCTAGCGCTTTTTTTCTCATAGGGACGACGATCCTGACACTGGGCATTCAAGTTCCTCCAACATCAATTCGAGATCAAGAACAGAGACGGCAGCAAGGACACGATAACCTCTACCCTCTGCGAGTACGGCGCTCCCATTGGATCTGGCGGTCCCACAGCAATGGCGAAGCTAGTGGGCGTACCATGTGGTGTGGGCAAGTATTTCCCGCGCCGTGACCCCCTTTTGCGGTTATGAGCGAATGGCTCTTCGCATAGACGTGGCCTTTCTTTCTTCATGTGCTGCTTTTACTGCCTTGATTATTGCTGGAAATCTCGACATGTTCCCGGCGATAAGAGATGCTAACTCGGGGCATTGAGCAGCGGTGAAACAAGTACTCGATGGTACGATTTCCGATAAAGGTGTCCTCGCGCCAGTGAATACGAAGATCAACGGGCCGCTGATGAAGGAACTAAAAGACAGCTACGGGTCAGTCTTCCTAGCTAGCTTTTCTTTCCAGAGACAATTACTGACAGAGTACAGAATCGAATGCAAGGAAAAGTTAATCTAGTAGTGTAAAAGGACAGCTTCCTAGGGCGAAATTAGATATGCTACATGCGGTTCTATCGGCGTAGCCCACACGTAGTGGTGATACAGAAAAGGTTCGGCACTGTCAGAGGCCTGATTGCTCGTGTATTTCTAAGCGACATCGGATATTCGTCCAATGTCTATGACATTACACTATTTTTTCCCCTTAGACATAACTGCGAGAGCACCCAGGCGACGCTTTCTATGACGAGTACCAAGCTACAGGCCCTTAGAGCCGTTACCGGTATCACCACACATGACGACTGGATGATATCTAAGGCTGAGGTCAATATATGGACCACAGTTACTATGGGAAACGCCGGGGAGACTGGCCGGGAAGACGCAAGATTACGCCGTTAACTACTCCCCTTAATCGAATCCAATAGTTGATACTGGTAGGAGGCGCGTGGGGAGACTATTACAGCAACATACGTAATAAAGCAAATATCCGTCTATTTTGTCGCTAGTCAACCGTCAAAAACGCCTCAACTATACACTCCTGTCGACTCCCACCAAACCAAGAGGACATGAAGGCCGAGCTCTTAGTGTCCGCTACCCCAGTCTCCTTAGCGGAAAAAGAGAATCGAAGCATTTCTCACAGCGGCAATCGCAGTTGAGTGCGGACAAACTCGGTGAGGCCGCGCTCGATAGAGGCGGAGAGGGCGACGAAGATGATCATGTTGGTGGAGGAGGGCTGGGGGCAGTAGCGGACGTCAGGCAGGATGTCGAGCTCCTCGATGCCGCTGACGCGGGCGAGCTCACCAACCCAGTCGAGGCTCTCGTGCTTGATGTCGAAGAGGAGCTGGAGGTCGGCGGCGGTGAATTCGCGGGGGCCGACCCAGGCGCCTCCGGAAGGGCGGCCACCCTGAACGACGAGCCGAAGCTTCTTGACGGAGCCGTGGTCGCGCAGGAAGCGGCAGACGCTGCGCCACTCGCCGCGGTCGGTGTCGTAGGGAGACAGAGGGCCGCGCTTGTAGAGCCAGACCTCGCGGATGAGGCGGCAGCTGGCGGGCGTCAGGTCGGAGAGGAAGGGCTCGACGGCCTCGATGTCGCTGCCGAAGTCGAACGTGTGGCAGCCGTAGACGAGGTACGAGGTCTCCTGATGCAGGCGGCGGCTCGCGCGCATCAGCGGGGCACAGAAACGGACGCCGGGGGTGGCCAGGCAGTAGGTGGTGCGGAAGCAGCGGCGGTGGAAGGACCGCTCGAGCACGTAGTACCGGCTCCGGCGCCGGCACCGGCCCTCGCCGTCCATCTCGGCGAGCCGGCCCACGGCGGCGTTCTGGATGCGCAGCTGCTTGTGGCCGCCGTCGTCGAAGAGGTAGTCGTAGATCAGCATGCGCACCTCGGCGGGGACGCGCATCAGCAGCGAGGGCTCCATCGCGCGCACGTGCGTGCACACGTGTGCGGAGGGAGAAGCGGAAGCGGAAGCGGAAGAACGGAAAGGGGGGGGGAGCGGGCAGCAAGCGTGTCGTAGATGGGTGCGGGACGGCACCGAGGTAGGGAGGGAGGAGGCCGGAGGAGGAGAAGGGGAAGAAAATATATAGGAACGCGATGGGCGTCTCGGGAAGCTGGAAGATAAAGAAAGAAGAAGAAAAAAAAAGATATGAATGGCACGATTCTCGGGGGGGCGTTCGGTAAGTGAAGAACTGATACACGTCCGTAAATTCCCGATGCGATCAGGTGTTATATCGCGTGCGCGCAGCGCGAGGGCGAGGTGGATGGAGAATGATGATGGATTTCGCTGAACCAAACGGGACGGAAATGTAACCCCTCGCGCCGGCGGCCAGCGGACTCGTATAGATATATACACCTACCTACAGGTAGGCATACGCACACTTCCCCCACGCGGGTGCAGATACATGTACGTATGGACCTATATTCGTTTCTATATGCCTGACCGGCCGGGTTCTCGACCGGGGGCCATAAGGGTCCTCGACAGGCTGGTTGGCTGAGGCCATCGCCAGCGGGCTCCCGTGTAAGTCGTGCCAGAGCACGTACCAAGCCGGGCCCTGCCCACAATAATGATTTCTCACCACCCAGCGTTGTGCGCGTTGGGACGTATTTCTGGGTCGAGAGCTGCGGCGTGCATCCGCTTCCATGCCGGAGATGTGCGACACGGTAACGGTGTTGTCGAGCTCGCAGCCAGTCTCCTCACCGCGATTGCGAGAGAGGCGCCGGGGTGGGATTCGCCATGGGGCAGAGCTCCATGCATGCATGCACGTCTTGGGCCAGCGCGTCCCGATTGGATCCATCGAGACCTTTCCTGGCGGCGTTCGGGTCGAAGACGGGATGCCAGCATGTAGGCAGGTAGGGCATGTAGGTAGGTAGCAGTGTTGTGTGGTATTGACATTGGTCGAGGGCGTTGTGGTGGTGGTGAGGGGCCTGGGCCCCCCTTGTTGACAGGGCAAGGAGGTCCGATACGTGGACAATCCTACAGGTAGGTAGGTAGGTGGGTAGACATCGCCGACAGCGACGGCAACGATAGCAGATTCAGCCTCTCAGTTCCAGGAGAGCAGAATATGCTACCGGCGACAGCCGAGCCGGGCCCTCCCAGCTCACAAGCATTGACAGGCGTGTCGATCCGAATAAACACAACAAGGCAGTATAAACGTCTAGAACACCACCCTCCCCCTGTAGGTTCGCGCCAAGATGCAAGGAACCCGGACGTCGACGCACATACATTCCTAGGCTAGGGCTACTACATCTAGCGAGATAGCCTGTGTATGTAGGCACTACGTAGGTATAACATGGGGGGTATGCGGACAAGCTATTCCACTATCACATGCAGCCTGGCAAGGCAAGCCCAAGAAAAACAAATACCTGCCCAGGCATTGGGCCTGTCTCTCTCTCTTTTATCTCTTTCTCTCACCGCTCCATCCTGGGCCAACAAGATAGTAGGTAGATACCAGATATATATACCCTACAAGTGGATCTACCCGCACACCGGCCTTCGACACCCCGACAACCAATGGCGTGATGCGCTCCGGCAGATACACGCATCTAGGGGGGGACGCCGCCTACGTTACTGCCATGTGTCCAGCTCGTCGAAAGGGGTCCTCGCCGAGGAAAGTCGGATATTAGGACAGCTATTACCTACCTACCTATTACCCTAACCCAGCGGGAAGGGAACAGCAGAAAGAGAAAGAAAAAGGAGGGGAAGGAGGGGGAGATGGGCGCTGTCAGCATATCCAAGATCGTGCCTATCATATCATACGCACGTACATACAGATGCAGAGTACACCTACGTTTCAACACCCGTCCCAGGGCTCCTGGGGGGCACGCACGTCCGGAGGGGCCAGCTATCCCAGTGCGGATCCTGCTATCGGAGCCTCTTGGCGGGTGCCTTTGGTGAACTGTGTAGCACGTGAAATACCAGTTTTGCTATTCTCTTCTCTTCTTTCCCTTTCCTTTCCCTACCCGTTCCTCCACTTCTCCTCCTCGCGGCGCGCCACGCGGGAGGGAAAGGTGTCGTGCGAAAATGCAGACGCCTCGTGGATATATAAGCTTGTGCGTATTTTCTGCGTGGCGATCGGGAGAGAAGGAGCTCAGGGTGTCGTTCGAAAAGGCATGACGATGCCTATACAAATCTACCTTTCCTAGGTATATGGCGCCGAGGTGCGAGGCGTGCACGCTCTGCGAAAGCTGCGAAACAAGACGCCGCCAGATGGCGAAGCCGGCGAACGGAAAAAGGGGGACGGGCACCGGATAGCCTCAGCACGCAGTCCCCACGGGTGTTAATTGGCACCACTACTACTTCTACGCTACGACAGACGAGGCAAAACGGGGCGGGGAGAACTGCCTTGTCGGCGAGTGAGTGGGAGCGAAGCGCCCTCGAACCCACAGGATAAACCAGAAAGGCACAGACTTGATCGGTGTTGGTTAATCAAGAACGAAGGGTGAACGAATGGTAGGAAGGGATACGGAGTGGAACTACCTAGAGATCTAAAGATCAGGGCTGGAAACGGTGGGCGGGACCGCGCTGCCCGGCTGTCGTGTCTATGATGGACTGTTGGATGGAGAAACGGACGATCGGGGAGAAAGGGAAATATGCTTGAGATGCCTGGCAAAGCCCGTCCCACCGAACCGCTGAGAGAGTTGATTTTGGAACGCGATGGTCCTACGGGCAGTCGGCTTACTGGGCTCTATTTTTATAGAATCCCAGTCGGGGACGGGTGCTGCAGCGGGAGAAATACGATGGTCGAGCGGTGCTCTCACTCTAGCGGTTAACCACACGCCACCATGTCTAACTTTCTGCTATAGACTATGCCCAAGACTTGAACAGCAAGACGTGCATCGAAGCCCCTGTGTCTAGACCAGACCGGACCGGACATGTCATAGTCTGGCATACCTCCTGCTTGATCAAGCCCAGCCGTGTAAGTCGTGGAAGTCTCGCACGTGTACATGGGAGATCAAGGGGGACCGGCACGCGCTTCTAGCAGCAGCGGCTCTTACAATGCGCCTTAGGGGGGGAGCCGACTGCGGAGGTAGGATCTCTGCCGCCTTGTCGATGACTCTCGTCGATGACGACTGTTCCTGCAAGCCGACGCCGCCTCCTCGCGCCATTTGCCTGTTGTAGCAGACGGTGTGCCTCGCGTTCCTTGATCTGCGAGCGCCTACTTGGGGTCCTGTGTCTCGCGGATAGGCAAAAGCTGGGATCGGGGCGGAGGACTGGATAGTGGCCGGCCTCCATCGTCTCGACTCCCTCCGCGCCGCCCGCCTCCTAGCGAAGACACCTAGTTACACGTTTACTCCCTTGCCCTCCGAGGCAAGCATCGTTTGGAGACTGCTCAAACTAGCTTCGCATACGTTCGTCGTAGCCCGTGGTCTCTTGCCTACACAGCAACACGACGGACGACCACACCACCCACTCCTCCCCTGGCCACACCTTGGCGCCAGCGCGACCTCCCGCCCAGCTGCAGACCAGCCCAGAACGGCGTGCCCCTTCAGCCGCGGTGTTCTCGTGCGCCAGCGTTCCCAGCCCGAAACGCTTAGTATCGCCCGGGACAGCCAATAGCCAACCCTGCTGTTATCGCGCCCGCATATAAGCTCCAACACCCCCCCCGGGGAGCGGCTGAGAGGCGGCGCGCGCGAAGGAGCTGGCAAGGCACACATATGGGCTGAGCGGCGGTGGAGGGAGAGGGGGGCAGATCGCACGCGCGATTTACGCCCCCTCCCGCGCTCTGCTGGAGGCGCGCGCGCACCCTGCGAGCGGCTGCGGGGGGGGGGGTGCAGGGGAGGGTATGGTGCCGTGTAAATACCTCGACGGGCCCTCTTTCTGCGCTTTTCCTCGGGCACTATTCTATCTTGCTCTCCCACCTACACAGCACGACGCCAGTTATCGTCGCAGAGAACAGGAAGTCAAAGTCGCCGCAACGATCTACTGTCGGCACAGCGCTACGGACGCCTGATCCCTTCCGACCCCTTCTTCGCTACCCGTCAGAACCACCACGCAGGGCCGCCTCGCCGCTCTTTAACGAGTCCGTACGAGCTAGCAGCTATCTCGGCTGCTAAGACACACACTTGCCGCGCTGCCATAGCACAGCCTCCCCGCCCACCTATGGCGCACATCATCCGGGTCGAGGTGGTCCTGAAGCGGGAGCCGCAGGTCGTCGACCTGACGAGCCTGCCTCGGGGGCTGCTCCTCGCCGCGGCGACAGCACCACCGGCGCCCGTCCAGAACCGCGATGTCGACGTCGTCGAAGTAGCGCCGCCGGCCGCGGCGCCAGGCGGCGATGCGGGAGTCCTCGAAGTCCCGCCGCCCGCGCCATCCGACGCCGGCGCCGTCGAGGTGGCGCTGCCAGCATCCAGGACCGCCGCAGCGTCCCCGCGGGCCGCGACGCCGGGCGCCGAGGACGCGGGACAGGCGTGCGCGCCGGTGACCCGGCGGCGGCGGCGGCGCCACGCGTCGCCAACGGCCGTCGACATCGTGGTGCGCGCGGACGACGGGCAGCGGCACTACACATACGCGCGGCGGGTAGTAGTCGCCGCCGCCGCCGACGACGACGACAGCAGCGGCGGCGACGAGGACGACGACGACGTCGTCGAGATGTCGCCGTTCAAGCGCCGCCGCGGCAGCGCCTCGACCCTGTCCGCGCCCGCCTTCGCCGCGACCTCGTTCGAGCGCAGCGCGTCGCCGTCGCCGTCGTCGCGGCGCGCGTCGCGGCCTCCCGCGCCCGCGCTCGACGACGTCCTCGCCGTCGTCAAGCCCGACCCCGACGCAGACGCGGACGCGCCGCCCGCGCCCGCGCTCGAGCCCGTGCCCGTGCACCACCCGTGCTTCCCCGCGCGCCCGGCGCTGCGCTGCCCCCGGCGCAACCCGGCGCACCGGGGCGTCGCCCGCGCGCTTTCGCTCAGCGCGCGCAACCCGCGGCGCTGGTACTTCCGGTGCTACGAGTGCTGGGCGGCCGCGGCCCCCGGTGACACCGCCGCCATGCCGCCCCCCGCCCCCGGCCGCAGCAGCTTCATCTGCTGGGCCGACGCCCGCGGCGTCGACCCCGCCAACCCGCCCTGCGCCTGCGGCTTCCCCTCGCGCCGCGACGTCGCCTCCTTCGCCTCCGCCTCCGCCTCCGAGTCCCCCGCCCCCGCCGTCTTCTACAAGTGCGCCACCGACGCCTGCCGCGGCTACGCGTCGCCGGCCGCCGCCGCCGTCGCCGCGTCAGCGGCTGCTGCCGCCACGGCAGAGATAAACGGGCTTGCTGTCGGGGCTGGGTGAGGGTGTGCCGACGGGTGGAGGACTCGCGCTGCGAGTTGGGGTTGCGCATAGGTTGGGGCCTCGGGCTGGGAGAAGGCGGGGAACCTGCGGGTCGGTTTCGGCCCGGAGCGGTGGCGGCATCTGGGCGTCGGAGACGAGGGGGCAGGCGGCGAAGTGGGCGTCTTGTACGTGCGGAGCGGTAGGATATCGGACATGGCGTCTCGCTGGGGCATCTGGCGTCACCACGCATATATGCATCCATACTACATACACGGCTCTTTTATGGATCACCTAGGTAGGTAGATAGTCAGCGTCTGTTTCCCGCCCCCTTTCTCTTCCTATCTGAGACCGGTCGTCTTCACCGCGTCGCTTCCCCTCGGTGTTCCGGAAAGATAGCTATGATGACAGCCCTTAAGTAGATCGGTGGAATCTCGAAGGCATGGCTTTACATCCCTTTGCTCAGGGGGGCGGAAGGAGGCCGACCCGTAGACTAGTCCCATGCCTTGCTCGTATAGATACTAGTATTTAAACAGAAGAAAAGGAACATGTTTTGATATTCTCAAGCCCCCAATGCTGGGGCAGATCGCGTCTAATCGAATCGAGCTATGTGGCGATGACCTGAAAATGGACAGAGCTAGAAAAACGAAGAAAAACACAGGGGGTCGGTCACCTTACACGTACATACAGTATATATAGACCCTTCCTCCCTCCCTCTCCCTTCCCCTGCCCTGAAACCGACCCGTGACGCCTGGCAATGCATTTGTATAATACCGCGAGAGACCTTCGCGGCGAGTGAAAGCGTGAGGCAAACGTATGGAAAGCCCCTCCCTCTTGTTGGTCCTGGCTGGCTTTCCTTTCTTTGCTTCTCGATTAGTCTAGTAGTACCTCGGCCGCGTTCCCTATGATCGCCGAGGCTTTGTCGATCATCTTCTGCGTCAACGGCCAGTCCGCTGCGTCGGCGGCGTCCCGGATGGCCGGGAAATACGCCTCGTCGTACCCGGACCATAGTTGCGGTCCGAAAACGACGTGTTTGAACTGTGTCCGGTTCGGTATCTGCGGGAAACGCTGTCAATATGTAACCTCGACAAAATATGAGACGATATGCAGATAGGAAACTCACCCCACCGCCGAATTCCAAGTCCAGCAGGTCGGTCTCGAAATTCGCCATGCGATTGTTGTAGTCGCACCTCCTCTGGCCCAAGGGTACCGGTTCCCAGCCGTTCGATGCCAAGACCGTTTGCTCCCAGCTGGATTCCCATTTCTCAAACTCCGAGGTAGCCTTCTCGACGTCCAGAACCGCGTCCTTAAGCGGACCTAGGTTGAACTTGTCGTTGATGCCCTTCTCCTCCGCCCACTGCCACAGGTCGCCGACGTAACGACCCAGGGCGAGCGCGTAGTTGCCCATGTCAAAAGGCAAGACCGGTCGGTCGGCGAGTTCGAGGATGAGGAGCGCGAGGACCTGACCCAGCAGGTTGTGGTATGTGAAGCCGGGGTCCCCCACGTGGTCCATCCACTCAAAGTTATCGTACGACGAGTGGTAAGGGTGTGCCTCCCCGCCAAAGCGGATATCGATCGAGCTCGTGCCCGCTATATCCTGGAACGCGACGTAATCGCTGCCCGCGCCGAGACCCTCGAGTTGGCTATTGCGCTCATCCCACAGCGTGCGCAGGGTCGCGTTGAAAACGGGGTCGACGACCCGGTCGAGGACCTTACTGAGAACTTTGCGGAACACCGGCGACGCGGCCGCGTGAAACTCCGGGCCAGAAACGGCCGTGTCGAGGTTGATATACGCGAACGCGTTCTTCTGCAGAGCTTCGAGATTGTTTTCGACAAACTCGGTGCTGCCGATGAGATTGTACTCTTCGGCATCCCAGCTCATGAACTCGATCGTGCGCAGCGGTCGCCAGCCCCTCGTTGCGAGATCGCCGAAGATGCGTGCGACTTCCAGCATGACTACCGTTCCCGAGTTGGGATCAGTTGCGCCGAAGGACCACGCGTCGCGATGGTTACCGATGATGATCGATTTCTCGCTCTGCTCGACGCCGATGATCTTGGCGTAGATGTTCCAAATCTTCTGTTTTTCCACTTCGTCTTGCTCGTTCTTCAGTCGCACGATCGGCGACGACGAATTCCCCGACCACCACTCGACGTCGGGCACGCCGCCGCGCCACAGCTCCGGGCACGGCTCGCCGAAGCCTTGGATGTGTTGGAGAAGGATCTGAGCATCCCGCCAGGCGATCGGTATACTCGGAATCTGGACGAGACCAGCCGTCTGGTTCGTCGTCATCCGAGGCTGGCCTTCCTTGCTCTCCCAGCCGGGCGTGAGCACGTCGCCGACCACCCAGCTCATTAAGCTGACCGACCCCCTCTGGACCCCGTCGGCAGGCATGTAGCGCCCTTTCGGCGCTGTCTCCCCCCTGAGGAACCCGTCTTCCGCCGGGTCACTGTATATTATACACCCGGCAAACCCGGCCATCTCGGCCGCCTTCACCTTCAGCGCCCGGTCGCCCTGCGTGCCGTAGTAGCGTACCAGCGCGATCGCGCCCTTTGTATCGATTCCCTTGTCAGCAAGCAACTTGAAATCTTCTCTCGCTCCGTAGTTGGCGTATATTAAGGGACCCCGGACGTCACCCGACTTGGAGTGGCCGTGAAACACGTAAGTCTGGCGGCCTGCCGTCTCGCTGCCCACGTGGCGCTCCTCGAGCGCGGCCGTCCACTTCGCCTTCTTCCCGTCCTCGGACATGATCTCCACCGCCCTACCGCCCTCCTTGGGGTAGTTCAAGTATACGTAGTATTCGTCGACCGCTACGGCCTCGAGACCGTATCTCGTGAAGTAGTTTCGCACGTCCATGGCTAGCGCGAAATCGCCCTCGGTCCCTGCTATGTGCGCATAGCCTGTAAAGTGCTTCAACGTGTTCCTCATCATGCCTGAGTCGATGTTATTCTGCACGTATTGGCGCACAGCCTCAGGGTCGAACATCTGGCCGCCGAGGCGCCTCGTCATATTACTGAAAAGGTCACTGATGAACAGCAGGTACAAGAAGCCCAGTATGAGGAAGACGGCGAGCAGCCTCCCGACGAGAAGTACGGCGGCAGCGCTGTTGAAGCTTGGCATCTTCCACTTCCACCTCCACCTCCTCCTGGGCTCTTCCGATTCCCCATCCCCGGCATTTTCGGCGTCGTTTTGGCGGGGCAGTCGAACGGTAAACCTAGGCAGGCGCCATCGCCATTTCCATTGCGGAAGTGAGGACGCTATTCGTTTCCTCCACGACGAGGAGGAGGACCGGGAACTCGAGTCGTTTAGGGGGTCTTCGACTTCCAGCTCCTGCATTTCGCGCCGCACTTGCGCGTCTTGGTCGCCATCGCCGTCGTCGTCTTCGAGTGTCCACTGGGATCCTTCGTCGTCGGACTCGACGTACGGGGCCTGGTAGCCGCCGGGTGCATGTCTCGCGTCAGCCGGTCTGGGACGCGAGGAGAGGAGGGACTGGGCTTCGGTCTCGTGGTCGGGTCTCGCATCTACGGGCGAAGAGGGCGGCGGCCAGTTAGGTCGCGAAGACGAGGGGTTCCCAGCAGTCGCTTCATCGTAGGTTGGTATAGGGGGAGGCGGTATATATTGTGACTTCTCGGAGGGCATCGTGATAGGAATGCACGAGCGTCATTGATAGGTCGATTCGGGAATTCGGATTAGCTATCGCCTCTATCGTACGGAATCGTTGTTGTCGTCTTGCTCTATCTCTCAAATTTATTCTCTCATTTCTTCAAGGGTATGAGTCGGAAGGAAGGAGATGCATTGAATTTGAAATGGAAGCGGGTCGGATCACCGAGCGATTCTGAGTCGAAACGTATACGGATCGAGAAAGAGGGATGTTTTCAGTAAGTGAGGAAGAAGGTGGTGGAGATGAGTCCGACGGGCCGGGGAGAGAGAAGGTGAAAAGAAAGGAGAAAGAAGAATCGAAAGAAAAGGAAAGTAGCGGCAGGATGTGTGATGGAGAGCGTAGTGAGGGTATCATGAAGAGGGACAGAGGCGGCAGAGGAATTACGTTGATGGTGTTGAGAGAAGAGGTATCGTCCTGGTGGACGATGGAGTGGCTCAATCGGTTTTGGGTATTCGTAATTAGAAACCCCAGCTGCCCAGACCTTGGCCACCTCGAACACCGGCCCGTCGCCGGCTCTCGCAACGGCCACGCCACCTGGCGTCTCCTTCGTCATCCAGCACTGCCACAAATTCAGGGGCCGCCAAGGGAGAGGAGGTGGAAAAAGAGGGAGACGAGACAAGAGACGAAAAACAACAACGATTGTGCGTTTGGCCAACTCGGTCGGCGCGGATTCATATACCTGTCATACCTAGGCAATCCACAGTTGGATGTATTCCAGGCTTACATGGGCGTATTCAAAACCAGTCACGGAAGCCGTTCTGTCCTGAGACATTTCGGCACCAGATACACTACATGCGTGCTAGCTCATCGTGTAGCGTACGACCGGAAAGGGAAGAGGCAAAAGAGGATATACTAGCTGAGCCGAAGCATCCGAGAAAATCTACAACTTCGTCTACTGACTCTAACTGTGGGAGAGGATGAGAGGATGACGGGTGGGTAGGTAAAAAAGAGAGAGAGAGACTGTGACGCTAAGTAGGCGAAATCCCCTCCTTCTCCTCTCCTCCCGTTAAAAGAGGAAATAAACATCGAATTTATCTGCTTCGTTATAATAATAAGATTAATAGATTCGACGGTTATTTTCTTGTTTAATAGAAAGCCAGGTTGTAAAACTAACTTTACGGTAACCGACTATTTATCGGAACTACGGTTACGTTAAGGATAGGGATCGACGCCGTACTATGTGATAATTGTTATAAGGTACGCCTTTAATAGGATTGGTGAACTATTGCAACGAACCGGGTAAATTCGACGCCCGGCTTCGTACCTAGATACCCATTATGAATACATAGGTATGTACAGGATGATCCCTCGCGAGAGATACGAGGTAGGCAGATAAAACGATCATCGGTGCCGCAACAACTCTCCCCCTGTTGCATACAAGGAGGGAGGCACTAATAATCCTTTTTGCCCTCTTCTCCTTCTTCCTCTTCTTCTAAGCTAATCAAACATCTCTCTCATCGCGCGCGGCGCCGAGTCATTTTCGGAACATTAATAACTAAGCTATTCACATTCAATCCTCCCGCCGTCTTCCGCCCGCTGCACACCCGCGTCATTATCGTCATTTCTGTGGCTGGAGAACCACCCCTTCATATTGCCTCGAGGCAATGTTGTCGAGTGTGCGCTTGAAATGCCGTTTGCTGTTTTCTATACTGGCCGAGTCCTGCTGGTTCGAGCTCAGGTTCGAGTGGATGAGCTCGATAAGTCCGTTGATGTACTTGGTAGTGACCTACGGCGTAGTCAGTGCAATCGGCCCTCTGGGCAAAACAGGAGGCGGGGGGGAGGCTATGGCCTTACCGATTCGTTTTGTTGGTCGAAGTAGTACACGTAACGATCGAGAATCTCGACGAACAGTTCGATCGATGTGGCCTGTTCCATACACGAGTCGGCCACGCGCAGAGCTCGCTGTAAGCATTCCAACACCCGTTTTCCGTCTCGGTACAGCTGCAGAGACAGGGTAAGCTTCGCATCTCACATGCACCAACACCCACAGATATAGAAGTGAAATAATCAACCGAAAAAAAAAAAACGTACACCTTCGTCCGACTCCTCGGTGGCGGCAATCGGTGTCGCCCACCACAGGTGGCTTGCTAGATACACCGCCCGGCATTGATCCGGCTTCCGCAGGAGTTTGCTGCCGTGCAGGGCACACTTGGTGATCAAGGTGTCGTAGTTCTCCTTGCTGAAATTCCTCGTTTGGTGCAGCGCGTTCGCGATAATGCATACCGCTTGAAACTGCGCCTTCGAGTCCGATATCGCTTCCTCGTATACGGTGAAGGCCTGAGCGAAGAACTCGTAGGCCACTTCTTCGAATCCCGTCATATCGGCACTCTGGCCGCAGTCGCTGAAGAGTCGCAGCGATAGTTCGGCCGCACCCGAGCCATTCACCCTCGTGTAGATGCTCGAGATCGAAGAGTGCAGGAACTTGTAGAGGGCGCTCAGCTGCGTTTCCCACGTCTCATCATAGTCCTCGCGGGCCTTGAACCGACGCGCAAGCTTCATGCCGGCGGTAATGATGGAGGGCGTGGTGGTACGGATCCTCTCGTTCCCTTCCGCAAACGCGCTGCGCGCCATCTGGAGTAGGCGGAATTGCGTGTCGTTGTCTTGGCCGTTCAGGAGATGGACGATCCGCGCGAGCCAGCCCTGCTCTTCCATCGTTTCGTCCGTCTCCAACGCCCGTCGCTGCGGGCCGCCGGGATAGCCGGCTGGCGGTTGCGAGCCCTCCTTGATCAGCACTTTGAGGACCTCGAGCACATTCTCAAGCTGAGCGGGAGTCGCTATCACGGTTCGGTTGAGCAGTAGCGTCTTGGCAACTTCGCCGGCCACCGCCCTTCTTGTCGGGTAGGTTTGAGACTGGAAGAGAGGCACGTATGTCGGAAGGGACAGGGCCGTGAATATGGAAGCGTATCTCTTGAGGGGAGCCTGGAGCAGCGCGAGCAAGCTCTGCTGCGCCGGGACTGAGTGAAGGTCGGCACTGTTGGCATGCTCCTTGACCTTGCGGTTTGCGTAGTCGAGGATCTGGTCGACATAGTCGAGGCGACTCGGATATATGTTGAGCGCCAAGTTGGTGAGCGAGACCAGCAACGCGATTGTATCCTGGATAGGAAGGCGTTGAGCGTTGACGAGGTTATTGACCTGCTCGAAGAAAACCTCGTAGAGTTTTACATTGGGGGGAATTCCACGCTGTTTCTTGCTCCGTTGAGAGGATCCGTCCAACTCCTGGTCAGTTGGAGCAGCCTCGGCGTCCTCGAGCAACGTCGTCGTCTCAGATTCCGCTGCGCGCCTAGCCTCGGCATACTCGGTAGATTCGCTTTGAGGATGGCCTCCGTTCGCATCAGTATTCCCATCGGCAGTCCCATCGGCAGTCGTCGATTTGGATTCTTGTTGCTCCTTGGCCAGCCGGATCTTCTCCAGTAGGCTTGCCAACGCATCCTCCTCTAATTGCGCCCTGTCTTCAGCAGCCTCCTCTTGAGATTCTCGTTCGGCATAGGCAGATAACCGGTCCATCAACCCAATGACAATGGCCTTCACGTCAACGTGGGGATTCAACCGCGACACAGCAGCCAAAAACGGATCCAGGGTATGCAGATGAAACTCGTCCGGAAAGACTTGGGTGATGATCTCCAGCAAATACTCCTGGGCTAACACGTCCCGGCATTGTACCACCTGCTCGAGGAGCGGGCCTAGGATGCCGTTGCTGTAGGCCTCCAGGTCTACCAATTGACTCAATCGTACAATGTTGCTGCCCACTAGGAGCTGTAGCTCTTTGCGTTCCCTGGATCTCTGCTCGCGCTCCCGCGAATGACCCTGGTGCTGCAATCGCACCCAGAGCTTGTTCATCTCGACAAAATTAGTTAAGATGAAGTTTATCGAGTCTTGCAGGTTTCCTTCGGGGCCGTCGCCGTCGCCGGTAGGTAGGTGGTCTCTAGCTTGGCCAGTCAGGTAGTAGCGCAAGAAGAGGCCTCGGATGGGATGTTGGACGCCACGACTCATGTCCATCATATCCTTCATCAACTCCTTCACGGGCGCTTCGGGTATAGACATGTAGGCGGTGCCAACGGTTATCATGAGATACAGGCGCGGAATTATGTTGCCGGCATACTGGACGAGCTCGTAGAGGTCGGCGAGGTGGTTGTGCGGGTGGTTCTCCCGGAGATGCATAGACAGGTAGCGCAGAGCATCGAAGACGGCCATGTATAACTCGTAATACTGCTTCGGCCCCAGGCTACTCGTCCGCAGCTCCGCGACTAGGGTTGAGCTAAAGAATCAGCCTGCCGTTAGCCGGAGTTGTCACCACGAGAGGCCGGACCGGCAACGAGGGAGGGTTGTGCTTCCGGGCCGCAGCCGGGGGACCCTGATCCTTACCAGCACTTCAGGGCGTCCATGAGCTTCCCAGGTGTGTCAAGACACTTGCGCATGAGGGTGGTCTGCTGGCGCACGGCTACGAGAGCATCCTCAAGCAGTCTCGCCTGGTCCTCGGGCGGAGCAGGCGTTGTTGACATCTTGGGCGAAGCGTCGTCGACGACAGTGCTGAGGAGTTGGCGGGAGCGACGCAATAAGGGGATGTAGGTCAATTATATCTCTCGCAGGTCATCGGGTCACTGGGGGGAAGGGTATCGAATTGTAGGGTGTGGAAGGAGAAGAAGCTGAGGACAGAGAGAGTGAGCAGCATTCACAGCAGGTCGCGCTGCTGGCCGAAGACAATGCCGTGCCTATGCATTACCTACCTAGGTACATATGGTGACCTGCGCCACATACCAGCCTCAGTGGAGAGGGAGAGTGTGTGGCGGGGCGCCACCTTTCCTTTAAAGCGGGATCGTTTAAAGCAATTAGGCACATGACAGGTTCCACATACCGTAGGTACCTAGGTACCTACCACTTGCTCAACGACGACCGCTTGAAGGCTGAAAACCATCATTGCTGCCGGCACCTTGTCCTCGAACGCAATATCCAGGGGATAGCCAGCGGCTGAAATACTATCTCCAACCAAAAAACCGATAAATAATAACGATGATAGCAGACGCCTCCTACGCCCTCCATGACGATGCCGGCGGGACCGGCTTCGGGATAGGGTGGACCCAGGGGACGCTCCCCACAAACGGCTCCTCGCCCTCTAGGAAGTCCAGCACCACGGCGCGACGCATACTATCGCCTAAGGAGTACCGGAGTATCCATCGGCTAAGCCAGCCGGGCGCCAACGGCAGCACCCAGTAGCTAAAGAGCCAGGAGATCGTGTTCCGCCACGCCGACAGCCGCACCGTCCTAGCAGAGATCTCGTTATCGTACTCAGCGCGCTCACGACGTGCCTCCTGGTACCTCTCCAGAACAGCAGTCGGATCCCGCACGCTCGGGCTGGACACGTCTTCCCCTCCTTTGGCCCCGTGGCCTGCCCCTCGAGTTACCCGCCGCACCTCGTTCGTCAGCGCAGCCGCGTCCTGCACGCCGCAGCTGAACCCGAGCCCCTGAGACGGGCTGAACTTGTGCGCCGCGTCGCCGACGATCGCCGCACGGCCCCACGTCCACCGCCGCGCCACGCCCTCCTCTACGTTGGCCGCGCCGGCGCGGTAGCAGCACGCCAACGCATCGCGTAGCCGGAACTGTGTCGCCTTCCCATCTTCGCCCTCTCCTCCCCTCCTGTCTTCCCCAACGAGGGGCAAGTGCTCCCACCGCTCCCAGGGCGCCGCCGCCTCCGCCACCGAGTAGTTTCTTCCTGACACCTCCGGGGCGCCGGTAGCGGTGGCCGCGAGCCGCTCGTGCAAGAAAAGCCAGGACTTTGTTCTCCCCGCGAGAAGCTGCACCACGTAGTCCCACCCGTGCGTTAGGTACTGCGTCCCGGGCTCGTGGAGACTCGGCTGAGCGGGGAACGAGCACCATAGCGTGCGGTACTCGCACGAGAAAGATTTCCCGTCATCATCGCCGGTATCGGCAATTGATGGCTCGACAGAGGATGATGTCCGAGTGGCGTCTCGGGCGAGCGCCTGTATACGCTGGCGGACGATGCTGTGGACGCCCTCAGCGCCGACGACAATCGACCCGCCGTATCGAGTTCCATCTACGCAGTGGACGGCGACGCCGGCATCGTCGGTCGCGACGTCGACTACCTTCTTGTCAGTGAAGACGCGGGACTTTGCGTGCTCGCTCAGCGCGTCGTAAAGGGCCTGAGTGAGCCAGGCCCGGTCGAACGCGTGCGCATCGCATCCGCAACTTACGTCGGGTCAGACATCTCGGTAATCTGAGGGAGGGGAACACTGCGACGAGCTAACTAACTAATCCTTGAAGAACCCTAGGGTAGGCAATGACCGGAATACGCGCCCGTCCTTCGTAGTTGAAATGTTGCGCTGCATCCCCACGCCGGTGGCGAGGAGCCCGTCGAGGAGTCCGAGCTGCGCCAGGACGCGAAGCCCGCTTGGGGTGAGGGCCAGGCTCGCGCCGACGTCCTCGGATATGCTCGGCCGGCGCTCGAGGAGCACGAAGTCGATGTCTGCCTTCGAGAGCATGTGAGCCATGATCAGGCCGACGGGGCCGCCGCCGACTATTACGATCCGGAAGCCGCTATTGTCCATTTCGGTTGGAGGCTGGGATCGTCCGGACTGTCCCCTGGTGAAAGGAGTATACAAGTGTAACCCGACATACAAGTAATAGCGGTGGCGCCTCTATTTCTTATTACCAGCAGCATCGTGGATCGGATTTATATAGAGTCGAATTGTTGTGTCGACTGCATTGTATTGTGGCCTCAACCCTCGAGACATTGGGTCAACGCCGTCGCAGTGACACAGCACGTTCAAGATTGGGCGCCAATCCTCTAGGTAGTCCTACGGTGACTGCATCGACTCACCGACAGACTATCACCTGCTGTGGTGCGAATGAATGCGTTGAATGTGTGTGACGAGATGGGAAACATTCGGCCGACCCACCGACTGCGAGCCTCGATGATATGGGTAGTCATCTAACTCCTACGGTGCCAATAACCCGCAGTCAGCCTCTCGGATAGCGTATCTTCAGATGGAACGAACCCCACGATGGGCGTGGTGGAACGTGTAAGTCAGAAGACCATATCCGAATTACTATTTATACACAGGGACCCCCAGGTGCGGTACGACTCTCTTGGATCGATAAGGTCGCCTATGAGAGCACGCAGATCATAACGTTGGGACTCCGGTAACGCAGAACCTTTCCCATTTCAAAGACGGTGACGTGAGGACATACACTCTCTCCCCTTGCGATGGGGCAGGGAGTAAAAACGATGTACTTCTCTGCTCTGTTCGTAAGCCTTTGGGTGTCCCCTAAGGTATGCGCGCCTTTTCATACCACCCTTCACGGTTATTATTGAGTTGCCACACTATTGTACACACCGGCGCATTTCATAACCCGTCGAGATATATTCTAGCCAAGTCTGGTGGCGTTTACGGAGAGGGGGCCAGTCGCGGAATTGGAATTGAAGAACCAGTAATTAATACTTCTACCAGCGCAGGACTCTCCTCTGTGGAACAACTCAACACCCCCTCTCTCATTACAGACCGAATAAGTAGCAAGATCGCTGCTCGCATCTAATCGAATGATTCCACGTTACCGCGCATTTCGTGGCAAGATTTCTAGCTAAAAACGTAGGCACACACCCGCAAGTGCCCATTATCCAGCCGGAACGCGGGAATCCACATCCCATTTGCGTAATGCCGCGGCGAATATCTAACACCTAGTAGGCAGACCCAGCACACACCCCGTCCGCCGTTGCACGAGAAACTCCTGTCATACACCATTAAGAAACGTCGAATCTCCGCTCTACCCTCCACCACTGCTCGCCTTAGCACCCTCGCTCCCCTCGTTCGTCTGTCCCGGCGGCGCGGCCCGCGGGGTCAGCCGGGCGTAGCCGGCGAACTGGGCGAGGCTCTCGAGAACCTTTCCGCGGGCGCGAGCGCGCAGGTTCTCGCTGGCAAGGCCAGCGCGGACGGCGTCGGGGTCCCAGGCGCGGTCGCGGCCGGCGGCGAGGCCGGCTGGGTCGCCGTTGCGGCACTCGGTCTCGTACCAGGCGCGCAGCGCGGCCTGCGCCGCGGTCGGCCGGTCCGCGCGGTACGCCTCCCGCACCGCCGCCCAGCCCGCCGCCCCGCCCGCGTCCTCTGCCGCCCCGTGGCCCTCGCCCTGCAGGCACGCGAACTCTGCCGTCGGCTCGCTACGTCCGACCACCTCCATCCTGTGCACCCACTCGTCGCCGAAGTCGTACGTGTACGCCATCGGCAGGCCTGCGCGCGCGTTAACTAGATTGCACTGCTGCGGAGAAACTAGCGCCGAAAGAAGGAGAGAGAGAGAGAGGATGACGTCCTACCTTGGTAGGCTGGGTCGTCAAACAGCATGAACAGCATGAAGTCGTCGGCGTCCTCTTCCCGGGTATTCGGGTGGCGTCGGTAGGGCTCGTGGGCGCTGTCGAAGGCGGAGAAAGGCACCCATTTCGCGAAATTAACGATTCGGAGCAGGAACTCTTGCGGCAGGGACGAGTCAACCTGGACCCCGGCGCTGTGCGCCTTCAGCTTGTCACGGTACAGGCGTACCTTGTCGGCGGGCGGTCTAAACGCCGGGTTGAGGACGGTGAAATCGAAGAAGTGGGTGAACGCCCAGCCGAAGGCGCACTGGAGCGCCACGTGGAGGTCGTAGAAAGTTGCGGTGGCCGGGCAGGAGAGGGTTCGGACGATGGGCGGATCCGCGATGTCGTCTGCGCCCAAGTGGAACCGCACGACGTAGTTCGGCAGGAGACGGGGCTTGCAGCACTCCTGGTGGTATTCCCAGCACAGCGAACGGCATCCCAAGGAGCAGTAGGCAGCGTCCGCGCACACCTTGCACGCGTACCGTCCTGGCTGGGAGCAGATGGGATTGCCACACTCCATAAACATGACTGTCGTGGTGGTGGTGACAGGCGAAAAAGACTCGGGTCCGACGCAAATCAACTGGCGATAGCAATATGATAGGAGTATCGACGCGAGAGCGTGACGAGTCTACGAGCTTAAGAAGTCAACAATTCCGTTCAGTGAGAAGTTACCGTGGTAATATCTGAGCAGTTATCCTAGGAAGTTGCTAGGAGGCGGCAAGCTCAACCGGCCTCGCGGTCTTTATAAAGGCCCTACTAGAGCCTCCTGGAGACCAGCCGACTGCGGTAATACGCCTCCACCTTCACTTCACCCCGGGAGTCACCGAAAACGTAGTGACTATGGTAAGTGTCGCTGTCGGGTCGGATAATTTGAGTCCAGGTTGGAGTCGAGAGTAACTCGCATCATTTGCAACTGGCCTGAGTCTATCGAGTAACCCTGCGCTAACAACGACCTACCAGATCGAGCCGATGTTTGTAGAAATCGAGGAAGACTCATTATACATGATCGTTGTTGGGACAAGGTGATATAAACAATACACAATAGATTCCGTACGTTACACGCGAAATACGTGAAACTAAACGGGTTCATGTTTAGTGATATTAGTGAAGTGCCAAAATCTACAGTTTTCCGTATTATAAGGAACTTGGTCAAATTTACTCGCAATATAATGCTCTATAAAATACTATAGGTGGGTTTTAGCACGTAAGAGTTATTATTCTCGAGGCTGGGGAATTGGGTGGCTACTGATAGTTGGTGTAGTAGCAACAATTCACAGCAAATCATTACTGAGATATTCACATTGTCAATAGGCTCATTTCAAGGTGGGTTGCGAACCATGTCTTTTTTATCACCAAGTCATAATAACGGCATCTTGTGCCTAGTGGAAGTATATTCAATGACTTTAACTGACTATGGTATGCTCTCGACCTCCTCTGCGATGCAATGGGATAATTGCATGTCTATAGAAGCAACCTACCCAGAATTGTTTTGAATTATCCGCATGTAATCGAGATGCATTGTTCCGATCTTTTGTCGGTGTCACGTAGAGGTGGCTCCTTAGGTTGCTCCTCTTCGTTGCTTACCTCAGCAACAGGAGCTCCTAAATATCCCGTCGCTTCCATTCCTTTAGCTCGTTCTTAGAGAGATCTAAGACCTTTTCTCTCCTTTCGCTCCTCCTCCCATTGCTCGTGAGATAGCTCTCTGCGCGCGCTCTCGCGTACGTAGCTCCTTTACTGAGCTACGTGACAGTCAGAGTTATCTAAGCCCTTAGTAGGTTGCTTCTGATGTTTGTACTGGATACTAAATGGAATAGGTTGGTCTAACATACATATATTGGGTACCGACCTACACACATCGAACCACTCGAGTTAAGACACGAACTTGTCTAGGAAGAGCTGACTTAGTACCACGTATTAGAATGCCGTGGATACGTAGACATCGCCGTAATTTAGCTGACAATGATGTAACAATATCTAAGGCAATGCCTAGAGCCATGTTGCCTAAGCAGGCTTAAGACAAGTCTGTGCCCGTCAACCCAAGGAAATGGTTTCTACCAAGTTAGTGTGTTTCTTTGTATGCAATGCCGATATCCGCAGTAGAACCCTAGCTTCTTTTAAGACATTTACTACGTAGGAACGAAGCTATAGCTAGATCTCTCTAGCGAGCCCTTGTTCCTACTCTGTGAAAACCGAGGCTTAGCTTAGCATCCTTCTCGCTCGGTCCCATCGCCTAAGCTACGGGATTCCCCCCCGGTTCTCCTAGTGCTAGTCCGAGCTGCGGCTCCCGTGAGTGACGCGGCCTAGAAATGCTACGTGACGGATAGTCTAGGTATATATGCAATTCCGATAAAGAGGCCATACCGAGCTCGGCATCATTGTGGCGGAGCCGCTGATGCCTCCTAAGTACTGGGCATCTAACTAAACGGTATCTTCGCGACGAAGTCCTACTATGAGTCGACTATTTCTGCCTCATAAGCCACAGAGCCTCGTAGGCTTGTCCACGTAACCTGTACCCACACAGAATAGCACCGTGCCGCCTTGGCACGAGCTGAGCTGTTGTTTGGGGATAACTTCACGAGATAACAGACCTACGTGAACCTCAGCTACGGAGCCTCGCATAGTAGATATATGTATGGCGTCGACCCCTTCCCCGGTGGAACTGTGAAGTAGCTGGCGTGCTTTCGTATATGCAAAAAACGTCAACCCTAATATCTCAACACCGTGCCTCGGCCGTTCCGACGTGATAACTTCCTCCTTAAGAGATGGCCGACTTCGTCCGGGCGCTCATCCGGGACCCCAACAATTGCCACCGGGAGCTGATCGACGGTTGGCTGCCCCCGTACGGTTTCCGGCCCAGTCTCGCCGCCGGCATCACCTTCTGTGTTCTCTTCGCCGTCGCGTTCTTCGGCCACGCCGTGCAGAGCCTGCGCTTTAAGAAATGGACGTCGATTCTCCTCGCCATTGGTGCACTGAGTGAGTGCTAACTTCTACGATGAGTCATTTATTTATTTTTGCGGAGGAATTCTTTTCTTCAAACTAACAACCTCTCCATAGCCGAGACCATTGGATGGGCGGGTCGAACCTGGTCGTCGCAATGCCCGTATAATCAAAACGCCTTCTTGATGCAGATCACCACCCTCATCATCGGACCGACGTTCTTCACCGCCGCTCTCTACGTGTTGCTGGGGATATTCATCGTCCGCCTCGGACGCGCATCCAGTTTGATCTCGGCGCGCATGTACGCCATCGTCTTCTGCACGTGCGACGTTATCTCGCTCGTGGTACAGGTCAGTTTAGGGATTTGCCTAGGCTTCGATTCCTCTTGATAATACGCGATGCTGATATGGGTTACGTAGGCCGTGGGCGGAGCGATAGCGTCCATGGAGGCGGGTGAGATTGGAGGCGACACCTGGCCTGGTACCTACATCATGGTGGCTGGTATCGCCTTTCAGCTTCTCACCATGACGGTATTCGCCCTGCTCGTCATAGACTTTGTGCGCCGCTCGCTCAAGCTGGGCATACCTCGAGACTACTACCCCCTCCTGGGCGCTCTCTTGGTGTCACTCCTAATGATTTACATCCGGAGCATCTACCGCACACTCGAGCTGAGCGAGGGTTGGAGCGGAGATTTGATCAGAAACCAGGGGTTATTCATCGGACTGGACGCTGTTCTCATGGTGATTGCGGTCGCCGTATTCCTGGTGTTTGACCCTGCCCGACTGAGCATCGACACGCCCGCACAGGCGGGTATTATTACAGTTGCGGAGGCGGAGAAGGGTTCTAACAACAGCGACCGCGATAGGATTTCAGCTGAAGCAATCTGAGCCTTTGCTGCGTAGCTACATTAGGGATATTCAAGATATTTCCTCTTTGACAACAACTAGCGCATAATATCCTGGAGTTGTGGTTGCTCAGCAACTCCCGCATGGTTGACTCTAATTCCCGCAGCACACCGACAACGCAGGGAGTCCTAGAGCTTGGACGATGTTGAGTGTCCACTTGCTATTTATATATATAATATATTTTTTTCTCTTCGAATCCCCTCGTTTTCGAATGTGCCATTTCGATTCATTCGTGTCGACTGGCTTCAACGACAGAGGCGATGGCTGCGTTGCAAAATCCATCGAAACTGTAAGCTATCGCACTCATCACACTAGGTAATAAATACTTACATTTAACATCTTGATCAAGCTGGACGTCGCTGATCACAAGTTCCCTCAGCCGGTAGTACAGGTGAAATTATCACATATAACATTAGTCTGTGTCCTCGTGCGTCACATCTTTACGACGCCTACATACATACATCTTCACCCCCCAAACAATGGTAGATATCAGTCTTGTCTCAATATTAATATGACTTACACGCTGTCAGAATCGACGCCATTGTGAATTGAGGATGTGCCAAGGGCAGGCCACGCGGACAACCCTATCCTAACCCCTGCTGACGGATTTAGTAGTGAACAGGAGCAGCGTAGGCACGCTGTAATGGAGGCACGAAATAAGGACTGCCTAACTACTAATAACTGGCCTAGTGCCGATTAACCCTAAATTATAGCTGTAAATAGCTATAATCGGTTGATCGGCTAGCTAAAAACGGCAGCTGGGAAAGGGAGGACTGGAAACAGGTAAAGGAGGCTAGCTAGAAAGGCATGACAAAAGGAATAAATAGCTATAGGCTGTAATATCTATAGGTCTAAGTCTAGCTAATGAAAATATAAGTACGCGACCTATATAAATATATATCGAAAAGGCTACGTAGCCTAGATCTACCGTACTACTACAGCCTCCCTAGTTTAATTAATCCGCAAGGAGCAATTAAACTCCTCACACAACAATAGGTACGGTAGCTTTCGTTCCTATTAAACCTAATCCTAATCCCGATCAACCCTGATTAATTAAAAGCTAGCTAGTTTAATTAAAGGCTAACAGGATAAGTTAGGAAATAGGGCTCTAACTGGGAACGATTACAATAGCAATAAGTAGGTGGTGGGGTAGGTGACTATAACCGTACCTAACTATACCTAATCCTGATTAATCCCGAACCTATTCAATCGCTACTAACTAAGAGCTAAGCTAGTGTTAGTAGGTACGTACGTAAAGCAAAGTGAATAGTAAATAGTAATAAGAAAGATTAGAGGTAAGACTGGTTGTATTAATATGTCTGATTCTTCTTTGGGAGCTATTTATCTAAGGAGGGTAGGAAAATCGTTCCTTATATCCCACGTAGGTACGGAGGTACCTGCGTTATCCCTAATTACTAGTAGACTATTACTTACTCTGTTTTCTTTTCATAATTAATAGTCGTTAATTATAAATCATTATTCCCGTTTTATCTATCCTTTTAACCTTAGGTTAATACGATTCTTCTTTACTAAGGTCCTTATAGCCTTATTTAGTAATGCCTTCGTTATGGCGTCGGCCGGGTTATAGCTCCTATAGATCTACTTAATATTATTAATTTCCCGATTCTCGTACGACTACCGTAAAGCCATTAAGTCGATTATTAATCGCTTTTCGTTAATACTACCTATCTAGACTAGATATTAGTATAATGATAGTAAGTCGGTATATAATACTAGAGGAACGCGTGGGAGAAAGAAACGGCTAAGGATAACGTTAATTATATAATAGATAACGTAGCTAATATCAAAGCCTTATATTATCCCGTATATCTTACTTATTAATACGCTCCGAGTAACCCTTTCATACTTAGTAAAGGACTAATATATGATATTACCTTTAACCCGGAGCCCGTTATTACTTAATGCCGATGGTTCCTTATTACCTAGGACGATAAGGTAGCCGATTTACGAATTTATATCCGTATTATTAGCGAAGGAACTATCTACGAAGATATATAGGCGGAGGTCCGTAGGATCGAGAGTAATATAGTTAAGGCCTCGGTCTTTATTAACTACCTATTAATTAATCCTCGTATTAAAGGCTTTCGCTTCCTTAGTCCCGGGGTTAACGTATTACGCGGCCGTAGAGTAATCGAAGGTTACTTTAAGTTAGTAGATCGAGGAGATATACGCTTCCCGTGCTTATTATTTAACGAACTTCTTAGCGAGATTTAGTATTTTTAGGTCTAGTAGTTTTAGTTTCTTAGCTTACCTCTTTTAAATTACCGAGATTCCATATCCTTCGTCGTAAAGCTTTATACGTAACCCGTTAAAATCTTTTAATACTCCCGGTTCTAGAATCTTCTAGGGCTTTACCTTAATTCCGGCCTTCGTAAGTACCTTGTTTTCTTATTCGAGGAACTCCTTCGTACCGATATTTAGGGTATCGTTTATCTAGAGGCCTATTATTCCGAAGGATTATCCGACGTCCGTAATTAATAAGTACGGGTCGAACGCTAATGGTTTTATTTTTAATTCTCGTTAATAATATCTCGAGTAGGTCTCGAACTAGTACGTACTTACCTCTACGAGCCTATATAACGGCTTAACGACGCGTAATAACGTTCCTTCGGAATATTTATTTTTTAGTTCCGGTAATAAGCGTACGAAAATCGTTCGTTATATTAGCGTTTTTAATTAAGTATATGTCATTATAATGTCTTAGATTATTATCTTTATCTTAAGTTATCGGAATATTAGGAATAATACTAGGATTAACCTCTAGCTTACCCTTTAAATAATAAAGGCGTAGGTTATAATAGATTCCTTTTCGCGGTTTTTATAACCTTAAACCATTAGTCGGGACTTCTCGTATAGTACTAAGGTATTCTTACCCTTAATCTTTCGAATTATACGTAACTTAAAGATAGTAGCTCCTTAGTAAACCGTATAGTCGTACGCCTTAGGTTAGAGGATACCTTTATCGAAAAACGCGTTTAGCTCCTTTAAGTTAAACGCTTCATAAGGTTTACTAGGGGTAACGATCTTACCCGTAGCTCGTAGCCTTAGCGCTAAGGTATAATCGTTTTTCTCTTTTACGTTAATATATGCTATGTTTAGTTCTTCCTTTAGGATAATCTCGTATTCCTCCGGATTAATTACGCGGCGTAGGAGTTTAACCTATAGTTCCTTATCCGGTATTAATCCTTCCTTAGGTCGGGCGTACGGTTTAACGTAGAAGCTCCTAAAGGTCGAGGTACTCCTTAATATTATAATTATTATATCTTTATCCGTAATAGCGATAATCTTATACGGTTCTTTCTACCCGTCCTTTTCTCGGAAGACTAGAACTTTATTACCTAGCGCTAGTAATCCCGGGAGGGTCCGTAAGGTATTTGATTTATTACGCGTATTAAAGGCGTCCTAAATAAACTTCTATGCCTTAATTCTTTTAACTTCTGCTATTGCTTTTTAGATTACTTAGGCTCTTTATATTTACGATACCGTAAGTAATAAGTCCATATTAATTTTAAGGTACGCCCCGAAAACGAATAACGTAAGGACTAGGTTATCTAGATTTACCGTATCATTAACGGCTTTAATTATTATTTATAGACGTACTTCTTTTAATCCGATGGTTCCTTCTTCTACGAGGATTTCGTATGCTCGTCGGATTAAGCCATAGTATTCCTTAACCTTATCGATAAACTAATAAGCCTTTACTAGGATTTATTTATAGGTAACGCCGGCTAACCGGGCTTTATTCTTAAATTCCGTACTATCGAAGTTTATATTAACGTCGTAGGTTAGAATATCGGAAAGGCCTAGGTAAGTATCGATCTAATATAGCTTTAGGATACTCTACGTTTCCTTAGCTAATATGTCCTTAAGGAATCGGGCTACCTAGAAACTTATTACCGTATTAATTAGATAGAGTATAGGCCGTCCTTCTAGATATATAACGTCGGCGACGACCTCGTAATTAAAGTCTAAATCGGGGTCCTTAAAGTTAAACCTAAATCTTCGTAGTAATATACCTTTTACCTAATAGTAGTAATAAAACTTATTAATAGCTTTAATATCCTTAATAGCGACGTCGTAGCCGGCCTTATCGAATAAATCGTATAATTTATTAATTAATAAATACCCGAAGCGGGTATAGATTCGCCGTAGTTCTATTTCCGTAAAGAAGGTAACGTTAGCGAGGTAGAACTAGGGATGTTCTTATTTACGAACGATAGGTATCGTTACTTTATTCTTATAGATTAACTAGTCCGTAATATTATTAAGGTATACGTTTAATCGATTTATATCCTTAATGGAAAGTAAGAATAAGGTATTTATTTTTATTACGTAAAAGTCGATATATCCGAACGATATATTAACTATTACGGCTCCTAAGGAGCCTACGAATAATCCGTTTCCGAACCGGATATTCGCCTCTCCCGCTCGGGTATTATTAATTTTAAGCCGTTATTCCGGGTATTCCCGGGCGAAGGTAAGGTATTATCCTTTACCGGCGGTAAATATTCTTACCGTACCTATATCTAATATAATACCTTAAAAGACGTCTTTAAAGTATCGGTCGAGGACGAAAACGGTATTACCGATATCGGTCGTTTCCTATAGGGAATACGAGGTAACGCGGTATCGAAATACCTAGTCGGATAGGTAAACGGCGGTTATATATTACTTATTATCGTTATCGGGCGTTTAATCGGTACCGAGTTCGTTATCTTATTCGGTCCTTAAGTTTTCTTCTTATTCGTCGATTCCTTCGTAATCGGCTAGGAACGTCGTATAATTACCCTTAGGCCTATCCTTATTATTCTTCTATCGCGCCCTTACCTCCTTCCTTTCCTTTTCGGAGTATTTAATAAATTAATATCTTTCCTTCTTATATATCTAGTACTTTTTCTTCTACGCCCGTTACTATCCGAAGCGGCCTTTTTCCTTCTTATTATTATAATATTTACCTCCTCTATCGTTACGGTAATATCTACGGTCGACGTAGTATTAGTCGTTTTTTTCGTCGTTATCGCTATCCTTATCTATAGTAAACTAACGTATTCCTTTAAGGTTTTCATAAGTATTAATCGAAGCGTAGAGCTTGCTAGCTATGTCTTCGAAACGTATGAAAGGTTCGAAAAGAACATGCTAT